CGTTGAGAACTTCCCGTTGCATAAGAATGAGTACTTCCTGCAGAAAAATAAAATCGATAGAATACAGTTTTAGAGAGTAGTTTTCTCACCGCACAATCTCATACAATTTTCGATATTTCAAGTTCCTTAACCACGTGAAACTGTTGTATTCTTCTTCAAACTTCTGGACGCAACACATCCATCTTTCGGCTTCTTTGAAAACATAGATAAATCTAAAAATAACGTCATAAAAATATATGAACGATCTTTGCTCACCTGCAGACTCTCATTGAAGAATTTTTGGTGAACAATATATCTTTCTTTGTGTGGATTCCACAATGTTTTGACCGAATGATTCCAAAATTCAAGTGGTACGCTCCAAACGTGTTTTCTCCGTTTGGTCCCATAATATCTAAAGGTTTCGAAGCTCCAGAGAATGGAGTTTGCAATGATGGCGCATATTTACAAAAGTTGTTCAATAACGCCGATGGGCTTTGTGACAATCTTCGTTTAATCTCTCGTTCGAGGTTCACTCGCATAACATATCTGTAATATTCATTCGTGTTTTTTTAAATATATTTTAATACCTATGAAGTACAATTCCAGGAAAATTGTTTGTAATATGGGTACAAAAATCCCGAATTAGAAATTTGTACATTGCTTCAAATGACGCAGTAGATAAGCACGCAACGTTTCCAAACATCTTGACGTTGTCAACGTAGTGGTAAATGAATTCCTATATATGAAACCATGATTGCGTTGTTCAAATATTTTGGACATACATGCAGTTTGATTGTGAAGTACGTTGGAGAGTTATCCAAAAAACATTTTTTTGCAACGTCACACAAGTCAAAAGTATCCCTATGGTTCAACATTCCATTCGTGCACATATTATTGAAAATAAGACCTAAAGCAATAATTGCACATCGTCCATCTGAGGGTAAACTTGAATTGCAGATAGCAAACAAGAAAATTTGAAGTCTGAATAACTATAAGAAAAATCTAAAACATTATATCTGAAACATACATCTAGTTTTTGCCTTCCGTTAGTGAGCAATCGAGTCAAATCGGCTTCTTCAATTGGCAATTGTAGATGTTTGTCGAAGTTTTCGAGCATGGTTTCATCGCATTCGAACATTGCAGATTTTTTCTTTGAACATCTAAACTTTTTAGGCATGAGCTCTGGAATTTCTGCCGTTTTTTTGGTCACACTTAATTTTGATACCTTTTAGTATCAACATTACAATTCCATCTGAACAAGTGTGAAGAACATCCAAGATTGTATTGTACGGCTTGACATATTGCACCATTTTCGCCGCAACAGGACCAAATCCATTAACACCGCGAATACTATCTTCTAGAGTCTTATCCCCAAATCTGTCCAATCGTCGATCTTAAATCAATATAAGCGATGAATAAGAGGGTTTAAAATTATTATTGATTATTACCGTTTCCAAGTAGTGGTTTGTGCAGAGTTCCGTGAGAGTCGCAATAAAAACAAGCTTGTGGACTTGAAAAACCGCTCATTCCAAGAATTTTTCTTTTTGCCTTATACTGAAATCTATAGAAATTTTTATCACTTAATCCTTACTGGTTGGTCAGAAACGAGTGACACGAGGTATGGAGAAAATAAAATATTGTTTATAACAAATGTTGACCCTTCGCCTTCCAATCGATTCATTATAATTTCCGTGACGGTATTCAAAACAAGGGTTGTTGGATTATTAGCTTTTAATTGCAGCATTCCACAGACTACAAGATTAATTGAAAGTTGCGACTTCATTGTAGGCAAATCCACTAACTGTAAAGTAATTGGCCACAAACTTCCTCTAAATGGCACATCTTTAATAAACAAATAATAATAATACCTGAAATGTCCTCGGGGATTGACGCCGTCCAGACTTAGCACCATGCTCAGATCACAATGATTTTCATCCTCGTATTTCCATGAACTGGAAAGAGAACTTCCTTGAAGATTGTGTGTGAAGTTTGGTGCTTTTTCCTTCAATTTCTTTCGAATTTCCATTATATCGTCAAAGGACGACTCCACAATCCCGCGAATTTGTTCGGTGAGAGGCAGCATAAGAAAAGTCGCCAAATCGCCGCAACTGAAATTGATCATAATAATGTTTGAAATGTGGTATATGTGTTTACCATTCTTTCTCTCTTCGACATCCACACTTTTCGCATATTGAACGCTTCATAATATTCTTCTTGAAATCATACCACAATGAGCGGGCTCTTTCAATCGGGATGAAGTTTTTAATTGTTGCCAGTCGTCTCAAAAAGCCTGCAACCATTTTTTGTCTTTGGAAAAGTATTAGTTTTACCATTTTCTGTATCTTTTCCGAGTACCGAACTATACATGCACAATAATAGTTCATCGGCCAATTCCGATACACGATCATGTGCGGGGTAATTCGGTACGCATGACGGCCCGACTACTTCGGAGAATTCTTCAATTTCGCTTTCAGATCGTTCTCTCATGAGAAAGGATGTTGTTGATGCATCATTTTCATTATTTTCGTTGTTCGACGATTTGTTTCGAAGTGAAAGCCGGGCGTTTTTTCGAGCAAAGACCACACGTTTGGTCGGCATGCATCGCGAACCAGCAATATGATCTTAAAATAATAAACAATCAGCAATATTAATATACGAAACAAACCTACCTTTCCTCAATTTGAGACCTTCTTTGGGTAATCGATGGCGAAGAGTTTTAGGCATTTCCAAAATTGATTTTTAAAAAAATTGTGATTAACATGGCGCCATCTGCATTCACATTACGATCAACTGCACAATTCCATCTATTTTTCACCCTTTCAGTGTCTATTTCTTATCATTATCTTCTATCTATTTTTTCCCAATTTTTCATCTATTTGTCATCCATTTATCGTATATTTTTCACCAATTTTTGAGATAATCTATTTTTCGCCCATTTTTCTCCTAGTTTTTATCTACTTTTCCGAGTAATCTATTTTTCATCCACCTTTTCACCATTTTTCGTCTGTAGCACAGTTGCAGTGTATGGATCGAGTATTTAGTAGCAGTTTGCCGCCGCGCATGCCTCGTTCCATCTTCCAATCGCGTCCAATTCCCTTTTTAATGGTTTCATTCCTTAGACTCGATGAAATGATTTGTTTTTTAAAGGCGCATAGGTGACGAGCATGGATATCGATTGTTTCGCAATCAAGGCGTCCATTCACGACCCTATAATGTAGTATTTACGACGATTGATGGTGTTCTGCCCAATTGTTTAATACGACCTGCAATGTCAGTGTTCGATGGTCTACTTGTTATTTTTTTGAGTTCGACACATCATCAAATATTGAAAATATTTTCGAAGCTATTTTATAATTGCCCAATCTCAAACGAATTGTGATAATTTTCGACGATGAAATAGTTTCTATTTATTCAAAGTTGCTTCGAGTAATTTCATAATAGCTCTCTTATTACATCATAGATCTTTGATTTGAATTACATCATTCATCCAAATATAGACACTGACCTTTGAAAGTACAATGGCATTTCATTTTTAAATCAATTTTTGGTGTGCGTTTAATTAGAAACAAAAAAACATAACAGTTAACCGAAGCCGTCTCTCGATATCACATGAATGCCATTTTCGATCACATGTATCGTCTGGTGGACGGTTTTTCAATGTCATTTCCCCCCAAAAAATGGGCATTTTTGTATATTTGTGTGCGAGTGCATGTGCGTATCGATTGGTATTCTATTTTAGTATTGTAAATATGTCGGCTGATTATATTTGCACTGCGTTTGCCAGAAATAACTGGTAATGGGCGGTACGATTTTAGTATCGGCATCAGCACGCGCAAGCAAATTTTGAGTAATTTTTGGCGGCAGTTTAAACACACATAGTGCCGCTTAACTTCGATTGCTGCTGCTGCTGCTGCTGCTGTTTCGGCCATTTTGTTTAATAAAACACACTCTAAATTTTGTTGGCGTCGAAAGTGGTAAGCGAATGACAGAAAAAAATTTTTGTGTGCGTGCGAGATGATCAAACTGGTTTTCCGTCTCTCGAGATTCTCAATGAAACGCGTTCTATTTTGCTGTCATCATCGCTGACGCTTTTGAATTCAGCTCAACTCTTTGCCCCGCCGATGATTTTTTTTCGCTGTCTTGATTTCTGTTTTTCAGACTTTTTTTCATGGCACTTCGATAGAGGTCGAAAGATGTGTCATGTGATATAGGTCGTCGGGTTGTGCTTGACACTTGTGAGCTTAATTTAAGATCAGCTTCAAAGTGCGGTAAGAGCACATACTCGTTTATTTTTTTTTTGTTTTCCTCAGCATTTTGAACAAAATATATGCCATTATTCAGAAAAATGTCATCTACTGAAAATGTTTGATTAGAAAATAGAATATGCGTACCTTTAATTATTTTTTTAATTCGAAATAATTGGATTTATCTGAAATTCTTTTGTTTTCTTATTTTTATTAAGAATATTCAATCAAACTGGATATCATGTCGAATGAAAGCAGTAGACGATTTTTGCTTTTCAAATCAACTTGAGGGTGTTTAAAATAAAATTCTATTACACTCACACCGTCGTTACAGTAATTTATAAATCTTTGCGAGCTTGGTTCGCAATTTTATCCGTATCCAACTTTGGTCAGCTCTTGTTTTTGCTATACTAATAGGTAGAAGTACAAAATCGAAACGTTAGACGTAAAATTTTTATTCCAAAATTTTGATCTATTTGTAATGGAAGTTTGTCAAAATGATTTCAATGCTCAAAAAATGTTGAATTCATTGAAAGTATCACGATTCTGGAAAAACTTCCGAAAGATTCTGGTGTTTGCGCGCATTTTCGACAATATCGAATCGAATGGCACTTTTGATATATTTGTTGTGCAAGTTAGTAGTAGTCTCTTCTGCCAGCAAGCACACCCCCACAATATTGACATTTTGTTCGTTCTCAAATCTTTTTTTTCGTTTTTTTCTTCATCTTTTCCTCGCTCGTAACTGTTTGTAGTGAACTTTTTGTTTGTGGCAGGATAATGATCGCCCAGTTTGTCGCCGATGATCGAATGGAGTTATCCGACGACGGCTGGAATGACGACACCGATGAATATTTGCCGAGCTCGATGGAGGATGAGACGACGTCGTCGTCTTCTTCATCTTCTTCATCGTCTAGTAGTAGCTTGGCCTCCTCCGAACGTGCAGGTATACCCTCTTCTATTCTATTGTTTCTATGATGATGACACATTGTGTACGAAAACCCATCATTGTTCGGTACTGATGAAATGAAATATGAAATGACACACTTGTTTAGTAATGAGCGAATGTTTATAGTTTCTTTTTTGATTGAGGACCTCTGAAATACGGTATCAATGATTTTTCTACTAGTGAAAACTTTTGTCGGAATTTAGAGGTGTTCAATTAAAATATTTTACGGGTTCAGTTCTCATATTTTGTTTTTACGACGTTTTTATTTTCAAAATTAGTCATTAATGCTTTCGTAATCGGTTTTCATTGCTTTCCAAGGTTGAGTTTCTCCTTGCCAATTGGAACTCTTTATTTCTACAAGAAAAACAGATTTGTTCTAATGCTTCGCGACTAGGATATTTCTAATATTTAAAGCAACTAGGACCTTGTTTCGACTATCATTCGTTTAAACAGTGAACATTCGAGAATACTCATCTCTTCGTATGTTCAAAAAATCTTGCATCCCGTCCAAATCGAATGATTTCGAACTTTTCCCATCGATCTTCCTTTCCCTTTTCGAATTCGTACAATCGAGTGAGGAACACTCAGGCTCATCATTCCCATTTTCATATATGGCGTGTTTCGAACGAGTCACAAACACACACACACACCAAAAAAAACCACCCGCGAGATTCGCGTCTCGCCACGCCGAAAAGAAATGACTCAAATCGTAAAATTGAAGCGATGCGGGTGTTCATAAGCGAAAGTCGACATAAAAACATTGAAGTGCTGAAATTTGGCGAAATTATGTAATCGTAATAAATAATAATAATTATTATTATTATTATGTGCTGGAGATGTATTAAACGATGAACGATTGTATTTGCTCGAATTGTTTAATGATGACAGGTGATCGGAGAATTGTAGTCGTAGTATTTGGGGGGTTCGAGCCCCTCGTCTTGCTTTTCTTCTTCTAGGTTTTGTCAACTTTGATATGACCTAATGTGTACAAGTGCTGACGTTTGCATTAAAAACAATAATATTGTTTATTACTCATTTTTTATCAACATTACTGTTTTGTTTTTCGGTTCTTTGTCATCTCCAACAGCACCACCAGCCTCAAAGTTTTCTCTAATATTTTTGAGACCGCCCACTTGGTCGTGGTTCTGTCGTTTCCCGGATTTGTGAATAGCCTCAAGCTGAATGTCTGCGCTCTCCGATGGGCCAACTCGAAGATTGTGGGTGTCTCGTCGTCCGCGCGCGCGCGTAGCGCGCCGTCGCCGCAGTCGCCGCAGCCGCTTGTATTCACTTTCTCTGTGCCGCCGACCCGGTCTAGTCTTGCCCTGTACGAGGCGGCCATTCATCGTCGTTTCTCCTCTTCCCACCACCATCTGCATTGAACAAGAAGCAGGGAAGACGAGAAGAAGAAGAAGAAGCTGCTGCTGCTGCTGCTGCTGCTAAAGCTTGCCATTCTATTGTTATTATTATTATTCTCGGTCCAATCGATAACCTATTCGGCGTTTTTGGATCTTCCCCCTTCAAATACTCCTCGACCCCAATTGGGTCATTACTTTCACTAGCCCACTTTCTTCGCTATTCGTTTCTTTTCGCTTTGATTCGTTTTCTACTCGAACGCATGGAGCGGAGTGAAGGCTCACGCCAGGTTGCTCAGCGTCTACGCGAGCTCCGTCCACAGCGTGCCGCTGCTCTCCAAGTTCCCGATCGAGTTCGGAACAACGCGAATCCGTTGAAGCGAACCAAAGAATCGGTCCCGTCTGTGTCGAAACGACGGCGTTGCTCCGCGAATGAAGCCGCCAGTAGCACATCGACGGAGACGGTGAGAATGCCGGATATCTCGCCGGAGTTGCTCGCGCGATTTCCGACCGACGTGCACAACGTGATCAGCAGTGAGGAGTTTGTGCGTGTGCTCGAATTCGCTGCCGCAAACTCGCTCAATGAGCACCAATTTGTGCACAATGTTTACGCTCAACTGATACGTCAATACTCGAACGCCGGTATAGTCGTTTTTTTGCAATTTTTCTCACATTCAAGAACGTTCAATTCTTTTTTCGTTGTAATATATGGTGGTTCCCACCCTTGTCTAAACGAGATCACTTTGATTATATATGGAACTGATAATGAGTGAAAGAATTTGGTGAAGCAGACACTTGTGCGGTCTTCGTTCTCGAACATTACACTTCGCTCTCGACTGTGTAATTTATTCGATTCATTCATCCCAATTTTTTGAACCATTTATGATTAATTGCCGCAGTAATCTAGTGAAAGGCGCAGGTTGATTGATGCTATGAATAATTTGAAGCATGTTAGCTATTAAAAAAAATGAGTTCCTTGTAAAATCGCGGCGACTGACTCGATTTTCATGGCAAAAACGTTTGATGGTGGGATCCGAGATAGGCTGGCAAGAGAAGAACCCGTATTCGTATCGAATTTCTCAAATAAATTGCGTAATTTGCTAATGCGATATCAATGAAATCGGTTAGTTTCGTTGGTCAAAACATCAACAAGAGTCCAACAAGCTGGTACAGCTCGTCTCCAAATCGATGTATAAATATTTATTTAATTTTTGCCTTTTATCTCATTCACCAAAAATTCGGTGCTCCTGCTGCTCTGGCTGCTGGTGCTTGTTGTTCATTTGATGACAAATAGACAAGCAGAGTGTCTGTGTGTGTGTGTGTGTGTGTCGCGTCAGAATGCGGAAAACAAACAATTTGTTTATTTTGCCGCGCGGAAATCCAGCCCGTCCGTCCCGTTTTTTTTTTTCTATCGCGCTGCTCTTGGCGCGAATATCATTTGCCATGAAATGTTGCGATTGCCAAAGTGTCTGTATGCTGACGGGGAACAATGAGCCAAGAAGAAAAATGGGATAATTGATCGTATTATTTTAGTTTCGCCCTCATCGGAAGCGTGCTCGTCGACTGGCGGCGTCGGCGCCGCTTCGCAATGCCCTAATAATCGATCAGGCACCATCACATTGAATCGAGCGCCGTATCGCAGCGAGCGCAAGAACACGGTCGGAAACGGATGCGGACGATCTGCGATGCGAAGTTTGTCGCCGGCGCATCCGAGTGCAGTGGTAAGACATTTTTAAAAAGTTTATTGGACTGTCTGTATTGATTTTCGAGCAATAACTGCTCGACATAAATATGAGATAGCTAAAGTCTTCATTCGAACATCGCCAATTCTTGTTTGGGAAACTAGTTTTTTTTATTGCGAGATTTAAATTTTCTTGTAAAAACTGGCTATTGCATAGCAATTAAGTGTCCTTCGCTGGACACAAGACATTCACGAAGGGCAAAATGTCAAAATTTGCAGATATGCGGAATGGACGATTATTTGCGTCCAGAACGTCTCGACCGACTTCTTCAAATGGGACCACCGGAGACTCATGTGCAGGAAATGCATTCGTGGAATCCTGATGACCGGTCATTGAATATTTATGTGAAAGAAGAGGACAAATTAACATTCCATAGACATCCGGTGGCTCAGAGTACGGATTGTATTCGCGGAAAGGTGCGTATTTGATATGAATAGATGGGTTAATTATCACGTTCGATGGGGTTTTTTTAGATCGGCTATAGCCGAGGATTTCATGTTTGGCAAATCGAATGGCCGGAACGCCAACGCGGCACGCATGCTGTCGTCGGGGTGGCGACGAAGAATGCGCCGCTTCACGCGGTCGGATATACCGCATTGATTGGAACAACCAATGAAAGCTACGGATGGGATATTAGTGAGTGATTGAAGAATTTGAAACGTCGAAAAAATTTTGAAATTAAATTGTTAAAACTTGAAGCTTTTCTTATTCGTTATTTGTTTAAATTTAAAAGAAACTTACGTTCAAATAAACAAGAATTTCAACGATCACAATTACTCGTTTTGAATTTTTTTGAATTTAAAAAATATTCTGTTTTCAGCTCGTCGTGAGTGTCATCACGATTCAAAGAATACTATGACTTGGCGGTACCCAACCAACGTCCGTGACATGTATCATGTACCTGACAAAGTAGGAGTTTCTTAGTTAAAACTTTATTCTAATTTTGCCGTTTTTTTAGTTTTATTGCATTTTGGATATGGATGAAGGCTACATGGCATTTGCCACCGATGACGATTTCCTGGGAGTCGCCTTCCGCAATTTGAAGGGAAAGACACTATATCCGATTGTCGCTGCCGTCTGGGGACACTGCGAGATTAGCATGCGCTATATGGGATCTCTCGAACGTGAGCTAATTTCTTTTTCGCCTCCGCCGGTTCATAGGTCACTTGAGAATAGTCGAAAGTCCAAAAAAGGAAACTCTTCCTCTGCCCCGCCCCCTGTAGATCGTCCATTGTTCCATTCCCCGGTGTATAATGTTCGAACGGCGGGCTCGAACGCGTGTCCCGTTCATGATCGTCTCCCGTCACCAGTTCTTCCATTGTCTCCGATAAGCGATTTGCAAAAAATCTTCTCATTCTATAGTTTGGGCGGTGGCGGTAGTTCGTGCTCATCGAGCTACTCGCTGTTTGAAGCGCCCGATGAGTGGCAGAAGTTTGACGAAAAAGATGAGAGCTCGTCGGAAGCGGCGTCGTTGTATCTGCCGGCGCCGCCTACGGCTTCGAACTCGCATCATGCGCGTCTTGACAAGCTTTTCGGTCCGCCGCTTGATAATGTGTGATAGTGAAAGTGCATCATTGTTTTTATTTATTGTGGCAATCTTCTACTTCTGCTTCTGCTAGTGTTTCTGCCGATAATGTTGTTGTTACGGGTAGGAATATCTATGCGCCTTTAATTATGCCTTTGGAAGCTCAAAATTCTTGGAATTTCTTCTTCTTCTTCATTGTTTTTAATTGTTAGGATTAAATTTTTGGAGGCTGCTATTTCAATATTGCATATATTTTTCCACAAAATTCAATATAATGTGTTGTTTTTTTGCAGCCGAACCCCTCTCGCTATCGGAAATGTGTCGACGTCGTGTGCGCATCGAGCTAGGAGCTTCCGTGAATGAGCAAATCGAATGTTTGGCGATTCCGCCATTCTTGAAGAAGTACCTCATGTATCAGTGCTAATTTGTTCGTCGTCGTCGTCGTCAACATCGTGATTCTCGTTTTTTCTCGCCTTTTTGTGTGCCGGGAAAGAAATGCGAGTTAGAAAATTTAAAACAAGAGAACATTGTGCCTTCATTCAAACTCATCTTTTTTTGATAGTATTTTTTTCTTTCATTCTACCTAACCAAATGCATTTCCTGTACTCATTTCTGTCAGAAAAACAAAAAATACGAACTTGGCCCGTTTGTGCTGGCGAATGCCACACAAAGTGTGTATATAAGGCTCTGAGAATAGGACTTTTTGAATGGGGACCACCCTGTTTAAGGAAAATATTCTCACGGCTGCAACACTACTTTACGGGTATATTGTGTTCACTCGGTTCGATTCTTTTTTTTAAATTACATTTTTATGTCTTTGAGTTATCAAAACGCCCCAACAGACCAATCAAAAAAAGCACTTTCTAACAATCTGATCATTCTGGGATTTTTTTAATCGCTCTGGTTTTTTATTGCGTTTTAAAACTACTAACTTTTATATTAATTGGTTATCATCATTTACACGAGATGACTCACTCTGTTTTTTTAATTGTTCTTCGTCTCGCTTATTCATTTTTCACATGTTCAAGTCGACTGTTTTCACTTAAATTGTACGATTGAGTAGAATTTTTTCAATGATGCTATTCTGTTTTAAATGGTATTTCGTCACACGGATATATTTCATTAATTTCCTCCATTATCGCTAAAATGAATGTTTTTGAAATATATATTGATGTTTTTTTTTGTTGATTGCAAACAAAAAAAAGTTATTTAAAATTGAAGAAATGAAAAAAAATAATTGATGAGCGTCGCTTCGATGGACGTTGATTTCAAGTGATTGCAAATTGTCGAATTTGACTATTTTGCATTCGGCTGAAGACGTCAAAAGCTTTTTCAAATGAAATATTTGAGCAATTGAATATAATGCAGCCACAACTGAGCAAATCGTTCACTCTATTTTACTTCCGAATGTCAACTGGAAGAATTTTCGCCGACTCTCAACTGGGTGCCTGATCTTACAATATAGCGCCGATATTGGGATCTGCTCTTCAGGACCAAAACGAGTAACATAGCGTGTTACAATTTTTAAAGATTGGAATTTCGAGACGAAGTTTTAAAATGGGAGATAATGAGTTTGGCAAAATTTCAGCAGTTTTGCGAAACTTGGGGCGTAGCTTATTGATCAAGAATTAAAAAAAAGGCTGAGTGAGCCAATTTAAAAAAAATGTAAAAGACTACTATAAATAAATTGCTCGTTAATACTGAAGAATCGAGATCTGAAGTAAAAAAAAGAAACGGAGAAAGGAAGATTCGAGATTCTGAAATGAACCCTTGAAGCAGATTATCGCGACTAGCGGCACTCGATTCTTGCTGAATAAAAAAAACGAAAAAGAGATAAGGGCGAGAAAGACAATGCAATTAAGAGACAAGCTTGGCAATTTGGAATGATAAGGATCACACTCGAATTTAGAGAAACGATTGTGTAAAGCTAAAAAAAACATTAGACTAAACATATTAAAAGCGACGAAGAGAATCAGCGCGGAGCACAACACTAACTCGTCTTTCTCTGTCGCTTTGGCCAAAAATTGAAAATTCGGAATTGAAAATTTGAAAAAGCGGAAGGCGGAAGCGAAATTGGAAAAAATTGACGAAATGTGCAATGAAAATGTTTCGACGCAACTCAATTGCGAGACTTTCAATTTTGAACGTTATCACTGTTGATTTTGAAACAAGCCGATTCTCAGAAGACGTTGCCTCATATCGAGAATGCGGAATTTACAAATTGGCATTCAAATTTATCACATTTTTGTACATTTTCTAGACCAAATTGGCGAGTAAAGCCGGAGAAAAAAGAATGTACATCGGTTGTCAGAGAATGGTCCCCTCTGCGAATCAAACCAGGTATGTTAGGCGATCAGAACGACAAACGAGTAATTGCGATCGTTGATTCATGTTCGCCAAATTCCCAACGCGAAAAGAAAGACTCGAAAAATGTCACGTTTTAATCATTGTACAGTTTAAACATTTCTCATTGTTCATTTTTATTTGTAAGGTCCCGATTTGCAATCGAATCGCCCATCGATGAATGAGAATGATTCACGAGTAGTTTCCCATCTGCGGACAATTCATTGTCGCAAATTTTGTTTTTTCCGGAAATTGTTGGCAGATGAGTTTCGGCAAATGTTTCGAGTGTCTTGCATTTGTAATAACAAAAAAATGATAACAATAAAAGTATCTGCGGACAATTTCCGGTTCGCGCGTTGCTATCTAAATCATGATTACCTTATTTGTTTTTTTGTTGTTATTATTTCTGAAAATCGGCACCCGATTCCCCGCGTATTCCTTACAATCCGTCGTGTTATCTGATCGTTTCTCTTCTTGTTGTTTTCTATTTTTTTTTTTGTTAAGTAGTAAAGTGCGACTTTTAGACGAATCTATACAACATGATGACCAGAAAAGGGATACATTACCAAAAGGAGAAGAGCATTTCGGGATCATATATCACCATGTATATATATACATACATACATATGAGCATCGCCCACATTAGTGGATTTCATGGGTCCTAATGGCCATCGAGTCGACTCGTACTAGCTTCTAAATAGGAAATTTTCTCGTCGTGGGAGTTCTCCCAGGATTTGTCCGCAGATTGAATTAGTCGAATTGCGCCCAAACTGATGGGAACCTCATAGATTAACGATCCCATAATAAGAAATTCTTTCGCAGTTTAAAGTACGTGGTACGAGCAAAATCATATTTCTAATATTATTAGACGTATTGTGTATACCTATTTGTATGAATAGCTCATTAGAGTTGATTGTTCAAAAGTGGGCGTGGCCATCCTATGCAGCACACACAATCATCTAGATTTTTCATTTCTTTCTAAAAAAGGATCCAATTCGCTTCTGCGGACGTCTCACTGGATTGCAATTTCTGAATAAAATCCCTCCCCCGGCACAACGACATTGCCGCAAAAATTCGTACATATGCCAATTTTCGGAAACTGGCCGAGAAGGGGGGGGGGGCGGTGCCAGCTTTCGCTTTCGCCTCCGCGCTGCGTCCCCTCCATACATATAATTTGAATTCATTGTCACACCAATTGGTGCACACCATCACCATCTCCACCAATACGAAATTGTCTGCGTCCCTGCCACGTGTAGTGCGTCTCGAAGCGACTCGGCGTGCGAGCGCGCGCGCACCCTTCGCCGTCCTTCTTTTTCTTCTTCATTTTTTTTCGCATTTTTCTTCGTCTTTCTTTTCATTTCCAAATACACACTTATAAATCGTATAGTCGTATACGTATGTATGTATGTATGAACGGGTATGTGTACGCATGCGCCCCCCCCCCTCCTGGTTTTTTGTATACTGCATTCTGCTGCTGCTAGTTTGTGCACTCTGCTCCTGGGCTTCGACTGGCTTGGCCGAGGCTGCCCACCCGGTCGCCGCCTTACTGCGCTTCTGCTTCTGCTTCTTGTGCTCATGCTCATGCTCTTGCTACTGCTGCTACTACTTGCCGCTGCTCCTGCTGCTGCTGCTGCGGCTTCAGCCTCTGACTGGTCATGCTCTCAAATTAGAATGAGAAATGTTTATCTTATGGCATTTTATTTTAGCTTTTCGCTTTCTCCTCGGGCCCGTCGGCGAAATTCAAGAAATTCGTACAATGTTTTTTTTTTCTCGTTCTTTTTCCTTCCTCAAGTGCATTCGCCAGAAACATTTCCCATGTTGCCGTTTGTGTTTTCATTCTTTCATTACACTTTTGCCATCTGCGGACATCATTCGGGGAAACGACACCATCAATCACGTGTTCCCATCAACGCGACGAAAAAAAATGTAAATTCGCGAGAAATCGAACCGGTTCGAAAAATCGAATTTTAGCCATAAAACAACGACGGGAGGTCGATTTCGAATTCATTTTCGACGCTTTTTCAATTTTCAATAATTTCCCGCCTGCTCACGTCGAAATATTATAGCAAAAATCATCTGCGGACAGTTTTTTTTCCCGATGTTGGCATCACTCGTGCCAAATTGGCACACTTTTTTCTCGCATCGACGCCAATATTTTTGTATTTATTATATTTGTGTGTAAACACAGACACGCACATATGGTTTCTCTTCTTTTCCATCTTCCACATTTGTTGATGTATGGTATTACTCATCAACGTTGTGCCAAAAACTCAACCTTTTTTTTTATTGATTCAATAAATGCATAATTGCCATGACGCTATCAATTTGGATGAAATTTGGTGTTTGATATGATAGCATTGGCCCTTTTGAAGTTCCCACCTCGTATGTCGTCAGAGTTGTTTCGCAAAAAAAATGAGACGGCCCAAGAATTTCGGACCCTGGCACCTGATTCGCATAACGTATCAAATTTTATGCGAAAAATTCCACCGGCTAGCATTGATTGTTTTTTTTTTTCGACGGGCCGACGATTCTCAACGGGTGGCCGGCCACTACTCGATTCCGAAAAACTGACCACTCGCGCTCCGTCTGCCAATCGTCTAACCGTCTGACGATGCCCTCTCGATTCGGCGCACTCTCTCGTCGGGCCTCATCATCTTTTTGTCAATACACGGCGGCCGTTGGCGAAGGCATTAGCCAAGGTCCGACGACACTAGTGATAAAGAGTAGTCAAAACAACAAAAACCTATCCGTCTTGTCGGGATTTCCTAATAATAATAATTTATTATTATTATTATTATTAGTAGATAGCTTATTATAATTATTAGATCGATGTGTATTTATTTCGTTCGTTTCTCCTCAAATTTCTTCTCATTCTTTTTTTTCCTTTACCTTCAATTGATACAAACTTTATTTTTAGAACGACACTCTTGTTATTTTTAGACGCTCAATTTTTTGTCTCTTTCTCTCGTCTCTCTCTCGCCTCCTTTATATTTTTTTTGACGAATGCAGCTCATATCAAAATGAAGGTCAATTTTGTGTCGAGTGCAATTCTTAATTAAGCTCACCATATTTCCAATTATACATCTCCATTTATGGTAATTATTCTAATAGGCTCGTCATATTTTCCATCGGCGGATCTATTCTCGAAATGCGCCTTTAAACGTTTGCCAATATTCTGCGAGAAAAAAAAGACAAACGAACCAGCGAACGAAAAAAAAACACGACCATTAAGCCGAGAAGTGAAATTTCCCGTTTTTTGCCATTTATGGTCAATTTGCTTTTGCACTTCCAAAAAAAGAGAGACGAAGGCGAATGCTAAAATTGGTTTTTATGTATTTATTTTTTCGTCGGTTTTTTTTTCCGCATAAAACTGCCGCGCAATTACCGTATCCATTGTGTTTTTCTCATCGTCATTTTTTCCGATTTTCGTTTCGAGTCTCTCTCCTATTTCACAACCTGCAATTATGCAGAAGAAGCGAAACCGGTAACTACTTGATGATTCCAGTTTTGTTCTCTACTCATGTTCCACCCACTTGAGTACCGCAATGCGTTTAAAGGTGCATGGCGTCGTTTTAATAGAGAAGGCGCATCAAATGCTCTTAAAACCCGCCTTGTAAATTCTTGAACCTAGTGATTGTAGGAAAACTGAAAATTTGAAGAAAATCGTGAAAAAAATGTTCAATTTAATTTTTACAATATTTAAAGGATCATAATTCGATTATGAGGGATTGATCTACGAAAAGTTTTTGAAATGAAATTTGTCCGCAGATGTTAATATTTTTATGATTTTTTTTGATGTCTAAATAATAAGATACAAAAATAGACTGCCGGATTCAAATGGCTGATCGAAATTTCAGAAGGCTACGTGCCAAATGTGTCGACACAAAATGAAACGGCGCCGTGTTTGCGTACTCTGCATTTTATCGTACGCGCATTTAATTTGATTTCGACAAATTCGTAGATCTACACTGATTTTGCGAAATTGAATTTTCCGCCTTCGGCCAGTCATTTGACGCCGACAATAGAATTTGTTGAAATTTTGTCGACGAAAAAAAATCAAATTGAATTTTTTTCATTGAAAAAATTGCTTTCAAATTGCTTTGTCAATGTCTCGGTCATCCGATTCAGAAGTCGAATATTACCATACAAAGGTGTCAAAGTAATTCGAGCCAGTGTTCAATTCATTCGCCGCGTCTCTCTTTCTCGAGACCCTCTCCTATTTGGTGTGGGGCAAGATTAAAAAGATTAGAAGACACCGGATTATGCATTCGTCTCATTATGTTCGTCTTTCGCCTCTCGTCAAAAAATACCAGAAAACTGACTGGATTCATTCATTCATTCTCTCATCCATTTCTTCGTCTTCATCGTCTTCATCTCGTTGGTAGGCGTGTGCGAGCGAGCGAGCGCGGCGCGCTCTGCTTTTCCATGTGTCGTCGCTCCTCGTCCTCCAATAATTTCGGCGACCGACTTTTGGTGTCGTCGTCGTCGCCAAGAACTAGAAGAAGACAAAAAGCTAACAAGTCGGAACAATAGAGGATTGCGTGTGCCCGAAGAAGGAGCCGCCGTGCTCGCGCGCAATCCTCCCCAACTCTTTTCTTGCTCTTCTCACTTTCTGCTCCTCGTACTTGCCAATTCGTCGCCCCTTTTGTTTTGTTTGTTTGTTTGTTTATTTGTTTGCTTGTTTGTTGTTTCAATTTGACCGCGTGTGCCCGCCCTTCCGAAGCCTCGCTTCGCCCGTTTCTCATTTCCTTTGGAACTTCCATATTTCGGCAACACTCCTCCATAGTATACCATATTTTTTTTGGCAATCAATTCGCCCGTTTCAATTTTTCTATGAATGCCCAATTCTGTCTTGAATGCATTGGGTTACTCAGTGGGATGATAAATGAGCGCTATCGCGATCCCTAGGTGTCAAGAAGCAAATCTCTTTTAACCTGGCGAATTGTCCGCAGCTCATTTTTCTAGATACTCAATTTTTGTGTGTACAGCAACAACAACAACAATCATAATAATAATAATAATATAATATCGGGCATCGATACTGACTTGAACACCCCGAAAATTCAAATACGACGAAACAGCGGGTGAGACGAAGAGCGTGCAGACACAGAACGCGATCGCAAACACTACAGGGAACCGTAAGCCGTGTAGAAGGGAACGAGAGAACGCAGACGGCGAGAGCGACGCGCGCGCCGCCGCCGTTCGATACTTCATTCATTCAGTCTCTCATTCATTCATTCTTCTCCTTTTTCATCATCATCATCATCAACTACGAAGATGACTACTATTACTCCATACTTATTCTTTTTTTTTTCTCCATCAATCCGAAATTTGAATAATTTTGTTGTTGTTGTTGTTGTTGTTGGTGGCTTCGAAATTGTTTGACGTCGCCCCGTTGCCTCGTTTTGAGCGTTTGCCCAAATGAATGAACGAACAAATAAATAAATAATAAAAAACAAACAAGGAGGGGGGGGTAGATCCGGGCACTGTCCTTCCGTCGCCATCACTCATTTTCCATTGCGCGCATGCGTTATTATCATCGTCGTCGTCGTCAGAATTCGAAGAACTCGTTCTCTTTCTCCCTTTTACGTCGTCTTCCGGCCAATAAAAACATCAATTCCATTCTCCTTCATCGTTTTTTGTTCCTAATTGGTCTCACCGCGAATTATATGCATGTATTTTTTTTTCTTGTCCGCGCACGCGCCCTCATTTCTACAACCTTAATTCGGATATGCGTTTTCAGCATGGGTGGCCGCCTCGTGGTTGGCTGTGTTTCATCAAACCATTCAAACCAAAATCTCAATTCGCGTCTCATTCTGAAGCCTATTGTTATTGTTACCCAATCTGTTACTCACCCAACTTGCTCATTCATTATCGAGCGGTTATTCTCCCTTGGGAACGAGCAATATATTGATGATGAATCAACGTCATACCTTCTCGATGCTTCTCTCTCTCTCTCCCTCCGCATTCTCTATTATTGTGCAATCCCCTTGTAATAGCAATTTCAATTGTTTGCAGGTTTGGCGGGTATCGAACAAATTAGAATAGCGCGGTGGAGAAGAGTTGGCACGCGCCTGCGCAGACCCGTCACAGCACCATGACGGTCGCCAGCTACAGTATGGTGCTGTGCGGTTCTTCCGACGACCATCGCTATCGGGGCAGGATAGAAAAGTAATTCAAAAAAAAAAAAGAAAGAAAATCCAAAAATTGGCTTCGATTTGCAGAGTGAAATTCGGCGTGCCGATAAACGAAGCGTTCGCGCACGATATCCCAGCAACATTGCTCATGTTACTACTCAAAGTCAATAAAGATGGTCCGACGAAAAAGGACATTTGGAGGGCGCCCGGAAATCAAGCTCAGGTATATTTTAATGGCTGACGATTCTCGAGATGTAAAATGTGAGATTCGAATGTGTAGGTGCGGAAATTGTCGCAAATAATGCAGCACGGTCGACTCGTCAATATCGAGAATTTCACGGTGTACACGGCGGCGTCGGTCATCAAAAAGTTTTTGTCGAAGCTTCCTGGCGGCATTTTCGGGCGCGAGAACGAGGAAACATTGTTCAACAGTGCCGGTGGAGACATCGACAAACAGCGACAAGTATTCTATAGGTGCGTTGGGTTAATTCCAAAAAAAATCAGTCTATCTTTAATCGAAACGAATTCTTTAAGGAACTCGTTTTCCGACATTAAGTTAATCATTATCCTTTTTTTCGCAAATTTATTATAAATTCAAAAATGCTTCACATCGTAGTTAAAGAATGACTTATTTCGCATGAATCGTTCTACTAAAATTATTCCTGCACCCGACAAGTTACGGGTTTCGCCGCTGTCTATGATTTACACTAGAAATGCAGAAATTGTCTAAAACGTGATGAATATCCGGAAAATAGATTTTTTTTTCATTTTCGCAGCAGACTTGAACTCAATATAAAAATCGAAACGCATTTTAATGAATCGAAAATTTTCACCAAAAAGCAGGCGATTTGCAGGATATTCGGCTCATTACCTCTCGGCTCCCAACACCTATTGGTATTATTATTCGGGACATTCAAAATAGTTGCAAATTCGTCGGAGGGCCACACGAACAGCATGAATCCGAACGCGATCGCCATTTCTGTGGCTCCCTCATTATTTCATACGTGTATACACGATGGACGACAGGTTTGAAGACATTCATTTTCAAATCGAATCCTTCATGATTTAGGCTCGCGTTGAGGACCTTCAGCGTTTCAAAATCGCCTCGAACATCGTGTGCTCGATAATTTGCTCATTCGGCGACACGCGATTGTTCCCGCGAGAATGCTACGAGTATTATGCGCGGTACACGGGTCGAACACTTCGAATCGACGAGAATCGAATGTTCACATTTCATAATCCATCCAGTGAGTTTGATTAGAACTATTCAATTCGCACCTTTTTTATGAATTTCAAATTGTCTCATTTAGATTTTTTTAAAATATTTTTTTATTTTCCTCTTCTCTCTTTATATAGACATATATGCACATTATTAGCCGCTTTCTTAGCTCGCGCTGAGTTGGCGTCGCTTATTCTACGTCGACCCATTGCATGGTTTCCAGGAAGAGAGAGGGGGTCGCGTGATCGATGCCGATGCCCACTCTGCGCAAAGCAAACGCTTTCAATCAATTTATCACAAGCGTTTTAGATTATGACGAGATTAGCTGCCGATTTTAACACACGAAACCCGCAGAGCACCTCAAAAAAAAAAAAAAAACACACACACACTAACACAATCGCATGCCGCCTATATAATTTCATATTTCATTGATCTCTCGACCAACACAAATCACCCTCCTCCTATGAATTCCGCCCCGACTAATACTATAATAAAACCCTAACTAGAAAAATGAGAAATAATGGCTAAAAGCTGTGGTGGCTACTTCTACAATTCACACAGGTGCTTTATTTAGGAAATTGCAACAAAACGGGTAGTGTTGTTCCTCGTTTCTCTTTTTTTTTCGTTTTTTTTCTCTCTCTCTCTCACCCCGTATTAATTATATATTCCCTACACAAAAATTGAAGCATGTTTCTATTTTGTTGATTGTTCGCAATTTTTTTTGCACGAATCATTTCAGTTTCGTTTTTTTTGTGTGTTTTGCATGAAAATTTCGTCGTTTCTCTAATGAGCAACCAATTTTGTGCGTTTTTTTCTTGTGAACTGAAATGATTCGACAAAATTGACACTCACACGTACACACAATTTCCCGCCCACAACACTTTCCATTTTGTGATTCGTTTTCGTGTTCGAATAAAAATTTTGATATATTTATAAATATAAATGTTGTTTCGATTTGTTTTTTAAATGTTGTTGACTTGTGGAAAAGGAATAATGAACGTAATGTGTATGTCGGCTCATGGTTTTGCACAAAATGCACATTTTTGAAACGAAAATTGGGAAATTGGGTTGAATGCCGTGGAAATTCTTGAAATTTTAAATAGTTTTCGAAAATAAAAATCAAAAATGTTTCTTTGAACCTGAAAAATATTATAATTATAATCACCATTTTTCAGAAAATCTCGATTTTTGGTTATTTTCGTATTTAAATCAATTTCGTGAAAAAAAATTTAAAAAATTTAAACTTGAAACTTTTATTTCGCGATGAGATATTACATCGTGTTTTTTATAATGCGCCTTTTTAGATACTGTAGACAACTCATTTTTTCATTCAACCCGTTTTCAACGCACGTTTTCGCATTTGTTTCTAATTTTTTTGTTCGAGCTAATTTCGATTCGTATTTTTGCGTTGTTCTTCTCTTTCCAATTTTTAATTTCTCTCTTTCTTTTATACTTGGTTTAGATCGTCGTGCACGCGGCGAGGAGTTCGTTGCATTGGCGGCGAAATGCGCGGGCGCCTACTCGATGGCGGCTCTTCACGTCGGCGGCGACGAGAACGTGTCGCGCGAGAATGTCGCGAGCGGCGCAAACTCGTCGCAATGCGCGACGGCTGCGGCGATTTGTCGCGCCGCGTCGCTCAAACACCGTCAAGCGGCACTCACGCACACCACCGACCATCCGAAGCGCAGCTTCTCGATCGCTACTTCCGCCGTCGTCGAGCCTATCGATCTGCGATCGTCGATTAGTTGCGAGTTTTGACAAGGCGAAACCGACGAGCTTATGTACTATTGTTGTGTTTATCATTTTCCCTATTTATATATATGTATAATCGATACATGTATGTCCGATTTTCTCTCGTTTGTTTTTTCTTTCAATTCCTTATTTGGGATTTGTGCGATTTTGCGTGCATGCGCCTTAAAGATGCTCATGTTAGAAATTTCGCCTTTTGAATGTAAATAGTGTGGCGTAACCTCGTTCGCTGTCCACATCAGGTAAAAAAATAAAAAATAAGATTATTCCCATTGAATAATTCAAATTTCTTGATAGTCACACACGCGGCGCAAAACTGCACACAAACTCGCAACAAATCCAAAACTTGTTTCGTTTTGTGTGGAACACATATCTAACAAGAGTTTAATAATTTCCGAAGCTCGTATGCGTGTGTGTTTGTGTGTTTTTCGTTTGTTTCTGATTCCCCGAGATTTCATTCCTCCTATTCCTCTACCCCCATTGATCATCATTGTTCTCAATCGCCTCTGATACGTGTTGAACCCATGTTGAATCTTTATCATCGTTATCACCATCATTATTCTCTGAATCTTTTCTGCAAAAAAAACAAACTGATAATGTTTTTGTGACAAACAGAAGACACACATTTATTATGTATTGTATAATAAATTGTGATGCGAATTCATCAAGTACATAGTTTTCGACAAATACCGAATCGATTGCAGGCTGTTTTTCGGAGCGACATCAAAACGCTGAGAATGTCGAAAACGAGCCAAGGCGCGTCAAACAACACCAACAGAAGCCGATGGCGAGAATCAGCAATCGATTAAGCGCCAGCGCCGGAGAGGTGAATTTAAACAAAATCGCAGTCTTCGAGTTTTTGTGATCGAATTGAAGCTGTCTTCTGTTTTTCGTGTGCGTGTTCGAAAAAAACTCGTTTCGTGTCGTGAACAAGCATTTGACTGATATACGAAAATTGATATGCGGACCATTTCCCACCAAAATTCTCGATGTTGTGTGTTGTGCCCCATCAAACTACCGTATCTCAGATATGTCAGGTGCTTCTCGAAGCGACGTCGGACGTCGACGAGATGTGCGAGATGGACCTTATAAGGCCGTTGACGGCGTGCGGTGGCGATCGTTCGATGTCATATCTGCAATATGTGCATGAAAATCAGGCGAAGCGAATGAAGAGTCGCAGCGAATGGTAGTTGATCGGCATTGTGATCAAGTGATGTACAATATTAGGGATTGCAGGTTCCTCTCGCCGGTGTCGACATCGAAGAATCTCGCCTCGAAGTCCGTTGATCAATTCAGTGCCAGCGATGCGTTGACGCCGAAATTTGAAAAAACCAAAGAGGCACTCAAAACGAGATTACCGTTTCAGGTAATTTATTGATAATTATTAAGTTTGTTGCATTTGCTCAATTTCAGAACACAACTCAGAATATTCAACAAAATTCGAATGAAAATTCAAGAAGAAAATCGCTGAAGCAATTGAGATCCGCCGCATTCGCTTCAAATCCGAGTGTAAGTTTGAAAACGAGCTTCAATGGCCCGTGATATGTACCACTTACTTGATATGATATTGGTTTTGTTGCAGCATTCGTTCGACTACGCCGAAACGCAGCTAGCGCGACGAGATTCGAAACCGCGTCTTCGGAGTCACACATCAGTGGAAGCCGACACGTGGCTCGTCGAAGTCGTCCCGCACGACGAGATTCCCAAAAAGCGGCGGAGTCTCAAAAAGAAAACCTCAACTCAATTCTAGCACATATTCTCTTTCGTATTTCTCAATTTTTCCGCCCTTCTATAGGTTGTGATCCTCAACAAATGCCCAAAATACGCAAAAATCCGTCTTTCACTCTCCCATCCACCACTATCTTTCAAAAAAGCGAAAACAGCAAAACGAAATAATGTATGGACCCTACCAATCATCAACCAACCAATTCGACATATTATTCGTCATTATAATTCACTTCCACTCTCTCCATTTAAAGTATTCATTTTGTTTTCCAAATTCTTTTCAACTAAATCATTATGATGATGATTATTAAGAAACATTTCGCTCAATATACATAAGAAATTATCCAGATAAATATATTTATTTTTCAAAAACTATTTCAAAACCAAACACACATATAAGGCAATTATTATACTATAATTGGTCCCGCGCCCATTGCACTAACAATAAGTCGAGAAGCACGGAATGTCGCCGATTCGATGATCTCAATTGGTTCTCCTGATTGGAACCTCGTCGCAGCAGCCACAACGTCTTCAATTGGCACGTACACCGCTTGAGCGATGCATTGAATTACCGGAATGATATTATCTCTGAAAACTCGCTTCGCTAAAATGTTTTTTTTTGGTTTCAATCATGGGTGAAACATTTCAAAATTTTGACAGAAATTTCCAATATCCTTCCAGGATCAAAACATTGAAATCGAATTCGTTTATGCCCGATATCTTCTAAAATAGTCGCTACCTTTCCACAAGAATACAAGCATTCGGTCCCGCATCGAAAGTGTACGCCGCGCGCCATTGCAACTGACTCCTATTAAACTCTTCGAGTGCATCGATAATCTTCCATGACGTCTCGTTAAGATACTGGAAAAGAAAGTCGTGAATATTCTCTTATCTTATCATTCCAACTATTTTTTTACCTTGATTGGTGGCGACGTGTCCATGCAAATCGCATGGAACTGATTACTGTCGGCAACTATCAATCTGGCAAACGTATCAAAATCTCGCATCAAGTACGCATAGGTGAGATCTTGAACCCTTCGATCAACAACGTAATCAATTCGATATCGGAGAAGCTCTGAGGTATGCGCGGACCACCGCATTCCTTCAGTGCTTCCAACTTTTTTCTGGCCCTGCTCAACCACCACAATAATGCAATAAAGGTTGGCCCATGGCCCGCTCTCGTCAAATATGGGCTCGGCGTAGCAGTCGGATCCATCGTCGAGGTATCCTCTTCTCCAGTGAACCAGTCCCGGGTACATACTTCGGCAAGCACTTCCCGAGCCTATCATATTGAATGAATGGATAAAACATTGAACTAAGTGCTCTTACCAATTCTAGCAAGTCGGTTTGCCTCAATATTATCAAATTCGAATAAGCATTGAATAGCATAAGCGATAGCAGCGAATCCCGCAGCCGATGATGCCAATCCAGCGGCGACGGGGAAATTTGTAACAGAACTTGTCTTGAAAATCAAATAAATACGCATATGGACAGAAAAGGAAAGGCCAAACCTTAAAAAAATAACCTAATGATGAATCAATATGACTTTCGCCATAATCTCCAGGGGTTCGTAATCGTTTCAATCGAAGCGCTTCCTACAAAAGAACGTTTTAATATGTGTGGAATATGAAATTACGAATTCGCCTTTTTTCCAGTAAAAAATACTCACCGCAAATAATTTCGCATATCTTTTATTATTGTCTAAATTGATTGGAATATTGTTAATGGTGACCTGTAAAAAAAATAATTAAAGCAAATTAACAAATTAAAGGTTTGACCACGCCCATTCTACTCAATCATTTAAAATTTCAATTTTATACTAAAAAAAAAGAAAATTGAAAAGAAAATTTCAGAATATACTTATATTATATAATATATATCCTAGCGGTTTGGAATCTCAGAAAATAATATTAAAGCATGTACTTTTTTCGAGTAGAAACACTTCTTTCGAGTAGAAAAATGAAATTGTGGAAAAAATTTTACCGAATGTTTAGTGCTTGTTCCCAATTCAATCGTTGTCTCCGCGTACAAATCATTAACAGTCAACGAAATCGAATCATTCAGAGGCAGAATCAAATCCTAAATTTAAAAAAAAAACTATGAAATTGCTGATCCGCATTTCAAACCTCATCCCGTTTTCCCCAATATTTAATCAACGCGATGTTCATCGGCACCCGAACCGTAATAGACCTCATCTTGAAGAAAACCAAATCAGTTAATTTGAATTTGAAAATGTAAATAAATAATCGAGTTCTCGGAAATCCCATTTATCGATAGAATAATATTTATAAACTCATTTTCATCAATGGTTTATTGAAACGGCCTTGGAAAATTATGCTATACTCGTAAAACGGATTAATTTGATCCACTTAATTCTATAAAAAAGGGTGACGAAGACAGTTAAGAGGCCTTAATGACTAGAAAAAAATGATGGAAACTGGGGAAAAATTAAAACACAGAAAATGCGACTGACTAAATGAATAAGTAGGAAAAAGAATTTATTGTAAAACGAATTTTATTCCTCATCCATAGAGGATCTGCGGAGCACTGGAACCGGGAATCCGTGCTTCGAATCCTTCGCCGGCCATTCGTAGGTCTTGTTGATCAAATCATCGTACTCGACACTGTACAGATTCTGTCGAATGAACATTTCCTGAAAATCACGAAACTCGTTATCTAATTTATGGTCGTTTGGAAAAGCCCCGCCCCCTCTCCCATTCAACTCGGGTATCAACATGATATCAAGGTGGGGTTGAAGTGATGCGAATCAAACTTGATAACAAAATAAGGTTCTGCTTCTTATCTTGAAAAGTACGACTCGGTTTTCTCAACTCTTACCATGTTCTCCGGTTTCGGATGAAGAGTGGCAATATTATGGCGATAGCAGTATTCTCCAACTTCGATGGCAATTTTGACAGAGAGCTCGCGAATATCTTTGAGACGCGGATAGACACGCGAATAAGTGTTGAGCGATTTCTCCGAGACATTGTCAGCGACAATCTGAAATACGGAAACAGGCGAGTTTTACGTTTGTCTAGGAAATGAGTTACTCGGGCAGCGAGCAAGAACAGCTTGTCCGGAATGGTCTTGGTGCGGAAAAGGATAGCGCCAAGTGCGACTCCCGGAAAGATGTACGCGTTGTTTCCTTGTCCCGGCTTGAACAATTTTCCGTCCATTTCAACGTTTTCGAATGGCGATCCCGACGCGAACAATACTTTTCCGTTGGTGCAGCGATAAGCAGCTTCGGCGGTACATTCGGCCTTGCTGGTTGGATTCGACAGAGCGAAAACAATCGGACGTGGGTTGATGGCAGCCATCTCTTTGAGGATCTCCTCAGTAAAAGCTCCAGCAACAGTTGAGGCTCCTGAAAAATTACAACTCAAATACAGCACTCGAATGAGATCACACTGACCAATGAGGGCTCCTGGACGAACGGTCTTCACAACTTCCAACAAGTTCTTGGTGTCTGGCAAATCTTTGGCAAAACGAATATGTCGCTCGCCAAGATTCTTGATACGAGATTTCGTGATGAGACCATCAATATCAACCATGTAAATGCGATCGCACGCTTCTTGCTCGCTGAGTCCTTCATCGATCATCTGTCTAACGCACATCTCCGCAACGCCAGTCGCAGCTCCACCGGCTCCCAAGAAGACGAGCTTCTCCTGCGAGAGCTTCTTCTTGGTGATTCGTGTGCTGGCCAACAATCCAGCAACGACGACAGCCGCAGTTCCTTGGATGTCATCATTGAACATGCAATATTCATTCTTGTAACGATCCAAAAGTCGGTATGCGTTTTGGTTTCCAAAATCTTCGAACTGGATCAATGTGTCGCGTCCGAATCGTTTTGTTGCCGCCTTCATGAAGTTATCAACGAGGCTGTCGTACTCTGGACCGCGCACTCTCTTGCGACGGAGTCCAGTGTAGAAAGGATCATTGAGAAGCTCCTGAGATACAAAATAATTGCGGTTTTTATTGCACACACATATCTCTTACGGTATTATCGGTTCCGACATCCAAAATAACCGGCAAGCACCATTCCGGAAAAATTCCAGCAAGCGCAACATACAACGAGAGTTTTCCAACAGGAATTCCGATTCCATAGGTTCCCAAGTCACCGAGTCCCAAGATTCTCTCGCCATCAGTTATCACAATTGCCTGCAATTATCCTCTCTCTCAGTTTTTTCCCACAAGTTCGTTGAGTCAGCTCGGAGAAACATTGATTGGGCGTAATACGTGCCTAGTCGAAATAAGCTCAACATTATTCAAATGTCATAATATAAATATAGCTCTCGCGAAAAAAAAAATTGGCGAAATGAGTGGGCATGTGCTCAAAAAAAAGAAGAGATGCGCAATTCCAAGAACTAAAAACTGCATAAAAATGCATTTCTTTAAACTCCAATGTTTTATCTAGACATAATATAACAGTTGAATTCAGTTCTACTTGTTGATACTATTCATTCTTCAGATCTTCATCTTCAATTTTACTTAGATCACATCACACAAAACTGGATAGCATGGCCACCCACGATGTAATGAACCCAAAAAAAACCAACAGCGACTTACGCGAACGTCAGTGTTGGGCCAGTTCGCCAGAATTTGATAAATCTTGCTGATGCTGTTGTCGTTGATCGTCACATACAATCCCCTAAATTGATATAGGAATGAGAAAAAATGCAATCGAAACGCAGCGAAATGAAAGAGAAGAAAAAATGGTTCTACTTGGGATTTCTGTAGATGAAACCAAAGTGCTGACACGCTTGGCCAACAGTCGGCGTGTAAACGATCGGCATCAATTCCTGTTCGATATCAAAGCGAGTTAAAATGATAATCAATCATACTCACTTTTACGTTGTCGCAAAGGACACGATAATAGAGTTTCTCATTGCGATCTTGTAGACTGTCAAGTTGAATATACCTGAAATGCAAGGGATTTCAAACATTGATAATAATGGAATTTTAAATTATTTAATTTGGTTGCTTTTATTCATTTTTAATATTCGTTTAAAGAAAATTATCAACAGGATCTCATAATTTCTGGCAAATTTTCTAAATCCGGGGCCGGCTTTTTGCAATGGCCGCGAAATTTTTGACCAGCTTGAGTTGTTACTATTTACACATAAAAATGCTGACATACTTGGCAAGATTATCCGGTTGTTGTCGGAGCTTCGTCATGATACGGTAAGCTTGTTGCTCTTCGGTCATGAAAGCCGGCGGAAGCAATCCATGAATGCCGAGGTATTGGCGTTCCTGCAGAGAAAAAGCCATTCCCTGCAAGTGACACTTTTTTCAGAGTTTGGTGTGTAAGGGATTTAATGAAACATATAAACAATTCCGAAAATGTTGGCAAAAATTATTTTCGTTTTTTTAATTTTTAATCTTATTTCATCTTTTGTGGGGCACATTGATTCTATCTTCATTAATAGCCACGTAAAGCGCACATTTCATTTTCATGGATTGAAATTTTAAAAAACACGCAAGAGAAAAGTTTGACTCGATATGCGATTTACCTTGTTGAGGCCCGGAGTCTTCAGAAGGTCAACGCCGCGTTTCGATGGTGTCACACGCTCGGGACGGTACAATTTGTGAAGCTCGACCATCTTCGGATCCGACATGTCCGGCTCATATTTGCACGCACGGACCGACTTCGCTATAGAGCGTTTACTGAAAATTTGATAAAATTATTTTTTAATTGCAAAGCTGGTTTTATCCAGTTATCATCAGCAAGCATTAGTAGGCTGTGGCCTCAAAAATGTGTGCTGATGATAGCTTATAATATCAGAAGAATAAACACGTACCTGCACGGCGCAAGTCGACTCAGCATCACCTGAAATATTCAAGATTGATTGGTCGACAGAGCTTCAGAGAATTGTAATGATAAGGAATGGCGAAAAATTAATGCGATGACTTGATAACCCGATTCTTTCTTTTTTTAAATGTATGCTGACGGCAGTATGTAAAATGGTGCTAGGCAGAAAAACTCGGGGACGAAAATCGATACGGCCTTGGGCCAGACAAACGCGGGAATGCAAATCCGGCGGGACGTGGTTGTTCATCGCGACGGCCTCGCTTGAATTATAATGGGAAATCAATTTCAGGAGGGAGCTAAAAATTTGAAACGACAAAATAATAAATAAAAAACACGGCGTGGTCGACGCGAACCTCGCCTAGCGGCAGGCGGCGGGTAAATAGTGAGAGACCGAGAGAAGCGGATGAGTTCGTTCGGCTCTATTCATCTTTTGCCTCTGAAAACTAGCAAATATCCTGAATTAATCATAAAACGAGAATATGAGGAGAAGGAGCGGCGCTGAAACACACCAACGGGCTGCACGAACGGATGACGTTGTTGGCAATGTCACGTATATCTCAAATTAAACAAATGTTAATTCAATCGACCTTGGAAGAGGAGCGAAATTGTTGTTGTATGGATTTTCTGGGTTGTTTTTCGAAAAAAAGAGTCATGCCCTCGATCTTTGATCTGATCTTGCTTTGATATTTCCTTATTACTAGAACTATTTTTGATAATAAAAAAAATCAAAGATCAATAGTTGATGCATCCAGTTAAAAAATAATAGCTGTAGCATTTTATGCCTAAAATCACTAAAACTAAAGCTATGCAGACTTCGAAAATAAAATCATTTTAAATCCCGTTAAAAGCCATAAATATTCTAAAAAATCCATATGCAACAGTTTTAACTAGTTTTTTGAATTGTTTTTTTCAAAATGTGCATAGTAACATTATAAACATTTTCAAGCAATTTCAAGACCTTGATTTTGTTACTATCAATGTTAGGCCAAGCTCGACAAACTCATCAGGCGAAACAGTGAGTTCTCCGCCGAAAGCGACATGAGCTTTCCGAGTTTGGTATAAAGAAAAATAAAATTTAACGAAAATGTCGTCAAATATGGTGTGAACGGTGCAATCTCCCACGCGATAGATTGCAGATTTCTCCAATTTGTTTTTCAGATTCTCAATTACACAAAATTTATTATCGAAAATATCAAAATACTACAAAATACATGATTTCTATCAACTAAACATTTTCAAAGCAAATAAAAAATTTAAAACATAAGAATGACTTAACAAAATAAAGGACAAGAAGCAGAAAAAGAAGAGAGATCGAACGCGAAGTCAATATGCTTCCGATAGTTCAGACTGCAAAAAAATGACTAAAACTAAATTCGAAGACACAAAGCAATGCGTAAGATCAGCGTGGTGAGTTTTGTACAATAAAATAGACGAAAGCATTTTTAAAAGAAGTAAAACACAAAACGAACGTTTTTTTTGGCCAACATAACATCAAATTTTAAAACAGTTATATATTGTACAAAAAAGCGTTATTAATATATTATAAATTGAATATAGTTATTTTATCATATCACAAAACGCGTTTACCCATCGATTGCATTTCCTTTTTACTGAATATTCTAGAACGACTAAAATTATTATAGGTGCCATCGTCAAATCGAATCTAAATACGAGAAATTTTAAAATGAGAAAAAAAATAAAGCAAGAAAACTCTTACTTTATATTCTGGAGCAACTGTGTTCCCGCGATAATAGCCGTCATACAAAATACCATCGTCCCACTTAACTTTAACCTGAAATAAGACAAATTCTAAAATAACAAGTTAGACAATTTTTTAAACCCTTGATCCTAGTTGATGAGTATTTCGATCACAAATGATGCATTCACACGAGAAAATATCAGAAGGCGGTAAATCTTTCGTTACGGTACCATCGGTGAAATCAACCTTCAAAATTTTGCAGATTTCGGTGGAAATTGTGCAAAACATTTTCTCACCACTGCCACATGTTTCTGGAAAATGCCGTCAATAACTCCTCTCTCATATTTTTCGTCATCCGCTGACGCCCAAATCACATCGCCAATTTTTATATTCGAGCATTGACCGCTAGCTGCTAAAATTTCTAATGAAAACGAGTTTGGATAAAAGAAAACGCTTACGTTTATCAATAAGATGATCATCAATGTGTTTGTCGCAGACCATTACGAGATTTCTTGGAAATGCACGAGTTTCCAACGGTAATCCAATGGCGCGGGCACATGTAACGTGAGCCGTATATGGAAGCACCGTGTTACTTCCATCCTATAGCAAAAATCATTTTAAATTTAAGCATTTTATTCCAAAAACTCACATCAATGCATAAAACACAGGGCACGAGTCCTTCTTGGAGTTTTTCGCACACTTGGCATTCCCATTTCGAGTTTTCATAGACATCGCAAAACTCGTCGAGATATTCGTCGGGAAGGAATGACAATTTTTGACGGCTAAAATGTTTTCGCGGTGGTTGAATGTACACTGAATTTGGACCAATGGCACGATTGAATTGAGATCGCCTGAAATTGACAATAAAAAAATCACAGCATTTAGTCGAAAATTGGCGATCTACCTATGGAAAAGCGCACAAATAGTATGCACATATGCCTGATCATCGCCGACTCGACACGGCACCAAAGCACCGCCTCGAAGTTGGCATAAGCGGCACGAGATTGCGCGGATTTGAACATCGCATTGAACGCGGCATCGAAGGCAAAGCCAGGAAGCTGAAAATGAAACAGTCTCATGGGAAATGTCCGCAGATAAATTTTTATTAACACGCCCCAGAGTAAATATGATTAGTCTAATTTAGCGTATTTTGCTCACCTCCTCCAGATTCTCCAGAATAGCACATCGAATGAACAGTCACACTACAATTTGAGCAAGTCAATAGCAAATCATGCTCATCTTTATATTCAGTTTTTGGTGGGGTTTTAGAGAAATGCGAAGGATTGAGGAGGCGTCGAGACCTGGAGATATTGAAACATTATAAAATCGAATAAATCGAATTCGATACATTAGAGGTACATCAGCACATTTGGGCCGCATATGAAGAGGTTGAAGATATGAACAAATACTACAATGCGGCCAATATTTTGAAGAAATTTCATTAATTTGACGTTCGGTAAACAAATTGACACTATCGGATAATAAATCTTCTGCAAAAAAATTGAAACTCAAAAATTATTTTGAGCAAACTTACTGGTATTTCTTTTAAATCGTTTCCTAAGCTCATCGTTATCGGTGAAAAGATCACAGGCGCCGGAAATATCATAATTGTGATTCAATGGACCGGTGAAAATCGGCGTGTTCGAAACCGCTGCCGGCGACCAACAGGAGACGAGGCCTCCTGCAAAAACAAAATTGCCGCTTGCGGATATTATCACGACGTTTGGATTCTGTAACGAAACCCAAATGCACACAAAACCCAGAATTAATAACTACTCTAAAGGTTCACATTACACTTCACACGATGTCGAATAAAGTTAATTATCACCACAACGAACAACAACGAAAAACGATGAGATCTCGCATAAAACCACTTTCGTCCTGCCTCGTAACTAAAACACTCTCAAAAAAAAAAAACAAAAAAATAGAAATACGACAAAAAATGACCAGCGTGCGATGAGGATGAGCTGCAGAATCGTCGCCGTGCGTGTTCTCGTGCTTAATCTCACCGGAATTTGACGCCTCCTCCGATGAAGACTCTTCGCTTTTAGCGCGTTTTACCGCCTCGTCGATGCTAGCCAAACCAAATTTGCGTTTGACACCTAAAATGACACAAAATGAAACTAAGCATTTCAACAAAAATTGCCACCTTTGCCTTTCGGTTTCGTCTCAACTTTGGTCACTCTGTCTCCATACCAATACGCATACCATTGATCATACTCATCCGGTCGATATTTCTGCATATATGGCTAAAAAGCGGACATATAAAGAGGTTAGTTTATTATGTTCTTACCCTCATATCAATTTCTACAGTATCTTTGACACATTTGCAAACATTCGCATTTTTACCGTAATCAATCCAGCGATCAGTCGCAAAATTGGTCGATTCGGCTAAATTGTAGCCGGTATTGAATCCCATATGGTAACCCTAAGGAGTTTAAGACATTATCAAAACATTAAAACAAAAAATCCTTACTTTGGGAAATGTGATAATAAACTCATTAGGCCTTTGTATCATTGTTCCATATGGAATATTGTAGGTTCTCAAAAGCGACGGTGTAACAATATACGATTTATGCCTCAAAAATGCCTGAAAAAAGTAAATATCGAAAAATTCTCAAAATTAGACTGACTTTGCATGATGGAGTAAACATTTGTGTCATAATTCGTTCAAATCGAGCAGCAGACTCGGAACCGATTGCAAACCAGTACTAGACATTGAAAAAATCATTGAATTTTCTCTCGTACAACTTCATACCTTTGGTGCTCCAAAATGCAAATAATTTATCGAATACAAATCCATATCCTCTGAATGCCACGGAAATGTGGTTTTGTACATTCCAAAATACAAATACACTGTATTTACACCACTGATTTTCTGAATAATTTTGTTTACTCTTTTTTTTTAGAAAACATATGATGTTTACCGTGGTTGACTTAGTTTCATCAAGTATAGTGTTCAAACGGTTCATATTAAACTCATCAACGTCATCGTCATAAATTGTCCCCTCAGTATCTGCTCCATAAATCGGCTCTCTATTTATAATATTTTTGAAATACTCTCTATAAAAATTGTAATAAGAATCGAAAAAAAATTGAAAAATTTTACGTTTCAATGTCAATTCCTTCAAGCTCAGGTTTCGGGTTTCTGTATTGCGCCGAGTTGGCCATTTTTCGATATTCTCTGACAGTCATCTTCTTCCGAAAAACGCGATTCGTTTTAAAGTAAGAGCCGGATTTACCTTCGATTGTTTCTTTTACTGGGCTGAAATAGGGAAAATCATAAAATAATTATTTGAAATGGAAAAGCGCACTAATTAATCTCAAAATCGTCAAGATCCGAATAATTGTTCTTTCGAGATGGTCTTGGATGCCATCCTTCTGGAGGAACTATCTATAAATTCCCTCTTCGTGAACATTTTTTTGGCACAAATTCCAAAATGATCTACCTTGGCAATTCCGCATTTCAAATGAGCTCCCGCTTCTTCGATCTTTTTAATGTAACCATTGAAGTCTTTAAATTCTTCCATCGTCGGGTAAAATGTGAGAACTTCGGTAGTTCCAGTCGGTTCATGCGGAGGATGCAGTTTTGCATGTCTAGAAAGAATCCTCATTTTTTAAATTAATTTCACGGTATTTTTCGCTAGAACTAACGATTTTGACATGTTCACAGGTGATCGACCATCCGAAAAAATTGCGGGAGTCGTTGAAGGTGCAGGTTTTGCCGGCTTTTGAGGATTAGGACTAAATAGTTCGTGAATTTTTAAGAGGACATATTCATTCGAGTACTTGTAATCATCCGGCAATAATGGTCCCGAGCATTCTGCATGTTGATTATAAGAGACTGGCAATGTTGAACTGCTTGGCATGATATTCACGTATTTAACGGGTCCATTCATTACAAAAAACTTCAAAAATAGTTTCAATTAATTTATTTGAAATTAAATCGTTACTAATTAAACGATAATTTTCCATTTATTCTAGCGCAAATAATTAGTGAAAATTTATTAAGACTATTTTTAATACAAAATAATATACCAAATAACTCTAAAATTAAGAATTACACCAAGAAAGAGACTATTCTGCACTAAACTGGTGTTCTGCGGAGTTTTGGAGGAAACGTGCAAAAACGCAAAAAATGAGAGATTTAGAGAGACAGAGGAAAACGTGCAGTGTTTTACGGAATGTCGTTGGAAACCGGCCGGAAAAATATATTTAAATGTGTTGAAATCGGATATTATGTAACATTAGAATTAATAATTAACAAACAAATCAATTTACGTTTAATAATGGAAAACAGTACAATTTTAAAGAATTACTTAATATATTCCTACTACAAATTTGCTTACAATAACGTATTTATATTTTTTATAAACAATTGCAGAAAATAAACATTTTTTGGAAATTGTCGTCAATTATACTGTTTAAGTGTAATACACTTTATAAATTAATATGAACTAATGCACAAGAATTGCCGCAAATTCTTATTGCTGTTGTCGAAAGCATCTTCTCTCGTCGTAAAAGCTTTTCAACTAGGTGATTTATTAGTTTCAAAGTGCATTGTCTTTGCGACCTTGAAACGTCGACACGGTTTTCAATTCGTTTTGTTTAATCAAATGAAACCGAAAATTGAAATCTTGGCCATAAGCTGCAATCATGCTATTGTCGTCGAAAATTACAGAAATTTCGTTTTTTTCTGCAATTCAAAACTTATATTATGAAAATATAAGCCCCGTGGCCAAAAAAGTGAGAAGTGAGCGATGATTTTTTTTTATTCATTGCTCATTGGACACATAAAAGTGGAAAAAAAATAAAAATTTGTTTAGAGGAAATATGGATGAAAAGTAGACAAAAAACAGATGAAATTTGGATTTTATAGGAAAATTGTGATAAAAGTTTTTTCTTTCTACTTGAAATCTGCGAATGAGATCTTTTTTTTTAGATTATCTTCTTATGGGCCTATTCATTAAAAGAAAAAAAAAGTAGTTTTTACAAAAAAATTCTTTATAGGTCCATTATTTAAATTTGAAATTTCTCTTACGGGTCTATAAATGCCAAACATTTTGAGATTTCTGTTTTATTTTATAGTCGGCGTCCGGCGACTGCTGTACGCGGGTTGATTTACGCGCATGCGCCTTGAAAAGGTCTCGCCACGCGTGATTTCATCTTTCAAATTAAAAAAGTCGTCCAGAAGCCGTATGCTCAATGCGATTTCCGTCCGTATAGTTAAGAGATAGGATTTTCCGCGCAAATCGCATTGTGTTGTGGGAATCATTTAACTGTGTTTAACTCCGATTTAATTACCTTATAAAAACTTCGAATTCTCGAGATTTCGGAACTTCATGCAAAAATTTCAAAATTCTATGTGCAAATTACAAAAACGTGATTTTTAAATTGGGCAATGCAGAAAAATTAAAAAACAAAAAAGAAAAAGAAAGGAAAATGCGATTCAGAAAAAGAAAAATAAGAAAAAAAAAACGAAGATATACGTTTTTTCGTTGAATTCGTATCGAGACCCATCGTATGCGTCTTAAGATACCGTATCTTTGCGTCATGCGGTTTTTTTGCATCGCATTTTCCTTTTTTTCTTTTTTTTTTTCATTTTTTCTTCTTTCGTAAAGCATTTTTTGCGAATTTTACAAAAATTATAATATTGAAAAATTAAGTCAAATTTTAGGAGGAAGCTATTCTTACTAATAGGATTTTGCGAAGAAGAAATCCGAGCAGATCGACGACTTCTTATTGGTCATTTCGAATGTAGTTGGAATACGAATTGAAGGTTTTTATTCAGCAATTTATTGAAGAATTCGAGTCAGAACCTATTCAATTACAGTTTGCGGCAATCACAAAACCAAAACTTCAAATTTATTCCCACATTTTACGATCACAATAAACTAAAAACCGAACGTAAAATTCGTCGTAAATGTGAGAACGGTTTCATTTTCTTCAGCATTTTTATTTATTTCTTAAAAAAAACGAATAAGAATAGAAACGAATTCTTAAGAAGACTTTTATCGAATCTTCTCAAATTTTAAAGTTGTCATAATTTGTCGAATTAAATTTTTTTCAAAATGTGGGTTTGATTATTTTCAGGCAAATCAAATAAAATATTTTGAGAGTCACATATTCAACAATAAACTCTAAAATATTTTGAGAAATTCTAAATTTTCTTGATACTTTCTAAAACTTCTTGAGAATCGATAAACTTAAAAATATATTTTTTTTAATCTTATAAGATTTTCTAAAGTTGATTGAGAAAAATCTAAAATATTATACAGGGTGTCATTTAAGTTCCCGCACAACTTTGTAGACGTACATTTCTGAAACTAAAAGTCCAAATCAAACGAGACTCGAAATATTTTTTATCTATAGTATAACAAATATTTATCTATTAACTCTTTTTGATTCGGCCTCTTTTCGCAGCTATGACTTCACGGAGACGCTTCGGGTAGGATGTGACTGTGGTACGCAGGTATTCGATGGAAAGATTGTCCCATTCCGCCAGTAATGTCTTCTTCAGAGCCTCTACACTTGAGTTGGGTTTTGCGTTGACCTTCTCCTGCAAGACCCCATCACGGAAAAGTCAAGCGGGTTCAGGTCTGGGGAGCAATCAGGCCATTCGGATGACTTGATAAAGTCGGGAAAATGGGTCTGGCACCACTCCTGAGTAGTTTTGGCAGTGTATGCGGGTGCTCCGTTCTGTTGAAAGACCCATTTCTGCCCACCGAAATGCGTTTGGGTCCAGGGCATCACATGCTTCTCCAAAATGTCCCGAACGTAGACTTCTTTGTTCATTTTCACCATCTGATCCACGAAAACCAGGTAGCACTTCCCGGTTGAGCAGATGGCACCGAAAGCCATCACACTGGCAGGATGTGAGGCTGGATGATATGTTCTTCCTTTCTCAGAAGCTTGCTGGGATGTTTGGCCAAGTACTCAATGGTTTTGTGAGTTGAATGCCGCCTCCACACTGAACAGCTTCTCGTCGGAGAAGACAGTGACGAGGTGTTCTCCAGACCGCGTGCGAGCAAGAAGTCGTTTTGCTTTTTCGAAGCGTCTCTGCTTGTTGACGGCCGATAGAATTGCCGCTTTTTGGACACGATATGGGGTCAGTACAAGCTTTGTTTTGACGATTTGTTCCATAGCAAAGATGCTCATTCCCATGTCTGACGCCATCTTTCTCATGCTCCTGTGTGGGTTTCGCCTGATCCTCGATTTAACGGCGTTGATCTTCTGAGGAGTGGTTACTGAGACGAGTCTTCCTTGTCTGGGACGGACACTGGTCGTATTTAGCTACTTGAATCGTTTGATGGTGTCGCAAACCGTTCTACGAAGCACACCGACCCGTTGAATGATGTCTCTCGGGCTCACATTTTGCTTATGAAGTTCGATAATGGAAGCGCGATGGATGTTAGCCTTCGCCATTTCTCGGAAACACATCCGAATGAGGTGAAACTTGGGAAATAAGTAAAATACACCTTATTTAACAAAAATAAATTGTATTGGTGCACAAAAAGTGCGACAGTCAATCTCTTCATGGCGTCAAACTTTTGTGCGGGAACTTAAATGACACCCTGTATGTTTGATGGTTTCTAAAATATTATAGAGACACGTTAGTTTCTCAATGAATCTCCAAATATTTTATTCGATTTACGTGAGTTCTTCATCTGAAAATTAGCGAGATAAAAATGGAATATTCTAATTTCGAATTACAATGTCAAATTTGCGTCACATAGCCTTATTAGTTTCAAAGAAACCGTTCAGCGCGTCATGAAATCGCTCTTCCAGTTGTGCGGTATTTAATTCCTTCGGCCGAGGTCGACTTGCACCCACAAAGCACTCAATGCATCATTCGCGACCCGACACGATACGCGCGTCATCATTCGCGCGCGCGACAACACAGCAGGCGGTTGCACCATTTGGCGCCAAAGACCGATGAAGTTGGTGATGGAATGTTGCCAAATGGTGCGTCGGTGATGATGTCATCGAATAACAGATGGCCACTTCCAACTGTTTGAGCAAACCCTGTACGTAATCCATCCGTCGCCACCCCCCACCTGCACCACTACCGCATTGTTCTTTCGACTCGTTGCACCCTTGCCGTTAATGGTATCATAATAGTGGCATATGGTAATAATGGTCCTTATAAGGCATTGCCTATTTGAATGTACCGATTCCCAACTGAGAACAAAGTGATGAACATTCTTCAAGATTTACGACCATCTCGGCAAACAACTTGTACGAACAAAAAAGTTGAAGCCGAACTGAGTCATTTCGTGTTGATTTTTTTTATTGAACTTCGAAAATTGGTGGAATTTTCCTCGACATTGATGAAAATGAATTACTGCTCGAGATTGTTTGAACAAAATTTCTTAAAATTTGAGTAAACGTGAAAATTGCAATAAAATTTGGAAGGCGTCAGTTGAGATTTTTCAACTTCATCCGAATCTCTTCGCGATATTAAAGCACCAACACTCCGATGAGATCATTTCAAAACTTTGTCGCATTAATCGCAAGCTTATTTGTCGGATTTCATGTGTCCATTATAGCAATTAGCTTTTTGTTCTGTTGCCTTCATCTGGCTCGCACTCACATCCCCACTTCGCGTGGTTTTATCTCAAGGCTTTTCCCAGATGGCTAGTAAAGGTCCCTCCGCGAGGCCGACGAATTTCGCGCGACGCCTAGTTCGTTTTGTCGTCAGTTGATGCTGCTGGCTGCGCGCGCAGCAATGTGAGAGCGCCCGTTGGCCGTGTCTATGTGTGTGTGTGTGTGTGAGTGTGTATGTGTATGTGCGTCCCCCCCCCCTTGGTCGTTATATGTTGGCGAATTCTAAACCCGCTGCTGTTGGTGATGCTGCGGCTGCTTTGGCTTGTTTGCCACTATTCTATCGATCGCGGGTTCTCCGCACTGGTGTGTGTATGTGTGTGTGTTTCCCATCACTCGCGGCCCATCCATCGTTGAATGCATTCATTCGCTGGCTGGCTGCCTCGCTCGCTCGCGGGTTCTCCACTATTTTGTTCGACGACCCCGACCACCATCGCACGAATGTCTTCCTTCTTCCCCTTCGTCGTCGTCGTCGTCGCCACCGTCATCGTCATCATCGCCTTCTTCTACTATCTACTCACTACTGCAGTTGGCGAAAATTGATGGAGTCGAAGATCGGGCGACAGAATGGAATGACTGAAAATCAACCAGAACGAGGAATCCTGAACATGCTTAAGATCAGAAAACACTGAAATTTTCGCAATTGAGAAATGGAGAAGATTTGAGAATCTTAACAAAAAAGACATCATCAAATTTGGGAAGATTTGTCAAAATAAAAATAGTAGAATCACTCGAAGGGTTTGGAATCTGGAAATATTTCAAGAAATTGGAAACTTGAAATTAAGAAAATAATATAACTTGAATCTCAAAACCCATTGAAAAAATAAACTTATTCTACAAGATTCGAAATAAGAGATTCTCCTAAAAGATTTGTGAAACCTAGAAGCCTCTCAGAATCCGAGGAATCATCGTCGTCCAATGACCATTCCTTATGGGGTTTAGGCATCGGCTGCAATTTATTTTAATATTTCGGACCATCTCCTACATCGTGTATGATTCGAAATCCCATCATCACCAAATATCAGGCCATTTATGCTGAAAAGCGTGCTTGTTCCAGAATCGTCGTTATCATCATCGCACCTCCTCCGCAATATCGCTCAACACCACCGCCTCCGCAATTATACATATTCGAGCCAAGAGAGTTGATAGAAATTCAACAGAACTATAATTATGGGGGCATGCATGCGAGTGTGAGAGCGAGCGACCAAAAAAGAAATGATAATAAAAGTTAAAGAGCACGTATCGTGAATAATTTCGAAAAAAAAAAGGAATAATGAGAATACTTTTACGTTGCCATGGAAATGCCTACAGTTGTCCGAATGGGAAGGTCGAGCGAGACACAAAATCGTGCCCAATGGCAAATCAAATACCAAATCCAAATAGAAATATTTAAAAAAAAAATTATAGATTTCTAAAAATTGTTCTCCGAATCTTAAACACATTTGTTGAAAATCCATTCCTACGTGACCCATACTATGTACTTCAATTCTCATCGTTTACTGCGCGCGATTGTGGTATTCTCCAAAAGGACAGAATCTTGTCAAATAGTCTAAAAATTCTTATCATATTAAATCAAATGAAAACATGTGAAACTGAAGAGTTTAAGTAAAAATTCTACGAAAAATTGATGAGATTTTTATCAAAAGCGCGAAAACTCGTCAATTTTCGACAAAATTTCGATTTTTCACGTTTCACCATGAAATTTCGTAATTTAAATTATGATAATATTTGTACTCAGACCTGTTATAAGATGTTGAAAAGAAACTGCAAATTTCAAAATGCCTCTTAACATCAGACCGAGCTTCCGTGCTGAAATATGCGACGACTGCGGCGAGTTCTATTTAAAAACTTCCACATAAAATCAATTATTCCTTTTTGAAATTCCTTAATCTAAAGATGCTTATAGTTGATATTCAATCATCTATTTGTATATTACTCATTTCTAGACTTGAAATCCTCAATCGTTGCCGAATATTTTTGACCTCCTCGACGTTGCGCAAATCCGTTGCCGCCGCGTTCGCTCCACATTCATCTAAGCCGCGTTTCTTTCTTCAGTTTCCATTTATTGCAGCCATTTTCAACTATTGTATTCATTGTATTCTTGTATTTTTTTGCTTTTCCATTTTTCGATCGGTCCATTCTCCAAAAACCCTTCATTCTTTTTTTCGTTGGCCGGCGAAAACGAAACGACAGCAGTCGTCAACATTCGGCAAGGCAAGGCAAGCCCGAAAACCCTCAGCCAGCCAGCCCGACCGACCAACCAACACATACACACTCACATACACACATACACCCATACACACACACATACGACACAAAGGCCTAGGCCTAGCGAGAGGAGAGGCATCAGGCAGTGTTCGCGTCGGCGACCGCATTGCTTCACTCGCGCGCAGCGGCTCAGCGTGTGTTGGTGTGGCGTCCCCATGCTAGGACGGCCCCCGAGTGTGTGTGTGTATGTCCACGCCCCTTCATTCGCTCATTCGCAACCGCGATGGTTGTTGCATCCACTTCGTCGTCTTCTTCTTCTTCATTCCTTTTATTTCATTTTTTTTCTCCTTCGACTGCTTTGCTGCCCAACACTTTATACATTCCTATATATTCATTTTACAGAAACAACAACAAAAATCAAAAATGGCAAAGGCTGCTAATGGAAAGAAGGCGTCTCCAGTGAAGAAGGTGACCCGAAAGGGAGGAAAAGTCAAGGATCCAAACGCGCCAAAACGCGCCATGTCGGCATTCTTCTTCTGGATGCAGGAGAACCGCGATCGCATCAAGAAACCGGGAATGGGAGTCGCCGACGTCGCCAAAGCTGCTGGTGTCGAATGGGGAAAACTCACCGACAAATCGGTAAGAAATTCGAGAAATTGAGCTCGAAATGTGAAATTCTCGATTTTATTTTCAGAAGTGGGAGAAGAAGGCCGCTGACGACAAGAAGCGCTACGAGGCCGACATCGCCGCCTACAAGAAGTCGACCTAAGCGTCGTCGGCACTTCAACACCCCAGTGTTCCCAGGATACTCAACCAACCTCTTCTACACACCATTTTGTTTCGTTCTACACGCCTTCGGTATTCGAAATTCATTATGATCTCAACTCCGAATCACCAGGCGCCTGTACATTCACATTACTGTATTACACAACTTATATATATTTCAATCCAATTGCAATAAATCCATTAAGAAAACTCTTCTTTCTTCATAAGAAAACTCTTCTTTCGTTGGTCTCCACACACGACATTAAAAAGAGACGCGAATCAAATCGGTCGCAGTTTTCGCCGTCACGCGACACATAACAATCGCCGCGCGTTTTCTTCTTCTCCATTGACTGGCTGCTGCTATCTCAACCATCAGCACACATTTTGAATTTTCGGCGTTCGCGCGCAGTGGGCGTGGCCTTGGCACGATGCCAGCGTGCGCCGGACGACTCGTTGCTCGATTACTCGCACTACATTGAATGACAATGACGCGTTGAAACAACTATTATAATTATTACTAGGAGCGTACAATTGAGATTACAATTATCCGTAAAAGTGGATCCATAGGTTTTTTTTTCGAGAATCATTAGGAATGACATCGATGCGAAACAATACGTGAAAGCAAATAAACAAATGATGGGAGGGAAGCGAAATTGAGAAGGAATGCAAATTTAAGCGGACCAAAACGATCATCTAAAGTATTTGTCACAAAAATTTGGCTCCTTTTCAATTTCCGCTCAAATCGAAAACGAAACTAACAAGAAACTCGATACCAATTTATTTCTCCTTTTTGCTCTCCGATACTTCTTCTCCTTCATTCTCTCTTAATTCGGGTTCGCCAATAACTCCGAACTCGTTGACTCGACTCTTATCAACGCGGTAAGCCCATCTTTGGTAAAGATAGATCTGCAATAGGTAGATTTCTTTAACGATGATGATAGATGAAAGAATGTTGTGTTCAACGAACGATAAAGTCACACCGGAAACGACTAGTTTTACACCATAAAATATCGACTAGAAAATGACTTTAAAATGATAGATTTTTTCAGTAAATTCTTCTCTTGCGATTTATTTTTTATTAGCCATTATCTCGAAATGCACAAAGTTCAAATTTAAGGGGATCTTGCAGCGGAAGCTGGTCGTAAAATTGATAGGTTTTCAAATTTTCCCCTTTTTCTTTCAAATTTCTAATTTCTTGTAGTTTCAAACAAATGCGCGTATTCATAAAAATCAAAATTTAATTAGATTTTGAATAAATTGAAAATTGAAAATACAAACAATAGACCTCAGCTTCTATAGAAACGAATCGATTCACTTTAAAATAATAGAAATTGATTATTTGAAATATTCTTTTGTTGCGTCGAACTAAAAGAAATTCTCTCAGCTCAGGGACTTATCTTCACTATTTCAAAGACTTTCAAATAAAATGCAACTCACAAGGAAAATAATATCATCTCTGAAGCAGCCAAGACGGTACATCATTGGCATTTTGATTACAAAAGCGAACAAATCGTCGATAAATGTATTGATAAACTTATAAGTCAGCATTCTCCATGGCAAATGTGCGACCGATTTAAGTTTATAGTTGATAAAAAGCTGAAATTATTTTTTTAGATTATAAAAAAAAACAACTATAATGCTACCTGAGGTGTCATCATAATGAACCCAAAGGTGAGCAAGTATCCATAAAGAACTCCGAGAACCCACGAATACCATCCCTTCTGTTCAACATAGATAACCGAATAGATCGCATATCCAACGAGAAGTGGAAACAAAATCCATCCCAAATAGCGGAAAGCCATCTGAAATAATCAAAAATGTTCTATAAGATTCCATTTTTGAGCCAACATCATCATATGTCTTTGTCTCGCTTTCCACGTAAGACCCTTTATCGCTAAACCGCACTTTTGGGATAACGAAAAACCATTTCTCATCAAGCACCTGCAAAATTATGACGAATTTTAATCGAATAACCTGCATTTTTTCTACCTCAATGTCCAAAACCTTTGGGATTTTCCAACATTCCAACAGAAATCCGAAGAATACGGAGAACATCACGACAAAATTCGTGTCATTATCAGTAATGTAAAGAAAAACGATCAACGACTGAAATTAAACTGAAAAAAAGTTGCCGAAGAGAGATTTACCTGGAAAATATTGAAGAGCACTGTTCTGACTGACATTCCAACCAAGTCCTTTTTATTATTCCAAAATTGAATATCATTTTTGAACGCCAAAAATTCGAAGATTAAATGGAGAACCGAAACAATCGCAGTAACGGCTGAAAACAATTCTTTTTAAATTGAAAAAGGCGGACTAAATTCGAACCCAGTAAAATCGGATTTGTCTCCAAAAATGCCCTCTTCAGATAATCATTATCATCTTCTTCCATTTCGTCACTCAACGCAACAGCATATGAAGGTTTCATCTAAAAAAAAAGTAAAGTGTTTTTTTTTTGTAAAACCAATATTCAGCTACGTCTTGGCTCATGTATAGCTGGAACATTAGCGAAGACAACGGATAATAGCTGAGCGAGAGATTAATACTCTAAACATCATCTTATTATTATCGACATGTTTGAATTAAATTTCTCACTTTAACAGTTTCGTTAATCGGTTGATATTCATCTCGAAGATTCCAAAATGTGTTGATGTACACAATCGGACGATAAAATGTGAATAGTGGATCGAATTCGATCACTTCATCAAACGGCATCGGAATCTTCTCTCCTTTAATGAAATCTTCAATAATTAAATTTCAGAAACAAAAAAAAACCTTTAGCATATTCCACTTGATGATCAACCACATTGATGCTAACATTCGGATGCCAATAATTCAACACTTCATACTTTATTACGTCTGCTTTCTTCAAATATTCATCGCTTTTCTCGCTTTTTCCAGTCAATAGGTTCGCCGTTCTTTTATAATACTTTTTCATGTACTTATTTAGTTGCTTGATCTTATAAGTGACCTGAAAATGATGAAACTTATCAAAATGATATAAGCGATAAAGAACTTTATTCCTGTAATAATTTGTGCTTTTTGGGTCAATGGTTTGTCCCGATTTGACGATTATTGAATGCAGGAAGATTGATTGATTCTTTTGAAGGTATTCAGGGGTTTTGAGAGTGATTTGATGATTGTAAACACCATCCTAAAATATATATAGAAAAGCAGAATGGAAAAAAATAAGAAACCCCTTTCTGTCCACCATTCCAATCGGAAAATTTGATGGAACGCTCAATCCAGACAGGAATTTTGTCATCGAAATTTGTAATGGGCGAGCTCTGAAAGCAAAAAAAACAATAATTTTCGATAATAATTTTCAAAGACCGATTGATCAAGATAAACATAAAGATCAAATGATTCCAATGGTTTGAGCAGATTCCTAACTATAATCGCATCTTTGTCGTATTTCGATTTTCCTCCTTTCAAGAAATTCTGTAATACATGGAAATAACTGCTTTCACTTCGAAAATATAATACCGTTGCCGATACAATAATCGAATAGAGCATAAAAGCGCGAAGGAAGAATTTCGGTTGAAGAATATTCCAAATAGGGGCATTCTCCTGAACATCTCATAAATCCTGAACTAACCAATTCTTTCCAAACCTGCGCTGCCGGATTCTGCCGCTCAACTGGTTCCTCCATCTAAAATTTCTTAAATTTCCAACAAAAAAAAAACAAAACCGAATATTTTCACAATAACGAACGAAGACGCTTTAAAATTCCAATTCCTATTATGGTCAATGCTTCATTAATTATCAAATGTGAAAGCAGAGCATAAAATTGGGAATAATAATTCAATCATAAATAATTAGTAGAATTTAAGACTGAAAATTTACAGATTCTCAAATGTACAAGAATAATTGAAATATTGTTAGTTAAATGTGTTAATGAGGCAGTGGCAATCCATTCGATTTCTTGTACTCAACGTAATCCTGAAATGAAGGTAAAGAATGATTGAAATATGACTGAAATATGAAGTTATACTAATTATTTGAATAAAAAATGAATTACAGGAAGGAAACGTGGAAAATACATCCACGTGAAAAATTATTTGACAGGTCACGAACGATTTTCTTAATTTCAATTGTCCTAAAAATCATTTTAAAATCGAAAACTTTCGGAATTGAATCGTGAAATTAAATCGTTTTAAGGGTATATTGATAAATTGTCGCAAAAGCTAAAAAAAAGACATGTGTTGTTTAAAGTTGGAAAATGAACTCTTGAAGCAATTGGATAATTTTCATTAATTTTTTCTATTATTGAAATATCGCGCAAAAATTTTCCCATTCATGGAAAATTGACAACATAATGAACCAATTCATTAAATAAAAATAGGCAGAATTTCATTTAATTCGATTTTTTTAAAATTACATATAGTCGGCGTCCGGCGACTGCTGTACGCGGGTAGATTTACTAGAATGCGTCTTTCGAAATGGTCTCGCAAGGACTAACAGGTTATTTCAAATTTTATGGACCGGTCCGATAATTTTTTAATCGAATATCGTTGAAAATTCAAAGAAATGCGAAACTCGTCAAGAAAAATGAAGCAGTTCACGTGAAAACAGCAAAATAAGCATTCACGCGTGGCGAGACCTTTTCAAGGCGCATGCGCGTAAATCTACCCGCGTACAGCAGTCGCCGGACGCCGACCATATATACATATGAAAAAATTGTAATGTTTAAAACCCTTTTTTATGGTTTAAAAAGTTTCATAAAATTTTTGAATTGTTTTCCTGTATTAACAAGATCTGTTTGTTCAATTTACCTTATAATCGAGAACAATCTTGCTGCTCTGGAATCGCACAATATGAAGCGATTCGCGCAAACCTTCGTCGATTCTCGCACTCGAGCCGGATTTCCGAATCAAATTGTCAATCGTTGCAATGTGATCCCAGCCTGAAATTAAGAATTTGTATGAGAACTGATTCGTTAATATCAATCGATATACCTTGCTCAGCAGCAACTTCTGGCAAAAACACTGCACTTCTATTTCGTCCGTTATCGTTAAAATCCATTCGGACACCATGAACTCCTACTTGCCAATCTTTATAGTGGCTCGTTTCCTCGAACTTCACCAGAAGAGATACCTAGAATGGATATAAAATAACGGTGCTGTAAAAATATGCTCTTACACCACATTGCAACAACGGAACTTCTTCCTTAACAATCGGATTGAAGCGAGTATCGCGAAACGCGGAAATCGCTGCATATTCAGCAAGACCTTTGCTTAGGCTGAAATTAAATGAATCCACTAGTCATTTCATAGTTTAATTCACTATACCGCATGTCACTGAATGTTCCAATGCAGCCGCGCAAATCATGATTCGGTCCTTTCTTCCAAGTTACGAAGAGTGGCCTACAAACTATTCTTATAGCATCAAGCTTCATTTAAAATCGAATAATTTTCAAAAAAAAAACATAAATTTAGAAAACTCACAATTTGACGTCAGGAATTTGCGGTGGAACAGGCGGATCCTTTTCATTGTTGAGATGGCTCAAGATGACGTCAAAACAAAAAACCGCCATTTCCACATTAGCCACTGCCATCTGAATATGGTCTTGTTTAAAAGAAGACAATAAAAACCGAAACATCAAGAAAAATTGGAATAAAACCGGCAATTCTGATACGGAAACACATTTAAATCGTTTTCAAAAATATTTATAAAAACCAACAAAAAAAAGTGTTTTGTGTAACAACAACAACAAGAAAACAACGTGAGTTCAACAGATGATTGATAAAATGAAATATTCTATTTTATGAGGTCGAAACCACTTCTTTGGCTACAAACTCGTACATTTGCCTATTCACTTCTTTCAGTCGCACAATTTCTTTTTTGAGAGCTTCAATTTCTTGAGAGCTGGCCGCCGGTGCTCGAACTGTATCTGATTCAGCAACAGCAGGAGCCGGAACATCAACAGGAACCGGATGATTTTCCTGAAAAAAAACCACTATTTTTATTGTCAATATTGAACTAGTTCAAACTATATGCTTCTTCTTCTTCTTGTTTTTCTTCTTTTTCAATTGCTTTCCTCCAATAATCGGAGCTCCTTCGCCGTCATCATCTCTCAAATCAATCACTTCAATAACTTTTGGTGCGCTATCCTGAATTACATTAATTATGCTTTTGAATAATTTTTCAAAAAAACTACAGTTTCTTTAGCTCCTTCAACAATTTTATTGCCTAGGTTTGGTTGTGGTGGAACATGAATTGCCTTAAAAATAATTTTATATTCTTAATTAATAAAAACGACGATACTTCCTCTGACAAGAGATGCTCAAGTGTTTGATCAATAACACCAGCCCAGTAGTCCTAAAATGTTTTTAATTACAAATGGGAAAAACAGAAAATAAAACACCTTGTCAAGATTGATTTCCGACGCCAATTCAATCGCTAAATTTTTGTTCTTCGACGATTCTCGCTGTAATTCCCATACTGGTCGCACTTTCGCAATATGTTCAGCCGATGAGATCGAATTCCAATATGGAATGAATTTGAGCGAAAATATTGAGGATCGCATAGTTGACACCTAGTAGTAACAAAGATTATTATAGAATTCTTGATAAGAAATAAACAGTTAACAAACCTTGAGACATTGATGACTTCCGATTTCCCAAATGTAATATTTTCCTGATATGTCTCCGGATGCTAACAAACTGCCATCAGTGTTAACCGTGAGCCTGTGAAACGAAACATACATTGTATTTCTCAAAGATTTTGTGTATTTTTGATTAAAATAATCTCAAATGCGATGAATACCATTGTCGACGTCGCGCGACTGTCTTGATACAAAACTAAAAGTGTACATTTACGAACCTATGCATAAGGATAAGTTAAAGATTCACATCAGGCACCGAGAAATTTTTAAATTTTTTAACATTTTGACAATTTTCTGCAATCGCGCGACGTCAATAATACATAATAAATAAATTACATTGAAATTTCTTCAGAATGTCCGCTGAAAATATGAAACTTGGTATTCTTTTCGTCATTCGTCTGAACAAGAATATCGCGTTCGCTTCCCTGAAATAAATGAGAGTTCGAAAAAATAAAGCAGGATTTATAAAAACATACCAATTGGAATAGATTAATTTGGGCAATATTTCCCAAATCCGTGCCAATAAAAACGCGTGTCTCTGCAGAATCTATGCAACAGCTGGATAATGGACGATCGGACGAGATCTATAAAAAATAATAACAAATTTTTGCTTAAAAAAATTATAAAATTATGGTTTTTAGAAATGTTTATGGAAGAGTTGATTTACCTTCAAAATGGTGGAATCGAGCGACATTGAGTGCATGCAAGCCATATGATCCGCTCCACATGATAAAACCCTTGGATTTGCTCCATAAGTCACTTGGAGGTCTGTTACTGCTAGAGTATGCGCGTTCCATTTACGGATGAGAGCAACTGTTCGCTCACGATCTGCTGATATTAAGCTAAAAAATAACATTATTATCAATATTTCGTTAATTTTGAATTACTCGACGACGAGATACGCGTGTATCGCTCCATCTTTCGACGAGGAAAATAGAATTGAGTCGTCTGAAGATAACGCGAGGCGTGTGATATTTTGGTAATGCGCCTCAATAACAGTCAAAAGTTCGCCAGTGGCCATCTAAAACATTTCACTAGTTTTTCAAGATATTCTATTCTCACCAGCCATGCATAAATTTGCTTTTTGATCGCCATGAACACCATTCGCCCATTTTTATCGCTGCATACGGCTGAAACCGGCCCGGGAAGCACCGCTTTCTGATGAAATCGATCTTTATTGTTGACTGCGATTACGTGAACAATTGGCCGATCTTTTGTGGTAATAATTAGATGATCTCCATCGATTCCTAATGGTTCTACTAGGCCAGTTAAGGCTCCTTGCAGTTCTGACCCTTTGTAACTCCAAGACGAAACTCCTGTCCTTGGGTCTATAACAATTGTAGAATGCGGATCAGCGCTGCCACTGCTGACTAACAACATCTAAAATTCAATTTCAAGGGTTGTGATTTTATAATGTTTTTCGTACCTCCAGTGGCTGAGTCGCTTTGATCGAATTTGCATCTACACCTATTAAGGACATTTTGCATTCCTAAAATAAAATAATTTTTACATTTAAATAAAAATATAAAAATACGAAAATATATTAAAAAAAAACGAAGAAATGGAAAAATTACGGCTCAAATAAAAATTTTCATGCATTCTCAATAGAGCGCGTTTGCTATCATTGGAAAACTGCTTCTTTATTTTTTCAATTATTTTTTCATTTTTTAAATTAGTATTGTCGGCGTCAAACGCTTGAAGGGAGGCGGAGCCTTCAAATTCGCGAAATTAGTGTAAATTTGAATTTTTCGTTGACTGAATATTAAATGCGCGTACGCTATAATGCAATGTACGCAATCTCGCTGCCATTAGCACATAGCCAATAATTTTTTTAAATTTCGTCAAGTAGTTTGACTTCGTCAATATATTTTGTTTATTTATCTTTTAAAGTGTAAAAAGATATTCAAAATCCCCTTTCCGTTGGCGTTTGTGCATAATTTGTACATCTGGACTATCACATTTTCTTCTGAAAATCGCGATTTCTCCTTCTGCCCTGTGCAGCAATTTCGAACCATAAATTTAAAACAACTCAGTTTCGTTATTAAGAATTTTAAATGCATGCAAACATTTTACTAAAAATTATTTTTTTTTCGAAATCCGCATAGTATCATAAGAAAACCCATTGAAAACCAAATACATATCAAAGAAGAATGGACATATTCATTTTCGGTCTAAAATCAATAATAGAGCCCTAGAGTACCAGCAAAATCCAGTTCGTCTGGGCGAGACCATATTGGAAGCTGTAAAACCAGTGTATAGCATTCGTTGGACGCCAACTATTCAATAATTTAAATTTATTCGCCCTCCTTTGACAATATTTTTATCTGAAATCGGTTAATATTTTGCTTAGTCTGCAATAAAACTTTCTATTTTTGTTCAAATCATTATTAGAATCCATTTATTATAAAAATAATGAACATCAAATGTCTTAAATTTATATGATATGGAGACTAGCTTACCAAATAATACATAGAGAAAAGAAGGGAAAATTGTTTAGAAGCATTTCATACCATTGAATGACATGAATAGAGAAATAAAAACTGGCTTGGACAAATGTTTTTTGATGAAAAACTACTGGCAAAGATTTCTGGGAACACTAATATCATTAAATGACACCTAAAACGGAAATATATAAGTCTACTGTTCTTATAGATGGTCGGGCTCATATTGGGTTTCATTTTTACTTTCAAAAAGCGATAGGAAAACAAGAGTAGCGTTTACAGGGAACATTTTTTGTTGTTGTTGAGAAAATCATTAAGTATGTGTCATTTTTGGTATAGGGAAAGGGGGTACGGTTAGATTAATTTTTTAGTTTTTGCTACTTTTTTAAAAGTTATAAAAATTCGATTTTGGAATCGAACGGTTTATACTCTCATTGTATGGGAGTTTGGAGGTCTTTGAAAAACCAACAAAAGTCGACGACAATTTGAGAGAAACAGAAAAGAATTTTGTTTTGCATAGGGACAGGGGAAGGGGCGGAGAAGTGGAGGGAAGAACATTATTGAAAAAATTCATAAGCGAAATGCATCAAATGCGAAAGGAAATTGATTGTGTTGAAAAGACATCATTGGAATCACCGTAGTACAAGTTTCGAATTAGGACCGGCTCTTTGGAATTTTTGATTTCTCTACCGCATGGTATCATCAAACCGGTATTGAACGAGTTAGCTAAGCTTTGACGAAGGCTCATTCGACCCCCATTGCTCCATATATTGTTGGGATTGCTGCGAAGGTGGTCGCTGCTGTGGGTTTTGAGAATCACTGACCTGAAATCAATATATTCATTGTCATTATTGAGTTGACAGAAAAATTTTCAAATATAAATTCGATTTGGTGGACAAAATCAACAAGCAACTCATTCTTACTTCTTGTTTGATTCGAGAATCACCCGACGACCCCTCCTCACTTTGTTCGGCTCGATAGTTCTCGTACTCGAAGCCTTGTTCGGCTAGGCCGGGCGGCGGCGGCGGACTCGTGCTCGGACTGCTTATCGGCGAATGCAAATCGGCAGGATCGCACGGTCGTTTTCGGCTCTTCGCATAATGATAGCCGGCGTCTTTGACGACTTGCCGTGCCAGCGGAAAGAGTTCGTCGCGACGCGTGAGAAGCGCGGGAACCAAAAGGCAGAGTTGTGCGGCCGCCTCGTTTACAGTCGTCTCATGAAGCGTGAGAACTTTGTGCGGTTTTCGTTTTGTGTCGAACCGCCCATAGATCGCCGAGAACTTCCGGAAGTTGGTCAAACGATTCGGAGCATCGGCGCTTGATCGCATCAAGTCCAACACTTCTCTGAAAACATTCACCAGGTAATTCAAACATGACAACATTGAATGAAATCTTACTTCGACACACGTTTCTTGTTCTGCACAAGCCTTGGAGGAAGAACCGGCAGATTTTTCGATGCAGCAAGAGCACATTCCGCTAGGCGATTAATTTGTGCTTGCGATAAAACTGGATTTTCAGTTGGAGATGGATTATCTGAAATTAATACATTATAAAACATTTGGATACATCAAACAATTCCTACTTGGATCGAAATCGCCAAGTGAGACGAAATCATTATAATTCGCTAGAAAAGGAGAGGCCGACCCCTCTTTTTCTTGGCCGGCGGCGGCAGAAGTGGATCGAACGCAAAGTTGTGGTGCTGATTGGTGACGGTGTGATGTTGCGCCAAAATGGTGGCCAAGTTGAGTTCCGGGAACAACGTTAGCGGTGGCTCGGTGGCTGGTGGGGATGGTGGCTGGCTGGATGATTGGTGGCGGTGGTTGTGGCGCGATGACAGCGGGTGTTGCGACATTGGCGCTGTTGGCGGCGGCAGCGGCTGCATCAGTGACCACAGACTCGTGCAGAGATTCGGAGAGCTCGAGCGCTGTAAAATGAACAATGATCATTCTATTTTTGGTTTCAGCTTTTTAAACAACACTGATTCTCTGGTAAATGATTCCTAGTCGTATACGAAAAAAGCGAATTTCTTCATCGTATAAGATAAAATTAAAATCGTATACGTTAATGGTAATCGTATTAGTTAATGTGAATCATATAGGATCGTATACGATTCTGATGAATGGTTTGTAATCGTATACGAAACATCCGCATTTCCTCGTCGTATACGTTATTGCAAGGATCGTATACGATTTGGATTTTATCACAGTAGTGTAAGCACCACAATTATACACTGCGGACATGCATTAAAATTGACGTCTAAATTCGAAAAACAATTTTCGAAAATTTTCGAATTTTTTCATATTCGATTTTTATGCGTATATTGCGTTTTAATATATATACTTTCCAAAAAAATCGTGCATTTTACTGGCTCCGCTCTAAGAAATCTATATTTTCTTTGCAGATATGTCGCAAAATTCAAAACTATTTGCATATCGAAAGCGATATCGTTACACCACACGAGAAATCATGGAAAAAAATATATAGGGAATATCGGAACGAGACAGAAACAGGTGATAACAACAGAAAAAATGAAGAAAATAACTATTTTCAGAAAATAGAGAAACTTAACATCAGGTATAACTAAAAGTAAAAACAGAGCAAGATTTAATTTCTATAGATTCTATAGAATCGTCTGAAGATGAGCTCACTTGCGCGGAAGAAGATTTTGTGTCAATGTCGAGCTGTGACAACTTGCAAAGAGTCATTACGTCGAGAGGTTGTTACCGTTTTTGCATATTTTTGAAATTATTTCGCTTTAGGCCAATGGGAAGCATTATCTTCGCGAGATTTTATTTTCACAGTTTGAAACGACTATTATCGTCAGAAATCACAAAGGGAATTGGGCAAAGAATGTTGCGGAAGTATGCTTTATTATAAAATTGTACACCGTAGAAAAATTTTAGTGCTGCAATTTTGCAAGATTTGACGACCGAAGTTCGTGCAAGACTTGATTCGGACCCAACGAGAAAACAACATGATGTGTCTATCGTGAAACTGAGAAAACTGCTATTTCGATATTCGGAGAATGATGATATCGAAAAAACGACAGATGTACCACTGAAGTACTCAATGCTGGCTCAAAAAGGCGATTTGTTTACTGAGAAATACAGCTATCAAGGCTCACACTACTCAATACAAAGAAATATTGCTTCGGATAATAGCGTCGTGATGTTTCGTTGGCGAAATTCACTGCAATATGGCGATGTATTGGGATTTCTCCTCAATGAGAAGTTCGGTGACCGGGTTATTCTACAACCATACATTCTAAATGAAAGGAATCATGTTCACGGTATGTTTTATTTATTGTTCAATCATTCCAAATGTAATGGTACCAGATTCCGCGAAAAAAAGCATTAAAATCATCAAAAGCCGTAAAAAAATATCAGAACTCGTCAAAACCGGCAAAAACCATTATAATTATGGTTACCGCTGTTTGAGTTTTTGGCGAAATCTGCATAGTACCACAATAGAAACTATAGAAACCCTATACTTCCAGATAGAAACTTTATCCCAAAAATTCGCGGCAAAGCCAAACAAAAACAATGTGAGTATTTTTTTAAATTTTGCTATTCTCTAAATTTAGATCGACGTGATCGCCGTATACAACCCTGAAGCTCTTAAAGACGCAGAAATAATTATTCCATCACTGGATGGAAATAGTGGGTTTTTTGTGTTTCGAAAGCTTTGAATTTGTATTAAATCTTTTAACAGGAGACATCAACGTCGCCCAAATATTTTTGGAAATTCCGTTCATGAAGGCAGCTCTGAAGCATGTGATAAATACTACAGTCAACAGATTTGTCGATAAGGTATCTTACAATTATTTAAAGTTGCAAAAAATATCTTCAGACAATTCCCAATAACGATCGTGTGAATTATTCAACATCGTTTAAGCCAACTCCGCCGCACGCAACGCTTCCAGTTCGGTTTGTCAACACAGCGATTGGTATGCTCAAATAGCGCGAAAAATGTTTAAAATATGTTTAAATTAATTTCAGCTGTTTTACAAAAAGACGGTTACCATCGCTGGAATGGCTGACGAAACGGCGAATTCTACAATCTCCTATTTGGTACACGGTCATATGACCTATCTCCTGTGAGTTTTCACTTTTTTAGTGGGCCTATGCAGATTTTGAAAAGAAACGCAATAAAAACCTTTTAAAGAAACTCGACAACATTATAAAGATTCGGCTAAACTAGTCTTAATCAGATTTTTCGCGTTTTTCTCCAAAATCTGCACATGCCGAAGACTGCCTCATGATTAATCATTCAAATGAACTTAATTCAGAAACAATTCACGATCGAAAGCGCGAGCAGTGGAAAAAAATGGTTGATGCGCCAACCAAAATTAATTAATTTATTCCTTTTTCTTTTTCATTTTTTTGTCTTTCATATTTTTTTTTAAATAAACAGGTATAGAAATCTTTACATCATATATTTAAAAGCGTTAAAATGCCAAACGAGTAGTGTAAAGTGAAATGGTATACGAAAAAAATCTCAATCGAATACGAAAAAATCTCAATCGAATACGAAAAAATCCCAATCGAATACGAAAAAATCCCAATCGAATACGAAGAAATCGTTACCGTATATGAAGAATTGTAGTCGTATACGAAGAAATCACAATCATATACGAAGAATTATAATCGTATACGAAGAAATGCCAATCGTATATTAAGAAATCCCAATCGTATTTGGCCGCGTTTGAAGAGCGATATCAGCGTATACGATTGAGCTTTCTTCGTATACGACTCGGAATCATTTACCAGAGTTTTAAGCAAGTTTGATTATAGAAATAAATTGAATAAAAAAACGCACAAAGAAATGATTAAAAGCCACAAAATTTGGTGAAAATGAAAATTTCGAAGATTCCACAAACTTGCTCAAATAAGGGATATTAGCATAGAACACGACAACCACGAAAAACAGCACAAATGGCGAAGCATCGAAAACAGGTTTCAAAAAAAGTCCGTAAACACTGCGACGCGTTTTTGCAGACGCGTTTCCTGTCGCCGACACTCGCACCACAACCAAACATAAGTGCTACCTATCCCGTTCAAATCGACTAACCCAACGATACCGAATTGGGCGCCGTGCCCGTCGATGTGTGCTGGGATGGTGACGACGTGCTCGCGATATCTGTCGACGTCGACGCCAGAGAATTCAACACACCTATAAATGCAAGAAGCAACTTCGTAAATATCGTATGTATGGCTTTTGGTACCTGGCAGAAGCAATGTCACTGGATCGCTGGAAACGGGTAGTGTGTAGGCACCTGGCGGTGGTCCGATTTGCTGAATCGCCTGTAGATGGAATGCGGTGGAATCGCGCGAGAATTCATTGAGTGCTCGCTGCAATCTGCGGACATGTAGCGGTTTTGAAAGCATGCCAACAATCGACATGATCTCGAGAAACTCTTGCTCCTCGCATTGCATTATTTGATTGATATCGTCGCCACCTGAAAACCCCTTAATTCCTGTCAAGCTGCGAACAATTCTGAAGCGACGAACCTTGCGAGATGAATGCGTCGTAGTATTGTACCAAATTCGCGCGGCTCAACACGGCCAACAACTGCCATTCGGAGACCGTCGTCGGCACCGACATCTTCTTCGGTGGCCTACAATCGGATTACTGTAATTTCCGTTCAAGACCCCATTCATTCTTTCTCGCGTTGGTGTTCTTTTTTTCGATATGTCTGGCCCAAATTCTCGGGATGTTCCCATTTCATAAATGAATGAACGAATGAATGTCATAGGGCCGAGACGGGCCACCACGGCCTCGCAGTCGTTTTTTTTTTCGACCGCCTCTCGCACACAGTTTTTGATCAGCGCAAAAAAAGCGAACAGATAGATTGGTTCGGTTTCGCGGGCGGCGGAAAAGAAGACGGCGGAGAATAAGAAGAAGAAGAAGAAGAAGAAAACGATTGTAACATCATGGGGGCCGGATGGCCGGCTAGGGTTGCCTGACTGGCTGGAAGGTAAAAAAAAGAAGGGGGGGGATCGCGAAACTGGGTGTATACGACGATGAGGAAGGCAAAAAAAGTTGAGAAGAAGAAGACGCCTACATTGATCGATCGGCTCGAACATTTTCCAGTTTGACTGGTACACTTGTCGATGGTGTCGATGACGTTGATGTCACTGAAATATATCAATTGAGTAGAATCCCCCACCATCATTTTTTTCGACTGATTTTCTCATCAACTTTAGTTTGCAAATTTTTGTGATAATTCAATCTACTTTGATCATTAATATCTCAAACCATGTGCGGACATTGCGCGGGATCAGTGTCAACTCACATGGTGTTCTCGGCGTCGATGAGGACGGCGTCGAGCCTGATGACATTGCGGTGCTCCAGCTCGCTGAGCACCACCACCGCCACGACCCGACCGCTCGTTGAATCGATGACAATCAAATTGTTTCCAAGAATGCCGGACGCTTCGCGAAAAAAGCTATCGAGGGTGACCACAAAAAAATTTTTGAAATTCTTTTGCCACCGTGTCCCCCCTCGTCACTTGTCTCGGAAGCAGCTATTGGATAGCCGAAGTGTCCTGTTAAAACCTCTTCTTTTTTTTGTGGTTGTCAAATATTACGGTAATATTTGCAACAAATCGGCGATGACGACGGAAAAATGAATAATGAGAAGAATGGGACGAAATGAAAAAGAGGCATTTGTTGAAGGCGGATGATTTTGCGCGGACACAAAAAAAATGATGAGAAATGGATACGGAAATATTGAATTATCAATCCTTAAAAAAAGTCATCTGCGGACAAATTTCGTTCAAATGCCTACAGCTTGATTAAAAAAAGAGATTCCATTCATAGTTAGAAATGAGTGCCGCCCTCATTTTGACATCAACATCCCTAAAATCATAGAAGATGGATTCTGGAAGACCGTAATTCCGAAAGAACCATCGAAATTCGAAACTGGTTTGGTTGGTGGAGAAAAACTGACGAAAAAAGAAGATATGTTGGACGAGTCGGACGGTGAAGAAGAATTGATCAAAAAAAGAGGTTTTCGGAGACACCAAGTGTCGACATACATTCGGAATAGCGGAAAAAAAAGGGCGAAGCACTAGGCGAACGCATCTCTGTCTGAAACGACAGCGTCGACGTCGACGGGGGCGATGAAAACGAGATGGTCGGTCGTCGGTTCGTCGGGGCGGCCGCCTCGGCGCAAAAAAAAAGCAGTGCTGTGCGACGCCGCGAAACGACGAACGGATGGACGGACTGGGGGGAAGTTTCGAATTGGTGGAGAGAGAGAGCACAGACGAGAAACAGTGGAAAACGAACGGACTAGAACTGCCAAAAAAACAGACATATACACACAGAATTTAAACGAAACGACCGCACGAAACGAAAACGAAATCCTATATGATATTCGCATCGCTAACTATGCTAACTATACTAGGATACCTGCGCACCCACGGGGATCCCGGAATTGTCCGCAGATGATGGCCACTCAAACCGTGTGCTTTTTTTTTGGAGAAACATTTTTAGCGTTATCATGTTTCGAACTAGGGCTTGAAATTGGTAGACCTTGAAAAATTAATTGGAAAAAAATAGAGAGAGTGGGGGGGGAATTGAGTTGGTTCTCAACCAACACCATCCACATCGAAGCAAATACATAGACACACCTGTGGCTCGCTTAACTATACGCATAGGAAAGAAAAGAAATGAAAGAAAACGAGCCGGCTAGAGACGAGGGAATCGGCGAAAAAAATCGACAAAGAAAACGATGCGGGCCGGCCGGGGGGACACGGACGGGCGGACGGGCGGTCGAATGGTTCGCGGGCGACGACACCAAAAAAAAACAACTACAACAGACACACATCGCGCCGAAAGAACTCAACACATAGACACAACGAAAGGAAGAAGAACACCTGGGGAAAATCCCCACATCCATATATGGTTATGAAATTCAATCAGCATTATCGATGGAGCGCGTATTCTATTCCGATTTTGATGTCGAAGACACTTTTTTTTTCAAATCTATGTATCTGCGGACATTTATCAATTTTCGAATTAGGAATTTTTTTCAACTTAACTGGAAAAATACTCGATTGCTACACTACCTTTTTAAACATAAGAATGTTGTTCGAATAAAATTTTTGGTCGAAAAAAATTTAAATAAAAAAATTATTCATTTTTTCCGGAAAATTTAAATTAAAACTTTCTTATTTAAAGAATTTAAGCGAAGTAAAATCGAACGCATTGGAGAAATGGTCTCGATGGGAAAAAATCGTAGTGTAAATTTACGAGAATCGAAATGCGCGCGTTTGAGAAAGTGCGCTCCATTGCGAATTCTGCTTTTTCCGAATCTATGTTTTTTTCATCAATTCGAGAGTTTTCGCCTTTCCGACTTGCTGCTCTTGCAAACTATTCAAACACAGTGGAAATGGAAATGGATAATATTAATTACAATGCCATTTGTGAAATGTATCGAGACCCGCGCAGTGAGAAAAAAAAATACAGTCGGCTTTGCCGATTTTTAATCCTTTAATTTGCACTTTCTTCTAATTCAATAGTCAAGGACGTGGATTACTGTAAGCTACAGTATAATCTTTCTTTTTTTTTTGGAAAATTGCATTATCTAGAATTGTGTTAAGAGAATTCACATGAATGTTGGCGATTGGTGGGAAACAAGCAGTTAACTTGTACTAAATCAGTGATGTGATGTGATTGACCATCTGCGGACAAATTGCGGGCCACCTCCCTCAAAGGAAACGAACATTGACGAGCGAGGCCTTGAACAAACCAAACAATTTAAGCTGTTCATTTTTTTCTGGTGGCCGTCTGCCCTCGAAAATTGTTCGACCCCCAATTCGAACGACGCTGATCTGGCCTTCAAGTGTTTTTTTTTTTCGGCGTCGCGTAACTTCTTCTTCTTCTTCATCGCTGCCGGCGGGGGTTTTTTTTTTGCGACGGGTTCCATTCATAATAAGGTGCCAGGCAGTGCGTTCGCATATAAAAGTTTTTGATGCGCCTCTGACGGCGACTTCGCATAACTAAAGAACGAAATGGGCGATGCTTCTCATCAACGATTGCTGCGGACAATTTCATTCTCGAAATGCTTGAAACGATATGATTGGCGTGAAATGCGTTTTTAAATCGGAATTTGTTGGATATTATCAAATGTGTGCAATTTTGCGTGCATGTGTGTGAACCTTTTCAAACCCGCGCCTTTTTAAATTTCGTTTCCTCAAGGACAGCTTAAATCACGAAGTTTGCAAAAAATGGCAATGACATTACAAAAAGGGTAAGAAGGCAAATATTTGACCTACCATCCAAGACGTTGCAAATATTGATAAAATGGTTCATATGGGGGGGGGGGTAGTGTCGAACTGAAGAAAGGCCAACGGATCATGGGCGTGGATCCCGGCAGGCACCAGAAAGCACCGTGACGCCGGCGGCATTGATAAAAAAAAATAGCGAGCCTGGCGGTGCTGGGCTGGGGGTCGTCGTCGAAATTATATATCACTCCATGAATCGCTCGCTATTTTCGCACGATATCAGTGACCAGTATGTTGGACAAAAAAAGGCGAATCATGAACGAGATGGAAGTATCGGTGGGACACAGCAGCAGCAACACGAAAAAAAAATTGTGAGCGCGCACCCCGCGTCATCGTCGAGAGCGGCGTCGGCCTGCGGGTGGCGCCGGTACCGGGCACCGCCCCGAGGGTCGGTCAGCCAGCCAGCCAGCCATAGCAGCAGAACGCACGCTCGCACAAGTACACGGCAGCGCAAAAAAAAAAGAAACGACGAAGCAGCAAGATAGGGCATAAAAAATGGCTGGCCTGGCACCGGGTAGCCCTCCTCGTTGGGGGCACCCCTCCCCCCCCTCCTCTCTCTCCTCCCATTTTTGATGTTCGCCCCCCCCCCCCCCGTTCCTCTACGAACAACACACACACGTTCACATAAAAAAAATTGCGAATGGCAGAGGAGAAGGGGGGTTGAGGAGGCGAAGGCAAAAGCGCGCGTGCGCCATCGCTCAGAACGGCAAAAACCTCCACCATCGCCACCACCACCACCAAAAAAAAATGAGGCGAATAGGCCCATTGAAAGACAAATGGATGGTTCGTCATTCCACTTTTCGACGACACCAATTTATGGCCAATTTATTAGTTTTTACGTGTCCCTTTTTTCTCTAATTCCATCTCTCATCGCCCCGCTTTTTTTTTGGTGGTTCGTTTTTTGACCATCACATGTCCAGTGTCTGCTGCGGACAATTTTGCACCGGGGAATGCAAAATTTGAGCCTCTCACGTGATTATCTCTAAAAAAAAGTAGACATTGACATGATTCTTGCGCCAGCGTATTCTCGATTTCCACTTGTTGCATTTCATCTGCGGACAATTTCAAATAATTTATTGCAACAAAAAAACAAAAAACCCGTATCAAATGCACAAAATTCGAAAAAAAAAAAAACAAATCTCATTTTGCCAAATACTTTTGCGCAATACTATTATCGCATAATTGCATATTATGCCAATTGGATAAATTTGAGTACGAATTCCTTCGCTTCGAGACCTCTTCGGGATACTGTAGCACTTTGCACAACTCGCAAAATCCGAGGAATCCATCGCCAGCGATCACCCTGAAATTTGTTAATGAATCAGTGTATAACAAAATCGATCTGCCGACAATTTTCGAGGTTCGACTCACTTATAATCAGTCCTCCATTTATGGTATGACATATACAATTCTTCATCGTTTTCCACCTTCTTCACAAATTTCACGAATTCGTCGAGACTTCTGAAATCGTCGATGGCGATGTAGGCCGAGTCGGGAACCTTGAATCGAATCAGTAAATGAATGTGGTGTCGAAAATCAAATCAATTGAAAACTCACACCCAATTCTCGATAATATTTTCTGGCGAGCACAATCGGCACCGCGAAACGATCATTCAGCGATTTCCAGAATTTTTCCGTCACATAATGTTTGCAATTGGAATTTTCGAGCGCAATGTAGAACTTATAAGGCCTAAACATCGTTCTGTGATAACATTTCAAAAATTGAATTGAATTAATGAACAATCTATGGTCAAAATCGAGCGACTGCCAGAAATTGGCCAAAAAGAAAAAAAGCAATGACAGTGGTCTTGGCGCAAAACTATAAGTGTAGATTTACGGGGCCATGCATAACAATAGGTGAGATCTCTTCATTATTTTTTTTTTCCGCGCGACATCGACAATTTCCTCTTAATAGAAAAAATGATTCCCTTAAAAACCCCCATATTGATAAGCCTATTCTTAATATGGGGAAAAAGCAAAAAAAAAAATTTGGAATCAATTTCTAATGTCCATTTATGGTCGGCGTCACGCGATTGCAGGAAATTGGCGAAATGCCAAAAGAAGACTGCTTCTCATTTAAAAATGCATATCTTTTTTTTATTTCCAAGAAAAACAATTAATTAAATTAATTAATGTTGCAAAAACTCGATGTGCCATTGAAACTGCTTATATTTTATTAATTATGAATATAATAGTAGTGTGAAACTCGATAAAATTTTTCAATTCAAATTTTCTGCGAAAAACACGGCAAAATTCATGGGTGTTTTTTTGCGCCACAGTGTTTTCACTCTTTTTCATCCATTAATTTATATATGTTTTCTGATTTAGTAAACCTCAAATGTTAATAAATAGCCAAAAATAGAGATTTTATTAACGAGAAAATTCAAAAATGAGCGCAAGTCCGCAAACACCGCTACGTATATTTGCGGCAATTCAAATGTTTTCTTATTTCGTTGAAAATTTTCGATTTTTAAATAAACAGTGAATTTTCGACGAAAGATTTCGGCAGGAAATCGATAATTTGTGAAAACGGTGAAAATTGCCAAAAAATGAAAATTCGAAGGATGATTTTGAGTTTTGTTTGGGGACCTATTTTTTGAATGGAAAACCCCCATAAGAATTTCAATAAAAAACTTGAATACTCAAGTTTTTTTTAAATTAAAAACTTCGTGACGCGAATTTTTTTTAATCCAATATGGAAATCGAGAATTTCCGTATTATTGAAAACCTCGTACCGGATGAGTTCGGCGACACACGGCTGGCCTTGTTTGTCAAGACCGGCACAAATTGGCGGCGGTTTTCCGCAAGCTCCCCACACATCAATCTATTAAATTTGAGTTTCAGCAAAATCTCGAAATCTCGAACACATACTTGAAGCCCTTTTTCAATCATTTTCCTTATCAAATCCATTCGTCCATTCCTCGGATGGCAATTCGATCCGAGCCACGTGGCACTTTTTGTTTTCCACGACCAAATCTCGTCGAAATCGATTTCAGCTAAACATTTTCAGCATTCAAAACTTTTTCGAATTTTGTTTTATTGTTTGAGAGACCTTTTTGTTTGAGCTTCACCATTTCACCATATGGCGCAAAAATGTCAGCGTCCCTTCGATACGTCATCGTCCAATTGATAACATTCGCTTCGGGCCGATAGCCATCATTCGACGGGCTTTCAAGGGACCATAAAACAAACGGCACATTCGGGTCTCTTGTCGAGAGCAAATCGCGAAGTCGCTTATTCTTCGAATAATCCGCATTATGGAATAAGATCGCGTCGGGTTTGACATTTAAATCCTCGCGAATCTCGCAAAATCCCTAAAATTTTGTGAGTGGAAGATTTTCAACCAGAAAATGAGGACACATCCGGATTTGCGAAAAAAAAAACAATTTTGAACTTTGCGTTTTAATTTTCATGAAGCTTAAAATCTCACGGTGGTTTCTGTGCAGCTTGAGAGAAATCGTTGCGTCGTAATGGGCATATTGAAGAATTTGGTCGCTGCGTAAATCGTGACTTTCTTCCGATTCGTCCAATTCTTTGCCACTTCAGGAGATGCTGCAAAAAACGACAAAATGTAGGGACTCTCGAGTGTTGTCCCAAAAAAAAACGGGGTCCGGCCCGTGTTTGAATTCCCGCCACAACAAATAGGTGATTATGACGTCATTCCCGAATATGTCCGCACATTTTTTTTACAATGAAATTGATATTTTTCAAAAAAAAATTTTTTTCAGAGCCCCGGAGGTTTCTATAAAAACACGGGCATCGCTCAGACGTTGTAACGGACGAAGAAGGTGAATCAGAGCGAAGGCCCGATGTGATTAGCCGAGGGCTAATGAGTCTGACCCTAAACGTCTCAGGTCTCACACCATTTTGAGCCTGCTCGAGTCGGTCACCGCCGTTGGACATTTTTGTCCGCGCGGCTACCAATCAGATAAGGATGAATAGAAAGAAAAAAAATCGACAAATTTTCAATACAAAAAATTCTTTTATTCTAATTTTAAATTCCTTTTCTCTGAGTCGCCCGTTATACCGAGAAAAGCCAAACACAAGCCTTCCAGGCAGTCGCTCGCTCTCATTTCTCGTGGCCGCGAATAATTAGTCCACGGCGCATTCCACGTCCGCCATTTTTTTTCGAAACTTTAATTTATTTTCTAGATAAAAAAAATTTTCTTTTTCGCATTTTTTGCTAATTTTTTTTTATAAACACATAATCATCGTTGGAGAGCGGCATGTACGTAAAATGATTGGTGACTAAAATATTTCAAGTTGCGAAGTTTCAGAACGGCTTCGATCTTTTTTGTATGTAAATAATTTTAAGTAGTGGATTGGCAAAATTCGTTTAACTTAAATTTCTATTTGCTACTTACTTGTTTTTAAATAATTTTTCATTTTTGAGTTGAGTGCAATTATAGAACCGGGTTTTTAGCCTAATACACTGCACAATATGAAATAATGAATAAGCCATATTCGGAAGGGTCAAATTAGCTCATAATTGTGTCAAAAATTGAGCCAAATAGCCCATTAAAAACCAACATTGATATTCGACGTTATTCGGTGCTCAATGGCGGCCAATATTCGCGCACTTACATTCATTTTTTGCTGCCTTCGGTCCGAACTCGTAAAAAACGAAAATGATGAAGAAAATATAAATGAATATCATAAACCAACGCGATAAATATCGCGTGGTTATTTGAAAATCGGCCATCTGAAACGAAAGCGAATCATTTGAGACGAAACGAGGTTGAATGACTGAGTTGACATGGCAACATAATATAGAGAATGAGTGTCGTATATATATTTATGTGTATTTGTTGATTCCTACGGACCTATTCAACATCATGCAAAATAGTCAATTTTAGAATTGAATTTAATAACATAAAATTCGGAAACACTGAATAGAAATCCCCATTAATAAAAATAATATTCGAGGAGCAGCTATTCAAATCAACTATGTCAATAGGGAATCAAAAATGGAATTATGATATAAAATAATATTAAAATACTTTTTCTTTTTCATGCAAATTCTACCAAAAACGGTCTTTTGCAATGTTTGCTTTTATCCACACTATTTCTTGTTGACATCTATCAATCAATTTACCACCTCATTGATAAGAGAGGGCAGCCATAGCATATATGTATATCATATAATATAATATATACATTAAATTGTATCCAAAATTATTGTCAAAAAAAAAATATCGGATTTCCGCAAACACCGCTCTAAAACCTTTTTAATTTCTTGGGAATTTTTGAGTTTTGATGGCATCTTCAAATGTAAAATTTTGGAACAAAAAAAAGAAAAATAGAAGGAAGAAGGCATCTGCCGGCATTTTAAATATAGTGACATTCGCAGATTAAAAAACTTGCTAAATAAATTTCCGAGACTTCCTTATTTGCCTAGAAAAATTAATAGAATTTTGTTGAGAAAAGCGACATTTTGGGCGATAAGTATCGAATGAACTCCAATCGAAAAAAAAAGACGTCATTTTGAATATTTGGTCTTTCAAGAATTGAGGAAATCATTCGATAATTGGTGCGTTTTTGAATTCAAATTGACAATCAAAAATTGATTTTTTCAGACAAAGAATAATTCTTAAAAACGTTTCTTTTTCGTGAATTTTTTAAGAATTTAAATGTCAAAAAAAAAAACAGTTTAAAAATTGTTTTGTTTTCCAATTTTGCAACAACGTTTTTTAAAATTTTTCTCAAAAATTAAAATTAAAAAAAAATAGCGATTAGTTTTTGACTATATTGTCGAAATCGAGTGTTTGCGGAATATTGGCTAAATGCCAAAAAAAACAATTTTATTGGTCTCGACGCAAAATTGTTTGGCATTTCGCCAATTTTCCGCAATCGCGCGACTCCGACAATTCATACAACAATCAATCATACGGAACTATAATTTAGTTGATTTTTGAAACTAAAATAAAAATATTGAACATTTTACAAAAGGGAACAAAATCTCAAAACAAACAGTACGATTTATTTGAAACGATTTGAATTCCAATTTTGGCGATAGGCCTCACGACGAGTTTGTTTGATCATTTGGTTCGATGGTGCGAGACAGAACCGAAATATCTAATGCGATTACTAGTTCATTGGATATTTTTGACAACAGTAATGTATCAAATGGATTTGAAAATCTCGATGGATCTTTTAACAAAAAAGTTTTTAAAGGGAAATACGTGGAAAAATGAGCTGCAAACATTCGTATGATTCTATTGAAAGAATTATTAATTTTTTGTCAATGCATTCATGTTTAAAGAGGGCAAAAATGAATGCGAAGGCTACGAGAAAAAGAATGCAGTAATATCGGGGAATCGGCAATCGAATGGAATGCTTCCATCAGAATCCAGAGTTGATTCATATGATACCTGATCCATCTGCAAATTTGAAAATGAATTGCAGCATTCCAAATTCAATTCAATAATTTTGTCGGTGTCAAGCGACTGATCAAAATCCGAAAAATTTAGGTTTCGCTTTTGTCGCGAAATCGACAATTTTGTCATGCGCCTTTGATGTATTGTACTGTAGTTTTGCATATACTCGATACGCAGCCAAATCGAAAATTCTTGTGAGATATTTTGTGCAGTTGAAGGTTTTAAATTCCGTCCGCCGGAAATCAGCCATCCGTTTTCGACAATACATACAGTGCTGACCATGAAGAAATCAAAAATGGTTTTTTTGAGAATAACTTTTTCAAAAAATTTAAAAAAATCCCAAAAAAATTTTTTTTCAAGCATGATGCAATTTGTTGTCTGCATTTGTGCGTAATGATGCTGCGTACACACTCCAAGAATTTTAGAGTGATTGGACTACTTTTAGAAAAGTTATGCTCAAAAAACCACTTTTTGATTTCTTTATGGCCAGCACTGTACGATTGTTTGGTTCTTATGGTGGCTTCATGATTCTGCACCGCTCGAAAAAACGGTTTTGGACCACTATGCGATTACTTTTTAAGATCCTAATATAAAAATAGGTAAATTTAGGTTATTTTTGATGCTGAACACGATTTTCACACTAGTTGGTCTCAAAATATCGAAATCATTATGCGGTGCTCAAATTCGGGATGATCTTATAATTCTGCAACCGTAGAAGGCAACTAGGAAAATAAGGAAAAATCCTGTTGATTTCAGAACTTCAGGAATAATTCTTGACAAACGAGTCTCTCTGTTTTTTTTTTTCATGGAGAATTCTAGAATCGAGAATCTTATTATCGGGAATTTTGTTGGATTTGAAATTTCCCGAAATTTTCGGAACCAATCAGTTTATATTCGCATAATTAATTTGTTATTGGTTGTCAAAAAAAAGGTCCCCATTCAAAAATGTGTCGTTTGTCGAATAGTTTTGGTTAGCACAGTCACATCGATCGCCGCGCACTACAGTAATCATCATTAAACGGGTATGTTGTCCCAAATCTTGTCCACAATTTCCCTCATTTTACTGTAGGATTGTTTTGATTGCGCAGTTGGATTCCATTTCATTTTGCGCCAAAAACAATTTCTAATCAATTAATTATGTGGAATCCGGTTTGGCGGCGGCGGCGGCGACCCCCTCGTCAGACAATCGCGAGCAGCACATTTCAAATGGACATCGCCGTCGGAATTGATTGATATTATAGGTCATATAGTAATGAACCGTATATATTATTGATAGTTTCACATTTTATGACAAGCTCTTAAATTTTTTTACGATATAAAGCGAAGAAATCGAACGGAAAAATTGTCCGCAGATGAAATGTGATGTAAAAAATAAAGTTTTGCACTGTTGGCCCATTGTGGCAATTTTTAATTGCAATGACAAGGAAATGACAAAAAAAAAATAAAAATATGAATTGATTCGTGGCGAGACCTTGCCAAAAATCTCTATAGTTTTAAATAAAAATTTTTGATAACTTTTGTAAAAATGAACTTACCAATTTTTGAGCCAATCGAGCTCAATTTTAAAAAAGCAAAAATTGCGAGATGTTTCGATGAATGGAATTTTCAAATTGAAATGACCTTTTTTTTTAAATATTGTTTTCCCTTGAATGTTTAATTAGTAGTCTTTACTAGTAAATTTACCCCGTATATTCTTCTCGGCACTCGTTATTTCATTTTTTTTTTCAAAATTATTCAATATTTTTCAGAGATTTCTGAAAGAATATCTTATTGCTTCTCAAATCGAAAATTTACCGAAGAATCAAACATTTTCTATTATGAGAATAAAAAAAAATCGCCTCAAATGAAATGGGCTTGAATGATGAGAATTCGTGTTGCATCACACCTGCCAAACCGGCGAGAACAACACAAAATCCAGTTCCATTTCGATCCGATCCTCTCGAATTTCGATCCGTTATCACCCAATATCATTTGCCTTCCATTTTTTGGAGGCCAAAATGAGAAAAATCATAATAATCGTCGCATTTCTTTTACGAAATTCTCTAGCTGCTGATGGTGGTTTGTTTATTTTTTTTTTTGGCATTTAAAATATATTGGCCGATTTCAGACGCTTCGTTGTCGGCCACTGTGTTGGGAGGCGACATCGAACCGTTCGATATACCCCTGGAAGAATTGGAGAAGGATACGAAACAGGTGACGACACTCACCGAGCAGTGCAAACGATTCGTCAACCATTACAGGTATTTTTTTATTTTATGTGGTCCCGCAACGATATTATATTATGTGCAATTCAATTAAGAATTATTGGCGGCGAAAATTGGCTAAATACCAAAGAAATAATGACAATGGTCTTGGCTCAAAATTAATAGTGTAGATTTACGGATATTTTAAAGGCGCATACCGAGACCTCATTTTACAATAATTTGGCTTTTAGCCAATTAAAAAAAAGTCATCTGCGAACAAATAAAATTGTCCGCAGATGGTATTCAATATATGAAAGTGAATAGTGGTTTTTTTTGGATCACGGAACAGCATTAATAAAATATTGATCATCTGCGGACAATTTGCAAAATTGAATTAATTGAAGATATTATTGTCGAACGTCGAATCTTGCGACGTACAATGAAGAGATTCGAATCATTTGCGAGAGATACCGAACCTATTGCTCTGATCGTGTCTATCCCACAATCAATCATGTAGGTTCAGCATTTAAGAAACGGCGTTTCTAATAACCCGAAATCAATTTTTTTTTTGAAATTCCTTATTTTAGATTCGACGCCAAATCAAATTCTGGAAGACGTCGGGCCTTCCGAAGGCCACTATCAACACACTGTCGACGTGCTACAGTCATTGTAAGGAGACCGATCCAGTTTGTGTGAATGCCTGCGAATGTCTGCATCTGCAATGGATGATGAACTATGAATGCTATCCGGGCACACGAGCGCCTGCTTATAATAATTGTCAAAGGTTTGAAGTTCATTTTTTTTTTCATTGAAACAAGGAAAATTATTAAAAAACACTTTGCATCTTTTTTTTTTCAAAAATTATGTAAAAAATCACCTGCGGACAAATAGAATGGGCCGATTCGCGTGGATTCTCACAAGGGAAGTCATTATACCTCCCGTCTTAGGATTTTTTGTAATTTTGCATACGTAAACTAGAAGGTCTTTTGAGTGTATTCACAAAATTCCAGCCTGCACTGGGGGGTTACAGGCGAGTTATGGCCGTCTGAAAAATCAAGGTTGTCAGAGTTTAACTCGAAATTTGAATTGCCGCCCATTGCAATTATTATTTTATAACATAGAGTTACTCCAGATGGGCAGCAAAGTGTCGATTCGTGTGGAAACCTCGTCAAGACTACACGCCCGCCGATTATTCGCCAATGGCGCCGCCGCCAATCGTACGCGGCGTATTTTATGGCTACGACGGTCTCGCGACGCATCGGATATTCGATCGGCCACGCGATCACGGCGTGTCGTTCTGGAGAGGAACCAACACGGTGCTTGTCGATTGGCCGGAAGGTCTCAATATATATTTGATTGGAATGAAGCAATTGAAATGAGTTGCAGGAAAAGTCGCCGGAGGAACGACGATCGAGGTGCCATTCGCCGGCGTCAACGTCATTCCGAATCAATACAACATCGGATTCCCGAACATGCAGCGAGCAATGCGAGAGTTCACCAAACAGAATCCCGACCAACTCAATCCGGGAACCGGAAGGATGTCGGCGCTTAGCATGATGCAAAGATCCTAATAATTCCAACACTAATAATAATAATAATAATTTCTAATAATTACCCAATAATTTATAATATCGATAAAAATCATTCAATATAGGATTACTCGCAAAAAAAGGATTTTCATTTTTTTTTCAAAATTTTCAAAAAAATTGTGTCGGCGTTAAAAAATTTTTATTGCTTAATCCCCATCCCCCCCCCCAAAACTAGTCAATTCTTTTTGGGAAACTTTAATTTTCAATTTTTTAAGCTTATTTCCAACAAAAATCGCTTCGAGACCATTTTTTGTGAGAACGAACAAATTTTGATATTTGCGAGAAATTGGTGCCGTCGGAACAATCGTGCAACGCTTCTTCGATGGTCCCTCAAATGTTAGCCTCAATTCGACGGCAATTCCAGTCGTTTTTTTGTCTCATTAATCACTGTGTTTCCAAAAAATTCACTCAATTCGAAGATACACACACAGTCCTTACGTAGTTTCGCTATCAGTTGAACTGTTCTTTTTTTTTGGTCTGTCAATGTCGATCTATGTGTTCCCATTATTCTGACAAATTGCTATTAATCAATCGAAACATTCCACAATGTGGCAAAATGTTTCAATTCAACATTCGTGTTTCAACGTGACAATTTGGAAATCAATATTTCTATTTTTTTTTGCTCTTTAGTTTTTTTCAATTAGGATAGTTTGAATATGTGGTAGAAGGGTAAAAGAGCAATAAGAAAACATAATAGGACATTGAAAATTTGAGAAATTAATTTTAAAAAATATGTGCAAGTTTGCGTCGGCGTGCAAACAGACATTCGAACCAGAGCTGCACAGAATTCCGTCTTCCGTGTTCCGTTTGAAATATCTCCCAATACCAAGCACGTCTAGCGAATCTAATAAGCTTAAAAACCACAGCCGGAGAAATTTGTTCGACAAAAAGAAGATACTTGTCGAATGAGCAAATCTCACATTTTGCACTGTTATTTTCAAAATATATTTTCAAAGTGTTAGATTTATTAACTTTGTGTTCCGTTTTCTGTAATAAATTTTTGCTCCGCCTTCCGTCTTCCGTTTTTAGAAAATTTCAGTTCCGTGCAGCTCTGGTGTGCGGCAAACGGATAAATTAGCATTTCATTGAGATTCTGGCAGATTTCACTGAAATGCGTGTAATGTGCCTTTAATGTATCGTTCCGTAAATCTACACAGTGCGTTTTTTTTTGCCAAGCCCACTTCCAATGGTATTTTTAGCATTTAGCCAATAGAACTATCAATTAATCTAACCAGCGAACCCTTAAAATGTCCGCAGATGCAAACTACCATATATGTGCGAATTTTTTATTTATTCACTCTAATTTTGAATATATTATCTATCTGAAAAAATTGGAATCGCAAAAATAGGAGAATCTTGATCAATTGTGGACCATTGCACTATTTCGAAGCGGAAATGAAACACTCCGAATTCAGGAAATAAAATTTGGAATATTTGAAAAAAATTAGTATCAGATGGAAATTTTACTAAAATTATCTTTAAATTTTCAAATTTTCGAGAAACGATTTGAGAAGTTCATGGATTGTTAATGAAAAGAAAAAAATGAAAGTTGCATAAATTAGCTTCCCCGATTTGTGGTCCCCCCCCCATATATGCTTCCTCCCAATTTCATCGCTAATCTTAAGGCATTCGACCAGCACGTCGTAAAACTCGTCATGATCCGTCATATGTGAGTAGTATGTGTGCTATGCAACAATGCACACAAGACGGGTTTTTAATTGCCAATAGAAACCAATTTGTGCGAAGGAGGAGGTCGACGAGAGCACGAGTTTATGATGAGCCCACCCTTCCACCGCTCGTTTCCAACATATGTTTTCTTGGCTTTTCGTTTTCCAATTTCGCCATTCATTCATTCATTCATTCATTCGTCAAAATTACACACACACACACACACATAGAGACAACAATTAAAAAGCATCGACAATCTGCACACAATTTTAATTAGGGACCACCTCGTCTTCCTACTACGGTAGATGACGATGAGCTTTTTCTTTACTTTGAACCGCACACCCACTTTTTTTTCGCTCTGCTCCAGCTCATGAAGCCTGAATGAGTGAGTAAAACAAATTAAATTGGAAGCAGTCAGGCTCATACGGCTTTTGTTGACATCTAAAACGAAAAGAGCATACGGTAGCTTCGTTGTTTTCCTTTCTCGTTTTATAATCATTAAAAAACTCGTCATTATTATTATGATTAGTTTTGGTTCTGGTGAACGACGAACTTAATTGAAACCGGAAGAATGTCCGCAGATGGAATTATTGTTAGATTTGTCAAGTGACTTTGATGGTTGATTTATTGCAATACGTACACATGCATTTAGGTGATTATTTTCTCGGTGTTGAGTTGTGAGACCCGTGAAATGTCCGCAGGTGCAGGGGATGCAACAATTTGCCCGCAGATGTCCGCAGATGCATATCCATATCCGAAAATTGTTCCCGCATCCCCACACCGCGCACAGGCAGACACTTGGCCGCCATCGCTGGTGTGAAAAACATTTGAGCGGAATCATCAAAAAGTGTTTCATTAGCCATCGGCTGCCAAAAACCGAGTGCTTTCTCTAATGAGATTCGTTGTTAACTGTGTGTCGAGCGAAAAACGCGCGGCTCAAATGAACCGTAGTCCAAATTTGTGTGTGTGTTTCGGAATCGCCGCGTCGAAACGTCTCAAAAACATTGCCATATATGGTGCCCTTTTTGATGTCCGCCGACGGTTTCGACACGAATGAAACAGATGGTTTATCATTGACACATGATCTACGTTTATACTGAAATGACTTTTGTGGATTGCCTACTTTTATACTTCTACCTGCGGACAAAATACAGGTTCAAAACAATTATATCAATTTGTATTGTTTTATGTTATGAAACCAACCATTTTTTATTTTATAAAGTAGTTTAAAGACCCCACATGATTCTATGGCAATAAGTGACCATTAAATGTCTTAGCTAACCATACTTAGTTTAAAATAGTTATAATAGTAAAATAAATTAATTTTTTTCTTTTGCAATAAAATTCAAACAAAATCTGCTGGGATTTTCATTACACGGAATTTTATTTGAAAGGATTACACACATAAGCCCAATTTGCGCGCGAGCCACCGCTTCACAGTTGTGTTTACACAGGTAAAACGCTGTGATCCAGAGTTGAGTCTTCCGTGACTCAGTCAGCGTAAAAATCCGGGTACAAAACGTGACCAAAATGTGACTCAATTATAATCATTTTTGACACTCGGTGTTCAATCTAAGACTATTCTGTGATCCAAAGTTGAGTCTTTCGTGACTCAGTTGGCGTAAAAATCCGGGTACAAAACGTGATCGAACGGTGACTCTATCATGATCATTTTGGAGATTCAGCGTTTGGATGTAACAGAACGTTGTAATATATATATTTATTTAGTTACGCAGAGAAACAAATTTGAAACAAGTTACCAAGCATAAAATCGTAAAAGTTACAAACGAAGCGGATTTTGTGATCCGAAATTCTGGCTCTCGTTGACTGTCGAGATGCTGTCGTCGAATGTTGACACATTTGACGGCGATTCGGTATTCTGGTGGTCGTCGATCTGCGCCTTTCTAGAGCAACAGTTTTGAGATATAATAAGAATTGTCCAACTACCTGTGCTTCGTCAACTTCATCAGCAACTTTTCTGTTTTGTCTTTGTTTTCCCATAGTTTGCGATAACTAAAAGTTCAAAAATTTTAGTTCGGAAAAAATTCTTACATCTGATTTTTTATTGCTGATTCTACTCTCGCAAGAAGTATTGTCTCGATGAAGACGTTGGTCGCGACACGAAATCCAACTTTAAGATATTCTTAAGAGCACTTTAATTTAATTTTAACTTCGTTTTTTAAAATTTCGTACCAGCGATATATTCGATGACCTCTTTATCGATCGGCGCAGATTTCGTGCTTTTTAGCGAACTCGGCAGACTACATAATATTTGTCTTTCTCAGAGATCTACAAATAACATTCATCGAAAGATTTTTAAATATTCCGCCCTTTCAACCTCTTCACATATCAGTGTATTTGTCTTAACTCATTTGATTTTGACCTTACAATCGGCTTCCTCTGTTCCTCTTTCTTGAACGCTTTAATTGCCATGACATCTAGTAAACTCGAAATAAATTCGCTTGGATTCGTACCGCCGCCGTTGGCTGCACTTAGGACGTTAACATCGAAATCCGCATTGTCATCATTGGGAAAATCGGACACCTCTGCGTCCTGCGGGCGCTGGAATAATTTTTAAAAACACTATTTCCTAAACACCCACCTTTTCGGTGTTACTTTCGCCCGTTGGCGATCCCATTTGAAACAACGACACGTAGGGGCTGAAATAATTGAAAAAACGCAGCGAAAACAAAAAAAACGAAATAAACGGACTTTTACTTTTTTTAATACTAATGTTGTTATGCAGATTTTGGCGAAAACTCAAAAAAACTGGTTTTGTACAATCTGAATTGGGTTTTAATTTTTTAAATAGTCTTTTACGGGTTTTATTTTGCCAAATCTGCATAGCACCATTAATAAATTGGAAGAAATGTATGCACTTTGACAGGAAATGTCGAAGAAAAAAAGAAAAAAGTGAGACGCAACCCGATCGTGATGACAACAGAGGAACAGAGGAAAAAACAGAGTTATCTTCATGGGTGGTCTCCATGTTTCGCGCTCTATCGCAATCGCACGCGCACGCGTCGCGTTACCTTTTTATTTCGCAAATTATTTTTTAACATATTTTCCCGCTAAATTTTAATTTTGATGTTTTCCTTGCAGAAATATTTTAAAATGGTTTTTTTCCCATTGTTATTTTTTAATATTTTGTCCATTCTTGCTTTATTACAGAGAATTTTTCAGAAAACAACCCAACAATGTCATAAGCAGAGTCATTCGGATATTCGGTGTTCTCAATAGGCACTAGTTCTTTCTCTCCGGTTAGTTTTCCGTGAACTGTTTCAGTGAAACCTCTCAAGTTTCTATTATATCAGTAAGGAGTTAAATGATATTGTAAATAATCTGGATGTGTTTTAATTTTTTTAATGACCTTTTATGTCACTATGGATTTGAATTCTTAAGTAACTTTCAGGCCATAAAACGTCTGAAATTGTAATATATATTTAACATAGTCGACCAAATAAATTAAATTAACTTTTTTCAGATTACTTGATGTTCCACCAACGTGTTCCATGGACTTCTATCGTAGGTTTTTAATCAACTTTTATATATTTTTTGAAATAAAATAGTTTCATTTCATGTTTGTTTCATTGTTGAACATATCAGTTCGTCCACTTATTTGGGTCTCTTTGTTCACTGTACCAGATATTTAGTACTGATAGTTCTCGTTTCTAGTTTTAAACTGAAATTCGGAATCAAATGATAATTTTATCAAAAATAAACAAATATCAATAAAAGTGTAATGTTGTAACTGCAGCTCTGCTTGGTGGTCGTCTTCGAAAATACTTCATCCTCGACACATTCACACAAATCTGTCATTCCAATCCTGTTTTGTACTAATCTGAAACAATATTCCCTTTTTTGTAGTGGTTTCGGAGTCAAGTACGCTCCCAGTGAACGAATCGTGTTCAAATTTGGAACTTTATAATTATGTAGTGTTAATATGTGCACAGATGATGCATGCACTCTCGTGAGGATGGGTCACAGTTGACACTCAGCGTCTTGTCACTTGTCAAACGCCGAGCCTCATATGTGAATCAAAACGGGTCACACTTCATGCTCAGCGTTTTGTCATACGCCGAGCCTCAAATGTGAATCAAAACGGGTCACACTTCATGCTCAGCGTATTGTCAAACGCCGAGCCTCAAATGTGAGCCAAAGATGGGTCACAATTAACGCTCAGCGTACGTTCAGTCACAGTTGGTACATGTTTGACATTCGGCGTTTTACCTGTGTAGTTCAAACACTTTCGCTGTTGCACCTTGCCTCGCGGGTTCAATTCCACCCATCGGCTGATACCATTTTTGCAAGTTTTTTCGTCTCATCATGAAACGTTTTATTGTCGTCAATAGGTTGGTTTCAAGGTTGTCGGAAGCGTTAATAGGCCGCAACCCGCCTCAAGCTACAGTAACCGCAATTCCCAGGCCAATATAACGAACATCATCACCCAATTATCCTAATAAGTATCTTCATCAATAAATGATGTTGTTCGCCCAAAAAAAGAAACGCACGGTAATAGTGAAAAGGAAGAAGACGACGAAAAACCGGGCGAAAAAAAAACGGAGAATAAGTGTGGCCGGCGTTGTCGCCTCGTGTGCGGCGACGAGAAACCCTTTTAATGAGATTACTTGCGAACAATATGGAAATCAAACCGAACGCTCATGAATTATTCGGTCCGACCGAAAAAAAGGGCCCCGGCGTAGACATCGCGGGGCCACACACAATGTGAGAAAATGATGAATTATGCTGGAATACGGTATGAGTGATTGATTAATGATGAACTGAACTTTTTTTTGCCAACTGAGGAATTCATATCGACTACTCATCATTTCGAACCGGTCCATTCTCATAATATATTCTAAATATGGTATTTATTGGAAGTTGGATCAATGGGTGATCTATTAAGTGTGTAAAAAAGTTTTCTGGATTACGATTGCCACATGCGAAATAATATATGGATTTTCTTTTTTAAGTTGCCAAAAAAACTTTTAATCATTTTCATCTGCGGACATTTTCAATTTATTTCTAGAAGTGCTAAATACTCTTTTTATTTTGAAAGAATTTTCATCGAGAGTTGTCAGAAGCAATTTTTTTTTGAAATCGTTATTTAAAAATTATTTAGCTTATAATTCAAAAGGAAATTATTAAACATTTCCCATCTGCGGACACTTTAAGGGACAATATTTCAATAAAAAACAGGAATTTTTAATAATGAAAAACAAAAACCCATTGAATCTGGCATATCTGTAAACACAATTGATTTGGCGGCGCACAAGAAAAAAGCGGTCTAGATGGGTCCGAAGGCATGACGGAACCCTCGAAGTCAATCAGTTTGATTCATTAGAGGGCTCGGGGGTTGATTCGAGGTCGACACACCGATTCGCAGCGGGACATCATCGCAATTCATGGCCGCCGCTTCAATTCGTTTTTTTCGACCTTCTCCTCCCAAATATGAGGGGCCGAATTTCAGAGCTGCTTATCATTTCGGGATACTCGAAATGTGTTAAAACGCAGCGTGTTCATGTCGAAGACAAAATTGTCAAAAAAAAACACACACACTCGACTACACACGACGATTCCTACCGTAGTCTCGATGATGCGGCGCCGCTGACTCGCTGACTCCGCCCACTTTTCAACCCCACGAAGCGCCGCCCATTTTAGGCCTTTTACGGCGCGCGCGCGCGCGAGTATTGTTTGGGAGGAGGCGCGACCGCACTGACAAATATGGAAAACAAATGAGATTGTGCTGACGAATTAGCTGAAGTCGCACGTTTTGTTTCATTCGCCTTCTTCCTCTTCTACTACTGCTTGCTTCTACTCATATTCCGACGACGGCTACTGTGTTACCTTATTAGGATACCATATAATATTATTCGCAATGCCACGACCTGGAAAGGATTCATACGACGAGCAGGTGGGTGCTTAGAAGTTGCTTGCTTGCTTCCTGATCATATAGAAAGGACCTCGGAAAAACTTGGACCATTTCGATTATTCAGGTAGTGAAGGCACATTCGAATAATATGGCTAGAATTTCTAGAAAATTCTCCCCTATTTGATTTCTTGAAATTGAAATTTTTTCGCTGAAACGTCACATTTTACTAAATTTGGACTCTTCCCCAAAATTAGCAATGCTTAACAGGCCAAATTAGCTTCTTCTTCTTCTTCATCTCCAAACAGCTTAACTTGGTTTGTTGGCAATTCATGAATATGTCCGCAGATCATATTTTTCATTCAAATTTTCGATACCTTCAAACCACCTCATAATGAAAACCATGAAAATGTCCGCAGCTGAAATTCGATTTATATTTGGGGTTTGGTCGCTTTCAATATTCATTCTCCCCCAGGAGGTGTGAAGATATTCGCCGCTCGCTCACCGTTTTCGTTTCAATCGTTCGCCCGCCACCTACAGTAACCCATCATGCTGTTATTGTTGTTGTTGTTGTTGTTGGTGTTGATTTAATTGGCGTCACCACCAATTTCCAGAAACCGCCGTACTCGTACATTTGGCTGACATATATGGCGATTCAAGATTCCGATGAGAAGATGCTGCCGCTCACCGAAATCTACAAGTACATCATGGATCGGTTTCCGTTCTACCGCAAAAACACGCAACGCTGGCAGAACTCGTTGCGCCACAATTTGTCGTTCAACGATTGCTTCATCAAAATCCCGCGAAGAGCCGATCGTCCCGGAAAGGTACGTGGCATCAGCGGTGGATCTGATCCGATCCGATTTTCAGGGCTCCTATTGGGCGGTTCATCCGAACGCGTTGGGAATGTTCGAAAACGGAAGTTGTTTGAGACGTCGAAAACGCTTCAAGGTGAGAAAGAATATCATCTACCGTAATCCTTCTTATCAAATATTTTGCGTATCGTGGAGAGAAAGAGAGAGAGAGGGGGGGGGCAAAGAATACAAAGAAGATTGATGTCCCGGAATGCTGTCCGCAGCTTGTTCTTGATACACCGAATTTTTTCCGGCGATGAATTGTAGGCATTCAGAATCGCGTCGTCTACACCACAAATGAATTTTGAAAAGTTGGTCGCAATTTCGACAATGTTACAGTATCTTTTGATTGTCCGTAAATGATGAGAAATGAAGAGACACGCGTATCCGTTTTTTCTTTTCCTCCTCCTCCTCCTCATCGCCTATAAAGGCCATATTACAAAACATACTGTAGGCGTTTGGATGGGTCGAATTATTATGATTGGCTGCTTGTTCATTTCATTTCATTTCGCCGCAACATCTCGCGAAGAACAAAATCAGTGTAGAGCGGCAGCGGCGGCCCGAAAACCATCAATCAAATGGGATAGAAAAGAGAACAAAAAAAGAACGGAATGTGAGATTGAGTGAACACAACCATTTTATCATTCAAATATGTATTATTCTTTATAATTGTTTACTGACAATTTGAATATTTCAATTTCTTTGATGTTGGGTTGAAAAGGCATTCGAGTTTTGTGCTTCATTTTCATCATTAATGTTAGTATGAAGAAATCGTCTTGATTTGACTAGAATACCAGGTCTAAAGGAATCGATTTCATCGAAATGTTGGATGTTTTCAACTTGGTTCATTAAAAAAAAAACGTCTAATCAAAAAGATTTTTTCATATTAATACTAAACAATATTCAATTGAATAGCTATTTTTTAAAACCCAATCAAAAAAAAAATCAATTTTGGGTCTTTTCGATCAATTCGTTTCTATTTGTTCCCGACGAAATTCAATTCAAGGAATTGAGAAACTAAATATTGTCAAACGACTAAAGCGAAGCGGGACCTTCAAATTCGCGAAATCCGTGTAGATTACTTCTCCTTCTCGCGTACTTCTCGCTGCCTTGAGACGCATTGGCACATAGCCAATTAGTTTTTAAATTTCGCCAAGTCGTTTGACTCCGACAACTATTCAACTAGTTCGCAATTTTTTCCATAAAGTGAAAGTGTTGATAGGCAGGCTTTTTTCAAATCTACTAAAGAAAAGCCGGCCAGTGAAAATAAGTTGTGAATTTTGTAAAAATCATTTTATTCGAACTAAATGGACAACTGAAATTGCGGAAATTTGTCGATTTCAGAACATATGAATAGCTTCTCAGCAACTTTTAAATCAATTCTACTACGGTTTGGTGTATAAGTGTTGCTTGATAAAAAAATTGGCACTTGATTCTGACGATGGAATCAAGAAATGAGTAGAGTTAAAACGAGGGCGTTTACGACACTACGCTGTTTGCGTGGCGCGAAAATTCAAAAAAGCCGTGCAAAATTGACAAGCCTGTTGATGAATGATTTTTTCAAAAGCAGTAAACCGAAAAAAATGTTAATTGTAAAAAAAAACTCGGAAAAACAACCAAAATTTGTTTAAGAAAACTGTTGTAATAGTAAGAAATCTGCAAGTGGCAAGTATATCTAGATTGTTAAATTAAACAAAAAATGCTAAAAATCGATTTTTGCAGGTTCGTGAGCAAGAGTTTGACGAGGAGGATTACTTTTCGCCGTGTCGAAAGATGGCGCGAATCGAGCCGAGCAGCAGTCTGCCGCTGTTTCCGATGCTTCCCTCGATTCCGCAGCTGCCGTCCTCGACGACATTCGCGAGTGCCGCCGCTGCCGCTGCCGCCGCCGCCGCCGCCGTCGCCGTCGATCACAACACTCATCATCATCATCATCATCACCATCAGCAAACGAACAATCCGTTCATTTTTAATCCGCTCTCGCTTCTTTTGATGCCGCACTTTTTAGCGAATCAGCCGATGATCGGCGAGCTTCTTGAGAAGACGCCGTCGCCCGAATCGCATCATTCGAATTCGTTCCGAATCGAATCGATTCTCTCTTCGTAAATCGCATAATCCGATTATGGCAAAAAAAATACAATTTTTTGGGGAGGGGGGAACCGGCAAGAATTTGGACGAATTGGTTGATGGGTGTCAATTTCTAGCATCGCCGCAATCGAAAACTTACAAATATGTTTTATATAAAAACCATCTGCGGACAATTATGGCTGAAATTTGAGAAACAAATGAAATATCCGCTTAAACGCATTTGGTTTCTTCTTTTGACACATGCAAAATGTGGTGTTTGCGTACTGCGACGCCAAATTGCACACACTTCCAATTTCTTTCAACTTCTTCCAATTTCTTTTTTTTTCAATTATATTCCGGTGGCGAAAATCTTTGAATTTCCTAATATAGTCATGCGCAGGGTAGCGCATTTATCTCATTTTTTTGGGTGCTCACCAATGTTTGTTGGAACAATTTAACATTTCGTTCAAAACGAACTTTTCATTTTAATTTCTTTCGTCTTCCATATCTAAATTGTTAAAGGATTCATCAATTCCTAGTCCCTTCCATCGTTTCCTCTGAAATATTACACATTTATCCGCACACTATTGTGATAATTGCTCAATTGTTTTTTTTTCATCAAAAATTTTTTTTTTTAATTTTGTTTTTAGCCTACTTTATAGTATAATCGGTACTAATACATAATATAATTATAAAATTTAATTCCGCAAATTCATCGGACGGAATACGGACATTTCTTGGTTCTGACAAAACACACCGGTTAATCTATTTCGTCGTTTTGAAAAAAAAATCAACAAATGGGGTTCGATTTAAAAAAAAGTTTTTTCGACCGATGAGTTTTCGTTATTTCCGACAAAAAAGAAATGAAGTGTTTTCTGTCATCTGCGGACAATTTGCTCATTATCAATTACGCAGAAAATATTTAAATCTCGTCGAAAAGGTCATTTGCGAACACAATTCATCAAAAACTCATTTGTTTCGTCAAGGATAACACCAAATTCTCTACTCAAATAAATCACCGCGACCAATTTGTCGCGTCAAAACCCGAAAAATTCGTTGTCTTTTTCGTTTCAACGCGAATGCAATCAATTTATTCACAACATATCAAAGTATTTAACAATTCATGTTGAATGGACAACAACAATAAAACTCAATCATAATGGTGTGGGTGTGGGCGTTTAAGCGGGAATGGGGATGCAATAAATACTTTTAATATTTTGGGTTTATGGCGCCATAGTGATGGTGCAATTAGCGAGGCCTTATTTGGGTTTCAGCATTGGGGAATTGAGAAATTTAATCACGAGCCGCTCCTTCATAAAATTTCGACTCATGAGTCCGATTCAAAGCCTCAATGATCTTTTTACCAGATGAGAATCTGAAAACCAATTCCTACTTTCAAAAATCAAATTTTCTCATACCTCTCAAGTCTAGCAGAATTTTTGAACACACGCTCCTTGATGCGTTCGAGCCATCCTTCATAGAGAGAAATATCGGCATGCTCAGAACGCAACTCTTTTTGACCAGTGATCGCCGAACGACAAATGTGGATCATTTGTTGGATGATGTAATTGCCATATTGATGGAAAAGCAAAATGTCCAACGCGTCGCGATTTGTCTCTCTGAAATTTTTAACAACGTTCTTCCCCAAGTTAAAAAAAAGAACATACGGGTGAGGAACGTAACCTTCAAAAATTTCCTCCATCATCTCATAGAGCAAATGATGAGGCGCGAAGAGGAAAGCAACCTCGACAACGTGAGACGCATATTTCTCCTGCGACATCGACAAAAGATTGCGGCTGAAAAGACATCGGAAATCTCTAGAAGAACTAATGAAAATAAATCCTACAGTAGGCACTTCTCAATGATCGAATCACGGTAGATTTCCATGATGCCGCCAGATTTGATGACGTGCTGAATGACGTAGTTGGCAAATTCATTCGAGGCGAGTTGAGCGCAATTGCGAGAGATTCCGCTCATCATCGACTGCAAAAGCGCTGCGCGTTGTTTGTAGCACGGCGACGTCGGATTGTCCGATAGCTTCTCGATAGTCGATTGGATTACACGACATCCGTACTTGTCTTGGCAGACAGCTATAAGATTGTCGTCGTTCTTGAAGAAGTCAATAACATACTCCCACGCGGCGACAGGAAGCGTCTTAATTATCTAAAAGGAATAATGTTATTAGCGACGTGAGTAATCATCTAAAATAATTAATTAAACCTTCTGTACAACGTGATTTCCATTCTGATCAATGCTTAAGCGAACAAGGTCTTGACCGCGAAGTTGAAGGGAAAGTTGCGAAGCCAAATCAATGTCCAATTTCTGAAGAATTGCACCGTTCAATTAAAAGGGGAAAAAATTGTTTCGAACTCACTTGAATAGCGAGTTGAATGACGCGGCAAGCGCTCTTGTCCAAGCACAACGAATAAATGTCTTTGCGCAGATGCGACATGACAATCTCTTGTTCTTTGGCTCGCGAGCATTCGACAATACGCTGGACAAAAAAGTTGCCGAACATGTTGCGGCACATCATCTGAAATTCAGCACTAGTTCAGCAATAAACTTCGAATATTCCGATATACCAAGAATGTGTCCGAGTTCTCGACCATCTTATTGAAGATCTCATCGTGAATTCCGCCATCAGACTCGGCTGGATATTGCTCTTGCAAGAACCGGCATCCATTCTTGTCCGACGCAAACTCGATAAGCGAATCGTTGCTGAGAACATCGGCGAGTGTCACATGTGGAGCGACGTTGCCTTGACCGTCGAGAGCCCATTGCGGCAGGCTGCTCTTGATACCCGTGCGACTGAAAAATATTATAATTTGACACAATTATTTATACAACATTTGACGAGTTACTTGAAAATGTTGGAGAAGGTGGTGACGTTGGAAACCGCTGCAGATGAAGCGTATGAATCGTCATGAAGGTTGAGATCGACCAGACGAAGATGCACTCCATCCTGTTCGCGGCGAGGAGTAGACGTACGTGGAGGCTGAATTTCAAGACATTGGTTTTACCATTGCAAACCATTTTTTGACAACCTTTCCAGTGACTTGCGGCGAATCGTAATAGTTGGAGAAGCGATTCCATGGCGAATACGTTGGAGCACATCCAGTCAAAGATGCTAAAAAGCGCAAATTTGAAAATTTTCGCACTGATTCGCACAAACCATTTGCTGATTCGTTGTGCAAATAGCTGAGATTGGCCGGCGAATTGCAGAGGTATTGGCCGGTGGCGTACTTGCTTTCCGGGATCGGCATATCAATTTTCGATTGGTGTGGGTGTTGCTTCTCGATTTGTCCGCTCATTGTTCAGTAGTTTCTTTTTTTGACACGAATGGTTAGTATCGGCGACACACCACTGGACAACCCTACAATATGAAATATAGTGGCTAGACATCAGCAGCTGGAAGAACGAGAAAAAAGAAACGAACCTCTCTGGCGATGAAACTTGATGAAATGAGCGGACATTGTTGTTGGATAACAATTCAAACTAGAGAATTTTAGAGGAAAATTGCGCGAATTTTTGTAGGTCAAATACTCAATTGTAGGATATTTGTGTTAATGCACGCCTGAAATTTAAGAAATTTATTCTTTACACCGTTTATTATTGCACGAAATTAAAACAAAAGTGAAAATGAATGGGAAACGTCGAGATATAAACACAAATTTCAAATGAAAAATTCAAAACTGATTCACGGGCTCAGCAAATCGCGCCGTAGAAACGGCGGTGAATAGCGAGTAAAACGGCGGCAGATGATCGGTGAAGAAAACAGACACTTTCGTTCCTCCAACTTTCCACCGCCGTTTCTCCGAAATTGCACGCGTACGCGCGGAGTGTCGTACTGCCTTCGTTTTAGTACTTTCAAACTATTGTCATATTTCACCACGTTTATTGTTTTTTTGAAAGTACTCGCGAAAAACTGGAATAATTTATTACAAAAAAAATTATTTAGTCATTTGGCTGCAAAAAATTAAATTTGTCCTCCGTGTGATGCCACTTTCTGTGATAACGTTGAAATTGTAGACGTATTCGTAATTCTATAATTCCTCGAAAATTCAATATCACTACTTAACTGTAAAGTCGAATCCGAACTGAAGAAATTCAAGTTTAAGAGATTTACATTAAGAATTTACCTCTTTTAGGTTGTGAAATAACTGTCCGCTATAAACTTTTTCGTCATATCCGCAATCGATACTGAGCGTTGATTAGTCATTAACGATAAGTAGCAGTGCGTTTTTTCAAAACTTGCAGTTGAAGTTGTTGAACAATTGCCGTATCTACGAATCAACTCCACACAGTGATCAAAAATCAGCTGGAATTGCTACCATTCTTCTGTTTTAAACAAGTCAATTTTCTTACATGCATTTTAAGCGTATAGAATTCGCTATTTTCATGTCCAATATATCCTTTTATGAAATTCGAAAGTTGTTGGATTGCGTAGAGATGAGCTTTGGTCCTTGCCATATATAGCAAGTTGTTAAATATGAACAAGCAAGCCAAAAACGTGGTTTCCATGAAGCGAGGAAACTTAAATGTCATTGATAACGCAGCAAGAGTAAACTGAACTGACTGAAAAATATAATCAAATGTCCCAACTTTAAAATTGCTCACTTTTCTTATCTCTGAACCGGTCGCACGCGAGAATCTTTCTGGGCTAGCAAACCTGCAGGGCGTTTCCGGTGGATCTATGGTATTAATCAGAGAACATGAAAGTGCCTGAACCACCCTAGTCGAAATTTTCAACCGAGGCAAATTTGAACCGCGCCCAAAAATTTGTTCCAAATAAATTTTTCAAAAACCCTTCGGAAAGGTAATGAAGTTCATCGAACGGTTGATTTGATGGGCTGGCAAGAATTGACAGAATGTCTAACAATTCATATTTTAGATGTAGGTTTGAAGGGAATTGCTTACTTAATTTTCCGCTAGCTCTCATCATATTCATTACATCATTCGCAGTTCTTGAAGGGTATTGAATGTCGGAAAAAAAGAAACCGCTTGCCGACCCGATTTCGAACCAATGATCGTGCAAAGTGTGCATCCCTGTGTACTTGCCCAATTCGGAAGACCACAGATCTGACGCATGCCCTATATCGTAATGTTTCATTATGTACCAAGACAAGCTTGCCTTGAGATCCAAAAATGATACAGCTGGCTCGACCATGACGGAATATTTGACCCTTTCGTATTGTATAAGCAGTGGTGAAGTTCTAAGAAATTCTACTTCGTGCATTAATCTAAAATAAGCATTATACAAACGAAATGATTCCACAAAGCAATGCCTTGATCCGACGATATTTGCATTTTGAGCATTCATTCCGTTTAAACATCGGATTATTGCTGCGAGGATCACGGAACCGTCTTGCTCTTTGATTTTTCGTTTTACCCCTTCCACTCTCATATAAATCGGCACAACTTCATCCCTACGTTGTATAATGAGATAAATTTAAACAAAACATAATTACCGGCTACAATTTGATGGACGAAATCCGTCTATGGCTAAGGAAACTACAACCTTCAATATGTTATTCGAAAACATTTCCAGTGTTTCAATGTGATCTCCATAATGTTTTGATATATGAAAACTCGAGTAATCTTCGTACGGTTTTCCAGAAGCCTACAATACAATTATATATATAGCCGCGAATTTTTCATTACCTGAATGTGATGGTGATATTCATGCGTTTTGACGATTTCTCCAATTTGCTTTGACAATATTCTTGCCAATTGATTGTGAATTGAGAATGTCACAAGCCTAATAGGTTCCGTAATCGTACCTTTCACTGGCTTGCACCTTAGTCGAAACTTTAATAAATTGCCTTTACGCTGAAGTGCTTACTGATAATTACTGCATTGTTGATTCGAACAAGAAATTCTGACACTGGGAATTTCTCCTAAACAGGACGTACAGAACGTTGTTGATATTGGTTGGCAATAATCTTTGATCAGTTTTTCCTGGAATGCGTAGATGTCGCGTTCCTGAAATGTTTCCGGAGTCTTAATGCTAGGTACAGTCAGCGTCCAGCGACTGCTGTACGCGGGTAGATTTACGCGGATGCGTCCTTCTTTTGGTCTCCCGTGGACTAACGTTGATATTTTGCATTTAATGGGTTGGGTCGATAATTATTAATTTTTCTCGAAATCGTTTTATAATTAATTTTCTACCAGAATAACATTTATTTTCTGCTACAATAACATTCATAAAGCCGATTAATTCCCGGAACCAGTAATTTCAATCAAAGGGTTAACCGGTTAAAGGGTTTTACATTATGATATCGAAAAAATATGGTAACCGCATTAATGTGTCAATAAATCAAGAATCATACCATTATTCCATTCCTGACAAACACTGAAAACATTATCTTTTGGCAGCATTTCCATGGTCTCGTCAGTTCCGTTATAGTCGCACCCTTCCGTGAACAGACGATCCTAAACCCAGCTCGACTCATAAATTTTCGCCATTCATATTATTTATTACAAGAATACAGTCGTCATATCCAGCGTCCGCAAAATTTCCCGCGAATTCCCCCTTCCTAAAATAACCTCGATTCATTAATTTTCATGAACTTATTTTATTACAAGTTTTTTTATTATCTACAGTTTCTTCTTCAATACCATCATTGACGTTTTCAACAGGTAAAAGACGAACTCCATAGCCCCGAATTCGCGCGTCTACAAAATATTTTTTCCTTTATGCTGATCACAGATATACCATTCTCTTCTTTCGTCAATCTACTCCTTTTCATGTTGAAACGAACGTTCTGGAAAAACCATTCTCATCAAATCAAACTTTCAAATTTAAAAAGAATGTAGTATTAATTATATTAAATCTTAAAACCAATAGAAGGTTTTAAAACAATCAATACATTATAATTAATTAATTACAAATTAAAAAATTCATAAAATTAATTTAAATAAATCTTCATTTTGAAATTTAATTAAAACTTTAAATGAAATTTAAAGAAAATCGAAAATTAATTTAAATTAATTTTCGTTTTTTTTAGAAGGTTGTACGACACTACTAATATTACACATAGCCCACGGTTTAGCGCGTTTAGTAAACCATCGTTCCACCGCCGTTTCACCGAAACTCGCTATTCACCGCCGTTTCTACGGCGCGATTTGCTGAGGGAAGGATTGAAATTTGTGCAAACACGCTGCACAATAATAATGTTACCGTAACACAAAAATAATGGCAAGCTCAAATTTAATTTATTGAAAAATTATTGGCATAAAAGTGGAAAAAATAACAAAAACATAGGTCACGCATCAATTGAAAATGGGGATTTAGCACCTTTCGGTTTTGTCATGACGTATAAAAACATGAAAGAACCAAAAACAACCATAAAAAGCATTATTGCAGAAACTACGATTGCACATAAAATGAATGTGATTGACCACTCTTTGTTAACGATATGGGTCCTGAAAACAACAAACATATAAAGAAATGAGAAAATTTTCATACCAAGACCCAGAAAATTTTGGTTTCGTTGTACTCGTCCGATTAATCAGCCGAATATCATCAATCGATATACTAGAATTCGTGATATTATACGATAACGGAGAAAACGTTGGCCTGATTCGTTTCGAAGTATATCTTCGAATAGACCTTGTAGATGTCAAATTGTTCACTAAAAACTAAATTTTAAATGGGTCTCGAAGCGAAAACCCACGTGAAAAACTAAATTTTTTCGATACCCGTGGCCGAAAATTGTATTTGAAATCGGCGGGGAGATCAATATATTCTTTATCCGTTATATAAATACCTCGTATAAGACAGCATGGTGCTGCTTGGGGTACCAAAACCTAAAACGGAATTTAGAAAAATGATTGAACCGGCGATTTGGGACCCTCATATTGCCGGCGATTTGCTCGAACGGCCGCCGGAATGTCTGATCAGCAACCCGAAACACGGTGGAATCATTGACATTATTTATCTGAAATGACTAAGGACCGATTCAAACGAATGCATTTAATATTATGTTGAATTATAATGAAAATCGACTGCGGACAATTCGGACATTCCCCCCAAATATGAATGAATTCTTCATTTCGCACCGTCCAAATTTGTGTCACTGAATAATTTATTACGGGTTTTTGCACCCCCTAGTTTTAGTGGTTCCAACGCGAAAATATTCATGGCGAAATGTCAAAATTCTGCGGACCACGAACTTCAGACTAACGAGCACTTTAACGAACGATCAAAGACCACGAAAATTGTCCGCAGGCGATATTCCACAAGAATTGATCGAATCACCCTTTTTTATGTCTCACATCAATTCTTATCACTTTCCTCGCATTTTCGCGGCAGGACCCAATTAGTCTAGGAGGATGCGGAATTTTCACTAAAAATTTCAGCACATACGTATAGAGGTTCAATTGAAATTCTTACCATGTTCCAATGAATCGACATCGATTTTTCTGATCAAATCATCATCGAATTTGAATCGAAATCTCGTCAACTCGTGTTTTTCCGTCGCGAAAACAATCGAAAATCTGTGAGAAGCAGCTGTCATTTGGCCACAAATTTCATTTTCGTTTGAGCAAAAACACAAAAAATGCTCAGCTCTTTTCAATTATTGCTCGTTTTCTGCGCCATTTTGGTGGTAGTTCAGGTAAAAATGTTTTTAAATTGTTTCTTAGAAAAAAGTAAATCGGTCTCGCAGCGAATATCCTGTTTTTCACATTTCGTGTCAAGAATTGAAAAAAGTTTCGTTGAAATGTCCCTTTAATATTGATTTTTTGAACTTCTTTTTTCAATTTAAACTAACAACCTTTTCAAAATTCTATTTTTTTTATCGAAAAATTTAAATAAAAATTGGGTGGACTAGTTTTTATGGCCGCGAATTCCCCGGCCACCACAATAACAACCGACTAATTTTATTGATTTGAGGCAATTCAACAAATGGATATCTGCCGTGTCAACTGCAACACATTCGTAGATCAAAAAGCGCGCAAGATTTGTCTCGGAAATTGCGGAATCGTGAGCGTCTAATCAAAATGTTCTACCTTTCGCATGTTTCGAATAAATGCAAATCGACCAACGCCGATCCCTGTTCGCCAATATTCATTGTGTGCCATTCATTGATTCGCAACAATTTCTGCAATTCAATTCAATCAATATTACAAGTTCAAAATATGCGATGTCCCAGCGTTTGGGTCTTCGCACGAATATACAATGGACATCAAACTATGTGTAAAAAAATGGCAAGACACCAGAAAACAATAACGCGAGAATTAAAAATTAAGAAAAAAAATAATCTGTTTGACTGGAAAACTTACATCATCCGACGTACGAACCTAAAAAAATAATTATTTGCGAAAATCTTTCAAACGACTGAAATAGTGGGCGGGGCTTTGAGTCTCAACAAATCTGTATAAATTCACAAAATGGTAAATTTACGAGGCTTTTGGCTGAATGCTGAATGCGCCAAATCAAAGGCACTTGAATGTCTCTTCGCCGCGAGACACTCTGGAACATAGCCAATTTCTTTTTCAGATTTAAATCAGTCACTTGAGTTCGACAATATGTCCGCAGCAGATTGGTGCCTTCATTATTATTATGTATTTCATACCGTTTCCGTGAGGAATGCCATCATCGACATCGCCATGTAGATTCGCAGCAGCATCTCCTCCGAATTGTTCTAATTTTTCGCCATTCTCATTGTGCGCAAAAAAATCTGCAGAAAAGAAAACATAATAAAACTGGGTGGGTTTTGGTGGTCGAAAAATATAATAATAAACGCACAATAGTCGGGTTGTGAGGCTCATTTTTTTATTCATTTCTCGTTTCACAACTTTTTACGCGCGAAATTCGAGCGAACTCAAACTTGTGGGTGGATGGAGGCGAGAAACCGGAACGACGTCCGGACATCTCTATGGACATAAGGGCAACAGTCTTTCATTCGTCTCATATCAATCCTAAGCGGTTTTTGTGGACCACTGCACTTTTTCCAAGCGGTAATTCAAATTTGAATTTAAACAGTGAAAATGTGGGTACCGTACTACGGATAACCTGCGAATCAAACTCACCGTAAAGGGGCTTGCTTTTTTTCGCGAAAATAACAAAATAATTTGTCGAATAAATGATTCTAATTAAGAAATGTTTCGTATGTTTAAAAAAAAAGGAACAAAATTGGGCAATAAATTGGAATTGGCGTCGCCGATGATTGGAATTCCGGCAACCCGGGGCCTCTGTGCATGTATTGTTGCACAAGAAAATTGAAAATGAATTCGGCGAGACATTTTCGATTTCGACGACTCCCAGCCGTCGAGTTCCGCGTTTGCACACCTACATTTCGAGTGCGAATTGAGTGCGCATGAAAAATTCAACGACCAATCAGTCAAATGTATCAAAATCTCCACAATTTTGAGACATTTGCAGAATTCAATCGACGAAAACGAATAATCGATATGGTCGGCGTCTGGCGACTACCGTATTCGGGTAGATTTACGGGCATGCGTCTTTTGGAGTTGGTTCAATAATTGATAATTTGAATTACGCTAGGAATTCAAGGAAATATCAAACTCGAAAAAAATTCAATAGTTCAAATGTTCAAAATAATCATTCACGCGTGGTGAGACCAATTTCGAAAGACGCATCCCGTAAATCTACCCGGACGCCGGGCGTCGACTATAAGAAAAATTTGAATTTTAATTCTTGGCGCAAAAATAGCAAATTTTTGTATACGCCTTTGATGCATACTGTAGTTTTGCATCTGCTTGATACGCAGTCAAATCGAAAATTATTGCGGGACCAAATCGTTCAAATTATTGCGTAGAGCAGGATTATATGTAGATCAAAAATTTCGGCGGCAGACCATTTTCGAATTGTTAATCTGTGTTTCCCAGAACGATAAAAAACGGTTTTCTCACACTTATATAATTATTAAGCTTTTCAATGCAAAGATTCCATAAGAAAAGATGCACGTTTAACATATTTACGATTGTGCGCCTTTAATCTTAAATTAAATTTTTGTAATGAAGTAGTTCAACTTTAAATTTGTTGTCCAATTTTTTCAATTTGCCAAAAAAATGTTTTCAGAAAAATTTAAAGGCGCATGATCGTAATTCTACACAAATCCAATTGAATCTTTAAAAATTGTTGTCGGCTATGCGCCTTTAATATGAATCGACTCAAAATCGAAATGTCACTCATATTTGCACCCAAAGTGGTCGCACTTCTCTCCTATCCGTACTAGTGTAAAATTCGCGATTTTTTTTTCTTTTCTTTTCATTTCTTTTACTTCTGCGAACCCGGAACTATCGAGAATTTATCGAAAATTGAAATAAAAATTCGGACAAGTATGAAAATGTGAAACAAAAATCCATGATGAAAGATGATATTCAGAAACAATTGAAGACGCTTCGAAACAATCAGGTGACGGAGAACAAAAACCAAAGAAAACCGCGGCTCGCTATTTTTTTCGAAACGAGATTTTACACAAAGTTCAAAAAAAAAATACGAGCAATAAGTTTCTGAAATGAATTTAAAGGCGCATGGTTTCGATTTTCAAAATCGAGGAAATACAATAATTAGTTAATGCTTCGCTACTTCAATGTATAAATTCTCATGTTCGGACAATTTCGAATTGTTAGACGACATCTTTACTCGATTGGAAAAAAGCAAAACAATGAATGGGGGAAGTAAGGCTTTTTGTTGGGAACAATTGAAGCGAATTCGAAAGGTCTTTTGTACTATGTCAAATGGCAATTTTCGCATTTCAAATTCAAAAAATAATAATAATTTTGTTGGGCAAAATACGATATTTCTGACATGCGATTCATAATAATTCAATTAATTGAATACCATATTCTCATTTTTTTTTCTTTGATTTATTTTGGCATAATTAAACGGACGAACAATTTTGTGGTCCTAATTTATCAAGTCGAAATTAATGAAAAACGGTGAAAAAAGACAAAAAAAAAAGAAAAACAATTTGCAAAAAAACTCGAGTTTTCACTTCAACAACCAACTAGAGTCTTTTTAGTTTTTTTTTGTGTTTGCTCGCCACACGAGAAAATGTGTATTTCCATTGATTTCGACTATTTCCATTTTCATTTTCTTCCGGTTTCATTTTTCTTCATTTCAATATTTTCTTTTTATGGTAATGTCGAAGAAAGATGACTTCCTTCGGGTGAAACGCAAGAAATTGGAAGAAACGGGGTCTGAAAAAAAACGGAAACATATTTTATCGAAATTTTTTTTTTTAAATATATTTTTTGAATTGCCATAATTAGATGCAGAAATTTGAACGATTTGGCCTCGCAATATTTTTCGATTTGACTGCGTATCGAGCAGATGCAAAACTACAGTATGCATCAAAGGCGCATACAAAAATTTGCTATTTTTGCGCCAAGAATTTAAAAAAAAATACAAATTTTTCTTATAGTCGACGCCAAGCGTCCGGGTAGATTTACGGGATGCGTCTTTCGAAATTGGTCTCGCCACTTATTTTGAACATATCCGATTAACTGTTTAATTTTTCTTTTGAATTTGATAGTTTCTTAAATTTCTAACGTCTTTCAAACTATCAATTGTTGAACGGACCAAAACAACTAAATAGTCCGCGCGAGACCAAAAGAAAGACGCGAGCCCGTAAATCTACAACAGCAGGACGCCGACTATGAATCAATTCCAATTTTTCCATCAGAGTGTCTTCGATGCAGATTTTTTGCAAACAAACTTTTCGTAGAAAAAAAAAGAAAAGAAACATACCATTAGCGAAATTGCGCGAAATTTCCAAGAAAATGTTGGGTTTAAAGCCGCCGACTTTAATTTGAGCCCGCTTTTGTCGGGCGAAAATAAAATTTGAAATGTTTGATTGTTTTCCGCCATTGGCAATCAAAAAAGAAGACAACGTTCGAGTAGAACATTTATTCTGGACAAATGCGAGACGGTTGCGTTTAAAGGCGCGTTGAGTGAAAATCGAAACAATCCCGAAACGATGGCCTTTTTGAAAGATTCATCAGGAACGCAAAATATTTTTTTTTAATTGACACGTGTTTCGATGATTTTTTTTAGTTTTTTTTTTTTAGAAATTTCCAATAATATGAGGAACAATTAGACCGCAAGTGGTGATTGTAATAAACGCGGAGAAGATGTACAAACATAGGCGGTCCATGGCCATTGCGGCGAATCGCCATTCCGAACGACACTGCAACATTCCGATCAACGCTGGTTAGGCTCCGACGACTCATGGTGTAGATTTACGAGCATCCCTTTTTTTGGAATTTCAACAAAATATTTTTAAAAAATTTCATTTTCAAATAAATTCAAATCAAAACGCGTGGTGAGACCAAATCGAAAGACGCATGCTCGTAAATCTACATCACATAGTATATTTTTTGACTCGAAACTTATAATTGTTGATGGTTGCACGAAAGAAAACATGAGAATTCTTCAAGTGAAAAAAGAAAAAAAATGTAGAAGGGAAATTGGTCAACTAATAAAATATGAGGGACCAAATAGATAGCGTCATTTCGATTGGACCATTAAACATATTTCAACGGACCACAAATTGCTCAAAAGTAATAAAGGGGAGGGGAGTGTGCAAATATTGATGGAATTTTTGGTTTTAATGAGAGTTTCTTTTTTCGCCGCAACTCACCATCTCGTTCTTCACATCTTCTTCCAGTTTTTCGACCATTTTCGAAATTTCGCCTTCAATTAAACAAAGCTCGTTGCAAAACTTGGAGACATTCGTTAGAATGTTTGGATTTTCTGAAAAATCACCATTTTGCTTTTTGAGAATCAATTTTTTTCGAATTACCATCGGAAAATTTTGTGCAATACTTGGAAGTGACCAATAGAGGAGTTTGCGATGGACGAGGCAGATTCAACATTGGCATGAAAGTGGACAGTCTTTGGATCGGAATTATCGATTGTTGGATCACCTGTCATTGGTCAAAATCATTCGGCGAACAATTGCCAGCAGTGTGTACTCCCGGGAGGAAATTTCCCGGGAATTCCCGAGAAGTAATCGTTTTAAGATTCCAGGTTTTCCCGAAAATTTCGGGAATTTTCATCTCCACCACAAAATTCCCGAAAACTCCCGAGACTTATCCGGGAATATCCCAAAGACTTCCGAAGACTCTCGGGAATTTCCCGGGAACGTCTCGGGGAATTTTCTACATTTTCCGCGCAGAAAAACTGCTCGGGAAAATTCCGCACCTCATAATTTCCCGGAAGCACACACTGATTGCCAGTATTTTGTCAGATAGGTTGCATCAACAATGAACATACCGGAGACTGTTGTATATTTACGCGCATGCGTTTTCGCTATGGTCTCGCCCGGACTAGCCGATTATTTTGCATTTTAGAGGCCATTCCGTTAATATTCAATTTCAATGATTTGAAGTATTTAAAGAAATGATATACTCATTTAAAAAATTAATTTGTTAACTGTTCACGTGAGAACAACTAAATAAGCATTCACGCGTGACGAGACCAATTTCGAAAGACGCATCACGTAAATCTACCCGGACGCCGGGCGTCGGCTATAAGAAAAATTTAAATTGTAATTCTTGGCGCAAAAATCGCAAATTTTTGTATGCGCCTTTGACGCATACTGTAGTTTTGCATCTGCTCGATACGCAGTCAAATCGAAAAATATTGCGAGACCAAATCGTTCAAATTATTGCGTTTCACCTAAATATGGCAATTCAAAAAATGTATTTTAAAAAGAGAGAAAATTTCGATAAAATTTGTTTCCGTTTTTTAAAATTGTTTTTCAAACACAGTTTCTTCGGCAAATAACACGAGCAATTCTTACAGTGGGTTTCGGCGTCTTCGGATGATCTGGTTTGCGCATACAAAGAAAATATGGCAGCCAATCGATGAAGATTTTTCGCATCTAAACAATTTCGAATTTCGTTTTTATTTAATTATCGGCTAGCCGAAATCGCCTACGAAATCGCTCATCTCATGAGTTTCGGGTTTTCGATGGTGGAGGGCGAGAATGAGGACTGTGAACACGCATGAGCTCGCGACGAGCATCAAGCAGCACGAGAAAAACGAGGCTGAAACAGCACAATTTCAATATTATTTGAAAGGAGCATCGAAAAACGAATTGGCTTTGGCTTTACCTAAAATCGGCACCGACTGCGATTGCGGTGGACTCATATTGCTAACCATTTGAAGAAAGAAAACCACAGAGAGGAGTACGGTAGTCTCTGAAAATCCGAGAGATCACACAATTCACCATCAGCTTCAAGTACCCAGTGTGATCTTCTCACATGCGTCTGGCGGAAGTGTGAACCCCAAAACGGTCATCATCGAAATCACCAAAGATGGAATTATGAGGTTGATACCGTATGCCAATGTTCTTCGCCTAATATGAATATAAAAATAGAGCTCATGGTATTCATCGCTTCCAAATGCTTGAACAACTCGTTTCCCAGGAGTCCCTTAACTATATAAGTTATAAATTAATTATAAATGATAATTAGTCGAAAACCAATTAAATCCCATTCGCCATTTTGTAGATACACTTGCAAATCAATCGATTCGTTGAGAAAGTAGCTCGGCGCTTCCGGAGTTGATCTCTCAGGATCCACCATTATCATTTCTCCGTTTATACCTTTATTATATCATATAATTAATTAAGTATATAAATAATTAACCTATAATTGGATTCAAAGCAAAGTCCAAATTGATGTATTTTCCGTTATACGTCCAACTGCCCAATTTCAAGAAGCACGTCTGACGATCGAATGGATAATAAGTGACGTCAATCTAGACATATTATATTATAATCTATATGATATAGTTAGTGAGGATACCTGGCAAATGAATCGAAAGATTCCCGGCGGATTCTGTTGCACATGACCGTCATGAGAGACGATGAAGCGTGACGAATACGTCGAAACAAAGTTCTCCGAGACACTACACACAAGTTGAAATTTAGCTGCGGACAATTTTTTGAGAAAAATACTATTAGTAGCATAAATTAGAACAAATTTTGGGTTTCATATTTAAAAAAATGATTGAAGAGAAAAAAAAAATAGAAAAAAAAACCTGTTAAAAATCAATACATCAGGCCTCCATAGTTTGAACGGAGCATCGTCGTTTCCAGAGAATCTCACGTCTCGAATACCCCCGAACGCTTTCGGATCCCATTTCAGCTTATAATCGGTCCAATGCTGAAATGAGGCCCCCATCAATTGAGGCCATTTTCTGTAGCTGAAACTCACATAATCGACATACGCCAGAATTGACATCACCTGGTTCTTCTCATCCTCAAATACAATATTTTAGAAATATTCAACAACAAAAAAAATTAGAAACTGACAACATCGAGAATCTGATTGAGAAGGAATCGAACTTTGACGTCCAATGGCATTGAGCTGTTTTCGACAGGACGCTCGAAATAGTCATAATTCTGGAAATGTTTCAATTAAATATTAAAAAACAAAGAAAATATAATTTTTTTTTGAATTGTCTTATTGTAATAGTGGATTATAATTGTTATAATTTGCATAGTTTAAAAAAATGCTATGGTACAGTGAATTTTGGCACTAATTTTATACCAATTTCTGTAAAAAATTAATTAGTCAAATAAAAGTTGAAGCTTCATGTGGAAAAAAAATCTTGCTCGGTTTTGTCTGTTTGCTCACACACGCAATTTTGCACACATTTCAATTTAACAGAAATTTACTATCAATATTATTTTTTTTGAAGTGAAATTATTTGATGTGCAAAAAATTGAGAGCATCGAGAACTCACTTCCTTCAAATATTGCAAAAGTCGGTATTCATCAACACTTGCACGAGAGAATCCGAAAATTCCGACGAGTAGAGGAAGCAGAAGGTACATTTTGTCGGCAAATGATTGCCGAAAAATCGAGGAGTGGAAAAGGAAGACACAAGCAGGGATTATAAATGATCCCATGGGGATTCCGCGAAAAACGTCGACCACTTCTTCATCGTGGTCCCATTCTCATTCAAACCAATCTAACCGATTGTTTTCATTCAAACGTATAAATTTATTATAGAATATAAATTACATATTTCTTTGTTTTTTTTTCTTTAAGTTTGAACCCGAAATCACGTGTAGTGTACAAAATATTCAAACATAAAATGAGCATTCTAGATTTGTCCATAAACCGAATATTCGTCGCTATAAACCGCCGTGCTGTTGTATCGATTCGGCTCCTGAAAATCAAATTCATTATCATCTGAATTCGACGGAATATGTCCGCAGATGGAATATGACAAATCGGCGCGTGGAGTTTTGCCATACGGGGTCGATTTAATGGCATGTGTGTTTCGCGATGGACCACTAGGATTCAATTTGATATTTTCGCCAGCAAATCGAACAGCAGTCACAAGGCTGTTCCAGTCGAGACCCCCAAAAAAAATAAACGCGAAACCTGGGATTTGTAGATATTCTGATGATGAATTCCGGCAAAATTGTCGGCCGCATTCCAATAGAATTCGCTGTTCATCCGATAATAATATTTGACCAATTTGAACATGGCGAACACGCACGGAAGAATCGAAATTGATATGAGAAGCGATGAGAGCAGTAGGCTCTGAATCGGCGCCAACGATTTCGAGCATTGCGCCGAATTCAGCGAATACGCTTCCAGCAGCTTCTCCTGGGTGTTCTCGACGGCTCCAGCGTTTTGCTGATACTGAATCGAGTCTGACGAAATCAATTTTCAGCTGCGGACAAACACAAACCTGCAATTGAATGGCGGCGCATAGCATTTCGTGGCAATGCGCGTAGAATAAAGCAAATGCGGAGAATAGCAAAAGAATTGGCGATGAAAACAGAAGAATTGAGGCGTACGTTGAAATGATTTGACCGATCTGGAATGGATAAATATCATACTTGCAAATTTGCGGGTCAATTAAAAAATTCGCGACCCACAACGACACTCCACGTTTACAGCGAGGCCTTTGTTTAGCGTAATAAGAATTTCGAATTGCATTATTTTGAGAAGAATTAATCGTTCTTGAAACAAAAATTGCTCAGAAGTCCCCAAACAAAACTGATTGAACCAGCTTTTCGGGTCGGGTCGGAAAATTGCACACCCTGATTTTGTGGCGTTGGTGTTTGTCGAATCGCCAATTGTTTCGGCGAATTTAGTTACCAAGAAATTCAGCTGCGGACAATTTCAAGGAAAAATTCATGATGTCAAAATGATTACCTTATTCGAGACGCTAGATCGATTCATTGGATGATCGCTGTAAATGTAGCATCCGGTGCCTAAACGAAGGACAATTGAAGGAATTCGGAAATTTCGAGCCGAAAACCTGCAACGATGAAGAAAAATGATGGAAGAATAACGAACGATAGTAGAAGGGCGACAATGGAAAATGCGAGACGGCAAATGAACACGATCACCCTCGAATGCAGATTGTGGTACGTCAATCGGGAATTCTGCAAAACAAAAAAAATATTCGTTTTGAGAAAATAATACAAAAAATCATCAAACCAATTTCACATGATTCAATTCTTCGACGGGCAAAAGCTGAGTGAAAGAAGATTTCTAAACATAAAACCATCTGCGGACAATTCCACAATCGCCTCCTACCTTCGTCGTCGTTTCAACCTTCTCCCAAGTCACTTCATCAGTCGGCGGAATGATTACTGTAGTAGTAGTAGTAGTAGTAGTCGTTGTTGTTGTTGGTACTGTAGAAGTTGATGGTTGTGAAGGTGTTACTGTAGTCGTGATCTCTGGTCTCGTTGTGCTAGTCGAGGGTACTGTAGTTGTAGTGGTCTCGATCGACGTTGTCATTATTGGAGTGGTTGTAGTCAGCACTTCAGTCGTCTAAAATTATAATTTCAATTTTTTTGAATCTACGATTGATCGAATGAAACCGAGCATGTTAGAATTTTCTGCAAAAAAATGTCCGCAGATGAATTAAGGCAAAAAATTTGGGAACCCATGAACAAATTGCATTAGCTTCCAGCATTTTTCAAGACCTTCTATTGATTTAATTATTCATTTATGTGCATTAAAAAATGCGAGCGAAACTGCTTATTTTTTCTTTTACAAGCTAATTAACATTCATACATTTGTCTCAAACTGTTATATGTTTTTTTTTAAATTCCCATCTCGTATTAAGAACAGGGGGTCCCGTTTTCGAATTTCCGCCACTCCAAAATTCAAACAAATGCATTTTTGCTTCGAAATATCCCGCAGAAATTCAAAATCATATTTATCCTGTTAAGACTTGAAAAAACCAAATCCCCGGTCTCTATTTTGACAACCTTGTGCTTTTGAATATTCAAAAAAAAATTCAGATTAAATATTATCGGAAAAACTAGACATTATCATTCTTGCTCATGCGTTCTTTTTTTTTCATTGCTAATATTAATGGAACAATTATTTTTTTTAGTTATAATTCAAAAGCAAAGTTTAATTAGAAGGAAACAAATAATTTCCAACAAATAATGATGCTCCTTTAAACGTTTACCGTATCCAGAGATTCATCATAATCATCGTCTTCGTGTTCCTCGATTCGCATATTTGTCGGTGTCACCACCAATTGTTTTTCAGTCGATTCCTGAAATCCAATTTTTTCTTTAAAACACCACCAAGAAAAAATTTCGGCATCCATTTTTAAAATATTTTTAAACCTTATTCTTTCCTCCAAATTTAATTCGTCAAAAAAAAGCTTCGAAAAAAAATCAATTCAATGGTAAAGATTTATACACCAATCGCAAAAAAAAATGTTTTTTTCTATGAAAAATTGTCATAGAAAATGGATAATTTTGAAGAATTGATGTGCAATTCAAAAAAATTCTCAATTATTTCAATTTCTGTCGAAATTGTCCGCAGATGATTTCCTTCCTTAAAATCGACTTAAAATCCACTTTTGATTTAAACAAATTATTTTAAAAGTCATACCTCCTCCTCCTCAATTTCTTCGGTTTTCTCAGCTTCTTCCTTCGATTCGTCGTCTTCCATGTATGGTTTTGTGACAAACGTCGACAATGTATACTTTCGGGTGGTGCTCGAATTTTTCTAAAACATTTTTCGGTTGTCGAATCCGATTAGATCGCATCAAACCGCCAAATTCGGATTGGGCACGATTTCCGATTTGAGTTTTTTATGAATATTGGGTTCGGTTGCCGAAAAAGTGACCTCAGCGAGCGGCCGCATCGGAATCTCAATCATTTTGCGCATCAATGGTCGTGGCGGTTTGAGGCGGCGCTGAATCGAAAAAAAAAATGAGAACCGCCCGTTTATTAATCGAATTCCAGCTGCGGACAATCGAGCGAATGAAAAATGTCCGCAGATGATAACCCACAATAGTGATTCGTCGGAGAGTCGTTGTTTGCGGAATCGCCGCCTCGGTGATGCTCTCGAAATCGCCATCATAATCAGCGTCCGAAAATAAGTCAGCGACACCGGTCGGACTTCGACGGATCCTCTGAAATCAGGTAGAGATTTGATTCTCATAATGGCAATTCTTGTAAAATTCAGAATTCATGAATCCAAGCCGACAAAAAGTGGAATTTTCTGGAAATGATTGGAATATTTAAAAGGGCAATACCGAGAAAAAATAAAACAAATTTTTTTTCTGCATTGAAATTTTGCCAATTTTTTTCCTTTTTTTTTTCTCTGAATTAAAAACACTCAATTTTGATTTTTTTTTTGAAGGAAAAAAATTTCGTCTCATCGATTTCAGTCACTTTTAAAGATTTGCTTTAATAATCCACTTAATCAAATTCAGAATTTCAAAAATCGGTGAAAAATGAAAATCATTTTAAAATATTAAATAATATATTTTTTAAATTATAATAAACAATTTTGGTGCTGCGGACGTTCTTCCAGTCCGACACGACGTACTTTTATTTCGGCGGCATTTTTAAAAACGGGAATCGGCCTTTTCGAGTCGAGCTTTTCGCTCCAAAATCCGGAACCGGCAAGCACGAAATACGATGAAGCAGATGTGACGATGACCCAGGAAATGAAGAAAAACATCAAATACAACGCATATTGGTTCGAATTCGACGGGTATTCCTGAAAATGGAATGAAAAAAGAAAACATCTGAATGATTTTGAATGATTTGAATTCACCTGGTATTTCTGTGCGCCACATTTGCCGACAAATCGAAATGAAATGAATACAATTGCAAATATCGTGAGACAAATCGAGCAGAAGATGAGGAAAAACAGGGAAGCCGAGAGCAGCGGTTGGCCGGTAATGTGCTCTTCGATGAGGGAAGAGTCGAATAGATTTTCCTGAAAATAAAACAACAAATTTGAGTCATCTGCGGACAATTGGCGCCTTGAAAATTGTCTGCAGCTTAATTTTTTGATTAATTTCTGAGTTGGGCACTTTTTATCATGTAATTTTGGAACGATTTTCAAACTTGAAAATTGTCCGCAGATGGGATTTTTTAAATTTCTAAACAGAAAAAAAAGTGATGGGATGAACTAACCAACACAAATTGGCGTAGCATGATGGTCGGAGCGGAATGTGAAACGCCTAATGAAGATTCGAATCGCTCATAATTTTTTTTATGATAAATGTGCGAATTGGGTTGCGAATTGAGGTCAATCGTGAATTAAAATGAAAGCGATGAAAAGGAACTCACGGATCTCCAGAAATATTCGAGACTCCGCTCAACGAAACCATCCTCACTTCGTATAGTTAACGCGTTGAGTATATAGTTAGCCATCAACCAAAATTTATCTCATTCGAAAGCCGCCAATGCCGCCGGCAAATTGGGCACACGAAATTGTTGGTAGAAGGCGAAGATCGAGTAGAAGAAATCGAAGAAACTGGCTGCAAAAGTGCGTGTGACGTATTATTGCGCATCCACTTCACATCTTGCCATTTGTTTATCTTTACCGTATCAATTTTATTCCAATTTTCTTATTTATTCTATAGTAAATATCTGGCGGCGAATAAGACTCTCAAATTTTCGAATTCGAATTGTCGCCATTCTTAAAATTGTTCAAAAAATTGAAAATTGTTGCCTGCGTTTGGAATTGTGCTATTTTCATCCAAAAAAAAACATAAATTCATTATTTTCCGTAAAATTTTAATTTTTCAAAAATTTAGGTTTGAAAATATTCATACACACGACGCAAAATTGCAGACAAATTTTCATTTTTGAAATACACATTTTTCAATCGAATTTTTCATAAAATTAGCAATCGAAAAAAGAAAATTACTCATTTTTTCCAATGGAAAACTGTAAAAAACACAAATTTAACGATATTTTTTGGATAAAAATACATTTCATTTAAAAAAAGTCCCTAATTGAGACATTTGTCAAATTTTTAGCCTAAATTTCAATTGAAAACGATTTTATCTGAAAATATGCTTTGTGCTGAATTTATTTAGAAAAATTTCCCACATTTTTTAAAATGCACAACAAGAATGAAAGATATTTTCCAAAAAACTTGGCTACCAAAAATTTTCGCTTCAAGACTCAGCCTGAAATGTGCGCTCGTCTTTCATTCCAAAAAATAATTTAAATTTGGAATGTTCTTTGAAAAAAACACAGAGTTCGGGCAGCTTTCTTTCGAATTTATTTAATTTTTCATTTGATATTCAAATATCAAGAAATTCTCATGAAAATTATGAATTGATTCAAATCAAAATGAAAAAAAGGCTAATAATGGGGAGGGGGGGGGTTTGAGTCTAATGACGAAAAATTCAGGGTGCTTATTTTTTTTTGGAAAAACGCTTTATTCTAGAATTTCTTTAGTGATTTACTCCAACCAAAAAATAATACAGTTCGAATTGAGCAATCTCTATTGCAAATCAATTTCAACAAATTTTGAGACGAACGAGAAAAACCAAGCGCAAGTAATGTTTTGTTTAACAACATGCATCTGCGGACATCCTGCTGGAATTTAATTGAAGTGTCCGCAGATGCAATTTTATTCATGCTCGATTGGCATCCTCTCTCATTTTTCATAAGTACTCCATTTAAAAAAAAATCTCTATAAAACCTATGCGGATATTATTTTTCGAGTTTTCCTTTAAAAAAAAGCAACAGTCTTGGAATTTGAAATATTTTAGCAAACGTCTTTTTAGATAATTTTCAATAGATTCCTAGGAAGAGAAATTATTGGTCATCAATCAATCATAAGGAATCAGGAAACAAAATTAGTTGTGATTGTTGATTAGAATGCGGAAATGGGTGTGAAAAGTATGCAAATTTGTGTGTGTGTGTACCCGAAGCGGAGCTCCAGCGGAGCCGCAACTCCGAGCCGCAGACAGTGGGTGTTTGCGCGAGCCGGGCACAAAATGTCAAAAATTTTTGAACGCAAAACCGGCAAAACGTATCCGGACGACGAGAAGAAGGAAACGAGACGGCCCATATACGGAAATATCACATTGCGTCGCCTCAAGTTTGCCAATCGGAAATGAGAAATAAATCGAACGAAATCGGGAGTCGAAGGGACCATTCTATAATGAAGGGACCATTATTTCTATTAGATTTTATTGACGTTTTCCCGCAATTAAAACAAAACGAGTGTCGTCAAAAATTTTTTTTTCTACACCATCCAATTAGGCAGATAGAAGTGGCATTTAGTTTTAAATTTAAAAGTTTTGAGACAGTCAAGAAAAATTTAATTGCGATCAATTTGAAAAATATGGATTTTAAAAGGAATTTGATTACTGTAACATGAAATGTATGCAAAATTGCGTCTGCGTGTTAACAGAATAATAAAGAAAGAATAGGAGAATTTGGTTAAAAAAAACTCTCAACAGAGAAAAACGTCAAAATAAAGAAAATTGAATGGAAATGTGGAAAAAAGTCGAGAAAAAGGTCAATCAAATCGAAATTCGACCGATTTCACGCAACATTTAATCCGGATTCGTCTCATTTTTGGGAAAAACCCCGAATTGAATTGAGTGCACGGAAAATGGGTTTGAATATTTGAACGCCTTTCAATTCACTAATCATCTCATTCAGATACTGGCGGTACTGTATCGAATACTTCATCGAATCGTAGAACCGCAATGAAGTCATTTGACTAACCAAACCATTTTCAGCGTCCGTTGCTGCCAAAAACTCGCAAGAAAATGCGGGCCCTCAATTGCCACCCGAAAAGCAAACGGCAAAATCGCAAGAAGTCGCCGCGTTAATCGACGAGGTTGGTGCAAAATCGTCTCAGTTTTGTTACCATAGTTGTGTTGTCGTCAACAATACTCAGACAGGGATAACTAATCATCAGTGACGAGAGGCGGCCGCGATATCGCGACGTCTCGCGCGGTGCCGCAAACATTTACAAATTGCGCTATGAGCGCGTCGGCGGCGGCCGGCATGTGCGGTGCGTTTATAAATGTGTATGCATTTGCAGTCGGTCGACGCGATCATTGGCAAGGCCTCGTTCTCGCCGCTCAAAACCGCCGAATGGAATAAGAAGCTGATGGACACAATCATCGGCAGATTGACCGAAAAAGGAGAAACTCGAAAGGTTATAGGTACGTCGAGCAAATTTTAATCGGCGCCTATGAGCCGTAATTATTTTCCATCAGAATATCTGCGGACATTTTCCGGGATACGTCAAAAAGCGGGGAAAATTTCGTTGTTTTCGCCCCGTAATTTGAAAAACGCCTAAAAATATTTAATTTGAAATGAACCTTGGTCAAACCATAAATTTTTCTCTTGCAGTACACTCATCTATCGCTCCTGTCAGCGCTGATGTCGGATTAAATGTCTCCTATATCGCATACTGGAACAATAATAAAGATCGTGAGTTTCAGCCGCTTCAGCTTCATCTGAATCCATTTCAGAAGTCTTCACCCATCGTTGGGAATCGTCTTCAATCGTCGCAATTGTTCATGTGTTCATATTAGTGCACAAATACTCATAAAACAATTTAAAGCGCTCTTTCATTATTCAACGTTAAACCAATATTACAAACGAGAAAATAAAAAGAAGACAAATAAATAATTGTACATAAAACGTTAGAAAGTGTGCAAAAAACGAAGTAGAAAGATTGAATGCGACAAGTAAGTAGACAAAGTCATGGATACTATGAAGACCGGTGGTCAGCAATGTATAATTTACATATTATTCTACCTGAAACAAACGAGAAGCCCGTTTTATCGGCACAATTTCAGGATTTCAATATTCTCCGTTTGTCGTCGTCTTCAAATTCAGTGCCACAAGGACTTGGATGAGGTAGAGCAAGAGCCATTGTGCTTGAAAGAGGAGTTGGTGGAGGACCGCCCATAGCACTTGTACCTTTAAGATCGATAATTTATTGTCAAACACAATCGATGGGGATGATGCGTATTTGAATTTTTAATTTTGTCTCGCAATGATTGGAAATTGGATGAGTACTAAAAATATGAAAAGTTACAATATGCACATGCGAATTTTCAATGCCAGCAACTAATTTGGCGGTCATTTACGGTCTCGCGCGGACTAACTAGTTTTATCGTATTAAATGAGTGATTTCAATTTTTTTTTAAATTTTATAACCAAAATGAGTGCGCGTAAATCTACACCCATACCACAGTTGGTCGGAATTACGCAAATGTTTCTTTTTTTATAATATGCGTATTTTTTTCAAAATAATTTTGCGTTCTAGATGAATTTCGCAAAAAAAAATCGCGATTCAAGGTGGCTCACGACTCTGTCGGAATTAAAAATTGAAAATAAAAATATGTCTTAAAAAAGTAAATAGCGAAGAACGAATCGAAGAGGCGATAAAATTTTCAGTCCCCCTCGTTGCGGGTTTGGACTTAACAAATAATTAAAATAAAAGCCCACCATTGGTTATGCTCGACGAAGTGACTTGTGACGGTGGACATACTGGTCTGCCATTGTGAATTCCGGCGAACACGTGATATCCTCCAGAAGTTCCTGCTCCAACTTGGCTCTCGCCAACCATCGAAGCGTAGTCATTCGTCTATAAAATAAATTTTTAAAAAATTGTTTTTAGGAAAATAAACAAAAGAACTCGTTATTTTGCGAATAATTTTTGGTTAAATTAATCATTCTTAATAAAAAAAAAGCAAATTTCCCGCCATTTTTGAATTCTATTATTGAGAAAAACTCGATACCATTGGGCTTTCACAGTCTCTTCGCCTCATCAGCCATGTCCGATCATGCGCGACTGGACTCAACGTCGTTGTTTCCAATCGATGCGGTGGAATAGCCCGTCCAACAGTGCCACCAGGCGGGCCGCCGAGTCGATTGGCGTCCCATTTGTTCTTGAAACTTCCATGCGGTGCCGGCGAACCAACATAAGTGACCTCAGTGGTTGCTTCGGCTCGTAAAGTACCGCCACTATTGCCAGAATTGTCCGTTGTATTCCGATCTTGTGGTAAAATACCGTCTGAAAACATATTAATTGAATTCATTTCAACAAATGTGGGGAAAATCATGTAAATTAACCTCCAAAAACATAATAGCATTTCTCGGTGAACGTCAATTTGCTGACCACATGTCGAATCAAACCAGCCGCTAAAAGTCTCGAAGCGTAAGTTCTTGCAGCTTTGCGATCTCGTAAATCGACAACATGCTCCAAGAGCCATTCAACCAAATCACGGCCTAAAATTTTTTTGAAAAAATTAAAATAATTGGAAAAATAAATTGGAAATTTACCTATAAATGACATTGGGACTAGAATTTTAAGCCATTTTCGATTTTTGACTTGCAACCCGGAATCTGGACGCGCCATTGCTTTGACAACAATTAGCGGATCAATAAGCTCCGAAAGCTTCTCAACACGCTCGTTTTGATCATTCTCACGCCGCCTTTCGCATTCTTCGAGTAAAGCTCTCGGAATTCCATTCCTTCGCTGATCATAAAGAATTCTTTCCTGTAATATTCATATATAAATTAATTCAATAAATGAAATTTTACTTCTTCATCACTTCCAGTCGTGGAAAATGGCAGCGTTCCTTCATCGAATGTCGTTGTCGTCTGTTCTTGAGGATCGATTCCGAGCGCTTTCATTTTTTCAGTATTTTGACTAAAACAAAGTGTTATTAATAAATTATTCTGAATATTTGCTACATAAAAATTGTTCGTTAAATATATTAAAACACGAAATAATCAATTTAAAAATAATACGCAAATAATCAATTCAAAAATAATTTTTGCCCCAAAACTGATTTAGACCCGATTATTCAAAAATAATCACTTACACGGCAGTTTCGACCCATACTCCAACATCCAACGGCATTGTTTCTGAAGCGATTGAAGCTAGCGGATCTTCATATTCGCTGTCCGCTCCTTTCACAATTTTACTGATATATAGCGTCATTGGTCTGAAAATTTTTAAGTATTAAATCAACATTTTAAAATAGGAAACTCACTTTCTCGAGGCAGCAGCTTCTCGAAGAGCTCTGACTGATTGTGGTACAGTAAGTTCTTCAAACGAAATGCGATTGACTTGAAGAATCTGATCTCCAACTTCAATTCGCCCATCTCGTTCAACAGCGCCACCAGGAGCGATTTCCGACACAAAAATATGACCATCGATAGTGCAGACATTCAAACCGAGATATGGCACGTTTTTCATTGGTAGAAAGATTTCGAGAATTCGTGGCAACCCGCTTCCAGCGCTGAAATTTAAGCAACTCAGCTAAATTCTTTCTTGATAAACATGGCTCTTTAGAATATTCAAATAGAATTTTTTGTAATTTCTCAGAAACTACTGAGGAAATCATAATAAAAACGGTTATATAACTATAAATCCTGCATTTTTTTTGTGCGCACCTCGACTCTGTCGCCGAACTAATCGTACTCGGAACATACGTCCTTCGTTGTCTTTCCTTTTTCGGTTTTCTCCTTCGATTCCGCTCATCTTCATACATCTTATTCATATCGCGAGCTGCTAGCGGTTCATACAGCGACGATTCCCCAGTTAACCTTTAAAAATCTTTAATTTCGTTCAAAATTTATTGCTTTACCTAGTGCTATCATCATATTGATAAGGGTCCTCGGAATTTGAAGTGTAAAGCTCAGCGAGTTGCTCACCAGCACGTCCTTTAAAAATTTAATTTAAAAAAATTAATTAACTGAAAATCTTACGGCTAACTATAGTGCTGGGAGCTAGACTAGCATCTGAATAAGGAACAGCATCAAGATCGGCAGAACGTCGTCGTCTCTGAAAAATAGCAATTGTAAATTTTGAAAATTTCATCTCATTCATAGATGAAGAATTGTAAAAACTAACTGAAAATAATTGTTTGACATTATTTTTCATAAATGTTGAATATTACTTCTTATATTTAGTAGTTTTCACATTTCTCAAAATTCTCCTTAATAAAAATACTAGAAAGGTTCTCACTCTGTCAATGGTTCCCTTCAATTTTCTCGTAAGTGTTCCGCTATTCCTTGGTAACGTTCCATAACCTGGCGTGCTTACGAGAAAGACTTCATAAAATCCATTCTGAGACTTTCGCAATCGATCATTATCATCTGTTAGCTCAACTTTGACCTCGCTAAACATTAATTTTGAAAAAAAAAAATGAAAATTGTTATGCAATCTACCATTTGATATCGTTATCTAATTCTTTGCAGAAATATTTATAGCCTCGTTTTGTGAACGAATTTTTAAAGTCGCCGAGCGTTACAACACCTCCTCGTGCCTCAATTACGGAAACATATGGGGTTGTCTCGTCATCGAGAAAATAAAAAATCTGCAAATTACGAAATATGATAATATAAAAATTACATAATTGAAAATTACTTTTGTTTGATTTGATGACGAAGATGACTCGGAAGAACCTTGCGGTTCCATATGCGCAACGCCTGAAACAAAAAAAAAAAAACACTAATTGCGGAGCAAAAATTTTCTATTGAAAAAAAAACGAGAGTGTACGCGAATGGCTTTTTAATGTCGGAAGTAAATATTAGTCGCGTTATGGAAAAAAAAACAAGAGTCAATAAAAATAATTGATGCGAGATAATCGGGCAACACTGACACACAAATTAACGACGCTTTTATTGCTCTCGCTCGCGCGACGATTAAATCGCTGAACGCATGCGCCTTTAAACCGCAACCGCTGGTCTTGTCACGACGACGCTGCAGCGTGTATATCGACTACGGTGGCGGTTTAAACGAGGACCCGAATATTCTTTTCAGAATTTTAAAAATTTCGAGCAACTTTCTTCTGTTTCTTTTTAATTCTTTTAAGTAAACAGTGTGTAATACGATAGAAAATATCACAAATTATATTGAAAACATAAACTTTCTCTGTTTTTTGCATTGTTTTTGCTGAAAATAATGAGAAACTGGGAAAGAGACGACAGATATTAAAGAAACAGTAATATCTCAAGTGTTTTTGTTTACACCGATTTTTGGTTTGATAACTCTCGTGTGTTGTAAATTTGACAACAGAATCACAAAATTGATCCATTTTGGTATTCATTAAAGCTTTCATGTTCTTCAAAATTATTTTCTCATTTAACCACTTTCAATTTCGCCAACATTTTAATGAAAATTTTTAGACATTATGGCTTCAGCTGGGGATTCGATCTTAGCCTTGACTGGAAAGCGTACAACCGGACAAAGTATCCGAACCCAAAATGGTAATTTAATAAAATTTTATTCGATTTCGTTATAAAATATTTCAGTTACCGCTGCCGTAGCAATTGCTAACATCGTGAAGTCGTCCCTCGGACCTGTGGGTCTCGATAAAATGCTTGTCGATGATGTTGGAGTATGTTTTTGTTTTATTTTAAATAGTAAGTATTCTAATTTTAGGACGTTATTGTCACAAATGACGGAGCCACTATTCTGAAGCAACTCGAAGTAGAGCATCCAGCTGGAAAAGTTCTTGTCGAACTTGCTCAGCTTCAAGACGAAGAGGTTGGAGATGGTACAACGTCAGTCGTTATTATTGCTGCCGAACTTTTGAAAGCAGCTGATGAACTTGTGAAGAACAAGCTTCACCCAACCACTGTCATTAATGGATACCGATTGGCATGCAAGGAAGCAGTCAAATACATTCAAGAGCATCTTTCTTTTACCAGCGATGATCTCGGTAGAGCCGCCATCATCAACGCTGCCAAGACCTCCATGAGCTCAAAGATTATTGGCCCGTAAGTGTTACAGTCCTAGAAATTTAGTTTAAATTACAATTTCTAGAGACTCTGACTTCTTCGGAGCTCTGGTTGTCGACGCTGCTGAAGCTGTCAAGGTTACTGATAGCACTGGAAAGGTTACTTATCCAATCAATGCCATTAACGTGTTGAAAGCTCACGGAAAGAGTGCCAGAGAATCAATCCTTGTTAACGGATATGCATTGAACTGCACAGTAGCTTGTCAAGGTATGAAAAAAAAAGTTTTTTAAATATTACCATCGCAAAAAAACGAGCATTTTGTATAATTGTGGATCATCGCACTTTTTCGAGGCGGTAATTCAAATTTTGATTTAAACTGGGAATTTGGTTACCGTACTCTTGACAACCTGCGAAGCTAACTCACCGTAAATCGGCGAAAGGTGCTCGTTTTTCTTTGTGAGTAAAATATTCAAATTAAAAAAAAAATGAAAATACACACAATTTCATTTGAAAATTGCAAATAAGTATAAATTCACATATTTAAGCCATGCCACTTCGCGTGCAAAAGGCAAAGATTGCTTGCCTTGATTTCTCGTTGCAAAAGGCCAAAATGCACTTGGGAATCTCCGTCGTTGTTGAGGACCCAGCCAAGTTGGAGGCTATTCGCAGAGAGTAAAAATGATTGCTCTTATCTCATACTTTTATCGTAAAATTTAGGGAATTCGACATTACAAAAAGAAGAATCGAGAAGATTTTGAAAGCTGGAGCGAATGTGCTTTTGACGACCGGTGGAATCGATGATTTGTGCTTGAAACAGTTCGTTGAAGCTGGAGCTATGGCTGTTCGCCGTTGCAAGAAATCTGACTTGAAAAGAATCGCCAAGGCTACAGGAGGTAGAAATTTTTAATTTAATCGCAATTTTAAGATAATTCATTATTATACACAAAAAATTGTTGCGTTTCAGCTACTCTAACCGTCTCATTGGCTACCCTTGAAGGAGATGAAGCTTTCGATCCTTCCTTCCTTGGATATGCCGAAGAAGTTGTTCAGGAGAGAATCAGCGACGACGAGCTCATTCTCATCAAGGGACCAAAGGCCAGAACTGCTAGCAGCATTATCCTCCGTGGTGCCAACGATGTGATGCTTGATGAGATGGAACGATCTGTCCACGATGCGCTCTGCGTTGTTCGACGTGTTCTCGAAAGCAAGAAGCTCGTTACTGGAGGAGGTGCTGTTGAGACTGCTCTCAATGTTTGGCTTGAAGGATACGCTACCTCATTGGTATACATTGTCGTATCAGAACTGAACTAAGTTGATGTTTTAGTCTTCCCGCGAACAATTGGCGGTCGCTGAATTCGCGCAAGCACTTCTCGTGATCCCAAAAGTGTTGTCGGGTAATGCTGCCAAGGATCCAACTGATCTCGTCGCGAAACTTCGTGCTTACCACTCAAAATCGCAAAACAATGTGCAACTCCCACACTTGAAATGGTAAGTCACTGTTTTTGAAAGATTTTCGAAAATCAAAATGTTGAAGGGCTGGATTGGATCTTGAGAACGGAACAATTCGTGATAACAAGGAATCCGGAATCCTTGAGCCAATGGTGAGCAAGGTGAAGTCGCTCAAATTCGCCACGGAGGCTGCCATTACGATACTTCGTATCGATGATTTGATCAAGCTTGACAAGCAAGAGCCGGCCGGAGGACACGGCGACGAATGCGGCGCATAAGCTATTAAGACAAATGAAATTGAAATCAATTATTACTCAACAAACCGTTTTTTTTTTCTTTGCTATAATTTGATCTGCAGTGTGTGTGCTGGTGAGCTACTCCCGTTTTTAAAAGCTTTCTATTGTCATGCGCCCAACAACCATCAACTTCAAAGAACCACTCCCGCCGTTCCAATGTTTTTGCAGTTTTGTTACTTTCCTTATTTGTTATTTTCAACGCTTTGTTTTCATCATAAATTTTGCACAAAAAGAATGATTATTTGTCATCGACGAGAGAATGAAATTCACGATTACGCGGATCGCTATTCGCGCGGCGACGAAGACTCAATGGTGGAAGACGAACCCCGTTTTGGGAATTCGAGTTTCCGCGTTGAGCCAATGCGTTCTTTGAATGGGCCCATGGGGCATTTCGGAAGAAGTCGTCGTCTTCAGATGTTTGCTGAGGAAGGCGAATCACTTCCTGAAAAGGTGTTCGAAGTGAGAACTTCCAGAATGCACACGTACATCTTCAGAATGCTTCGTGTCATGATAAGGCGACGATTTGTCAGCAGCAGATGTCGAAGAACGAGGTGCAGCATTGGCCGATGGAAGGCGATCGGCGTTCGTCGAAGACAAGGTGGTGGAATGGATTGGAGGCTGCAAGATCGGATCAATGCCAAATTAGGAGTAGCCCGCATTAGGTCCGCAGCACACCAACCTTTTTGCCGAAGATGTTCCGAATTCGTTCGCCCATCGTCGAGAACACACCGTGATCTTGCGGCGGCAGCGGAAGCGGTGCTTCGGGTTCGAAATGATTCGATTCGATCGAGCAGGTCCGTTGTGAGATGAGGCGCGAATGAGCGGATCTGAACGAAGCACAAATGAGCGAGAATGAAACTATTTGAGCATGAAATCAGTTGACGTCAAATGCGAATTTTTCGGTGACAAAGTTCACAAAATAGTCCGCAGATGAGAATTATAAAAAATTCGATAAGAAAAATGCGGCGAATCACAGGTTGTTTGACTCGCAACTTATTCGTGATGATCAAATTCCACAGTTTAAATCAACATTTAAATTACCGCCTCGAATCAATTGCAATGGTCCATAATTACCCAAGGTGCTTTATGATATTAAATAAAGAAAAAGTCTAACATTTAAGCATATAAATAATAATTTTAAATATGTGATGAGCGAGATCAAAACAATCTTCGGACATTTTAAGGTGTCGAGTAAAATGTCCGCAGATGACTTACTTCGAGCGTTTCGCCATTTGCAAATAATCGCGGCCCTGTTGCGCGTTGCGAAGACTATTCGATATTTTCTCTCTCGTCAATTTGCGCATCTGAAAATGGGCGGAAACGAGACGCGGCTGCGCGACGTTGCTCGCAGAGCTCGCGCCAATCTAAAATTACCGACGCTCGCCTAATTTTCGGGTGAGACAAAAAAAAGAACACGCACCTCCTGTGGGATTTTCGAGTCATCCAATTCGAATGTGATGTCTTCTTCGTTTGCTTCCATCGCAACGCGCGGCTGAAAATACATCTGTGTGTGTGTTTTTTTTTTCTGAAATTAAGCCTCAAAAATTTCGAAAAGCCAATTGTGACTGGAATGAGTTGCGAGGCGAGAGGGTGAGCAGGTGGAAAATTGCTCTGCGAAATCTCATTATGCCATTTCGCCAATTATTGAATTTCTTCGAAATCGGGGCACGCTCTCAAAGAGCACAAAGTGCATTATCATCTGCGGACAATTTTAGCATGAAATTGTCCGCAGATCGATTTTGACGAATTTCCAAATGACTCACTCTGCACTTTGAATACTCCTTCGACACTCGCTTGATTAATGTGGCGCATGTTTCGCTGCCGGCTCTCATCGCCATTTGCACACAATTCATACCTTCATTGTTTCGCATTTCGACAACCTGAACATCGAAAATTGTATGCACATTAATAAGTAGAAAGATTCTCCGAATATTTCGATTTGGGTCTTGAAGCGAAAATTTTATTTGACCCATATTGTCGTTGACATTTTCATTTCAAAGGAAAAACAATAATTTTTTAAATTCATAATTTGTTTTTATTAAAGACGGGTATACTATTGAAGCAAAAGCGAAACAAATTCGAAATTTTTAGTTGAAATGAAACAGTACATTGAAGTTAGTGCATATTCACAAGAAACCGAGAATCTCGATTTTTTTTTTAATTTTTAAATAGACTCATCTAGGCATTTTCAGTGGGAAGTTTTTTCAGTATTTTTAAAATTACTGAATACTTGAAATATCGATTTAAAAGGGGTTGACAAATATAAGAAAATTTTAGAAATCACGAAACAACTAAGAGATTATTTGTGTATAGCGATGGATTTTGTGTATAGCGATGGATTCATTATTTGAATTGGGTCTCGCATGGAAATACTCTTAGGAGTGAGTATTAATTAATTTAGCCATCATAATGTAAAAGAGCTCAGCGATTTGATCGAATCACTTTTTGGTTTCGGATAACTGACGGAATATTTTGATCAAAACAGGTTAAAAATTCAACTAGTCGAAACAAATGTCGCTCGTGCATTAAAACGACACGCTAAATTGAGGGCGATGTCAAATTGGAGTGTCGTACTGGTAGGATAAAAAAGATTTGTTTAAACCAAAGCCAACCACGGTTCGTCTTTTTCGAATCACGGAGAGTTTTTAATAATTTTTCGCAATAACAAACATGCCAATTGACGGAGAATGGGCCCATCAAATTTTAGATGGGACCACTCAATGATTTTATTTTCACGACAACCCTCCTCACCTGTTTCAATTTTCCGCTACTAATCGCCATCGTGAGAATTCCTTTGACATGAAGCACGCGATTCTCGGCAGCGGCGAGCATTAGTGCCGAATTTCCGTGCTCATCCTGCCATTCAATATCAAGAAAAGCCTAGAAACCTTTGAGTTAATCCATCGCACTCGATTAAAAATTAAATAATTCCTGTTTTTTTTTTTTTCGTACCGTGGTAACGAGCGTCGGATCATCGAAAGGATCATCGAGATCAAAATCAGCGACGCCGTCGTTCTTGATTTCTTCAACTATCCGACTAACCACCGCAGCATGGTCCATTTCAATTTTTGGAAATTCTAGAATTTTACGTGTTGCAGCGATGTATAAAAAAATAGCCAGACGTCTTTAAGCTCATCTGCGGACAAATTGAAATACTAATAAATGTCCGCAGATAAAATATGTCATTACTTCATTCTTAAACAAGACTAAGAGAATAATGGTGCTTAAATTCTAATCATGAATACGAAAACGTTGGTTAGTTTGATTTTGAAAAACTCCGAATTTTGGACAATTCGCAATATGGAAAATGTCCGCAGATGAAATTTATGAAGTGCCAAAAAGAATAGTGTTCGCAAGAGTAGTGTGTATTGTTGTTTATGACAACACCAACTCTCTCTCTCACTTTATTTTCTTCCATATTCAATTAATTAGTTTCGGTGTTCTGGGAAAAGTGATTTCACTCATTTGGGGCGGCGAGGGGGGGGGGTAATATTGATAACAAACAAACGAATGAAAAAGTTTGAAATGAAATCACCGGGTTGAACTATGAATTGTGAGTGGGTGACGAACGGGGGAGAAACAGAGAGAATCGAGAATTGGGTCTTGACTCGAATAAAAAAGATGCAACGACATGAATTGGGGGAAACGAATCGATAATTAAAGCTTGAGATTGAATAATTGTTTATTGACGAAGTTGCGCGAATTCTAATTATTGGCAAAATTCCAACAAATAGGAAATGGCAGTGGTCTCAGCTCGAAAAAAAAATTGATGTGTAGATTTACGGACCTAGATATTAGGATTGGTTAAAGGCGCAGACCTCTCATTCAGATTTAAGCATTCAGCCAATCGACAATAGATTACTGTGAGAAATCTAAAGTGGTTTGGGATGTTTGCACACTATTGAATGTTTTATTCAAATTTCGTTTGGTACTAACGGAAATTTGAATTACCGCGTCATAATTAAAAATTACCGTAAAGACGATGCCCAGATTTTTTTTGCTCACAGTATTGTCCCAATTAGAGGCCCATTCGGATAGTGGCAATAAAATGATTTTCAAAAATTAATTTTTAGGTTTTTTTTTCTGAAGATTTGATTTTGACCAAATATTTGATATCTCGAAGTGTGACTAATACCGAAAAGACTACGATGTTTTCTTTTGATCTGCCGTTCCAATTATTATTTGAGAAAAAAATATATTTGATTAGTTTAAATGAATTCAATAAGTATTAATCGAATATTTGAGCAGAATGGGTTTGTTTCGAGACAACATTAAGATTTTCAAAAGAAAAAAAAACAAATCTCGTTTTTTAAAAAATAATTTTTTATAAGGATTCGAAATGAAAAAGAAACAGCGGGGAGAAAAAGAAGAAGTGAAAAAATAGGAAAGGAGAGAGGCTTTGATTGTAGGGTTTTTTTGAAAGTAATCGGTTTGTAGTCATGGGAACCAGTGCGGCATTGATATGGAAAAGCTGGCCGGGGGGGGGGAGGGGAAAAGGGTGGGGGGAAGCCGAGGGCCGTGCTAGAGCCAATTCAATTCTTTCATTTTTTTTTGTTGAGAAATATAAAACATTTTGAATGGTGATATGATGGTGACGATGGCGACGAGCAGGGTGAGAAGTTTGGACGAAGAAGCGCGAAGAGAGACAGAATTCAGCCGACGATGAGTTGACGAGCGGCGAACGAGCACAGTGTCGAGACAACTACGAGCAAGCCTGAAGATAGTCGATTTCAAGAACGGTTTTTAAGCCCCAAAAAATTGTCAATATTATGGGTTTTTATCTGCGGACAATGCGTTTTTGATTATTTTAGAAAATATTGATTTGTCGCTTCGAGACCTGCCAATTTAAATAGGGCAATCTATGTATTTTCGCTTGAACACATTTCTAGAATCATGACTCACAATTTGCCATTAGCGCAACACTCAATTGAGCTCCGATTCGATGCAGCTCATTCCATGCTTGATCATCACAAGAGCTCGAGAATATCCCTTTTAAGGCATCATTTAACACGCGAGTTCCCTGCAAGAACCAAAGAAGCATTCAAATTGAAATATGGCGAGTTGATATTGGTACTATTTATTTTATATATTTTTTACCATATAAATTTAAATATAGATATTATGGACCTGTTCATGCAATGAAAAAAATAATAAAAATCAATTTTTTTTCGCGATATATCGTAATTCTCCGCTATTTATTTTCAAAGGCGCACGCGAAAAGTTGCGCGGGTCACGTCGCGAAGGCGGTACTGTAATTTTATATTTTCATTCTGTGTGCTATTTTTCCGTATTTTTCGAAAACTTTGAACAGAAAATGAGGAACAGATTTAGGAACGAGTAAAATAAATTATTATTGGTATAATTACTCCTAATTCGACAATATAAGTCTATTTTTCGTCATCAATATGCCAATTATTATGAAAAATAGTGATATTTGTGTTTATTTGATGCAGACTTCGCTCGATGACGCTTCTGATGAACCTTTAACGTTGATTAAACAATATACTTTTACAGATTTCCAAAAAAAAAACGTTTTAAACTCTCAAAAAATAAAAAAAATTCGGAAAACACCGCCATTAAAAAATTACAGTACCGACTTCGCGACGTGACCCGCGCAATTTTTCGCATGCGCCTTTAAAAATAAATAGCGGAGAATTACGATATATCGCGTCAATTTTTTGTAATTTTCGACGTGCGTGCATAGGGAATTCAAATGATAAAAATTGATTTTTTTTTCATTGCATGAATAGGTCCATTGGCTTCTAGATTGTCGACAAATTTCGATCCAAATTGCATGCTAAATTCCTACGAATCAAACTTTTTGAACTGCGTGTATTTGCTCGAAACCGGAAATTTGTCCGCAGAATTAATTAATCAACATTAATTTTTTACTTGTTCAATTGCTGCACGCGCTCTCAGGAAAACTACAAACTCGTAGGTCCCCATTGATTTTTTTGCGAAATGGAATATCGCGCAACCGGTTGGCTGCGCGCGACTGCGGAAAATTGACTAAATGCCAGAAAAACCATGTGTGTGGTCTTGGCGCAAAAATGACAATGTAGATTTACGGGGTCTAAGCATGAACATATAATAAAACACCGAGAACTCTTCTTAATTTTCCTTGGCGTTTTGCCAATTATCCGCGCGACCTCGGCAATACCATTCAATCAATATTATATAATATTGTTTGATTCCTACCAAAGCGGTGTCGACAATATGCAATTCATTCGCAATTGAACTATCATCAATTTCACGATCCGAATTCATTTTATTAGTGATTCTGAAAATGTGTTGAAAAATATTTCTGAAAATTTTAAAGCCTAAAAAAATGGATGCGAATTTCTTCGAGAAAAACATTGATTAAAAAAAATTTTGAGGAATAGAATGAATTTTTAAAAATCATTGTGATACCTCTCAAAGACGGCGTGCTCACAATTCAATGTGTCCCTACAACACGACCATGGAAGAGTGAAAAGGACACTGAAAAGCGAAATTCAATTTTTTTTTTGAAAATTCCCCCTTTTTTTTGATAACTTGGCTTCATCTATATAGGTCTCATCAAGAATTGTATAATAAAACCAGGAAGAAAATGGATTTTTCAACGAAACTGTCGTCTCTAAAATAAAACGCATAGTTTGCATAGTTAAATGACACCAAACTATTCCATTTTAGGTGGCCATGAAGTGGAACACCGCAACATTCAAACATTTGCTGAAATTGGTGGATTTCCTAAAAGAAAAATATTTTTGAAAAAAAAAAATATTTCAACCGACAATTGGCTCATTTTCTTCCATTCCTCTCAAAAAATTTTGTTTGAAATTTATGGCGAAAAATTCGGTGAAAGTGTTCAAATAAAACACGGAAGCCAGGCCGAAAATCGCCAAAAACGCCAAAAACTGCGCGAAAAACCAAAAATAGATGCCAATTTTGCTGAAAATCCTCATTTTTTTTTCTCAAAATCGATGATTGAGCAACCTGGCAAAAACGGTCTCTCTCGATATTATCTCATGAACAACAATCAAAAGGCAAATGAGCATTGCGAATCCAGCAAAACCTACCGTATACCATCCGAAAAGACTCCTGATTGGGCCAAATTTGCGCATTTTCGGCTTTTGATCTACCTACCAAAACTGAAAAATCGAGTACACCGTGAAGTAGACGAACAAGAGAATCGCAATTTTCGGAAAAATGAGGAACAGTGAGAGATTTTTGAGAATTCTCGCGCAAGCTCCCGGAATCTTCAATTCTGAATTTGATGAATGAATTGAGGTGTTTAAAGGCGCATTCAAACCAAGAATATCTTCCGAGTTCTCCTCATTCTCTTCCTTTTTTTGCAATGTTGGATCAGTTGAGGATTCTGACGAAAAATTATTGTATAAAATAGGAGAAATCGGATTTTTTTTTACCACTGGGAGCCAATGCCGAAATTTCTGAAGTTGGATTCATCGAATTTTATAAGAAATGAACGTGCAATTCAAATTTTTGGCTCAAATTTTTTTTTTCGAGGGGAGCTAAATAAAGGAAATTGAGAGATTTTTCAGATCAATCCAATTCAATTTGTTTTTTTTTTCTAAAAAAAATCAAAATAAAATGTGTGTGTTTAAATAGAGTCCAATTCGTCGCAAATTTGAGGCCGTCTGATGCCCTTGAATGAATGAGCCGATTTTCCACGTGAAATACCCCAAATTCCAACATTTTCTCATGGATTTTTTTCATTTCTTCGAAAAAAATTGAAAACGTTGAAAAATATGCGCTATTGCCGTCAAATCGAAACATATGAACGATGTGAAGCGGCTTTATTGTCGACACAAGGATACCGGTAAGATGTCCGCAGATGGGATCGTTCAAATAAGTCACAATCAATCAATATTCCTTGCTAACGAATTAATAAATGGAAGTTAAAAAAAAAAAGAAAAACCAAAAACAAAAATGCAGAGTAGTTTTCTAGTGAAACTTGCAGACTTCCTGTGAATCCACTAAAATCCGAATTGATCCGCGAGTTGCTTCGTTTGGGCTCGGTGAGTCCGCGATCGATGCGAAGGGACGTGATGGTCCCATTTTCCACAGAAACTGTAAGACACAGTGAAACACGAATAAAAATCTTTATTTGGCGATTTTTTCAGCTTCAAATACTAACGGGTGAAATTGAATTGAAGCCGGACACCATATTTGAGCAGAACTATGAAAAAATTCTGAACGAGATTGCCGGATTTGCAATGCAATATCCCGAAATCGGCAAAATCAAAAATAAGGTGAAAATTGGTTTGTGAGAAGAATTTTCAAAAAAAAAATTGGTGATCTAGATTTGCGAAATTCTTGTCAAAGAATGCCAAGATTCGAGTTGTGTGACGCTTCATCGAAAAATGATCGAGTATGGATGCGCAAATTTGGCGACGAAACCATTCGAGTACCTCAAATATCATTTGGTTCGAATGGTCTCGCAACGAACAATCGACGTTCAATTCTACCGTATCGATTTCGACGACTTCTCGAAAATTCTCGACGACGACGAATTGAACGTCGAAAACGAGCTGGATCTGCTCCAAGTGATCGAGGCGTGGATATGTGAGTGACGCGCAAAATTGTCCGCAGATGCGAATCGATTTAGCGGCGTGTCCGATGCAACGCGAGCGATTCCGAGTGCCGCTTCGCACTCATCTTCGAAAAGCCGGAATCCCACCAACAGTAGTCGAGGAAAACCATGAAAATGATCAATTTTAGGCAATTTAGGAACTTTTGACAATACCGAATGTTGAGAATTTATCGACAAAACCAGCTCGCAAAATTTGCGATGTAATGATAACGATTGGCGGATGGCTTCACAAACAGGCAACCGACAACGTCGAATGGTTCGACGTGGTTCGTCTTCAATTCTATTATATTCAGTATCATATTGTTGTATCTTGAAAGGAAAATAGACAATGGGAACGCTCAAAAATCGTGTTGCCCATGAAAATCGCGTATCACGGAGCCGCTATAATTGATCAAGTATCGTCGAGCTTGCTTCCTTGTGAGACTGATGATGGGAATATTCCTAGGATTTGTATATATTCGGAGGCTCCGACGGAATGCGATTCAAGTGTGAAACATGGAAATTCTCGGGTCAAACCGGCGAATGGAAACGTTGCGATCAAATGATGGACCCGAGGAATTATATCACGAATAGTTGTGTGGTGTATGACGGAAAAATCTATGTATTCGGTGGGCAGTGTGGACGAATGATCAACAATCGGGTGGGTTGAGAACAGAAGAGAAAACAACCAATCGGGTCTAGAATCACAGATGCGACACTGCCGAAGTGTATGATCCAAAAATCGACAAATGGACTTATATCGCGTAATGCGCCTTTGAAAAATTGGGCGATGACTCGTTTGGGTTTCAGAAGAATGCATGATATGCGATCGGATGCGGCTGCCACCCTATTCGGAGATCAAATTTATATTGCGGGCGGTTTCAATGGCACCAGAATTCTGAATACTGTGGAGGTTTCTTCGCTGCTCAGAAGAGGTATTTTTCATTCTCATGTCTCTCAATTTCAGGTTTACAATCCGAAAGGTGATTTCTATTTGCGAGTTGCACCATTACCAACCCCATTATCTGGTATATACAATCATTATTTTTAGTTTGTATTTTTATTACCAAAGAGATTTAGGGCATTCCTTACTAGCCCATCAGAATGATTTGCTTCTTGTCGGCGGATTCAACGCAGCTGAGCGTCAGAATAAGATTCTGGTTTGGTCTGACCGCGATGGATGGGTTGAGCATGACGAGAAGCTCCGATTCGGAAGGTGCACCCCATGAACAATTGCCACCGTGACTCCCTCCTTCGAATTGCAGATCGACGTGCTCGGCGTGCTCTTATCGCGGTCACGTGGTTATGGCTGGCGGATACACGAACGCCGTCGAGAGATCCTGCGAGACGTGAGTGATCCGACGCCATTTATTCTCCGATGACTCATCGCTGATTTCGTAGGCTTCTCGGACCTCAAGAGCGCGTCTATGTGCCGGATATGCTTCAGAATAAAAGCGCCACCAAGCTGTTGGTGGGAAAAAATTGGCGAAAAATTCTCGACAAATTTGGCACAATTCCGAAGGATCGATTGCCGCCGACCCCCATTGCGAGCTACGCGCGAGACGAAGACGACGACGACTTTCATACGATTCAGTAGATTTTTGGAAATGAATCGCAATTTATTCAAATTGAGACATTTTGTGAATTTTTAAATCCAGGACAATGTCCGCAGATGACAGTGTATTTCACTATTCTCATGTGTTGACCATTTCGTTTCTTTTGTAATTATTTTAAGCGATATTTTAACTGGAGAAGGTCTTGTGCGCCTTTAATCTGTCCCTATGTTATAATTCCGTAAATCTACACCTAGTGTTGCGCCGTGACCATACTCATCTTGTTTTTTTTTGGCAGCTTGCCAATTTTTTACAGTACCGTACTACGAGCAACCTGCAAATCAAACTCACCGTAAATCAACACAGGGTGCTCGTTTAAAATATATATTTGCTATTTCTTCAAGTCGTCGAAAATTTCTGAAAACTGGATACATAACACTGAACGAGAAGCTCTTCTAACAATATTGAATCTTGCTGATGTTTAATTCAAATAAAGATGTCATCGAAAACAAAAATGGGAATCGAAACCGAAATTCCAATAAATAAATCAGACATTTCTTTGTAATCCCGAAAATCGCATCGCGCGAAAAAAAACGACATTAACAGGCGTAGGATGCAATTTTGGAATGTTCATAAATCAGTCGGCGTCTCTTCGAGATGAATGGTCTCTCGCCCCAATCACAAACATCGTTTATCGACTTTCGCTGTGATCGGCCATTCCGTTCTCGGAAGCGAACAAAAACACAACCGAAAGGGTCAATCAAATGATCAAAAACACACCGTTAAGCATTTGTGAAGAAATCATCAAAAAGTATAGGAGAGAAATGTGTGGTCAAGGCTTAATTCGCTTTCATGTTTCACACGCCTTAATGATTAATTGCCAACGAATTCAAATGATCGTTCAGTTTCAATCAAGACAATAGGATTCGATGACAAAATAAACTAGAAAAATGAAAAAATCGCATCTGCGGACAATCTACTGAATTCGTTCAAACGCCAAAAAGAGAATACAAATTTCAGAAAAAATGAATTTCGTCACGAGACCCAATATGAATAACTGTATGCGCCTTTACTTATCTATTTGGATTTTTTCAAATTTCGATACAAGAAAATTGAGAAATTTAAGAAGTAATAAGTTGAAAACAAAGAATTTCAGAGGATTAAAATTGTCGGCAGCACATTTGATACATGCACAATTTGTCATCTCTCCTCGGGACTTCCATATTTCTTGAAAACTCCCAAATCAATTAGTTCCAATTCAACAATTCAAGGCTAACTTTTCGATTCGCCTCCTCCTCCTCCCAAATATTAGTTGTAATTGTAAGATGTCTAAATGTTTCCGCGGATTTCGTCGGCCTGTCTCAATCGTTTTTCAATGTGTCCTTTTGCGGTCGAACACGGCAATTTGAATCACAATCCGGAGGGGAATCGCCCACACTCATGCTTGCCTGATTCTAATTGGTATTCGAGATTCGACATCAAACATTTTCTCAATTTTTTCGATCCCCCCACCCCCTTACAGAAACCATTTTCTTTTACCAGCCGCGAAAAATTTTTGTCGGCCGACAAAACACACCCATTCATTCATCCTCGTTAATTCGATACTACAACATTTGTCGAAAAAGTGGGTTAAATGGGTCGTCATTCGGGTTTATATGTTTTGTGAGTTCCGATGTTTCTTTAACTTATTTGAATAAAATGTGTTTAGATAAAATGCGAAAAAAATTGTCTGAAGAGAGTGGGATTCGAACCCACGCCCCCGAAGGGACTGGTGCCTTAAACCAGCGCCTTAGACCGCTCGGCCATCTCTCCGCCCGGTCCCGGTTGCTCGATTGGCGTAGTTAACACCGCTGTCGTACTTTGCACGTCAATTACATTAGCCTGCGAATAATGATTTTTGGAATTTAAAAATTGGTGTATGGCGAAATGTAGGCCAATCAGATGATTTCGAAAGTGTCGCATATCTTTGCCCGCCCGACCTCCCTAATTTACCAACGTTTAACAATTAATGTGTATTTGGAATTGACACCGTTGCGCGCCAAGAACACTTTCATCAAGATTATTTCCGACCATTTTAATGATTCCGCAAAACTATGCATGTTTTTTATTCGTGTCCATATTTGGTGAACCCTCATCATCATAAATCTCGCGTGTTTTCGCCCCCATTAACATTTATTTCGTTTCCGTTCCCCCCCCCCCACCCAATCCGAGAACAATGCATTCATCCAATAAAAATTTGTGTCAAGACAAAACCCACCGCCAGCGGTTATTGTCACTTGCAATTGTCACAAATCAATTCCGAGATGATGATATTGTCGCTTTTTTGGCGATTTTCCCAAACATTGAGAAACCATTAAAAATTTCGCTTTTTCGCGCCGGAAAATCTACGCCCAATCGGTAAATAATATTGAGAATCTAGGAGTTTCAAAAAAAAAAGAACCACAGCATCCAATCGATCATATTAGTCTTCAAACTGATGTTTATAACTAATTATCTGAAATCAAATTAGCGCAATACAGAAATAAAAATATAAATAAAAATTCGAAATAACTAAAAAAAATCGCATCTGTGCATGTGCGCGTCAACTCTGGTGTGTGTGTGCGCGTGATTGCACCGATTGTGTACCGTACACAAGGATTTATAGAATTCGCGGTGGCACAACTTTGCAACTTGTGCGCACGCAGTATTTCTTATCTCCCAACGTTCGCAAATTTTACAAAATAGTGTTTATAAAAACAAATGAACAACTTTATAATCTCACAGATTAAAAAGGGCAAATACATTTTTTATCAATTCTCGAAATTCGTTGAGTTTAGACTTTTTCATAATACTAACAAGATGGACTCAGATAACTCGAAAAAAATATTTTTTTTGTTCGCACAATCAGGTAAATCGGATAAAATATTTTGAGATGCATTGAAAAACTAAAGTTTCTCTATAATATTTCAGATTTTTCTCAATCAACTTTAAAAATTATTTCAAGATTTTCGAATTTATTGAGATTATTTAGAATTTGCTCAATAAATTTTGGAAAATCTTATAAGATTAAAACAAATTTTTTTAAGTTGAGCGATTCTCAATAAGTTTTAGAAAGAATCAATAAAATTTAGAATTTCTTATAACATTTTAGAGTTTATTATTGCATAGTTGATTCTCAAAATATTTTTTTTGATTTGCTTGAAGATTCAGATTCTCTTTAACACTCTTGAATTACCACCAAATAGTATTAATGGAGCGAGAAAACCATTGAAAAGCAATCATGAAAGCTTCACCATTTGATTCATCCAATTCTCGTCAAAAGTCAATCTTGGCAATTGGCGTCTATTTGGAATTTCCCATAAATTAGATAAGAAGTCTCTAATAATAATAATAATAATCTCCGTGAGAATAGATATATATATATATTTATATTTAATTCGCGTGTCACTCACTCATTCCACCTGTCGCAATTCTCAAAATGTCCGTTTTCGAACGTGAATGGATCGGTGGATTGGATTGAGGATGAAGCTGACAATTCGCGGCGTCGCTTTTCCATGCTTCACCTGTTTCCATGTGTTTTTTTTTTCGATGCTGCTGTCGTGCTTGGTTGTCAGTACAATTCTCGGGCCCCCCCGGGAAAACCTGTCAAAAAAACACGCAATGCCTGCGTCTCTTCGTCTCGCCCACTATCTCGCGCCTCTCGCTTTGTGACTTCATGTCCGTTCACGCTTCAAATCGGTCGGAATCCTATCCGATTGAGACGCCCGCCTTCTCACTTGGTCAATCTCGTCTCCGGCTGACTGGATTGCCCTTTTTGATGGTCATCGACTGTTGCTTCTTCTTCACCCTTCTGTCGTCTTCTTCTTCGTCGCCTTTTGTCATCCCTTATCATCAGCGACTTTCACTTCAACCTACTATCCAGTTATCACTTACATACCAGTTTCCCGTCAGATGCCGACAATTTCCAGGAATTCAGGCTTCAATGAGTTCTCATTCCCCATTTTTTCAGTCTACAATTTGCTCTTCTCTATTTAAATGAGTTGATCACAAATGACTAACAGAATCACAAAGAAAAATCTGCTAGTGAGATTTTCTTATGGGATCACGCCTCATTTCTTTCAAAGAATGTGATCTGCGGACATTTTCTGGCAGACATTGAACATCTTTCGAAATTTGTTTTAAATTCAGAAACGGCTGGAAAAAAATGAGGAGAAGTAAATTTGAGCTTTAGGCTAAGCGCATTTTATTATTATTCTTGATAATATTAAATTACGAACCTCTAAATTGGAAACTCATGCACCTTTAAAGAAGGTCTCATAACGATTGATTGATTTCTAGTGTCTAGCCTAATCTTTAAAGAACAAGGTTGTCTCCACTAAAAAATGTCCTTGTCTTTTTTGGCGAAATCTCTTCCTTTCTTAAATATGAATAGTAGATCAAAAACCTGCGGAACGAAAAGCAAAAACTTGAAAAACTCAAGGAAGTGTTCATTTCTTTCTTCCTCAATGTCGCCCTTAATAAGTAGCGAGAATTTGATGATTTATCCAATCAGTGCATATGCCGTTCATGATCTCGACGAAAAAAAAATCGTTTGCGCCTTCGATGACAATTTTTGAAACATTTTCGACCCAATTGCGCCAATTTTTTTCTTCTTCCAACTTTCTTTTCCCTTAACGCGATAATTATTGCCAATTATTTCGTCATTTCGAACTTTATACATTTTTTGAGACACCTGTTCATTTTATTACCCAAATATGGACGGCTTCTAGCCGCCGGCGACCGCCCGTCGGAACGTTGTAAACACGCCAATCTCGGCCCCAATTCTTTTTTTTTGAATACACGTGAAGAGACTTTTTGACAATGATGTCCGGAACACTTGCCCGAATCAAAATACGGTCAATTCTTCAAAAATCGCGACACTTGACGCACTCGAATGCGCCGATTTCGAAATTTATGTGTATGTATGTATGAACTGGATAAAACTTGAGGATCCGATGAATCATTGCCGCCATCCTCATCTTCATCATCGTTATCGTTATCAGCGTCGCAAAAATTATCTGGATCCAAGTTTGCCCTTTTATTCGGACCTCAAAAATCAAAAGTGTGACGTGCCGAATCAAAATCCAAATGCGTTTACTGATTACGCCATGGTTGTCATCGAAGGCGATGCGCGAAATGTCCACACTGATCCACGCCCTTCTAGCGAGAACCCGTAGCTTTTTAGACAAGTAGCCCCCTCGACATTTTTGGCATTCCGCCTTCTCGAAAATGGCTCTTTGTCTGTTGTTCGCGATTAAATGAAAATCGAACACACCCCGCGTCGGCGGCTGCTTCATCTTCATCGCAAACTGGATAAGCTTGTCGTCGTCTATTCATCTTGATACCGCTCAATATCTCGCCAATGTTGCTTATCTTCATCTTAACAGGTCATTTTTGGCGACGGGAGGGCTTCATCGCATCCCGACGGCCATCGTTTGATTATGCATTGTAAACGGGGTTCGGCGGCGAAAAAAACAACATTGAAATCGAATCGCTCGCCGCTTTTATCGCGTTCGTTTTCCGCCCCCCCCCCCCTCACACAACCTTCGTTCACTTTTGTTTCATCGCTTCTTTATTATTTATCTCAGCTTCAACTATTCATTTTTAGATGCGGCGGAGTTTACTGCCCGTCTTCGCACTTCTGATACCCTCTCTAGTCGACGCGCTCAATTATAAATGTCACAATAATCAGGTGAGCATTTCTTTTTCTTAAATACCGTAACTTTGTGCAATAATGCGTAGGTGTGTATGCACAAGACATTTTTTTTCAAAAATTCGTTTGAGCCCCATACATATTTTAGTTTTATCGTTTTATCTACTCATTGTTTTTATCTGAAAATTGAAAGTAACTTAAATCAAGTTAATTTTCAATCATGATTCATTCAAAAAATGTAAAATAATTACCTATTTTTTAGGTTCTCGTTGTTCAATCTTTCGGAAATGACACAATTCGAATGCATTGCCAACATCTTGACCTTTGTGGCTATCAGAAGTTGAAGTGCGATTATGATGACAACCAGCCACAGTGCGGTGGAAAACTCAATTTTGTATCTCACGTCAATCAGAAGAATCCGACTTCACCGTGAGTTCGCAAAGTGTTGTGTCATTCAAGTGTAGCTCTTTTATTTAGGGTGGAGCACACTTGCTGCAATCTCTTTAATCCTAGAGAGCCTCACACAGTGCCCACTCACACCGGAAACGACTGTTTTATCTATGAGTTACCAGATGGTACCTCGAATGAAAAAAAAACTGATCCAGCTCCAGCCGATGATGCTCCTTATGCAGTTCTGAAGAACCCCGCTGAAATTCCTGAGCAATTCGACGGAGTCACTGGATATCGCTTGAGACTTTTCTTGTTGAAGAATAAAGCTCCTCCAACGCTTCTCGTGAAAGGAATCGAGCGCAGATTGTATGTTTTCTCAATCATCGGGTCGTAAATTGTAACGACTTTCGTTTAGGGATGGCTATCGTGTCACTATTTGCCGTCCAAGATGTACTGCTATTGATGTTGCCGCTCGCGGAACCGGAGAAGATGGCGAATGGAAGGCTATCACATGGAGCAGCTGGTCATCATCGTCGTGGAGTTCGTGGGCTCGAAGTGCTTTCAACAAGGCTTCGGAGAATAGCGAACGAGTGCGAACTCGTGCTCCAATCGAGCCGGCCAAGGATAAAGGTAACACATCTAATTATGAGTGAGTCAATAATCAAGGAATTTTAGATAATAATATCAATATCAACGTCGAGGCAAACGGAAACAACAACAACTCTTTCGGAAAAGGCGGAGATCACAAATCGGAAGGTTCTAATAGCCATGCAAACGCTGGAGGAAACACCAACACGAACACTAATGGAAGTGGATCGGGTGCTGGAAATATCAATATCACTATTCATACTGTTGGTGATAAGCATAATGGAACCGGGCCAGGAGCTGTAGCAGTTGCGAATGCGAATGTCACAGTCAATAATCACGGATGGCAAGGAGGCGCAACAGGAAATGGAGGTGGGGCTGGAGGAGCAGGTGGAGCTGGTGCTGGTGCTGGTGCTGGTGCTGGAGCTGGAGCTGGCGATAAAAATGGTGCGGGAGCAGGAGCAGGAGCTGGAACGGGAACAGGCAAAGGAGACACCGGCGGTAAAGGAGGCACTGGTAAAGGAGATCGTGATGGAGACGATAAAAGTGGAAAAGGTTCTGGAAAGGATAAAGTCGAAGGCCAATGGAAGGATGAAGACGATGAAGATGAAGGCGATAGAGGTGACGATAGCGGAGAAAATGGAAATGGAAAGAAGCCTGATGGAAACATCAACGTCAATATTCATGAGCCTGACGATAATGATTTATTGGAAAAGGAAGACGGAAAGAAGCCGATGAAGGGATCTGGAGAGAGAGGTGACGAGAAAGAAGGCGAGAATGAAGTTGGTTCGAGCGGTGGAGCTGGAGGAGATGGCGATAATGGCAACGGAAACGGTAGCGGCGGGAACAAAGGAGATGGAGCTGGAGGAGACGGAGACGGTAATGGAAACGGAAACACTGGAAATGGCAAAGGCGGCAACGGCAATGGTAACGGTAAAGATGGCAATGGAGCTGGAGGAGATGGTGGAGAGAATGGAAACGGAAACGGAGGAACTGGAGGAGACGGCGACGAAAACGGTAATGGCGGAAGCGGCGGAAACGGAAAAGGACCAAATGGAAATGGAAACGGAAAGAATGGAGAAGGAAATGCAGGAAATGGCGGAAGCACTGGCAATGGTTCTGGTGGAAATGGAAAAGACAAAAATGGTTCTGATAAAGGAAAGGATAAGACGGGAGGAAACAAGAATGACGATAAAGACGGCAAGAATGGAACGAAGAAAGACAAGGATGGAAAGAATATCTCCGGATCTGGTGGTGGAACGAATGGAAAGGATGGATCTGGAGGAAAGAACAACACTGGAAAGGACAACAACAAGAATGGAGGGGCTAGTGGATCGGGCTCCAAGCCTGGCAATGGAAAAGACAACAAGACCGGTTCCAACGGAAAAGATATTGTTGGCTCTGGAGGTGCTGGAAACAGGCCCAATGGAGGAGGTGCTGGAAACAGGCCCAATGGAGGTGGTTCTGGAAACAGGCCCAACGTTTCAGGAAATAATAAGTGAGCTATTCTTCGTTCTTTAATAATCTATTAAATATATTTTTTAAGAAACATCAGCGGTGATGGCGGCGATGACGATGATGGTGGTGTCGATGTGACCGATGAAGCCGTGCAGCCAACACGTGTGACTCAAGCTGAAATTGACAAACTGGAGAAAACAAACCCTGAGCCAAACCTTCATACCATTCTGAAAACGAAAATTGCTGAAGAGTAATTAACCTCAGATTTGATATGTTTAAAAATTTTATTTTAGAACTAAAGAACCAAAGAATAAGGTATTGAATCGAATCCAGATGAGAGCTGGTGAGGCCACTGATAGCTCTTCTTCAACATCTGCCGATAGTGGATCGTCCCAACCGTCTTCAGAAAGCGGCGGATCCTCTTCAGCAAATAGTCCACAAACGACAGGAGCTAATGGTCAAAGCAATGTTGCGAATGATGCTGATACAGCGAATGACGCAGCGAATGATGCTGATACAGCGAATGACGCAGCGAATGACGCAGCGAACGACGCAGGCGGAGGTGGAGGTGCTGGAGGTGGTGGAAGTTCCAGCTGCTTTTCGGGAGACACCATGGTGACAACAGTGTCCGGACAGAAGAGAATGGACGAATTGATGATCGGCGACTATGTCTTAGTGCCATCGGCGGGAAATGTGCTCAAATACGAAAGAGTCGAAATGTTCTACCATCGTGAGCCGGAGACTCGCACCAACTTTATTGTTCTGTACACGGAAAACGGACGCAAATTGTCACTGACAGCACGCCATTTGATACCAACAGCGGAATGCCAAATTGCTCGCAAATGGGTGGAATCGATTGATGGAATCGAGAATGCGATGCGAGAGTCAAGATATGCGGACAAGGCGAGAAAGGGCGAGTGCGTGCTCGCTGTTGATGAAAATGGTCAAGTGATTGCCGATCGAATTGTCAGGGTAGGACATATTTTTATGGAGATATAAGCGAAATGTGACGATTTTGAATGTTTTCAAGATCTTGAATAGAACTATTAAAGCCATCTAACGAATTCTGGAAATTGTGACTTCCATTCGATAATTTCAGATTGGACGCAAGACTGACAAGGGAATTTATTCACCAATAACCGTAGAAGGAAGTCTTGTCGCCGATGGAGTTCTAGCTTCGTGCTTCTCCCATCTTGAAAGCCATTCAGTGCACAAGGTAAAAATTGCAAATTGAAACGAATTTTGAAATCAATTGTTCATTTTCAGGTCGTTTTCGACTTTTTATATACTATCTATAATTTCTTCGGAATGATGAAGAGTGAGTAGAAATCTTAAATTCTGAATTTGAGCAAAATGTTTCAGCAAGCGCTTACGTCGACGTGCAGCCAATTCCGAGCTTTGTGACGTTCGTGCAGGACCTTTCGAAACATGTGATACCGTTCTCGTAATTTCGCATAGCTAGCGATTAATTAATTAACTAATATTGTTTATTTTCTTCCGAAAAACACCATCAACCAACACGTGCCGTTCAATCAACGAACCCACACAATTTTTGTTTGCCTTTCGTCGGGTCAACGGGTACCCCCAATTTCCCCCTCTAATATATGCAATATTTAATATACAAATGCCTCCCCGATATAATATTGTTGAAATCCCAGTGATTCATTTAATTAATATGTTCATTTTTCTTAATATCTTATTAGACTTTACGAGTTTACCAAATATAGAACACCGATTGTCAATGAATGCATCAAAATTTTGCGGAGATATGTATTTGTTGTGTATATTCAAGGCCGCATAGTTTATCGCGCCGATTGCATATCTTTGCGAGATTGCGAATGTTTCATTCTTCCCGAAATGTTGGGCCTACGATCGTCGTTGATCGTTTCGACGATCATCTCGACTTTTTCGCTTTTGGCGATTGTTGTGATCCTTCCGATTTTTTTCATGAAGGTCCAACGAGCCAATACATTCATGCTCACACAGATTTATGATTGTAGGGTAAGTTGATTAAATTATTTTGTACCGTCGTTCCACATCTCAAGATGGCCAACCACCCTATAAGGCGCTAGTTTGAGGCACCAGACAAAAATTGAGCGTTCATCCATTTTTTAGTAATTTTAAAGAGAATAATATTCTTCGAGAAACGTGAGCACAAAAATTGCAAATCTCATTTTTTCAAAAAATTGTCTGAAGAGAGTGGGATTCGAACCCACGCCCCCGAAGGGACTGGTGCCTTAAACCAGCGCCTTAGACCGCTCGGCCATCTCTCCGCTGGGACGGGGCGCCTCGATTGGCGTAGTTAACGCCGCTTTGCACGTCAATCGCAGTGGTATATTTGCAGCAAGACACCACAGATATTTGGAAGCAAGTGACCCACGAGAGTATGCGAGGAAAAAGATCTTACGGCAGAGTGGATGCACCAATGATTCCGCTCGGGAAATGTTCGAGTCGCATAAAATTTCTTTCTCACAATTTTCTTACAGGTTGCAGTTGCCAGCAAGGCAAACCAGGCCCGCCGGGTCCGCGAGGAGTTGATGGAAAACCTGGAAAGCCGGGAATGATTGGATTGAACGGTCGGAACGGAAGAGACGGCAAATATGTGGCGGCTGAGAATCACAATGAGCTCGCCTGCCAGAAGTGTCCGCCAGCGCCGCCAGGTCCGCCAGGCCATCCGGGCAGAAAGGGACCACGCGGAAATCCTGGCAAGCCGGGCACACCGGGACACAACGGAATCCCTGGAAGAGCCGGACCACCTGGACCATCGGGAGTGCGAGGACCGCCGGGAGAAATCGGAATGCAGGGACCACAAGGGGATCCTGGAAAGGTGTTGAACGGAGCCCCACAGGGACCACCAGGACGGCCAGGTATGATTGTTTAGAACCCCGAATATCGAGAGATTGAAATTGTCCGCAGCAATTTGAACTCATCTAACGCTATGCATAACAAATGCTAGAGGTGTTAGTGAAAATATTGAAGGGGCTCGCAATATGCGAATTATAGGTTCCCGAATGAAAATTTTGTTTCAGCTTCCCGCAAAACTCAAAATAAGTCCCGAAAATGTGAAAAAAAAAATCGGATTTTATTTTGCGGTGCCACAGAGAGTCTCCACCCAGAATAATTCACCCATAGCCGAGAACATGTTCCCACACTCAGATTAGTCCCATGAATTTCAATCGATTTTGAAAATGTGGCTAACTGTGATCTGATCTATAGTGATGTGGGGGACCTATTCTGTGTATGTTTTTTTTCTCGTAAAAATATTCGATTTTCGGTCCTTCTCCCATCGGTACCTAGCGAGGGTGGTCGGGTCGAACAGCTGTTCTCCGATTCGTCCCTATCATACGTCCAATTGTTTTCGCGAACCTTCTTTATCTTTTATTGTCTGAACTATACTAATATATCATATAGAATATTCAAAAATCGCAAATTTTCTATTTTTGGTGGGTTTTTTTAAAACTTATTTTTTTTTAGAATTTGAATATCTCAAAGGCTTTAGTATTTATATCTATTTACTATGGTATATAATCAATTATTGAAATTTTCATTTTTCAGGAAAAGTTGGACCACGAGGACGAGCTGGACAGACAGGAAGGTAAGAATTTTTCAAAAATCTCGACGTAATGATTTCCGCGATCTGCGGACAATATGATGATATTGAATATTTGCATTGAATGCTGGAAATTTTTCGAAATCCCGTCACATCTTGCTTGAATTTTTGTACTTTCCTAGCCATTAAACACGGAAGTTGTCCGCAGCAGGTTGCATATCTCCTAACTTTCATCTGTGCGTTAAATTTGAATGAACAAATGGTCACTTTTTTGGCGCATATTTGTTCAATTTTCGATTTAACCATTGGAAATACCGTACCCCGGATAACCTGCGAATCAAACTCACCGTAAATCGGCTAGAAGCCCTAGCATTTTTTACGATTTTAATATGATTTTTGCAATAGTATTTAATCAGGTCTGAAGGATCTTGGAAGGATAACGTATTAACAGCATGTTGCCCCCCCCCCCCGATTCAAATTGTCTTCGCAAGACGTTCTCAAATATGAACCAATAGATTCCGTCCGCAGCTGAATAAGGGTGTCACTGATTAACGCCAAACCGCCCGAATAACCAATTTGTTATTCGTTAGTCATTCGTTAAAAAACACGTTTCGTTTGTCGGCGCGTCTTTATCAATTCGTCTGATTACGGCCGAATAAACGAGGTCGCCGGATGGGATATATTCAATGAATGTTGCGCTTAAAGGCGCATACCGTGTACTTTTAAATGCGTTTAACGACCTTGTTGTGAGGGGTTGAATAGGCCAACGCGGGTTCATTCTCCAACTAGTTTTCGTCGTTTTTTGCACGATTTTTGAATTTCGCCGAATAAATGCCATTGTTCGACTTTACTACTTACCTTCAATTTGTCCGCAGATATCTATTGATATGACATTTTCTAAATTTGTTTTCTCTGTTATTGTTCTCTACCATTGCTAAAAGATAAGCGATCGCTAAAAAACGAGCAACTTGAATAATTGTGCACATTTTTTTTGGGATTGTAATATTTCTTTTAAAACCATTATGAGAGATCATTGTTAGATAGCCTATTCCAAATTTTCTGTAAAAATCTTGCGAAATTGGAATGATCAGAATTTAACAATTTTGTTTTTTTTTTGCGAGTTCCTACGATCGGTTGAATTTCGAATTTTTTCAATTAAATAACCATAATTATTATTTCTGATTATTCTCCAAAAATATGTTTATTATTTTTTGTTTAATACAAATGAAATACAATTCAAATTCTACGCTATTATTGCGTTTTCGAGTACACTTCAATTTTAATTTAAAAATCAAATAACCGATTCAAATCAAAATCGTTATCAGTATCGATTGTGACGATTCGAAATATTCAATGAAATATATGTGGGCATCTTATCGGCGCCTCCCGAAGTGCTCAATAAACATTTTTTCGAACAACCACCGAATAATCGGCGACCGGCGTCGAAAGAGCATTGAGAATCGAGAGGGCGCCGCCAGACGGTCAGACGAAATATGACGATCCTTCTTTGTCCGCGGCGGCTCGTCGGCCGGTATTTCGCTGAGCAAACATCAACCGACGATTCGCTCTTCGTTGTTCGATTTTTTTCAGTATGAGTTGCCTTCGACTCGCGAGGTTTTTTTTTTGAAGAGCTTTCATCATCATCATCAGCTGTTCAAATCAAGATTTTCATTTAAAATGAGACGCTTCAAGTTGTGTTTAAAACAGTCATCAATTCTTCAAACAACTTTTGAAACCAATCAAAATTTATTTTTGATTTGTTATCTAATCACTAATTGTTTGTATTGTTTCGAGATTTAAAAATTTCATCTGCGGACAATTTCCAATTCAATTGTCCGCAGAAATGAAATTGAACATCTGTATACCAAATTGTTGACATTTGTTTTAACCCAAAGTGCCTGTTGGTGTGTAAATATGTTTGAAAACGTTTCCCCTATCTACCTATGATTTTTGACTTCGCCTCAGCTTTTTGTTGGGTTCCAAGACAATGCAAGTTTCGCACAACACCATAAAAGGCGCCATGTCTCGTAAAATGCGAGGTTTGATACACAAACATATTTCTTCAATGTTCTTTTTTTTTCAAAAACGCGCCTTTAAATCATCTCTATATAAATATGCTCGATTCGTCAATTTTTACTTGTTGTCGAAACCATCTCACTTGACCTTCTCCTCCAACCATTTTTAGTCAATTTCTCTTCAATTCATTTGATTCCCACTGAAAAATAGGTCAATTATATGTATATTATGACGAACTAGATGTATTATCATCGTTTGTGTGTGTGTGTGTGACCCCATCTTGATACAATCTAGCGTTCCGCCGCCGCCGCCAAAAATATTGAGTGTCGAGTTTGGAAATTTTTGTGGAATCGAATCTGCGGACAATTTCAATTTTATTTATTTCCTATCAATGCACGTCGTTTCAAAAAATATGTTGTCCGTTTTCAAATTTAATCTTTTGCCTGCCTGCCTCCCACCTCGCCCGTCCAAACCGGAATAATTGTATGCCCACGCCACGCCGGGCCAGGCCAGGCCAGGCCCGTTCTCTCTCTCTCTCAAAAATTGAAAAACAAGGATCATTTTGTGACGAAACAGAGTATTATACCTACAATTGTTGTAGGGACGGCCGACCGGGTCTCGAAGGAGTTGCCGGACCACGCGGGACACAAGGCGAACGAGGTGCTCGAGGAGCACGCGGACCACCGGGACCACCGGGACCTTCTGGACCATTGGGACGAAAAGGTATATATTGTCCGCAGATAACTGATTTTGTTATGCACTTCTCGGTGACACGTAATTCAAACACATAAAATCACTTTATAGCCGCCCTCGTCATTTTCAACATTTCCATATTCCAGGGACTTGCAATCACTGTCCGACTGAACGCGAAGGACCAACAGCTCCAGTCGAAAAGGAATTGTTCCCGTACGAGGAGCCTGCTCCGATTCCGACCACCACCACCACCACATCTGCGCCATCAACTCAGGCTTATCAACCACCTGCACCCACATTCGAACTTCCGCCGACAATCAACTACGAGGATACGGTAGCGCAACCGCCGCACAAACACTATGGTGATGTCGAGTCGATACCCGCTCGACAGTACGCCTCGAAGACTCGAGTCGAGCCCGTCAAACCCCGAAGCTTCGGATATTCGAATGAGCAACTGTCGGCGTTCGCCCCAGCTTCTTTCGTCGGAACATCAGCAACCACGGATCAATATGGGCGACCAAGAACCATTCAGACACATAAGGTATGTTACTGTATTTTGTGCGCCTTTAATTGGTTTCGAAACGCGTCTGGCTGTTTTTGGGAATTTTATTCAATTTTCTTTTTTCTCTTCTATTCCGTTTATACATAGTTTGAAGAAAGTGGTTCTCTATGTTGTCAGACGCGTTGCGGTTCGCGCGCGGTCGCTTTAATTTGTTTTTCGCAAACACTAACTTTACAAATGTTGGTCCCGGTTCTTCGGAAATGTACTCACGGTAATATCATTTTCAGAATTCGATAAAAGAAAAATTCGAAAAATTAGGAAAAATTAAAAACCGCATGCGAACCGCAACGCGTCCAACGATGTAGGTCTTGCAACGCGCCGCTTCATTTTCACAAACCGACGAGATTTTTCAATTGATTTCCTAGAAGAAAAACCCCGAATGATTCGCGGTGAGACCCGAATTAAAGGCGCATTCGTTTGAATAAACAACATCGTTGAAAATATTTTGCGAATGAGTGAACGTTATAGGGATATAACGTTCAAATCATGGGATCCGGAGCCACATACGACGCGAATCCGGTCGCCAACGGCTGGTCGACGCCGCCGCGAGCCGGCTCCGCCCAGCACGCCGAGTTTCTCTCGCCTCCACCCGCCGGACCCAATACGTATGCATGAGGTGCTCGAGCCCGACACCGCCGGCGCCACCGACGTTCTTTTATGGACATCGGCGATCATGAATTTTGTGTATGTCCTCTATTTCATATCATGTAAAGTCGCAGGTGGCGAAGATTAAGCCATCAGCACAACATTTCTTGTTTTTGCTCTTTGTGTATTGCATTTTCCATTTTTGTTTCTGTAATAAATTATGACTGCTCGTAACCCGTTTATTAGCACATAAAAGCATTAAACGACCGTTGGAGGCGGTCGTAAAAGATGACGAGATGTTGTGCAGAGATCATCGTCGTAATCGTCATAATCTCGATGACTGAACACCGAATGACGAGCCCAGTGCATCGAATGTCGAGTTCTCTGAAGAAGAGCCCTCATTACTTTCTTTCGATTATTTCGTTAATTTTTAAATCTAGATATTCCGTGAAAAAAAAAACAAAAAATTGATTTTTTTTGTATCAATTTTTACTTTCGAGTTTATATGATATATACATATTATATTTTTCTTTTTATGATTGCGGAGAAAAGCGATGGCGAAGTGAAAATCGTGGGGAATTTTCGGCAAATCAAAAGCATAGTAATAATCGCTCAATTCGTATACCAATTTCAGATTTTTTTTTCGTTTATCAAATATTTTTTTAATTCGTGTCTGCTTGTTCAAAAGCTTAAAGAAGTCGTTGAATTATGGATTGAAGCTGAAAATGACATTGCGGACTTGTGCATTTTATTTGACGACAATATTCATGTTGTTTGCGAGCGAATTCACGCAGAATTTTGGTTTTTCGATATCTTATCTAGTTTCTAGGATTTTTAAGGTTTAACACCCCACCCCCTTTAAGATATTTTATTGGAAAAATGAAATTTCGAGAATAAAGGATATAAAATTAAAAAAAAATATTTTCTAATTTTAGTTTTGCATTAAGCATACATATTTATATTGTTGAAATGAAAACACGTAAAACTCAAAAAAAAAGTTTTTTTTTTATCTAGCTTTAGTTTTTAGAACCAAATTTTCTGAAAGAATCCAAATTTGAATTGATCAAATAATATTGAAGAAGTTTTAAAAGAAAATCTCAATTTTAATCTATAACCAAAAACTCTAATGCCTAAAATTTGAAATTTTGGAATTTTTCAAATTTTAATCAAAATTAAAATTCTGTGAGATGCTTAAAAATGTACAGAAAACCAACATTCATCACGGAAAAATGAATTCATTGAAAAACTCGATTTCCATGATTTAATCGATGCAAACCTCGAGCATTGCTTGCGGGATCCCGTGAAGATTCTCGACTTTGCAGCAATGAAAAACGACGACGACGGCGATCGAAAAGAGCAGCAGAAGAGAGCACATGGCGATTGCGAGGACGATCAGAAGGGTTTCTGGCGATAGGGTCATCCTGGAGGAGATTGATTGAAGCATTAACATTGAGAGCGAGACTGTCAGTCAATGGGACGATGGTTTCATGCTGCGGACAATTTGCCCACAGTTTTGATATTATAAGTTGTTCGAATTGAATCAAAAATAAATATACATATGTATTCAGTTTAGAGGTCATGATAAAAGATATATCGAGTTAAAGTTGTCCGCAGCAGAGCTCGCTTAAAAAGTGGCACATTGAAAAAAGGAAAAAAAGGTTGGAAGAAAGTTCATTGGCAGCACTCGAAAATTTTATTTCGAAACCGAACCGAAACCGAATAAGGAGAATGGAATAAAAATTCAATTACTTATATGGGAAATTGGTTATAACATGTCCATATATGATGCATAGTAAAAAGCTGCCGAATATAATATAGTTAGTGGATGTTTGTGTGTGTTTTTTGCAGCTGTTGATATTAAAAGACCACAAATAAGGGAGTGTCTTGATTTTTATACTCAACAGAGCCGTCAGACTATATTGAATCGATTTCTAGAATTCCATCTGCCAACAATTTCGAAGCTGAATGATCACGTATTGATCTCGACGGAATTTAAACGCGAGAGCTAGAAAATCGAATTTTCATTTCTGAGAAGTTCGCCAATCTTGAAAATTGTCTAATTTCTGTACCTAAATAAGGGAAATCATGAGAAATTTGAGAAAAAAAAATAATAGTTCGAAGAGTACGAATGTTGAAAAAAAAGGCACCCGTGTGCGATAATTGATTAATTATTTAATTGGGCTTGTTGGACTCTCAATTGGTTAGGATTAGTGCACAAGTTTTGAACAAATATATTTTTGTTCGATCAATATCAAATTATTTGTTTTCATAATACCATATTAGGATGAGGGCAAAGTTAAAAAAGAAATGTCATAAAATTTTGCACAATAAACGTCCAATTATTTCTCGTCTATTCGTATACTTGAGAAAAATTAATCGAAATAGTAATAATAATAATCGTACCAAATGTCCGCAATTTTAAACGTGTGTTCAAATTAATTTCATATCTGGAGTGTCTCAAAAACAATAACACGAAATTGTATATTGTGCTCCTTTAAATAAGATCTTGAAGGGAAATCAAGAAAAACGGTGCAGCTTTTCGTCTATACCACAATAATCAATTAATTCGATGCTTCTAAAGCACTTACGTGAAAAAACATTCCTTGACAGGCGGCGGCGGTCTCACATCGAAATTCATCGGCGCCATTCTAATAAACGAAATAATGTTGATAATCGTGGTGCACTCCGGCGGCTGTTTTCGCGCAAACCCTCACAAACCGATTTGTCCATTTTCATCGCTTCCCCCTCTAACCCGAAAAAATATAGTAGGCGTGGCCGCGAGCGAATCACACGCTTGTGTGCGCAGAATAGTGGACGTGCATTAACTAACAATCGAGAGTCGAGCTGCTGTGCGGATAGCGAAAAAAAACACTCACACACACACACACACAACCCCGAAGAATATGGATTACGTGTATGACAAAGACCATTTCCGGATAGGTTAACGGAAATTGAAAATGCAAATCTGAAGACAGAATCCATCTACCGACAACATCCGGGATAACAAACTGGGGAGTTGGAGGTCGAATAAAAAAAAACATGAAGCACAACAGACATAATGTGTTCGGCAAATATTTTAGTTTGGCTCGGCGCCGAATTATTGATTTTTTCCACAAATTATCGACCCCCTCCCCAGACCTTAAAAGAAATATAAAATATTTTGAGAGGAAAATAAAAATATTGAGTAATAATTTGAAAAAAAAACGTAGAGGATAGCTGGAGAAATTTCTGAGAATTTCTCTCAAAACCGCCGACTTATAAGGCAAATTTGAGTCATTCATCTGGAATAATGACAATATATTTTGTTTTTTTTTCTTGGCAGCATTTCAAAATCGGACAAAAAGAAAGACAAGAATTTCTTTTAATGACGAAGGTTTCTTTTAGGGATCAACTCAACAAACATCAACGTGTCATTCTTGTCACTTGGAAATTTTGAAATTAAGTTCGACGCCGCCAAATCAACACCAAATTCGAAGTGGTTGTTTTTAGACGAAAAAAAAATGCTTGAGATGTGTCGTTTCCAGAACGCACATTTTTTTAGGCGAAATTTGCAATTTTGATGAAGATTGAGTCATCTGAATCCAAGAATGAGCAAATTGTTAATTTTTTGAGAGAAAAATACATGTCAATGGTTTTATTCGGAAAATAAGTAGTTCTTGTCAAAGTATACAATTTATAAGAAGTTCTGCATTCTATTACTCCCAAATTATTATTTTTTATTTGATCTTGATCAAAGCAATATGATTTGTGGTCCTGGTGTGTCTCAAAGACAACTCCTGGAGAAGCTCACAATTTTGTCAACCATTTTCTAAAGGTAAAAATGTTAACCTGCCTACATTATATTCCAGAAAAAAAGTTTTAATATAGTGCAACACGAATCCTTTAATCGTACAAAGTGGAGAGCAATGAGAGCAAAACACAAACGGCGAGACCTGACGATTTGAGCAGTTCAAAAAAATTAAGAAAATCAAAATTCCGTGCAGCTCTTGTTGAAATGAAATATCAGGGGGCTTTTCCCGTCAAAACTGGCCGCAGATGATCAGGCCAATGGATTCACAATATAACTGGATGTTGAATAATCTTAACGATGTCCAAATAGGAAAATCGAAGAGCTTCTTCCAGCAATTCAGCTCTATAAGGAATATAAGGAATAACGAAATTTCTAATATAGCATAATGAGTGGAAAAAAAAGAAGCTAAGAAAGAAATAGATGCCTTGCTGAGGCTCCTGGAGAATATGACCTTCTACGGGTGCTGTAGATGGATGAATTATCGACAAAGTCAATACCGTCGATGAGATCTGGAGCAAATGCGACAGGCTCGGGATTCATCTGAACAATATTCTCGAATGAGTCACGTCAAACGATGCCTGCCAAACCTCGACATTGCCTTTTCCGGTAATCAATCCGAACCGAGCCAATGCGTGCAATTGGCCAACACCAGTCGCCAATCCGTGCTTCATATTCAGCGATTGTGCCAATTGGAACATCTTTCCAGCCAATTGTTTCGCTTTTCCCACATGTCTTCCCATATAATGCACATGATCGATGAGTTCGACGGCGACGAAGTCAACTGTTATTGTGACGAGAATCACGCCGATCACCACGAAAAATATCAAATGGATCACATTGATTTCGGGCTGCAAAATTGAGTCATACATCCCTCTCTCTCACGACTGCGGAAAATTGACAAATTAAAAGTAGCGATGAATTATGAGAAATAGTCAGTTTTCTAATTGGCTGAAACGCAGATGAGGTCCTCCACCATATAAAGTATAGCTCCCCACCATATTCAAAATATGCCCTCCTCGGTAAATCACATTGGGCAGTAGAGTCAGAGCGGACGCCGAAAACAAAACAAAAAATGAAAAAATACCTACCCGAAAGTAATTCAACGTCATTTTACGCATATAAAATCGACATTTATTAAATTTATTGGCAAAAGGAGGAGTTGTGGAATGTGCAGAAACTACCTCCATTGCACAAGGTCCCTACTCATATGAAAGGGGTCTGGTGGGGACGCCATCTAAGTTTTCTACTGTAATCAAAGGACATCTCCATACACTAGTAGAAACTAGTTTGTCTTAAAAGTTTAAAGCCAGAATAAATCTCTCGATCCGAGGAAAAATCCTCCACCTTATAAGCCCCATACTTCCAATATAAGTGTGGTTCCTATACTGAAAATATTGGCACTTTTTCTTGATTTGGGAAATCTAAAATGATTTGAGGACCAATTCCGCATGATTGCCGATTTTATCAATTTCTAAAGCATTTAGTCAAGTTACACACACAAAATATGAATGAATTTAAACGGCCACTCACCGTGACGTCACCGAATCCAATAGTGAATATCGAGGTGAGTGTGAAGTAGAAACCATCGAGGAATGTGATATTAGAAGTCATATGAAGCCACAATGCGAATAACATCGGATAAGCGAATAGAAGAACCACGAACAACGCTGCGGGAATTGCTAAATTCTGCAAAAAAAAGCATTGAGTGACTCTCGAGAAAATCAAACAAAAATGTTTGAATACATCGCCAAAGTATCTTGAAACCATTTGCGATGCGATCTTTCCAGTATCAGCCATCGTCACCAAAGTCAATGGAATCCCTAATAAGGCATAAATAATGAGAAGAGTTCTCCCATACGATGAGCACGGAACAATGTAGCCGTAGCCTGGAAATTGTCCGCGGATTAATTATTAAAACAACACGATTGGGAAAAGTTTTAACTCTAGAAAATTATACATAGCCCCCATTAAATTATGTCGAATTTATGGGAATTCTGCGTTTTCAATTATTTCATTTCGCCCATCTCTGATGGGAATATCACCATCAAAACCCACCAATCTGAATGTATCAATTTAAAAGAAGCACCCAATTTCAGATAAACATTATTTATGTATTACCAACTGGAATGACAGTTGTTGTTGTGAAAACCAACGCGCTCTCAAACGTCCAAATTTGTCGATCTTTCCTTGACTCGGAAAAATGAGCTTCATAGGTTTTCGCATAATGGACGTCCTTAAATGGGAATTTGAATTTTTCTCTTTTTTTTTTGTTTCGTTTTACCTCGAACATCTTCAGCAAACGTTTTGTATAATCTTCAAGCACATAATCCGACCGAACGCCGTCAGTGAGATTCCCAAAGAAATTCTGTCACACACGAATTATTGTTTTTCATTGAATTGATCTACCTGCTGGAGCATATCAATTTCCTTATAAGCCAAATTCCGTTTTTCTTGTTCGATCGGCTTCTCAATAGTTAGAAAAAGATAAGCGCCAAATATGGAATATGAGACACATGTTATCACGAGACCAACGTGGAGAAAAAACGGACGAAGGTGCTGCAATAATTTTTTTTTTTTTTGAAAAATTGCAAAGAGAAAAATGTGCTCCGAAACTAACATATTTGTCGATTATTCCGATGTTCGAACGAGAATCCTTGCTCGTCGCTGACAGCATTTTCTGAACATTTTCAACCATATTCGGCTTATCAAGAATATGTTGTCAAATTATTAGAATATGACGACGTCGAAAAGCAATAATGAATCGGCGGGTCTCCACCAAACTTTATTAGGTCTCCGTCTATGCATCGATAAAATTAATGAAAAAAAAAGAAATTTTATGGGGTGGGAGCTTGCGGAGAAAAGAAAAAAACCAATCCAACAAATTGGAGTAGTTTTTGATTGGAGGAATAGCAACAACAAAAAAACAACATCGAGTGTTTGCATGTGTTTGGCCAAAAAAAATTGAAGGCGAGGAAGAAACTCGCTACCTCATTATTATTAGCAAAACGCAATTTTGCACAAATTGCTCATTTTCTTTTTTTAGTGGAGGAGGAGAATTGGTAATTAAACAAAACCATGCTGCGGACATTGAAGTGGATTGAATGCTTCTTCGTTTCAACATCAAAATGTTAAAGTGGGTGGTCCCTTAATCCCTAAATAAGTCCGCACATATAAAACAAAATACATATAATTTATTATGGTCCCAGTGTTCGTGTTCCCTATTTTCTGATGCGCCTCTAATTACCGTATGAGGAAAAAAATGAAAGAGCAAAAAAAAACGAAGTATCATATTTATTGAAATCGAATACCACCCATTTTCTTGTCAAAATTGCGCATGATTTGGGTATCGTCTGCGTCTCTCCGTCATCCACACTATTTCTTGAATTTCCTGCTCTCAAATGCAACGCATCTCACCTTGTTTCCGCCAATTGTCATGTACTCTTTTCTCCCCCTCCGAACCGCCATATAAAGTATATAAAAGGTGTTGGGCAACGTTTTATGTACATCTATAACAAGGAATAAAGCAATAGAAACAAAGAAAATATGCGTTGAGATCGATCAATTTTGCTTTTTCAGCCGATCGTCGTACATTCGAATCACTTCTTTTACCACTTCGTCCTCTTCTTCTTCTTCTTCTTCTTCGTCATTTCCCTTCTCATCGACGGCTTTTCGACCGTTTTGAAGCTTCTTCAACAATTTTCGCTTAGCATTTCGAATCTGAAATTTAGTCAATCTTGAATGTTTGATTGATTTTCAGCCGAAATCAAAACGTGATAGTATAGATTTTCAGACATATCGATAAAATTAATAATAAAATGTTGTCTCCATTTTTATTTGAAAAGAAATTAAATTAATTCACGGTTTTTTTTTACTTTGAAACAAATCTACCCTGGTAACTCAAAACCAATCGGATCCGACAAAATTCGGCTCCGGAATCAATTTTATCCGATTGGTAATTCTACGGATAAAATTGGAAAATTGTCGGATCCGATTAGATTTTCCTCGAATCCGTTTTGTTTTAATATTTCAATTTGAATCGGATTCGACAGATAACCAATCGGATCCGTAGAATTATCGGATATGGTTGATTCCGGGACGAATTTTGTCGGATTCGATTGTTTTTGAGTTAACAAAGTAAGCATGTATATTTTTAAATCGACATTGATTTCTAACAAATGTATTAGAGAAACTAATGTGGTCTTGTCATGAAACTACTGCATTGAATGATAGGGGATCATCAGTTCACCATTTTCCAATTAAAAAAACATTAGTTAAAATGTTTTCCCATAAAGTACCATACGTAATTGATTTACTGTTGGTTCGCTATATTTTAGACACCAAATTGTTTCTTTTTGACGAAAAAAGTCAAATATGTTGGCCATTGGTGAGGTATTTGTAACATTTTGCAAATTTTATGTTAGCTTCTCATCAGCTCAAAAAAATTGGATTCACATCCCAAACATATTTGGAATAAAAAATAATTAATTAGTAGTCATGTTTTTAAAAGAATATCAACATCTAAAAATACTATTGTGAAGCGTAAAAATAATTTTTCGTAGAATTTTTACTCATTAGTAAATCTAACAAGAGAATTTTAAATATTTTCCGGTAATATTAAAAATTTAGACGCGATTTTCTTCACTTGTCCTATGATTTTTCAATTTTCAGATCAAGTGGTTTCCTCATTAATTTTTATTCAACATTGAACCGACAATTACGATTACGATTTTGAGATTTCCTGAAATTCTTCCAATATAATCTCACCCGTTTTTGTTTTTTGAACGACTGTCGGACCCTCCAATTGAACATCATTGCGACAATTACAAGCGGTACGACAACTCCTGCCACATATTGTGAAAAATCATACGGATTATGGGTTGCCAGCAACCAAATCTCTTCGAAATAGTGATTGATCCTATTCATTCTGCAATTCACAAAAATACAGACAAAAAAGAAACAATTAAAAATATATAAAAGTATTCACAAAAAGACCAAATTCTTGTAAAAAAAAATTTAATACACTATGAAGAAACATAGACTATTTATGGGAAACACCGAACTTGAAAGAAATGACCCGTCTTCAAGAAAGCAGCAAGACAAAAAAACGTAACAATCAATTCAATCTACAACTTGGTATGTACACTGTGAAGGATGGGAGCTAGAGCAAACATTGGGGGAATACGGTGAGCACTTGAGGCTCGGACGGAGGACATTTGGATCCAATCAGGCGTCGCGTTCAACTTCGAGAAGCATTCTCGATTGCTCATCGCGTAATTCGTCTTCCTCGGTTGATCTGCAATGAAACAGATGAAAAATATCGGCAGATTAAAATTTTCAAAAATTTGGTCAGATAACATCCAAAATCTATAATTTAAGGCTTGCTAATATGAGGAATGATACATAATTTCCCCTAATTTTCACACGAAACTTTTCAATCAGCTTAAAAATTCGGAAACTATTATATTTCGACGCATTTCAATGTTCCCTTTCTCACAAAACAAAAGAAATCGTCTCGGTTTTGCATTTCATTCATTCGAGACACTTAATTATATAGTTTGTGCTTGATCATCGATCGTCGTATTGAAAACGTGACAATCGAAAGAAACTTTTTTCAAATATGAAAAACTGACATTTCTGAGCGGGAAATATTGGATTTAATGCGGATAATGCTGAATTTCGTTTAAATCAAAACAATTTTTTTTAGGAAATATTAAAAATAGAGACTTATAGTCCGTTATTTGACATTTTTGTTAATAACTAAAATACTTAAAATTTATAAAAATTATTCAATTTCACACTAGGATGACTAAATTAAACAAAACTCGCTATTATTATGAAGAGTGTCTTTTCCATACGAAACCTAGGCGGAAAATTTAATTGATACTTTTCTAGTTTATAAATTCAACTCTTATCTGGAAACATATTGTCTTCCTAGAAAAACAAGAAAAAAATTTTGATTCAAACACATTTTTAATTGATAATTTTCAATTGTAATTAATAAGCTGAATTTTTCTAATTACAACTTTGCTCAGAACCCAATGAATCATGTGAAATTATAATTTATGATAAACTTTCTGCTTATGATCATATAATTATCATTCTAATCTGAATTATAAGAAGAATGACGTCATACTCTTTCGAAATTTCGATTTCAAATTCTTACTCCTTCTTCTCCGAATATGGCAATACATTAACATTGAAAATTCCTGAGAGAAGTGTTCTTCCTAGCGCTGAATACCAGGCAATCCTTCTATCTGACATGATGAATGTTCTCCAGAACACGAAATGGATGCACTGCATGAAAATAGATCTAAAATAACATTTTTTTATTAAGAAACTACGTTAATATGATTTACCTGCGCCCTTCTATCGTCCAAATGAATCCGCGGACAAATTTATAAGTTGAATAGATATCGAGAAGGATTTCCACCCATTGCCACATGTTTAGATCCAAATAAGGAAGATGCCATTCTGACGGTGGCATTAATACCCAGCTTTTCTGATAAATATATCTAAAATATATACAGAATATGCATAAAATAATAGAATATTTCACTGACTTGCATGTTTGACATTGTAATTGCTGGGTTGCAGAAGCCCTTGTCATCCATAATTCAAAGCATTTATGATGTACCCACTGTAAATTCGCTTTTTTTTTTTCATTAATGGTCTTATTTCTTACATAAAGTGTGCCAATACACCTGCAAGGATGCAACCAACTTGAATCAGGTCCTTCGTCGCCGTAACAAAATTTACAGATCCGTTCGTGTTCCTCTCCGTACACTGATAAAATGCTCATCACAAGTCCCATTGTCTATAAAATAAAAAAACGAATGACGCAAACCGATCAGAAAATCGATGAGAACGTGCGAAAAAACAGAAAATTGCGAAAAAATCAAAATAAATGTCAGTGCGGAGAAGATTAGAGAGCGGCGAGAGAGCGTGCGAATCGAAGAGACACGTGTCGATTTACGAAGTGTTGGCTATTTGCCAAGTGAGTTGGCGTGCTGAGACCCGTTTGTGTTTAGCTCAGCCTAAATTTGTATCGATTATTCGCGCAGAACGCTTCGTTTACGCACGCATTTTCGCGCATTCCCTTCGTTTTTTCATTTCAATTCATTTATTGATTGAAATTCGTGTGTTTTGCGTTTATATTCACGTGACATTTCGGTCAATTTCGCCACGAAACTTGCCAAAAAATTTTGCAATCGTGTTTCGAAACGACATTCTCGTGATTTTCGAGTGCTTCACGAGAAAACGCGTGATTCATTTCGTTCTATTATCAATTTATACGAATTTACTCTAATGATTTATTAATAAATTACAGATTAACCCCTCAAACAAAAACGTTATGGCCGGTGTTGTCACTAGGGGGGCAGGCCGGGTTAAGCCTACCAACCAAGGTACGTTATCACTAACAGATGTGTTTGTTTTTAGATTATTTCGAAATGTCCCTAGGGTTCTTGAAATAAAATTTATTTTTTTTTGTGATTGGGCTTTATTCTTCAGTGTGATTAAAATAGAGATTTTTTCTTGGGAAACTTATAACTTATAATATTTACATATATATAAGATAATTATTTTTAGGCATTTTAAAGTTGAAAACGTTTTTTTTCCGTATAATTGCATTGAATACCTATTGTAAAAAATTGTGCTACATATATATAATTATGCTATGTCTGTATAGGTAATGAATGGAAGTTCGTAGATTCTCGATTGTAAATTAGGCCGATTGTTCCCATCAGCACCTGTCATCGTAATGTAGCACATTTTGACGTGATAAACGCATATGGGAGGTGCCAAATGGCAAATGCACGCCAGAACAATGGATATTTATTCTTTTGCGTTAAACATATATTTTGTGCTGTTGTTGGTCTGTCGCCGGCGATAACGCCTATAGCACGTGTTGTTTTGTTTGTTTGCTTTATTGTAAGCTGTTGAACGAAAAATTCATTTCGTAAAAATTTCAGACGCGAATGGTATGAACCCTGCTACGTTTACGATGCCAGTTGTTCAGCCGCAACAGAGTGCCTATAGGTATGAAATTTTTTAAATTGTTGTCGGCGTCGCGCATACAAAGGGATCTTGGGCGCAAAACTAAATGTAGATTTACGATCCTAAGGATAGGTTAAAAGCGCACAGACCTCAGTTTTTTTTGGCATGTAGCCAATTTTCCGCAATCGCCCGACGTCGATAATACTATTTAAAAAAAAAACGAGCACCCTAAGCAATTGTGAAAAATAACAATTTTTCGGTCCGGAAAAATTAGAGTAGTGGGCCTTAAATTCGCGCATCGTACAACAGATGCTGCAGTCAAACACCGTAATAGGCTCAGGGTGCTCGTAATTTGCTTGTAATATTATGTATTTCATTTATTTTTTTAAGAGAATATTCAAATATGTCGATGGCCCAACCGCCAATGATTCCGCCGAATCCAGTTTATCCAAATCCAAACCAGACGATATTTATACCACAGAGGACTATATATGATACACAACAGACTCATCCATCACAAATGGCACAGCCGATGCAGACATATTACGCACAGCAGCAAAATCAGCATAATCAATTGTAATCAGTTATTATCCTCTATTAAAAAAGTGAAATATTTCAGTAATGCGTATCCAGCGCAACAGCCACAAGATCCTTTTCTGTATGTGTATCAACAGCAACCGTATACTCCCCAGCCCACATACGATGTAATTTTATATATTTTTTATCCACCAATTGTTACTTTTAGAAGCCAAAGGAGCGCGCAAGAAAAATTCTTACAATTGTTGACCCGAAAACACATGAAACTGTGAAGCTTCCGGATGTTAAAGATAAACGTAACTGGCTTTCTCTGTTTAACCGATAATTTTTTATAATTTAGACTCTTCTCAGCCAACAACGAATGCTTCGTCGTTAAATTCTGCAGCGGCAGCAGAAAAGAAAAAGCCAAGCAACATTTTCCTTGATGTGGTCAAAAATCGTAGTTCATACACCTCTAAAAGTTCTAAAATTAAAGTTCTTTTTCAGTTTCATCAAGCGAAACGGCTCAGCAACCGGTATCTGCTAAAATTGCTACTGCTACAACAACGGCTACCACACCAGTTCCCGCTCAGCCTTCGATTGCAGCTAAATCTGAAATCGTCGAAAAAGAGAAGGTGGCCGAAGTCCAACCTAAAAAGGAGGAAGAGGAATCGAAGCCGGTAATTCAAGCCGAGAAACCGTAAGATTGTTGAAATTTGGAACAAAGTTTCTAAATATATCCGTTTTTAGGAAAGAAGAGACGAAACCTGTAAAGCCATCGGCCGAAACACCTGTGCCAGAGGCAAAAGAAGATGATATAAAAACCAGCTCAGTTGAAGTTTCGCCGCAGGAAGAGCAAGAGCCTATCGAGAAGGCTGGTATGATTCGGGAAGACACTTCTCAATCGACCGACACCGAGGTTGTTGAAAAGACTCCCGAAGAGATTGCCAAAGAAGAGGCTGAAAAAGCTAATGTAAGTCCTATAATCTTTAAATATAACTGTATCTGTCATTTCTAGCGCGAAGCTGAAAAGAAAAAAGAAAGAGAGCAAGAGCTCGACAAAAGAATTGCTGAGTTATTACAAAGCGAAGAAGTTTGCGTTGAAAACGGAGTATACAGCAGAAACTTCCTGATAACCTGCAGAAGTATCGAGAAAGTCAGTGTTTATAATGAAGAATTTTCAAAAAATAGTGGGTTTTTAGGAGTTCAAGAGGACGCCTTGCCCGCTCACCGAAGCCGAATTGACAACTTTGGGACTTGACATTAATACCATGATCAGATCGGAGAGGCGAGTAACGACGAACTTCAATCCTGCTTGGTATCAGCAGAAGCAAAACAGGCCTAATAATGTAATAAAAACATATTTAATGAGAAAAATGACACTTTAATTTTTAAGGCTTATCGTGGAAGAACTACCACAGACGGTACAGGAAGAGGAGGTCCACGACCCGACAGAGGAGCGCACAAGAAGGCACCGCCAGTACGTCCATCAATCGAACGAATGCCACGGTTTACCTTGCCAACTTCGAAGCATGCATGGAAACCAGAAAGACAACGTGCTCAAGAAAATATTGATGAAGAGCAGGCTAAAATTAAGGTAATCGAGTAATTTCGTCGCCGAAATAATATTATTTTTTATAGGAGGTGTGTAAAAAGGTGAGATCTTTGATGAACAAGATTACACCAACCTCTAAAGAAGATCTGATCGCGGAATTCATTTCGTATAATGTCTCATCTAATGCTGAACAGCTAAAAAATGTCGTCAACATTATTTTCGACAAAGCTGTCGACGAACCGAAATTCTGTGCTCTTTACGCCGAGGTTTGCAAAGAGCAAGTCGACCATGAGCCCAAACAAGATGGAAAGAAGTCCTTGTTCCGTGACAGAATCCTCACCAGAACTCAAGAAGCCTTCCAAGACAAATCGTTGGAGGAAAATCAAGCTAAATTGGCTGAAGTTGAGAAGGAGACTGATATTGCTAAACGCGATAAGCTCAAGGCTGAACTACTTGATGAACAGCTCAAGCTTCGACGAAGGAAGTTCGGAAACATGACGTAAAAATAGTCATTTTTAATATATTTTTAAAATTTTTACACTTTTCAGTTTTATTGGCCATCTTTATCGCAATTACTTGCTTTCGACGAAAATTGTCCAGAGTTGTATTTACGAGCTTTTCAAGTCGATGAAAGATATCGAGTTTTCAAAGAAAGGTGCCGAGTTAAAACCAATCAATTTGGACGAGGTATTTTTTTTTCATCGCCCAACTGCCGAAATTTTTCAATTTTTTAATTTTGTGAATTTTCCGCAGACTCCGTTTAGCAAAGTAAAAATATTTGTTTTTTATTTACGATTTTTAGGAATCAATCCATTGTGGGTTACAACTGATAGAAACTATTGGCGCCATTATCGAAAAGAGCAAAGAGCAAAATGCTCAGGTCTTCTTGGACCAATGGATGACACGTTTGGACAATGCCAAAAATCTCTGCAGCAACAAGATTCGGTATTTTCACATCATTTCTCTTTAATTTTTAGCTGTATATTATCCAGGTTCTATATCATGAATATTATCGAGTTGCGCAAAAACAAATGGATTCCACGTAAATCGGTCGAAACCGGACCAAAAAAGATTGAGGATATTCACAAGGAAATCAGACAGGAGCAAATTGAAAACGAAAAAGCTCGGGATCAGGTAAGATTTTTAGTTTGTTTTGATGAAATTTTGAAATTTTTGCAGTACGACAGAAGGCACACCGGAATAAGGGCTAGTAGCAATTCTTTGAGAAAGAATGCGCCAATTTCTCGTAATTCGATCGAAAGAAACCATAATCAACACCCAGAGCAGAAGAGGGCTGCAGCAGCCGCTACAACGAAGCTCACTACTTCAAGTATTTCCCAAGAGATATTACGGTTTAACCGAACCTCCATATTTATAGATGTGCAGCCAAAAAATATATCCTTATCTCAAGTAAATGATTCGTCATTTGGCAAGACTAAGAAGGAATGGCACTCTGGTGCTAGCGGTGGTGGAACATCAGTGCCGTCGAATGAGAGTTCACAAAAGTCGGCCTGGGGCCGACGAGATAGCAATGATCAGCGCAAGCGATCAACAGTTGAGGATAGAAATTCGTCTGCTCGTGAAAACAGCGCTGCGCCCATCTCGTCACGTCGATCGACATCACAGAACTCGATTGCCGAAAAAGATGATGACAATTTGACTGAGGACCAGCAGGAAATGCGCTGCAAACTGATGAACGTGATTCAGTCAGATTTGAATGAAGTGCTCAGTGGTGATTTGCCCCAAAATGAGGTTGCTTAATATATTGTTTCTTATTTATTATTAGTTGTTTTAGATGATTGATGAACTTCACAAATTGGTTGGAGTTGAAAAATACGCTTCGCCACCGGCTCCAGCGGTGTACGAAATGGCACTTAGGGCGACAATTGAAAAGAACTTCTCAAGCACACAAGCAGTACGATTAGCACAAGTTCTCCGGCTATCTTTGACCGACAAAAAGAAAAAGAGCGACTTCATTGATGGGTAATTCACTTAACGGTGATTTTAAAGCTAAACAATTGATTCTTCAGAGCTATTCGCTTCTGCAAATATGCAGTCGATATTGAAATGTGGTGTGACTTCCCTAATATTTGGTCGACCCTTGGCGAGGTTCTCGTGAATGCATCGCACATTGCTGAGATTCCCGAAGGCGTCGAAATGTTGGGAATGAAAGACTTGTCGCCAGTGTTTTTGGCCGCCAAGACAGATGTAAAAGGAAAGAAACATGCGCTTTTGGTGGAATTCATCAAACGATTGGTACGTAGAGAAATTTTTAAATTTATTGATTATTGTCGAAATCGCGCGATTAGGGAGAATTACTTAAATGCAAAAAATGAATAAAAACAATGGTCTTGACGAAAACTTAAAAAAAAGACAGGATTAAATGCAAGCATAGGTTAATGGCGCGCACCGTCCACTAAAATAATTGCCGAAATTGGTTTGGAATTTTGCGAATTTTCCGTGCCGACCACGTTTATTTTCTTAATTGTGAAGGGTATTGCATTAAAATATCATTTTCAGGCCGAATTGGAATGCAAGGAGTCCGGAAAGGAATTAGCAGAGGGAGTTGCCTGGGAGTTTGAGGAACTCGAAGGCCGTGCCGCACTCGAGAAGGATGGATTAAGTGAAGAGCTGAAAAACTGCAAAATGAGCAGTGGAAAGTCGCTTTCAGCGGTTCTTTCGCACGATTAAGTTTCATATAGCTTTTTAGCCATTTGAACATTCCCTTTGGTAGTTGCGCAAGTAGACAAAATCCCCTCCGACGAACCCCTTTCATCTTCATCCATTTTGGTCCTTGTTTTGTGTTTTTTGTTTTTCTTCTACAAAGAAAACGAGTCGCTCCAAATACGGTATTGATAGTTTTTCGCTGTTTCAAACGATTTATCATCATCATTTTTGTTGGGTATTTCACACAAAACTACAGTTTTTCGCTCGCCCTTCCCCGTTGCTTCCCTCTACATTACTTTCTTGGTTACAATCCCTTGAAATGGATAGATAACAAACAAAAGAAAAAAAAACGACGTAATTTCAAACAAACGAGCTCTGGGTACTTTTAACCACGTCATCATGAACGGATTTGCTCATTTTTCTGATGACTTAATCGGTTTCTTTAAGAATAAAAAGTGGATTTTATGAAAATTTTTATATTCAATCCAAATCAATCATCTATCATTTTTTGTCTTTGTAATTGTTATCAGCCTTCTTCCTCTCTCCTCCCTCTTCATTTTTAGTAATAGAATAATGTTTGTTTGATTAAATAACCTTAGTACATGTAGATCAATTTCGACCCTTCATCTCGCCGAGCCCAATCCTTCTCTTCTCAATTTTTTTGTATAAGCCCGTTGTTATTCTGTGTTCTTTTCCCTTCATCATCATCATATGTTTGTTTAAAAATTTAAATATTCATCTGGTCCATTTGACGAAATGTGTTAAGGGCCCCATATGGCGTTGAAATACACACGCAATTTTTTCGAATTTTGCGGCGAATATGGTGGGTGATTTTTGAATAAATTATGGGTACTGATAATATTTGAAATGCAAAAATTCTATCCCCTTCTCCATTGTGTTTTAGGATATTCGAATTGTTTGCCTCCTGCGGGGAAAATAATGAGAAATGTTCAAAAAAAAATGGTTCCCCTGAGTTTCCCCCTTTTCCCCTTAACTCTCTCGAATTCTCTTCTCCCCTCCCGATGTCACTATGCAACATTTTCTGTGTATTTTTTTGTGCCTTCCCTAGTAGTATTTGATTATTATAATTATAATTATTCTTCGTTTTTGTTCCCAATCATATGTTTTTATTTGCTTGTGCGTTTGCTGTGCTTTTGTGCTCGGCGGCGAGCTTCCATACTCGACGGAAACCATTTGTGGTCCATTGTGTTGTTACCCCTAGCAACACTTCGTGATCCTCATGTTTCATTTGTTCTCCTGGATGCGCATCGCCGTCTCAAATTCTCTATTGTATTTGCTTATTCAGTGAATAAATCAATGAAAACGTAGATTTTGTGGTTGTGTGTTCGAACTGATTTTGAAGCGCGTTATTTTCGCCTAATATGGTTATGCTTGGTTATGTCGTGTCGTGAATAGCGGGCAAATTGATAACGCACTGTTTGATAAGGCGCCAATCAGTGTACTACTAATTGCACGGCAATGGTCAAGGTTGGAATCATTGGCGGATCGGGTCTCGAGGATCCCAAGATCCTTCAGAATCCGAAAGTCGTCTCGATTGAGACGCCGTTCGGAAGCCCGAGTGATGCACTAACAACTGGTGAGACATTTTGATTACTGTTTAAAGGCGCATTGTAAAAGAAATGAATTTGAGTTGGAAAAAGATTGTTTTAGAAAAAAACCTGAAATGATTGTGCTCTTTGTCTTCTGTTGAGTTGTAAGTGAATATTAAACTAACAAAGTTTTGAATTTTGGTTTAAAACTAACAGCCTGAATTTAATTGCTTCTTTCGTCTTATCGCTAATCGCGAACCAATAAGCGCAACCAATTTGCAGGAACAATCAATGGTGTCGAGTGTGTGCTTTTGGCGAGACATGGCAAAAAACACGACATTATGCCAGGAAATGTCAACTATCGAGCCAATTTGTGGGCCCTTTATGAGCTTGGTAATTTTTCTGTTTATTTTTTTTTTGAATTATGCATGGGATGGATCGAAATTTGAAAAAAAGCGAAAATTACGAAGTTCCCCAAAAATAATTGATTTTAGTTAAAAAAAAAACAGCTACATTTGAACGCATATGAGTCTATCAAAAACATTTTTGAAGCATTCGGAAGCAGCGCTTTCTTTCGATTTACAGGGCGCTTTAAGCGTGATTGGGTTATTTTGATTTTCTTTCTAGGTTTTATTAAATGCTTAAATTACATTCGCAAAAAAAAAACGAGCGCCGTGTGCCGATTTACAGCGAGTTAGCTTTGCAGGTTATCCAGGTCCAAGTCGATAAGTTGAACTGGTGTGATAGACATTGAATAAAAAGACCTTGTGCTCGGTCATTCTTAATTGCTTTCAAACGTCTGATATAATGTTTTTGGATAATTTTGGTCGTCTCGTGTTAAAACAAATAAAAAACTGATGTTAACATTGAAAATCTTAAAAATAATCGAAAAAAAAACTTAAAAATTAAAAAAAATCACTTTTTTGAAAATACGCAAAAAAGGTCCAGAAACACAAAAATTGCGTCTATAGTATCCCAAAATAAATAAATAATGTTTGGGAACACACTATCCGTTTTGTCCAAAAATTTCAGATCGATTGGTCAACTTTTCAGAAAGTTATGATTAAAAAAGTGAAATTGTATATCTTACTGCACGGTACTGTATATATATATATATATACATATTTCCCACTTTGTAAATTCGTATTTGAATTACCGCCTTGAAAAAATTCAATGGTCCATAATAATTCAATTTTTTCATTTTTTTGATGGTAATACTGATAAGAAATTTCTAAAATGGCTAACTAGTCGAAAAGTAGCAAAAATGTTGAGTCGAAATTTCAAAAATGAAAAATTAAGGCCCCTAAAAATGAATTTTCTTAACTTACCAATGCCGACTGTAATAGTAGTTTCGCTTTTTTTATTCGACGTTTGTTTTCTAGGCTGCGATGTCATAATCGCATCAACTGCGTGCGGATCTCTTCAGGAACACGTTAAACCTGGACAATTACTGTTTCCGGACTCGGTTTTTGACAGGTTTTTTTAAATTCAAATTTGTCGCTCGTCATTGGAGTGGTTTTTGTTCAGAACGAATGGCAGAAAGTCGACATTCTTTGACGGAACCAAAAAGTTGACGCCCGGTGTCTGCCATATTCAGCCGCATCCGTGTTATAATGAGAAGCTGAGACAGGTATCGTCGACATCATTATTTATTATTTATCTATTTATTCATATTATTATTATGGGAAACCCTCGATAAAATTGCTTTGAAAATGATGGTTGTTATAGGCAATTTCGTCGCATTTTTGATTTGGGAATTATGAGTTTCCCGCGATGGGCAAATACCATCAACGATGGAAATACATAGAAAAATTGATAGTTGAACAGATTCTCATCGCGACGGCGAAGAAATGCAACTTGGATCATCATACAAGCGGCTTCGGAGTGTGCATTGAGGGTCCGAGATTCTCGACGAAGAGCGAAAGTAATGTGTTCCGTTCGTGGGGTGCCAGCCTTGTCAACATGACGATGATGCCGGAATGCGTTCTGGCGAAGGAGCTTGGAATCCCATATGCAACGACGGCTCTCGTCACTGACTACGATTGTTGGAGAGAAGAGGGCGAACAGGCAATTCATCGCTAATTTGCGCTTGTTGGGAACATCCAATAAATCTGCTTTTTCAGGTCACTATGGAAGCAGTGATGAAGACATTCGCTGAGAATGTGGAAAAGGCGAAAACGCTTTTCATTAATGCGGTCGTCGAAATTGGAAAAGTCGATTGGAGTGACGAGAGAAAAAAATTGAAGGTTCTCTTTTTTATGGTCGTTTTATTTGTCCGCAGATTAAAACACTTAAGTCAACTTACTTAAAAAATCAAAAAATCAATGTTTAATAATTGATTTTCTATCTGTAGTGGTAATACTGGCAAAAACCGTTAAAAAAAAACGAGCACCTTGACAATCTGCGGACCATAATATTTTTTTTTCTGAATTTCAAATTAAGTTGCAATCTAAGCGGAATTTTGTGTAGATGCAACCAAAGAACTCGTTTTGGTTTGTTTCAGACTGATGCTCGTCATTCGGTTATGGTTGGTCCCGAAGTCGTTATACCGCATCTCGCTATCTAGGCGTCGAAATGTTTATTTGACCGAAACACGATACTGACAGTTCATAACAATTCTAATAAACGAATTCATGTTGAAATTTGTTTATATTAATGGGTATTCAATTTCAAAACTGACAGCCTGCGTTATTATTATTGAATTGTATAGAAGAAGTTTGATGAGATCATATCGAAATGGTGGCACTTTTAAATTCAACGATTGCAAATGAGAAGCCCTGATCCGAGTTTTGTGATATTCTAACAACGACTAAGAGGAATCAATTACAATCGTTGCGATTTCCAATCGAAGCTTCAGAAATGCTTGTAGTCGTCTCATACCATTGATATTCAGTTTCTCAGATTGTTCATTCTTTTAGAGACTCCAGATTTTTAGGATCACATCTTGAAAATTTTTAGCCGTCGTTCGTTAAAGACATCAGAAGCGTTTTGAGTTTTCTGCCGGATAATTTCCGAAATCAAAACGGTGTGTTCCGATAACTAGAAGCCTAAACCTTGCGGATGACTCATACATACGTTGATTACGAAATTCTGAAGTAGTATATAAATCAGATCATATCTAGCTATGGTTCATTTATTGTCTTGGAAATTGTTGCTGGTCTTTTTGCCAGCCCCAAGACGAATCATATTTTCATTTATTATAACTAATTCATAATACTAGTGTATAGTAGGTCCGATTAGGTAAGCCTCATTTTCTCATATGTTTGGGGTCATTTCGATCGTCCAATTGCGCGGAAACATTCATATTTGGTAGGTGATTTTTTTGAATTAAAAAGACACACAGCGAGCGGTCCGAACCGGGCTAGGCCAGGCCTGTCCGGCGCCAATTGCGGTGACTGTCATCATGGGATTGGGAGATGAAAAGAACTGGTCGATTGCCGGAGGAGTGCTGATGTGATGTGATGTTTTCAAGACCTCCATCCCCCACCCCCCTTTTTTCCTCCCTCTCATTCCTCCCACCCTTCTTTTCTTTTCCTCGCCCCGCCGAAGGGGTGTTCTTCTTCAGAGTCGGAGACAACAGAGGATTGCGGTGAGAGACGCAGACGTCTTGCACGTCAGACACCTCACCGCAGCAGCTGAGACCCCCCCCCCTTTCCCCCACGGGCCCTCCCGGTTTTCCCTCAGTTTGCCTCATTTACTATGCTAATTTATATTTATATTATGTATGTTGGATTGCCATTGTTGGAATCGAAGCGACGTATTCGGAATATGTCCGCAGATGCATTTGTTAATTCTCGGAATCGAACCCACACCAAACTGTTCAGGTCTTCGTTAACTGCGCTACTAATTTTCAGCATATTCTTTTTTTAAATATTCGCTACGAAAAAATGTATTCAGATTATTAGAGCCTCAAAAAAATTGCATTTCATTTTTTAAACCATCTTCCTCAAGCCAAAGGCAATTTTCTTTTGTTTCGGCTAACTAGAAAAAAAAACGAGAATTTAATTATTAATGGCGTCATGCATTTTCTATCATTGGCAAAAAAAAATTCGTCCAATTGTTGAAAGCCCCACAATATTCAATGTATTTGCTCGATCGTTATTAAATTATACGCAAAATTTATTATTTGTTTTTTTGATTGCATTTCACTGAAGTCGGCGCCCCAACCATTTACAAATTCGCATTGAGATGAATTGTGTGTGCGAGCTGCTCAGCGTCTGCCGAGGCACACCAACTTGAAAAACCGATTTCCGGCAGATGCCGACCGGTTCGGCACCGTCGAAAAACCTGCTTTAAACTGTTGCTTTCATTTGCTATCATATTCATTTAGTTATCCGCCAGTTTTCAGCAACAGAAAAAGAAGTAGATGATGATGATGATGATGAAAAAAAGTATTATTGGAATCGGCATCGAGTGGGGCTTGGGTTGTAATAATCGAACACTGGTATTTTGTATATATGCATCTTTCTGGTTTTTTTTTGTCTCTTCTCTCATTACTGCAGACAAATCAGCGAAAGTCCTTCATCATTCCTGATATTGATCTACGCTTTTGTTTCGTCGTTTCAGGTGACATTCCTCCTCCTTCGATTTTTTTTCGCGTCACGTGAACGTGACCTTCTAATGCATTTTCAAGCTGATGATTTTCCATTGTTTGAAATGAGGATGCTGCGGACATTGTTGCAGTCCGCGGTTTTCGGTCTTTCCACAAACAACAACATTTTCGAATCGATCATTCTTTCCGGTTGTTTGCGACGCGCAAGCCGCATCAAAAAGAACATTTTTGCGAGAAAAAAAAAATGAAGAAATTTGATATTTGTTTCAGTTCTGCCGCCGCCATTCGACTGACGATTAGCGCCTATAAATAACACTTGATTTAGTCATAAAACACAGCGGGATATCTGGCCTTTTATGGCACCGTGAAATGAATATTTCGATGATTGCGTAATGCCCAATTTGATTGTTTTATTACGCATTCGACCATGCATGTAAGTTTCCGAAGCAAACATGTCTTTCTTTGATCAATTACCGGTGAACTGTCCGCAGATTGTTTATTACAATCATGCCGTCTAATTATATCGAATCAACCAAAAAAACGTCAATAGCTAAGTTTTACAAACTACAAACTAGAGTGGATCGTCTATATTCCCCTATTCAGCTTCACCGAAACTATAAAAGCTTTTCAATTTTGTAGAACTACCAAATATGGATGGTATCGATTTATTTGTTTGTTTTGTCCGAGAATTTTATGACGAAAAATTTATTTTATAGTCATTTTAATGTGGAATCGTATATATTCCAGAAACTTCCTCAACAACAGCCTAGAATTTTTTTTTGGAAAATATCAAGCCAACCACAATAACAAGAATTGATACATTCGCAAACATTGCGGCAATTGTTTGACCAACTCGTCAGGCCCGCAACCCACTCCATTAGTCGCTTCTCATTATTCTGAAAACCGACGCCCCCCGTCGGATTCGATTTTAAGTGTTTGCGCTCCGTCAAATTGTGCTGGTGCCCCAAATTCGGTCTGCAACCATCCACACACCACCAGCCATCGCCATTGTTGTCGTCCGCCGAATCTTAATTGTGCGTCGCGGGACCCGACTGAACATCTGCGCGTTCGACCCCCCCCCCCTCCACATTCTAGCCCCACTACTCGTCGAACACTTTTTGAGGTTAGGTCGACGATTATGACCTGCCTAATTCGCACGACCTTCATTACAACTTTATTATGGCATTGTGCGAATTTGCGTTTGTTCGCCATATTTCGAAACCGATTCTCTAATCCCAACTCATATGCGGACAATTTTCGCGTGGTCACTTCATTGCCGCCAATAGCATGAATCCAATTAGCCAAAAGAAAAAAACGAAGGTCACGAGTTCGAATCAAGTCCATCGAACAGAATCGAAAATTAAAAAAAATAATTCACGTGAATCACTCCTCCTCTTTTCGTCCCCAAAAATCACCGCTCCAACAACTTTCAACCTTGGGCAACCGCCACGCTCGGAACTGGTTTCTTTGCGGCTTTTTCGTATTCAATCCAATTCGTCACAGGCACTCTTCAATTTTTCGTCGTATGACTGTACAGAATAGTACATATATTATTTATATAAATAGTATATGCGAATTTTTTTGGTGCGAATCAAACTTATAATTATGTAGGTGTTAGGACGAATTGCGATTACACGATTTATTTCGGATTTGCTCGAAGCTTTCAGCATAGCGCTTTTGTGGATTATTTCAATTCTCCATATTTTTGTTTTAAATGTTTTATAGGGCAATGCAGAAAAAATAGCAAAAAACGATTATTTTTTCTTTTTCTTCTAAATTGAAATTTCCCTATTTTTTTCTGCAGTCAAAACTCAATTTTTTTAGAGTTGCAAATTTAAGTAAACGTGCTCTGCGGAACAAAAACCCATTTCAAGATTTCGAGAATTTTATCTCATTTTTCAATGTTATTCTCATTCGATTCGTCAAGGACAAACCGCGGTTGGTTTTGATATACAGCGGATTAAAAAAGTGTGTGATTCGAGCTAATAAAATGAAAAAAGCTAAATCAATTGCTGATCATACGGCTTTATACGCACAAATTTTGGTCGTGCTTCTTAAGCTTTTCTAGTTTGAATTGCAAGTTTGCATTCTCTGAATTTGTGCGCGGAGTCTCGGCGCCTGTCGTATACTCTTTTTTTTATCGAAGTTTCTCTTTTTTTTTTGTAGTAGTATCGTTCCAATAAATTTATCGTTTTGAAAATTATGGAGCCAAATTATGGAGTTCGACTGCAAAAAAAAATGGAAAAAAAGAACGATCGTTTACGAAAAGAATAGAATAATTAATCCACTAATATTATTCTGAGATTTAATACAGTCTATACAAGACTCGCCACATAAATTTAGGGTATGCGTCCTTAGCTACAGTACCCTCATTTTTTTTTCTATTAGCGCGTACTCTGCATTTGTGCGTCGGTCTTGGCGCGAACCGTATCAAACCTCAGAATCTCCAGTCGAGTTTTCTTCGTTGCTTTTTTTTTCAATTTTTTCTGCAATTTAATCGCTTTCTTATTAAAATCTGACTTACTTAATTGTTCCAATTTTAATCAGATCACTGAAATCATCGCAGTGAACACGTTCAAAAATTTTTTTGACATGTTCATCATTAATGCGATCGCGATCAATCAGTTTACCTGTCGATTCACGATGACGCGTCAACTGTCTGGAATCGGAAATGAGCACACAAAATGCGTGAGTCCCCGCGGAACACTTTGCATTTGTGTGCACAAGCTTCCTGCGGGAAAGGATCGTCTAGCGGCCATTCATTCTGTCAACACGTATTTCCGCGTTTTAGTACACACTCACACAGACGCTCGCATACAGACAATACTCCAATCTTTGTTGTCGTATATTCATACTTTTTTTGGTAGTGCTGTGCGGTATGTGTGTGTGTGTTCGTTTTTTTCATTTTATTTCAAACCGTCGCATTCGTTCCACCCCAATTCGGTCGGAGATAATCGATTCGGGCGTTATCCTCATTGTTTTTGGGTGCCCGACAATTGATCTACTTCACAAAAGACCCTTCGTTTTTTTTTGCTTCCATTTCTCAGTTGTTTGATGGTGGGAGGCAGTCCAGTGAAAACATCTAGTCTCCACACGATTGCTATCTCAAGCACTTTTCCCTTTATGTATATTTAATTGATTGGAAACACGTCGGTTTTGCGTTGATCAGTTTGACTTGTCGGGATCCGAAGCGCGCGATTTTTCTTCATTCTTTCCGCTTGTTGCATAACCCATCATCATCATTTCGTCGGCTGCTTCTCGCAATATTCTTTTCTCACGCGTTAAACCAGAAATTTTTCAATTTCATTCATTTAATTCCGAAAAAATTGATTTCAGATTCATTCACAAATACTTCAAGAGACACCCAACCAGTTTCTATTCAAAACGACACAATGAGCATCTGTTCATTTTATTCTGAACGTGTTCTAACCTAAAATCATGGATGAATCATCGATCAAAGCTTCAATGTGACATTACATGTTATTTGCTTCACGCTTGGTTTCACAATTTGTGGGAAGGGGGCTACCATTGATTATCTATTTTCAATCTTTTGCAAATTTTCTCGAATATCAGGCATTATTTGTTGCTCGAAATTGATATTCTTCTCGAAACTTCTGGTTTCCGATTCTGGCAGATGTTTCTTTTGGATGATCAAAATGGTCTCAAATCTGTCTAATTCTAGGCCGACAAACCTGATTTTGAAGGCTTGTGATCAATTGACGACGTCGTCGTCATTACCCCGTCCCACGTGAATTTTCGGACTTTTTGCTGTTTCCCGCATCTTCCATGTCCAACGGGTCATCGGGAATTGTTTATAAAACTTGTGATCGTCATCAAAACATAAACATCGATTCATTTTTAAATGGTTTCGATTTTGACCTACACCCAGAGGGCGCGCACCTGTTCTTTTGTTGAATGCAGATGTCTATTCATTGTAGTCTCGATTTCTATTTTCTTTCCATATTTGGTTCCATACGTTTTTGGTCAAGGTCGCTTGATTTCTATATTGATCCCAAAAAATTAATATCGAGTGAATCAGCCCAGGCGGCGACCTTGAAATTCGAATTAAATTAATGGAGATCATGCGCATCTCTTTCCGTGCGATAAACGTGTTTTTATGCATCTTTTCCCAATTTTTTTGTCAATGATTGACATTTTGAAAAATTTCAAAAAAAAAATACGAAAGAAAAAGCGTTTGAACATTTCGCAACAATCCAGTTTCGCCAACGACCCCTCAACAGCCCGATTTCTCAAACTGATCAATTTCGCTGTATATCCGCATATCGCCTGGTCAGTCTTGAATAAGAAATTAATGGATGTTACGAATAAAATATTACTGGCTAGTTCCCGTTTGCGTCACGTGTTTGCACAACCTACGTGTGGGAAGATTTTCGATTTTTTTGCGCCTCTAGTTTTTTTCCTCCAATATTGCTCTAGATCAAATACACACAGACGTACAGGCTCGCTCATTTTGTTTGATCTATCACTTGAGCGCTCCCAGATGGCCTGGTTTTCCGCCGCCTTACATGGTTCGACGGCATTTTCCAAAGTACAATCGATCAATTCGGTCTTTACACCGTTGAATTGGTACAAGTACATGTCACGCCCACCACCAATTGCCGTGCCTGAGCGTCGCCCTCATCAAACATTCACCTTATCGCAATATTTCGATTTTTTGTTTTTTTTTCTCGCGCCCGTTTTTTTTGTCGCCGTCGCCGCCTATCGCTTCATTATCAGCTGAGTATGAGTTTGTTTGATTGTAGGAGGAGTCATGGCTCAGAAAACAGAGATATCGATTGAGGCAGGTGCTGCAAACAACGCGAAACCGAACCCGCCATCGCCGAAAAGTCGCCTCGCGATGCTCAAAAGAACCAAGAAAAGTACGTTTTTTTTTTGCGGTATTCATGTCTCATTTATCTCGATCAAGTATTTGACAAATTAAACGGAATTTTTTTGCAGCATCGAACGCTTCGTCGGATCCATTTCGTTTCCAAAACAATGGTATTTCCTACAAGGTGCACTTTTTTTCTATTTTCAACTATACGATTCAATCAATCAATTTGCCCATTTCTTTTATATTGAAACAATTTCGGCGACCAATCAAAAATAGCGATAATTAAGAAATAAATTGGAGTTTTGTTTCTGCTAAATTTGTTATTTTTGGAAACAAAAATAATAACACATTTTTTAAAGATTTATCGATTTTCAGGGAAAACTCATTGGGGAGCAGGATGTCGAAAAGGCTCGCGGGGATGCGATGTGTGCTGAGGCCATGCGAAACGCCAAGGTTCTTTAAACCGCCAACCCATGGCTTCTCATTTGGCGGATTTATGATTTCAGGGAATGGTGAAAGCTGCCGGCGCCCACAAGACTCGTATAAGCCTTCAGATCAACATTGAAGGCATCAAAATTCTCGATGAGAAGAGCGGCGCCGTTTTGCACAACTTCCCAGTCTCGCGAATCTCGTTCATTGCTCGCGATGCAACTGACGCTCGCGCTTTCGGGCTCGTCTATGGAGAGCCGGGAGGCAAGTACAAGTTCTACGGAATCAAGACAGCGCAGGCGGCTGATCAGGCGGTGCTTGCGATTCGCGACATGTTCCAGGTTACCGATGCGAATGTTCAACGAAAATGTCGAATATTATCTCGATTCAGGTTGTGTTCGAGATGAAAAAGAAGCAGATCGAGCAGGTGAAACAGCAACAGCAGCAACAATCAGGTGGAACTGAAGCCAGTGTAAGTGACAAATTGTTGAAGAATGTGTAGATAGTAGTAATTCGATGGATGTGATAAGCGAACTTGTTCTTGATGAACATGTGATCGTTTGTGTGATGCAATTTTAGTCACACTCGAACAATGAATGATGATCTCAGCGATTTGTAAACTTTGACAATGAAATGCCAACGAATTAGTCTAGTCATGAGGGATTAAATAAAAACCGAAACGATTTACTTTTTCTGAATCGAAAAGTTTCGAAAATATTTTATTGTCTTTGATCTAATTTAAAAAAATTTTTTCCCACTTCTCAAATTTTGAATTTTTAGCCTGCCAAGGAAGGAGGAGTCGCCGTCGCCGACCTACTTGACCTTGAAACCGAGCTTCAGCAGATTGAGCAAGGTGTTCAACAACTCGCCAATGTTCCTACAAGCACTGATGCTTTTGGAGCTACTCCGTTCGGTGATCCGTTTGCTGATAGCTTCAATACCACCGTATGTTGCTTTGAGTTAGACTATGTATATCTTTCACATTGCAATATTTCAGGGAAACACTACTGCGAACACATCCGCTATGAACCAATCAAATGTTTCGAATGGCTCTGCTCTCAATCAGAGTGCTTTTGCTTCGCCATTCGGAAACTCGCCACCGGCTCAACAAGGTTTCGCCACTGCTCCTCAATGGCCGCAGACTTCGGTTCGTTTAAAAAAAATTCAAAACCGTGAATGGTTGATTGATTTTCAGATGATGATGCCTCCTCAACAACCAGCCGTGTTTGGAACTGCTTGGGGTGCTCAAACCGCTCCAGCTCTTCCGTTGTCCGCTCCGATTCATCATGCTCAGAGCACGCCGGCGTTCAACTCGAACGCGTTCTCCAACACCAATCCATTTGCATCTGCGGCATTCGGCGGACTACCAATGACGATGCCAGCAGCTCAGCCGGACCCATTTAGCGTGCATGTTGCCGCGCCGCAACAAATTACAACGACGGTCGATTGGAACTCGTCGGCTAATGAGAATCAAGCGCCGGCTGCCAATCAGCCATCTCTTCATCATGCTAGCACTTTTGCCAACTTCACCGACACAAAGTGAGTCGATAATTCTTTATCGTTTGTTTTTTTCAATTGAAATTAACCATAAATATAAATTAGACCATGAAATTGTGTTTCAGAACAAATGGATGGGAAGAGAAGCGCGTGACCTCATTGGAAGAGGCGTTCACAAAGCTCGTCGATATGGACGCGTTGATCGGCAGCAACACGAATCAAGAAACCAAGAAGAACCCATTCGAGCATATTCTGAATCCACCAAAAGCGTCGCTCAATTCGTTGTCGTCAACATGTTCGGCTGCTGTCCAACAGCAAAAGGTTGTGGTGGCGTCTGATCCATTCGGCGATGATCCATTCTTCCGCTAAGTTGTGTGTATTTATTCGAAAGTGCCATTCAACACCAATCCGAAGCACCCGTTCCATCGTATCCATCCAACACCGTTCCTTATAATACTCTTGTACATTTTAGTGCACTTTTTAAGATCGAGAAGAAAGCAATCACCTTGTAAAAAAGAAAGGCCGGTGCTGTTGTTTTCCGCAAAAAAAGACTTTGTAAGTATTCAATACTCACAACTAACCTATTTTTAAACTATTTCCTTTTATATATGCGGTCTTATGTATCATTCTGTCTCCTCCATCAAATTTTGCTTTTTTGTGATTCATTTTTCTTCCTTTTGTTTCTGTTAAGATTTCAACACATATCCCGTTTATTGTCCCACATCTCCACCTCTTTTTCTCAATCTCGCATTTTCTGTGGAAATGTACAGATTTTTGTATATCGCCTGTCCTATAGAGTGTGTTCTTTGTGTGTGTGTGTGTGTATGTCCCTCGGGGGTTGTATGTTCTTGATTTTTCATATACGAATGAACTGATGAAAAATTTGGGGTTTCCTTTCGTTTGGGTAAACTAGTCGGGATATTTCTTATTTTGGTTCATCCAACAATTTGTAATAGATTCGATAAATTATATTTTGATTATTCAATAGGGTATGATGATATTTTTAATATTTAAACGTTTTAAAATCTTCAAAACGGAATTTATTTTTGATTTAAGAAAACCTTGAAAACATTTAAATTCGAGAATTTGAATCAAAAAAGGAAGGAAAGGAATTTACTCTCGAGTCTCATTCCCGCGTATGATTCTAATATTCTTTTTTTTTTCGGAAAAATTGTAATTTAGTGATTGATTTGTTTTCAAGCTTAAGTTGATTCTCTCAACTAAAAGAAAATCGACATGATCATTGTCAAATCGCTAAATGACAGAATGTTTCTGACAATCATATCAAAATGAGGAAATCAGGTTTGATATATAAAAGTTGAATGGAAAACATAAACCCATGTTCAAAATTTTAAAAGCGAATTGTCAGTCACCAGAATATACAATTATTATATTAAAAAATATTAATATAGGAATAATTTATGAATAAAAGTACACGTATTCAATATAAAATGGAGAATAAGTCTTTTTGATTTAAATGTCTCGCCAATTCTCGTTTGACATTCTCATCCATTGAAGTCGCAATGTGCTTCAATATTCGCTCTTTCTCTCCGACAGTCAATTGCTGATTCTGTTGGGTCATCACTATTCGAATCAATTTCTGTTGAGTTTTTGTCGACAATTTTGGGAGAACATTCTGGAATATGTATGTTGATTTCGAATTAGATATATTAAAATGAGCTCACAAAAATGCGCATTTTTCTTTGTTTCTCTTCTTTCTCCACTTTTAATTTCCATTCTTTGTGCTCTTTTCGAGTTTTCGTATCCAATTTCTCAACAACCTGAAAATCGACGATAATTTATTTATAATCGAAATTCGATGAATACCTTATCAATTTCTCGATTGATCTGCTCGATTGTTTTGACTTCGGCATTTTCCAGAATTTTCTGAAAATTTGTAGCGTTTTCGAGAAATTGGATGTTTAAAAAGAAATTTTCAAAAAAGCGAAGCGGGAACTTCGTCGAATTCGCAAAATCAGTGTAGATTTAAATTTTTCGTTGACTGAATATTAAATGCACGTACACTATAATGCAATGTACGCAGTTTCGCGTACGTCTCGCTGCCTCGAGACGCATTGGCACATTGCCAATAATTTTTTTAATTTCTTCAAGTCGTTTGACTCTGACAATATCTATTACTAAAAAAATCGAGATTGACAAAAATATAAGAAAATGGGGGTGTTTCGAGGGGAACAAAAATATTTTGATAATTTTAAAGTCGATCTACACAAAAAAAACAAGTCTAGAGTTCGTTAAAAAAATTTAAAAAAAATAGGAATGTGAAGTCTAAATGTGAACCATTTCTGAAGGACCACCTAGTCGTAAGCTTCAACAAATATCTTCATTTGAACTTGGATCTTGAACTGAGAAGTTTCAAATGGGGGCAGTGATAATTTAGATCTAATCGGACAAGTGTCGATTCAAGTGTCGATTGTGTGTTGTATTTCTGTCTAAATAGAGCTCATTTCAGAAATTTGCGAATATAAAATGTAATAAGATTAAAAAAAACATCGGGATTCCATGCGAATTCTTATGTTTGAAAAATTACAAAAAAATTATAATGGAAAATAGAAATTTGGAGGACTTACCTCAACGGTATTATCGTCGTGAAATTCGGAATTTGTGACGAAATATGTAAGGTAAGTGACGGCAATAAACGCCAATTTAAGCATTGCTTTTTTTCCGGAGCTGATGGCACACGGAAAAATTCGGACGGCGGCGACAACTGAATGGATGAAGCCCACAAGCACGGATTGGGGGGGGGAAGGCTCGCGGGAGCAAACAAAAGGCGAAGACGCGAAAAAAAAACGCTGAGAGTGGACAATAGATGCCGAATTGGGTGGGAAAAAATTGAGGAGACATGAAAGAGCAGGAACAATAAAAACAACAACGATAATTATGATGATCAATTGGCAGCTTGTTTGGACAGACCACTGAACAATGCTTTTCGCTTTTATTTGCCGCCCTAATTGTTTGCTTTATTGTTTTTCAAATTGCCGCTCGAATGTTTCGAAACATTGTCTGCACAGACATTTTCAAATGCAAGAATATATTTTGAGCTCGGCGGTTTTCGATTGGGTGTTGTTTAAATGATGACACACACACACATACAAATGTACTTGAAAACGACAAGGGGTCGATGTCTCAGATTTCCACCTACACGCCAGGATTCCTTTTTAAATAGATCTCATAAACTAGACGAATCACGACGCTTTTGGAATTTCATGACGTCTTCAGAATCTTCTGCGATTCAAAGGCATCGCCTTCAAAACTGGTGTAGATCAACGATGAACATTCATTTTTCAAATCGTGTCTTAAAATATTTTTTGATTTTTTCAATTTTCTGTTTGATCCAAAAAATATCAAATATAGTGAATGAAAAGTGTAAATTCTCTTTGATAATTATTGATTTCAGAAATATTTTTTTGTGTTCAAAATCCAAAAAAACTCCTTTTAAATCTTCATAAATTATGATTTTATGTTGTTGTTTGAAAATTAGAAATGTTGACTAATTGGTTTATCGAAATATCGCATTCATATGATTTTATTGCAGCATTGAAGGAAGAATAATTTAACTCCCGTATATCGATCAAATCCATTTTGAAATTCATCACAGTGTTGTCGTCGACCAGGAATTATTCTGAAAAATCACCATGAATGGAGGAATTCGATGTAGGAAATAAGCAAAAATCACACGAACTACATGCAAATCAAAAAGAAAAAAATGTAAAAGCGCTGTGTTCTTTTTTTTCGCTTCTAAACTGGAATCATTATTTTGTAAGTACAAAAAAAAAGTGCACCACTCGAAATGAATCACACGTGAGACGGAAACGCGAAATGCGCGAATTCCTGATGCGAAACAAAATTGTGAGAGAGCCAAAATAGTCGTCTACAAATATATTTGAGTGTGTATGTGTGTGTATGGGTGGGTTTTGGGTGCACCATATCGGATAACGAACTAATAATTCAATGAATTCCTGAGCGCGAAATTTTGACCTCTAAACAAAGAGCACTTGGGCCGGCGAATCGTTGTTGCTCTCTTCCTCGTTGTCCGATTTGATCGACATTCGAATCCGCGCTTCGCCGTTGCGACGACTCAGTCGACGAAGGGTGTAATAGGTGCGATAGACGAGTGCCGGCTCATGTGGAGCCGGATCGAAGTAGCAGAATGCAACTGAAATGATCAGATAATGAAAAGCGGGATTCTAGTCATTCGAATGAGGATATTTCATAAATTCAGATTGCATCTAAAAACGCATATATCTAGAAATGTCGCTTGATGATGGCTATAATTTGATGATTTATGGCCATGGTGCTGAAAACGGGGGGGGGGGTCTCCATTTGGGGTGTCGGCTTCAAGAAAACAGTTTTAAAATCTGGGATCTCAAAATACAGAATATCTCTCTGCGTTAAAAATCGAATTATTTAAGAATTTCAGAAAATGATCATAGCACTCTAATATATCAGAATGAGGCACTAAAACGTGCCAAAATGCCTCAAGGGTCCAAATTTGAAAATTTAAGAAAACGGTCTTATCGATGTGGCATGTCAGAAAATATTACTACAAAAACTTGTAAAATATACATATGTTATAAATAGGCGTTTTGAATTTTCTGAATTATAAGACTGCAGCAATCATTTTCTAAAAATTAAAAAAATCCAATTTCGAACCACATAGAAACCCCTCGGCAGGTTTATTTTCTGAAATTTTTAAAAATTTCAGATTTTTTGACAACATAATCTCAAAGTGATATTATGGCCACGTGATGAAAGGGGTTCACATGACCATTTATAGAAACATCGTGTGAACCGAACTGCGAGAAGGACATTTTGAACAATCGGGATTCAGCGCAACCTTTGATTTCAATTTGGTCTTGTCAAACGACGTCTAAAGCGCGACGTGAAAAAATGCGAATTTGGTCTCGTATGCGAAATTACAGTATACCGTATGCTAAAATACAAAAAATTTAGGGATACAAATGAAATTCATCTGCAAATTATTTACAAATTCGACAATTTTCCGTCGTCGACGATATCTCCAAATTTATTTTCTTGCGATTTAAAAAAATTGAAATGAGGTCTAACAATAGGCGACGATTTTATTTTCTAAGGACGTCAACTAATTATTTAAGAAAATTCAAAAAGCGAAAAAAAAACTAACTTATGACAACTATAACATTGAGGATGAAAGCGGCGAACACAAAGAATAGAGCGGAATCAATTGGCGACGAGGCTTGAAGAAACGTGCTGCTGCTTGCGGCTTCTGTCATTCTCTGAAACATCATTAATTGTTAAAGGTACATTGAAGGAATTTTGAAGAAAGTTGGAGTCGACTTCAGACGCTCATAAACTTCAATATGATGGGCGTAGGTCAAAGGTTTTTCTGCTCAAAATTTTTTTATGGCTCTCATTAATTAATAATCGGGATGAGACAAGTGTTGCTTCGACATTCCTTTCCGGGTCCGAATGACTATTTTCTGGGCATCCAGCATTCATAAGCAAATAATGTATTTTGGAGGAAACATCGATAAAATGGAGGGCAATTTCAGAGAACGTTAATTTTTCTGCAAAAACCACCACACGAATTTGCTATTTTTTGCGTTCTGGGGTAGAAAATAGAAAATGGTAGAGACCTGAAATAGGAATCGAGGTGTCAACTCGACAGCAAGCAATGAATAATTAATCGCCTTTCATAGAGCACGCAAGCAAAAACAAAAAAAAAACAATCGTGAAAAGAATGAAATGAGAATGAGAAGAGACGAGGCGGAAAACCCTGGCTGCCACAGAGCCGTATGCTTATAATAAATATTCGGGGCCGAAATTGCGCACGTTTGATCAAAAGGAAACGAGCGGCAGACATAAATCTAAGGAGTTGGATATGAATATATTGACAATTCCTGCGGTAGCGAAACAGCGGCTTCGGTTTCCAAACGGACGAAGGGGCGTTGGGGACGTCGATTCGATTCCCACTAGAACGAAGATTCGAAGAAAATTGATGATTGAGACGTCGGATCGTGGGAATTTCGAGAAACAAGCGACCACTCGAGAAGTTTTTCAACATAATTGGGTGTTGTGTTTGGAAGAATGGTTACGAATTGGATTATTCCAAATTAGGTAAATTCTCTCGGTCAAAAACTCGTTTTGTTTTAGCCGAAAATTTGAGCGAGTGACCAATTTCGCCAATTTTTTTGTTAGAAAATGTGGATTTTTTGAGAAAAAAAAAAACAACGAGAATGCATATTTTAAATATTCAATATATATATATATCAAATATTGTCAAACCAGGACAATTTTGAATTGCGCGGGCTGCCAATTAATTGGTCCGTAATTTGGCAACAATCAAAAATATTCAAAGCTCATTAAAAAATTGTGCTCTTGCCTATTGTGGCGATTAAACTAAACAAAACTCGCCCTAAAATATTTTCCATACAAGACCCAATTCAAATGATACAGTAATAGAACTCCAAATTTGTCCATCATGTCCATTTATGGACCTATTCGATTTTTTTAAAACTGAAAATCGAAAAATGTTTTCCAAATTTTTTTTTGCATTTCTGAATAGGTTCATTAAAAATATTGAAAAAATCACTAATTTTAATTGAAAAAAAATTCATAGTCACTAAATTTTGAAAAATGCGCCTTCGATAGATTTTAAATGATTTTAAATTGCGCGAACTAAGAAGCAGATTAAAAATCACAAAATATGTAATTGGCCGAAAAAACTCGACCAGACTCTTTTTTTTTTTGAGAAAATGAGAAGCTCGTTGAAAAACGAAAAAATTCGAATTAAAAGAGTAAAGAAACATTTTGTTGATATTTCCGATCAGCAATTCTCACATTTTATAAAAGTAAAATCCAAAAAAAAGGACTGGCCTTTAAAAATCGCTGAATGCTTCTTTTCTATATTTCTTTTGCCCTGTAAGAAATTGTTTTATTAACATCAAGCTGCGGACATAATTCGGTCGGATGAAGCTTCAATTTTGATGCACTCATTCCTCATCATAGCAACAAAATTGAAAAAAATGAATCAAAAATGAAATGAGGGCAAAAAAGGGTCGAAAAACAACAACAGCTTAAACATGTGAAGCTAATGGAAACAATTAAGTGTTCCATTCATTTCTGCCTTTTTTTATTTGCGTCCGACCCTTCCACAGAAAAATCATACGTGGAAATATTCAGAAGAAGGAAATCGAAAGGGTATGACGGGGGGTAATTACAAAGGATTTGTGTGTTGAACGACTTCCGCTACTTTCTTTTGTTCTTCGCCTTCTACTTCTTCATATATGCACATCAAACATTTGTGCTGCGGACATTTCAGCGAATGATTCGCTCGTTTTTTTTCCAGCCCACATTTTCAGAGCATTCGTTTAATTTTGAGACGAGCAAATATTTACCGAAATATATCGAAGCTGGATGAATGTAAAGCGAAAACAAATTCGTCGAATGTAAATGCCTGATGGCAACCAATCGTTTTTGCGATATGTATTATTGGGTGGTTGAAAAGCGCCGCTGTCGCATTGCGGATAATCGCTATCGAAATGACAACTCATCATTTCGCAAAAAAAACGTTTCTCAAAACGTCTTCACTCATAAAATTTCGACTTTTTTTTGGTTTCCTCGACAACAATTATTTTAATGCGGAATTTCAGCGAATTCTTTCCCCCATCCGAAATTTTTTTATTCTATTATAATCGCAAAAATCCGTTTTTGATTCGCAAATACGCTGATCCAAAAATAATTGATATCAAGGCTTCTTGGAATGAGATAACCTAATGTTGAAGTAAAACTGAGGTGGGAAAAATTTAGAGCGAGAAAATTGAAAAAATTTATAAAAATTAACACCTGACTATTATGAATGATGGGTTGTCGTCAAATTTCCCCCATGAAGTTCAGAAACCAATGAAATGACACGCTTTGAGAAAATCAAACAATTCATACTGTAACAATGATTTTAGCTGTGCCATTTATTATTCCCAAATTGAATGCTATCAATCATGAATTACAAGTCCTGATAGGCATCAGATCTGAACGGATGAGCAGGCTCAATTACAATGTTGTGGCGTTCCTGATCGGCGCTCTGTTGCACTTCGCGGTAGATCACAAGACAGGGAAACGCGTACAGAATGGTGTGCACGATGAAAAACAACTGAAAATCGAGAAGAGGCTAATTAGGAGGAAAAAATGGGAAGCGACTTACTCCTGATGCGATATATCCAGCAGATGTGCCATATAGGGAATGATTGGCGAACGAGAAAGAGAGCCAAATGCAGATGATTGAGATGATGGCGAGGCAGAATGAGTAGACGAGTTCCTGAAATATGAGATTGAAGAATAACGAGCCAAGTTCATCAAAAGCTTGTCGGAGTCCTCTTATTTTCTTGGATAATTTTTGGCTTTTGTTAGAAATTTCATAATTTTGAAAATTCGTGTTTGAATAATAATAATACAGTGCGTTTCACATTTATAAAGCCACCCCTGTTTTGGGGTGTAACTTTGTCAATTGTCAAAATTTTCAAATTCTGTTTTCAAAATTGAATTCAGGGCTAGAAAATACATATGTGTGTACCAACTTTCATAATGATATCTAAAAAATTTGTCCGTATATAGTCGAACGAATTTGAAATATTTGGGACGAACGAATTTGAAATATTTGAATTGCGCGGGCTGCCATTTAATTGGTCCCGTAATATAAAATATAAATAATTTGGCAACAATCAAAAGTATTCAAGCTCATTAAAAAAATTATGCTCTTGTCCATTGTGCTGGTTAAACTAAGCCCTAAAATATTTTCCATACAAGACCCAAGACGTCAATTCAAATGATGGAGCAATTGCCACCTTATTTAGAATGAAATTGTCAGTGAAAAATTGGCTTCACTGATATCACGTACCACCAAATTCCAGACAACACTTCCATTTGAAAGACTTTCAATCAGTTCATCCTGAATTTTCAATGCGAATATCACTGTTGCGGCAGCAGAAATCTGAAACCTCGAATGACGTCCGCAGATGAATTTTAGCTTACCAATAAGGAGAGGATCGTGCAAAACCAGAGGATCCCATTGTCTCCGCTTGCTGTGGATCCAATGCAAACTGCCAATATCACGGCGTTCACCTGAAACAATCTAAATGTATGCTTTAAAAAATTTTCAATTCTTTTACCGTTTGAAGAGGTTTGCAAAAGTGTGGCGATTTAAGAAAAATGTTGTCTTCTGTTTCGAACATATCAGAAAGTGATTGCATGGTTTTTTTTAACTATAAAACGGGATGATTATTAGGAAATTGTTAGAAAATCAATAGATGCGCCGCGTTTACTAATGTGTAAGTGCTTATCAATGAGCACAACTGATGTTGATCTTATCATTTGTTATTATAACTTAAGAGCCCTTTTATTGGATATATTGACAATATTTGGGAAACAAATTTTGAAAAAAACTTATATTGACAGAAACACAAGTTAATCATGGTTCATAAGTCACAATATTGAAAATTTTCGTTAAATTTTAATGTGAAATTTAATAATATTATGATTAATAATTATCCCGGCATTTAATTCCCTTCTTTCATCCAGATAATCAGTTTTTAATAGCTTTTCAAAGTCCAAGTTGTCTACAATATTTACACGGGTACGGTGTTTTCTATTGTGTGCATTAGAATGTTCACCGAGACGCGAAAAGGAACTTGCACTGCCTAGTCTTTATTTTTCCATTTTTTCAATGTTTTTCGCAAATACAGGTGTTTGTGTGCCATTTTGGTACGTAATGGATTTTCAAATGGAATTTGTCTATCTTTATTTATGGTAAATTCTAAAGTTTTAGTAAAAATAATAAATTTAAAGCAATGATTTAAATATTTTATTTTTCTTCTGATTCCTCATTTTCTTGATAACTTTGATACTACTACTAATTAATTTATTTCGCTACGTAACATAAAAATAATATTTTTATTTAAACAAATTATTTTTTCAGGTGAACCATGAGCGGCCGTAAAATCGCGGCAGCGACCGTGCAAAATCGCTCACAAACACCTTTTTGGAACTGGCTTAAAGGTAAATTTGATTTTTTCTTTCTTTACCGAATAAAATTTTAAATATCACATGATACCTAAATATTAAATGGTCAGATTTCAGAGAAGCTTCTGGCTGCTGATCGTCTCCCGGTCACCCCGCCACCAGGACTTCCAGGGCCAGACGGAAAGGTAATTTTTCATTTTAATTGAAAACAACTTAATAGTTTTGTAGTGCGTCTATCAAAATCCTCTTCGCTTCCCAAAAAGTCAGTCAGCTCGTCCAGGATCTGCTGAACTCCCTAATCTCCCAGGAGGGGTCCATCACAAACTTGCCGATAATTATTATTTGGGAAGGTAGAGCTGGAAAATTCTAATATTCTTGAAATTTCATTTAGTATTTTAGAGATGGAAGAAGAAGCGTTCAACCACCAACGACTTTGTATGTTAATGACGGAAGTGTGAAAAAATTCGCGAACCAATTTGGAGAGCCAATTGAGTAATACTGAAATTAAACCGCTGAAAATTCTTTAAAAGTGTTTCAGAACTGTTCAAGCTGTTCAAGTGAACGTTGGCCCAGAAAAGAATTTCGGACTTCCAGCACCAACTCCAGGATTCGGATGCACATGGAAGCGCGCCAAGGAGAACGAGCTCGCCACCCAAAAGAACGACCCACAATTCGATTACTTTGAGCGTTTCGACAAATTCCAAAGTAGTCAATAATTTAATGTTCCGAGTTTTCTAGCTGGAATTATATTCGTTTTTTCCAACAAGTAGATCATTGTAAAATAAATCGTGATTTTTCATTTTTCATTTTATCTGTTGTTCGTATTTGGTTTTGAGCCAATTCCATATTTGATTGTATTACTTACAATTTCATTTTTTTAAGTATTTACTTAATTTTCGATTCAGAAGCTGCAATCATGAGACCGTCTGTTGTCGCTATGGGAAAACACTTCGGTAACCTCGGAAAGGTATATTTCATTTGAATGCATTAATTGCGATTTTTATACTTAAATACCGAGAATATATCGTACTCTTCAAAATCGCAGTAATTTAAACGACGGATCGCGTTTGTTTGTAATACAATTTATTAATTTAAAATCTCAGATGTACGGAGAGCACCGTTTCGCATTGGCTCCAAACGAGCAGAAGGCTTTCAAAGGACTCTTTGACCAAGCTGTCGTCAAAGTCTTCAAAACCTACGTCTGGGATCAGTGGTATTACTACATCCCACAGGTTTGTAAAATAAAACTATCGTTTGAATCTTATTTCGAAAAACTATTAGATGTGTTCTTTTACGTTGTCCAATCTTTAAAATTTTAAGTGATTTTGGCTATGAGAAATTGTGCTAAATGATGGAGTGTGGACTCAAATTTTTGAGTTAGAACGCTTTCAAACTAACAGTTAAATTTTTTTCGCAAAAAAATATTTTAATTTTGCCTGATATTTTTGTTGAGTATTTTTTCTAAATTTAAAATGTAATCGGCGTGAAACCGCAAATCATTGAATTTTAGACCATCGGAGCCTATCTTCTCTACGACTGGGCCATCAAGACCAACAAGGCCGCATCCCGCAAGAATCCAGCCGACTACGCCAATGATCAGTAAATGAGAATTCTTGCATTGTGCTATTCTATCATTTATTCTTTTTGTGCGTAGATTAAACAATTAAAACGATTGAAGTGAATATTCGAATAAATGTTTATAGGCAGTTTTTAAAAGAAAAAAACCAAACGGTAGAAGTGGCAAGGTTCTTTTTGACATTATCGAATATTTCGATTGATAACGCAATGGCGCTGGGCGTTGTTTATAAATTGGTCTTTTGCACTTGATCCCCCCCCCTCGTCTCTCTCATTTTTTCATTGAGGGACTCGATTTTTCTTTTCTCTGCCGCATTCTCTTCCATTTTTTGGGACCATTGTGAGTTTTAGAATGCTCTCAAGGCTATCGTTGTTTTCTGCCAGAAGATTCTCCAGTCAGAATTTGCTGCCTCAAGGAGCACAAGCTTATATTGCAGGTAAATTTTGAGACAACAAACACTATTCCAGTGCAAACTTGTTTTTATTGAATATGTTTTTATTGAGTCTTGAATTAATTTCAGGAAAATGGACACCGTCGGCCGCTGGCGAAACATTTGACGTCATAAATCCTTATAATGAAGAAATTCTTTACAAAACCGCGAATTGTGATGTCGCAGATGCGAAAAATGTTTATAGCATTTATGAGAAATAAACAAAATCTTTCGTTTTAGGCCGTCGATGCCGCTAAGCAAGGTTTCGAGCATTGGGCATTCAAAACGACGGCGAAACAACGCGGAGCAATTCTTCGCAAATGGTTCGATATTCTTGGTGCTCGTGAGCACGAACTCGCCGAGCTTTTGACAAAAGAGCAAGGGAAACCATTGGCGGAAGCCAAGGGAGAAATTCAGTATTCGGCAGCATATTTCGATTGGTACTCGGGAGAAGCTCGACGAGCTTATGGACAGGTCGTCGATGCTCCTGTCCTGAATCGACAACATCTGCACACACGAGAGCCGATCGGAGTGGCCGCGTTGATTGCGCCGTGGAACTTCCCAACGGCGATGATCGCGAGAAAAGCAGCCGCCGCGATTGCCGTCGGATGCTCGGTGGTGGTGAAACCCGCCGAAGACACACCATTGTCAGCATTGGCGCTCGCACAAACTGCAGAAGAAGCTGGAATTCCGGCGGGAGTTTTTAATGTGATTCCAGCGGATCGCGACAAAACTGCCGAGATCTCGAAATTCCTTTGCGAATCGACTGATGTCAATGCGATCAGTTTCACCGGAAGCACTGCAGTTGGAAAAGTATTCATTCTTTATTCAAATACTCGAATCTTCGTGATGTGATTCGTTTTTTCAGCTTCTTCTCTCGCAGAGTGCTTCAACTGTTAAGCGAGTATGTCTTGAGCTTGGCGGAAATGCGCCACTTATCGTATTCGACGACGCTGACCTCGACGTCGCTGTTAATGTAGGAATATTATTGCAAGTTTGATTCATCTTGACGATTTCAGGGAACGATGGCCACAAAATTCAGATGCTCCGGACAAACATGCGTATCGGCGAACAGAATTTATGTTCACGAGAAAATTCATGACAAATATGTTGAGAAACTCGCCGAAGCGATGAAAAGTCGTCTTATTTTGGGATATGGTCTCGACACGAACACCACATTGGGGCCACTCATTAATCATAAAGCCGTGGACAAGGTATTTCATTATTTATGTTTAAAATTTCGAAAGGAAGAAATTGAAAAAAAAACTTGAAAAGAAATTGATTGTTTTATCTCTGGTAACTCAAAATCAATCGGATCCAACAATTTGTCTTCGGAATCAAACCTGATCCGATTAATAATTCTACGGACCCGATTAGTAATTTGTTGAATCCGATTTGTTTTAAATTTAAATCAATCACATTGGTTTCATTCCGGGGCCCAATTTGGTCCAGTCCGATCCGTTTCGAGTTACCGAGTTAAAGATTTAATTAAAAGTAAAAGTTTCGCTATTCAAAATTCTAGCAAAACATTGATAATATTTATTTTTATATCGCGTCATTTCGATAATTTTTTAATTTCAAAGATTGTCGGAAATTTTTTTGCCATTTTTACCCATTTTGCAATCCCATAAAATTTGTGTTTCAAAAGACTATTACGCCTTACTCTGAATAGGTCCATAATGTATCTAATTTAATAATGTCGATAAACGTTAAGTGCGACGTTCTGCTTGCTGATGCCGTTGGAAAAGGGGCCCAAATAGTGACCGGTGGCAAGAAGAGTAGCCATGGAACTGGATATGAAGCCACTCTTTTGACCGATGTCCATGAGAACATGCATATCGCTTACACCGAGATTTTCGGACCAATTGCAGCCATTCAAAAGTATTGAAGAAACTTCGAACATTCTCTCAATGAATGCATGATTCGATTGTTCAGGTTCTCCGATGAGGCGGAGGTGATCGCAGCAGCAAATAATTGTCGAGTCGGATTGGCGGGATATGTCTTCGGAAAGGATTCTTCGAGAATACACCGTGTAGTGAGAAGGCTGGAAGTTGGAATGGTTGGAGTCAATGAAGGTTGGCATTTCAATAATACTAAAATATATTAACTTTAGAATATCTAAAGATCTTGCTAATTTTTGTTCTTGAATCGATAATCTTATCAATATTGCAGGATTGATCTCATGTGCCGAGGCTGCATTCGGAGGGGTTAAAGAAAGTGGACTTGGTCGCGAAGGAGGCGCTCAAGGAATCGACGAATTCACAAATTGGAAATATATTTGCACACAATATTGAAGAAACGAAAGCACACGTTTATTAGAGTTTCCTCCAGTCCAAAATGTATATAAATTAAAGAATTTGAGATTTCTCGGGGGGTTATAATTATTGCATGCTGTTAAGAGGGTTGGCTGTGCGGTTTGAGTGTGACACTTTGACAGCGGCCATGGATTGTGGGCGGCGACGAACAAAACCGGGTTCATTTCGCCCCCACGATGACACGTTTTGCAATTGTGCGAGTGAGTTTGTTAGTAATTACAAATCAGTTAGTTAAGCTAGAAAATAAAAAAAGGAAATTAGAAAATTCTATTCAATTAGTGATAATAGAAGCGACGGCGACGCGATGGGCTTGAAAGTTGCTCGTGAATGTAGCTGAGCGTTTGAAGCATTTTCGTTTCGCAGTCGTTCTGCTTTTTGACGAGTCGTCGCACGGCTTCGGTTTCGAGCTTCTTGACCGGCGATGAGGCGATGTAATTGTCGCACCTAAAATTAATGTGCATATATGCGCGCCAGATTGTTTTGAAATAGTCAGTGAGTATTTTCGGTGAGCAACTTACGTGTCAACTGAAGCGCAACAGTCGCGGACAATGTTGCAGGCCTCGCGGATTGGCTCGAGTTTAGCGCGGCATGTCAGATGATTTGCTTGCGATCTGGCGTGCACCGATGAGAAGAACTCGTCGGCCGACGCGGTTGTTGGGATCTCAACGCTGCATTGCTTCTCTTCGGCGTCGGTGACGGCGATCTTGTTGCGTCCAAGTTCGAGGCATGCTTTGCGGACTCCGCGTTGGATCACGAGAAGCTGTTTGAGGGTGGAATGAACGGTGCGATCAAGTGGTCTGAGGCAGGCCTTGAGGACGATTTCGTGATGAGAGATTGAGCTGTTTTGCAAGATTGAGAGGATCTCGGCGTCGTCGATTCCGTGGCTCAGAACTTCAGTCGAGTACTTTCTGTCACATTGCTCCTCGTAGTCGAGCAGGGTCTGCCAGCAGGAAGCGTATTCTTGACAGTGAGTCTGTTCGAGTCTTGGATGGATCTTTCTCACATTAGCAATCACTTCGGATGGCTCAGTGGTGGTCACTGGAGCATGCTCCTCTCCACTTCCTTCGACATCCTCTGAAACCTTGGAAGAATGTAGCTGCTGATGCTGCTGCTCGGTGAGCACAACTTCATCCAAGTTCGAGATGAGCTCGGATTTCAAAGTCGACGTGACTTCAGGAGCGACTGTAGTAGAGCTCTTGATCGATTCCATCATCTCGGCAATCACGTCCTTCTCCTTTTCCTTCTTTTCGCCAGATTCTTGCTCCAATTTTGGAAGATCATCTTGCACAAGGCTCTCGATCATCTGATCGTCGGAATCCTTTTCCTTTTGAGCAGATTCCTTGATTTCTTTCTCCACAAGAAGGGCACGATCCTTGCTAGTGAGTTCCTTAACCTCCGGCTCATCGACCTCGAGCTTCTTCTCGACCTTCTCAACCTCGGCGACCATTCGATGCTTACGATCAATAGCAGTATGAGAGAGACGCGATTCGGCTTTTGAGTCGACGGTATCCGAAATTGTGAACACACTTGGAACACTTTCTTTCTCATTGATTTCGTCGACTTTGGTTTCAGCTTCTTCTTCTTTCTTCTCCTCGTTTTTCTTGTTATCCTCCTTCTTCTCGTTTTCCTCCTTCACATTTTCCTCTTTCTTCTCTTCCTCTTTCTTCTCTTCCGATTTCTTCTCCTCTTTCTTCTCTTCCTCTTTCTTCTCCTCAGTCTGTTTGGCTTCCTCCTTCGTTTCCTCAGCCTTCCTCTCGCCATCCTTCTTCTCATCATCCTTCTTCTCTTCAAACACATCCTTCGAAACTTCGTCGACGTCCAAATGCTTCTTGTCGGTCTTCTTCACTTCGCTCTTCTTCGAATCTTCAGAACTGCGAGTAGCAATCGATTTGATGTCTTCAGGGAGTAGATCGACTTCAGAACTCTTTTCCAAAGCGCGAGTAAGGATGTCCCTGCAAATTTGTTTTGATTTTGTTCCAAATCGAAATTCAAATCCCAATCAACTTACTTTAATTTATTCAATTTCGCCTTGACCTTCGAGTCGAGTTTATCTTCAACTTTGTGCTTCTTATCGGCAAGTCTGAACAGCTCCGAGAATTTTCCTTCGGAAATGAGAGAAACATAAGTTGAAAGGTCCTTATCAGAGGCCGTTCGGATGAGATCTCTGACAATCTGAACGCGATCTTCAGCCTCCTGATCCTCCTTCTCATCATTGACAGTTTTCTCCTCAACCTCATCCTCAATCTTCTTCACTTCCATAACGACTTCTGGAGTTGGTTCGGTTTCTGGAGCTTCCGTCGTACTGGTGGTAGTGGTGAATTGATTGACGAGCTTCTGCGCGACGACTTGTCTGATTTGCGAGTACTTCTTCAAGAATCTCTCCCTTCTCTGTGCCAAAGTAGCTGTGGATGTAAGTGCGAGTCGGCGACTGATTCGCGATTCGGTGTAAGCGTCCGGTCGAAGGAATGGGATTCCGGCGTTTCTGTATGGATCACGAAGAGCCTGAAGACGGGCGCCCTCGCGCAAGAATCGTGGATCGTTCGAGACAATGCACGAGATCATATTGTAGACGATCTGCTCGGCCTTGACTCTCGAGTTCTGATAGGAAAGCGAGACCGCGTTCATTCTCTCACCGCATCTCGTATGATCTGGACAGCACTCAAGAAGGCTCTCGCAATACTCGCGATCCTGTTTGAAGTCGATGAGACACTGAAGGGAATCACCGCGGGAGTTGTTGCGAATCGCTGGCTGCACATAGTCGCACGAATCGGTGAACTGCAATTAATCATTGCCAGGTGAATCAATTGTTTCTCCCTTCTTCTATTACTATCCCTCTCCCCATGAAATCTGGATTCTTATGTCTAAAGCATTCAATGCGTATTGACACGCATCTCGTTTCTCCCCAATCAATTAAGATTTTATCGAGCCTAATTGGGGAGGAGAAGGCCGCAATTTGCGTTTGAACAAAAACTATTACGAACGATAATACGGGAGTGCAAAGAAATTTTTTTCGCGAAGCAAAAATCTCAAATCGTTGTAGTCGGATGTTAATAATGCAAAAAAAATCGAAATCTCCGATCGAAATCGACAAAGAATTTTCGAGATCGACACGACTTGAAAGTAGGTCGGAATGAATTTCTTTAAAAATGAAAAAAAACCAAACCGGCTCAATTCTCTTCGAGCTCTCCGGAAGCTTGTCGAAGCACTCTCTCGCATCCTCATTGACAAGTATTTGAAGCGCTTCAAAGTCGACAATTTCCTTGAGAAGACGATCTGAGGATCATATATCTATCGTTTGAAGAAAGGCAATTGGATCGAACCTTGGCATCCGACAAACTCCAATGCTCGGTACTTGACGAGATCGCGGATGTTCACATCTTTCGCTTCAAGAGTCAACGAGATTGCAGTGCCCCCGACGCAATCCTTAAGGCTTGATTGAATCGACTCCAAACATTCGACATATTGGAAGCATGAGGTCTGAAATTGAGTTAGATGAATTTAAGAGTGAAATTGTCCGAAGGTACCCGATTCGTTTTGAACGCGTCGACGGAGGCGGCGGTCAGGAAAAGCACAAACCACAGGCTCCTCATTCCTGCCCTACAATTGACGAACGGATGAATTGAATGTCTTCCACAAAATATGCAACACATAATATACTAGACGAACCGAGGGGCGTGGCCTTGCGAACAAATAAGGCGGAGAACGGGAGGGGAAAGGGGCAGGCAGGAGTGCGGGCGGGGGATACGCATTAACTATGTGATGATGATTTAATGGCAAAATTTCGGCGTTATGGGAAACATACACAGAGAAGCATGAACATGCATACGCGAAATGTCGATTCCCAAAATTGTTTTGAGATTTCGCGTTGAGATATCGCTCGTTGGGTGCGCGCCAAAAAAATGGACATGAGAGAATTGATTGTGGATTTAATTGGTACCGGTCGAATGGCGAAGGGAACCTGAAAATCGGCTATAGCGGTATCGAAGAAGTGGCATACAGCACGAGATTGAAGTCATATTTGTGTATTTTACTCTGATAAATCAAAACCAATCGGATGCGACAGTTTTACTATCTTTCCCTTAGAATTACCAGTCGGATCAGGCTAATTCCGGAGCCGAAGTTTGACGGATCCGATTGGTTTTGAGTTAGCAGAGAATTCCTAGAATCAGTCTTTATAGTTTTGGATTATTTAAAAAAAATTGCTGCTGGCAATATAATTAACCTTTATGAGCGATTAATTGAATCTTGTGTTACATCTGAAACCTATTTTTCAACAAAAAATGGCAAGAATGTACATTTTAGAATTTGAGAAGCTTACCTGAATAAAAAAAGAAACAATTTTATCAAAAATGCCCAATTGAAACGAAAAATTAATGGGGGATACTAATGAGGAATTGGTTCGTCGTAGAACAAAGGAGTGAATTGGGTTTGATGATTCGCGTCGGATTCCTTTTATACATTGTCCAACGAACACCGACTCTCGTTGGCCGGTCGGTCCGCTTTTTTTGCACCACAAGACGGCACATTTTTTTGTCAGTCGCGAAATTCCCGCGCTATCGCCAAATTGATAAGCCAGTAGCGTTTGTTCGGGTTCGATCGTTCACTTGTATATTATCATCGGCGCGGACGTTCCACTGGAACCGACCGACGCCGCCAGTCGAAACCAATTCGAAAAAAAAGAGTTCGCCGATTCGGGAATTGCTTAATGGGCAGGTAAACGCTTGAAAAACTTGTAGATCAGTACGCTTGTGGACAAGCGATAAAACGAGAAATTCGCTAATGATTCAAAATATTTATATACTATGCATTTATGGGTAAAAACGCGGTTTTACGCAATCCATTAACTAATTCTTATCTCATAAAGTTAACATTGTTATAGTCATGAACTTTGCAACCAGTTTGAAAACTTGAATTTTATGAAAGAAAATTTTAATTTGAGAAAAAACAACGGCTTGGAAACCTTGAAAAAATCAATATGGGTACTGTATTATTTTAAAGGCGCATACACAATTTCAATAATTTATCTTATAGCGAAAAAAACCGTATCTTGTTTCATTGGTCATTTACGAACAAATTTTATTGACAATTTCGCATTTATTTTCGATTCCAATGCCCGTACTTTCTCTCATTTGCGATTATTTTTTTTCGACTTGCGGTGTAAACTCGTCCGGATCACCAACATTATCGAGAAAAATCGTTCTTTCGAAATGAATCGTCCGATAAATCATTTAATTTGTCACAGTCTTTCTAAAATCTACCCACTTTTCTTTTATAGAAATAATTTTAATATTTTTTGGCTTCCGTCGTCGACCCATATAAACATCAATGAAATATTTTTCCATTTCCCAATTTTCCGCAAAAGTCGAATTTTTTTCAGGCTCTTCGTTTTCGAATAGCAAATTTCGAGAGTTATTGTATCAAAATATCCTTTATAAAGCCTTTAAAGCCTTTATAAAGGCTAAAATTGAAAATGCAATTGAAAGAATCAAACTTATAAAAACTTATGCGTTCTTCTCGACGAATTTTCGATTAATTGACAAGAAAAATTTTATTGAAATGGAAACAATGAAAAAAACATCAAGAATATTTCAAGCATTTATTTCATAAATCGCTAATTTGCATTAGAAATACAATAAAAAGAATCACATGAATATATGTTTGGTAAAAAAACGAAGAAAAACAAAAAAGAAGTTAAGAGCATGAAAGAATTTCGCCATGCTGATCGATTGAAATGTTGCAAGTGCCATCAGAAACAACCATTCCAGATCTCGAAGTGTGGATTCGATTGTCAGCACGCTTCACATAGCACTTGTCGCGATCCTGTAAGAAAATAAGCGAATAGTAATGACGACGATTACTTCAAATCCACCTGAACGGCCATATCGATGAAGGCGCTTCGAAGATGAACAGTATTCGTTTGCGAGTTCATCGTCATGAAAATCGGCTTCGCTTGAATACTTACTTCTCCGGTGTCCGCATTTGATTTGATGTGGATTCCTAAAAACGATTTCGTAAATAAAGCGAAAAAAAATGAATCTCCGAAAGATATCAATTTTATATAGCGGCTTCATTAAATAGCGTCTCAAAGTTCGGGGGGGGGATTCGCTCGAAGATTTTTTTGAATTTTGATTTTCTTCTCGCATTCTAACATTCCCAACAACTTTCGTTGCAGCCCATTTTTACCATTAATGTGAATAACCAAGGTCCCGTCGCGTTTCCTTTCATATCCCGCCTTTTGGACAATCTCATTGCACTGCGAAATGTACTCGGTGCCCATTTGTGAGACAGCGTACATCTGATGAAGCGAATAGTCGATTTCCTTTATTGGAAATTCTGGCTTATCGATCGCCACCACCGATGGTCCTGAAACGAATTGAATCGACGATGAAATTGAATCTCAATCGAGTCTACTTGTCCGACTCTCGTTCCCACTGTTCAACAAATAAGCAGCTTGGAGGTGTTGCATTGAGAAGAGCACACCTTCGGCTCCGAGAACCGCGAATCGGTCATTGACAGCGACTGAAACTCATTCGGACCATCGAATAAATGTTATGATATCTACTGAATTTGCAGTGCACATGCTCGCCGGAGTGCACGATCTTGGCGAATCTGTGGACAATACTTGAGACACCTCCACCAGCATTGACATATGCCTCAAAAAAGGGGGAATCGATGGAAACACAAACCAGGATTACCATAAAATCTTCATTACAAACCAGTCGAAAACTACGATCAACGCATATTTCCAATAAAACGCCAGCGGCGAGAGCCAACATTATTGTGCCTTCTTGAGAGCACAAAAGAAGCGGATATTTGACAACACCATTCTGAAATATTATATATATTTGTTTTATTTTTATCAATTTTTCTTCTACCTCATTCTTGATTCCCATTATTGGAACTATTGGATTATTCTGAGAGGCTTGGTTGATCAACACGAATCGCTCAAGTCCTTTAGCTTGGCCGCTTTTCTTCGGAGTTAAGCTTGGATTCTTGCTCTTTGGAGCATTCTTGAAGCGAATTGGATCTTCTGATGGCGATGGCCTAACACTTTAATCAATTATCATTTAGCAAACTCAAAAAGTGCATTACTTCGAGCAACTCTTCACATTTATTGGCATTCCAGCTCCTCCATTCTATAAAAATTGGTGTCATTTGATGGACGGAAACAGGCCTACCATTCGCTGATTGCTCGATAGTTTCGATGGCTCCATTCCACTCCGACTGCTGATATCATCTGTTCGATACGTTACGTGGCGAGATGTGCTAGATCAAAGCTGGATGTCCTGACCTCCATTGGAATGACACGTGACGTCGATTTTCGGAAAATTTTCAACGAACCTGCTGAAGAAACGCTTTAAAAATCGAGAAATGCGATGTCGAACTGTTCACGTTTTAATAGAATGTTTCGAATTATTCGTTTTTTCAAAAAAAAAAAGCCCTCGATCACCACCTTACTATATGAGAAACAGGGTCTTATTGATTCAACTTACAGTCCTTTGGATTCAAATAGGGAATATCTCGCTGATCCCCAGAGCCACCAATGAGTACCATTCAGCGAATTCTGGAGCGGGCACATTCAGTCTTTTGGGTGGACAGAATCGAATCAAATCAAACGCCGACAAAATCGGCAAATCCCACTGTCTGTTGAATTCCAGTATACTCATATGCTCTTAATTTACATAGCCAAAAAAGGTGAATCCGCGAAAAACTGTGGGAGTTTCGAATAGACGAACAATTGGTCGTTATTTGCCAAAACTGTTGAGTACTTCATATCTGAAAGTGGGCATCCATACATATTCCTCCATTGTTAGTGCGAGTCCATCTGCCATATTGGGGGGGGGGAGCAAGACCATTTCAAAAGGCGCACTCGTAAATCTACCCGCGTACAGAATAAATATACAGTATCTCATAAAACCACCACAATTTTGTCGAATAACTCGAAATCGCGGATACCTCCAGAAATGATTTTTTTTTTAGAAACATATGCGCATTTATCATTAGTTTCATGTTACATTCACAAAAATCAACAAAAAAACAATTAAAAAAAAAAGAAAAAAAATCCACTAAATTATATACCCACTCCATTTTTGGCGTTTTTTTTTTTAATTTTTTTCGTATTTTGTAATTTTTTTTGCAATTTTACTGCCTTTTAAAAAATGCTTAGTGCAAAGCCGCTCACCGGCTTTGAAATAGGCGAAAATGAAGCAAAGCTGGCTCAAGGTCTCTCTTATCGGCAAATTGGGAATGATCTTGGACGCACACAAAATGTTATTAGCCGATATGCTAAGAATCCAGCCGCTTATGGTCAAAACAACGTCGACAGGTCGTCCTTCATTGTTTTCGGACAGCGATAAGCGCAAAATGTTGATGAGAATGTAAAATTCGGCTGTATCGTGCTCAACGATTCGAAGGGAATTGTTTTATCAAAGAGCAACTTCATTAAGCACAGGAAAATGAGAAAAGTACCAATGTTGATAAGAATACATCGTGAAAAACGACAATAGTTTGCAAAAAATAATCAACGAACTGACTGGAGACGAGTAAAATTAACTGCAACCTTCAATGAACTAGTTTTCTTCCTTCGGGCAGTGTTTTCTGATGAAAAACAGTTCAATTGTGATGGGCCAGATGGTTATCATTTCTATTGGCACGATTTGAGAAAGGAAAAGCTGCGGTTTTCGCGAAGAAACTTCAAAAGAGGAGGCGTCATGGCGGAGCGGCAATCACCTCGAATGGACGAGTCAAATTGTGCTTCGTTATCCGAAGATAAGTGGTTCTGACTATCGATACGTCATATGACGTGCTCTGCTGCCATTTTGCCGTCGAATTCTTGTTATTTTTTTTGTTTCTTCACACTAAGTATGAACTCGGGGCGAAAAAGAAATTTTAAGCATTTCTTGAATAATTGTGTTAACGCTTACTTTTTTATGGGCGAAAATATTGCTTAAGCACGAAGATTTATTAATAAATTTGAATTAGCAGTGATTTCAGCATGCGAATTTTTGATAAAGTAATGATTCTCTTGTTTCAACAATCTGCACTCTCATTTGTCCTCTTCCGGCCTAATAAAGACAGCAAATCTAAAAATAGAATAGTAATTATAAGACAACGTGCGATTTGAAACTTACTCAATATTTCTTGAACAAAAATGAGAAAAGTTGGTCGATATGCGGAAGAAAGGAGCATTATGTACTCCGACCCCTGAAAGGTTAAATATCAAAAAATAATTATTTTTCAACAATTTTGTAGGTAAATCTATTAGGCTGTAATCCTAAAATAATTTTTTAATCAAGATTAAAAAAACGAAAAATTGATATAACAAACCGAGATTCGATTGAACAAATGATCTGAAATTGTAGGCGTGGCAATAATCGCAAAGGCCGCATACATTTGAGCAACAGTGCGGCAGTTAATTAGAATAAATTTTCAGACGAATTAATCGGATTTTCTACAAGCAAATAACAACAATTTTTAACAATTTTCAATGGAACGAAGTTCATTCAAATTTAATACCAGCAAATACATATATTATTTCCTTCTAATTTTTTTTGATGCAACAAGTAAATAAATTGTTATGCACTTCCAAATATAGATTCTAATTTTTTTACTCTAGTAAATTAAAATCAATAAAAAAAATGTTATCTTTTCATATTGCGCATCCCCTATAAAAAATTATCTAATAATACGTGAATTTTTTAAAATCTTTAAAATGAAATTTGATTGATTTCTACGCTCTAACTATATGATCGTATATTCAAAATTAGGTAAGAATTTAAAATTTTATTTTCTTTTTCTTGGATTGTGAAAATATTCTGAAATAAAAGTTGCATTGGGTCCCGACACGAGAATGCCATTTCTTGAATATTGAATCCGATTTTCATTTTGAATCAGATTCATGTGGAAAATGAAATGGAATGATTGGATTTTGAAATGATCAGAAGAACGTGAATTAATTCGTCAAATTTTGAATATATTTCAGGAATATTAATTCACTTTTATCTCATAGTTATACTAAAATCTGAAGCAGAAAAATATTACGATTTCGATGATTCTCTCTTTCATAGTTTTTGTCGAAGAAGTGGAGGACAAAGCACGAATCGAACTGATTTGGTTTGTGGTTTTCTGATTATTTGAATTCTGAAATCGATAATAGTTTTTAAAAGTAGGAGTGTCTTGTAAAAATGCGAAAATCCAGTTTGCAACCAATGAATTTGTACGTAACTCAATAAAAGGAAATTAATTTAAAAAAAAAGAAACTGCAGATTGGACCAGTCGAGGCTTGTAGACGACTTGTGCCATATTGGGTGAGAAATGCAAGAATAATTGACGAGTATCTCATCGAATGTGATTATGGTTTACATACGGCTTAATTACTCTAATTATGATAATTAATTAGATCATCAGTATAATTGCCCGCGTAATTATTTTCAAATATATGAAAAATGCTATTTGCTGCCTGAAAATGCAACAAATTATAATGGAATCAACAAAACGTGTGGATCAAATTTCAAATTGGCGGAACTCGACAGACTCGATTTGATTGGAATTATTGAGAGAATATTCAGACCATCGACTTCAGTTTCGATGGATTTTCTCACGAATTATGAGGGAATTTATTCTGAAAACATTCATACATCAGATGATCTTCGAGATGACGATGAATATTTCGATTTGAGGGAACAATTTATTGGGAAATTTGGTTATATCAAACCAATTGATATCAAAGACGATAATATTCTATTTATATGCGAAAAACCATACAAAGACTCATATGCTGGTTCATTTCTGATTGAATTCAAGTGAAATTCGTTCAATTCCAGCCGTTCATGGAGACGTCGGTAAGTTTTCGGAAATATTCTTCGAAGAATATGCACTACCTAACAATCAAGTTTATCCGACATTTGGAAAATATGGGTAAGTCGAATTCGGGACATTCAATTTCGACGAAAATCTTAGAAGTTCATACAACCGAAATAAACCCAGCACAGAAGATGAAGAGAGAATATGCAAAGTATGCTGATTGATAGCTTCAGATGAATGGCATATTCAGAAATTGATGGGTTCATTTTCTGATTTCGGACATCATCAATTCATTAGATTCAACGAGGATCATTCGTTGAAACTCTCAATTGCTCCGAGTTATTTCTCGCAAACCAAATATGTTCATACTGGAATCAAAGAAGCCAATTCAACACGTTGGTGTGATGAATTCGAGAAGGAAGAGGTGTGTAATGCGAGAAGGAATATGACAGCATCGAAGATAATAATAACGGACGAAGGGTGATCATTGAAATTTTACCAAATTCTAAAATCCCTTTAACATAGTAATTGGCAATTAACATCAGCTCCTTTCGGTCAACGTTCTCCAATGTATTGCCAGTCACGTAAGAATTCTCTACAATTCGAGTCGATTTAATCAATTTAAAGGGTACTACAATTTCGATGAAAACGGCTATTGTCGGAGTGATTTCACTCCGTTTATCAAAGGAACTTACATGTCATGCCACAAGGTTTATTCATACAAATAAAATTTATTAATTTCACATAGGCTTCTGACATATGGAGAGATTCTTTTGACGCTTACGGGTGGTGCAAAAGGCACATAGGACAAAGTACATGTAGACATTGCAAAGATCTAACCGGAATGTTAAGCGAACCAACAAGTATTGAGGAAGTAGAACTACTCGGCTGTAAGGATTGCTACCACATATTATTTCTATTTTTGATTATTCTTCTAATAGTCTAAAGATAAAAAATCAATTTTCAGCTTTAGCCAAAGACGGCTGGAATTATTTTCTCGGTGTCGAACTGCGCAGAGGCAAGTTTTACCATTTTGAATATAATTTTCCCGTACCAGCTTTCGACTTCTATTGGTTGTTATGGGATAGGACCTATTCGCCTGGACCACCAGGAATAAGCGTAGTCCTTACGAAAAACAAACTTCTCAAGAACGTACGGTACGGTTTCAATAGTTTTAATTGGAAAATTTTAAACCTAATTTAACATTTCTCGAACTGCTTGAAATAATTGATTGCTTATATATACCCAATTTAATCAAATTCTCTTTCGTAATTCTCAAATTAATGTTTTAAATTTACATGAAATTTCGTTCCTTTACTTTTTCAAAAATGGCTACAGTTTCACAGACAAATTAATTAAGCTTTTAATCCAAATTACTAGCCAATAATTAAAATTAATAAATATAGCCCGGATGTGAGAATGGGATTTATGTGCCAATTCAATATCGATCGACCGGATTCTGTTAAAAAACTTTATTGAATAAACATGATTAGCATTAATTTTGTTGAATTTTAATGTAATTGTTAATAAAAAGTTACCTTTCCGTTTTCCATTCTCTGCTTTTATATTCCACATTGGGTGGATCTTAATAGAGATTTTATTAAAATAACCAAACATCATTTTTTAGAATATCTCTTTGCATTATAAAATCTTTTCGCTGGTTTCAATATTTTTTAAATTATTGTCGAATGGTTTTCGAAAAGAAATTGACATTGAAATTAATTTTCGCGTGAAACGAAAACTTTCTTATCTGGTCCATTCATTCCAAGATATATTTTCATCCGTGATCGGTTGTGAATTGCTTCCAATCTTTTCTTGAAATGCGATTCTTGATTCTTCTCTCCTTTTTCGTCTTGTTCTCATTCGAGGAGGTGCTTTGGGGTGAGTCAATCATGTTCACAATTTCATTTTCAATCGTTTTCTTTTCAGATTGTCATCGCGATTTTCGATGCGTCCTTGGCGGCTGGTGCGAGCATAAAGACAGTAAATGCGTGCAGCCCCCAGGCTTTCTGGAGCCCAGTTGTTGTTGTAAGTAAATCGGAATTCATCAAATATATATTCACTTTTATTTCAGTAAAAACACCCAAGTGTCTGGCTGGATGGGTTTCTAAAATAGTAATCGATGACTGGGGAAACATCACTTGCGAATTGGCCAATACTTCGCTTGAGGACTGTTGCTGTACGTCGTTTGCTTTTTTTTTTCTATTTTAAAATTTATTATGCCGAATCAGACATCTAAAACGTCACAAACCATTGCTATTAACCCTTTTTGTTTAAATTTCCCGGGAAAGTCCGCAAACACCCCGAGAGCATATGTACATCCTTTTCAAGAATTTTTTTCCTAAAATGATATCAATAAAAAATAAAAAATATATGTAAGAAAATGATACAAGCACGTGTCAAAAAGTTAGGAAAGGGTTTTAATAGGGGGTCTGAATTTGAAATCTTTGAAATTTTTAGAAAATGATTGTAGCAGCCAAATATTAATAAAAAGCATAATTTATTGCGTAACAAAAAAGAAAAAATAGAAAAAATAGCTTCAAAATATTACTTGAAATATAAGTAAAATTGTGTATTTGCGCGCGCGGTGTTTGCGGATTTTTTCCTGTGAACCCACCGATCCTGGGATGTGGATTTCCCGGTACCATTCGTGAAACGAAAATTCCGGGTTCGCAGGAAAACTTGTCTCTGGGCAATTACACTGCTTAGTATGGCATCCAATATTCCACTGATTAGATCGAGATATGAAATACCGCCGGAAAAATTGCAGGATAAGGGAGAATTCATTATTTTTTAGAAAAACAAAATGAAAAGAAGCATAGCTAATTTAAATGTTTTTGAAAAATAAATATAGTTGGCGTTTGGCGACTGCTGTAAGCGGGTAGATTTACGCGCATGCGCTTTGAAAAAGTCTTGCCACGTATGAACGCCTATTTTGCTGTATCTACCCACGTACAGCAGTTGCCGGACGCCGACAATACATGAGGAATAACCTGTTTGCGGTCAATATATATTTATACAATGTTTATCACTTTTATTTTTTTATTTTTATTTTTCATCATGTTTTTATTTTGTAACTTTCTTTATGTGATTTCCAATCGAATTTCGCGTTTGCGAAATCTCGCGGTGAAGCTCGATTCAGAGGTCGATTGTCATAGACAAAAGCGACCATTCTGCTTTTAATTATAATTTTCAGTTATCGTCCATCCGAAGTCGTTGCTTAATCACACATTATTCGATTATACAAGTAAAAACTATTATAATCACAATATTTCAGTTAATAACTTCAATACAGAAACGACAGAAGACCAACCACAATGCGAAACGAACATTGACTGCGGACCCAATATGTTCTGCGACAACCTGGTTAACAAAGATAGGGAAATTTCTAATAGAACTGGATGTTTCAACAGTAAGTTTGCTTCTTAGTTCACTAAAAAACATTCAGGTTTTAAAAAATCTAGCCCGAAATGCAAAACTAATCGAACAACATTGTTTCAGTCTCGAAAAGAGCGGACACTGCGACGAAACTTCTGTTTGAGATTGGAATTCGGATGTGCAAATCGGACGCCGAGTGTGACGGATTTAACTGTTTGGATGCTACCAATGAAACTTATGGATTCTGCGGAACTCGTGAATTCTGTCAGATCAATGTTGAAGCCCCCGCCAAGAAGCCGCTGGTCCCGTGTTCCGAAGACATGGATTGTGTCCATCTGATGGATGGAATGGTCGGATCCGCCGGACTGATTCCCAAGTAAACCATTTTCTGAAAATTAAACGTTTATTCCACGTTTTCAGTGTGTATTGCAACAAAACAGGAGATTTCTGTTGTTCAGGATTGCTGGACGTCTGCTTTGGCGGCAATCTCGTCCGGCCATTGCGTAAATGCGAAGCAGGAACAATGGCCGGATTTGAGACCTGCAATCCGGACATGTGAAATGGAGATCTCCTGGGATTTTGCACGGATATCGGAGTTTGCTGCGAGGGTAACAATTTTTTAAAATGAATAATTCAATACTGAACTCACTGAATTCTAATGAATACGTTTTAGGCCCTTATGAAGAGCCGGTGGTATGCCCGGACGGCATCCACCCGCTCTTCATCGAGCCGGTGGGTGTGATCCTTCACGCCCAATCTGCTCGCGAGCGGTCAACGGGTATTGTCACCCCGAGACAAGGACCATCGCACTCTACGGTAGATACTTCCCGGGATTCTTCGGGTTTTCCGAAATTCGGACATGTCGGATCAATAGGTACGCCATGTTATTATTTATAAAAAATGAAATATTTGCTTTCAGCGAATGCGAGCCAGACGAAGTTTGCATATATTATCTAGGAGAAGGTCAATGCGCAGCGTTCCCGAACCCGAATTTCCTGGTAACAGATTAGTATTAAAGTACAATCAATAATCGATAAAATTCAGGAAGATGAGAATGACGAAGAAGAAGAAGAAGAAGAAGGTTGGGCCGAAAGAGCAGTGGATTTGTACCGACAAACGGCGTACGGGATAGCCATTGTCTGGGTATGCTTCCGCATATATCGATTCTTTGAAGTCCGCTATTTCCGCCTACGATCAAAGAATAGCGTTGGAGGATGCGTATGAAGAGATGATGATGAGACGAATGGAGGAGCGACACGAAGAGATCCTGGAGAATTGGCGTCGGGAGAAGTACGGCACGCGGCACACGAAGCAAACCTGCGAATGCGTTACATCGACCGAAACGCCGTCCTCCCTTTATTCGTCGGAACTGAGCGAGGCTGAAAAGAGAAAGAAGTGGACGAAGACTTTCCGAAGAGGAAGAGGAAGACGGGTGATGAAGCAAAAGAAAAGAATGCACCAAAGGAGAAGAAACAAGAAGCGTGCAAGAATGGAAAAATCAAATGAAGAGCATATGAGGCGAAGCACACGAGTCTTCTTGAAGGCTTTTGTATACGGCGCCCCGTTATTCCTCATTATGGTTATTGGATTTTTCTTCGTTCCCAACGTTGTTTCCAATGCAATCACTGCCGAAATATATGAATTGATGAAGGAAGTCAAAGAAATTGGTCAAGATGCAATTTCAGGCGTTTCAAACGATAAAAACGAGGTAAACTTCTAGAAAATTTCAATAAAACACGAATAAATTAACGAATAGTGGAAAAATTTCAAAATTTTGTTAGTGTGCATGGGCAGTCGGTGTTTACGGACTTTGTGTACCGTACCTTAAAATTATAAATTACACCAGTTTTGAATATTCAATTTATAATTGTATTTTTTGTTTTGCAGCTCCTCAAATTGCTGGTCAATGGGAAAGTGACCATCGCGGATTACGTCTCACACGAAGAAGCCATGGTCATCATTCCAACACTTGTGATGACAGCCCTGTTTTTGCTCGGTATTGTTTATTATTTGACCCGTCCTTTCACCTAAATTATGTGATATTTCACTCTCCTGTCTTTGTATTTTTTAATGTTCTATTTCTATGGCGGTATGAAAGTTCTTTATTTTCCTTGTTTTAAATTCTTCTTTTGAAAAAAGAATAGTGTTTATTCCCGGATTGTATTTTTCTATAGTATCATGTTTTCTAAAATTAATGTTTTTTGTATCATTTTCGCTTTAATATTTTTTTGAATTGTCGTTTTCTGTAACTTTTTATTCTATTTTAACATTTCATTCGAAGTTTTACTTATGTTAATGTTTTTTTAACATTTTTTTTGTTCGTTAGTTTTATTAACTACGTAAAATAAATATTTTATAGTAATACTTCTTTTGAATAGGCAATGGTCTCAGCATGCGAATCTGTCGATGAGTCAATATACTGTCGACCGACTTCTGTTGAGAAACTGTATTGAATAAATTGATTAGATGTTCTTGATTTTTTATTTAATAAATTGCTGAACTGTTGGTTAATATGACCGAACTTTCTTTTTTTTTTCTCGCGGCCACGCCTGTTGCAACGACATTTCGAAATTTACATTATGCTCTCGATATATCGTAATTCGTGGTTCTCTGTTTCACGTATCTTTTTGAATTCCTCGCTGATATTCTATATTTTCAGGATGTTGGGTAGATCCATTTCGGCAGTATGCCAGATTCAGGTGCGAGCTGTCTCTTCAAAGTATACAAAACCCACACCAAGACATTATAAGTTCGTATTTATAATTTATTTATATTATAACATTACGTTCACAGGAGGCGTCTTTTCGAAGCTGCTCTTCAGCCAGAAATTCCAAAAACCACCAAAGTTTGTACTCCACCGGGGATGATTAAAAGAGAGAAAATTGAGAAAGCGAAAGAAGTTTTACTGAGAAACTTTGGTTCTTCATTAATCGAGTTATTTCTTTTTAGTATTCCGACGTTGAGATTGCTTTATCGAATCTTGTGCGTAGTTACATTAAAAAAGAAGAATTCCGAGTGATGGCTGTCTGCCAATTTTTGCCAGTTCCGGGTAGAACACTCTGGTTCGCTAAAAATCAGTAAGTACTCAATGATTTAATAAACTCAATTCGTAAATTTTAGACTTCGTTTGAAAGGCGTCGAATTTCGAAACTACGGAAACAAAATCGTGAAGAAGGTTTTCGAGAACACTCCGATGACTTCTTTGAATGTCGTCCTCGTGGGATCGAATGCTTTGCTGTTCTCGAAAGATCTTAACGGAATCAAAACCATCACACAGGAATGCGAAAAATTGAACTGGCTTCAGCCTCTGGGTTAGTGACGTCAAGTCAGTCTAGTTAATAATTTTAAAATTGATATTTATACAGTATTTATGGCTGACAATCGAATAATTGATGTGAAAGAAGCTCAAACTTTAGCGAAGCTCGCTTCAATGGATGATCTTCGCGCTCAAACTGTTCAAATTCTCGGCCAACAACTGGGGCAAATCACGATGTCTCTGGATTCGGCAACTCGTCATCTACCGAATCTTCTCGATGCTTATACATCAAGAAAAGATCAATAATGTATAGAATTCAAGTTAGGTTAGAATTGGATTTCGTTGTTTTTGTTTTTGTTTCGTTTATTAAACTATTTCGACTATTTAACATGATGAAGAAAAATACCCGACAGGGAAGGAAAGAGTACACATCAAAAAAATGGCAACAAGAATGAGACAACAAATAACGATAAAATTGAAAAATCCTAGCCTAATGAGGTATGAACCTCGTGAACAACACAAAAATCAGGATTGCTTCGTCATTCCAACAAATCGTTTGACATTTTCATAAGTGATGAATGTCACAATTGCGGCTGGAAGTTGTCGAATATTGGCGATGATGCATCCTTTCCAAAGTCCGGCGATTCCCTCGTTATGAATGGTCCGCATAGTGGTATTCCAAATTCCGCGATTCATCGCATTGTGATCCTGCATTCGAGTCCGAAGCACTTGATATGGGAAGGTCATCGTCGTGGCGAGAATTTTTGAAGATGCCGAGAAAAACAAATAATCGGTATGGTTCTAAAACTAATCAATATCACATATATGAATACATATTGGCTTACAAGGAATGAGTCTTTTGGTATTCCTCGCATTTCGCACCGTTTATCTTTCATCCAATTATAAATGGCAAATTGAATGGCGCCATGAGTGGTGCCAATGATACCAGGAACGAATCCCTTCAATTAAATCATAGTTTAATTAACTAATTAAATCAATTGCAAATCATTACCCTATATAATCCGTTGAATCCGTCTTGTTTAACAGTCTGTTTCATGCAATCGATCATCCCATCAAACTGTTTGGCCTTTCGATTTTCATACTGCAGACAAAGCCGAGTCTTTGTGAGCCAAATGGGATTTGTAATGCACATTACAGCGGATCCTGATAGGAATCCGCAAATCAAGTTGTCGACATTCTCATTTCCAGAAGGCGTATACTTTTGAATCGTTTCCTTTATAACATAATACCACTGGAAATAAAGACCCCAAGAAAGCGAAGCTCCTATTAAACTCGGAGTTAATCCCTGATATAGTCCTCGAATTCCTTCAGCACGGACAATCTTTAGAAAAAAAATAGATGATTTTTTGAATAATTCAATTAATTATATGTATTTTAAATTTCTTACTTTTCGAACAGCATCTGCGTAGCCATTATATTGAGGTCTTAACGGATTACCCTCGTTTGCTGAAATTTCGAACGCGAAAATGCGGAACGTTCAAGAATTTCTTACCGGAGAATCGAATTTTGAGTAGATCAAAAGGATGGCATACCAAAGTGCTCGCGATTCCACCGGTAAATCCGCCGATGAGATTCTCATATGCCGACAAATCCGGCACTTTCATACCGCCATTGTGATGCAAAAAATTCGCAACGGCGCGCGCCTCCCAAATATTCGTCTAGCCGTCTGCGCACTCTCACGTACACATTGTCTATCAAACATTCTACATTAATATTTATTCAAATTAATTTCGATAAGATAATATTGATTCGACGCCACATTATAACTGATTCTCTTAATAATAATAATAATATTCCAAACTATTGAACTTTTCGATTAAATTGGAGTCTGAAGGCCGGTTTGAACTTCGGCCACAATGCGATCCTCGTCCTCGTCGAACGTGAATCCAGGCCCTACAAATCAAGTTTCTTTTTTCGTCTCATTGTAGGATTGTTACCAATGGATCCTGGAGATTGCGAACTCAACCGATTCGGGCGTTGACTATGCGAAATAGTTTGCCTAAAATGATATGATTTCAAATCAGGATCTTTCGAATGATCATCGTACATCAAAGTGCGATCGCGGTACAAATCCTGACTCATTTTGCGATGATTGGCCATATTCAAGTGTCGAACAATCTTTGGATTGTAGCATTTTGGATCAGAAACCATCCGGACCAAGAACGATCTGTTAATTACGATTGTGAAATGCAATACTACCGGCTACTACCAATTCATTCAACAAAAAATACGACACAATATCAATTCTACAGTGAAATAAGGGGTGAGGAAGGAAGACGCATGCAAATTAAGGCAATATATACAGGTTATCAATAATTACATAATATTACAACACCATAATAGGGGAAGTGCAGTCAGGATTTGGGATGTTCACATTATCACGTATCACCAATTGTTGTGGCGTATACCTTTTCTTCGCGAGACTATCGTGCTGCTTCTGCGCGAGAATCTCTTCTTTTGAGAGTTGACGTTCGATATTTCTCGAATTGGCAGATTCTTCGTGGAATGAAGACTAAATCAGAATTTTAACAAATTTTCTAAAACCAAACAAAATTTACTCCTCTCATTGGATGAATTGGAAGAGCATCAACGGCAGGCTCGTTAATATTAAGGTCCTCCACAAGTTCTTCCAGAGCAAATGCTTCCTCGTCGACCTCTTCGATTGCGGATTTCGCCTTCTCATCTAAAAAAAATATTTATTTTCGGAAATTCAGAATTCTAGGAAGACTCACGAAGCACGTGTTGTGCGGCTTGTGAAATGATCTCATAAGCTGTCTCAATATCCTTGTCACTCGCATTTTCCGCACAAACGCAAAATCGGATAACGAATCTATCGCTCAACGAAGCTGGTACCATATGAATTCGTCCAGAAGCATTCAATCGAGTGAGAAGGGTCTGATTGATCTCATCATCTCCCTGAAGGGTTTTAAAATTTAAAAAATGTACTATTCTATACAATATATGTTACCTTCATTCTGAAGCACACCAACCCCATAATCACTTCGTTCACAATTTCAAATTTCGGATCCGCGCGAAGATGAGCTTCCATTCGTTTTGCGAGTCGAACATGCTCACGAATATACTTTTGAAGGCCTTCAACGCCATACATTCGAATAACGAACCATAATTTCAGTGAACGGAATCTTCTACTCAACGGAATGCCCCAATGACGATAATCAATCGATTTATCTGGAAATTTATCCCGAGTTTTCTTTGAATTTGTTGATTATTTACCCATCCAGCTGTGCTGCAAGTAAAGCGGATCAACTACAAGCGCTTGTGTTAGTTTAAAACGATCGCGTACCCTACAAGATAAGTTATTTTGATCGAAATTGCGCTTCGTCTTACCACATGGTGCTGCAATCAAAGTTGATGAGGAGCCACTTGTTCGGATTTGTGTTGAACGACATTGCATATTCGATTCCATTCAATAAATAACGAAACTCCGGGCAGATCATCGCCGATCCAGAATAAGCTGCATCAACGTGAAGCCAAAGCCTGCGATAAAACGAAACGTTTGAATTTGGTGCTTCATAAACCATCAGTCTAACTATTAGAAATTGCTATCCCCTAGTTGAAATTTGAAACATGGCTTACTCATTTTCTTCACAAATCGGTCCAATTTCCGACAGAACGTCAAATGAGCAGCACGAAGTGGTACCCAATGTAGTCGACACAAAGAATGGAATCAAGCCAAGATTGCGGTCCTCTTGAATCGCGTTCCTCAGAGTTTCACCTCTGAGTCTGAACTTCGAGTCAGTCTCCAGGATACGCAGTTTCACCATTCCAATCATGCATGCCTTTTCGACAGATGAATGAGCTTCTTTCGAGCAATACGCGATAAGCTTTGACAGCAGAAGACCTTCCTCGACGAATGGGAATCGCTGGCGCAACTCCTTCATTACTTCAAATCTTGCGGCAAGAAGAGACACGAAATTGCATTCCGAAGCCGATGATTGAATAACTCCGCCACCCTTTCCGCCTTCCGTCAACGGTAGAAACTCCTTGGGCAATCCGATCATTTTTCCAAACCAATCCAGCATAATCAGTTCGAGTTCAGTCATCGCAGGACACGCAGCCCAACTGAAGCCGACACATCCGATAGCGTCACTGAGCATATCAGCGATAATTGACGGAAACGAGTTTCCAGCCGGGAAATATGCATGGAATCGTGGATGTTGCCAATGCGTAATTCCGGGCATGATGAGCTTCTCGAAATCCTCCATTACACTGGCGAATGATTCCGGACGAGTTGGGGCTTCGCCGGGGATTAGATCCTGCAAGATAAAGATGTTATAAAGCATCTAAAGAAGGCGTATACCTTTAGATATCCTGGCTCAATTGCTGGGACCACTCGACGTTTTTGAATGGTCTCAAGATAGTCGACTATATAGTCAACAGTTTCCTTACCGTATTGTCGGAATTCTGCGCGACTCATTCCTTAAAAAAGGTTTAATAATGGACAAATCATTTTGGATACCTTCTAATGATTCTGGCCTAGGTGCCTGTGGATCCTCAATAGTTGGTGTCACGACCATATTCGGCGGCGAAGGAATCGTTGTGGAGGTAGTCGAACTCTCCTCGGTTTGTGGCAGCTCACTCATCGTCTGTGCTCCTACAAAAGTCGCGTGATATTCAATTTACACTTAAGTGTTGAAGATAGAAAGAAATATATACTCGACGGTGACAGTGAGGTACGAATGCGAGACGTTTTCTCCTGGCAATACGTATTTATATTCTTGAGCGCGTCGGCAAGCCCATAAACCATTTAGGCCGGAAATCGCACGATGAATGGGAACCGTAACGTTATTGAGCTGAAATCGCAATAAAAATGAATTTGATGGAAATGGAAAATATAAAATTTTGATGTGAGAATCCAAAATCCAATTCGATTATTATTGACGGCGAATGAAAAACGAGCGCTTCGAGACTACGGTAGATGTCATCATGGAACGAAATGATGCATTTGACGCGTTTTTCCAGGCGCCCTCCCCTCATGCCGCTCTTGACGCCTAATGGATTCCGGCACTTCAGAAGGCAGTTTGGTAAAAATAAATCGCTTTTGATGATATATTGCCTACTTCTCAAGTTCGACGCGCACTTGAGAAAACGATCAGGGCATAATCGCAAATCAACAAAACACGCAGAAATTTTATACCTAGAAAGAGAAAAAGTCAGCGATGACGGGGAAAACGCTTGATCGAACAAAGTTGAAAACTACAAATCGAAAAAAAAAACCAATTTCTGAGCCATTTTTCTGGAAACATTAATTTAAATGTCAACAGCAGATATTCAGAAATATTTCACAAACTTTCTCAATAGTTAATGCGAGGGATAAAATAAAATTCGCAGCGAAAATGCACGAAAAACGGTACGAAAAACAGATTGAACTACAGTATCACAATCATGTCAAAAGCCTATCAATAATATTTATCCGTGCACCTTTAAACTAATTGTATTTTTTCAGACATTTTCGCAATAATTTTCAAGCTTCCCAGTTTTCTCAAAGCTGCAAAGTTATGGAAACATCCCACCATATTAAATATAAATAATTGACACGTTTGTGTTTGAATAAAAGGCCCCCGCAACATTGTTCGTTGCAATTTCCATTGTTTAGGCCAATGCGAGCAAATATTTTTCTTGTTTTTTGGTTTGTTCTTTAACATTTTTTTGTAAAGCCTAATAATGAGAAAAAATGTATTCATTAACAAGAAATAATGTTGAGCTCGAAAATTTGAGTTTTTAAAAATTGATGCATTTTTCAGATGATTTATCAAATGAAAAAATTCGCACCATTAAAAATCGCACTGCGTATTTAGCTTTTTGCTATTTTCGCAACAAGAAAAACCAAAACTGTAATTAACCTATAATCGACGTCCGGCTTCTACTACACGCCGAAAAGATTTGTGCATCTGCATTCGATTTTAATTCTACTTATTAAAGTCGCGTGACTGTGCATGGCTCGGTCTACCGTAGGGATGGGTCTCGCAGAGCGCCCATAATTATTAAATGATGCGCTGCTGTTCGCTTGCGCTTCTGTTTACTTATACTATATTATTTTTTCAATAGACGATGATGATGCTCAATATCTTTGAGTGAACAGAAACCAATTTCTGTTGTAATTGGCATCTTCGAATTCGTAGGATCTTGAACTATAGAAAAGTAGCGTGGTGCAAATTGAAAAAAAAAAACATCATATAGTGAAAAATAAATAAATATTAACTAGATTTTACTAAAAATTCTGGATTTTTTTTGAGAAACCCACTATACAGTCTTATATGATGAGAAAATTTATTTTTTGAATTCTTGGTTCGAACCCGGAATGTGCCGAAATTGAAATTTTGGGCAATTTCGACGATCCGCATATTGCCGAAAAAATAGGCTTAGCCTTAAATTGTCCGTGTAGATTTCACCGAAGCAACTCCTTGCATCGTGCTCACTTATTTTTGGTAATTTGTTTCGAATCGACTATGGAAAGGCTCCGAAATTGATCGATTTTGGTTTGAAATTCGTCGTATTTGAATCAGAAAGGATCGAATTCGTTTCGAATTTCAAAATCAAAGAATTGGACGATTTTCGAAGCGAAAAAGAGAGCATTCGAATGGAACTAAAAAAAAACAATCGAATACGATAATTTCACTATCGAAATTCGCCGTTTTTCGAACGTAATCCGGTCAATTTCAGAGCCGAAATTTGCTGAATTCGATTCGAGATTCATATGCCACAACTCTCGCTTTTTTCGATACCACTGGGTATTATTTTTTATCGTAAAATCACGACGTGACCCGCGCAACTTTTCGTGTGTACCTTTAAAATAAAATGTCGCATCGAGTTTTCGCGTTTTTTTTTTCAACATGTATGTCTGCATTGCAAATTTTAATTTTCAATTATTTCTCATATTTTTTATAAAAGCAAAATTGTCAGCAAATTTGAAGAGTGTTAATGACCAATTTTCGTTCTCCCTCATAGAATTGTTTAAAGGCGCTCCGCTGAATCGCCGATTTTTCTCTCGTCCAAATTAGCTTCGCCGAGAATTTATTATTGCAAAAAGCATTAATAAACCTTGTTTTCAGATATTACCCATCGGTTTTTCTATCCAATTTAATTGATTTTCTTCTTCATGTGTCATGTCATCGTGACTTCCTTCTGATGGCAAATTGAATGTGTTCTTCTTGTGTTTTTTCCCCTCATTTCCCTTATTTTTGTTTTACATGAAACTTTTTTTCATTTTTCTCCTATTTTTTGTGTTTTTTTTCGACCCCATTTTCGTTCGCTCGTGCACACGGTTGAGTTGTTTCGACCGGCCGGAAACGACGATTACGCAAAATTGCACATTTCTAATGTATATGTCTACACATTCACGTTCATGTCAAAGATCCCAACGGAATAATAGCTTCTTCTTCTTCTTCTTTTTTCATTTCGCTTTTACGCGTTTTTCCCCGGGGGTAATGACACTTCTCCTGCGCGTCCCGACGCAAATGACGAAAATTCATTAATTCAATAGTTTTGAGTTTGTTTTGGCGACGAGCGATTTAATTGCAATGATATTTGCAGCCACTTTCCAATTACTTCCTCCCCTTTCCGTGTTTCGTCGTTTTCCAAGAAATTATTATTATTTTCAATACCGTACTACCGAAACCCGGAGAGACGTCCGCAGTAGTATGAAAGTTGCTCAACGCAAAACTATTTTCAAAGAAAATTGAGCGATTCGATCAGTGGAATAAAACGCAGAACGTTTTGGGAAAAAACCGGAGAAAAAATTCATATTGCCCGCCGACACGCTAATTTGAGGGCGATGTGTAAATGGAGTGTCGTACTGGTTGCATCAAATCGTTTTGCGACAAACCGCAGAAGTTTTTGGGAACCCCCGTGCTGCCATCGTGTTTATACGAAAACCAAACCGCGGATTGTCGTGAGTGAATAGTAAAAATTACTTTTCGAAGAAAGAAGAAACCAATTGTTTCGAAGAACAATGCGTCAGGGGAAATTACAAAAAAAGAACGCGAAAAAAACTCATTGCTCATAAAAAAAATGGTTGTAAGCTTTTTGAAAAGTTTGTCACGAATTTCTCAAACAACGAATACAAAAATTGTTTTCGCAGACAATCTTTAATTTTGTCGTTGATTTCTTTCAAAAATGCAGAAAACTAAAAAATTCAGAATCTTCAAAAATTTTTCTTGGTTTTTTTGTCTTTTAATGATGGGTTTTATTTTTCAAAAAGAAAAACCTCATAAAACTTAACGGGCTAAAAAAGATTCTCGAAAGACAAAAACGTTATGAGTCGAGATTTTTTCTTTTCTATCTGTCAAGATTAGGGCGTTTTGCCATCGAAAAGCCCTAATTGGATGTGTGCGAGTGTGAATCATCAGCACAGATTACTCGAAACTTCTATTCTTTTCCACTTTCCGCTCGCCTGACTGCTCTTTTTTGCCCTCATTTTTCAGCGTCAAGTCGGACGTGATTCTCTCACCTGCGCGCAACTTGCCGGATTCAAAATTTGTTCGGTGTAGAGAAAAAAAAGAAAAACTCATTAATCGAAATTGTCTGAGTAAGCCGAATTTCCGGCAGCAGCTGATTGCAATTGCACGCACCCTCGTTTCGACGGCTGTTACGTATTGAGCTTCACCTTTTCGAGATGTTTGGTGTCGCGTCCGAAATCCAATCAAGACTCTTGACGATATTGCAATTTCAAAGTTCAATTTCAAAGTTTGCAAAAATTGCGTGAGGAAAAGAAGTGGGTCCTTGAGGGTCACTGATGGTCCGTGGGTGGACGATGAAAGCAGCCCCAACCTTGTCTGCGGACATTCTTCAAGTCCGACGCCATCCATAAATTGTCCGCAGCTAAGCATTCATAATAAGTGACAAGTCGTGTTTGGAGTTGACAATAAATTGTATCTCAATTTCCGAGAAAACCATTGACCTCCCATAAATCCTATTTTCATACATTTTCAATGTGTATTTCCAATTTTTACGGACCACTTAGTCCAGGCAGTCAAGATTTTGTTGTTCTGCTCAAAACTACGGTGTATTTTCAGCAAAAAAAGCGCACCCACGCTTTCAAATAATGAATGTCTTCTCAGAAAATGCTGATAATTCAGCGTTCAAATTGACTAGAATATATTGGAACTGTAAGCCTTCAATTGTCCGTAGAATGAATTTTCAAAATTGCCTTTTGCTTTTTTCAATCACGAGCTTCATTATTGTGAAGCTCGAGCAGGTTTTCGCACAAATCAAAAGTGAATTCTATTTTAAGGTCAGGTGATGCTTCTATTTGCGACATTGGTGGTACATGTGCAATTAACATGAGCACATTCATTACGTATGTCAATTTATTCGACAAAACACACGGAAGAAGAAAATGTGAGCGGAGAGTGCAAATTCGACGCATGAATATTTAATCGCACCTGATTTCTCGTTTTTTTTTTGACACGTGCTTTAAGAAGAAGACACACACGAAATTGGCCAAATATTTTCAATTAATCGACGTGTGACTCCTTCGCTTCTGATGTCATTCATTTGTTGCAAAAATTCGAAGGGAATGATTGCAAATTGTGCAATGTCTCTCCTTATTTGGACATCAGCACACACGTGAAGAACACGATTTGATCTATGCAATTTCTAGAATTCTGTTCAAAATGGAGTCATGTGGGTAGCTTTAAATGCATGCGCCTTTAAACATGGTCTCACCACGGCTTAGCGCAAGCGACGAATTGAATCGAGTGGATAATTACAAAAAATGAAGAATAATTATCGTTCAACCAGTAGATCATAATTAAAGGCGCATACTTGATCATTAAGAGTGTTGGCGCGATGAGATCAGTCAGTTGTAGCCAACTCGATTCCAATCCGAGCTCAGCTTTTTCGATTCCTCGTCCCATGTTCACAGACATCACTTTTTTCTAGTATGTACGCAATTTTCTTTTGTTTCTCCCCCCAAATATCCCAATGCGATAAATAATTCAACGGACCCCTGAGGCAGAAGCTGAATGAGTCAAAACTATGTGATGATGGATCTCTTAACTTGGTCTTCGACAAAAACACGTGCACGTTCGATTTCGAGGCGAAATTTCGATGGTTCCCAATGATTCCAACAAAGCCTAATAAGGTGTTGAGGATTGTTGAAATCTTTCGCCAACACACAATCTTCAAATTTTGTGCAATATCACAATATTGTTTCGTTTCCTTTTTTGTTCATATTTCTCAAAATAGAAAAAAAAAACAATATTGTCGAATCCAATCAATTTCCTTCTTATTTCTTTTTTTTCGGTTTTGTTTTGTCGCATCACAAAAATTTGGTTCGGTTGAGCTGAATTTTTCCCTGAGAATTCTCGCGAATTGCTAGGTGTTCGAAAATTTTTTCTTATTCGCCTTATTTTTTACTTCCTCTTTACCCTTCAGATGACAATGTGTCGCATTTCAGCGAATAATTTATTGAGAAAAAAAAAATAATTGTCTACATCTTAACAAGAGGACAATCGATGGATTTTCGAACGAAAAACAAATGTAACCAAAATCAATTTTTTCCTTCGCCGATTTTCTGAGAATTTTCGGGTTCTCCCACTCAAATAATTAAGAAGACCAAATTAGGCGTGATTCGAAGAAAATTACAAAATTGTTTTCAATAACTACTAGCAACACACACTAAAGACAACAGCGAAAACGACCTGCGGACATTTGAATGAAAAATTTCAGAAGATTTTTGTTCTTTGTAAATTTTCAATGAACATTTTAGGGTTTGAGAGAGGTCCCAATATTATTGGAGTCCCGATTTGTGCCATTTCACCAGCCTTTGAGAAGCCCACACAATTCAAAAATGTGATTCGTAGACGATTTTCGGCTCACACTGATCGCATTTGAGAGCTGGTCTCGAATGGTCCCAAGCCATTTGTATTACAAACACAAAACATCTATTCCAAAGAAAATGATATTTTCTATTTGTTCTCGAGCCCGATAGAATTTATCATTTCAATCTGCGGACATTGTTGCAGTCCATCAAAACGACTTATTTCCAATTCCGACGGGACCACCAAAGCAATTGCGATTCGATCATAAAACAATGCGCCTTTAAATAATTGAAACAATTGCTGTTTGACCTTTCCCGAAAACGTCGGCCAACAGCAGTCGGTGAATGGGCGGAGCCACCGCAAGCGCCGCCCATTCGCTTGACGAGCGACGACGCCGAATAAATAGTAATGAAGATGATGGTTATCACGCGTTTTTCCTTATTTGGTGTTTGTATTTTTGGACTCGACTCCAAAAAACAAATATTTCGTCTTCCGTTTCTCATTAATTTGCTCATAATACGCTTTCAGCTTTTTGCCTCAATGCGCCCATTTAATTGAATTTCGCGGCGAATTAAAAGAAAACAAAAAAGGGTTGAGAAGAAGCTGAATTTCAGGACGACACACGCATTAATTGTTTCGTTGGATTGCTTGCTCATTTTCGTTTTTTTTTCTGTCCATCCGGTTTCGCGCTCGCCCCCCACACAACGAGTTTCCGGAAATGATGATGTTGTTTTTTAAACGGAGAGAAACAAACTCCCAAAAAAATGACAAAAACCGCCCTCGTTCCGGATTGCCAAATATAGAAAAGAAAGCAACACGCCTATTTTCGATTCTATTATTCCGGAAAAAATGAGAATTTGCGTGGTCAGACAATATCTGATGCCTCAAATTCTGATTTTTTGAGCTCTTCAAATATAAAAGCACACTCTTGATGCCGTATCATGTTATCGTTGAACCATCCGCGGACAATAAACGGCATTGCGAAAAACTATTTTTTTTAATTCTTAAAAAAGAAACGAGCCGAATATTTGCTCTATCATATTTGCCTTTTTATTGTTTTTCCTTTCACTGCACAAAAAAAGGTCATGGATTACGGTAATCAAATAAATGACGTAAAATTGCTCATAAATTAGCCTACTTTTATGATGTTTAATTGCAAAAGAAAATTAATCAAAAAAAATTGGCAATAAAATCGAGAAAGGAATGGGGTGTGCGTGATTTCTGCGATTTTTTTTCAAGCTCTCCTCAAAAGTTGTTTTTGATTTGATTTATGTCAAATATCGACAATAATCGCTATTTCTATGAATTTCCGTTTCAAGAATGATTTGATTTATCCCAATTGTAGTTTGTTTTCAATCATCCGATATTAGTTAAACTTTTCCATCTGCGATATTGCTATTTCTGCATTTGTAAGCCTCCACTGGATGAGTCTTCAAAATCTTAATTTCTTATAATTTTGTGTACCATCATCATCACTCTTAATCGAATTTGGCATCATTCGCACAACAGCATTCATTCACAGGTAAAACGGCACATACGAAAAACGGGCCGTTTGCAGACCGGCGTCACACCGGAGAGGAACAATGAGTAGATATTTGCGCGGTCGATTTATGGTCTATTTTCTGTCTTTTTTTCAAGAAAAATAGATGAATAGTTGCTCAGAAATATATAGGATTTAAAATTCCTTCACGCCGTTTGTGTATACTTTCAGTTATTTTCATCAATTTTATTATTAAAGAAAATTCATAATTAAATTAATCCGTCGTCCGATCTCAATTCATCGTTGTTCTCTGTGTATTCCTCATAATCCTCAGGAACAGCATACATTTCTTTTTTTTAACAAATGGTTTCGTTTCACAGCCGGTGGGAGCTTCTTAACCTCTCGAACTGCGACATTAAAAATCCACATCAAATCATCTTGGGTTGTTCTCATTCCATTCAAATTTGTGCGCAGAAATTCATAAAAATTTAAACGCTTCTTAGATTTCATCATATTTCCGAGGTTTTTCTGAATTTACTATTTCAACATTTTAATACTTTTTCAAGATTTACCACACAATAGGCTTCGGTATACAATTGATTTGCTTTAGGGTTTATGCATGCTTTTCTCATGAGGTTCGGCACGTTCCAAGTATTTTGATATGAACAGAATGCCTAAAAAGTTAGCATAAATAACAAGTCAATATTTTGTGACAACAAACCCTATGATCAGCATCAGCATACATATATCATTCGTCAATCGCAACTCTATCATCAATCTGAGAATCCTGAAAAGTGGAGATAGACAATTATGTATCAAACAAAATAACTTCCCTCTTTTGAACTTTCAGCTACCATCGCAGCATTGATTTCATTTCTCATTCGGGGTTTCTCAACGCTTTTTTGGAAAATTTGCTAAATTTTTAAAAGTAATTTATTCCGATAACTATAAAACTACCTTTTCTGCCAACAACATTTCGGTGGTAACATCGTTAATTATCTGGAAAAGCGTTGTATTGCTTGTTTTTTGTTATAAAATAGGCAAACCGCTTTTCTTTTTCTCTTTTCCATTTCAATAGCAACTTTCTTTACTGAAAACGCTGAAACGTTAGATATAACTGAGACTTATATCATCATCATATATATGTATATATATATAATAACAGAATTTCACTTATAAGATTTAAAAAATATAAAAAAATTTTAGGATGAATGCAAAAATTCCGAAATCGTGAGATAAAGTGCATTGTATGCATGCACTACATATGACGCAAACATGCACAATTCCATCTATCGGCCATCTATATTCCGTCTAGTTTTTTCACACACGGATTATAGACAATAAATTGTCTATAAACAGTCAATTTTTGATGATTATCTATTTTTCGTCTATTTTTCGTATGTGCCGTTTTACCTGTGTTGTCATTTCTCGTTCGCCAAAACTCCGCCTAAATCAAATTGGTCGACATATTCACATTTTTTTTTCACATGCTCAGGTAATACACAAGCAAATCGTCCCAGTTTTCGCCGAATCCCCGCCGTCAAAGAAAAATGAGAAGCCAATTGTCGTTCGCTGCAATCATCGCATTTCTGTGCGCCATGCTCGTCGTATCAAATGCGTTAGTTCTTTTTTTCCTTTTTTCGTGCATTTCAGCACCTATTGATCATCTTTGGGAATCTGCTAACGCTTTTTAAGCTACTATTAAATATTGTATTCTGCGGACAATTTACGGGTTTAAATTTCCAAAACGTCCGAAGCAGCCAATTTTAATATTTAAGAACTTGATAATAACATCGATGGATTATTGCAGATACTACATTAATCCCGATTACTTCTACGGCGAGCAAATCCCGATGAAAATGTCCGGTCAATTGCGGGCTCTCGCTGGTTCGCGCAATTGGTACAGTGAATAAATACAGTATTCCAAATTAATCGCGACCACTTTCAGCTTCTTCTCACCAGTTAACTGCATTATCACACACGACCTCAACTCGTATCGTAAGCTCACGCGCGGATCAAGTCACAACTAAAAGAAAACAACGACCACCTCGAAATAAGGAATTACAAATCGAATTTGTACAGGGTGTCATTTAAGTTCCCGCACAACTTTGAAGACGTATATTTCTGAAACTAAAAGTCCAAATCAAACGAGACTCGAAATATTATTTATCTATAGTACAACAAATAATTATCTATTAACTCTTTTCGATTCGGCCTCTTTTCGCAGCTATGACTTCACGGAGACGCTTCGGGTAGGATGTGACTGTGGTACGCAGGTATTCGATGGAAAGATTGTCCCATTCCGCCAGTAATGTCTTCTTCAGAGCCTCTACACTTGAGTGGGGTTTTGCGTTGACCTTCTCCTGCAAGACCCCATCACGGAAAAGTCAAGCGGGTTCAGGTCTGGGGAGCAATCAGGCCATTCGGATGACTTGATGAAGTCGGGAAAATGGGTCTGGCACCACTCCTGAGTAGTTTTGGCAGTGGTGGCGGGTGCTCCGTCCTGTTGAAAGACCCATTTCTGCCCACCGAAATGCGTTTGGGTCCAGGGCATCACATGCTTCTCCAAAATGTCCCGAACGTAGACTTCTTTGTTCACTTTCACCCCCTGATCCGCGAAAACCAGGGGGCACTTCCCGGTTGAGCAGATGGCACCGAAAACCATCACACTGGCAGGATGTGAGGCTGGATGAATTGTTCTTCCTTTCTCTGAAGCTTGCTGGGATGTCTGGGCAAGTACTCAATGGTTTTGTGAGTTGAATGCCGCCTCCACAGTGAATAGCTTCTCGTCGGAGAAGACAGTGACGAGGTGTTCTCCAGACCGCGTGCGAGCAAGAAGTCGTTTTGCTTTTTCGAAGCGTCTCTGCTTGTTGACGGCCGATAGAATTGCCGCTTTTTGGACACGATATGGGGTCAGTCCAAGCTTCGTTTTGACGATTTGTTCCATAGCGAAGATGCTCATTCCCATGTCTAACGCCATCTTTCTCATGCTCCTGTGGGGGTTTCGCCTGATCCTCGATTTGACGGCGTTGATCTTCTGAGGAGTGGTTACTGAGACGAGTCTTCCTTGTCTGGGACGGTCACTGGTCGTATTTAGCTCCTTGAATCGTTTGTTGGTGTCTTAAACCGTTCTACGAGGCACACCGAGGCGTTGAATGATCTCTGTCGGGCGCTCATTTCGCTTATGAAGTTCGATAATGGAAGCGCGATGGATGTTAGCCTTCGCCATTTTTCGGAAACACATCCGAATGAGGTGAAACTTGGAAAGTAAGTAAAATACACCTTATTTAACAAAAATAAATTGTATTGGTGCACGAAAAGTGCGACAGCCAAGCTCTTCATGGCGTCAAACTTTTGTGCGGGAACTTAAATGACACCCTGTACATAGACTGTGCTTTTCCTAGCAGAAACCTTGATCGCTGTCTCCAAATAAATAAAAACCAACTTGTTTATGATTGGGATGCGCGGGGCAATACAATAGAAATTGAGGGCAGAAAACAATTAAAAAAAATCAAATTGTAACAAGAATGGAAAATGATGAAGCAAAGCACTTATTTTTTTGAAGATCACTCGAACCATTAAAAAAAGAAACGAATAAAAATAAGAAGCGATGAGAACAGTCAACATTAAAGTATAACAATGTTGTCAGCAATGCAGATTTTATAAAACACATTCCAATGTTGCTGGAACTTAGCGAACGGCCATGACCTGCAAAAATAAATATCGGAATTATTTAAAAGTAAATGAGAACGGTAAGATTTGGAAATTTAAGAGAATGTGAACCAATCGTACTAAATACCATATATTTAATTTCTCACGAATTCAAGTATTTTAGATTACCAAATCACGCAAATCAGATTACAGTTCACAACTTCACATATCCAAAATTCTAAAAAAACATTTTACTTTATCGCAATATTTACGATTTTAACAATTCCTCCAAATCTCCTATTTATAATCATAGAGCTACAAAAAATTTATTTTCGATGTCACGTAAAGCACGAAAATTGAAAAAAATTGCAGAATTTTCCCAAAAGATTTAGGTGACGTAACTCGAAAATATGGAAATGAAACCACGTTAAAAATATTCCGTTTTAACCGATCTTAGAGGGACGATTAGTGTTGTGCACCATTTTTCTCTAAATTGGCACACAAAAATCGTGTCGATTAGTTTTATCCGTTACATGTGCATAGGGCACACATAAGAACATCGACATCATTTAGAACACAATGAATGCGTCGTTCTTCACACAATAAATGCATACTTGGAATTTCTAATAATATATGAATGAGAATCCTAAGCCTTCAGCAAGATTAGAAAAAAAGAAACTCACAATATCATCGATTTTCAAAATGGATCGAACGCACTCGGCGGCTTGTTTGATTGCCGAAAGAGTGACCAACAATGGCTGGACAACGTTTTCTTCTCCCATATCCGTAACATATCCCTAAAAATGAAATTTTTCGATTCTTGAAGAACGCAACATGGTTAAGAAAAATTATGTTCATTATATTTTATTACATTAGCAAAAAACGAGCGGCCCGTGCCGATTTAGGGGAGTTTGATTTGCAGGGTATACATATTACGGTATTGCAACTGTTTAAATTCAAATTTGAATTACTGCCTCAAAAAATGCGAAAGTTCACAATTATGCAAGACGCTCGTTTTTTTTTTGCGATGATAATAGTCTAGAATTCGTACCTTCCTAACATTTACACCATACGAATTATGTCCGTTGGCGTGATGGTTGCGAAGTTCAGTAACAGTGTGAATTGGAGACAATCCGGCATTTTCAGCAAGAGTGTAAGGAATCTAATAAGAATAAAAATTTATAATTTATGCTTCTGTAATTCTCACAAGTTCCAAAGCGTCCGCAAATGCTCGCCAGCAATATTGAGTGGCTCCGTGCTGACTGAGCGCCAATTGCCTAAGTTTGACAGCAACTTCCATTTCTGGAGCTCCCCCACCTAAAATTACATAAGATAGATTCTTATTTTTTTCAAACAAACATAACAACAATATAATCTTTAGAATTCATGAGAAATAAATAAGCTATTTATCCGCCAAATACGAGAGTCAGAATCATAAAATATTGAATCATACCTGGGAGAAGTGCTCTCTTCTTGACAAGGCATCGAATAACGCAAAGAGCGTCATGAAGGGAACGGTCGGCCTCTTCAAGCACCAACTTGTTCGATCCTCTAAGAAGAATTGAAACAGCGTGGCCAGGATTTTGAACACCGGTGACCTAGAGTCCACAAAAATAATCCTTGCAAAACAAAATTAGGAAATACCTTGATAACTTTTCCATCTGCGCCAGTTTGAATCTCCTCGACAAGATCGGCAGATCCGAGAGCTTCAGCGGTGAAATGGTCAACCGATGCAATTGGACGGCAGCCAAGGATTTTCGAGTAGAATTCGATATCCTCACGCTCAATATCCTTGATGCACATGATCTTCATCTTGGCGAGGAAGTGAAGGGCAAGCTCGTTGACAGCATCTCTACAAGTTTTCGTAAATGAAAAGAAGGAAACGTTGTAAATTTACCTAAGAATACTCTTCTGGATAAGAAGAACATTGCAACCAGCTTTTTTGATTTGTTTGCAAAGATCCAAAAGGTAAGTCCTTTCTTCTTTCAAAGCACGGTCCATTTGAGCATAATCCGTGATAATGACTTGATTTTCCATCTACGAATTGTGATTTTGATAAAATTAAATATTTCAGTAAATACGTACGTCAGTTTTTGGAGGGCTCAATTGGAATTGAATTAAACCAATCTTTGCCTTCTCAACGCGAGTTGGTGCTCCACGACCCATCGTACGCTGATCGATAAGGGCTCCTTCGATGAGTTCGGACTCCTGAAACAAACGTTGAAGCTTGAATCATGTATATCTTATTGGTACCTCAACGGTGTCTCCCATTTTCTTGATAATCTTAATCATTTTCAAATTGACATTGGTTGCATTTTCAGTGTCAATGATCTTTTTGACAGCGTTCACAGCCATTGGAGCAAGAAGCCACGAGTGCTGAGAAACAACTTTTGAGTTAAGTGAAGTTGTCGCCATCTTCGTGAGAAGAGCATCGTCAGTGAGCTGAACTGGCTGGCTCATTCCTTCCAGAATCTTTTCAGCTTCAAGAGCTGCACTCTGGAATGATTCGGAGATCACAGTAGGATGGATTCCTTTTGAAAGAAGGTTTTGCGCGGCGTCCAAGAAAGCTCCAGCCATAACGACAACGGTTGTTGTTCCGTCTCCAGCTTCAATGTCTTGAGCCTTCGAAAGTTCAACAAGCTAAACGTTACAAAAATAGTTCAGATATTTAAAGTTATGGCGTACCATCTTTGCCGTAGGATGAATCACACTCATTTGATTGAGAATGGTTGCGCCATCATTGGTAATGGTGACATCGCCATTACCAGACTGGATCATTTTATCCATACCACGTGGACCCAAAGAAGTTCTCACGGCGTCGGCAACAGCTTTCGCAGCTACGATGTTACTGTTGCGCACACTTTCCGGTTTATCCTTATCCTTAAAATTGCGTTCGCGACCGGAAGCGGACTGTTTTGCGCCGGCAAGAGCTGGAGCGGCTGCTGGTGGGGCCATCTTTAAAAATAGATCAATATTATTCCAAGATAATAGCATTTACAAAACAAATGCACATAATACGAAAATTAACAGATTTAATAAATTAGTTTTAAATTTATGAGTTAAAACGAAAAAATAAAAATTCATCAGATTTTTGTTAAACTTTAAAACAAAAAAACCGACTGTTGACAATTTTAGAAAATTTAAAAAGATAACAATTTCGATACGAATAATGCCCGAATATTCTGAATGAAGAAACGCCATCGATTTCGAATCAAATTCCAAAATCTAAATTATTATAAATAGCACGCATTTCAAATTTTACAAATTATAAAAAAAAATGCTAAGTTTCAAAGAAATTCCATGAAGAAAATTAAAGATATTCCAGAGCTTGCTTAAATTTTTAATCTGAGCCAGAAAAATCTCCGACTACCGTAGTCGCAGCCAGAATTTACGTTTTCGCTGCGAAAGTCTGCGCGATATACGAGCTGTGCGCCTTTAATCAATCACTCTATTTTTCGAATTTTTCTTATTTTTTTCTGGGTTTTTAGTGTTTAACAAGCATTTTTAGCAAATTTGAGTAACTAAAATAATCTTCAAATTTTGTTGGGTCGAATAAATCAAAAATATTGTGAGATATTTAGAAATTTCGAACGTATAATGAGTTTATTATTTGAAAACAATTCATACCGTTCAAATGCACCCGTTTGAGAATATATTTGACCACAATCAGAAAATAAGATTTAAAAAATTTGTAACTGTAATATCTACATATTTTGTGTTATTTGTTTCGTATATAGTCGTTTTTTTTTATAAATTTTTAAATATATCTTTTTTATTTTGCTATAAAAAATTTGATAAAGTTGAAATCCTTATTTTCAGCATACAATACACGTCGCAAAATGGCAAAGTATTGCTTAAGTAAGTTTTTATCGATTTTATTTATTGAAGGTAAAGTTTTATTGTAGAAAAAACTAGCAAACGGGTCAGTTGTGCCAAACGGTACAAAATTGAAAAGAAAGTACGAGAGCACAACAAAAAAGTGAAGAGAAACGCAAAAAAGAATGGGACCACTAAAAAGAAGGAAAAACCTCTGCAAGTTCCGAACTCATGTCCATTTAAAGAAGAAGTCCTTCTTCAAGCGGAACAAGAGAGAGCAAAATTAAAAGCCCGACAAGAAGCAGCAAAGGTACGAATTCTAGACGTTCACACTATAATTGACAACTTTTTTAGGAAGCCTCACGAATACAAAGAGTTGAAAAGCGAAAAATGAATTTGCCTGCAAATTACGAATCGATCGTTGCAAAAGCAGCTCGTCAAGGAGACAGCTATGAAAAAAAGTCGGCAGAGGCGAGAAATGCTGAAAAATTCAACACTTTGGACGATAAAACTATCAAGGCATATGCCAGCGAAGTCAGAAAGACTATTGAAATCGCCGATGTCATTATTCAAGTTCTCGATGCTCGTGATCCATTGGGAAGCCGCAGTAAATCTGTTGAAGATCAAGTATTGAAGGGAGGAAAAAGGTTAATTCTATTGTTGAATAAGGTAGCTTTTCTTGAAACTTCATTAGATAATCTTTTAAACTTTTGATTAGATTGATTTGGTGCCTCGTGAAAATGTTCAGAAGTGGCTTGAATATTTACGCGGCTCTTTCCCAACAATCGCATTCAAGGCGAGCACACAAGAACAGAAATCAAACATCGGACGTTTCAACTCCGCGATTCTCAATAATACCGAGACGGCGAAGTGCGTGGGAGCCGATATGGTGATGAAGATTCTTGGAAATTATTGTCGTAATAAGGATATCAAAACGAGCATTCGTGTCGGTGTTGTCGGATTCCCGAATGTCGGAAAATCGAGTGTGATCAACAGTTTAAAGAGAAAGCGTGCATGCAATGTTGGAGCCATGCCTGGAATCACAAAGTATGCATATTATCAAAGTATTGTTAGTACATTGATAATTTAGGGAGCTTCAAGAAGTCGAATTGGACAAGAATATCAGATTGATCGATTCTCCTGGAGTTGTTCTGTTGAGTCAAAAGGATTTGGATCCTGTCGAAGTATAACAAAAATTTAATTTTCTATTTAATGTTTTATTTCTTCTTGTCAGGTGGCTTTGAAAAACGCCATCCGTGTAGATAATCTTCTTGATCCTGTTGCTCCAGTTCACGCGATTCTTCGTCGTTGCAGCAAAGAAACCGTAAGATGTTTCTTTTCAGAATTTTTTTTTCAAAATTTGCTTAAAGTTGATGATGCACTATAATCTGCCGGAATTCTCCTCTGTCGACCAGTTCTTGTCCATTTTGGCTCGTCGCATGGGAAAACTGAAGCGTGGAGCTCGACCAGATATGAACGCCGCCGCGAAGCGAGTTTTGAATGACTGGAATACGGGAAAGCTGAGATATTACACTCATCCACCAGAGAAAGGGTAGGAATTATAGAAAATTTCCTTAAAAATATAATTTTGGACTTTTCTTTTTGAATTTTGCTTCTGATACGCCATAATTTTTTTTAGATCTGTCAAGGACGAGCCACTTCCTGCTGAAATTGTACAACAGTTCAGCGCTGAGTTCGACATCGACACAATTGCCGCCGAGCAAAAAGAGCTGGTTGAAGGTTGGATAATAACTTTTGAATAGTAATAATTTTGTAAATTTGTCGTTTTAGGATTGCCGATGGAAAGTGATTTGTCGATTGCTCTACACAATTCAGATCATGATGAGGAGAATGAGGAAGATGAAGAAATGGAAGTCGATGGTACGTTATTTCTATTGATTATATTATTTCTAAAGATATTTCAGTTTGTTTGAAACTTTATTTTACAAATATTTTACAGAAAAGAAGCAAACCGTGGAAAGCGGCCGAAAGAAGAAGGTTTCTGTTCCTGAAGATAACACTGTCGAACTTCCGGATAGTCTCGAAATCGACGGAAATGTACAATTGAACAAATTGATCAAAAATGCAGTGAAGAAGCAGAAGAAGAAATCGAAGAAGACAGCTCAAAGAGCCGATAAATTGTCGGATGCGTTGTGTGATATGATGGGCGGAGACGCGATGGAAGAGTAAATCCCACTAAATCATCATTCTTCGTCTAGATAAGCCGCAAAAGTTTTTGTTGATTTTGTTGGTCCCTTATTGTTATTGTTTCGTCTGTTTTTTTTTCGTGTTCTCGTTGTTATAAATTCGCTGATTTGTTCGCATCGTTGGTGGGAGGATGGTGTCGCGCATAATTAGCGGTTTGCAGCCGCAGCGGCCGGGTGTACTGTAGCAGAAGACACCGCACATATTCTTGTTCGAATTGGAATCGTTTTAATTGGGCCTCGCCACTAGTATCGTTTCGATTCTCACGTCAATCACCCGTACCATTGGGTCTTGACACGAATTACACACACATGAATTGGCATCAATGCACCTTTAAAGTGGATCTCTTCTTCGGGCGAATTCAAAAAGACCTAATCTCAATTTATAAGCTAAATATTAATTCATTTTTCACGATCACGAGTTGAAATCTTGTCACGAATCAAAACCAATCTTTCGAAATCCCGCATAGTCCAAAATAGAATGAACTCCGAAATGAATTTTATCAAAAATGTTTAAAAAAAAACAGGAATTTCTAATGAATATGGCCGCGGACTAACTCTCAAATAAAGTGACGGCCACGGCCATCACTTTTCTCATTGAACGTTTCATGTGTGGTTTTCCTCGATTGAAGTAGCAAATTCTCGAAGAATCCCGACAAAAAGTTTTCTTTTTTGAATTTCAAAATCGATGGTTTCACATGTCGAACATGTGCACATAGAAACAATAGGAAACAATTGTTTTCGAATCGCTTTGTCCACTCTTGATTTCTGCGTCTCTTATGCGATTTTATGACTCGAGAATAACACATTATGCATTTACAAAACTTGTCCTGTGCTAATGGCAAAATTTTCAAAAACTTGCGCGCCGGCATAATTCCTTTGATGTAGAGAGTTGCGCAATTTGTGTCGAACACGCAATCCGAGACAAACGCTGAATAGGAATTCAGCGGATTACCGTATTTGAATCGAATGGGTTTTAAACGCGAAATCGCGTGAGCCAATTCTCAGAGTTTCCAACCAATTGCTGTATTTTTCTTTCGGTGGGCATTGCTTCGTTCAATTTTGTCCGCAGCATCGTTTCCTTATATCATGTGTGACTCAACACCAATCGGATCCGACAAAATTCGGTTCTGGAATCGGCCCGAAGATTGTAAGTTATTCGTGTCTGATGTGAGTTAGCAGAGGATTTTAAGGTTTCTTTTATTTCTCAAATAAAAACCTTCTTGTTGACAATTTCCAGCACCAAAAAAAAACTTGAATTTCGATCTTTGATCATTTTAGGTTTTTATGATTTAGTTTGCATGCTATGCATACAATTTCTCGGATAATATTCTATTCTTATCCAATATTTCAACGATTCCTAATTATATTGCTGTTGTCTCGGTTTAACTTGAAGTGTTCAACAATACTTTCCGCGCATTCTTTTTTTTTCTTGAATGATTCAAAAAAATTCCTAATTAAAATGATGTCGTCTTGGAAAAAAATTGCCAAAAATACTTTAAAATCTAAAAAAATCAAGAATTGACTCCAAAATTTCATCTGCATACCTAAATATTGCCAAGGGGCAATGAATAAAACTTCCGGAAATTTAAATTTTTAACTCAAATTCAATTTTTTCTCTTTGGTGGAAAAAATGTCGATATTTTGCATACGCTTTTGCGGAATACAATAATTTGTTTGAAAAATGAGTTCGAGTTCAAATCGTCCTATTCAAATACTCATCTGGAAATTGTCTGTCATCCACTTAAAGATTTTAGCTTTTCATTCACTAACGAGAATAGGGTGGGTGGGGGGGGGAGGGGTTTCAACTCACATCATCTGCGGACATCTCGCTGCCCGCATCTCATTAATTCCTCCATCAAAAAAAATAATAATATCGGAAATCATTTTGTGGGGCGATTTCGAATTGCGCCAAACGAACGAGTTGGGCGGCGACAAAGCGGTAACAGCTAATGCGCGAAAAAAACCATACACGAAATAAATACGTTAATGTGTTCAAGGTGTCTGAATCGGCTTCCTTTTTCATCAAAAACGTTTAACGACGTCACCGACTCGCTCACCCCCCTCTCGCTCTTCTTCTCTTTTTACCCGGGCCCCGTCATTCCGACCGCCAAAACATTCCGATGTGATTGAGGTGAATTGAAGGCAAAAAACCCCCCTCCCAGAACAGTATCGAGTTGACTCTAGTCGAGTGACTCAACATAACAACCCTTAATAAGGCATTGTACTACCATTTCACATTCCATATAATAATAATAATAATAGTAGGAGTGTGTTTGTGTGTGTTTTGTATGTGATAATAGGTTGTATTGTGTTTGGTGAGCTTGCTGCTTGTATTGTATTCACTTCTTCTTATTTTCAACAAATTAGAGTCATCACTGTGCACATTTATGTCACTTAGTAGAACATTCGATATGTAGAATACATATTTTTGAAAATGGGACAATGTCCGCAGATGCAAATTGTCTTATTGCCTTGTTAGAAGCCTGACGGTTTTGCTGAAAATACAGATTCTTTGGAAGCCGAGAATAGTTTGGAAATGAGCAGTATTTAATCGAACTTGATAATTACGGCTTACTCGATGAGCAAAATTCTTTGGCGCAGCTTCGCTCGACCGGCCAATACGGCAGACATCCAGGGAATTGTCCGCAGATGTATTAGCATAACCTATTGCATTTTTCTCCTAGGTAGTAAACTGGATGCTACTTGAATTAGTGAGAAAGCGAGAGACGAAGAGATAATTTTTATTTAAATATAATTTCCAAATTTAGATTTCTTTTCAAATGTTAATTTTCTAAAACATCTTTTATCCTTTTTAAAAATCTAGAAAATTATTATTTATTGTTTGGTTTTCAAAATTTGAAATCTTTACAATAGGGTCTACGATACAGTGTTTGCAAAACTTTCGTGAAAACCCGTCTGCGGACAGTTCGCGTTGTCCCGAATTTCGTCGGCAGCACATATTTATTATTTTCGAGATCATTCTTCTCGCGTAAAAAACCAGTAATCTCGTATTGGGTTCGCGCCTTTATTTACTGTCGTTTTTAATGCATTTTTCGGGCGATAAAATTACATCGCAAAATATGATCGAAAAGCTCAATTTTCATTTCAACTTCCTTGTCAATCTGTACGTTAAACGCTTCCTTGGTTTTGTTTTTGGGCTGGGGGGTTTATGAGCAAAAAAATGCCATTTCAAAGTCTGTCTTATCCCATGAAAATTGTCCGCAGATGGAAAATATTAAGAAAAAAATTTTGACGAAACCAAACTAATTAAGAAGTAATAAATTCGATTATAAAAAGCTTTTAAGGGTTTTTTTTTTCGAAAGTCTTAAAAATGCGATGCACACTCAGCCAAATCGGTTCAAGACCTTTTCAAGGTCCCACCACAATTTTTCCATCCCGTTTACAATGTTGAATATAAGGCCTTCTCGCATGTATATTTTCTCATTAAGGCAACGAACCCAATGGATGAAAAAGGCAATAAATGACGACAATAAACATACGGAGAAGACTAACTTTTTAATTTAAGCGCTTCGTTCTCATCTCCTCTTCGTCGAGTGGGCAAACAAGAAGAAAATAAGATCTCATACCTACCGTAGTCATCTTCTTCTTCTTCTTCTTCTCTTGTTCTCGGACATAACATTGTCTAGTTTTTTTTTTGCAGAAATTCGCCTCGGTCGGTCGCTTCGTCGGTTTGTGGCGACTCCGCCCCGAAATTCGTTTCGCGCACTCTTCGTCTTCTTCTTCTCATTTCCGAACTCCACCTTGTGGCATCGTAAAAACCGCAGCTTCGCCATAATCCAACTTCTCCCGATTACCGTATCGCGCGTTTCGTTCATTTTCGGTTCATTGGTCATTCAAGAGCAAAACTAAAACAATGTTCAATTTTCGCATATGCGGACAATTTTAAAACCTGTTAGTTGTCCGCAGATCGATTTATTTAATACCTAACTTTTTTTTCGCAACATCTTGTTTTTATTCATTTTTGTCGAAAAATATTTTTTAAAAATACGTGAGATGTGCATTTTTTTTAATGCATTGGAGAAACGTATTATTTTTACATTTTTTTTTCAAATTCTCAGCATTCTCTTATAAATGAACAAAACTAGCTGAAATTAATGCTGCAATTTCTTTCAAGCTTTATCGAATTCCATTTTCAAAATGTACAAAATTTTAAGTTTTATGAAAAGTGATTATTGCCGATATCGCGCGCAACTATCGAAAATTGGCTACGCGCGGAATGCGCCTTTAAAATATTCTTAAACATTGGCCCCTAAATCTACACTATTAGTTTTGCGTAGGGTCCAGTTTTTTTTTGGCGTTTCGCCAATTTTCAGCACTCACGCGACACCAACAAATTATTTCTTCGAATAAGAGCCATCTGCGAGTTGTCCGAAGATGGTTTCCAATGAAAGCATGCTCCTTGAATAGTGAATATTTGTGCTGTAAATTGCCGAGAAAATTTTGTCAACAAAACTCTCAACGAAAAAAAAAATGAAAATGTTGTGTGTGTGTGTAATTTTCGCATTGATATGGTTGGTGTAATATCAACACAAAACTCATCGAAACTTCATACAAAACCATTCATCCATAGAAGGTTCAAACTCAAACAAGACAGTTTTCGAGTTGATCTTGGTGTCACCAATCAGCTCACCATCAATTACTCGCCCATCGGCCCCGCCCACCAATTTTCTCGGCGGCACGCCCCCGCCTGCGCGCGCGCACGCCTAGCCACTCTACGACTAGTCGATGGGCGGAGTCATCAAGATGACACCTCATATGTGTGAATATACTAGCTCGTTCGTCTCGTCTCGTCCGAGTTTTTGAGGAACACTGTCGACAGAACTGACAGAAACCCCCTCTCCCGCCACCCCCCAAAAATTCTTTGTTTCGCTTTCATATATTGTTGTATATAAAAAAAAGTGAGTTGTCGTCGCCTGAAGAAAAAATGTTTGTGCACTCTCTTTTTGCTTTCCATCGCCGTTTTTTTTTCATTTTTTTTTCTCCCAAATATGTATGTATGATACACCATCCATCTCAATGTTGTTTTTTCACCGTTTTGCCGCTTCTCACCCGCTCTCATGTTCACATTCGCAACCGCCTATAAACATACAATTCTCATATTCAATTTCATCATTAAACATTTATTATAGGTTACGGTAGTAGTAGTTCAAGTCGACAATGTCACTTCCCCAACGACTACTTCCGCCGAGTTCAGGTATATTGATTGAATTGAACTTTTCTTTTTTCTTTTCAACAACAACAAGAAGGAGAAAAAAATAGAAAATTTTGCGAGAATGAGAGAGTGTGTTCGAATATCAATAGAAGGGCGCATTGTCCATTTCGTCACCAAAAAAACATGAATAAAAACCTTTAATTAGTAAAATTCAATAAATTTCGGCGAATTCTTCCAAAAAATTCCCTCGCAATTCTTGACATTGTGCGCCACTAATATCAATTAATCCATAAAACGGCTTCATAGGTGCTCGTTTTGATATGCTCCAAATAAAAATGAAATTTTGTCATTATGATCCTTCAAACATAATATGATCCTTCCAACGTATTCTCATAAATGATCCTTCCTTTAAATTGGATAGCGTCTAGGTTACCGGATACGCAAAGTAAATATAACCCCTTTGGTTGGATACTGTCCGACCCTTTCATACCCTTTTCATATTTTGATTTCAAAGCCAGAGAAAAGAGAGAGAGAGAGAGAGAGAGAGAGACATAGGGGGGTTTGTGTGCCGATGCCGATGTTGATGAACACGACGATGATGATGATGATGATGGTTAGTACGAGACCACCGACCCCCCAACGAAGACGGCGCACAAAAATGATGAACAGTGATAGATAGATAAAAAAATTGAAGGGCCGAGAAAGTGTACGTGTGTGTGTATGTTATTGTCGAGCCGCACAAAATTTGCGGGGGCTTCTTCCTCTTCTTGTCATTCTCGCGATGATTGGCGGCCTTGTGTTCAGTGTTTTCCTCTCCATCCCCCCCGTCGATCGGTCTCGACTTCTTTCATTCGCCCCTCCATCCAAAAACTTTAAATGAGCGCTTTCATCTCGTCGCATGCAAATATGTTATTGATTAGTTATTTCGACGATTTTGGAAACAAAAAGCAAAACTGTGTTATGGGAAAAAAATCGAATTAGGCGACCGAATCGTCGATTTTTAATTCGATTGCGAACAGCGTGGAACCCTCCGCAAAGTGTGTGATACCTTTATACAAAAATCTCTCTTATTGATATCCAATATTTAATAATTTTATTCAAAATGAATTAGCTTAACCTATTTTATTTTCAAAAAAAATGCGACGACTCATCGGCAAATTAGAGTCAAATGTATGGCAGTTGCTCACTGATTATTTGCTAATCAGACAAATATTGAGGAGGGGAGCGCCTCATTCATTGGATGACTCAGAGCCCCCCCGTCCAACTCGTTATATAACATCAACATCGTCGAACGCTGGTTGAACATATTCAAATTGTTTCAGTGTCGATGGACGAGAAGACGCCGCGAATGCCGCCGGCCGCCGGATATCCGTTTCCATTCTGTACGACGTCGTCGCCATCGAGCGTCTTCCCGCCGATGCCGATGTTCCCGCAGCAGATGCAGCAGGCGTACACGCAGTTCCTTCAAGCTCATATCATGCAAATGGCCGCTCATCAGCATCAGCAGCAACAGCAGCAGCAGCAGCAGCAGCGACTGAGCGCCGGAATCTCGCCAGTGCAATCCGATCAGGCATCATCGAGAAGCGAATCGCCGCAGAACACAAGAAGTACGTTTTGTCTTCGATTCTTTCTCATCTCATGCGTATAATTGAAATCATACTGTACTCGGTTAGGCACTGTCGGTAAATAGATTGGATACTACGGTTGAACTAGTTTCGCAATCACGTTTTTTTTTTCGAAATTTTAGGTTTCTAGTAAATCCGCAAAAAATTCCGATAATCAACCTTTGCTAGACTACCGTAATCCTCTCCCCCCCCCCTCAACCTTCTTCCGACGCCCTTTTGTTCTCTGAGCAACAATGCGCACATTTTTTGAATTTTCAACAACACGTGATTCATTGTTCAGGTGTTCCCAACACGAAATCCCTTAGAGAACTCATTTTCATTGTTTCACCCCTCGAGAAACCTACAGTAATCAAATCGATAGGGGGGGGGGTTTCGAGTTTGAAGTGCGTCAACCTATGCGTGTATGAATGTGTGGTTGATGTGAGTTGTTGCGGACACAAAATTATCGTAAATCTGTCCAAATGTTTGACTAGTTTACGACGAAGTCATTGAATATTGGGCCAGACATTTCTGCAACATTTCATTTACGAGGTACTGTAAGGAAACACAAACTTGGTCGGCGAAGAGAGGCGAAGAGACGACGGTGGCGAATCGCCGCAGCCCGACGCAGTCCAGTCAGGAATGTTGATTTAAATGACAATGCCTGATGGGAAAGTTTAGGCGAATGGTTTAGTGACTTCAGAATTTGTTCATTCAAGGACGCCTATTATGTTGGAGAGAATTCCAATAGGGGGGTTTCGATACCATGTGGTTACGTTGAATAAGCCATGGGGAAGATTAGGAGGATCAGAATTCGATTCCCATCCGGGTTCACCACCTCCCCCAAAATTGCGATGGCCCGTTTTTACCAGCTGCCATATTCAATTCATATCTCCTCGTTTTACAACCGTTTCTTACGACAATTCCAACGGATTTCCCACGCTTCCTTGAACACACAACAATAGTGGACGAGCTGCTCGCATACCGTAACATTGCGCACGCGCTACTCATCCTAATTAGGCGAGCGATACGTGTCGACGGTTCGTCTGACTTCCGGTCACGACTCATCGCACACGTCGACCTTTTTCACTTCGCCTCGCCACAAGGTTTTTTTTGTTATGAGTTTTGGCTATACAAATGAATATTAAGAAAAAAATCAGAGAGATTTGATTTTCTCCTTTTTTTTTCTTGCATTCTTGAATGCTGATAGCGCTTAAATTTTGGGTTTTGTTTCGATGTCTCGAAACGCAATTCCTTTGAGATTACTGTAGGTGTACATATATGGGCAGTATATCAATTTCGGCGATGCATATATCATGTGAAATGGAAAAGCCGCCGCCTTCTGCGATTTTGTCGAGACCGACCGCAACACGAAAAAGACGAAGAAGAAGAAGAAAAAAAAAAACGCCTCGAACAGTTCCCATGAGACCCGCCCAAATATGGGGGCCCGAAAAACGAGCGGCGGCGGCGAACATCAAAAGTGTGTGCCAAAAAGTTTTTCAATTAAGAAGCCACACGAGGCGGAAACTTGAGTCGTTGTCGTCGACGTCTGGCGGCCGTCGGTCGGCATCGCCGAGAATCTTCACAAGGAAAAACGACGAGAAAAATGAGATGGCGGTTTATTTACGAGCCCCAAAAGTGAAAATCCGCGCCCACGAGAAGTGTTTTATTAGTGGACTGGGGGTTAAGCTCCTTTTATGGAATTCATATGTTGGCCAGCCATCGCGAAATCAGGGAGCCTAGGAAACAAGGCATGGTTCAATTTGATATATCAAGATTTTGTGCTGCGGACACCTCAATGGATCAATTGCGCATGTCAAATGAAATTCATTTTTCTGCCTCAATTCAGCATTCCCTTCTGCGGACAGCTCGCTGGATTTGAACGAGCCATTGAGAAGTGTCCCGCTGAGCTCAAAAAAGGGACGAGCCCAATTGTGGAGGGGTGCCGCCGCTGGCCTCCGATGTCACCTTGACAGCCAATCTCCCAGCCATAAACAGAATGGTCGCGGGATTAGCGGCGTTTATCACCTTGTGTGCTCTCGTGTCATCCCACACCAATAACAACAGAAGAGCCATAAAATTGGGGAGGAAGGCGGCCGAAGCATCTGCTTGGTGTGAATTGAATGAATGAATTGAGCACACATAAACATACACATCTGATGTGTATACAATTACGGGACCAATTCGAGGGAGTCAAATTTTAACCGAGCTGACTCTCAAGTGTCCCCACTGTGATTCATATTCAAAACCAGCTGCGGACATCCTGCGGGTTATTAATCTTGGATTACTACAAGTTGATATTGATTTCCACAATACTTGAGTCAAATTCCACTTGATATCATCATCGTAGACATCATCACTACCATCATTATTATTATAAGGACATCTTTCAAGTGTCACAAAGTAGTAATAAAATGACTGGACGATTGTAATCTCAGAGATGATCCGCTCGGATCGGATTGGGCCGCCGGTGTGCGCAGCGCATCATCTGCTCGAAAAATGCGCAATTTGCTGCGAACAAGTTGATAAATGAGTGGCAGATTGGATGAAAGAGGCCGACGACGACAAAATCACACTTTGGCCGAATGAATGATTAATTGAATCGTCTCTCCTAAACAAAATAAAACGCGCGATGAGACGCGGCTCTTTCGATTCGAATTAATTGCATTTACCCTCCTAATAAGACAGATATGACCGGAAGTCGGTGATCGATGGCCACAACAAGTTTTCGATCTGCGGACAATTTCTGGGAAGAGGGAGAATTGAAAGCAGATGAAGTCTTTCGAAAAACTGATTAGCAATAATATATTGTATTGTAAGGAAACAGAAATCGCCTTGAACCTTCCTTATTTGTTTTCTCATAATCGTATAACACGATCGGGCGGCGGCGGCGGCGGCGGCGAATCGCGCATCCTCAAAAACTCGTAAATTAGCATAAGTACACAAGAACACGAATATAAACCGTGAGCACGCGACTACCTTAAAAAGAAAAAAGCCGCAAACTAATAATAATAATAATAAATATGATCGACATTTACGATTATTGCAGAACTCGTACTCGATGAGGATGGATGCGCGCCATGTCCGGCGTGCGGTGAGCGAATCGCCGAGAATCAATTCGCGTCGCATCTTGAAGCTGAGAAGGCCAAACTTATCAATCACATCACATCGTGAGAGCCACCGAAAAAACATATATTGAATTGAATTCTTTTTTGCAGGATGAAGGAGCGACGGAATTGCGATTCGACGTTTTATGATCAGTCGAGCACATTGAAGAGAGAAGCCGAATTGGCGAGAATCCGCAACAATCAACAGAAACGGCTCGTTTGTGAGTTGTTGCCATTTTTTTTTAAATTTTATATCTAAATTTTTTCCTTGCTGCGGACATGTTCATTGTTTCCCTATTTGAACACCGTGATTTTCAGTGAAACGAGGTCCCAGCACGAACAATGTAATCCGCGACTGTTTGACCCCATTCAGTAGACAGTCGAACGATGAAACTGGCTCCAGCGAGTCGCCAGACACCAAAAAAGACGAGGAATTCGGAACAATGAAGTGCTCATCGTGCCAGGTATTCGGACCAAGCAATTCGGACCATTATTATTCGTTTTCGCTTTCCAGCAAACTTGCCCGTATGCCATTATAATGTCGACGTTTGACCGTCCAAAGTGTCAGATGTGTTTCGACATCATCCGCACTCAATCATGCATTCTATCGGTGAGCGACATTAGAAAAAAAAAACACAAACAGGAAGAGAGGGGTCCACCGAATTTGTTTGAAGTGTTCTCTTCATTGCACCACCACCATTCAAGGGGTTGGTTGCAATCATCGACAGGTGTCATCGGCTTGTGTCGGCGTCGCCTTTTTTTTGGGAGGGAAGGGTGCCGAGAGAAGAAGACACTGTGCTAATGAGATTGTGTAATAGGATGAGGCCACTTGAAGAATTACCTAAGATGGAGACAACGGGGGTGTATGAGGTATTTTAAATTTGACGGAAGAAGATCAAAGAAGACATTCGGATTAGGTTGAATATAATTATTCAGAATCTAGTGATTCAAATAAATTCAAAAAATGGAGGGGGCGGAAGGAGGTGAATATTCCTAGCGAGACTTCTAATCACTCTAGGGATGGATTTTTGAGAAGGCCTCTTTATTCGAAATTACTTCAAAATGTAGAATCAATCTTTGACTGGCTCAAAATACACGCCAATTCTATAAATTAATGGACTCGTGTCGATTTATAGACGGCGTCAAACGACTGAACGAAATTTAAAAAAATTATTGGCTATGCAGCGAGAAGTACGCGAGACTGCGAACTTTGCATTATAGCATACGCGCATTTATAGATTCTGATTTAAATCTACACTGATTCGCCTCCTTTCAGTCATTTGACGCCAACAATAATTATTTATTTATTTGCGAAATGGATTTAAAAATAGATAAAATAATATAAAATTTAAAAATAGACAAAATAATAATAATAAAATTGAAGAAGATTGGAAGAGATTTGGTAAATTTAAGAGCCAGGAATATGATATTTAGAGGGTGATTTACGAGAATCTTCCTTAAAACCTACTTTTTTATATCATGCGATTTTTTCATGATTTTGAAGAAAAATAATTTAAAATCATAAATGCATTTTTGAATTATTCTGTTTTTTTTTTGTAGATCAACACACCAACACACCAAAACGACGAAGAAGAGGAAGAAGTAGAAAATGCCTCGCCGCCGATGTGCAAAAAAATGAAACTCGATATCGACGAAATTCCAGTGGCCAGTGAATAATTCCAAATATTAATTATTAATTTTCCATGATCATCTACTCTCAATTATTATTATTATTAATATTATAATTATTGTTACAAAATTTCCGAGATGCAACGGGAACCCTCTCGCTATCGTAGCTCCTTTTTTTAAAAATTTCTTCTTATCAGGGTATTTTGTATCGATTTTTAATTTATTTTCCGCAATTTTCTTGTTAATTTTTGGTTTAAATTAATCGGCGACTAGTCAATTTGGAGCCACCTTCACCATTATAAACCCATTCGTCCCTCATTATTTTTTTGCATAGTCTTCTTTATTGCTTCGTTTCCTTTGATTGCTTCACATTTATATATATAGCCGTGTGATTCCTGAATCATCCCTCCCCCCCTCTCTTTCGAATTTTGTAGATTTCTTTCCGCCATATTTTGTTAGTCTAATCATGTTGATGAAAATAAACGACAGCGACAAGTGATTGTAATTGTTATCAAATATTATCTGATAACCATAGATCAAAAAAATTTTGACCATTTCTACTATCATTCAATTTGCTTGACTTCATTCGACCAAAAAGTTCTTTTTTTTGGAGTTTTTTTTCTAAATTATTATTTTTTGCCTAGCAATGCCGCAATTTGGTTATGTCTACGATGAAAGAATGATGAAGCATGATTGCGCTTATGATGAGACAATGGCCGAATGTCCGGAGCGTATGAAGTTGATTTTTGAACGTCTAAAACACGATGGACTTCTCGATAACGCCGTCCAGGTTGGTAACGTGTTTTCAAATTGAAATTGTTTCTAATAAGAACGGACAAGTCGTTTTAAATGATACTGATGTATATTTCTTGAATCGGAAGTGAAAAAAATTTAAACAGTTGGAATTCGTGTACCGTATTCTGGATAACCTGCGAGGCAAACTCACCGTAAAATTTCGAATGTATTGTCGGCTTCCGGCGACTGTTCAACGCGGGTAGATTTACGGGAATGCGTCTTTTTCTTGGTCTCGCGCGGACTAATTGGTTATTTTGCATTTAATGGGTCGTTTCGATAATTTTTTAATCGAAGACGTTGGAAATTCAAAAAAAAAAAATGCGAAACTCATCAAAAAAAGTTAAGAACAATGTTCACACGTGGTGAGACTTTTTGAAAAGGCGCACGCGTAAATCTACCCGCGTACAGCAGTCGTCGGACGTCGACAATGAAAGAATCCGGTTTTTTTTTCAGCCCTAAACATTATGTGAAGGTGCAAAGTAAAAAAAAGTGAAAAAATGATTGAAATTTTCTTTCCTTTTTGCATTTCTAAAATTTAATATGCGCCTTTAAAATTCTAGATTCCCAGGAGAACTAAAAACTAATTATTTCGTTTATTAATTTATCGTACTATTTTTTTTTCAATTACTTCAAAATTGTATAAATTTTAGGTAAAAGCTCGTGAAGCTACTGATGCTGAGCTTCTTCTCAATCATCCGATTGAGTTAATAAACGAGATCAAATCGCTGGAAACCACAGAAAAATGCGAAGATTATTGTCGAGACAAGGAAATCCTATGGACTTGCGCTGAAACCGACGAAGCTGCTCGCGTAGCTGTCGGTGGAGCCATTGAATTAGTTAAACAAGCGGTTGATGGAAGGTTTCGTCTTGTCTTGAAAAAAATGTGTGTTAATATTTCTTTCTAGAATCCAAAATGGATTCGCAATTATTCGTCCGCCAGGTCATCATTCGTTCGGAAAAACTCCACAGGGCTATTGCATTTTTAACAACGTCGCGATTGCTGCCAAATATGCGCTAGACGTGCTCAAACTGAAAAAAGTGGCGATTGTCGATTTCGATTATCATCCAGCAAATGGAACCTATATGTCGGTGAAGGATGATGATCGAATCCATTTAACCTCGATTCATGCCTATCATTACGGAGCGTTTTGGCCATTCAGTACCACTTATGATTATGATACTAACAACAGTAAGAGATTTTTTTTAAATATCGAAAATTAATTTGGAAAATTTTGAGAAAACCATCTTTTTGTGCCATTAAATGGAACAATGAACACCGAAGGTGACTACGTCTCAATTTTCCATCATGTACTCATTCCAATGTTAAAAACGTTCCAACCGGAAGTGAGCTCCCCTTTTTTCTCTTTTAATAGCCCACAATTTGACAATCGAAAATTTCAGCTAATTTTGATTTCCGCTGGATTTGATTCCGGCTACTTTGATGTAATGATGGAGTTCGGACAAGGCGTCAAAGCTCATGGATATGGTCATATGGCACGGCTTTTGAATGAAATTTGCCCTGGAAAGACATTGGCGGTACTTGAAGGAGGTTATTTTGCGCCAAATTACACTGAAAGTGCTGCTATGATGGTCCGAGGGCTCATGGTTCTCGAAATGTGCATGAAAATTTATTGAAATTGATGTTTTAGGGCCTTTCGCTTCCAATAATCGCGCTTCCTGAAAGAATTTCCGGATCATTGGTGGAGACTTTGTGGAATATTATTAATCATCATGCTGTAAATTACCCAATCCTTCGTGAAAATCTGAATAATCTGAAAAGACAGCAATGCAAGCTCGGACTTGCACCATTTGCTTTTAATCAAAAAGTTTTCATGGGAGAAAGTAAGCTTTTGATAAATGACTTTTCAAAATTTGATTTTCTAGAGCTCCGAAAAATTTATGACGAAGTCAAACGAATGAAAATTGTTCGAACTCGTCAATGGTTCCCGCAATTAAGCGATGAACTTGTGGAATTGTGCACGAACAAGATTGAGGCTTATAAAAAAGTTTTGTTGAATTTCCCAAGTTTTATCATAATCATATTCAATTCTAGGAATACGTTTATTCCAAAGATCACAAGAATCCTTCGTTCGATTTTCTTCTAGAGCAATGCATTTGGGATGATTGGGCGCGATCTGAAGCTTTTCTTCAAGCTGCCCCATTTACAGCTCATTTGATTAAGGAATTTAATGATTTTGTGGAAGGTTATAATTTCTGAAACGAATATTCAATTTATTCTTATTTGTTAAGGAAAAATCCAAAATATGATGATTTGCGATCAAGTTCTCTATCGCGAGGCCGTTAAGACAGGAAAAATTGATAAATTTGAACCCATCACAAAATTTTCGCCGCGGAAATCTGAAATATCAATGTAGAATCATGTTAAAATAAATATAATTGCCTGTCTCTCTTCAATGCTCACACTATTTCGCTGGTGTCATCGAAAGACGCACGCAACAATTTAGTCGCTGGGTCTTGCAGCGCGTAGCATATTTTCTCTTCGCAAAATACGAGCCAACGGGCGGCGAATTTTTTGATTTTCTTGGCTTTTCATGGTATTTTTGAATAAATTAACGAACATTTTTGTTGTTTTTATGAATTACAGAGATAGATAAAATACTTTTATACTGTTTAATCTTTTAAAAATTGACAAAAAACCTTGAAATATTAATTAAAACATTTAATAGATGCTTATTATTTTAGCATTTTTATCGTTCTCCTCTTCTCTAGATTTAAACAAATTTTCTGAATATGTTTTATTAAAACAAACCTTGAATTCACAACGTTCTTTATAAAAATATTTAGTCGTCGTATTTACTTACTTTTTCATTTATTTTTCGAATGTATTGCAGATCGGGAGTTAACCGCGATATTATGCCAGGTATGCCTAAAAATGCAAAGACCGTCGAAGAGATTGAAAATGAGCTGGTGTTCAGTAAGGTTTCTTTTAAATTAAATAGATAATTTGAAGTTTTTAGGTGCTATTCCGGATTCAGGAAGTGAAGATGGAAGCCATGATGTTTTCGATGACGAATTCGACGCACAAAATGCAGAGACTTTCGGTGCCGAGCTTGATGACATAACAGACGCTGAATTGGAGAGTTATGCTGCTCAAACCGCTCGATTAAGGCTGGATGATCCTGTTTGGGAAAATCCGTCTTCATCGTCGGTTACTGCTGCTCCTGACGCTTCCCAAATTCCCATACCATCATTCTTCGGATCGTCTTTGGCGTTTGATTACCAACAAATTGCCGAAAATTCGATGATTGTGAGTTGGTTCAATTATTTATTTTATTTCAAGTGACGAAATTTAGGATAAAAATATTTGGGATAAATCTGAAATCTCCTTATCGCCGATATCTGGACATACGTACAGTTTATGGGGTGTTGAGACAATTGCTGGGATACAACCATCTTTGCCAAAGAAAGAACTCGAGCTCGGTGATCTATCGGACCTCTTAGGAGAAGGAAACACTGTCTACCGAAGCGATGAGCGAGAAATTTCAAACACTGCTCCAAAGAAGCTTAATGCGATTCCACAGACGGCATTAACGTTGGAGGAGATAGAAAGATTGCATATTGAAGACAAACAGTTTGACAATATGAATCTTAAACCAGATATTTCGAAGGTGCTGTCGGAATCGGGAACGGACCCACTTAACGTTTCAATGGTACCACCAGGTTTACCACTTTCTCAAGGTGTGCCAGTTGCCCCACGCGTTCCAGTTGCTCAATGTTCTTCAGTTTCCCAGAATGTTCCTGTGCAACAGAATATTGCACCGAGTTTTAAAGGCTCTGCTATGCCACCTGGAGCACTTTCGGTTGAAGATCTGGAGAAGGAGATGCTGCAAAAGACCAAGAATCTCTCTCTCAATGAAAGACCGCCGCAACAGATGGTTCCCGTCGAGATTCAGCCGCAAATGCCTGATTTCTCTGTGCAACCTCCTCAATATCCGGTGATGATGCCGTCGCCTGTTCCGATGCCGATTCCAGTTCCTGTACCGGTCCCACCGGCATTCTATCCACCTTTTCCACCTCAAATGGCAATGCCGTTACCAGTCAATCTACCAAAGTTGCCACCACTTCATCCTCAGTACCTTCCGTGTATCCCGGTCTGGATTTCACACATTATCAATCGATGCCCACTTCCCGCAAATTATCCGCCGGCTCCGACCATTTTGCATCAATTGCTTTGCACATACAAGGTAATACCATTCCAATTATTTATTTGAATTGTCCTTTATTACAGAATCCGACTCTCGTTCATCATATGATAATTCAGTCGTCAATTCCACCACAACACACTAGTATTCCTCCACACATGATGCAACGGCAAGCTTTTTCCCCAACGCCGAGCATGACAAAACGAAAACCCGCAGGGATGCCTTCATTCCGTACCATCGAAGACTTGGCATTTGATAGCTTTGCTGGCTACATGTCGTGGAAGGAACGCGAATGGCTTGTGCGAATTCAGCTTGAGCAATGCAAGGGATCTGGTGATCCACAGACCGAAGATTATTATTACTTGGTTTGTATTTTTGTATTTTTGAATGTTGTGGATATAGTAAAATGCTTTAGACGTGGAGAAAGAACAAGATTGCGAATGGCTGGAAGCCAAAGCCGAAAGCGATTGAAGCATCTGCACCTGCTAACGAGACCTCACAGGATTATGAAGAGCGAATTCGTCGAATGAACTACAGGGAAATGCAGAAGGAACGTGCAAAAGAACGCGAACAGGCTCGCAAGCGTGAACGTGCTGAACGTGAAAAGGAACGTGCCAACCGTGAAAACGAGGAGAGGAAACCGAGATTTGCGAAGTTTGCTTCTAGCTTGGGACTTCCCTCGAAATCCACGACTGCTAATCCACGTCATGTAAGAATTTTTATTGAAAAATTAAGGTATTTTTCTCGTTTTTCAGTTAATCGATATGACCAAAGCCGCTGAAGACGTTGCAAAGAACGTCGATGAGGAACGCAAAGTCGCTGTTGCAAAGAAACTTCGCACAATGCTTCTTCGTCTGGAAGGCGCTATAAATCTTCTCATCGACGTTAATGAATTGCGCAAAAAGGACCTTCCAGAAAAGTCGAAGTTCAAGGGAATGACGAACGAAGAAAAAGAAGCCGAAATTGAGAAGAGAACAAATGCCATTATCGAGGAATTGATGGGAGATGATTTGCACAAACTTCTGCAAATGTCAAAAGGACGCCAGGTCATCAATAATGACACTAAAGGAGGTTGTTGCCAAGCAACAGGCTAAAATAATAATCGCATTAATGTCTGCTGGAGCTTTGGTGAATAAGAAAATGTATGGGGAGGTAGTAACATTGGAAATTTGGAGTATGAAATGCTTAAGAAATTGTTTTTTCAAGATTGTCACGGATCTTCTTCCAACAATTTTCTCATGTTTATCGCAGTTGCACAAAGAGCAATTCGCTGTTCTTGTTGAAGCGTTAAATGTGGATATCTTAAAACGACAACTTCTCGATAATAACTCGGTAATTCTTTGATAAATTTAATTAGAACATTATAACTAAGAATTTCTTCTTTATTGATTTGAAATTCCATTAAAACAAAGAATTGGTTTTCAGTTCATTCGCGATGTGATGCTCACCATCTTCTACGTTAGCATTATGAATAATCAGCCACTCTTGGACTGGGCAAAGCACACGAAATTCCCAAGCTTGGTATTGACGGCCAACAACTCATTGATGAACTGGAGAAGGGCAATGAGTACAATATCGGACAGCGACATTCGATGGTTCGCTGATCGTATCAGCGATTCTGGTATTCGCGGAGCTGACGAGTTGGCGAAACTCATTGAGGAGGCGGTTTAAGCAGATTCACCAATACTCACAATGTTCACGTATTTATTTTTTAAAAATTTGGTTATTCTTATTTGTCTGTATGTTGAGAGATGAGAATATTGTGTTCATTGTTCCTCTCACGGAAAAAATGATTTCCCGTTTACCCATTTTCATCATATGTTCAGCATTTTTAGAGACATATTCGCGGTGACTGTTTGATATCATTCCTATAATAATTTCCTTTGATTTCATGATTCTCGTAATTTTCTTGTCAATCGACTTACCTTTCTAACCCCAATCCCACCAAAATTCTTCCTGTTTCATGATTTGTTTTCGTGATTTTTTTCCTGTTTCTTTTTAAATATGTGTGGCTTTGGGTAATATTTCATTATTATAATAAGCATATATAATTATGTATTAATTTATAATTTAGTAGTTTATATTGTCAATACTTCAAAGAACAAATTCTCCCAATAATTTATATTGACATTTTGATATGTTTTCTTTTTGTTTCTCCATATTACTCAGAACCAGAGATTTATAAAATCATGGAATTTGCTTTTAATCCGCAGTTTTCGTTTTTTTATGTCGTGAAGGGTTACCACCCTTTTTATTATATATGCTTAAAAGTTTTACGGTACATTTAATATTGATTTAGATGGCTGACACAGTTAGAGGAATCTGGCAATCCATTGTTCAAACCAAGAGAGCTTACCTCAATCCACACGAGCATTTCGGACGCGCCAACATTTGTCGTGCTGCCCTTGCCACTTATGTCGGAATCTATTTTCTTTTCCAGTGGAACAAGAATAGAAAGGTAACGATCCTAGAAATTTTCAATGGAAACTATTACCATCGCCAAAAAACGAGCGTCTTCCATGATTGTGGACAATCGCTCTTTTTGAGGCGGTAGTTCAAAATTAAAATTAAACAGTGGGAATTCGAGTACCGTACTCTGGATAACCTGCGAAGCTAACACACCGTAAATAGGCACAGGGGCAATCGTTTTTTTTTCGCGAATGTAATAGATGCATTTTTTCTTTTGAGATCGCCTCAGAAAATCAAAAGCAAAAATATAGAGTAATCACTGGAAAATTTAGTGGTCAACAATCTAATTTAATCGAAATTGCATTGTTTTTTGTTTCGGCATGAAAAAACCCCGTGCACTTATTTAAGAAGGGATTAAGTACTTTTTTGCACCTGTCTATAAAATGTGTGGCACAGCAAGCAAGAAAAGAAATAGGGGATAAACGGAGAATGATTTTAATTGAATGTAAGGGTCGAAACTGGAAAATGATTATTTCAGGCCGAAATCGCTCGCGCTGAAAGAAAGGCACTGAAAGCCGCCGGTGGTGCCGTTCCAGCTCATCATTAAACGTGAATAAATAGTTCTTACAAGTCTTTTTTTGTTATTCGTCGAATTTTGTATTATACTCTAGGCGATTCTGTACTAGAGTGATTTATTGTAAAAGCATGGATTTTGAATAAATTAGACACGTGCGAATGAGATTTTGAAAGACGAGCGGCGATCAATCGCCATTTCTTTTCATAAATATTCGAAAAACATGTCGAATGATAAAAGATCGAAAGAAACTATTTGCAATCCAGATGATGTCAATAATATGGAAACGCAGGATACGAAATCGTCTCCGGTTGGTGAGATGTTCACACAGACGAGCAATCCTAGTAATTTGTCAAAGGTTTCTTTGCTTCGGATCATTGGATTGGATCAGATTTTATAGGAAAAAGATAAGGAGAGTGAAAAGGAGACGCAGGAGAAGACACCACTGTCGCCCGTTCGATTTCGTCGAGTGATGAAGATCACGAATTCGGATATCGACGAATACCTGACACAATATCCATTCTATCACGGATATCTGCTTCATGAATATCAGTCGATGCTTCTGAGAAGCACAGGCGATTTTGTAATGCGATTGTCGGTCAGATACCATGTGAAGAAAAGGAAAAGGGTGCGAATCTTGTGAAGCCAACAGAAGATGGTCCGATTCTTCAGGCGTCGAGAGAACCGGTTGATAAAACAACGCCCGGGAAAGCAGTGATCGCCGAAGGAAATATGGGACAGAATGGGCTCCGCTATAATATTGTGTTCGGCGTTTACACAGGTATTGGCTCGAGATTGTCGGACTCACCACTGATTCGCAGGTCAACCGCCCGACACGTCGTTCAATCCGGCAAAAAGCGTGTATGGCGAATGTCTCGACGACAACCACAAGAGTTCGGACATTCTCGATGTTCCGATGTATGTCGAACATGACAATAATGGAAAATGGGCGCAGTTTTATTTTGACAAAAAGAAAAAGTTTGCGACAATCGATGAATTGATCACTCACTATAAAACGAATCAAGGAACGCATAAAGACGTAGGAAAAGACCTCTTTAAATTTTTTCTTGCAAAAACTAAAAAATAATCGAATTTTAGACAATACTTTCAGATTCGACGTCTTTTTTTTGAAATAAATTTTTTGCAGCGTAAATTTCTTCTACTCAGAGGTGTTCCGCTTCAAATTTGGGAGCTTGATCAAAGTCAAATCGAGTTTGGCTCAAAACGACTTGGTGAAGGCGCATTTGGAGAGGTTGTCTGATTACATCTCAACTCAATAAAAATTATTAAAAATTTTAGGTGAAAAGCGGCACTCTTAAAGTGGACAAAACCCTTCCGAACAATGTGGTTCCGCCGGTTCCTGTTGCGATTAAGATCGTATAACATTTATTGCAATAATCAATATAAGAATATATTATTTTCAAGTTGAAATCGGAAGAATCGAAAGGAGCCATCAAACTGATAATGCATGAAGCACGGCTACAACTCTGCTTAAGGCATAGGGTATGAAATTGTCGAAATTTTAGATCACTAATATATTTTTAGAATGTTCTGAAGACGTTGGGTGTATCAATTCTGAAATCCCCAATTTTCATCGTCACCGAATTTTGCCCGAGTAAACCATCGGCCGAAATATTTCTCTTCGAAAAAAAAAAACATGAAATTTTCAGATGGATCTTTAAAAGACTATTTACAAAAAAATAAAACCGATGTTGACGAGAAGGTAGGCAAAAAAATGTTTGGCATCGAGCCAATTTCTTGAAGATTCGCTTTTGTCTGGGATCGGCGCGAGGTGTCGAGTACCTCCATAGCAAATTGCTGATTCATCGCGATCTTGCCACCCGAAACGTGCTTCTCAACGACAGCAAAGTGCCGAAAATTGCGGATTTCGGCCTCGCGCGATACGGATCCTCGTATAAAATGACAGCGAGCATGAAAATCCCAATAAGGCATGCGTTGTTTCTCATTTTTTTTTCACAAGAACATTTTCTTTAAATTTGAAAAGACGATTTAAAACGAGAATGCTCATTTTTGCAGATATCTCGCCCCCGAAGTACTCACCACTTATAAATTTTCTCAGAGATCAGACGTTTACTCATTCGGTCTTGTCATTTGGGAAATCTTTGAGAATGGCCAGGAGCCTTATGTCAAACCTCAACCTCATCAGGAAGCGCTTTTTCCAAAAATCAGCGCTCTTAAAGGAGTGCACGTCAAAGAGCTAGTGGGCGATCGAATTTTCAACAATCACCGTCGCCAATTATTATAGATCAGAAAAGAGTTGTGGGTAAAATTTAATTCGGAGACACCTCCACAAATTGCGCAATTCGTCGCCGAGCGCATTTTTGTGAGCGACGAGCGTAAACGGGTAACAATGCCAGAGGTTCACCATTCGGAATTGATTTTCAATTTTTATCAGGGTTTTGCAGATTGTCGTTTTTCTCAAATCCATTTATAAGTCATCGAAAACACGAGAAACGACGACAGTCACAATGGGATGATGATTAATCAATCAGTCAGTAATGTGTTCAATTCAACTTATATTCGTAATCAAATAAATTTTTGTTATCTTGTATTAATTAATTAAAAGTGAATTCAAAATTGTTTCGAAAAAAAATATTAAAATAAAAAAAAAATAATTGTTCAAATTTTTTTTCGGATTATTATTTTCGATTTCGTTTTTCGCCATTTTTTCATTAGTCTGTTTTTCCTTCTTATTCTTACATACTTGCTTCAATACTTGTATTTTAATTGTCGATTTGTCCTTCGACAACATCATTCGAAAATTGAAGGCCCTTACGCTAGCTTGAATGACGGTAGTAGGTGCTGATCGTAGTGATCTCTTTCGGAAAAACCACAAAATTAGAGATTTTCCAGCTTTAATGAGACCCGGATTTTCAAAGAATTCGGATTATTCCATTTTTTGAGGGATCTAGAAAAGAATATTTATGAAAGCGAGCTTCCGACGACGTTGACAACAATCAGGAAATTTTCCGCAAAAATTCTTTGTTCATTTACCCACCCCCCCCCACTTTCGCGGTTTTTTTTTCTCAATATCATCCATATTTTCAAATGCAAACAACAACAATCAGTGGGTGAGCGTCTTGATCGTCATGGAAACGCCCGCCATCAGATTCCGAGCGCGCGCATATACTCGGGTAATCACTATTGTCGCTTTCGTCGCTCTGCAAGCAAGCAGTTGCAGCAGCATCACGTACGCCTATCTCATCGAAGGTATGAATATCAAATCACGGGCGAACCCGACCGACCGAGCCTTCGTCACATGTGTATTGTGTTACCCAACTAATAACTAGGTTTGGTGAGGAAGACGAGAAAGGGATTAGATGAATAGGTGAGCAGCCGACGGCTCTTCTTTCGATGAATACCTCGGGATTATAGCGATTGCGCTGACTACGGTAGGTGTGTGCTCTTTGGGCTCTTTTCAATTTTATTGAAACGAATTCAACGGGAAAAAACACGGGAGATCTCAATTTTTTTTAAATTCAAGTAGTCTTACTTTTCTCGAAATTTGACCTCGTAGGCTCTCGTTTAAATATTGGGTAATCCATTTTTGAATTATCGAGTTTGGCGCCAATGCCGAGAAGTGTTTTGCTTCACATTTATGAAAATCTGCCGAAATTAATTTTTAACAATATTATATTTTCAATTTCTCAAAACAATTTTCCTTTTTTCTTGTATGATTTCTTTTTTCTCGAATAATTATATCCCAAAAAATACTTGAACTCAGTCCAAAATCCCGAACGCTTCGATTAGGTGCAAAATTCAGTGTGCAAGCAAATAAAAATTTTGGCGTAATGCCCATTCAACTTAACCATATGCGGACAATTCAGAGACTGCAAAACTTTTGATGACGTCAAGTTTGCTTTTGAAATCCGTGTTTTGTTGGTTTGATGGCGACAAAGCGGAATAAATTATGAAATTCGTGACGAGACCGAAAGAAGCAGGAAAGAAAAATCGAATCGCGATTAATTTTTCATAGCGGTTTCGCATTGTTGGTTTTTCTTCATCTTCATCTTCTTCTATTACTAGTACTACTTCTTTCTGCTTCTTCTTCTTGTTCGAGACGTCATCGCGCGCCCCGCGGCTCACAAAAGCGGAACGAAATTCGTGCTGAAACAACCAAAGTTTCGCGAAATTTCTCGAATTCATTCTCAATTGTTCGATTCATCTCCTCCACTACTACCAATTATACTTGTTTTGTTCTTTTTGTTTCTAGAAAATTGCCTCTGACGTACCTTAATTGGGGACGGGCGGTGCTGCTCATCATCCTCATCCGCATCATCGTCATCATCATCATCATCATCGTTGCCTTCTTCATCGGCACCGCCACCAACATCAGCATTTGCTGTTTTTCAAAGAATCAGAGATTAGTTTTAATTGGGTACGAGCAGAAATTGAATGGGCTGCATCGCCAAATGGATTCGTGCAAAAGCTTGTTAAGTCGAAAAAATAATCACAACGATGAGATTTTCAAATATTAATGCTTAGATTTTAGATGTTGTTCATTTGAAGGCTAAAATTAAGTTTTTTTTGTTTCTAAAAATAATTTGCGATTAATAGAGCTTCACGAGCAATATTTCATCTAGGCATTTCGTAATATTATAATATTTACGCTTCTTGAAATTACTAGATATTTTATTTTTAGAATATCTTGATAAAGAATAAGACCAAGTTAACCTTTCAGCCTTTTAATCAGACGTTAAATTCGTTAAACTTTAATTTTGATGTCATTTTTTCTCGTTTTTCTTCTTCTCCTGCTCACATGACAGGTTTCTCGATGTTTCCATTCTTCGACATAAAATCCTGCCGTAATTAGTTTCGCGAAAACTAATTGTTTTCTTTTTGTTGCTTCCTGTAATCCGTCATTAAATGTCTTTAACCGCTCAAACTGGAAGAAAAATGCGAGAAAAAGAAACTTAAAAAAAATACCGTACAAAGGGCTAAAGGCGCATAATGATTTATAAAGCCGTGCTCTTGATGCGACGGTTACGGTAATTTATTTTTAATTCTTCCGCTGTTTTTTTTTCAAATTTCGCGGTTTTTGAGCGCAAACAATGCATTATCACTCATTCTTTTTTCAATTAATCATTTTCAAATTACCCAGCTTAAATCTTATTATTGTTATTATTATTATTATTATCATAAATCCCTAATCTCTAATTTTTTTTCGATAATACCCAAACGCTCGCTTTCTACAATTATTGTCTCCGAAAATCTTCTCTGAACACAAAAAATGTGTTCAAATATTGTTTGATTTATCAGATAAACAAGAGTTCGAAACTCTTGCCCGTTCAAAGTTATCTTTTTTCAAATATTGAAATACACAGAAAAATCTCCCACGGGACCATTTTGCGACGACGACGCCGATAAATTTCTTGGGTTGAATTCTTTGAGAAAAAAAAGTTTTGCTGCTTTAAAGGTTTGTATCTTTTGTTTCAGAAGAGTCGTTAACTCGGGAAAATTGGAAGCATTCAATTAATCTTTTGCGTCCTTCTCCTCCTCAGCTTCTGCTGCCGCAGCGTAGCATCCGTCGACGCCAATCAATTTTGCCGATGGTGAAAGCAATTTTAGCATAATTCACGCAAACTAGCGTAAATTGAAAAAAAAAAGAAGTTTTGAACGAAAATTACGCCAATACGGGGTGGGAGGCGCTCGTTGGGCCATGACTCGTGTCAATGTGCGTTTTGCGATAACTAGCTTTGTTCATGGCGCGCGCGCGCAAAAAAAAGGCGCGACAAAAAGTACCTTCATCTTGCGGCTTTTCTCCAAATGCCGCATATAATCTTGTAAAAAGCTTTTTTGGTCGGCCGGTGTTGGTCCGTCGAGCTTGTAAAAGAAGCTCAGCGCCCGTGCACTGTCGTTATTTATTCATGCGATAGCGAGCTTGTGCGCCGCCGCGCTCGACGGCCACCGAATGTTCCGAAAGAGGACATAAAAATCGGATTTCGTTCGAGTTTCATTTCGTGCTCCAATTGGTCTCCTCCAAATAGAAATTTCTGTTGACAAGAATTCGAACTTTGCTCAGTCTAAATGCCAAATCAGCAATAATTATCATACGGTAGATGCTGAGGCATTCTCTCGAAATTGTTTATGAAAACACCCCCAATTATGAGAAGCAATTAGCCGAGTTCTCGAAAACTCCGATTGTTTTCGATATCAACGCTTCATTAACGTGTGGTGAACCCACTGATTACTCACTCGAGAACTTTATCTCAACTCCATAGAGAATTACCGTTTCGCGAGCTCAATAACAATTTTGATGTTGAATAATAACATTCGTATTGAGAGCTCGCGCTTTTGAACGTTTGAAATTGGATCAGGAAGCGGTAAGACGCGACGTAAATTTGAATTTCCGCTTCCTGTCAACCTTTGAAGTCTTGAAAGGATCCTTGCAAACGCTCTTGCGAATTTAAAAAGCAGGTCAGTTTCTGGTTTCGAATTTTATGATAACGCTTAAACTAAAGTTTAGTTTAAAGAAATCATTTAGCCGAACAAAAATTGGCACTGACGCATTTCGATAATTTTCATGCAAGGTTGATTATGTGAGATTTAAAAATAACTTTTAATTATTCCACTTATTCGCTTATGCGAGAAAACTACCGTATGCCACATATTGTCATCTCGCCAAATGATTCATCATGTCGAGAATCTCATATTTTTAGTCATATCTCTTTTCAATGAGATCAAAAAATTGATTAATTTCGGCTGATTGCATTTCAAGCCTTTTTGAGTTCATTAAGAGAGGAAGTTCATTAAGAGAGGAAGTAAGAGAGGAAGCTTTTCTCGTCGTGATAGCAGCAGCAGCAGCACATAACCATATTTGTGGAAGCAGAAGAGTGGGCATAAGGGAAGCCTATAATTTTCGAAAAATTATTTGCCATACGGTAACGAGGCGCCTCGAAGGTCTCGAAGATACCAAAGGGTCTTTCGCCTAACATTTTGATGACTATAATTACTGATGCGACGAAGTCATGACAACAAAGAGTGAAAAATGCGTATATATGTATATAGATGTGCATGAGACGAGCCGTATTTTTCATCATTTTCGAAATACGTCAAAGGGTTGCCCTTTCTTCAGCCGCATCATCATCAATCTTAATTCAACGTTGTATTCTTTTTCTTTTTCTATTTTTGGTTGGCTTCTTTAAAGGTTCGCCCCCGAAAATAGACCATCGAAAAAATTTGAATTTCAAATTTCAATGAGAATTCTCGGCGCTCTTTTGGTTTTTTTTTTGCGCGGATTTCGTTTTTCGCAAATTTCTAGACGATTTTCCGTAATTGAATCGCAATTTTGTATTGCCTAAAAAAATTAATTTTTAGGAGTAATTTAAAATTTAAAAGAAACCGCGAAAAAATGCGTGGCCGCAATTTTCAAATGGGAGAATTTCGTGTCGTGGCTCGTCAATACCGCAAAAGGGTCTCATATTTCAACGAACGAGCGAAACTAGTGAAATTTAGAGTTTTCTCTCTCGTTCGCAATGAAAAAATTGCTGCGATGAGCCTTTAAAATTGTTTTTGAAAAATTGTTTGATCTCGCAACGGTTGATCATCTGTCTCGCTTTCCCAAATTTTTGGAAAAAAAGGGAATCATTTTTTGTTGAGAGGCGAGTTCCAAATAAAGTGCACAAACACATACATGCACACACACACACACACACGCTCTCAGTCGCCGCCGGCACCATATTTGGTTGGGGGGGGGGCCGCGAAATTTTTTGACGCCGTTGTCGGCCGCCTCAAAACTCTTGATTCGTAATTCGATTGGTTGCCGCCGGCACCGGCGACGCTCGCGGAAATCGTTCGTCTCGAAATTCCCTGTTCTTTTTTTTTGTTTCGTACCACTTTGGTTTTTTTTTTGTTCACTTTCAACTCCTTCTCATCCGCATTCAACTAGTATCGAACTCATTGTGGTCGAGAGAAAAAATCATGAGTAATGTGTTTTCGCCGTTTTCGACTGGTTCATTAGCCCGCGCTTTTAATTAGAAATGAGCTAATTGAGACGATTCATTACCGTAATCTGAAAGAGCACACCCCAAGAGACGCCCATTCGTTTATAAATAGATTATTTTCGCCGAGTTCAAACCGTGAGATTCGATGAATCGTTGCCCCATAATTAGCGTCGTTTTCGAAATTCACGCGTGACTTGAGAATTACTCATTCGCGCGACGCCTCGCTGAATCTATGGTGATATAATGATTACCGTAGTCTTTGGCACAAAGCACGCGCTCACATACAAACTCATATGGAATGATTGAGTCGACGAGAGAGAGTGTGCGAGATTGTGGGTGAGAATCGAGAGACCGTTCAGTTTCAAGAACTTATTGACCAGTTTTGGGTCAAATTCATGATGGTGGGCGGAGCTTCTCATCGGACATCCTCACTATAACTCTTCAAGTGTTTCTCATTGTTCCAGCACTTTCAACTTTTCTTTGAAATCTTGCCAACCTCCTTCCTCACTGCATGATGCGCTTCCGGATTCTGCAACATGTTTCCTCCTTTTGCATTTTCGATTTTATAACGGACTTTAGCCTAGGGTTCTTCTATCAATTTGAAGTACTTTTCCATTTTTTTCTTCTTCTAGAGAAAATTTAATTATTTTAGTATAGTCGACCGGTTTCTATCCCAAATGCTTCTGTGTGTGTGTTTTTTTCTGTCACTCCATCTCAATCCGTCTTCTCAAATAGGAGTTTTGCTCTCGCGCACCCCGAATATGGTAATTATTCGGGTCGGCGCGATCGAATCGGATCAAACATGAAGCAAGTCGCGCATCATTACCATTAAAATGCCCAAATGACACGTTTGTCCTCAAATTTTTGGGCATTTTCTTGGCTGCCGCTCGAGCTGCAGAAGCGTTTGTAGAAGCAGTAGAAGAAGAAGCAGCATCTCTGCTTCTTTTTCGTATACTTGCCGAAGTGGGGCGGGCGTGGCCCCGCGAAAATAGAAGATAGATGGCGAGTAGGGTCTGAGGTGGTGGTGGTGGTGCTCTCCCTTCTCGCTAGCAGCAGAAGCAGCAGCAGTAGCCGCCCTCCTAGCTACTAGTCATGTTTATGCTATGTATGTTTGTGTGTGTGTGTGTGCATTTCGAGGTGTTGCGTAGCGGCTGGGCGACGCGTGCCTCGCCAAACTGAATGTATGTATGTGTGTCCCTCGCGTATCGATTTGACGGCGGCGGCGCGCGTGCGCGAGCAGCGCCTTTCGACCCGACAATTGATGGAAATAGCACGACGGAGGGTGGAGACAGCGGGACACGGCCAGCCGGCTTGTGCCTCCGACAATTTTGTCGTCGAAACTGCGCTTCTTCGAGCAAATCGTTGACGCAACACACCAGCGGTTCACTATTTCGTCGGCCGGCTCTCGTCACCCTCGACGACGAGGAATTGAACGAGGCGCGGAGGGGCGCCGACGGCGAAACAACGCCCGTCAGGCTGGTTTGGTGTATCTCGGCGGCTCACTGGCACTCGCAATACACGCTCGACTCGCGTTCTTTTTCTCATCGTCTTTTCTCGGGCCGAAGAGGAAACCAGGGCTGCCATATCCACTGCGACATCTGTCAGCCTGTCACTAATATTGATCGACTTATTGATTGAATTGTGCATGAAGGGATTGATGAGAATTGTTTGAATTTCCAATTTTCGACCCAATGTTTTGATGCCCTTTTGCTCTATTTCTGGCTTCGTTTCTTCCTCTTCCTCTTCGTTCGTTTGCTTGTTCGTCCGCTGATTCGTTTCGTTCCGTTCGCATCGCACCTTCGTTCCGTTGCATCGCAAAATTTCTTTCGTCCAAATCGTTTTTTGGAGGTTCTAAATAGCAACGAGGCGGCACCGAATCGGGGGACGATCCACACGAAACGGCGACGCAACTCGCTAGCGAACACCTTAATAGAGTAGCAAGACGAAGAAAACCGTCGAAGAGCACCGCGAAACGCACACAAAACGAAACGTAAGAATTCATACCATTCTTGCATTCCTGTTTTCGTCCGCGTCCGCTTCTTCTTGCTCGGTTGAGTTCGATTCCCGCTTGACCGACAACTTTTTTTGTGATGAGACAAATCAGTTGTGAGTGTTGTTCGTTGTGTATGCCTATATATGGAGGGCGCGAGAGAAACAGAAAGTTGTGCTGTCGGCGCCCCCATAGTATTGATTGAATACCATGTTTGGCATTTGTTTTTTCTTGTCGATTCGTGTCTTGTATGCTGCTGATGCTGTTTAAGCACTGACTCATCATCACCACCAGCATCATCATCGTTATTCTTATTATTCTTATTATTATTATTAATATTGAATTGGAACAATGACAAAAGTTGTTGTTCGACTAATCTCTATCTCTCGCATTGAAAAATATTCTTCTTTTTTCTTCTTCGTTGTTTTTTTGTTGATTGTTGTGAAAAGGACTGACGATGAGGTTAATCTTTGTGAGCTCTCGGCTTGGTGTCACACACATACACACACACACACACACACACACATACCCGAAAAAAAAACGCGTCAAAATGCAAATTTTTCGTTTGGAATTTGAAATTAGAGGAGGCGAGACACCGGGAATGAATAAAATGATGCGATAATTGAAAAATTGCGAGCTCACGCCGGAGGCCCCTCTCCTCGAGAGTAATTGGTTTTTGCACCGTGCGCGACTAATCTCTCCGTCCCCATTTTGCTATCGTAGCTGAAATGTTCTGTTGTGGTTGTGTTGTTTTGCTTTTTCTTTTGATTACCCGAAAAAGTGCATCTTGATTTTTTTGTGTTCTTTTTTCTTCAATCGTCCTTCTTTTATTCTCATTTTGGTCTACGTTTGTGTTTGATCTACCGTACATTTTTAAATCAATCCTCATCCTTCTCTCTATTTGGCGCTCTTCTTCGTTGATTATACCCTCACGTTGCTTATCTCATTATCTCTTCCGCAATTTGTTTTGTTTTTCTTTCGTCGAATTCAATTGTTGGCATTTTGCAGCCTCAAGTTGCCGATTGAGAGCAGAAGTGAACGGTTTTCGATAGTGAAGCAGAAGCAGCCGAAATAGCAGCAGCAGAAGAACAACGCGGCGGCAACAGCAGGACCATCAGCAGCAGGAATCATGAGCGAACTTGACCAACTAAGACAGGAGGCCGAGCAGCTCAAGACCCAAATTCGGGTATGGTTTATTTTTGTTTCTGGTTGCGCCTTTCGCGCGTTGCATATCGCGATTTTCTATTCCTCGTCTTGTTCGTCTTCTTCTTCTTCTTATTTCCCATCCCCCATCCATGGACACACATACACACAAATTGTTGGTAATAAGTGGCGCGCGCGCTCTCTTCTCTATTTTCTGTGTTGCGCGCGAGATGTGAGACGAGCCTTGACAGAGCGCGCGAGCGCGTTTAGGCGAGCAGAGATGGAGAGCTGGAGCACTTGTAGGAGGTTGTAGCCAGGCAGGCGCCGCAGAAAATCGATGGAAAAGACGCGCGAGGCGCCCGGCTCTGAAGAAGAAGAAGACGACGACGACGACGAAGAAGATGAGGAAGGTTGTCCTCTCGGGTCCCAGCCATACGCGGCCGGCCGGCCGGTCTCGCTTCTCTGGCAAGCAAATCGTGAGCTGGATCGAATTGAAAGAGAGCAAGCCTTTGGGTTTAATCTGTCTGCTCCTGCTTGCGCCTGACTGCCTCCCCATCTCTATTCATGTTGTTGTTTGGTGGTGGAGTGGTGGAGTGGTGTAGAGCTCTCTCCCTCTCGATTCTGCCCTCGCTGTCTCGCCAATTTTTTTTCTCCATTTTTCGCGAGTCCGGCAGTCCAGTTTGGCGGTGCTGATGGTGGTAATGGTAAAGCAAACGAAAAGAAGAGGGAACGAGGACGTCGACGACGTTTTTTTATGGCCGTCATCAGCTGCATTAGAAGTGGATGATGAAGTTGGGAGCGTTCGTTTCGTGTTTTTTGCAAGCGTTCTAAGTGACCAGTAATGAGGGGTTTCATGGATGAGAAATGAGGAAAAAAGAAGGAGAAGAGCTAGAAAATTGATATTTTTTTTTGCATTTTCCAGTTTCATTGAACATTTCCGATACCAAAATTTAGCTTTTATACTTTGAAAAGATAGAACAATTCAAATGGTATCGTAATTTTAGGATTTTTAGCGAAAAAGGCAAATTGGAGGTTTAATACCTCTAAAAGCCAATATTGATTTCGTTATTTTGGGAAATTAAAATGTTTTTTTTTTTGTAAAATAACTTCCTAAAATTCTCTCATTACTTCTAAAAAAAACAGAGAAATTTTCATTATTATTTCTATTATTGAAATTTTTATTTTTATTAAAGTTAATGAAAATGTGAAAATTTTTAATTTGTTTCAATTTTTATATGCGTTTTTCTATAAAATCATTACCTCGATTAGACATTTAATGAGAGTATCGAAGTTTGAGCCTTGAAACATGAACTCTACTCGCTAATTTGTCTCATATTTACAGGAAGCCCGAAAAGCGGCCAATGATACGACACTCGCCAGCGTTGCCACGAATCTGGATCCCATCGGTCGTATTCAGATGAGGACAAGACGCACACTTAGGGGACATTTAGCCAAGGTATAATTTTTTTCCGAATATTCTTTTTCAAAATAGGTGGTTTGATTGCAGATTTATGCTATGCACTGGGCGTCAGACAGTCGGAATTTAGTGTCTGCGTCACAGGACGGAAAACTGATTGTTTGGGACTCGTACACGACGAACAAAGTTCACGCGATCCCATTGAGATCATCGTGGGTGATGACATGTGCCTACGCACCGTCTGGTTCATTTGTGGCATGTGGAGGTTGGTTTTTTTTTGAAAAATTGCACAAAAATTATAAATTTTGTCTTCTAGGTCTTGACAATATTTGCTCAATTTATTCATTGAAAACGCGCGAAGGAAATGTGCGGGTTTCGCGCGAGCTTCCCGGTCACACCGGCTACCTATCATGCTGCCGGTTCCTCGACGACAACCAGATTGTGACCTCGTCTGGAGATATGACCTGGTAAATTGAATTCGTTTTTTTTCGTTTCTAGTTTTCTTCATCGAAAAAAACCAATGACGTTGTTGTCGTGAGAGGGGCTCTGCGTAGTTAATTTAATGCAGGAAATTGACGGCGTTTCCTGTTTTGTGTGGTTTTTGTCGTTTGATGATAATTGCGAATGTTGCAATGTGGTTTTGGGGATCCCTGGGTCGCTGGTTCGATTCCATACTTCTCCCTCTCTTTTTTTGTATGTTTTTTCCCATTTACACAGAAACCGACTGCTTCAATCGGCGGCGTCTCTTTTTCCTCTCAATTTTTTTCGCCCGTTTCGCCAACCAGGCCGACCGGCCAACACCACACGTAATTTGAGAAAAGCCATTGAGCAGTAGCAGCAGCAGCAGAAGCAGAAGCAGCTTTCCTTGCGTATGGCTAAGAGAAGAGAGCTGCTCCAGCTCTTTCTTTTCCTCTTTGCCGCCCTCTCGCCACTTTTATCTCTCATTCCTCTTGGAGAAAAAATTAGTAAGGAGGTTTTGATTGCACTGAGCTGTCGCGTTCACTTTATTAATATGAGATTTTTTTGGCGCGAGGAACAAAGTTCAATTTTTTGCTGCTCTGCGAAGAGTTTCACCAGATTGGAGGATTATTTGTTGATTGAAAACCAACGTTTTTTTTTTTTTGAAAAACCGGGAAAAAAGTTTGAGCTCTTAATCTTCTTTTTTTGTGTGCTATTTTTGGGGTTTCGCTGGTTTCAAGAGGCTGATTTTTTTCTCGTTTTTGGAGTTCATTGGGGAAATGACAAGAATTTAGAGGAAAGCATTCACCGCCGAAAAATCCATTATTCAGGAGATAATCGTTTAAAAACGAATGGGACCATAAAATTTATGATTTTCGTAATATTTATAGATATCAATTCTCATTTACGACAATTCACTCAATTAGGCGATTATTGTTCACCAAAAAATTAAGAGGAATTGTGAGAAAAATATTAAATGCCGATTATTCACCCAAGATCACCCATATTGTTGATTGAGGCGCTCGATAGTTGTTGAAGAAATTTTGTTTAGTCGAGAAAAAGCAAAAATCTGCTAATTAAACCAAAACAATTATGAGTCATTGAATAATTGGCGAAAAATTTGAATAATTAAATGGTATAATTTGAAAAACAAAAATGAATAATTCCAAAATTAGACTCACAAGGTACCGTAATCAAAATAATTAGAGGTTTTCGAATCGCCTCAAATATCAAAGGAAAATGCTATAAAATATTTTTCATTTTTAAAAAATAATAATTATTTTTATTATCAAATATTTTTTTTCAGCGCTTTGTGGGACATTGAAACCGGCCAACAATGCACTGCTTTCACTGGCCACACTGGAGATGTAATGTCGCTTTCCCTGTCGCCAGATTTCCGCACGTTCATCTCCGGTGCTTGCGATGCCTCGGCTAAGGTTCGATTTTTGTTCACTTGAAATTCTCACAATTTTCTCCTTTTTTCCAGCTTTGGGATATTCGTGATGGTATGTGCAAACAGACATTCCCTGGACACGAATCCGATATCAACGCAGTCGCTGTATGTCATTTTCTCTTTCACTTTTTGTCTAATCAATTTGTATTCTGATTTGTAGTTCTTCCCATCTGGAAACGCATTCGCCACCGGATCCGATGACGCCACTTGCCGTTTGTTCGACATTCGAGCAGATCAAGAGTTGGCAATGTATTCACACGACAACATTATCTGCGGTTTGACTCATTTTCTCGGCAATTTTGTTAATTGATTGCCAATTTGTTTTAGGAATCACGAGTGTCGCATTCTCGAAATCGGGTCGTCTGTTGTTCGCCGGTTACGACGATTTCAACTGCAATGTTTGGGATTCCATGCGACAAGAAAGAGCCGGTAAGTGTACTTTGTTCTTTTGTTTAATTTTTTTGAACACTTGAACACATTTCGCTGATAAAGCAATAAGTCATTAAGGGAAAATTGGATAAGCATGAATAGATGAATTTGTTGAAGCGCACATTCATTAGAACCAATTCTTGCGAAAAACTTTTTCGTTTTAAGAATAATAAAAATTTTTAATCAGGCAAATTGGATTAGTCACACATATTTTTGATTACAAAAAAAAACACATTTTATTGTCGCGATAATACAAATGTTGTGTCATATAATTATTGAAAACGTTTTTTTTCAGTTTTAATCAAGAACAAAATTTTATTGTTCGAGTTTTTGTTGATTCAAAAGTTTACATTTCGTATGGTCGTCGTCGTTTTTTTTATTTCCTCATATTCATTGCCTTTCGTTTCTTGGAAATGAATATGTTGGCGAAAAAAAAGACAGACGAAGGGCGTAGTTAATATGGCGAATATTCGTTGGCTTGCCCGCGCAAGATTTGCGGGGATGTTGTATAGTTGTATAATACATCCGATGAAGAAACATGACCATAAATAGAAGGCAAAATCGAAATAATAAGCTTCGTCATAAAAATGAAAGGAATGATCATACGTTTGGCTGATTTGCAGGAGTGCTCGCCGGCCACGACAACCGCGTCTCGTGCCTGGGCGTAACCGAGGATGGAATGGCGGTGTGTACGGGATCATGGGATTCGTTCCTGAAGATTTGGAATTAGACGAATGAAATAAACAGAGAAAAAGAGAAAACGAAACAACTCGTACTACTACAACTACCCCGAATATACACACACACGCAAAGCAAAGCAAAAAAATCTTGATTTCTTTTTTTCTCATTTCTTACTCATCAATTATTAATTATTACTATTATTACTATTATTATTTTATGTGTTTTCATTTCTTTTTTTTTCATTCACACAAGTACGAATCTCTTGCTTTTTCTTTTCGTTTTCATCATCATCTTCTTCAATCTTCACATCTTTCTCGGACTAGTTCTAGTCGGTCGGTCGTCGTCGAAGCTGCTCTCGCACAAAAATTGGTTACACTATACTATTTTTTGGTTATTTTATTATTTTTCGATTCGCGCGCGCTCTACACACATTTATGTATTTCTGAAGATCCGCCATCTTCCCTTATTCTATACCATATATATATATATATATATATATGCATTGTTTATTAATAGAGAATTCAAGGTTGTTTTTGGCCCTAAACACACATACACCGATATTCTTGTGTTTCATGCATTATAATTTGTACTCACAATTCGAAATTTTCTCTTTTGTCCCTTAATCCTAACTCGAAAAATGCACAATATTTTTGACGTCTTGCGACCTGGAATATTGTTTTGAGAAAGATAGAAAAATTGGCTACTCACCAAGCAACACGTACGAATTTCTGGTATTGTATGTTGGATTTTTCGTTTTGGTTCCTTTTTTCCGGCTAAAGGTATTTTTTATCGACGTTTCGTTTCATTTCCTCAATTTTTCGTGTCGAGACCCGTTTGCCCCGCGAACGCGCGCACCGAAAATTTTGATTGATAGCTGCCACTTCTTCTTCTTCTCTGAAATGATTTCCAGAATACGTTTTCTTCTAATTGATCATCAATTGTCTTCATCTGAGAACACCCTCCATTCACCCACTCCCAAATCAGTGTCGTCTCTTCATTTTCTCGTTGTAGGCGAATTTTGTCGATAACTACAACAAGAGCTCTTCCCTTTCCCCTCCCCTTTCCCCACCCCCTCATGTGTTTTTTCTTGTTCCCCTATCTCCCCGTTCCCCTTCTCTTCCTCGCCCATTTTGAATTTATTTCATTCATTTTTTGTCAACGTTCAATTGTTTTTAATTGTCTTATTATTTTTATTTTATTTTATTATTATATATTATTATTATTATTAAAATAAATTGCTGAAATATTCGAGGAACAAAAAATATGATGGTGATTGTTGAAAAATTCGACTTTTTTTATGTGCCGCGGAAAATTATCATAAAAAGATTTTTTCGGCAGTATTAGGAGTAATTTTGGAATTCCTAATTGCAAGAAATCACGTTGTAAAACCATAAAAGCTCTTCAAACAGTAGTTGTCAAATTTGGTAAATGGTTTTTTTTTAATTAAAAAAAAACCATTAATAAAAATAATTATGTTCCCGCCATTGATAATTAATGATGTGTTGTTACACGAATAAGAAAACTGTGCAGAATAATTACCGTACTACCGTTACTGTACCGATTTGCTTTAGTTTTAAGTTTTAATCAGCGTTTTAATTTGCAGATTTTATTAGGGCGTGAACTTGAATGAGTCAAGTCTTGAATGAATCACCAATATACTGAAAATTTGGTTTTCATTCAAAATTTATCACAAAATATTGTACGTACTTTCCTTTTACATAATTTTTCCAGAAATCAATACAACATTTTCAAATCATATTTCATTAATTTTTGATTCCGCAAAACACTGCCGCAGCATTTTTAAGGAATTTGATGTACCGCAATCGTAAAAAAAAACAAGAGCCTCGAGTGATTTTTCAGTAATTTACAGATTTATGGGGGTTGTGGTCTCGCGCAGAAAAAATTTTCGTATAAAATAGCTGATTTCGAGAACGTTTAATTTTTATATCCTTGAAAATGCAAAAAAAAAATTAAAAAACGTAGTTCACTCGAAAATAATAAAAAAAAAAACGTTTCGAGACCATGACGAAATCCGCAAATCGACATTAGACATGCCAGATATAATCGAGGTATTCTCCTTCAATGAAAAATAAAATTAAATTTAAAAAACTGTTTTAATTTCACTATTAAATGAATTCATACAAAAAATGTAATATTTTGAAAATTGTCCAAATTGTGTTTGAATAATGGAAAAATAGAAAAAAATAAATTGTCTTGGAGTCAATTCAAAAACGACTCAGAAGACAATACGAACACTCCAGGATTACGAGTGAATGGCCGCAACCTCACACACCTGCGGTTTGCAGACGACGTCGTGCTCATAGCGCACAGTCCGCAAGCGGCATCCGAGATGCTAAGTGAGATGGTTGCGAGATGCGAACACCTCAACGCGCCTCAACAGGCGAAGGACGAACCGACTAAGTGACTAAGTGAATAGTGGCAGAATAGTTATTAATTGGCGACTCAAACCCAATCGAATCCCACAAAATTTGGCACAGAAATCAATGAGATCCGATTGGTAATTCGACGGATAACATCGTAAAATTGTCAGATTTGAATTGAAAAATTTAGCCAATCGGATAAGGTTAATTCCGAAATCAAGTTTTGTCCTCAGGCAAATCAAATCAAATATTTTGAGAATCAAATATTCAATAATAAACTCTAAAATATTCTAAAGTTTACTGATATATTTTCTAAAACTTATTGAGAATCTTAAAAAAAATATTTTTAAAAGTCTTATAAGATTTTCTAAAATTTATTGAGCAAATTCTACATAAATTATCTTAATAAATTATAAAATCTTGAAATAATTTTTAAAGTTGATTGAGAAAATTCTGAAATATTATAGAGATTCGTTAGTTTCTCAATGAACGAAAAAATATTTTTTTCTGAGTGGGATCCGCTTGGTTTTGAGGTGCCGGAGATCTCCCGAAGCCCGTCTGAGGCTCACACGAATTGGCGAATCTTGCGCGATTCGTCCCCAGAAAAAATTTTATAATACTCGTTGAGTTATTTTTGAAGATTTGAAAGTTTAAAACATTTGAAAAAAAATAGCAATTTTCTCAAATCAATGGAGCACACTTTCTGAATTTTTGATTTTGGACGCTCACAATGCTCCAACACGATTTCAGTCTCGTTAACATGACCGAGAGTTTTAGTTAATTATCGATTGATTATTGATTGATTATTTATCGAATATCGATTGATTACTGATTTGTATGTGATTAATTTGTGATTGATTTTAGTTTAAGAAAAAATTTCAGTTGTAAATAATTAATTATGCTAATAATTCTCATCGAAATAAAACTGTTTAAACAAAAAAAAAACAGATTTATAATCAACTATACAAAGACAATTGTTTCACATTTTTTTCGTATTATTACAGGCAACCCGGCATTGAAAATTTGTGGAGAACAATAAGGAAAAAAAAACAAAAAAAACAAAAAGAAAATGTTAAGAATTATGCCGAAGAATTTAATCGATTCGTCGTGCCGATTTTTTCGACGACAATACATTTGTGGGAAGCGACAAATGATTGTGGAGATCAACGAAATTCGGAGCGTCTCGCTCGAAAAATGGCACGAGTTTCGACCACCAAAACCAATTGAGCATACTCGATTCGTAAAGATTCTCGTGATACGCCAATGCCAGCGAGTGATACTCAATGAACATTCGCGTTGAGACCGTGTACCTGAAAATGAATGGTGGTTACGGTAGCATTAACAGCTTCAGATTACCCAAGAATGACGTCAATGAAGTAGTGCTTTCTGGAGAGGAGAATGGCGATCAATGCGATATAAGCAAGCGCGTGGTACAAATGAGAAAGCGGCTGGAAACAAAAAAAAAACAATTATAGCCGAATGTCCTTGGATTCGAGTTTTCGAATTCGAACCTGCAGCTTCTTCGGTGCGTAGGTCTTGAAGACGAGAAACGCGGTGAAAATGGTTAGCGTGTGTCCCGACACGATGAGATCACCGCAGAGTTCGCGCGGTCGAAGCTGCTCGACGCCGGCACTCCAGAACATCTTGAAGACACGTGCGGCGACGAGCTCGGCCGACGAGTTCTGCTTCGGCGCGCAATACGTGTTGACGGATGGGACGGGCACTTGAAGAACGGTGACGCACAACGCCCGGAACGTGTACGACATGCCGATGCAGAAGAATGCGCGCCGGATGACGATCCATCTGAAATATTTCATCAATGAACTTGCTCTCGAAGTGATCGGAATTCAAAGTAACAGCGAATGCCTCGAATTTCTTGATTCTCGCGTTTGGCAGGGAGCCGGCAAAATTGCGTGAGCACAAACCGGTAGAAGGTTATCAAAAATCGAGAAGGAAGAATCGAACAATATTCATAAAGTTTTGGTCCATACATATAGGTTATTTTTGATGCTGAACACGATTTTCGCACTGGTTAGTCTCAAAAGATCGAAATTATTGCGCACCGCTCAAATTTGAGAGTTCTGCAACGCACTGTATGTATCAGGGCTGTGCGGCAATGGAATTGCCGATTGCCGAAATTGCCGAAATTGCCGATTTTTCAAATTGCCGAATTGCCGAATTGCCGAAATTTATATTTTCGGCAATTTGATATCAAAAAAAATCGGTGAAACACAAATCAATGTCCATTGAATAATTTGGGATACCGTGAAAATTCGGTATTTATATTTCGAATTATTATTGAAAACATTTAATAGCCGAAATTTTGATTTTCGGCAATTTGCCGAATTGCCGAATTGCCGAAATATCCGATTGCCGCACAGCCCTGGTATGTATGTTCAATAAATTGTATTGTCAATTTAAACGACCTTTGTTGTTTTTTGGAAAAGTTATTTCCTTTTTTTTTGGATGCACACCAAATTTTGCCGCACTTTGTCTTGTCTGTCCAACAATGATTGTCATTTAAAATTTGAACTGTGGTCTCAAAATATCAAAATTTCTGCTAAAAAGCGTTGCTTGCTATTTTTCTATTATTATGCGATTTTTGATTTCTTCGATTATTACCAATAATGCCATTTGTCTGCTTACATAGTCGCATTTTATTTTACGGGACCAATTAGTTTTTATTGATCCGCTATACGTGTTTTTCGATGTGCGGACAATTTTCAGGCTATTCGCAGAAGGATTATGGCCGGATTTACCTGTGTTGGTGAGTCAGCATGATGACAAACGCGTTCACGATGAGAATGAGCATGATATATTCGGTGATGCGAATCGCCCCTTCGACTTCTGGGAAGAATGAGAAGAAGACGTCGGGAAGGGGCGCGGTGTCGCGCGGAACCCGCTCGTGAATCCACGCCAACGCGATCTCGTTGAGAAACCAGCCGAGAAACTGAAAATGTCCGGATCGGATCGGATCGGATCGGATTGGATTACCAAGAAACAAAGGGCGACGAATGTCGGCCATTTCCGAGGTTTTGGAAACGATTGCTGAAAATCGATGTCGGATTCGGACGGCATTCGGATTTCGGTCGAATCTTTCGCAAAGAATCTGAAAATCGATCGAGTAAGTATAAAAGAATTTTCGGAAAAATCACAGGAGAGCCCTTTTATTGATTTTAATGGTCCCTAAAGTGTCAAAAATGGATTTTCGAATTGAGACCGATTCCAGTAAAGAACTTGTCATCGTAATCGCCCAACGGATATTAAAAAATGAGTCAATTGGTGCTGATCATTGAAAGTAGAGGAAATTGAGGAACAAAATTGTTGAGGGAATTCTCAAACGATTCAATATTTGCTTTTAAACTCATTTTTTTTAGCTCAAAAGTTCAGCGATCGATCAAAAATGGACAAAAACGAGGTTTGATTTTTCAAGCCGCAACATGTCCGCAGCATTCGCTAAACACCTTCAAAATATTCAATTGAAATAAATGTTTGATTTTTAATGACCAATCAAAATTGTCCGCAGATGATCAGTTACCTCATGCTCGCTTCATCGTGCTCGTATCTCCGGAGTAGTGATTCGTTCTCGGGGCTCGTCTTCATTCTGAAACCAGAAAAAAAACGACGATTATTTATTTGGTAGACGATGGGTCGAACGAAAATAGGGCGTGGGAAATTGGAGGCGAAGTGAAAAACAAAAACAACACCACTAACTAATATGATATTGTTAATTACATATCTCACTATAAATGGACTATAAACATTATTGGCGTTGTTTGATTTTTACACCAAATGGCGAAACCTCGAGGAATGCCCGCAGATGAATATTGATATGAAAGTGGCGTTCCCTCATTTCTGCTTTTGAATAGTTTTTGCGCAAAATGAAAAATGTGGTCTTTTTTGAAAAAAAATAACGAAAATTCGATTGAATCTGGCGAGTTTGTAGAACGAAATTTCGAAAATTGATAAGAATACGGCAGCAGAGACAAGAAAATATGGTTTGGCATTATCAGAGGCCCATAAAATCACCGATGTGTGGACACAAAACAAAAAACGCTCAAAAAGGGTCCGGACTCAAATCAGAATTTTTTTTTGTTAAACAAGAGATTGGTGAGAACCCAAAATGTTAAAAGTCGAATTTTGAGATATTCGCATTTTTCGGAACGCCAGGATTTTTTTTTTGGTTTTTGAGAAATTCGTCGAATAAATGGGGCCTACAGTCCACAGTAATTCAAGGCGCCTCAAATTCCATATTTGATGGTAGCACATTGGTGGCCGAGAAAAAAAAATAGTTAATTAAAATTTAAAAAAAATTCAAAGATTCAAAATAGATTTTTTTTTTGAAAAGTTAATAATGAAATCATTTTTAAAGAACACATCGTTTGTTATGAATTTGCAGCTTCGGGCATGTTTTTTCGAGAAAATTCGGCCGCTGAAATGCAAAAACGTCAAAAACATGATCATTGATATTCAGAAAACCGGAAAATAATTGTGACTTCTGCATTTTTTCTCATTTTTAGCCACTTTCAAAAAATTGGGATGGATCACACAATGGATCAAACGCGGTTTTTCTGTTGCTGTTGTTGGTGGAGAAATAGTTGTTAAAACCATGTGAATTTGTCAAAGTTTTTTTTTTCTGCAAATTCGAAAGTTAGCTCGAGTGTTGGTCACAAAAATGATTGATAAGTAATATTTTTTCTAGAAGCTGATAAAACGAAAAATCATCGATAAAATCAAGCTGTCAGAATTCAACAAAATTGGTACGGTTTTTGAAAAAAAAAAGATATGCTCCTTAAAATAAAAAATAATCGCTTCAAAAAATTGCAAAAAAAAGGTTTTCCGAGTTTCGCAATTTCCTCCGGAAACTACAAACATCGGAACCATTTCGAAAACCACAAAATGGGCATTTTGTGCTTATCAAAATTTGTGATGTACGTGCTCTAGATGGTGATTAATATTAGAGTATAGTTTGAATAATATTTTCAACTATTCTTTTGCATAAAAAATGGCGGAGAGCTATAAAAAAGTGCACAATGACCGGCGAAATAATAATGAAATATTGTGTGAAAGGCTTCGACATTTTTTTTGGAAATGTTCATTCATTGAATATTTCCAAAAGAATTTCCAGCAAATTCTTTAATTGTTTTTTTTTTCAAAATTCAGGCTTCCTTCCTGATGATGTGCGAGAAGAAGAGTGCAAATCACAAGGCATTTTATAGTTATGCACTAGATAACAAATTCGAGCTCGCGCCAATTGGTTTTTGCTCACACAAATAAGTGATGTCTGTAAAAAAACAAAGAGATTATGAGGATTTTTCAAAATTGCCGCGCAACGACGGCGGCGGCGGCGAAATTTCAACGCAGGCGTTGCTAGGCATCGCGTCGAACATAATCAAAACAGGGCATGGAAACGAAGCGACGATCATATTAAAAAAACAAAACATCTTACAATAACTAACACACACACATAATCCATAATCCCGAACCAAACACACACACCAAAAAAAGATAATAGTGGAATAATAGGAATGGAATGGATTGGCTGACGGTCATAATCAAAAACAAAACCGGTGCAGCGAATATCGAATTGGGGCCAGAAAAAATATACAAAAAAAAATTGACAGTTGAAAATTTATTATATGATGTCAAACTATTCTTTTTTTGTCTTTCCTTTTTTCGAAAAATCTCGCCTCTGCTATAAAATCGCTTTTAATCAGATCGGGACCTTCAGAAATCAGTGGAGAAGAGGGTAATTTTTAAAAAAATTTTCCATTGCAATTTTAAAATTTTTTCATTGCAATTTTCAAATTTTTCATAAATTATCGTAGTTCAACAAAAATTTAAATTAGGGCACGTCGCAAATTGCTAAATTCATGTTTTCTATCCAGAAAATTGAAGAAACTTATATTTTAAAGAGATTTCATGAGAATTAATGAAATGTGTGCACTTTTGCGTGCGCGTGTACCGATGGGACTCTCCAACGAAGCTTCAACCTTTCAAAAAAAAGTATGCATATATTGTCGAATGAATTTGAAGTATTTGAATTTCGCGGGCTTCTAATCAATTGGCATCGTAGAACAATATGAACTTATTAGGCTATTTCGTTAATTCCAAAGTTTTTTTCCATGCGAGACCTAATGGTGGCAATTCAAATGAAAAATGAATGATATTCGAAAAAATCACGAGCACCATTTGGCGATTTTCTCGAATTCCCATTATTGAAGTTCAAATTTGAATTACCGCCTAGGAGAAAAAAAATGCGATGGTTCACAATTAGGTCAAAATGCTCGGAAAAGGCTTACGAGCTAAAAATAGAAGGCTGATAAGGAGAAGCGGCTCATAACAGGCAACTTGTAGAGGAAGGGGGGGGGTTATCGTGAAATAAAATAACAATGGATGGGGGGGGAGTTTCGAAACAAAATGAGTGGTTTCGGCAGCACACGACGGCAGCGGAGTGCACAAACACTTTTTTGTTTGATTATTGGGAAGGAGCGCAAAAAAAAATTGCGAGGGGCGGAGCAGTCGGAGGAGCACACCGCTGTTTGCTCTCGGCTGCGCACTACGAGCGCCGCGGCGACACTTCGCCGACTCGAACTCGATTACTGGTATGTGTATATTCGCAAACTTTTCGAGTTATTTCGAGACTGTCTTTTTGTGTTCTGGTAAACACGACGAACACAGACAAAAAGAAACGAGTTTCGAGCAATGTTCGCCAAATTTTGAACCGGCGATTCACAAAAATCGAATTGAGCGTTTTGAACGCATTGCATCCATTGATATTGGTGCTTCAAATTTCCGAATTTTTTCATTTATTTCTTTTTCGCCGCGTAATTCTTTCAAATTAGTTTCGAATTCAGATTTTAATCAATATTAGCCGATTGGTTTCAATCGGACCAAAAATATTATCGGCCGATGTGAAGAGAGAATATTCAAAATTTATTTCAATTATCTACAGTAATCTTTTTGGTGCAAACACGCTCCAATGCTTGAATGTGTGGGATACAGTGTGTTCCCAAAAAAGGCGGCTACAAGATTTTTTCGCGATAGGACCTTGTAGTCTCGTTTATATAAATATCACAATTATCAAGCGGAAGCGCACGCGAACCGCGACGCGTCTGGCGACATACAATAATTACGGTAGCCTCATTTTTTTTTTTTTGAGAAATAGACTAAATCATATTTTGAGCGTATTTAAGAAATATTAAAAAAAATGTTATTGAAATATTTTTTCAATAATATATTGAAGTGCGATATTGGATGCTTGTGGATGAATTTCATCGACGGGAATAATCATCGGTTTAATGAATTTGAATCCTAACAAAAGCTGGAACTGATTTCAGGTCAACAAGTGAGTGATGAGCTGCGGACATATTCCGGGTTAATCAAATGTTCATCGATTCTCAATTGACAAATCCATTTCAATATTTGATAATATTCAAATAAATTCGATTTCTATAGTATTTTTTTTGAGAAATAGACTATATAATAAATATTTTGAGCTCTCTGTATTTATAAATTCTGATAGTTAAAAAATATTATTTTTAAGTTGAAAAAGAGATGTGTGATTTTGAGTGCGTGTGGATGAATTTCATCGACAGGGCGCCGACCGCAATTTTTTTTTGAATATTTTCCTCACATGTCTACACTTTTCAATATCTTAAAAGGCAACATTCTCAATTTTTTGTTATTTCAACATAATCAAGTCAGAATAACCATATATAGCTGCGGACATATTCCGGGTTAATCAAATGTTCATCGATTCTCAATTGACAAAAATCCATTTGGATATTTGATAATGTTCAAATAAATTCGATTTCTATAGTATTATCGATTCCATTCCCTCGGAATCTGATTCGGCTTGGTTCAAATGACACCCTGTCGAAAATGTGCCAACATCTCGGTTCGCACAAATTGTAGTGGTCCCATTGGGAGCATTCCTGTTTTTTTTGTCTTGTTCTGCTTTCCCCTTTTTTCAACTGAATGTCTCGGGGCTCACAATAGTCGCAAATGTGCGAGATGACATGACGAGACGACATGGCGACAATTGTGGTCCCAAAAATAAGCAAAAAATAACCAACGAGAATGTCCGCAGATCAAAACGGAAGAGTTGAGTTTTTACTGTCAATCATTTATCGTCAAATAACTGAATTTTTTGTTTTTTTTTTTTTTTGTTTGAAGATTCGACTGTTAAAGGAGAATTATTCATGGTGATTGAAATTTCCAGATTTTTCTGTAAAATTCAAAAAAATGCTGAAAAGAAATTAATAATCCATATATTGAAAAACAAAAACCGGTTTATTTTATCCATTTTTGAAACGACTCAGTCAGCTCGAATTTTTTTGTTTGATTCCAATCGAAATGTCACGGAATCCACCCCATTCATCAGTCGGTCGCAAGTCGTCGAGAGTCCCTCATGGCTAATCATTTTCGCCGAATTTGTCCATCAATTTTCGACATCGTCCTCGTCGTTTTCATGCTCGGCCGGCCGCCGCCGTCGTCGTCGTCGAAAGATTCAAAGATGTGATACGAACTTTCGACACTCCTGGATTATGGCACCACAAGATGTTAAGCCGTCTTGTTTTTACATTTCCGCGCGAGCACACACACACACGACAACCGAAGAAAAACGCCTTCCGTGTGATGATTTATGTGCTGCGGACAATTCGCGGCGAATTTGGTTCGCAGATGAAAATCGCCAAAAAATTGCGGCTCAAAATTTTTGTAGTGAATGATTTCAAGAAATTGTGCTGCGGACAATTCGCAGCGAATTTGGTCCGCAGATGAAAATCGCCAAAAGTTGCGGCTCAAAATTTTCGTAGTGAATGATTTCAAGAAATTGTGCTGCGGACAATTCGCGGCGAATTTGGTCCGCAGATGAAAATCGCCAAAAATAGCAGCGCAGATTTTCGTCATTTCAAGAAAATGTGCTGCGGACAATTTCGTGTCGATATTGTCCGCGGCTAGAAAAACAAAAGCTGAACGTTGCCGTCACATAAAACAAAACCCAGTGCAATTTTTTCTCGGTCTCCACCCAGATTCGTCGGAAATCCCTTCAATTCCTAATAAAATCGGAATACTGTAACGAGCCGTCGGCTCTCCCCCGGAATAAATTAGTCGAATTTTAAGCAGGCGAAATTGCACCATAGATGGCGAAAAAGTCGGCGTCGCCGCAATGTGTGTAATCCATCAAGATTCAGATTGATATCTCATCGAGGCATCGACGCGCCCGTAGGGGAAGGGTGTGGGTGAACATGGCGAACAACCAGCATGAATGCCAATTGATACATTTCGAAAACGGCGAGGAGCCGAGTCGAAATGGCACACTTTCGCCATTTCAATCACATTCATTCTCTCCTCGCCTTTTATGGTCACTGCCGGCGCGCGCGTAATCCTCGCGACAGATTCTTATCGCAAATTTGCGAGACACTTGTCAAGAATGTGTTGGTTTTAACACCCTCGACGAGACCGGCGGATAATCATCGATGATGAATTGATATGTCAATGTCATGCTGCCGACATTCTACCGGGATATCGCCGACATCCCCCCCTTCGGGTTAATAGGCCAAAAATATGTGTCAAAATCAAAGCATTCAGCAATTTCATCTGCGGACAACTTTGCGGGTTTTTATCAATAATTGAATATCGCTCAGTTTTTTTTCTAAAAAAAAGAGCTGCGGACAACTTGCGGGTATCGCTAGAATGCATTGTCTTCGTTAGTTTCCAGGCAACATTTTTTTGCATTTCCATCCACTGACAGTCTCAATCCACCCCCCTAGATCATGTCCGCAGATGGATTGCTACCTTTTGGTTTCTGTTTTATGGAGATTTCACCTCCCGCTGTGACTGCAACCATCTGCATATTACAAGGGACCATAAACATTTACGGAGCACTTCTAAACAACTCCTTTTATTTTGCGCGCACGTTTCGAATAAAATGGCGAACAAGAAAAGAGGAGAAACTGTAAAATTCTCGCGTCGTCGACAAAATGTCAATTAGTAGACATACCGCCTCGAAATTATCATAACAATGGTCGGCAACCGTATTGTTGTCGCACACACGGGCGGCGCTTATTACGACCATTCTGTCCCCCCTTCGCCAAGCGTTTCCAATTCTACCGTACCCTCGATTGGGTCTCGTATCGCATCGCATTGATTACGACGACGACGACGACGATGATAATGATAATGATGATGATGAAAAAGGTGCGGGCGATATTGGCCGATTTTATGTGCTTCTGAACTCGCACTTCGCCTAATTTTTACGAGCGCCGCGCATCGTAAATCTACATACTATTTGAGATGGGATAATTCGCGTGAAATACAGTATATTCGAATCGTGCTGCGGACATTTATAAGGCGCGCAAATTGAAAAATTTCATAGTTGTCTGTGATTTGGCTCAACGAAATGTTCCGCAAAAATTTTCTATTTACCTATGGTTAAATTCAATTGGCCAAAAGCCGGTAACTGTCCGCAGATTGTTTTGATTAATTCAACTAACATTTATCAGCAATCAATTGTTGGACATATTCCTTTTAAGACTAATTATCTAATAATAACGTTCGCCGTAATGCGTTTCGCCCATTTTTGGTGATGGAATGAAACCTCCGCCTCCAGTGGTGATTTTACACACAACAATTAGTAAAGCAGCAATTTTTGGCGTATTACAGTAATCGTATGGGAAACGATGTTGGCCGAAATTATGATGACAAAGGGAACCAGCAAAAAACGCACACATACACACCGGCGATGGCAAGAATGAATGGCCCGGAGGGGCCCGGCCGTCGGTCGCCGCCAGCGCGCTCTCCTATTGGCTGGCCACGCCCATTTTTCTCGGGCCGCGCGGGCGCCAAGGCGTCGAAATCTCGCATTGTTGGTCCGTTTTCGAGGTGCTGGACGACGAATTGTGAATCGCGAACATGTCGAAACGAGCCGCTGCAAGTCCAACCATTGCCAACTCAACCGGTGCCACAGTTGCCGACGATGATGGTCCCAACGATGAGGAAATTGTTAAAGTCAAGGTTCGTCGTACATCGCCGCTTCTTTTTCAATTTTGTTGTTGTTGAAAGTGTGACAAAATGAGTGATTGCTCGAAATTCGTCCGCCCTTGATAATCCACAATCGTTTTCGAAACAAATTGAAGCCCAAAAATGGCATTTCTCTGAATTTTTTTTTGAGTGCCTCATAATTTCGACATCATGTTTCATAACTCGACGATTTTTGCAAATTTTCGAGTCTTTTCGAATTGTCTAGACATATTCCAGAATTCGTTTGATATTCTGGAACCGATGAGTTTTTTTTTTGATTTTGAATTTTCGGGCCCATCAAAAAATTTATTTTTTTTTCGCAGCGAGACCCAATAATATTGTTTGTATGCCAAAAAATTTGGGTTTTTTGACGATTTCAAATTTTTTATCCAAACATTATTTTTTATTAATTTCTTTCAAAACAATCTGGTCATTTTCTAGAAAATTTCAATCCTCAAATCCGTTCCTTCGATACATTTTTGATTTTTTTGAAATTCTTATAAAAAATATTTTGAATCAAAAAAAAAAAAAAAACAAATTTTGTGACAAAAACGTGAAACGAAATAAATTGAAATTTCTGGATATTTTAAATCAATCATCAAAAATTGTTCATCGACAATTATTTTTTAAAATTCATTTCAATTCGATTCTTCAACCTTTCTTCGACAAAGTGCCCAAGAATCTTGACAAAAATATTCTAAAATGCGGGTTTCTGTCTAATAATTGCATTTTTATTTCTCTGAAATTTCTTCCTTCTTCGGATTAGAAAAATCTCAATTCAATTTCATTTTTTTTCGTCAGTTTTTGCGTTATCATTCAACACTTCAATCCAATTCTAATTTTGTCCAAAAACGCCGCAAAAAAGAACCAGCATTCCCATGACCATTTCGCCGTTTAACGACCACCCGGTCTACCGTAATCAATCAATTTCAGAAAAGCAAATTCTCGATCGAAACGATTCTCGAATGCGACGACGACATCGTTGCGAAAGAGCCGCCAACAAAAGCGACGCCGAAAAAGGAAATCGCGTCGAGACCCAAACCGAAAATTGGAAAGAAAATCAAAGTATGAGCTTTATGTGGAATGTGCTATCGAAATCCATATTGTAGGAAGGCAATCTGGCGGGAATCGATTGCAAATTGGAAGGCGCCGAATTATGGGAGAAATTCTACGATCTCGGCACCGAAATGATAATCACAAAAAGTGGAAGGTTCGTCGGGAAAAATTGTCGTCGAGGAGTATCTCAAACAGACCGACGACGAGCTAATTTTCGAGCTAATTTTTCGAGCGCCAACCCTTTCAAGCTGATTACATTCATCAAGTTAACGAGCTTCAGCACTCAAAAATGTGCGAAAAACATTGGCCGAGCACCTCGCCAAATGACACCCCACCAAATTTGTTCGCCAAACGAGGATTTTGACATTCAAAAAGAAAAAAAATATATATCAAATTGGAAACCAACGAAAAATTTAAATTGATTGTAATGCGTGTTATCCCTCATTATTCCCAATTTTGAATTTGCCGCGCAACAAAAAAATTTTCCATGGTCCGCAAACACCGCAAGTGATCGTTTTTAACTACTCAGCGATTCGAAAATAACGAACCGGGGTTTCCAAAACTTTTTTATCCTACGAGTACGAAACTCCAATTATACATCGCCCTCAATTTAGTGTGGCCCCTTGTTTCGACTAATTGAATTGTTTTCCATGCTCGGACCAAAATGTTATTCAAAACCAAAAACTGTCCTCCAGTTCGTCTAGATCGAATCGCCGAGTCATTCAAATTTTTATTCTATTATGGCATTGTGTGGATGAGTTTTTGAAGAAACCATCTGCGGACATTATTGCCGTTCGCGGTACAATTTTCAAATTTGACACATTTGCGCGTTTGTCCTCGATAATTCAAAATCCACTCAATTCGCTCCTTTGGTCCAGTCCGCGAGTGTGTGTGTGTGTGTGTGTGACAGTAATCACCTACCGTAACCCGTGTTCACTTTCCCGTCGGATGTGATTTTCAATCAAGCATCGTCGCGCTGCGCGTTTCACGCCGACAAGAATGAGGCAAAAAAAAACACGAAAGAAAATTGATGGGCGCTTAATGTGAACACATTACGCCCTTCTTGTTCATCTGATTACGCCCGGATTACTGTAGCAATAGTTCATTTGATTGCAGGCGAATGTTCCCGACAGTCAAAGTCTCGTTTAGCAATGTGATCATTGATGCACTCTACTATGTTTTTCTTGATGTGATACCGGTCGACTCAAAGAGGTGAGTCGCTTAAAGGAATTGATCTGACTCGCCCGAATTGAGCATAATTTTGCATGCGCCTTTAATGAGTACTGTAGTTTTCAATTGACATTTAACCAAGACCAAATCGAAATTGACTGCCAAGCCCACTCTAATCGTTCGACGTCGACAATACCAAACTTGGTATTAAAGAAATAATAAAGAAGACGCAATTGAAATTTGTGTAGGCTTGAAATTTTTCTCAACGACTGAAGTTTTTAAATATTTTTAAATTTTTCATTTTTGTTTTTGAAAAAAAATTGGCAATTTATTTTTTTTTTATTAAAAACAATTTTCCGAATTGCATACAATTTCTTTTTCCTTTGTTTTATATTTTTCAAATTTTAAAGAATTTCTTTTTTAAAAAGGATTTATTAGTGTGAAACGAAATGTGTTTAGAATTGCGTCGTCGTGTACGCAGATTAAAAAAAACGAAAAACCCACATATTTTAAATTTTTTCTTGATGAATTAAATTTTATAATACTAAAAGTATTCATATGATCCTTTCGTTTGGTCGTAGAAATGATTGCTACAATTTGCTTATATCGCTTGCCTATATTTTTTTTAGAATAAGAATATCAAACGTAATTAACGTTTTGTGGAAATCGCGCGACTTCGGAATATTGGCTAAATGCCAAAAAATTTAAAATGAGTTTTCTATGTGCGCCTTTAATCTACCCTTATGCATTGTCCCGTAAATCTACACTTTTAGTTTTATGCCAAGACCATTGTCATCAATTTGCTTTGTCATTTAGCCAATTTTCCGCAGTCGCGCGACGTCGACAATTATTAGTACTCACAAATGCATTTAATTGTAATTAAAATTTCAATTTTTCTCATTTTGCTCAAATTTTAATAGCGCATTCTTCAAAATTGACACAAATTTTCAGATACCGTTACATTTATAATAAATCAGCATGGTTAACTGCCGGAAAAGCGGAACCAGTGCCAAAAAATCGAATGTATCTTCATCCGGATTGCCCATTTTCCGGCGAACAGGTTTTTCTTTCATAAATCAATTTTCTATTCATTTTTGTATTTATTTTTAGCTTATTAAACATGTCATATCTTTCGAGAAAACCAAATTAACGAATAATGACGTCGATAAAACGGGTCATGTAAGTTTTGAAGTGATTAAGAAATTTTTGAAAACGAACGAAATATTTTAGTTGATATTGAACTCGATGCACAAATATCAACCGCGAATTCATATAGTCCAGAGATCGAAGCACAATCCACTTGATCCGAATAAAGTCAAACTCTCCGAGGAGCAATATTGCACGTTCACGTTCCCGGAGACCCAATTTATGGCAGTTACAGCTTATCAAAATCAATTGGTTTTCTATATTTTTCGGAAAATTTCAACAAGTTTTTTTGTGTTTCAGATCACAAAATTGAAGATTGAGAAGAATCCTTTTGCGAAAGGCTTCCGTGATCCAAGTGGAAGATCGCCAGATGAAATGTAACTTTTCCATTTGTTTTTTTTTTCTCAAATTTCGGTTTCAATATTATATTGAATATTCAGGGAGCGACCTGATATTTCACCGTTGATGCTTTCCAATTTCTACCAGTCATCTGCAATTCAGAACTCAATTCTTCAACAATGTAATTTCAAATTTTAATTATTCATTCCATTCGTTTCTTTTTGCTTCAGGTTTTTCAAAGTCCTTGCAATTCACCAATCTGAACCCTTCAATGCTATCGCAAATGCTTTTTTACCCGTCGATGACTCCCAACTTCAACCCATCGAATCCTCAAATTGCCCAAGCATCGACCCCACTTAAAACTGAAATTGCTGTCAGGTTTATCTTATTATTTCAGTTTCTTCATTCAATTCATGTTATTTCAGCCCTGAATCATGACTTTCGCTGCCTTCGCCGTGCCTCGGGTCCAATTCTGTAAATTATTTCATCAAAATAGTCTCGAGAATATCCCGCGTTTCAATTTTTGCCGGTTTCTTTTCATTTTCACGTTTTTCCCCCGGTTAGAATAAATGATTTTAATAAATTTACAAAGAGCCAATTTATTTTAATAAAAATAATAATCTCGCCGCGAAAACTATATTGTAATTTAGTTTTTCATATTATTTTCGTTGCAACGTCACACCGCGTGAACGCTATTTACTCAGTTTAGTGTATTTCGCCAGTAAATTTTTCATTTTCAAATTTTCAAACCGCCTGTTTTCAACTTTCTTGATTTTAAATTGAATTTCAATAGAATTTAAGAAAAAAATGAAAAGTTTGTTCGATTTTTAGAATTTCGATTAATTGTGCTAAAATTAGCATTTTTTTATTTAAAAAAAAACACTCACTGACTCTTCGACATTGTTTAGAATTTTATTTCTCCTGAAGTTTTTCAACAAAAAATACCATGTGAGAAATGTGTTTACTGAAAAGAGTCGATATGTGAGCGTTGCCAATTTCTAAAGAATTGGTTTGATATATCACTGATGATAGATCATGAATTCATCTCAAGAACGAAACGGCCAATACGCAAACGTGGGGCATAGACCACGTGGACCAGTGCTTCATATCTTTATCGTTGTTCGGTTCCTCCACTCTTTCGCCACTGTTGACCGTGACAGTTGTTCAATTTCCACTCGCTCTCATTTTTTGTCGTCTTTTGATTTCTTTGCGTTTGTCTCAAAGTGCTCGTCGTTTAAATTTTTATTGAAATTTTTTTGTAAAATTTTTCTCGAAATTTTTTGTTCATGCCCAGATTTATTTCTCTTTTTTTTTCGAATAACTTCCCCATCAATGGATCAACTCTTATCTTCTAATCAAAATAACATTTCCTTATCACCACCGAATTGTCTCGAAAACGTCGTTTTCTCTTCAATTTCCTTTTTTTGCTTTCAGGTTACTTGTGGTACTCCCGCTCCTTGCAAAATGCTCTCCCGTCTTGCTCGTGTTCAGGTAATCCTAATTTCGTTTTGCAAATCACAGAAACAAGGAGTGTAACAAAAAGGTCGATGACAACTGTTATGTTGGACATTTGATTTTATCGAGAATAATGCTTGTGATGAGAAGAGTCACGTTGTGATTAAAAATGATGTGCAAAAAATGTTACTGATCAAAAATGTAGAGTGTCTGCAAGATTCGAACTGAAAAAAACTGGATTTATAGAAATTGGAAAATTTTCAGTCCAAATGCAGCCAGGTTGCTTCCTTCAGCACCTCTAGAGCCGCTGCTGCACCACAGGTATTCCACACTTGTTCACTATAAATCCGAATCTTTTCTTTTTAGACAGTAAAGCTCTGGATCGATGGTCAGGAAGTCGAGTCCAAATCGACTGAGTTCGTTGAGCTCACCAACCCAGCCACCAACGAGGTCATCGGACTTGTCCCAAATGCCACTCAGGCTGAAATGCAAGCTGCTGTTGACTCTGCCAAGAAGGCCTTCGACACTTGGAAGAACACTTCTCCGCTTACCCGCCAGCAGTGCATGTTCAAGCTTCAGGCTCTCATCAAGCGCGACATGAAGAAGCTCGCTGAGAGCATCACCATCGAGCAAGGAAAGACTCTTCCTGACGCTGAAGGAGATGTCAGCAGAGGACTCCAGGTCGTCGAGCACGCGTGCTCAGTTCCATCTTTGATGATGGGAGAGACTTTGCCGAACGTCTCGCGCGACATGGACACTATCTCCTACAGAATCCCACTCGGAGTCACCGCTGGTATTTGCCCATTCAATTTCCCAGCAATGATCCCATTGTGGATGTTCCCAATGGCGTTGGCTACTGGAAATACCATGGTCATCAAGCCATCCGAGCAGGACCCAGGAGCGGCTGCTCTTCTTGTCCAGCTCGCCAAAGAAGCTGGTGTTCCTGATGGATGTGTTAATATCATCCACGGACAACACTCCGCCGTCAACTTCATTTGTGATAACCCAGATATCAAAGCGATCTCATTCGTTGGAGGAGATGCCGCTGTAAGTGTTTTCATGCTGAATTTTTGTTGATAATTCATTTTCAGGGAAAACACATTTACGAGCGTGGAGCCAAGAACGGCAAGCGTGTTCAGTCGAACATGGGAGCCAAGAATCACGGAGTCATCATGGCTGATGCCAACAAGGAACAAACCCTTAATCAACTCACCGCTGCCGCTTTTGGAGCCGCTGGACAACGTTGCATGGCTCTCACCACCGCTGTCTTCGTCGGAGAGGCTCGCTCATGGCTGCCAGAGCTCGTCGAGAAGGCCAAGAAGCTGAAGGTGAACGCTGGATGGAAGCCAGACACCGACATCGGACCACTCATCTCGAAGCAGTCGAAGCAGCGTGTGCTCAGACTCATCGAAAGCGCCAAAAAGGAAGGAGCCAATGTTCTTCTCGACGGAAGCGACGTAACTGTCCCAGGATTCGAGAATGGAAACTTTGTTGGACCAACAGTCATCACTGGAGTCAAGCCAAACATGACCTGCTACAAAGTAAGTACTTGGAAAATCATGAAACAAAGCTGCAACATTGAATTCAGGAGGAAATTTTCGGCCCAGTTTTGGTGTGCATGGAAGCTGAGGATCTCAACGAGGCCATCAGCATCATCAACAACAACCCATATGGAAACGGAACCGCCATCTTCACCAGCAACGGAGCCACCGGCAGAAAGTAAAATTTGACCGATAAGCCTATATACATAGTTCAAATGGATTTCTGTAGATTCTCGAATGAGGTTGATGTTGGACAAATCGGAGTCAACGTCCCAATCCCGGTACCATTGCCAATGTTCTCGTTCACTGGTTCCCGTGGATCATTCCTCGGTGACTTGAACTTCTACGGAAAGGCTGGAGTGCAGTTCTACACTCAATGGAAGACAATCACCCAATACTGGAATGAGTCGCTCACCGAATTGAAGCCGCAAATGTCGTTCCCGCAACTGAAGTAAATTCCTCGCAATTTCCCACTCGTTTCCCCCATCCATCCATCCATCAGATCAGTCACTTTTCTCGAAAAATTGTTTCATGTGCATTTTAGTGCATCCCAGGTATTTACGCACGGAATTTATTAAATATATGTGCAAATATGAAATAATTTCATGACAGCCACCCGTTTTCAAATTGTCGTTTTCTTTTTTTTGTGGATCACAGCTCGATGAGGGTTGAGGATGTCAGAGGATAGTAGCCGTTCGAGTATTGGAAGGGCGCCTTTTCGTCGGGTTCGAGATCGGATTCATCATCTTCGCCGGAGCCCGATGGATCCAAAGTTACTGCGATTATAATAATACCTTGCAAAAACAATCAATAGATACGATCAAGAATTATTCTGAGAATACCTGTGATTAAAAGTGCAACGCTGATTAGTGAAACGATGAGCACAAGTGCTACCGAGAGAGAGAGCGACTGCTTTGGAAGGAGATTCGCCTGGATATTGTTGTTCTGATTGTTTGTTGGCGATGGAATCGCATTCTCGAGAATACGGCGTGCTTCCTCGTCTACAAACAGAACACATTGTAATTTTTGTCCGCAACACTACTACAACTTGTTACGGACTTTACATACCGTAACCGATAAGAATTTTTTTTGAATATTTAGATTTTTGCTTTGTGTTTTAATCGAATTCTCACCATTTTCATCAAAGCCAACAACAATTTTCGAATTCGCACTTTGAACAGCCAAATAAATGAGAACGATGAATGCGAGCACCGTCAAAATCGCGATACGAGCAACACAACGCATTCAATCATCTGGAGTCGAACGTTGATTCAGATGGTCTCGAAGCGACTAAAAATTGCGAAATATTTGATCGAAGAAAAAAGAGTAAAATAAAAACGCAAGAAATTGTGCGCCAAATATAATTAAAAGTGAAACATTGATTATGATAAGCGGTTTTTCTCGGAATTGAGTAACAAAATTAATGGAATTGATTTTATTTGTTCGATTATTGAGGTATTAATATTATAAATTTTTTATATTACCGTTAACTATAATTAAAATGACGTCGACAATAATTAAAATTTAATTTTCCAAAAAAAAGGAGGCAAAATGCTAAAAACTTTTCTGCGGACATTATTTGAGGCCAGATTTATTTAGGCGGAGATTGTCCGCAGATGGCAATCGACAAAACCCGAACAATTCAGAATGTTGTTTTTCACAATATCTCGATTTTCGCATTTTTCTCCACCGCTATTTTACTCGGCGCATATTTCACAAAATGTACTTGAACACCACTTTCATCCTATCTTTCTCTCTCTATCTTTTCCTACCCTCAAAAAGTCACAAAATTGCTCTTAACTTATTTTTTTTTGCTGCTGCTGTTTTCGCGAAACTAACCGGAGCAGTGGAATGAGGAGAAGCTGGCGCCCGCAGGGGAATGTATTCAAATGAGCACAACGCAGATAGAATTACAAATGGATGAAAATATGTTACATTAGCGGAATGAGCTGTCGTTTGGAATGAATCGGACCACTATTACATTTTCAGAATTAGAAAGGAGTTTCAACGAAAGAATAATCGAACTGTTTAATATTGCCGGTTCATGAAAACACGCTGCGGACAATTTTGCAGCTTCCAAACACGTGTCGAATGTTTCCAAAAAAGTGCAAATAATGAGCGAACGCGGCGGAACAACATAAATCAAAGTCGGCTCGTCACGCAATCTGCAAAAAAAATTTAGCTGCGGTTTCAAACATAGAAAAGCGCGACAAATATGTGTGTGTGTTGCTCACCAGAAGGACACAAAAAAACTGAAAGTAAATCAAATTGTGAGCACAAACTGGGGACCATCGAAATTAGAACGGCAAACAATCGAATGAAACTATGTAGTCGTTTTGGGCGGAAATGAAATGCGGCATTCATTCGATTTTGCGCAATGTCAATTAATCGAATGGAGTTTTGAAATTGCGAAAAACGAATGGAATTTCAGAATGTGTCTCTGGAATTCACTTCAATTATGCCCATATTTGCACAAAGAAAGTTCAGCCAAAAAAATCGTGTGGGCGGCTTAGGCTGGCATTTGACCATTTGGGCAACATTTCAAGAAAAATCTCATATTAATCCAGACAAATTTTTTTTTTGAAAGTAAGAATCCTTATGAATAGAACGAATATGAAACGGATTAATATTCGTGGTTGATTATTTTTCAACAAAAAATGTGGAAAAATGTATGAAAAGTTCGGAGAAGATTTGGGTCTCGCGACGATATCGGCAGAATGACCAAAAATAGCAAAATTAGGCATCGAAAGTGAGACATTGATTGTTTTTTTCTCTGCGAAAATTGTCCGCAGCAGATTTTAATTAAAAAGAGTTTGGAAAAACATGCAAAATTCATAATAGTATGGGAATAACGCGGGTTTCTTTATCTCGGAAATGAAAGAGAATCTCATTCAACAATACGCAATGGTCCCTTCCAGAAAATGGATATTTTTCGAAAAAAAATCAAGCAATTGGGGTAATTTTGGACATTTCCAACGAACTTCATCGTTTCTGGGCTCAATTTTTTTAAAAATAATGGTCTCGCATGGAATCTTTTTCGTTTAAAGGCGCATGCTTGCAAATTCATCGAAACATACGAAAAAGGCAATATATCGTTTTTTTTTTGGAAACGCAACAAAAATTGTTCATTCATTGTTGGCAAAAGTGTGTTTGTGCAAATAAAAACGACCGGCTGTTGTCATTGTGGCCTAATAAGGAAGAAAAAAGAAGAAAGAGAAAGAATGTCGGGCTCCATTAAGGACCCATTTTTTTCCGCAACAACTAAACTAATTTTTGCCGCGTTTGTGTATGTTTTTTCTGCTTCAAAAATTAGTTTTTTTGCTTCTTCGAAAGCGGCACAAAAAAAATCAACAAATCGAGAATAACAATTATGTTTGGCGGGCGGAGGAAGCGAGAAAATCGAGCGCAAAAAAAAACTAAAGACGCAAAATTTTTGTTGTTTGCGAACACTTGAGATTTTTGGTCTTGATTGGAACATTGAATTACCAGAGAAAAGATTATTATGAAAAACCATAGAAACGATCAAAATTATGAAGAAAGGCAGGGGATTTAAATTCGCGAAATCAGTTTGGATTTAAATTTTTCGTTGACTGAATATTAAATGCGCGTACACTATAATGCATTGTACGCAGTCTCGAGACGCATTGACACATAGCCAATAATTTTTTCTTGATTTCGTCCAGCCGTTTGTACCTTTAAAATAATAATCCGAAAAATGGTTTTCACGAATTCGTTGTGAATTATGTGCAATTCTGCGTGCGAGTGTATGAATCAAATTTAAAAAAAAAATGATGATTTTGTTTAAAAAAATTGAATTTTTGGACACACATGCTCCTTTAAAGGACTAAAGCAAGAAATTTACCGTAAAATAATAATCGTGGGTCCCACAGCGCTCAAATTATTACTCATCTGTCAATGAATTATGAACTTTTTTGTGCGTTTAATGGAATTTTTGTAATTAAAAAAATGTATACCAAAAAAAAATTTAAAAAATAACTGTGTGCCCCTTTAATTACCATATCCATTAAAATGTTTCACAAATTATAAAAAAATTAAACAATAAAAATAAAAAAAATAAAAATGTTTCACAAAAAACAATTTTTCTTTTCAATTAAAAACAATTTTAATTTTTTGATATTTGATCCTTTAGAAAATTTCATAAAAACTCAATTCAACATTAAAAGAAAAACGAGCACCTTGAGAAATTGGGGACCATCATAAATTAAAGGCTCATATTTGTTTCCGTCAAATGACTGACTGATCGATGGTGGGAAATTTAATTCACTTTCAAATAAAACTCTTTAAAATGAGTATTTTGAAACAGAAAATTATTGGCAAAGAAAAATAAATCATTTCCATAAAACATACAACATACAACCAATTTTTCGACTGCGATTGAACCCGGCGGCGAAAAAAAAACCAATAAAACTTTATGATCTATTCAGTTTTTATTTAAATTATCCAATTACAAAAATTCATTTTCGATTCTGAACAATTGTAATTTGTTGGGGAGTATTAGCGAATAACCAGTGTATATTCTCGGTTCTAATATGAATTTGCCTTTCCAAAAAGAAAACAATACAATTTTTAATTAAAAAAAAAATGAAAATGAAGGAGAAGAATGAGAGAATTGTTTGAGCGAATGGCAACACGCACACAAACATATTTGTTTGTTTAAAAGAAGCTTCGTATCCTTGATAAATAAATAAAATTATCAAATTGATGACTTATTAATGGATTTTGTCGAGAGCCAAACAAGAAATTAGCGCCTATTAATAACGGAAACAAAATGAAGGAAGTTGGTGAGAACAAAAAGTAACGAGTCGAAATTTATTCAAATCATATTCAATTATAATTTTTATATGAAATGAAGGGATCGTCGCCGATATCATGGTGATCATTACAACATTCGCTCTGCCCGACCGGTTCTCTCTTGTTTCTCTGCACTCTCTCGCTTCACAACATTTTAATTGGATGTTCTACCGATGAGTTTTATTTTAACGTTGATGTTTTGGAGATTTGAAAACAGCGTGCGAGTACAAATTCGGTGTGATTAAACGAGCACGAATAAAGTAGCAAATTGTTGTATTATATGCAAATTCGTACGCATTGTTCGCCCAGTTTCAAACCCGTGAAGTGAAGTGTAAAATTGGATTAACAAACTGAAAACTGAAATTTGCCGAAGAATTGAAACAAACTGGAATTCTTGAAAATCATCTGATAATTCGAACGCAGCTCAGACAAATGCCTCACATCCGCAATGGAAATTTGGATTCGTCATTTTTAGTCTTCATCGCTGTTTCTATTTTTTTAAGGTAGGCAGTGCGAACCAGCACGTCTGGTTTCCCACTCCGCATACACCGACATGTTACGGGTTTCGCCATCATCTATGTTTTGTGTACCATAAGCTCCGCCCATAGGGATTTTTATTCGGATTTCGAAGAAATTAGAACGACTTATTATTAAGGAACGATCGAATGATATGATCAGCGACTGCTGGCTTGTCGGTCGGCACCATATGTCCAGCACCGCGAACCGTCGTGAATTTCATGTTCTTGTATTCGGTCACATATCCTCCAATTTGTCCGTTAACCGAGAATTTCGTCTTCTTCTTCGTCATTTGAAGTCCCAAATTCTCGGTGAATCGCTGTCCCATCAACGCATTACACGCCAAATCGACGTCTCCGTTGTACAAAAGTCCTCGTAATTGGTTGTTTTTGACAGCATTCAACACTCGCGACGTCATATCTCCATATTGTCTTTTGTAGCCTCGCGAGATCTTGTCGCTGAACAAAAAAGAAATGTCGTTTTATATATCTTCTCGCATCTCACTTGCAAATCTCCCAAGCTGGAAGCGAAGATGGAATTCCGAGGGCTTTTCGAACATCCTGACGGTTCAAATAATTGGTGACCGGGCTCTCATCAAGACATGGAACCACACCGAGCTCCGATGGCGTCACAACCTTATTGAATCGTCGCTCGTGCTCCATTATCAATCTCTTCTGCTCACCGGTGCTCACACAATCCGCATACATGTTGTACGGGTTCAAACCTCCATTCCACGCGGTTTGCTGAACACTCAACACGAAGAGTCCGCAGTTGGAGAACTCGGAGAACGAATGGAACGGGCATCCATCGGTGTCGTTGTGGCAGCACGATACCTTGATGTTGTTCCATTTCCTATATATATATTCGAAATTAATAATTGGAAACAATCTTGATCGGTAACTCTTGATCGACGACTCCATGAGCATAGAGGAAGTTGATCAGCGAATCAGTTCCTTCGTCTTCAGAAACACATCCATTTCCAATTGCGAATCCCTTCAAAATTTTCTTCGAAATTTTAGCAAGAAACGTGTTGATATTTCCGGCATTTTTTCGACACATTTCATCATGAATTTATGACGAATTTTAGGCATATTTTGAATGTTTGGATCAAAAATGGATAATGCATTAAAAAAATCTATAATTTTTCTGAAATTTTCGAAAAATCAAACATTTTTTCATGCAGAAATTACTGTAGATATTTAAAGGCACATGTGGAAATCCCTTAAAATACTGAACAACCAAAAATTATTTTTATATTTTGAGATACGATTTTTTGTGTTTTTTTTTTCAAATATTGATTGTTGCAAAAACCCTGGCGATGTCCGCAGATGAATTTTCACATGAGTTTTTGGCATTTAATTCAGAAGTGCTTTCGATTACCTTAATGTTAATGTTGAACTGAGATTGACGGTCCAAGATGGTTTGAACCAAAGTTGGAACGTAGATTCCTGAAATTATTTGGAATATTCCAACGATCATCACCATCATGAGCGAAGAGAAAACCTCCATAAGATTCTCCAGTCACGTAGAAATCATTCTTGGCATATTGTGGGAACTCTTTGAAGAATTGAACGAGGGCTTCCCAATTCTCCGAAGCAGTCTGATCATCTCCGGTTGCGATATTGTTATCAGTCGCATACGAATAGCCGACTCCGGCAGGAGCCTCGAGTGTCAATATCGAGGCGTATTTGTTCCACGAGTACGGGTTTATCGACAACGTCGCCCCATCGGCATTCACATTGTATGGTCCCCACTCGGTGAGAAGCGCCGAGAGTCCCGAGCATCCGGGACCACCGGTGAGCCAGACAAGAACCGGATCGGTCGCCGGATTGCCTTGCGATTCGACGAACCAATAGTGAAGCATGTGATTCTTCTTCTCGCCGACATTATAGTAGCCCGAGTATTGGTTGAAATTCACGTTTGGCGATCCTGGCAAATTGGTGATTTTGGCGGCATAGCTGAATCAGAATTCGACGGTGTTGGTTAAAATTGCAACTCACCAAAAGCCAACAACGAATAAAAGAGCCAGAAGTCGCATATCGTCGTCGATTGAGTCGACTGCTCTACTGATTCTGCCCTTTTCTTATCAAACTTCGCCACATTTAATCCGATCTCACCAAAAAAAAACCCCGATAAGAAACCCGGAATTATTATCAAGAAATACGCTTTTATTATTATGTACAACGAGGTTTCAATTAAAAAAAAACGGGGAGATTATTTATAAGCAAGCGAGACCGTATAATCGGGTGCACACTTCATTTAAAGCATCGTGAGCGTCGCCGGTCCTGAAAAAACAAATGAGGATAGTTATGATGATTGCTGAAATGATTGTGAACCTGCACTCCATTTCTGAGGCATTCGTCAGCGATTCGAAGACTCGTCGTCTGCAAAACTCGAGGAGAGTCGAGGCGAGAAAAGAAATTTTGATTTTTTATCAGAGATCGCGATCAGAAGATGATTAGAAATTGCGTCACGACACGAAAAGCACAAAGTGCTCACGCCTACCGTAATTGTATCATTGTTATGCGGTCAATGTGTTTAGGTCGAGTGTGCTCGTGCGTCACCACACATTGGTAGATGGCAGCATCGCATATTGGGAATGAGGTGGGTCGGAGGCGGATGAGCTGGACGTATTCGTTGCGAAGAACTGATGCTGCTGGTTCAGGTAATGCTTCTGAAATCGAATTGATGTCGTCTTGAAACGTCGAAATGATATTGAAGCATACTCATCGAATAGAAATGACAAAAATCGGAGACGAGCTGAAATCGTTCGCTCGGCGTGTAAAGCGTCGCGTTTTCCGTTAGAATATTCTTGATATTTCGCCACGTGTCGATATCATAATTGACGCGATAAAAATGCGGAAAACCGAGATTCGCAAATATGTGGCCGTCGCGAACCGGCGAGAGATGCACGCCTTGACTGATCATGAGCTGGATGGGCAATTTGAATTCGGTGAATCGCAGCGGAAGCGGCCACAGCGGCATTCGCTCCCAAATTCCTTTGCCTAAAATCGATTGTTCAATTTGAAAATATTGATATGCGGACAATTTGACAGCACGAATTGATTGCTTTCCTACCATTTTTCACTGTTAAATTGCCTTCGTCTTGAGTAACCTTGATTGTCGATCCAATCCGATCCACATTCATATAAGGCAATCCGCCGTGATCTCTCCAAAAATGGAGAAGCTGTGAGATATAGATATCGCCATCGACGGTTCGATTCAGAAGTCCAAGAACATCCCGAAGTGAATAGGATCCTTGTTTCGAGTTGTACACCAATTCATTGATCTTCTGAATCACATACTTCTCATCCGTCAAACCTTCGATGGATTCCAACAAGAAGACACCCTTCAAACCGCATTTCTCGCCAATCTAAATTTCGAATCGCGATAATAATATGGCCAATGTTATTTTTGGTGAAAACCTCGAGCTCATTTGGATGCTCATTGAGATTCAAAGTTTCTCCCGGAAGAAAGATGTCCTCTGTTAGCGTGACCTTCGCCAAATTGCTCAACCGTAGATGCTCATCATTAGTCATTCGTTTAGTCACTTTCAGCGCAATAAAAGCTACAAGGTCCTCCTGAAAATGGCAATCAAATACCAATAAATGGAATTCAATTGGGCAATAAAGAAAAACATTTTAAAAGAAACGAAAAAAATGAAGTTAATTTCAAAAAAAAAAATGGAAAAAAAAGAGTAATTTCCTCTTTTTTGCTGCATTGAGATTTTCTTAATTTTTTTGAATTTTTTAAAGCATCATTTTCCCTTAAAAATTCAAGCCATCTTACGCACCTGCAAACACATCTGCTCCCCCTCAGAAATCGCTGCGAGACCGCCAATCCATTGTTTTGCGAGCCACATGGCCAACATCTGAACCTGATTCGCGTAATCAGCCGAGAAAAACGAGGCTTCCGGAACAATGAGGGCTCCAAAACAAGCGCTATGTCCAACATCATTCATTGTGATTATATCGATTTTGGCAACCGGTAGAATTGACGAGAAAAGTTCTCTAAAATACGCGATGGAAAATTGAAAATCATTCGAGATTTTTTACTTTAAAAGCGACAAAACTTGTGTTGCAGTATGCAATAAATGTTTCGCCTGAGTTGCTTGGATACGGTATCTGTTGTAGTGCACCGTCATATTAATGCCCGTATACGATGAATCGATTTTGGTGTATTCTAATGGAAGAAGCGCGAAGCATAGCATCGATGGCGCAATTGAAGGAGTTGTGGCAAAGCTAGTGATCTTAAAAATGAGCATCACAAATTGTGGGGAAATTCGCCAATCGAGACCTGCCAATTTTGATCGATTTCCTGCGGCGCTGAATCATTCGCGCCCGATGTTAAAGCAATGGTTCCGATTGGATGAATTATCGATATCGAGAATGTGGCTTTCAGTGTTGCCGACAAAAACGACGGAAATACTGCCGGCGCCTTATTCGGGTAAAGGCTTGAGCCAAACGCTGCGTGCTCACCAGCATCCCTGCAAAATATGCATTGTTCATTCCATAAGATCCATATATGGCTCGGGAAAGACCCACGCCGGGCGATGCCGGCGCAGAGTTGTCAAAAAAAACCGAGCCCCGGACGGCCGTATCGGTCTTCGGAACGAGCCGAGCAGGGGTCCCGATTTGACATCTCCTCTACGTGCACCGTTCTCGGATTTCTCTAGGATTTTTCTTTCAGAGCCGGGTTCTGCCGCCCGGAACGGACGGCTTCCGACTAGTTTTAATTACGCGTAATTACGCTTACGCACATACGCAATTTTCAGTCTTAGGCTTAAAGAAAAATCAATAGGCGCTTATGCTTAGAAAGATCTTGACTTACGCACAACAGAAATTATGCGGGTGGCGAGAGGATGAGTCGCCTCCAATATGGGCCCATTCGATCCAATATGGGCCCATTCGGTCCCGTTTGAATTTAGTAAAGGATATCCAAAAATGCCAACAACTAGACCCCAAAAGCTAACAGAAAGAAGCGGACGCCTTCACTGTTTGTGTCTATCACACACCTGTAGTATATCGCTGCACCGATCAAACCCTTGTAACGATGAATTGTCAAAGTGTAGCGGCCGGTGAAGAGCACTGGCTGATCCAAAGAAATCTGAATAAATTTTGAAGATCTAGAAACAAAAACAGAAAATTCGAACCTCCATCGAGTCATCCGTAAGAAGAACATTGAAAATGTCAAGCTCGTTTCCATTAAAAATCAACGAAACATTCTCAAAATGATCAAGCATACTGATATCAAACTGAAATTTCTTTAATATGTCTCGAATAGCCAAATTTTGTCAACCTTTAACCGTGCGCGATTACTAGTCGAATCACTCAAAAACGCAGTTTCGAGCCCTATTTGGTTAACCAGCTCGAATTGAAGAACACATCGGCCAGTGAATAAAGGAACATCCGGATCGGAAACCTAAAATAGAAAAATAATAAACAATTCCGAGAATCCTGGTGACTTCAGATAGTGGAAATTGCAATTGTAGATCATACGAGAGTGGGCGAACAACAGGAGTGCCACGTGGCTCCGAGAAACTCGGCGCCGATGAAAGAAGCGAATGCAAATCGGCAAAAACCGCTGAATGCCGTCCGAATATGGTAATACACAAATAATAGAATAATAGTAGGAGCATAATTGGGGGGAAGGCGTCTTGGAACAATGCTCGCACCGATTCAGCGACTATTGACCCTAGATTTTGCCGCGATTTAAGCCGATTAGATGCGGCACCTCACCGTATTTGGGTTGCTAATTACTTTATGTGTCTCGGGGTTTTTGTTTATCTACGCTGCGCCTTTAAATCCCAAAACGACCGCCCGCCCAATGAAGATGCGCAAATAGACAGGTAATTCGAGATTTTTGTTATTGTTGCTTCTCGCTGTTTCAGCTTCGAATTACATAAGCTGACTGTACTTGGAACCAACGAAAACATTCGAACGGGTGCTTCGAGAGTCGAATCAGACGGCAACAATCAATTTATATTCGAAAATCGACCGAACAATGATCGGCAATGCCCTTATTTGTCGCGTGATCGCTTCAAAAATCGCCTCTCGCATTCCTTATTATATTTATTCAAATAACTATTGTTTGCGAAATCTTTGAGTCGAACACAAGAACCGATGAGAAATGAGTGTAACCGTTGAGCAAGAGGCCTACGAGATGCCGAGTGACAATAAGAAAGTGCTGCTCAAAATCGACGACGTCCATTTGCATTCGTGCGGTGTTTTTAGCAATGTCTACAGGTCGTCGATTAATTGGGAGAGAAAAAAAATAACCAAGTTGTTGCAGAGGTCGTTTAAGAGAGCCGTATGTGAAAGAAATAGCGATTAAAAAGACATGGCCCGAAAAAGGAGAACGCAATTTTGAGTTTATATTCCTAACGGGAAGAGAACGCGAGAAACACAAACATGTCATTCAAATGATCTACGCGTTCAGTCACACGTATGGAAATAAGGTCTCGATTGGAAATTTGAAATTCGTCCTTCTTGAATGAATTGTAGGTTTGCGAATCGTATGTTTTCGAATTTATGCCGAACACTCTTGCTGACGTCATCAAACTTCGACTCAACGATTTTGACGTCAAACTATACACATGGCAAATCTTCTGCGGTCTCAAGTATTTGGAGGAGCACTGTGTGATCCACCGCGATTTGAAACCAGTTAATATTTTGGTCGACCATTTCTCTGGATTGCTCAAAATCAGCGATTTTGGCTCATCGAAAGTTTTTATTCGAAGCAAAGCCAACAATTTTTATCAAGTCACCAGATTTTATAGACCCCCTGAACTGCTAATGAAATCCACCGATTACGACACATCCGTTGGTAAGCGGCGATTGCTCACCAAACGTGTTCGGCTTGTCGACTTTTAGACGTTTGGTCTGCCGGATGCGTCGTCGCGGAAATGATCCGAAGATCGGTGGTATTCCCGGGACGAGACAGCGCCCATCAGATGAAGCTCTATTGTCGATGCTTCGGAGCGCCAACCGATCAAGAATTGAGAGCAATGAAGGCCCAAGACAAGCTCGATTCGGAGCAAGCGAAATACACAAAAGGATACGGCCTGCGAAAGCTGCTCTCCGATATCACTTCGGAGCAGAATGCGTTCCTCCGAAAGGTTCTAGTGTATACGCCAGATAAACGATTGCACGGTCGAGACGTTTTGAAAGACGAATACTTCGCAGCGCTTTGGCGGCCGGGCGCTGTCAGGTCGAATGAGCAGCCGGTTTCGAAAGTGATATCGCCGGAAGAGTATAAGAAATATGTCGAGTACGTCTTTTAAATTTCAAAAAATTTATTTTTTTAATTTGATTTTTGTGTGCAGTGGCGAAGAATCTCCGACATCGAAGCGACTCGCCCTTCTGACATTGGCGATGAAATCCACCAAGGACCAATTCATTCCAGCGTGCGAAAAGAGTAATTCGTACGAAAATGTGCAGATGCCTAGAAAATCGACATTGATACCGGTTGGCCACACAAACGTTGAAACATTCCCTGAATTGTAATTATTCAGAAAGAGCAAAAAATGGCTCGCGAGCAGAAATCGCGAGAAGACAATTCGCGTGAAGAGAGGTCTCGTGAACGAGCTCAACATAGCGATGAGCACGTGAGCGACGGAATGACGATGAAAAAGAATAAATCGTTGGCACCCTCGATGATGGCGACAATTGGAAAGAAAGGCTCAAGAGATAGTCTGGTCGTTCGAAAGTCGATTATGAAAATGCATAGAAACTAATTAACCAACTGTTTCTGAAATAAAATAATTGGTCGTCTATTAAAAAATAGGAAATGAGAAATGAGCGAATTTCAAGAAAAAAAAACATTGTTTTTATAGAAATTATATTCTTCTTAGCTTGAAAGTTGCGTTTCTCTTTAAATTTTTTTCTTGTAATTATCTGAATTATTGTGGAAAAATGACGATTGCGAAAAACTGCAGCGATATCCTATGCATTGTGTGCGTACACCGAGCCGCACATCTCGATATTAGTTACAGTAACCTCAACTAAAAATTATTTAATCAATCATTTAAAAAAATTTTTCTGTGTTTTCTTGGCGAATTTATGGTTTTATGTATATTTTTGTGTTGTAAAAGTGTAATAGTAAACATTTTTGTATACTATTCAAAGTTAATTGTTTTATATAAAAAGAATCGATCAATAATTAATTAAATAATTTTCAGTTGAGATTACTGTAGCTAAGATCGAGATGTGCGGCTCGGTGTACGCACACAATACATAGGATATCGCTGCAGTTTTTCACAATCGTCATTTTTCCACAATACATAACATACCGGGATTAGGGACCACAATTATTCTATTTATAGGGTACTCCAACTTTTGATAGTTGCAAGTGATTTTTATCATAATTCACATCTCAAAAGAACCTGAAACTTTAAAATCATATTGTCGGAGTCAAATGACTTGACGAAATTTAAAAAATTATTGGCTATGTGCCAATGCGTCTTGAGGCAGCGAGAAGTACGCGAAACTGCGTACATTGTATTATAGTGTACGCGCATTTAATATTCAGTCAACGAAAAATTTAAATCTACACTGATTTTGCGAATTTGAAGGCCCCGCCTCCCTTCAGTCGTTTGACGCCGACAATAGAGACGGAATAAAATATTGATTGAAGCTGGCGGAATTGATTCGCCCGCTTCTATTTTGGTATACTATTAATTTATGATCCCAAACGATTTGAATCTCGCTAACAAGTAAAATAAATGTGAAAACAAAACAGTTTTGACCGAAATTGTTGAAAACAAAAGATTGCATTTATTTTTTGCGCGTTTTAAATACCCACTTCTCGCAAATTTTCGAGTTTCTATTTCTACGGGAATGACAAGCAAGCATGAAATCACGTAAAAACGATACAACGCGCGTAGCACAATCGACAACCATCTGATAATCTGAAAAATCGCAGATTTGGCGCTTCGGAGAAGATTAAGATTATTAGAGATCGAGCTCGTCGAAATCCGCGCCGCAGAATGAGAAAGATGAAAATTGGAAATGAGAACTTCCTCTGTACAAGGCGAATCGTGAAAATGCATTTTTGACTGATTATGAGAAGCTGATTATGGTCGAGGCGAAATTGTTTTACTAATTGATCGTGTTCTTCCCATGAAGCAAATAAGCAAGGAAGGAGATTAACATAATTTCTTTAACATAACATAAGCTACAATAATAATTTTTTTTTGTGAGCTACCTTACGATGTTAAATTGCAGCTAATTTTAGGGAATAAATGAAAATGGATGAAATGAATACTTCATACAACGTGTGGTCATTGTCACAACAAAGGAAAAAGTCTCCAAGTAGGGTCTACTGCCGATTTTCTACGATTCATCTATTTTATTGGCGCCATCGTCGTCATCGGATGTGAATCCGATTGACTGTTTCGTATGTGGACTTCTTCAGGTGAATGTTCTAGCATATCTACATTCTAAAATGGTGACGTTGAAGAAAAGTTTGGACATACAATGCACCACACTTTCTTCAGAATATTTCCGTGCACAACTAGTGGTTTTCCGGGGAAGATTTGAGGATGTTGTGAACAACCAAGGCAACGTTTTTTTGCAACCCAAGCTTTGAACACTTTTCTTGCAAATTTTTTTTCTTTCTATAACTTCAAATTGTTGATATTCGTATCAGTAATACATGTACTATTTCGCTTTTAAATTATAGGCTTCGATGATTTCCGAATAACATGAAATTATTATTTTCCCCCCTCTTTCCAATTTCGCACGCAAGCGTTGAAATCTGCTGACTCACGAGTTTCGCGCCAGCGTTATAAGACTGACGCAATTTTTGATTTGGACGCGTTTTCACTGTTGTATTAGAAAGTCTCATATTTGGCTCTTTTTTGTTTTCACCTGCTTTTAGTAAAGAATTCGGGACTGGATGGAATTCTAAAGTTTTGTTTTCAAAATTTCTGTCTTAATTTATATTGTTATCCGTTCAATTTCAACAAAGCTAATAATATTTGTTCTTTTAGGGGGTTCCATTTTTTAAAGTCCGTCTTTCGACACTTTTGGCCAAGTGATGAGTGATGATAATGGTAATGCATTTCTTCATTGCTGATATTTTAAAATTATTTATTTTCAGTAGTCGCTGAGAACTGGGAAGATGGAGATCCTGTGAAAGGACTTGAACAACGCGTCGAACAAATCCGGATTTTGAAGCGGAGGCAGGAAGATAAGGAAAAACTAATCGAAAAAATCAAAGAAGAAGAATCGCTGAAATCTGAAGAAGAGACTACGAAGAGCGTGACGAAGTATGTAAAAATTGTGTTCCAAAACATTTTTGTATTTTCAATTTTTCAGGCTTGAAGGAGATGCTGCAGGTCCTTCTCAAGAAGAGCCGAAACGGATTCTGATGCGACGTCCAAAAACCGATCGACCAAATGCGGATAGCTCGAAATCTCAAGAGCCTCATTTGAAATTAACCAACAACCATCGCAATTCAAACAACTATCGAGGTCGAAAGAAGGCGAAGGATGTTGTAGCAGGACCACCAAAGACGTTGGAAGAAAGACAAGCGGATTATCAAGCAGCTCGCGATAGAATTCTGGGTCCGGAATATAAGCCGGAGACGAATGTCACGGAAATTCAAGTGGTGGAGAGGTAAACAATTTTTTAATGAATGATTCTCAAAAAAATTTTTTAGATCAAAGTCACCGGAGGCTATTGTAATATCACGAAGTCAAATGCCACAATCTCATCACATTCCGTCACACGGACCAGTTCCACTACCGCCGCATTTGCAATATCGAGTGATGCAAAGATGTCATCCAGCAAGATTCGCGTGTCCGCCGAACTTCATGGTATAGTGATTTTGTTCGAATGTCAAAAATCCACTGCACCCCAATACTAGTCATTTTTGTTTGGTATCGTGTGTTTCTAGAATCCAGAGCATCCACCAGCACCACCACAACTATCGCCAATGCAGCCGCCAATGGGCGTCTATCGGCAATATCCGAATACCCAACTGGACCCGATGCATTATGTGCAAATTGGAGGAACGCCGTCGAGTCAGAATGGGCATCCAATGTACCCGAATGATGCAAAATATTTCTCAATGGTTCGTATGGGGGACCACGCTTCTTTTTCTTCTATAAAAATTTATGTATGCATATAACGAGTTGTACAAGCTTTAAAGTGAGCATGCGCCTTTAATTTCTAACATTTGTTCAGCTTTAACAATTTTGTTTGTGTTCCCTTGATTGATTATTTATTTTTAGTTTGTATTTAATATTTAGCACTATAATGCGCGATTTGAGTAATTCAAATTTGATTGAAAATTTTAAGTGCTGCGACTTTTCCTTATCAAAAAAACTTTTGACTTATTTTCATTTAGCCGAACATGAATTATCCACCGAATCAGCAAATGTTCATGAATCCCCCGCCACCAATACTTTGTCAGCAGCAAAATCAACAAGGACCAATGATGAATTTTGGTCCAATGGGAGGAAATATGAAAAATGGTCCACGGAATAATAAGCCAATCAATAATATGAATTGTCCACCACCGCCGCAACAATCGCAAGGTTTTATTTTTTATTGATTGAAATTGAATTATGATTATTTTTTTTATTTTAGTGGCGATTCATCCGCCGGATTATAGTATTCCACCGCCGACGACCAATCCGATTCCTTTCGGGTAAATATTTTACGATTATTTATTTTCTATTTTCCATATTTTAGATGTCCTCCAATGTCGGTGAATCAGTATAATGGTGGAATTCATCAAAATCCTCCACCGCCACAGCAGCATCAGCAACAAACTCAGCAACGTCAGCAGCAGAATCAATTCAATTCTCCGTCATTTATGGGGCCGATAACCATGTGGAATCCTGAGCAAGGAATTCCTAGTCATAAGGAAAAGAGTGGTAATTGTTAAGATTCTTGAAATACTTAAAATATGTAATTGGGTATCGGACCAGAAAGTTAATAAGTGATTTAGTAGAAAGTGACTCATGAAGTTCATATTTATTGAAACTAGAGGTTAAACATTTCAAATCGTTTAAAACTAAGAATTAAAATTTATCGAGAACGATTCCTGTAATACGGTACACGAATTCTCACAGTTTAAATCGAAATTTGAATGATCGCCATAAAAAACACGATGGTCCACAAATACCCATGGTTCCATTTTTTGCGATGGCAGTATATCTCATTATTTTGCACAAATCTTTATTCAATGACTAAATTTTATTAAAGCGTTCGTTTCAGGAAGAAGAAATTCGTCGAAATAACAAAACGATGGCGATCCTTATGGTTTTCGAATAATTTATTCTTAGGTGTTCTCTCCTTTCCTCTCCTACTATACTTTGTACCCTCGTTGCTATTATTCATGTCATTATTAAACCCCCATCTTTTCGATATATTGGGCATTCGCCGAGTTTTTGAATTCGGCTCGGTGTGAGACCTCCAATCTAGTAGCTTTACGGGTTGCGTATTGCATCGTATCAGAGACCCTTCCCTATATTTTTTTAAAATGTCGTTTTTCCGAGTCTTTGCCAAAATTGATTCATTTCCGTGTCGATTTTCACTTGAAATCGTACCTTTTCTATCTCTTTTCTATATATGAGAATGCTATTATTCGGATAATAACATTATTATACAAGATGTTTGCTTAAGTTTTATAAAACAACACCATATATGGTTTAAATTTAAGGTTTCTCATTTAATTAATTAATATGCTTAACGTTTGAATCACAGTTGAACAATTTGTTTCGCGGGGACTCGAAGGAGAGAGAATAGGGGATATTCAATATTAAATGCGAGCGGAGAACAGAAATATGTGTACCCAAATTGGAATTTTGTGTGGCATGAAGACTAAGAACATGAACTAATAATGGAAACACTAAACATTGGGAACAAGTTAGACTTTGGCTGGCCGACGCTTTCGGACTGGATTCTCAGCGGGAGAAGATGGAGCAGAAGAAACATCCTGGAAAATGCGAATTCAAGATTCATCGAGAATCAAAAACTACCTCGTCATCGCTGATATCATCCTGCACCTCTCCGTCGATTTTCTCGTAATTCTCATCAGTCGACGCTTGACTATATTTTTCAGCATCTTCGTCATCTTCCTCACCATCTTTTTCGTTCTTCACGAGTGGCTCTTGATCGTCATCCTGTTCAGCATCTGAAAAATGTTTTCTGCTTGCGTTTGAAGTTTGAAAAGATATGAATATGAGTTTTTTTTTGCATCTGGTGATTAAAAAATCACATCTGTCGTTGAAGGTTTTCTTGAAAAAAAACCTCTACTTTTTGAGAGTATTGTCAAAGACAGGAAACTGTGGAAATTAATTAGGCCAAATTTATTTCTGTTCACTTGCGCAAAAATAAAAATTGTTTTGCATGTACCTTTGATTTATACTGTAATTTTACGTATGTTTTATAAGAAGTCAAATTGGAAACTATTGCGAGACCAAATCGAATCGTTCAATTTTTTTGCTATCATTTTTGAGATATTGCATTTAAAAATAAATTCTCACCACTATCCTTATCCTTCTTCGATTTCTTCTTATCCTTCTTTTTGTCGGATTTCGAATCCTTATCTCCCGGGCAATACTCATAAGTATACCATGGTTGGAACGATTCCAAAACTCCGCAATCCTACAATTTAAAGTTTCATTGTTTGAAATTTGATTTTTTGTGAAACCTCGGTAAGATTTGGAAGGATCCACAGCTTATGCTTGCCGAGTGTCACAGCATAGATGATACCGAACAAGATCGTGCGCACTGAAATTTAAATTGTTCGAAGATTACAATTCAGATTTAAATGCTCCTTTAATTTCTCAGAAATTGCACTTACGAATAGCTACAACAATAATTGATGCGAACAATCCAATTCCCGTCAATGACACATAATAGACTCCTTGTCTCAACCACATTGGCCATAAGGGGAAGAGGCAACCGACAATTGTTCCCAACACTTAAAATGTTTCGTTTTTGAAGCAAATTGATATACTTTTTCAAGCTTACACATCAAAACTCCGATAATCTTCTTATAAAGCGGAGTCGGATCATACACCCATACATAAACATCTTTGTCGTCGCAGAAAACTTGTGTTGGGTGGATTAATAGCTTAACCTTCTTCTTTTTCTTCTTCTCTTCCTCCTAAATCAGAATTGTTATTCCAAAACGTAAAGAAATGAAACAACTACCGTTTGTTCCTTCTTATTTTCCTCTTTTTTCTTATCTTCGTTCTCAGTCTCGGCAGCGGTATCCTCTTCCTTCACTGTTTTCTTGTCCTTGCGTTTTTCGGCGCTCTTCTTCGGAGATTTTGGAGCATCGGCAGCCGAATCCGTGCCTTTTTCCTTATCGTCCTTCTTCTTTGGAACAAGTTTTTTCGCTCGGAAGAAGAGTTGTTTAGGGAACAAATCGGCAATGTAATGATAACATTCATCTCTAAAAAATTATGATTCGAAAAAAAAAACTATGATCAATAAATATACCTAGTTTTGAACATTGGATTTTTTGTATTCTTCGATCCATATTTAGATTCCCAAAGCGTGTCTACAGCTTTGCAGCCTATTAAAAACAATACATTCGCAATTCTTGTAAAAAATAATATTACCACTGAAATAATGTACTTCATTTCCTTCGAAAATTGTCGTCGATGTGGGACAATTGAATCTAACGTATTTGGCAATTTCTTCTTCTTTTTTCGATAGTTTTAAAGCTTCATCTTCAGAATTTGAAGAATTTCCCTTAAAATTTATAATTTTTTTCAATAATCCAATATGTGTTCGCTTACTTTATCGCGCCGTTTCGACATTTTTCAAAGTTTTCTGAAAAAAGAAAAATCTCAAAAAACTTTAATTATTCCGAAAAAGGAAAGCCGAAAAGCTGACAAGTTGGAACGAGAAATAAAATTCTATCGATTGAGGTTGGTTTATGCGGTCGACTTGCATTCCAGCACACTGGTTTGCAAGTGCCGCACACTTTTCGCCCGTAAATCGACATGGGCGCATTTTATTTTTTGTGCCGTTTTACACAAATCCCCTCAATTTTCCCATGTTTTCAATAAAAATTTTAATATTTTTAGAACATGGGAGGACACCACGAGCCGTACAAGATCCCGCACTACTCGATCTACAACAATTACCGAGACTTTCCACAGCTTTTGCAGCACGAGAAGAGACTTGCGCAACTCGGCTTGAAAGATCCGTGGATCAGGTAAATTTTTAATATAATTAATATGAAATAAGAAACAATAATTTTTCAGAAATTATGTGTATTTGTACGATCGCAAGTACCCTCATGTGAAAGGACAATGGGCACATTTTAAGAATGTAAGTTTAATTCAAATTTCTTATGTAAAAAATGGAAAATTTATCGTTCAAAGCTAAATGTTATTTTTTCTCCAACGTTTAAATATAAAATAAAGATGGAAAATTCGATTATTGTTTTTCGAATTATAGTATTTTTTACATATCTGTATTATAAATTTTTCAGTATTTGAAATTGAGTCTTTTTGTCATTTTCTAAAGCAATGAAACTGAAGTATAGTTTTGAGTTATGCAATATTTAATTTAGACAATTTATTATCACTTATTAGAACCAGTAAAAAATTTTTTTTCAACATGTACCTATTTAAAAAGAAAACAATATGTGAATTATTTTCAGCTTATTCTTCCTGGTTGGAAAGCCGGAGTCGGTTTCGCCGCTGCTTTGATCATTCTGGAAGAAGGTTACCAATACGCGAAACACGGAACAACATCATGGGATGCCCATCATTAGTCAATTGTCGAACCGATATTTTCATTTATTTTGTTTCCGTTCTTTTTCGTTTCGAATTCTAAATAGATTTCAATAAAAGGCTTAGATAGTCGAAACACATCGCTCACTCGATTATAAAACAAGATTGGTATAATCCCAAACGAGATTTCCTGTAGAGATATGAGAAGAATTTGCAATAAATACGATTCGACAATGTTCAGTATGTCCGCATTGGAGCAGTTTGTAAATGAGCAAAAGAAAAAAAGCGGAATTCCGGGCTCAGCCTCATTTTCATCGTTTGACTCATTGAGAAATAAATTATCAACATCGATAAGGTAATTTTAAAAGCGCATGTTCTTAGACCATCTTGCTTTGCAGTGGATTACCGCTGTTATCGAGGAGTGAGACATCAGACACCGCACAGCTTCTGGCTGATGGTGACAATGATTCTCAACTTCCATCTTCAAAGAACAGGTAATTATAGAAGTTTCAATTTTTCAAATATTTCTTCCGTGGGAACGAGCATTATTTCATTTGATTTTTATATTATTTAAGACAAAAAATCCGTAATTATTGAATATTGGTTGTATCGTTTATTTTTTCAATTTGAATCAGAAGAATTTCCCCACAGATTAAGAAATTTAAACATTTAATTTTAAAACCAAACGTTATTTCTAAAATTCCCAATTTCAAAACAAATGGAAGAAATGGTGAATATTCAAGTTAATTTTTCGATCTAAAATGATGGGATTTACTTAAATTTTTAATTCGACGTGTCCATTTTTTGTTACCTGATGAATATATTTCTGATCAAATCCTTATGATCAATCCTTCCAATCAATTGATGCATCATACCATAACAAGTTTCCCAATGCTTTCCACAACCTTCTATTTGTTTCTCAATGATTTTCAGAAAGAATGGCGGTTGGTTTTCGAGTCCGCAGGAGGAAAGCATGTTCGGAATGACTCGAACACAACGAGTTTTCGCATTTTTCATGTGCATTATCGGTGCAATTTTTTGCTTTTCAACGGTTGGTTTTCGACGTTGTGATTCCCCGATGGCCGATGTCATAAAAAAATGTGTGGCGACGCTTTGTCTTATTCAAAATGATTCTCCCGCGAAAGAATGTGTCGAGCGACTCCGCACTTCAACGCGCTCTTTCACTTAATTTTTCTGTTTTTTTTTTAAATATCAATTAGAAGGGATAGGCGAAAGAGTTTCTCACACCACCCTCACTTTCGAGAAAACGCGGCAAAAAAGTCACCGAAACATGTTTCAGGCAGCTGTTCTCATTCCGGTCATTCTGGTCTCGACGAGAAAATTTGCCGCTCTCAACACACTTGGATCAACAATGCTTATTTTAAGGTGTGATATAGAGGAAAAAATGGTGAATACTTTAATGAGAAGACAATGTGAACCAAAAATGAGAAGCTGTAGAAACAATACTTTTTATTTCATCTAAACTATTAAATCTATAAATCTCGTTTTAAATCACGTTTATTTACAACCCTTTTTTGATTTTTTATATTGCATGAATTGGTCGATACGGAAAAAAATTGACAAATTTTCTTCCCTACGAAATGTGAGCAATTTTCGTGGAAATGTTGAAGCTCAGGCAAATCAAATAAAATATTTTGAGAATCAAATATTCAATAATAAACTCTAAAATATTTTGAGAAAATCTAAAGTTTATTGATACTTTCTAAAACTTATTGAGAATCGCTAAAAGTAAAAATATTTTTTTTAATCTTATAAGATTTTCTAAAATTTATTGAGCAAATTCTAAATTATCTCAATAAATTCTAAAATCTTATAATAATTTTTAAAGTTCATTGAGAAGATTCTAAAATATTATAGGGACACGTTAGTTTCTCAATGAATCTCAAAATATTTTATTCGATTTACCTGAGAGAATGTGGAAATATTATAAAATTTGGTCAATTCTACGCAAAATTTTGAAACGAATTGATATATTTACTTAGTCTTTTTTTTAGATTTCACAAAGTTTTTTTTTTCGAGCACTCATATTTCAAAAATCGAACGAATTCATCATTTCAAGCAAAAATTTTGTTTCCCAGGAGACTTTTGATCTTTTCATTTATGAGTCTTCGAAGAAAAATCTCCACAACCAAAAGTAACTAGTTTTCAGCTTTGCCTTTCTGTTGGGCCCTAAATCGTATTTCCAACATCTGACATCACCTCAGCGTCGACTCGTCACTGTATCCTATTTATCGGCTCTATTCGCTACACTTTATTCGTCGTTGTGGGTAAGTCTATCCATCTTTATTTTTGTCTTATTTTGCATGTCAATTTCGGAAAAACGTGCATTCACGCGATGTTTGAGCGCATAAATGAACGCATAATATAAAAGATGGGCGGTCGGTCTGAAAGGGCCTGGGGTTGAGCGACCAATGTTGAGCGATTCTGAAACTTTTTCAATTCAAAACATTTGACGAATACATCTTCTCAAAGGCGATTCATCGGAAAATGAGAATCGCAAAGTTTTTTGGTTTGAATGAAAAATGGCTTCCGATGAATCGATCGAGTTGTTCGCTCAGCTTTGAGATTTAATATATTTTTTCCAAAAAAAATTTTTGAAAATTAATATGTGAACTAAAATTGAATAGATGCGAATTTCACATGAAAAAACGTAGAGACAATTTATTGGAACCAAATTTGGGGGTTTTGAAGATATTAAAATGAATGTTCCCAATAGAATCTTAATTCTTCAAATTCTGCCCAAATTGCGGAAAACTGGCGAATTGCCAACACATTTAAGAAAAGGTCTTCTTGAATATGCACCTTCTACCTATCCTTACGTCTCAAATTTCTTTTTTTTTTTTCGGAGTATTAGACTTCTAAAGATTCCATGGGTGATTCCGGAGGTTTTGAGTTTCCTTTTTGTCTGTTTTCAGGCAATCATCCCATTAGTTTTTCAATATTAAAATATTTTTTCTCTCCAATAAAAATTGATTTCTGTCTTCAATCCCTTCACTAATCTTCATTTTTGCTCAATTTTGGATTATTTGACTATTCACAAATCCTATCCTTCTCATAAATTGTGCAATTTAATCTGCTCTCGGATTTGCTAAGCATTGAGTGCGTGGCGACTATGAAAGTATCAAAAAATGCCGAAAATATAACTATAAAAATAAACGGGAATTGTTTATATGTCATGTGTCCGCAGCACATCATTAGGTTTGATTGACAACAGAGTTTTTGGTGTGGGAGACGCCGCCTGACATTTTTTTTCGACCGTCTATCTCTACCCATTGATCTACCCATCCAATCATTTATAAATAATGATTTATTTTAGTTAAAGATAGAGAAGAAAAAACAAAATGGAAATTTGTTATGTTGAAAATGCATATAAATAGTGCGGAATGCGAGACCCGAGGCGAACAATTTTTGTACAAGCAGAAGCTGACTACTGCGGTTTTTAGTGGGAGAAGGTTGACGCGAATTCTTCGTAGTCGATCTAAAATTGCCCATTGAATATTTCTACGTATCACAAAGAGTTGCCTACCTGTCCGTCACCGTCGATATCAATTTCGGCGATGATCTCATCAACCTCTTGATCGCTGAACTGCTCGCCCATGTGTGTCATGAAGTAGCGGAACTCTTCAGCTGTGATGAATCCGTTTCCATCGCGATCGAATACGCGGAACGCCTCGCGAATCATCTCGCTATCGTTCTCTTTGTTCATGCGCTTCATCATTTGGCAGAACTCGCCGAAATCAATCGTGCCGCTTCCATCGATATCGACCTCGTTGACCATGTCGAGAAGCTCTTGTTCGGTGGGATTCTGGCCGAGCGATCGCATCGCCACACCCAATTCTTTCGACGAAATCGAACCGTTGCCGTCTTTGTCGAACAATCGAAACGCTTCCTTGTATTCCATTATCTCTTCTTCATTGAGACCTTCAAAGCCAGTTACCGGCTCATTCTGCTTCTGAGCCCAACGATTGAATAAAGACACTCGTCGAGGATCGTTGCTGCTACTGCTGCTCATTTTTCGAGGAGACTGAAATTCAAATAAATACCGTACGAAAAGCTAGATGGGACGATTTTAAGGCGCATATATGTATGGAATATTCGGGAATGGATATATCTGACGTGTTTTTATGGTTGGGTATGACAATCTTGAGACGCATGACAAGTAGTCCCAAAACGGCAATATACATGGTTTGTCCTTTTTTGGGCAACAAAATCACCCGCCCTCTCTTCTTTTATTCGTTTAGTATACTTGACATCACTCTTCGATGAGACGAATTCAATCTCGATTGATAATTAAATGAGCACAAGCACATACACACGCATAACAACAAAAACAAGAAAAAAACACAGACAGAGAGACGAAGCCCCGCGGGTCATTGCCTGACGGGCATATGTTGAAAGGCACACGCACTGAAGCCCACCAGGAGGCGGAGCATCGAGGAGCAACGCGGCACTCGAGCTTCAAAGCCACGCCCATTTCTTCTCGCCGGTTCGTGTGTGTGTGTGTGTGTGTGGTTTTTTGTCTCGTTTTCCTTTCTTCCTTCGTCGACGCCTTTTTCAGAATGTCTCTTGGCTTCTTAATTGAGTGGTAAACAATGGATTAATCAGGAGGCATCGTTGAGTTAGTTAATCCTTTGGGAGAAATGAAATGGCTGGGGGTCCCAATTATTGGGTGGATGGTTGGTTGGCTGAATGGCTTGTGAACTTTGACTTTTTCAATGCGAAAACCATTGAATGTGATGGGATGGGATGCGATGGCAGTGGTCATGCAAATGCTACTTGTGAGCCTTTATTTGTTTCGGACTGAGTCATGTGAATTCGAGGTTTTGAGTTATGCGGATTCTCTTCTTTTTTTTTTTGCTAAGATGGATCATCCACAATTTGACGTCTTCTCGGACACTCTTAATTTTGTGGAAGACGCAAATGGAGCAGCTTGAGATAAAAGTTGAAGCTCACCGAGCAATTTGCGTGATATTTAGAGCATTGTTAATCACAATTAAGTGCCAGAAATAAGTGTATAGTATATAGTTTGGATCATGCGGAGATCAGCGTCTGTCTAGATTGATATTTGTTAGTGATTTGTGATGTCACGTGGGTTGCATGATCCACGGGAGGCTGACAAGTGAGTAGTATAGCGAACATCACGCTATACAAAAGTTCATTTGCAAAGAGAATTCAAGATTTCAATTCGGGATGAAAAGGGCGCAGTCAACCCATTATAGAAGTGTTCTTTACACTCAACGATGACCTTCTGAATCAATACAGTAATTAGTTCGGTCGTTGAGGTGCGTTGAGGTGTTCGCAGACAGAATCTTTTCGATGATCGTCGGAAATTTGAGATGAATCACTAGACCCTTCCAATTCCAATATCAGTTTTCACGCGACAATAGAAAAATGTAGGCGGTGGGTGGCCAAGTTTCCGTTTTTTTCGAAACATTTTTTTTGACGTCGTCGACGACATCAGAACACACCCATTGATGCGGAGGAAAAAATTCTATCGAATAAACGTTTTGAATTTTTTTTGCAATTAGCGCGAAATCAAGCGGATAATTGAAAACGTGCCGAAAACACTTCCCCTCGTCTTCCTCGTTTTCCTCTCGTCGCGGAATTTCCGAGGGGGGGGAGGGTTCTCGAGCCGCCTGATTTGATTAAAAGGCTCCCTCTTCATTGCATTGCTTAATTGAACGAATTCATTGTTTTGTGAGATGTCAACTTTTGCCCATTCGACACCAAATGATCATTGGTATTCAAGAGGAAGCATTGCGTGATGACGAAAAGCTCGACAACTTGTTATTTCTGTTGTTGCCATTGGAGACGCCACATAATTGCTTATTTGGCCAGATAAGAGAGAGAGGGGAGATGGGTAATTCATATTTTCGATGAATGGGACACACACACACACACACAAACAATGTATCACTGAATGTAACATTTTCTGCGAATTATTTTCGAGGATTCCAAAGTTTTTTGGCAAACTGATCTTGTTGAAATTCTACATTCTCACAAAAACGTGTTGAAGGCGAAAAGAGATAATCCGGCATTGTTGAAGGATTTCGACGTTGCTCATCAAAAGAGCACGAAATGATCGAATGGAATGCGATTTGTCTTCGAGTTTAAGCAACCAACAAGATTTTAATCGATTTTGGGCTAGTTTTGACACGATGTAGTAAAAAACAACAGCCGAGTTGTTACCTAGAAGAATTCCATTGTCAGCAATTTTGCTGCATGTGTTTTTTTTCTGAAAATTGCAAAAATGATTCAATTTTTTACATCGCCGAATAAAAAAAACATTTTTTAATTCCCAGAAGAGGTTCATTTAGAAATAATAGGCATTGGTCTGTCGAGATACGGTAATTGAAAATATATTTCCTCAGGCTATTGAAGTACAAATTTTGGTAGTGATTCAGTTCCAGATCGATTAAATTAAATTCTTGGAGATTTTCGAGATTCTGGTGGTCGAACGAGGCTTATAAGGATACTGTATCGCCAGATTTGCGATCGTTATGCATGCTCGTTTGTAACCACGGAAATTGCTCAATTTCCTCGAGATTTGCGTGTCGTCGACCTCGGGCCCAATTTCCCTTCGAGTTATATGCATGCATCCAGATGCACATGCTATTTACTACATGAGTTTTTTGAACATATAATACACGGAAATGACGTTGTACCTTTCGTTGGACCAACATATGTTGGAATAGTTAATCGGGGGGATAGTGAAGCGACTTGATCTATCGTAGGTATCAAGTCAGCTTGTCAAATTGTTTGACGATTGAGCATGTGACACGAAATTATGTAGTTCACGGATTTTTGATAAATGTCGAACAAGTGCCAAAAAGACATTCAAACAAAACATGACATCGAGACGCGAAAACATGGCGTTGGCGAACCAAACGGATCGAGAAACGACCCATCCGTCAGCTGACGAATTTCACAAACCAGTTGTGGCAACGCGAACTTATTGTCGCAAAATCTTTCATCGTCGAGCTGAGTTGGCTTGCTTGGCTCCGGCGAATTGGCGCGAGGGTGGTGTAACACACGCACGTACGTACGAAGCGGAATCATCAGCGATAATTCATCAAATGGGTTGCGTAAATTTACGCGACGACTAAAGAATGCGGCTGCGGCGGCGAAGACGAGACGAGGTCAACTTGGGTTTTGCTGCTCATTTTTTTTTAAATCTCGATCAATATCAGAGATCGCGCAGAATACGCAAAAGGGTTTCAGACAAAATAGTCTTACAGAAATTTAAGAAAAAAAAAATGACCAATTTTGGTCAGTATACATAATGAGTGAGAAATAAGTTCTACAATCACTCGATTATCATTTTTTCATAAAATGCGAACTTTCGAGTTATCGACATTCTTAAAATATTAGTTATTTGCTAAACTTATGAAAATGTCTTGAATAAATCGCATCGATTTTTCTTATTGTCAGTTTTTCAAGCAACGATTGATATTTTGAAATGTGAAATCGAATTTGTCAAGATATTTCCAACATTGTGTGTATTATTCGATGTAATGAGCCTATTTTCCATTTAAACAATAATAAAAATAATGAGGAAGAAGATGATGATGATGATCATCATCAGCTTCATCATATGGGCAAAATAACAACGCATTTATTTGGTTGTCTCAACATAATTGCATTTTTCGTTTGGCGTATGAGAGTGGCCGAACCGACCGCCTTATTTGGTCTGATTAGCCAAACTAATGTGAGAAGGATTTCCAAGAGAGGAGCCGTCTAATACATGAATAATTGAGAGTTGCTCTTGCAAAAAACGGAAGTGAGTCCAAATATGGTGCAAACAACAACCCGGTAGAATGTCCACAGCAAGTCATGTGAAAATGCTAGCGTTCGCATGGTGCATAGTTAATAGCGTGTCTTCAATAATTGATATTTCGAAACGGATGATTTCAAAAAAATGTTTTTTCATGAAAATTGGCAAATGTCTCGATTTTCAGCTCAAAAGCACCGTCTTCACACTGATTGCCGCGATTTTTCAAGGATTTACACTGGTTTGGTGAGTAATTCAATCCTGGTTGGAATTTCCATCTTCTATGCCACCCACCCACTTGAATGCACTTGACAAACCATTTTGTTGTTTTGAAAACAACGAAATGGGTGGACATTCTTAAAAGGGTATCATGAGAGCAAAAGCTCAAATGAGTGTGAGGGGGCGAATTCAAACTGACCAATCCTACCCAGGCATTGGGTTTCGGCAGCACAACAATCATTGTGATCTGGTTGTTTGTTCGGTTCAATATGCTCATTACGTAACTCAAAATATCTCTGTGAGACCATTTTAAAGGTTCATGGTCTTTTCGAAAATTACAGGTGAAAAACAATAATTGCACCTTTTGAACGGTTATTTTCAATTTTTCCTTTTTTTTTGCAATTTATTCCCATCAGTCATCTACCATACTAGATCATCAACTATTCGTGCATGATGTCAGAAGATGAGAGGGGAAAAAAAGAAAAGCCTCGAAAATGACACTTAACACCATGAATGGGAGTATTAACTTGTTGCAAAACTCCACATTTTCCATTTTTCTCTTTCTCTCTCTCTCTCGATTTATGTTGCTTCTAACAAACAACAACAACAACAACAACTAGACGTGCATTCGTCAAAGGGTTCTTTGTTTGACCATGGAAGTTGTGGTGGTCACTAGAACCGCTTTGCAGAAAAAAAACTGGGAAGAAGAGGAAAGAAGTGAAATAGAAATTCGAGAAGTTCGAATAACTCTTTTTGGCCCAAAAAATTTGGGTTGAATGTTGCAAAAAAAGGGGTGTTTCGAAATATTCAAAATTGAATATATTGAATAATATGTAAATCTACGCATAATTAGAGGATTATCTGAAATTGATTTCTTTCAAATTTTTTTAATGACTCAGTAAGTGTAAATCTACTATAGGATACTAAAAATAACCTATTCGAGCCATATTTTAACAATCCAAGAATTTTTTGAAAATTCATGAAAATGTCATTTTTTGAAAAAATATGGGCGAGGCTAAACTTTTGTGGAGCAGTGTAGTTGAGGATAATCTGAAATTGATTTTTTGAGAAAAATACTCTATTGGTAACCCACTGTAACAGGAAAAAATGCAAAAATATCTAATAAGTGGATTAAAAATAATTCGGACTATTGAAATATCTATGTTTCACCTTTTTTCAAATCATTTTGTTTTTTTTTTCTCACAGTGATTTTGCATCTCGAATTTTTCAAAAGCTACTATTGTCGTGCGACTGCGGAAAATTGGGCAAATGCCAAAAAAAAAACGGCAATGGTCTTGGCGCAAAACTAAGTGTAGATTTACGGGCCTAAAAATAAGAATAGGTTAAAGGCGCACAACGCGCACTAAGACCCCTTTTATAATAATGCTGTTCGCATCCATGGGTTGCTTGATTGGCTACCGTAGCCAAAAAGACGTTGTTTTGAAATGATATGACAATCGTTTTAATGTTGATTGATCTTAAAAATGAGTGGAATAAACGATAAAGCCGCTATAAATTATCAAGGTGGTGTCCATAAAAGCGTATATTGGGGGGGATTTCGTAAGCACAGTGGCGGTGGTTGATTTCCGGCACTCTGGCCGAAATAAAGGAAAAGAGAAATTATGGGGGGGGGGGTGAAATGAAAAAGAAAACAGAATATTACTGCAGGTTCGTTCTTTCGTATGTTCCTGGTGGCGAACGGGGACTCTTCTTCATCACATCCCTATTCACATCATTCGTTCGTCGATCCCCGTCAACAGTTTTGCCCATTTAAACGAGACATTTCCATTATTGGCGTAGCTTTATTTACCGGGATGTATTTGTATCATATCAGGCGTTTTTATTCATTAATTCACTGCAACTGCGCTAACAGACGAAAAATAGTTAAAAAATAGTTGAAAAATAGTGCAGACTTTGGATGAAAGAGGGATCTGTAACAGATCTATTTTCAAGTCTATTTTTCATCAGCGCTTCATCTATTTCTCAGCCATTCTCTATCTATTTAGCATCTTGGATTCATCTATTTTTCATCCATTTTATGTCTTGTCTCTGTCCCTCGTTCTTGCATTTTTCATCAGTTTTCTATCTATTTCTCATCCATGATTCATCCTTTTTTTAACCCATTTTTGTCTACTTCTTGTCTCTTATTCATCTATTTTGCGTCTATTTTTCTTCTGGATGGTTTTTATGAAAAAACAACAGTAAACGGAAAACAACAAAATAAAAAAAAAGAAAAATACAATAAATTGTTTAACATTAGAAATATCAAATTTCAATTAAATAGAAAAATGCTGATTGAAATATTCAGCGGCATCGGGCTTCAGTTTTTTGAGTTGGTGCTCTTTTCCAATTTTGATAGCCAAACTATGCGCCATAACTTTGCTAGCGTGGTGAGATCCTTTCTGATCGTTATAATTTGAACGAAGGCGATCGCTTTCCTATATATGAAACCATGATTGCGTTGTTCAAATATTTTGGACATACATGCAGTTTGATTGTGAAGTACGTTGGAGAGTTATCCAAAAAACATTTTTTTGCAACGTCACACAAGTCAAAAGTATCCCTATGGTTCAACATTCCATTCGTGCACATATTATTGAAAATAAGACCTAAAGCAATAATTGCACATCGTCCATCTGAGGGTAAACTTGAATTGCAGATAGCAAACAAGAAAATTTGAAGTCTGAATAACTATAAGAAAAATCTAAAACATTATATCTGAAACATACATCTAGTTTTTGCCTTCCGTTAGTGAGCAATCGAGTCAAATCGGCTCCTTCAATTGGCAATTGTAGATGTTTGTCGAAGTTTTCGAGCATGGTTTCATCGCATTCGAACATTGCAGATTTTTTCTTTGAACATCTAAACTTTTTAGGCATGAGCTCTGGAATTTCTGCCGTTTTTTTGGTCACACTTAATTTTGATACCTTTTAGTATCAACATTACAATTCCATCTGAACAAGTGTGAAGAACATCCAAGATTGTATTGTACGGCTTGACATATTGCACCATTTTCGCCGCAACAGGACCAAATCCATTAACACCGCGAATACTATCTTCTAGAGTCTTATCCCCAAATCTGTCCAATCGTCGATCTTAAATCAATATAAGCGATGAATAAGAGGGTTTAAAATTATTATTGATTATTACCGTTTCCAAGTAGTGGTTTGTGCAGAGTTCCGTGAGAGTCGCAATAAAAACAAGCTTGTGGACTTGAAAAACCGCTCATTCCAAGAATTTTTCTTTTGCCTTAAACTGAAATCTATAGAAATTTTTATCACTTAATCCTTACTGGTTGGTCAGAAACGAGTGACACGAGGTATGGAGAAAATAAAATATTGTTTACAACAAATGTTGACCCTTCGCCTTCCAATCGATTCATTATAATTTCCGTGACGGTATTCAAAACAAGGGTTGTTGGATTATTAGCTTTTAATTGCAGCATTCCACAGACTACAAGATTAATTGAAAGTTGCGACTTCATTGTAGGCAAATCCACTAACTGTAAAGTAATTGGCCACAAACTTCCTCTAAATGGCACATCTTTAATAAACAAATAATAATAATACCTGAAATGTCCTCGGGGATTGACGCCGTCCAGACTTAGCACCATGCTCAGATCACAATGATTTTCATCCTCGTATTTCCATGAACTGGAAAAAGAACTTCCTTGAAGATTGTGTGTGAAGTTTGGTGCTTTTTCCTTCAATTTCTTTCGAATTTCCATTATATCGTCAAAGGACGACTCCACAATCCCGCGAATTTGTTCGGTGAGAGGCAGCATAAGAAAAGTCGCCAAATCGCCGCAACTGAAATTGATCATAATAATGTTTGAAATGTGGTATATGTGTTTACCATTCTTTCTCTCTTCGACATCCACACTTTTCGCATATTGAACGCTTCATAATATTCTTCTTGAAATCATACCACAATGAGCGGGCTCTTTCAATCGGGATGAAGTTTTTAATTGTTGCCAGTCGTCTCAAAAAAGCCTGCAACCATTTTTTGTCTTTGGAAAAGTATTAGTTTTACCATTTTCTGTATCTTTTCCGAGTACCGAACTATACATGCACAATAATAGTTCATCGGCCAATTCCGATACACGATCATGTGCGGGGTAATTCGGTACGCATGACGGCCCGACTACTTCGGAGAATTCTTCAATTTCGCTTTCAGATCGTTCTCTCATGAGAAAGGATGTTGTTGATGCATCATTTTCATTATTTTCGTTGTTCGACGATTTGTTTCGAAGTGAAAGCCGGGCGTTTTTTCGAGCAAAGACCACACGTTTGGTCGGCATGCATCGCGAACCAGCAATTAGATCTTAAAATAATAAACAATCAGCAATATTAATATACGAAACAAACCTACCTTTCCTCAATTTGAGACCTTCTTTGGGTAATCGATGGCGAAGAGTTTTAGGCATTTCCAAAATTGATTTTTAAAAAAATTGTGATTAACATGGCGCCATCTGCATTCACATTACGATCAACTGCACAATTCCATCTATTTTTCACCCTTTCAGTGTCTATTTCTTATCATTATCTTCTATCTATTTTTTCCCAATTTTTCATCTATTTGTCATCCATTTATCGTATATTTTTCACCAATTTTTCGCCCATTTTTCTCCTAGTTTTTATCTACTTTTCCGAGTAATCTATTTTTCATCCACCTTTTCACCATTTTTCGTCTGTAGCACAGTTGCAGTGATTGGTTTCCATTGTGATTAATTGTATTTAAATATGTTCTTCTGTTTCTTATTTATTCGATTTTTGTCATTGGTTTTTTTTTCGTAAAATTTCGCATAACTATTTGTTTATTTAATTATACAAAGAATACTTTAGAAAATGTAAACACTGAATGAGAAAGATTTTTTTTCAACAATGCCCTGACGAGTTTATGAAGAATCTCAATCAGTGATATTCGTCGTATTTGCCGATATCGGTATTACACTAGATCGACCAAGGTGAAAAAACGCTAGAAATCGTTCCCTGCAATAATGAAGGACTTCTGAATCGTTTCGGAATCAACGCACCCACCTATAAGGTTTCACGAAATAAAAGGTGACGGTTGGTGAGATGATGAGCACGATACACATTGGGAAGGTGGCGGCGTTCTCCATTACTGGCGAGTCGGATTTCATCGACAGCGAATATCCGTAGAGGAACCAGGTGACAATGGAGATAACTGGAGAGAGGAGCTGGGCGAGAAGAATCTGAATAGACACGCTTCGGAATGGGATTGGCGATGAGTCGCAGACGCACATTCATCAAACATCTGTGAAGTCCTTTCATGGCGACGCTCAAATTCGACGACACCATTGCTCGATAGACGAACCAACGACATATAACACCATATACGATTAAGATGGGGCTCACTGTGATGTTACAAAGGTTTGGAGCTGAAAATAGTGGCAACTGTGTGGAATTCGAAGGAATTCCCAATTTTACGCATTTGGCTGATTTGGGCGATGTCGACGACACTTGCGTAGATCCATTTCGAATTAATGAGCTCTGGTTTCAGACGGTGTGCAACTTCATCCATCACATCCAAAGGATACAGATTTCCGACGAACGTGATAATCTGATTATTGAAAATTGTAAATCGATTCGTTTCAACGAATCATACTGTCATTGTTAGAACCGCAATGCCCAAAAGCAGGCAGACGAATATGATGAAGCTTCGACGGATCACCCGAAATGGTTTTGAGACGGCTTGTTGGCGAAAATATAACGAAATGAATATTATTAGATTTGAGCCAACAGCACAGTACATAAGTAGGCAATCAACTAAAACGAATGTTCGAAGTAAGTTGATCAATTGAAGAGTTGGAGTTACAGAAAAGACAGAATTGGGAGACGAAATAACGATCGGAGAAGCATGATTGGCACGGACCATGGAATATCAGCAATATCGATGTTTTCGAGTTTTTGTATCTGCAATTTTCTCAATAATATGTATGCACATTTCACTTTTAGAAGGCTGCAATTAGTCGAGACTAGTTGAGCAGCACATTATAATTTCCCGTTTAAGTATGCATATAGGGCGACTGCCGTACGCGTGTAGATTTACGTGGTACGCTTCTCGTTATGGTCCCACGCGGACTATCTGGTTATTTTAAATTCTGGGGATCGTTTCGATAATTGTTCATTTGGGTGACGTTAGAAATTCAAGAGAATACCACACTCGTGAAACAAATAAATGAGTTCATGAAAAAAATTCTAAACAAGCATTCACGCGTGGCGAGACCATTTCGAAAGGTGCACTTGTGATTAATTATCACAAAATTATGCTTGGACTATATTCACCACTATTTTATGTACAGAAAACAAAACGAGGCGGCGTACCTTGCTGTCATCATAAAGTCGCAAATCCCGATTATAATATCGAAAATCGCCTCCGTAATAATCAAAACCCTGAAAAAATTATTTAAAAAAATTACTGAATGGTGTGTAATCGAATGCGACAAAATCGCGCTTCAAATGGGGTCATATACGATTGCGCAAATTCAAATCAAATAAATTTATCGTATACAATTACGAACCAGAGGGTCCGATTAAGTTTTTGTAATAATTCGTTTTTTTTTCTCGACTACACTATTCACGAATAGCGTCAGCCGTTTTTATAGAATTCTTCACCATTGCATATTTTCAGCTATGGCTGTAAACGTACGAGTATGTCTTCATAGTTGATGGTGTACATTCTAGTGCAATACAGACGAGAGTAACATTCAGAATAACTGAAATAAACGAGACTGGATACGAAAAAGCGATATTCATTGTATCGGACCAATGCCAAATCATTCCTTCTGAAATTGATATCGATTAGGCAAATAATATCATTTAATAGTATTTAGTACATGCAAAAAATGAAGGAAATGAACTTTTCTCGAGGCATTTTTTCTTATTCGATTCCAAGAAACGAAAAATTCAAAAAATTAAGAAATTAGTCATTATGGGGGCTTTCATCCCTGCAAAATTACCACAAAATTATTTCGAGAATTCTGGTTTGAAAATTATGGACATCAAATTGAAAAGAACAAACGATAAAGTAAGAAAAGCCGAGTTTTGACTCGATTTCTCCTGGTTTACCTCAAATCTACATAATTAGGCGTTTTGATTCTAAAAATGGATACATAATTGCTATGATATTCTAAGGTTTATTATCAACATCAATGGGTCTGCTGAGAAATTGAAAATCTCCAATAAAATTTTGCAGGGAAAAACAAAAAAGTGGAAATGTGATTTCTAGTTTGACACATTTGAAATTTGAAATATTTAGCTCAAAATGAGCACATTTCCGACTGCAATCTATCAAATTAGGCGGCATTTCGGAAAGGTTAGAAAACTTTTTTTGAAAATATCGTGATCAAACATTCAAGAAATCTCAATGGTCTGAGGCAATCAAATATTTCGAATAAAAATTTGTAATCAGAGTTTCGTTCAATTACTCGTTCTATGATCATTATTATTATTAATATGATTATTTTTTATTATGATTCAATCAATCACCCACGCTTTTGAAGTGAAGAATTGAAAATAAAGATACCGAATCAGTCACTGATATTATGATAAAACTAAATATAATTGAAACTAAAAATCATGGGAAATTAAGTTTAAAAAACGGAAATGAAGTTAAAAAAAATAATAATTAAAGACTGTTTCCAACAAGAAACTCAATTCTAAGAATTCTATAACCAAAAATGGATGCTTCAAGAAGCCATCGGAGGACGTTTCCAGAACACTCCAATAAGAGTTTAAGCCCAAAAATGGCAACACGGTTCCTTATTATCGCGAGAAAATTTCTGCACTTGCTGAAAAATGAAATGCGATGAAGAAATGTTTCGAAAAAATTAGTATGATTTGGCTTTGAAACGAAAAAAAACTACTTGAGCAAACTTCGAGTTATCGAGATTTGAAGCGTCAAAATTAAAATCTCCCATGAATTTTACATTTATTTAAAATATGCAGAAATTAGAAATGAAAAGAGCAATGCCAATTAACGCGTTTAAATGCTCCGGAAGCTACCATTCCGTTTCCAAGCGAGGTTACCTGTTTGGACAGAAAAAACCGGATATCAGTCTCGGACGAAAATCGATATCCCGCTCCCCAAATTTTTCAGAGAATTTTCGAAATATTCCTCTTTTTGAAAAAATAAACTAACAAAATATGACGATTCGGAATTACTGTAGAAATAGAAATTTAAAAAATTCTCACATAAGCAGAAAATGTTACACAGAACATTTTCGAAACAAACTAAAATCAAAATTTAATTGAGAAATGACATATACCGTGTGTTTTTACTCTAAAATACAAGGCAATATGTGTGATTTCTATAAAATTTCATTTTTCTGCTGTTTCCAAATTTTCCCTTTTTTTTTGTTCACTAAGTTTTTTCGCGTCGATTTTTCCAATAATTGCAATTCTCAGGCAAATCAAATAAAATATTTTGAGAATCAAATATTCAATGATAAACTCTAAAATATTTTGAGAAATTCTAAAGTTTATTGATACTTTCGAAAACTTATTGAGAATCGCTAAACTTAAAAATATTTTTTAAAATCTTATAAGATTTTCTAAAATTTATTGAGCGATTTCCAAATTATCTCGATAAATTCGAAAATGTTATGAGATTTCCTAAAGTTTATTGAGACAAATCTAAAATATTATAGAGACACGTTAGTTTCTCAATGAATCTCAAAATATTTTATTTGATTTTCCTGAGTTTCCAAAAAAATGCTGTCATTTTTCTTCTATTTTTTTCAATTTTATTTCAATTAATCGCCACTATTATGAATTTTGAAAAACGCTAATGAACAATGACGTAATTATAATTAAATTAGCAATGAAATATATATGGTATAAATACGGTCAGAAATTGTCGAAAACCACATTCGAGAAATGCATTTTCTCATTGTTCTTCCAGCTCTTTTCGTCGTCGCCCAGGTATGTTTTGTGCATTTTCAGACATCGTCTATAATTCAATTTTCAGTGTCAACATCATGTCGAAGAATCGATGTAAGCTAGTCAATTCTCGAACCAAAATATTATTAATCATTTTATTTCAGAAATCTCGAGCCTAGTAATTTCTTTTCGAGGTGGGCAATTCAAAACCAAATTTGAATTCATCGATTTCGGAATTTCAGAGGCAACGTGCCAACCATCTACTATCCAGTAGTTACTAGCAAAAAACCGCAAAAGTAAGAATTCATATAAGGACCATTCAAATTGGAATTGCTTTCAGCCCAAAAGTTCACCGGAAAAGCATTGCGACGTAAATATTATAATTGAAATTATGCGATTTTCTCGATTTGTTTCTTTCAGCACACAAACGCCTCTTACGGAAAAACCAAAACCAACTCCGTCTGATTTTTTCAACGCTTTCCAATTCAATATTGTCTTTTGTTTTTCAGATTAACGTGCCTTGAACATACTTTAGCTAGTCAAATTGAAGAGTAAGATTCTGGGGAATTCAATAAAATTGTTTAGTTTGTTCTTCAGAGATCAGAGAAGAAATCCGCTGATGTTCAAGTTTGAGCTCAATACTTTCAAGGTTTAATTTCTCGAATTCTAATTAATTTTCAGAAGCCCCTCTGGCAGAAGCAACTCGCACAGAAGGTAACACTGATTTAATGAAAAAAATCAATAACCACTAAAAAATTGTTTTTCCAGTCGTTCGAATGATTTGAAAAACTTCCGAACTCCGGCAAAAACGTAGGCTGAAAAATCGAGTCAACTTCAAATCCAATATTGAATTTTTTCAGAAACCCATTCTACATGAACGTTGCGCCAACTTCCTCGCTTAAACACCACAATCAGTATGATTGCTTTCACATTTCCTAAATTGTCCAAATTTTCAGCAACCTTAACACAAGAGGAACACATTTCTCAGGAGAGTCTGTATTTTTTTTAACAACTCATCCAAATGTTCAATTTCAGCAATTGCATGGAACTCGATCACGTCGATATCAACTCTAAGTGATACTCTTATTATGTGTTATATAGTCTTAAATCGGAATTCGAATTTCAGAGAGTGGATGAGTGCTTTGGACAACGCGCCTGCTGCCCCAAAGCCGCCCGCATTCATCGAACGCTCAAGAATTCTTGTCCCGCGATATTTGTGAGCGATTCGCAAGAAATGAGATCGATTCGAATTTTGGAATTTGCAGGCCGTACGTGACCAAGCCAAACGGCTACAGACGAAGAATAAGCATCATCCCGCGCTACCGAATATTCATCTAAGTATACCTATAAACAAAACAAATAAAATTTGCAAAAAAAAAATAATTGAAAATTGAAAAGAAACGGCTTAAATTCTGTGTTTTTTTTAAGAGTATTTGAGGAGAAAATATCAGATGTTTCTAAAAACACATCCCCTCTAATAAAAATACGTACTCGGTCATTCTTCATTGTCATGGATATCACCGCTCTTCGATCCACGCGAACTACTCGAAAGCACAACAACTTGTTTTATCAGGATATTCCGGGCAGTATGAACGCCGAAGCTCTCACCCGATTCCTGGCGGAGCAGCGCGAATCGTCGGTTCGTGAGATGGCAGACCCCGGTGCCGGGAAAACATTCGACAGATGAAGACGTGGTTAAGGGGAATTCCTTGACGAAGCTTCGCCAGCAGAGTTCCACAATAAATTGGTAACAGCCGCTTTCACCCCATTTTTGAAAGCTCTATCTCTCTCAGCTCTAAACCAAGTGATCTCAGATTTAGGAAGACCGCGATTCAACGGGCAGATTCTGCCGTCACAATGAGTTCAGCATTTCAAAAAGCAAATCGATACGGTATTATCAGTGCCAGATCTCAGGCAAATCAAATAAAATATTTTGAGAATCAAATATTCAATAATAAACTCTAAAATATTTTGAGAAATTCTAAAGTTTATTCATACTTTCGAAAACTTATTGAGAATCGCTAAACGTAAAAATATTTTTTAAAATCTTTTAAGATTTTCTAAAATTTATTGAGCAAATTCTAAATTATCTCAATAAATTCTAAAATCTTGAAATAATTTTTAAAAGTGATTGAGAAAATTCTAAAATATTATAGAGACACGTTCGTTTTTCTCAATGAATCTCAAAATATTTTATTCGATTTACCTAAGCACTTCCACTTAAAAGCGGAAATAATTTTTCCTCGTCTATTTTGTTTGGCATTTAATGTAAGCAGACTTATCATCATTATGTGAATGCTTTGAACGATCATCCGATTCACAATTTGAGCCAGTATATGATTGAAAATAAAATAATTTGTAATTTAAACCATTAATAAAATTTGTATTTCTAAAACAAATCACGTCAAACTAATTTGATCCTCAATTCATTTTCTATTCTTCAATCAACTTAAATTCTTTGGTTTTTAGTTTATATCAATGGGTAACATTTCGTGTAAGCAGCTTGATTTATTTTCATGTGAATGTCTATCGAATCCAAGGCAAAAAGAAAAATGCTAACAAGACGGCCGGAAAGACAATGCGCACATTGCCAAATGTCAAGCTGAACAAAGATCGCAAGATTATGCAATGCGACGATCAATTGTACAAGGTGTTCTCAAAGTATTTGTCCAAACTATTTTCAGCTGGTTTCAGGTAATTTTCGATCCTGAAGGCTTCAGTGTTCATAATATGGCATTAATCGGCCAACAACACGCTCCGAATAAAATATGGGACAAATCATTGGTAAAATATTAATTGTAATTTAATAATAGAGACGTTTTCAAATTAATTCAGAAGCCAAAATCCAAAGGACGCGTATCAATAATCACCAATCCCGACGAAATATTCATCAAACCGAATCGACCCTCGAATATTCAACCAATTACCGTCGACAAGTTGCAAATCATTGAGATTCTCGATTATGTCGACGATTTATACTTGCAACTTTGTGAGCTTCATCCATCTTTTTTTTGGCTTAAATTATATTAATTCCAGTGGAACCGGCCGATGGGAAGAAATAATAATTGTTTTATTGTAAAACGAATAAATTGGATCATTTTCCAATTCCCAATCCTGACGAGACACCGATCGGCCCAACTCCAGGAACTCCGACACCAACTCCGCTGCTGATTCCGAACAATCCACCTGTGCCAAGTCCTAAGCCGGCTAGACCGCCACCGCCGCCGCCGCCTGAAGCTCCTCCGATTCCTGGAGATGGTAAAGGTTCAGAAGGAACTGAAAATGGATAGTTGCTTTAAAAAAAGCTTGTTAATAGGAATCGCTTACGCGGTTTTGCTTTCGGCACAAATTTTCGTTCCCATTGATCTTCTTTTTCCCATTCCGACGATTTTGTTTCCCATTTTTCTTCTGAACTATCTGGTGGAAGAGGGAATTCTTCGTCGTCATTATCGTCATATTTTCCTTTCTTTTTGCTCACTTCTTGATCCAATTCTTCGCTCGAAAATCGAAACTTCTTCTTTTTCTTCTTGTTTTTCTTATTTTTCTTTCTATGCCGTTTTTTGGTTCCACACGAATCCCGATATCCATTATGTTCTTCTTCGTCTTGTTCCAGTTCATCGGAATCGCATTCGCGGCAATTTTTCTCTTGATTGTCATGTGTGAAACGTTGCTGCTGATAATGTCTGAAACTTTTTTGATATCAAGTAATCAGGGCATCGTGACTAACTGGCAGAATGATGGACAATTGCAAGACTGGGAGAGCTGTGGATTCTCAGGCAAATGAAAAAAAATATTTTGAGACAATTCTAAAATCTTATGAGGTTCGTTGAGAGGCTAACGTGTCTCTATAATATTTTAGATTTGTCTCAATAAACTTTAGGAAATCTCATAAGATTTTAGAATTTATCAATAAGTTTCAATGAATATTGTGAGACTTTAAAGTTTATCAATAAGTTTTAGATTTGTCTCAATAAACTTTAAAGTTTATCAATAAGTTTTAGATTTGTCTCAATAAACTTTAGAATATATCAATAAATTTTAGATTGTTCTCAATAAACTCTGTCCAATATTATGTAATATCATACGTTATCGAGCAATTTTCACACAAATAGAATGTAATAACATCCATAATAATTGAATATGTATGAACATTTCATTTATTACAATATTAATGCGAAATGAATATATTAATAATAAAAATCAGAAAAAAATAAATGAATCAATTTATCCTTTTCGCATTTTCTCCTTTTTCTGCGAATGACGCACAACGTTGCTATAAGGAATTCGTTGCATATATTGAAAGAAAATGTTGAACTTACAAATTTTGATGATTGAATTTGTCGTTTTTCGATTAATTTCATGAGTTCTTTGCGATAAAATGACTTCTTAATTAAATCCGGATTCGCGTTGAAACGCATTTTCAATGAAGTCACAATCTCGTGATATAGTTTATAACTGAAAATTGCCAGTTTTAAAAAATAACTGAATGAGTCTAACTTTCTCAAAATACTATATCCAATCCCGTTTGTCTGTTCCGAGCACATGTTTCTCTTGATAACGTGATAAATGTGCTCATGCGCTTGCGTGCTTATTGCCGACAGCTGACCATGACATTACTGTACAAATGGTATATAAGTTGCTGAAACAATAAATACAGTAATCATTAGTATTATTTCTTATATCAACGACAATAGCATGATGCTACAACGTTCAATAACTCTTAAAATTGCAAAAAAACGACTTACGTGCACTTTTGAACCAGAAAACAATTGAGGCGCCCCATCTCAAATTAGAATTTCTAATAATTTGCAAATACCTGCGATCTGAAATAAAAATTTTCTATTATGTACATAGCTAACGATCCCATATTACTTTGTTTGGTAATGTTGTATTTGTAACTAAGCGAGTCGGTGACACCATCCATCGGTAGCAGGCATGTATAAGCAACACAACAGCTGAACCTAACGGAGGGATGGTTCCGATCATGGCGTTAGAAACAATTTTCACTTCAAAAATCTTCAAAGGATGATAATTGCAAGTGGTAAATTAACTTACACTAGCTTTTTCGGACCTATTAATGTCATTGAATTTTCCTGATAGCGACTTTACCGAAGATGGCAGTCTCGCTTTCACATCAATAGCTTCGCATCGAAAAATATTTATTTCGTTTTTAACGAAGACTTCTAAAAGACAATCTTCAATTTTTAAATGCTGAAAAAGGAGAGACATAATTGAAGTACCTTTTATTATACGTGTTCCCTCGTGAAAAAGGTGGAAAATATCCATGGCCGTGATCCACATGGGCACCTGCTCATTGAATTTGCTGTATTTACCTCGTTCCTTAAATCTATCGGCCAATGTTTCTGGAATGTTTGTTCCACACTTTTCCCGATCTCTAAAATATCGAAATCATTAGAAACTGAAGTATAATTGTAATTAATTGTAATAATTGTGCTTATTTTTAAAATTCATGAACCTGTTCATGCAATGACATGTTTAGACACAACTGTTTCAAATTCAGCATGTAAAACAATGCAGATTTAAGGTAGTGTTAAACATTTATTATAAAAACTTGCATTTCATGAATACGTCCATCAGTGAAGTGAAGAAACTATTACAAAAAGCTAAAAAAAACGGAAGGAACATCAAAAACATAAATTATTGATTGGAATTTAGAAGATCTTAAAAAGAGACGCCGCAAATTGCGTCAGTGGAAGTCATAAGGGCCCTATTCAAATTTTAAAGTCTCACAATATATTGAGATACTTTACACTTTCTCAAAAGATTTAACTTTCTCAAAAGATTTAATTTACAAATTCCAAATTTTTAAAATTTATTGATTCTCAATAAGTTTTAGAAAGTATCAATAGACTTTAGAATTTCTCAAAATATTTTAGAGTTTATCACTGAATATTTGATTCTCAAAATATTTTATTTGATTTGCCTGAGTTGTTGCAAGCATAATTGCTCATAGAACCGTAAAAATCTGGAAATTGAATTTCAATAAAGAATTTCAATAAATATTTGGTAACCGTATAAAGAATGACGAAAATTTTATTTAAAAAAAACCCCCCCATCATTTTATTTTCATTCGTGGGGCGATTCCCTTACAATGTGACACACCAGAAAAGAAAAAAAAGAAGAAAATCGGATTGATGATTTTGAATTTTCACAGGGTCGATGCAAACACCCTGACGCACAAATGCGGAGTGGGCGTCTGAAATTACGGTATTTTTTTCATGAAAAATTCAAATATCGTAGCTAAAGACGCATACACAAAATTGTTGAATCTTGGCGCGTATGCGATTAACATTCAAAATCATTAGTCGGATTTTCACGACACTTTCAACAATCAAACATGTGAAGCACACAAATACTATCAAAGGCAAATTTTAAAATTATTTGTAATGCTTGGACGCGGTTTTCTTTTATGAATTGTGACTGTAATTTTGATATTTGGTTTTCGAAATCGTAAGCACACGCAATATATTAGTTATCATTTAGTTTTACTTAATTAATCGATCCATCAAGTGTGGCCGTGGCCGAACCTAATTTTTGAGGACAATATTTCTAGACCGTGTTTTCCTGTTTGCTTCCTGTTTTCGTTTTTTGCAACCGTCCTCATTGACGTTATTCATGCTAAAACACTCACTTGCTGAAATATTGCCAAATTCTGCTAGCAATAATAGAAATATGTTGCGAATATTCATTTCAATATATTTTACTATTTTTTTTGTTCGAAGTTTTATATTAAGAGAAACTCATTAATCACGACTAGTTACGAACAAGGGGGTCGCATAATATACGCGAAACAATACAACAAAAAATTGGTCATTGTTCCAATTAGTTTTGAGATCGCGAAAAAAACATTATAAGAATAGATGATGATGATGATGATACAAAAATTATTTGCCAACGCCCAATCCTGACGAGACACCAATTGGACCAACGCCAGGAACACCAACACCAACACCACTGCTGATTCCGAATAGGCCACCATTTCCTGAAAAGAATCGGTTTCTTGAAAGCCTTTATGCACAGCTCTTACCTAATCCTAGACCACCTATTCCCGGATTTCCGACGCCCGGAGCTCCAACTCCCAAACCAGTGTTTACTCCGATGCCTTGTCCAGCACCAGTCGCCGGTCGCGTTTGAGCTGGAGCAGGATGTGGGCGGGACACAGCTCTAGTAATCTCAGCACTATCGATTTCGGGGAACTCGTCTTCATCAAGCTTGCTCTCCGCCGGCTTCGCTTCGAATTTCTTCTCCCAGAGATCCTGAATTTCACCCAAATCATTTGTGTGTGATATTCGCATTTGATCTACCTCGTTCTCCCATGAGCTGTCTTCCTTGGTCACGACCGGAGCTTGTGTAGTCTGCTCCTCAATGAATCCTTGTTCTTCAACAGACTCCTCCTGAACTTTTGCCTTCGCTTTATGTGTTGGTGGTGGTGGTGGAACCTCCAATTCTGAAAATCATTCTTGAATTTTTTCAATGGAAAATATTCTACCTAACGATTCATCAGAATCAAACTTGAACTTTCTTCGTGGTTTCTTATGCTTATGATGTCGAGGCCTATGCCGTCTCCTTGGGTGATAGCTGTCGTATCCACCTCCACCATAACCGCCACCATCACACCCTCCGCCACATGGCGATTGATATTGATATTGCGGTTGTTGTTGAACATAACCACTGCAACATTTTCGTGAAATCGAATCAATACCGATTGTGGTTGCTAGAATTCTTTTCTAGAACAGATTAGAATTCAAACTAAAAATTTAAGCTATTTTGATGATTTTTCAATTTTTCAATTCCAATAAATCACAAAATCAAACCTGCAAAATGATTGGCAATTGCATTGTTGATACAATTGTGGCTGATTGCATGCGTAATTACTCAGCGACCAATCTGAAGAAAAACCAATGGGCCTAAAATTGAAAATTCATCTGAAAATCGCTTACTAGCTGCCGCTGCCCCAAATAAGGAAGCAAGTAGTAACCAGCGTGCAGTTTCGGTCATTTTGTGACTCGTTTCGGAATTCGCCGATTCCTTTTAATACCATCATGACGGTGTAAATTACACTATCGTTTCAGAAGCTATTGTTCTTCTTGTTCGGTCATTTGATTGATAACACGATTTTCAAAACAATGGGCTTATCATGAGGTCAAAAAGGAAATTTGGACAACGGACGGGGGGGAACTGGCAGGCAGGCAACAACACATACATAACTCTCTAATATTTATTCAAATTCAAAAGCACTATCATGGATTCTTCATTGATTTCGAAATCGGTCTCATTATCTGGAATTTGTTGTTTTTTTTTTTGTCAACATTCGAAATCATGAAATTCGCTCTCACTTGGAATGAGCACGTCAAATTCTTATCAACGTTCATCATCGCTGCTGCATTGTTGAATGATCCGCAATAATGGGGTGCCGAGAAAATGGTGACGAGCTTCTTGTTGGCGAAAAACTCGTAGCCGTCCTGCACCACTTGGTGAGCGCGAGCAATCAGATCGACGTCGAGACGAGTCATCACTTCGCGAAGAGCATCCACGCCGAACACTTGGCCAACACCGCGCGTGTTGTCCTCGAACCCCTGAAAAAAAATTTGGCTCGAGATTTTCAAAATGTGGCCATCAGAATTTTGATTCTTCTTCTTTTCTCACGAAGAGGAAGATGACCTGGGCTGGACACGTTGCTAGAAGAACAGATGGAAGATTGACTACTCTTCTAACGGAGTGGCGGTCGTGGAATTGGACCCGGCCAAGAGGAAGACCTTCCATGAGATGGTCGGACTCGCTTCGGAAGGAGATCACCACAAGAACAACTGAAGGAGCCGTTATCACCCCCTGGTCCACCAAAGCCAAGGACCGAAAAGCTTGGAAAGCTGCGCCTCAACAGGCGAAGAACCAACCGACTAAGTGACTAAGTGAAGCTTTTCTTTTTTTCTACAAATGGCAAAATGGATTACATTCACGCATTCGTCAGGGTCCGACCATAAAATGTCAATTTCAATGCTTGGATTTGGAATATCCAGAACAGGTCTCGGCAATTTACGAAGCTGCTCCAATGATTTCATCTAAAAATGCTCAAATTGATATCATTTTCTTGAATTCCCTTCGATTACTCGTTTACTAATACCACCATGCATACACAAAATACGTCCCGAAACCAGCGAAGTGTACGGCATACAAGCAAACGTCATCTGAAATCATCTAGACTTGGCAGCACAAAACAAAACGTCGGCCATACTTGGAAAATATTCCACAGATTCATCCCATTTTTGGGTCCATATCGTCTTGTGATCTCCTCCAAGAAACCATATACACGATTAATCGCACCGCATTCATGATTGCCGCGAAGCAAGAAAAAGTTTCCAGGGAATTTGAGCTTGTAGGCGATGAACAATGTGACGACTTCTAAACTTTGAGATCCGCGATCGACATAGTCGCCGAGGAACAGATAGTTGACGATCGGTGGGAAGCCGCCGCGATCAAACAGCCGTAGAACATCTGGATGAGATTCGATCCGATGTGTCAGAAGCCGAATACCCTCCCCACCTGAATACTGTCCATGTACATCGCCGCATATTTTAACAGGTGCCTCAATCTCCACCATTGCTCCTTGAGTCATGAATATAGGGCTGAAATTAATAATAGATTTTGTCAATGAAAACTACTCGACGGATTCCGACCGCGCCAATTCCAAAAGCCGTAATATCTCAGAGATAGCAACGGTCGATGAGAACGAGGTGCCGGTTGAGCCGAGATTCAAAATGCGCACGATGATCTCATCAACGTTGATTTCAGCTGCAAATTGCTTAGCATTTTCCAATTTCTCCTTCGAATACTGCAACTTTTTGGTAGCGCGATATACACTGATTTATTTGCCATTCTTTAATTGATCGTCCTCGAAGAAAAACGTTGGGGTTTTTTTTTTGAAATAATCATCCATTAAATCAACGAGCACACGCGATTCGCCATCGATTTTATTTTATTGTTGAGAAATTCAATCTAAAATGCTCATTTCATTATTACTATTATTTATTCCATATTGCTACTCAATTCTATACAATGGCAAATATTTCGAAATCAAGGACAGAATAAGTGAGTTTCCTTCGGCAGAACGGCTTCTAGGCAAGCCAACGAGTTTCCATATTTTTTTTTAATGTTAGAGAGACATTCAGATTCAAAAAATCTTTATATGTAGTGTAATAATGCCCTATTTCAAGGACACTGCTAGAATTTATCTAAAACTTTCAAATTAATTCTTATCTGATTTACGCTCTAATGCGCAGAATGTTAATTTGCAGATGTTGAATGTATTCGAAAAAATAATCTACAAGAATACAAATATTTGGGAAACAAGGTTATTCGCATAAATATGTTCAATGATAATCATTTTTTGTAGAATAAAACCGTAAGTGGACAAAACTGCGAAACGTGGAATACGGTGACCAAAAGTTGGTTCAATTCCGCGACAGTTGATGCCAAAAAACTGTACTCATCAAGATTTTCAAGTTCGAAAATTTGCTCTCTGATTTAGAGCTTCTACAACGGAGCACCTTTATCATTCGTCTTGTCGCAATTTGAAATTGGAAGAGGGTCATCCATTCTTCGGAAAATATTCATCGGGCCCTGATGGGGCTCCAAGTATCACTAGTGGAAAATTCGGACCATGGTGCTACATTATAGTATGGCTTGAATTGTCGGCGTCCGGCGACTTCTGTTAATTTACGATATTTAATTTCACTGAAATTAAAAATTAACGAAAAGACCTCTCAAATCGAAATAATCAATTGTTCCGCGTGAGACCATAGCGAAAGGCGCATGCCCGTAAATCTACACGCCGGACTCCGACTATAAATTTATTAAAATCTCTAAAAGCGAGTACCCAGTGTTGAATTACGATGAATTTGATTCGCAGGTTAATTGCGACTATCTAAATTCAAATTTAAATTACGGTCCCATGAAAATTACGATAGTCCATAAATACTCATGGTGCTCGTTATTTTGTGAGGGTAGTAGCTGTCAAATTTTTCAGCTTCAATTATTTTTTAGGATAATGGAAAATACACACCGGCGTTTTGTTTTGAACACTGCGATGAATCGAAAATAGTGGTTCCTCATATCACAAGAAAAATTCGTATATTTACAAATTTTAATTTTAAAAAAATTTGAGGTAAAAATGTTTAGAAACTGGATATTCGTATCCGAAATTAAACTATAACCGGATGCTGCTTGATCCGATCGATAAATTATTCAAAAAATATAATTTTGGCGATCGAAAATACTATGAATTCGTGCGTTTTCCAATTCAACTTTTAATTCGATTTTGTTTTTTTTTTGCAGCTTCCTTCGAAATATGTCTCACCGGGATATATCAGATTTCGGCGGAATGTAGGCGTCTTCAAAAAATTCAACGATGATTTTGAAATGTCTAGATGTTCTTCGGGCTGTGCATTACTGTCGTTGTGGTTATTTTCTGGGTTTCAATTTGCTATATAATGAAGAAGCGATCCGTCGCTTTGTACAGAAAACGACAAAAGGCTTTGGAAGAGTTTTATAGTTCAACTAACATTGGCGATATTCGATTGAGAATTGAAATGGAACGTGAAGCAAACGCATAATTTTTATCGTTTTACTGATTTTTTCATGTAAAATATTTTCGACCTTTTAAAATAATCATTTTCAATTTTTGTTGGATTTTTTCAATCGATTTAATAGCAATGAAAGCCTGGAAGATAGAAAAATCCACGGAAAATTGGCTAAATACTAAACATTGAACGAGCCTCATCTTATGATGTTCAGCGAATTGAAAAAAAAGTATTTCTTTGTATTATTTTTAGTTTTTTAATTTCGCTGAAAATGAGAAACCAATAAAAACCCAAAATTGTTTTTTTTTATTCGCAGAATGGGTCCATTTAATTTTAATCTGAGGTTACGGTGTGTCACGCGTGCAAACACGTTTACGAAAAAATGCACAAACCTTGGAAATTTGATTTTTAGCCAATTGGTTGTTGAATTGAAAGCAGTTTCGCAACGTGGATAACATCTTCGAACGATAAAAAATTTGCATTAAAAAATTTTGACAAGATATTCCAAATTATCAAGTTTTTCGTCTTCGATTTTGGATCTTCTGGAAACCAGATTTAGGAGGAAGTCAGCTGATTCGCGAAAAAGGTCAATAATCAAGTTTTTTGGGTTGTTAAGAAGATTCATCGTGAAATTTTCAAAGATTTTCAAACGACCTATTAGCATAAGACGATTTGAATTAGTGAGAGTTTTACACAACAACATGCAAATTGTTATCATGCATTGAAGGCCGTATTACAATGAGGCTTCTTCTGACCTTCCCTTATTTGATACCTCAACGGAATCCCGCTAGCCGACACGGAGGCCATGACAGTTTAATGCGACCGCAATAAATGACACATCACTCGAACCGGTATCCGATTATGAACCGAATACGCCATTTTCTGGCGATCGAAATCCCAAAAAAAAAACCAACAACAACAACGACCACGAACTGTGCGATTTTTTGTTTTGTTTTGCCGAATAATTTTATTCTGAGAATCATGGAATGTTTGAGAAAGTAACAAGAAAGAATGTAAAAGAAATGGGGGGAAAGGCATGAAATATACAACCAAATTCGGGATATTGCATTTAATATCCTGGCGCGGTTCTTGGTGGTGGGCAGTGGTCGCAGCCGCCTCCGGCTCCTGGCTCTCCAGCGGATCCCTGCTCTCCTGGGGCTCCTGGCTGTCCTGGGGCTCCGTCGGATCCGGCGTCTCCTGCTGGTCCCTGTGGTCCGTCCTGTCCTGGTTGTCCTGGCTGTCCTGGGGCTCCGTCTGGTCCTGGTGGTCCAGCTGGTCCGGCTGGTCCTGGTGGTCCGGCTGGGACTTGAACCTCCTCGACGACTCCTGGCTGTCCGTCTTGTCCTGGCTGTCCTGGCTGTCCGTCTGGTCCAGCTGGTCCTGGGGCTCCTGGGGCTCCTGGGGCTCCTGGTTGTCCTGGGTTTCCGTCGGCTCCTGGGGCTCCGGCGTTTCCTGGGGCTCCCTTTGGTCCTGGGTTTCCGGCTGGTCCTGGTGGTCCGGCTGGGCAGTCGAAACAGAAGTCGTCAGCAGTTGGGATTGCTTCGGCTGGAGCGTCTTGTCCTGGCTGTCCGTCTGGTCCTGGAAGTCCGTCCTTTCCGTCTTGTCCGTCAGTTCCTGGTGGTCCTGGTGGTCCAGCGGCTCCGGACTTGCACGAGCAGCATCCTCCGGAAGATTGCGATCCTCCTTGAACAGCAGCGTCAGTGCTGTACGATGGGGTCTCGTATCCGGCCTGACGCTTAACAATCAGCTTTCCGCGAACTCCCTTGATTTGCTGAAGGCGCTCATACTGATCGAAAAGCCCGTTGGTACGATGCTTGCAGAAATCGACCTACGAATATCGGAATAAAGCGATTCAATAGTTTAAAAGAGCATCAAACCTCGGTCTGAAGGGTCGATTGAACATGTTGCATGTAATTGTAAAGGGCTGGAATCGCGACAATAGCAGTAAGGGTAGCGATGGTGCTAAAAATGGAAAGTTGAGAAAGTTGAATGAAAACCGAAGTGAGCTCAAAACCTGATGCAAATGCCAAAGAAGGCAATGCGTCGAAGCGACTCGGCTTCAACCCAAAGCTTCTTCTCGTTATCGGCAGACGACATGATTCGGCGGCGAACTGCTGCTGATCTACCTGTTTTTCGCCGACAGCCTTATATAGCTGACGGCACGCGGCCCGCCCATCGGCAACCCTCATCTCCGCACCACCCACCTCTATCCTCCAACCGTGTTGTTTTTTTTTCGGCTGCCAATGCCAACCTCTCCTTTTACCAAGCAACAAGCGCGAGATTGTATCGGGTGATAAATTGTTGTGCGGCGAAATTGGCAAATATGTTGCGATGTGAGGTCAACGCGAGAATTCGAATTCAAATGTGCTGAAAAAAAAAAGAAGAGGAATTCGAATCGAAATTTTCACACGTTTCCAAAAGCAACATCCAACCGTTATCGTTCAGCAGATTCTCAATTGGGACATTGGGACCCTGCCAACTAACAGATACCTGAAGGTGTCGTCTGGGATCTGATTCAAGCATAATAGCTGAGTAGCAAGAAATAGTTTCTGAAAAAAAAGCAAATTTGTGAGAATCTCTTAAAGTGGTCCGAAATATTCGAGGTCCCATCATTTGTTGGCTCCTCGTCACCTGCATCTCGGGAACTGCGACGATTTTCGATCACCTCATCCAGTCCTACCAATTTGCAGCCGCCGCTTTTTTTCAGATTCTATTCCACAATTTCCCCGCAATAAAATATCCTCAAAAAATTGCGGGGCGTTGTTTGCCATCGGTATGTTTGCAATCGAAAGACGTAGGGCACACGCACTATCACTGATCCATCTCATCAACTTGTTGTTCTTTCAAATATTTGGACTTTTATTCGCAATCTAGCCGTTTTTTTTTTAATTAAGAAAATACCACCACTCTCCTCAATAAATCGAATCGGAAATGTATTCGATTCTAAATTCAGGTGGTCCCATTCCTAAAAATCAATACTCTCCTCGTCTTCAGTGTTCGATGTTTCGATGGCCAGGTCAAGCTGAAGCCTTATATGGCAATCTGTCCGATTCGCGGCATATCTCTTTGATAATAACGAATGCCATTCGTAATATTCAAAATAAAAATATTGTGGATCCTCACTTGGGATTTCACACATCGTGAGACAAATCTGAACGCTGTTTAGGGTCGCGAGCGATCATCCAATTCCATTATTATTAGTATTAAACAACTCCTTTCAATCTTTCCATGTACACAATTTAATGCGCATTTTCCGAAAAGCCTGTTCTCAATCACCACCTTCATTACAAACTTTTATTATATTCGAAAGCCAAAGAAATGAAAAGCCCCGAGGGGTGAGAGGATGAAGCTGATCTATTTTTTTTCTCAACTGAACGCCTGTGTAAAAAAATCGTAAGAGGAAGAAGCTTCTGAGTGATAATAATCGGTCGATCGGCGGCGGCGCGATAAAAAAAAAAACTTAACACTCTCAAGCTTTTCGCCTTGCTTCTTAATTTTTTTTTCTGCCGTCTCCACTCACGAAGACGACGCCAGATATCATCTTGTTCGCCGCTTTATTGTGTAATCTTTACACATCGGTTCGTCGCCCAAAATCGCCTTTTTTTCTTGGCGTTGCGTTGATGAATGCAACATTACGTAAAAATTTCGAACGACCACGCTTTTAGAGGATTGGTCACTCCAAAATGACGAGACAATTAAGGATTTCGTTGGTTTTCAAGAAAGAATCCACGTGGATCGAGCCCAATGACGCCAATTTCAGAATGAATCAATATTTAATATCGAGTTATTCGAACAATTCAAATCCTGTTTCCCATGGTTCATTTTAGCCAAATTTCAGATTCATTCTAGTAAAGACCCGATCAGTTTTGACTTGCTAGATATTTGAATTGTTACTATCACAACCTATTGTGTAATAATATCGGCGTCAATTCGTCTAGCTTCGATCATGTTCAGCTTTATCAATCAGTTGCGTCACTTCATAAAGTTGTTTAAAGAGAAGAAGACGTTACTCGAAGACGTTTCGAAAACTTCGTAATTCTTGCATGCATGTTCATTAAGTTGAAACGCTAGTTTGATCATTCAAAAAAAAATAATTTATGTTACACCATTCTTTGATGGGCTTTCATCAGAAAGACTCAATTCAAACTCCTCGCCGATTCGATTCGAATGGCCCATATGTACATATATGAATTTATACGCGAACGGTTTATTTTGGCAGATCAAGTTCAGAAAACTGAAATGCGATGCGACTGCTTGATAAGCGAGACACATTATGCAGAATGCATCCGATGGCAAACAGTTCGCACAGGTGTTTTTGCGCACCGATTATTGAAGTCTGAGTGGAAGCGATCAACAAAACGAATCCGACTGGTATCGCTGAGAGCAGTTGGCGGCGACGACGGAAAACGTCTCGAGCGATTTGCCGTCTTTAATCGTTCGACGAATTTATAAATAAGATGCATAATTGGCTTGGATTACGCACTCGTAAGTGTCTTGCAAACTATATGACGCGAATCCATTTAAGGATTATCGATTATGGCAAAACAGTAGAAGACTAAATTCATTACGAATGTCGATTTATCGATGGAAGAAAATGTTTCGAATTGAATGAAAATTACCCATTTAAATAGAAATTAATCAAATGGGTTCAATTCTTACTTTCTCAATTAATAATAGAAGTTCTTATGATAATTTAAAAGGATTTTTATGGAGATAACCAGTTAATCAATTCGTGATAGTATACTAATCACTTTTACATATTTGATATGTTTCAAGTTGTGTAAAAATATCTACCAGAACTTCCAATTTTTGCTGCCTTGGATTTTCCAAAATCTCGATTTTATCCCATTCAATTGTGTTTCAAGCTTCCTTTTAGCTAAGAATTTGAGTTGTTTATAGTGATCATCTACAACTGTAGATTTACAAGCTTTTAGCTAGGAAGACTTTTCCTTTTTTCAGGGGTTCATTTCGATAATTTTTATATTTGATGGGATCTAAGAAAGAAAAATATTCATTCAGATATGGCGAATCGATTGCAAAGAGAAACCCTGTAAATCTACTGTACCTGATTCAATCATATTGAATGTGTATCAATATCAATATTCTTTGACCCTTTCTGTTAACTATATGAATGAATTTGTTGACAGCAATTTAATTCGAAGCCACTTTTACACTTGTGTGTGATTCTCGTAAAAAATTTACAACTAAAAACTTGGGGTACACAAGTTGAAGACAATACGAGTTGACCTTGATTAAGTGAAAGTGTCAATCGGGCGAGCCTTTCTCTGATGATATCTGGCTAGCCAAAAATTATATCAGTTTAAGCGATCTCGAAGCGAACAAAAAACGACGGTGGCAAGCAGGAAGTCATGAGGTCTCTGAGCCACCGAAAGCAAATTTTCAGCAGATTCTTATCGCCTGCCTTCCGATTTGTTGTTGTCGATTTGATTCAAGGTTGGGTTTGGCACAAAAGACGGCCGAATGATCTCAATGGACGCATTCATACGAATTAGAGGGGTTCCTCAAAAAAGTTGAATGCCATTCAGTTTGTCTTTTATCCTATTTTTGGATTGAAAAATATTGAATGGTTATCCAGAATATAAATATAAGAAGTGCTTAGAAAAATCTTTATTGACCACAATTTTCGAATCTGTATAAAATAATTATTAATGATTATTAAATTAGGTTTTAACAATGACAGTTTTAGGGCTCAAAAACTTTTTCAATTTCTCATAATCGCGTTTGGTCAATTGAAATTCGACGAAATTATTCGTTCTCGCTTCTCCATCGATTTTCGGTGGTTGACGATGAGATGTGAGAAGTTTCGCAGCCGGAGTCTCATTTTCTTTCATCACATGCTTATTCAGTGGTTTGATCATTTTGTCCAGTTTATTGTAATTTTGCTCAGTGATGATCAAAGTGACCTGAGGCTCAATTAAATATAAAAATTTATAAGAATCTGGACTTACATTGTGCGGGGCCGGAGTCTCAATAAGGGTTTGCAGCATCTTGAGACGTTTCTCTTTCAGTTCCCTATGAATTTATTTCTAGCATTTTCCATCATTGTAATTTCTTACTCATTTGCCTTTTCGATGACTTGTTTGGCAGTTCGATGCCTTAAAAGGAGCCAATTGTAATACTTGATTTTCGCCAAATCCTCTCGTTGTCTTTCAGCCGCAATATCCGAAGGACTCTGGAAATTTCTTTAGAGTACCAATCGATCACCTAACGAGTTTTATCCGTGTTCTAATATGTTGAACTTCTTGATGTCCACTACTAGAAGATTTATCGTTCAACGATAATTGCTAGAAATTAGGTGTATTTTAAGGATGTTTTAGAAAATTCATGGCAAGGAAATTTTGCATGGCAAGGAATCTCTGTCTTGGACGAAAACCTTTAAAATTAGAAGGACTATTGGTTAAAATATTTCTTATAAATTCTCAATAAATGTAACATCAAATAGTAACGTTGAATTGAGAACAGAACACGAACCTTTGCGGTGAATCCGAGATCGAAAACGATACCAAGAAAAACGAGAGCGAACAGCTGTAGTTTTGACATGTTTGCTTGTAAAATAGAAGCGCCCTTTTCGGTGGACGAATGCGAAGGGGTGGGATGTCTCTGTTTAGCCTTCGGATAATTTATCGGGAAGAGGGCAGTTCTCGTTTCGATTGGCTGTCGCTGTGACGACTTCTTCGCGTCGCTTTTACGCAATCATCGTCATTTTCTTATTCTTTTTCGACGCCGTCGTCGTTTCATAATAATAATAATTATTATTCAGGCATACCCATCGGTCATTGAGGATTTGGACTTGATTGAGGAAGAGGATCAGATCACACATACGCTCACACTAGAAGAGGCCGTCGATCCCGAAAATGGACTGAGTAAGTGAAATGTGTAATGGCGATTTGCCTCATGTTGTGTGTTTGAGATGTGTTCAAGCTTGATCCGGATTTCGAGAAGAATGAGGAGACGTATAACGAGATTCGTGCCGAGATAATATGATCCCGAAATGTCGAGAATGAGTCTGAGGCTCGATTCATAAGTCGAACAAATTTTTAACAGTTAATTTTATTATTAAAGCCAAAGAATTTCAGAAAAATATGTTGACAGTTTTTATTTATAACAATAATTTAGTTAATCAATTAATTCAATAAAGTATTTCGAAAGATCGATTTCGAATTGACACATATATCCCCCCCCCTATAATTATTTGATTATTTGACAAATTAACACGGATTTTTCAGAACAATAATTTTCGAATACAGGAAAGTAGAGGTTAGCGGTCATTCCGTTAATTTTCAATGACAGTGATATTAAGTATTCAAGGAAATGATATAGTCGGCGTCCGGCGACTGCTGTACGCGGGTAGATTTACGCGCATGCGCCTTGAAAAGGTCTCGCCACGCGTGAATGCTTATTTTGCTGTTTTCACGTGAACTGCTTCATTTTTTTGATGAGTTTCGCATTTCCTTGAATTTCCAACGTCATTCGATTAGAAAATTATCGAACCGGTCCATAAAATTTGAAATAACCTGTTAGTCCTTGCGAGACCATTTCGAAAGACGCATCCCCGTAAATCTACAGGCGTACAGAAGTCGCCGGACGCCGACTATAGTTGAAATTCTATTTGAATTCTTGACTCGAAAATAGCGAATATTTGTATATTCGTCAGTCATCGACAAGTTAGATTCAGATACTTTTTAACAATGAAATCAATTAAAAACATACAACATATGTATTTCTAAAACGTTTGTTTCTTCTACGGACTACATCCCGGTGGACCAGGTGAATAATGGTAATCCCATTGCGAAGTCGAAAACTGGATTCGGTTCAAAACGATTATAAATCGATCATACCATACTTTGACACCAAGATAGCAGTAGTTCGAGCCATTCCCCGCAGATGCTGTTGAATGCTCGTTGACGTCTTTTGGAGCTGCTCTTCAGGGTTGCCCAGAGCTTGACATTCTGAATGAACACTAACTCAATGCGACAATCGAGAAAAACTGATCCCGTATCGTGTTCAGAGTATTAGAAATTCTTACAGCCGAGAAGATTTACTTCCTCCGCACTTGTTGGCTCGCTTAACATTCCCATTATATCATGGCAATGTCTACAACTACTTTGTCCTATGAATTCCTTGCATTCCGTGCTCGCTGTATCTTCGATTCCGTCAAATTCCTTCTTGATTTACAGACCTCTTCCTTCTCCAATTCATTACATGATCTTAAATAAATTGGTGGCCTCTTTGATTCCGATATGAACATATTTGGTCTGAAATAACCGGAAGGAATTGGGAGTTTCAAAAAAAATGAAATCTAATGAATTGATGATGTTCGAAATCAGAAAATGAACCCATCAATTTCTGAATATGTCGTTCATTTGAAGCTCAAAATCAGCATACTTTGTATATTCTGTCTTCATCTTCTGTTCTGGGTTTATTTCGGCTCAATGAACTTCTAAGATTGTCTTCCATATTGAATATTTTCATATTCGATTTACCCATATTTTCCAAATGTCGGATACACGAGATTATTCGGTAGTGCATATTCCTTAATGAATATCTCGGAATATCTTCCAACATCTAAATGAACTGCTAAAATCGGATGAATTTGATCAGAATGCAACCAAAAATAAACCAGAATATTATTCCTTGTATGGTTTTTCACATATAAATAGAATGTTGTCTTCTGTGATATCAAATGGTTTGATATGGCCGAATCTGCCGATAAACTGTTCATTCAAATCGAAATATTCGTCATCATCTCGTAAATCATCGGATTTATGAATCTTTTCAGAATAAAATTCCTATAAATATAATTTGTGAGAAAATCCATCAAAACTGGAACCGATGGTCTGAATATTCTCTCAACAATTCCAATCAAATCGAGTCTGTCGAGTTCCGCCAATTTGAAATTTGATCCACACGTTTTGTTGATTAAATTATAATTTGTTGCATTTTCAGACATCAAATAGCATTTCTCATGGAATTGAAGATATTTATGAGGGTAAAGATATTGATGATCCAATTAATTACCATAATCAGAGTAATTAAATCGACGTAAAAAAAATACGTACAAATTCATTGGCTGGAAACTGGAATTTCGCATTTTTTAAACTCTGGAAACTCAAAACCAATCGGATCCGACAAAATTCGGCTCCGGAATCAACCTTAACCGATTGGAAATTCTACGGATAAGATTGGAAAATTGTCGTATTCGATTGTTTTTTTTTTTTTTGGGATTTTCTGATCCGGTTGTTGTTTGTCGGATCCGATTAGATTTTCTTCGAATCCATCTTGTTTTAATATTTCAATTCGAATCGGATTCAACAAATAACCAATCCGATCCGACAATTTTCCAATCTTATCCGTAGAATTACCAATCGGATAAGGTTGATTCCCGGATCGAATTTTGTCGGATTCGATTGATTTTGAGTTACCAGAGTAATTCTACGGATTAGATTATTAATTTTTCGGACAAGATTTGTATTTTCTCGGATCCCATTTTTAATTTTTCGGATCCGGTTGGAAAATGTTTCCAATTCGGATCCGATTGGTATTGAGTTATCAGAGTATCTAATCGATTTTCTTCTTTAATAATTGGTTTAATTAATTTCACAATCGAATACGACTACATTCGAAACGAATTCCCAAGACAAATAATTTCACAACCTAATACGACAAATTTTGAACATAAATAGGTCGATTTCGGAGCCGAAATTTGTCGTATTCAATTCAAATTGAATTACATGAGTAATTGGTTTCGACTATTTTACTTTGTATAAATTAGCTTTCAATTTGAGAAGCGCTTTTCAAAATTCAAATTTTGTTCACAAATGAGCTCCGAAAACGCGCGTTCGGCACCATACACGCATTAGGAACAAGTGCGCTCTATTGCACAGCGTGTTCTGCATCTTTTCGAAATTCACTCGCCAACCCACACCGGGCAATTTTCGTTTCTGATGAAGCGAACAGGTTTCACTGTTCCGTCATTTTGAGAAAGAATCAAAAAATATGTTCTTTCTATGCGATTAAATATTTCTTCCAATTTCGCCGTCGCTTCGTCGAATACGAAAGAACCTGTGTATCGCCTATTCTCGATATTTTGATTTTCTTTACTTTAATAATTTCTCTTATTCAGGAGAAATGTCAGACCACTCGAAATCTCCTGAAACAGTTATCAATAGAACTCAAGAAGATGATGATAACGACAATAACGTAATATTTCCACTTTCTTCAAAATAGTTGAATTTCTTATTTTTTAGGACGGTGTGAGAACTCCAGAAACTCCTGAAAATGAAAAAGTTGAAAACGTAATTTGAAGTTTAATGCTTAAAATATGTTTATTATTTTATTTCAGAAAGAAAATGACGATCACAGTGCTAGAACGCCGGAAAGTAGAGAAGTAGCTAGAAAATTTCTATTAAATAAGCGTCTAATTATAACATTCATAGAGAAGTCCGGAACATGAAAGTCCACCAAGGAAGAAGAGGAAGTCGAGAAGTCCTTCACCGGAGCCGCCAAAAGTTGAGGAAGAAAAGAAAAAAGAAGAACCAAAGGATTTATTGAGAACAAGAACTGGAGGAGCCTATATTCCACCGGCGAAACTCAAAATGCTTCAAGAGCAAATCACTGATAAAGTTTGTATTATATTTCCTTACAATCATTCAATTTGAATGGATTTTGAACAAAAACGTGTTTTCAGAGCAGCGAGCAATATCAGCGTTTGAATTGGGAGCGAATGAAGAAGAAATTTCACGGTCTCGTCAATAGGGTGAACGTGGGAAATTTGGTTCAAATCGTTCGCGAACTTTTGCAAGAAAACGTGATTCGCGGAAAGTATGTTAAAACCTAATTTTAAGTTATTCTAATATTTTAAATTGCAGAGGACTTCTTACACGATCAATCATCCAGGCGCAGGCGTTCTCGCCGGGATTCTCGCATGTTTATTCAGCACTGGTTGCCGTGATAAACTCGAAGTTTCCTCATGTCGGGGAATTGATGTTGCGAAGGTTGATTGTGCAGTTCAAACGAAGTTTCCGAAGAAACGACAAAGGTTTCAAAATTAATTTAACGTTAACGTTCAGTTTTAATGCAAAAATCATTTGAGGCACAATCAAAAAAAAATATTATCATATTCTTGTGTAAATTACATTACGATATATTCACAATTTCAGGAGTTACTGTGACTGCCGGTAAATTCATTGCGCACTTAATTAATCAACAGGTCGCGCATGAAGTGCTTGGTCTTGAAATTATGCTTCTTATGCTTGAAGTTCCCACGGATGATTCTGTGGAAGTGGCGATTGCTTTCTTGAAAGAATGTGGTGCAAAACTACTCGAGGTTTTCGAAAATTCTAAATACGTTTTCACAGCCAATTAATTTTAGAATTCGCCAGCAGCTCTTAACAGCATTTACGACAGGCTGCGGGCAATTCTACAAGACAATACGCTTGACACTCGTGTTCGATACATGATTGAAGTTGCGATGCAGATTCGAAAAGAGAAATTTGCGGTAAATTATTACATTTTATTAAATTAGCTTTTAACAACAACAATTTTATGGCTCAAAAACTTTTTAAATTTCTTATAATCGCGCTTCGTCAATTGAAATTCGACGAAATTATTCGTTTTGGCTTCTTCGTTGATTTTTGACGGCCTCGATTTCGGTGGTTGACGATGAGATGTGAGAAGTTTCGCAGCCGGAGTCTCATTTTCTTTCATCACATGCTTATTCAGTGGTTTGATCATTTTGTCCAGTTTATTGTAATTTTGCTCAGTGATGATCAAAGTGACCTGAGGCTCAATTAAATATAAAAATCTATAAGAATCTGGACTTACATTGTGCGGGGCCGGAGTCTCAATAAGGGTTTGCAGCATCTTGAGACGTTTCTCTTTCAGTTCCCTATGAATTTATTTCTAGCATTTTCCATCATTGTAATTTCTTACTCATTTGCCTTTTCGATGACTTGTTTGGCAGTTCGATGCCTTAAAAGGAGCCAATTGTAATACTTGATTTTCGCCAAATCCTCTCGTTGTCTTTCAGCCGCAATATCCGAAGGACTCTGGAAATTTCTTTAGAGTACCAATCGATCACCTAACGAGTTTTATCCGTGTTCTAATATGTTGAACTTCTTGATGTCCACTACTAGAAGATTTATCAACGATAATTGCTAGAAATTAGGTGTATTTTAAGGATGTTTTAGAAAATTCATGGCAAGGAAATTTTGCATGGCAAGGAATCTCTGTCTTGGACGAAAACCTTTAAAATTAGAAGGACTATTGGTTAAAATATTTCTTATAAATTCTCAATAAATGTAACATCAAATAGTAACGTTGAATTGAGAACAGAACACGAACCTTTGCGGTGAATCCGAGATCGAAAACGATACCAAGAAAAACGAGAGCGAACAGCTGTAGTTTTGACATGTTTGCTTGTAAAATAGAAGCGCCCTTTTCGGTGGACGAATGCGAAGGGGTGGGATGTCTCTGTTTAGCCTTCGGATAATTTATCGGGAAGAGGGCAGTTCTCGTTTCGATTGGCTGTCGCTGTGACGACTTCTTCGCGTCGCTTTTACGCAATCATCGTCATTTTCTTATTCTTTTTCGACGCCGTCGTCGTTTCATAATAATAATAATTATTATTCAGGCATACCCATCGGTCATTGAGGATTTGGACTTGATTGAGGAAGAGGATCAGATCACACATACGCTCACACTAGAAGAGGCCGTCGATCCCGAAAATGGACTGAGTAAGTGAAATGTGTAATGGCGAATTGCCTCATGTTGTGTGTTTGAGATGTGTTCAAGCTTGATCCGGATTTCGAGAAGAATGAGGAGACGTATAACGAGATTCGTGCCGAGATTATTGGCGACGCTGACATTTCAAGTGATGAAGAAGATTCCGATGATGACGAGAGTGAGTCGGAAGGTGCTGGAGGCGAACAAAAATCACAAACCGTCGAAATCATTGATAACACCGAACAGAATTTGTTGGCGTTCCGTCGACAGGTGTATTTGACACTCCAATCTTCGCTTGACTATCAGGAAGCAGCGCACAAACTATTGAAAATGGGAATCAAACCCGAATTGGAAACCGAGCTGTGTAATATGCTTGTTGATTGCTGCGCACAGCAGAGAACGTATGAGCGATTCTACGGAATGCTCATTGAACGCTTCTGCCGTCTTCGACAGGAATATCAGGTGAGATTTGAAGTTCGCGAGAGACCTTTATTGCTTTTCATATTTTCAGGAGACTTTTGAACAGATCTGCCGTGATGCTTACGCTACAGTTCATCGATTCGACATTACCAAATTGAGAAATTTGGCGAGACTCGTTTCGCATTTGTTGTTCACTGATGCAATTGATTGGAAGGTATTTTTGGACTTTTTATGTTTCACATGAATCACATGAAATTTGTTCTTTGAAAATCTTTAGACTCCCTAGCATTGTCGAAATTGGAATGAAACACCTAAAATATTCCTTGAAATCCTTGATTTCAATTAGATGAATCAACGGACCCAGTTGTTTTTGAATCTAAATCGCAAACGTCATCCAGTTTGCAGAAAATTGAATTTATTTCAAGAACATTGCGATCTTAGAAACTTCATTTTGTAAAAAAAAAGAGAAAAACACACAATTCGGTTTTGCAGATTCTGGCTGATGTTAAAATGACCGAAGAGGATACGACTTCAGCTGGTCGAATCTACATCAAATATGTGTTTCAAGATTTGGTTGAGGCGATGGGAATCGTGAAACTGTATGAGCGCGTCAAGGATCCGTGAGTGCTTCGAAGTGCAAACATGGATTTAATACACTTGGCCTTTTTTAGGACACTCGCACATTGCTTCGCTGGACTTTTCCCGCGTGACAATCCACAAAATGCGCGATTCTCGATCAATTTCTTTACAATGATCGGATTGGGAGGATTGACGTAGGGGGATTTATTCGATGATTCGATCGATTCATTCAGCTAATAATTTTTAGACTTGAATTGAGAGAATGGCTCGAGAAGGGAATGAAAAAGAAAAAGGATATGCTTGAGGCTTTGAAAGATGATTCCTCGTCATCATCCTCATCTTCAGACTCGTCGGATTCTTCTGATTCGTCGGACTCGGATTCTGATGATTCTTCGTCCGATTCTTCAGGTTTTAGTTTATTTTTACATTACATATTAGATTTTTTTTTCTCAGATTCTGACTCGGCATCTTCAGTTGAAGTGAAAAAAGAGAAACATGCGAAAGTGGAAAAGAAACAGTTAGTATCGTGTTTTCTTGTTTAGTCTATTTATTTTTCTTTTTTTTTTTTTTTAGGAAGAAGCACACTGATAAACATAGTGAAATCGCGAAAGAACCGATAAATCGCTCTTCGAATAAATCCGAAGAGCCGAGAAGAGATCGTAAACGTCGCGATGATTCCACGGATCGTGAAAAAGAACGTAGACATCGCGAAGGTTCGGAAGAAAAATATCGCAGACGTCGGGACGAGATTGACAGATCGGAAAATAGCAAGAAGCACGGTGATGGGTCAAACGATCGAGAGAAAGAAAGAAGACGTCGCGAGGAACGGGATGAGCGAAGCAAGGATGGACGACGTCGAGATCGTTCCGAGGAGCCGAAGAATAGAAGGCATCGCGATGAGTCGAAAGAGCGCGGAAGGAAACATCGTGATAGATCTGATGAGCGGTCTCGTCGTCGCGAGGTTTCTGACGATGAGCGCGGAAGAAGCCGTCGCGACGATGGCGGAGAGCGTAAAAGCCGAAGACATTAAATTATTGTTCCTCTGATTTGTTGTCTGGATAAGATTATTTATTAAAACCAGTTTGAATTTATTTCTTATTACTATATTCCTGGCATTACTGTTGCTGTTAATTTTATTTTTTTGTTTTCAAAATTTAAATATATGTTTCTTGATGTAATGAAGAGAAGAAAACACACACGAAACTTTATCAAACGGAAAATGAAAACAATATAGAGTTCACACAACGTTGGGGGCGGAGGAAAGGACTAAATTAGGCGAATGAAGAGAATTGCGAGCGCTTGGCGAAAGCGAAACCATATGGTCGGGCGCGTTTCGCGAACGCAAAAGTTCGGTATGGCGATCTGAAAAAAAATATTTCGGAAATGATGGCCGGGAAATTTCTAGGTCGCAATACTTCAGCCACCACTGATTTACAAATTTTTTGCCTTTTATGGTTCGAATATTGTTCAGGCTTTGTATTATATTGGCAAAGAATTCAGAACTTTATTATTTGCAAAAAAGACTGATACAAACCTTTTCGCGAAACCATACTGAGCGCGTTTGTCGAACTCCTCCTCACTTCGTTTGGCGAATGCAAATGCTCTGCAAACGCGGAAATTAATTGTTTCCAACGTAAACCGATGTAATCCAATATCAATCCCTCCTACACCACCGTCTAATTTAATTAATTTGCTTTTTAGGAAGCGGTAAATAGCGAGAGCGAATTGCATCTCATAAATATTCATACCTATACGGGCCGCGCTTATCCATGTCGAGAACACCGTCATCCGAGTGCGCCTGAAGATGAGTAAAAATTGAGTTGGAATGGATTTGAATCAAACCGATACCAATTCTGCGGACACCGACAAGACGAGAAGCGCAAACGCGCACAGCATCATGTAAGTGGCTGTCGTCATTGAGAAGTTCATCTTGTTGTTTTGTTTTTTATTGCAGTGAGGACCCAAACTGCAATAAGCGAATAGTTGTTGTTTTTTTTTTTGTCGGAGCACACGAGCGAAAAAGGGAGCAATTGACGAGAAATGGTGATGCGAGGAGCAAATCTCGAAGAATGCGAGGCGATTGAAGGGGGCGCGGCCTTCGGTTCGCCCCGCCCCCTTTTCGCTGAGCCGATGATGATGATGACGTGGGGAAAAGCTGAAGATGTTTTCCGCACAGGACCCGTAGCATAATTGCTGTGCTTTGAGAAAAGTGACGAGTTGAGATTTGATTTGCAAAAAGGAGATCAAAGCGAATCACAAGAATACAAAAATATGATAAAATTGTGTTTGTGAAAATATTGAAACGTGAAGTGCTCAAAATAACAGTCTTCAAGTAGCTTCTGATGTGCTCAATTTCACCGTCGACACCACATTGATCCGATCCTCAAACTTCAAGGTTTTCCTTCGAAAAAAAATCCATTGAGAACAGAACATGCCTATTATGGGTAGGAGGAACCCGTGATTTGGCAACGTTGCGTGCAATCCAAATGATTGCACATATTTCACGCTGACGTGAGGCGTTGCTAATTGCAGGATAACTGCCGGGTTACGGTGAATAATTGAGGAATGCTGAGAAGCAATTTGAATAGATAAACTCGGCGAGCGAGTGCGGCTACTACTAAAACAACAAGTCGATTCGATAGACATAATCCAATATTTGTAAAAATCTGAGAAAAAATAACAAATTGAATTATTCGCGAGTGGGCGGCGATTGTTGATCGTTTAATGTTTCGAATAATATTTTTAAATTTGATTTTTCGAGAATATTCGAATTCAAAAATAAAATTTTGCAAACCTGATGGAATTGTGGCGCAAGAACGTCTCATTTTAGAAGTTATCGATATAAATGTTCAGCAGTCAAACATGCTGCGGACATTTCGGAAAACCTTTAGATTGTCCGAAGAGAATAATCAATATATATATGCAAAAAGTTGGATTGGGTTCAGGATTTTACAATCATTTGGTTTTTTTAATTCTTGAACGATTCTCTTACTGAAGATTCCTTTCGAGAGCCATTATCGATGTTTCTCTAATTTTGCTCATATCGCCTCCGAATCGTAGAGACATATTAAAGTTTGTATGTGATACAATCTTGAATAAGCTTGAATGAAAATTTGAACAAAAATCGAGAGTGGCATAGAGAAACGAAGTAGTTGTGAAGGAAACAATTGCAAATCGAACAGTTTCCATGTGGCAGAAACGAATTTTAATATAGCTAAAATGAATAATTCATAAATTTTCGGACCACGATTTTTAATCAAAAACCTCCCGTATAGTACAATTTCTTCGGATATTAAATCGAAATGAGCAAATAAATATGAGCAATACGTTCAGATATTAAATGGAGATGGTTCATTTGGGAATAAATAGCATAAAATGTTTTAATTTCAATTCTGATTTCATTCCAGCTCTTGAAATGGAGGTTCTCGTTCCCTGAATTCCTCTTTTTGACCTTTTTGGCTGCATCTTTTGTTTTTTTTTCGGTTCTCTTCAATGAATTTTTTAAAGTGTTTTTTCACAAACTCACAGAAAGGTCAACGTCTGAAATCAACGCATTTTTTGGTATCGAACGAGGAACAAAAACAAAAGAAGATTAAATTTTAAGGAAGAAAAAGAGGAAGCTGCTGAAAAAACGAAAAGGAATTGAACAATTTGATTCGTGTTAAAGATGCAAAAAACAATCTCACATTGAGATTTCTTCCGAATATTGTGAAAATAGTTGATCAAAATGAGCCATTTTCAACATTTCTGTATTTCCGAGAGCAAGCAATGCTCCATTCATCTTGAAAGCCTATGGGAACACGTGTGCTCGCAAGCTCTTTTAGGGCACCGTTCTGATTTTTTTGTTCCAATATCTGCATATTGTCATTATAATTCTTACAATGTATATTTTAAACAAAAAAAAATCATATTACCATCGCAAAAATGAGCAATTTGAAAAATTTTGGATCATCGTATTTTTTTCGGCGCCGACGAATTTTGGTGTCGAAAAACCAAAATTTCGGAAGAAATTTGAAAAATTATAATGTTCAAACTAAAATGTTTTAAAGGCGCTTGTTTTGGAGTTAAAATTCTGTTTTTGCATTCCTCGCCTGCTGTACTCGGGTAGATTTACGGGCATACGCATTTCGCTATGGTCTCGCCACATTTGAACGCCTATTTTCATATTTTCACATGAATTATTTTATGATTTTTCGAGTTTCTAATTTCTCAGCATCTTTAAATAAGAATTCTTTCGGGGCGAGACCATAGCAAACCAACGCACAGCATTCGACTTTAAGCCAAATTAATTTCAAGTTTGTACATCGGATTCGACGCCATATTGCGGCCTTTCTCAAAACATCCAATATTTCATTTTCTTGTAAACAAAATCCAATTATCGTTAAATATTTTTGTGTCGCGAGTTCTTTTTTTGCAAATGTATTTACATATAGTGCATGACAATACGAATTTAATGCATCCATTATGAGATTATAATGTAATATCACATACTATGCGCATAATAAAACAAATGGAGTTACCATTTACGGGATGGATGGAAAGAAGAAGAAGAAGCTTCTCAGCATTAATCGAATCGGAACGACACGAATCAAAGTTGATGTGTTTTTTCGCCTGAGGCCAACTTTTCTGACGAATAGTAACCCATAATTTGATCGACGATGACGGCAGATAGGCGTATTTCGGGAAACTATGCCTATAATATTGATGAGATGCAACCCAAAGGGGCTCAAGATTTTCATATTTTCATTGAGACAACGAAGAAATGCCCACTGAATCGAACACGATTCCAATTAATTTAGTCGTCAAAAATAAAGGAAATTCAATTTGTTCCCCCTCTAGATATGTATCGTTTTATTTTTTCTTGTTTGATGTAATTTCTTTTTGAAATCTGTTAAGGATGAGATCTAAAATTTTGGGTCGAATAGAAAAATCACGTATTTTCGCTCAGAAATGCTCACCGATTTATGATTTTGTTTTAATAAACTCGAAAATTTTGCCAAGGCAACACTTGAAACTTCTAGTTCGTATTAAAAGACGGCATCGGTTTGGGGATTCATTTCGAATTCGGCAAAGATTTGAGCAAACTTCAAATATCGCAGAAGTTGCTTCGGGATCAGACAGCAAACTACACAAACGTAAATAATTTTGCAATTTACCTAGCTTTGTAAATTTTGGCAAAAAAATTTAGCTTCGGGTCTTGCAGCGAATGTCTATTCTATTCGTTTCAAACTCTTCATACATGGCTGATTTGCTCTGTACAAAGAAAAAAAACCAAAATTGGCGTACGTGAGTTCATGAGCATTAAATAAGAAGCTCGCGGAAATTCTCGAAAGGCCGTTTCAGAGTCTATATAATGAGAACGATGAGATTAATGATCTCCGCGAGAAACTCTTCATTCATTCATTTCTTTTCAAACGATTAATGAGAAAAAAAAACGGAAAGTGGAATAAATTGGAAAGAAGTCAACATCATCGTAAAAATGTAATTTCGAAGAATTCCAGAAAAGAAGGAAATGAAAAGTTTTGTTTGGAATTCAAACTCGGCCGAATTTGTTTAAAGGCGCACGTACATGGTAGGCGCGTTTAATTGAATTTCCGTGTTATTTGATCCTATTTGATCCATTTATTCGCTGACTTCACAAACCAAAAGTTTAAAGCAAACCAATTATGGGCTGAAGATCAAAAACCCAAAGGAGATCAGTCAAATGGAAAAAAAATGAATGAGCAAAAGTCATATGGATTGATTGAAACTGTTTGTGGACAATTTCACTTTAAATGGAATGCGTGGATAATACTCGACCAAAATATTGATAAAATAAAATGTAACAATGAAAAATTATCAAAAATAAAGTTTAGATTGGTCTCGAGGATCGAACGGACTCATATCTTCTGATAACGACTAAATGTGCTATGAAATTATTGAAAGTAACCAATAGACGTTGGAAATTCGTTGTGAAACACAATATAATTTTACTGCTTTCTTAAAGATTTGAATATTAATATTTTTGAATATAACATCAGTCCACAATCTGATCAGTTTCACCAACTCGGAATAGCGAGAAGTTGCCGGTTTCCAGAACGTTCTGAAAAAAAAGACTTTTGAATTTTTCATTTCTTTAAACCGTGATAATTCGCTTTCAAAAATATCTTTATTATAGTTTTTTTCTAAAGATAGTGCCGAAAATGTGAATTGTAGACGATTTTTCAGATTATGGAAAAATAGGAATTGAATTGAACACGATAATAAATGGCAATACAAAAAAATTACAAATTTGCCATTCCTTTCAAATAAGGATTCATTCAAAGAACCAATTAATTTATACAATTATCCCCCACAATAATCGCGTGTGCCTTTAAATATTATTCGATGATTTTTCTTATCCTACCAATAACAATAGCATAATTCGTTGCCAACTTGTGAGTTGTTGAATTGACCATTGGTCTGCTGCCATTCATGTTCCTTCTTCCGCACTTGAAACGCGAAAAAAAAAGAAGCAGGGCGATCTTGAAAATCCGACGAAATGGAATCCAGACGAAAGAAACCTGTAGAAGATATGCATCTTTGGCAGTGAACAAACATTTCGAAACAGTTTTCATTTCCATCCGATTCACACCATATTTGCTTAATAATTACTATAAAAGGGTTGAGTAGAAAAAATCAGAGAAAATGGGAAACGAAGGAATGTTCGGTGCTAATCTCGTATTACTGTTCTTCATCATCGGCGTCAACTCGCAATCGTACACGTTCCCAATTGTTCAACCAAATTTCGGCTCCGTCTACCAACAAGATAACAGTGAGTTTCTCATTTCGTTCGCCCATCTTCTATGCGCCTTTAATATTCAGGCATTTATCAGCAGCGATTCCCATACATTCCACAAAACCGATATCAATTCAATCCGGTGGCTGGCATTCGTGTTCAACAACACGACGCTCCGAATCGAATGCGATTTTCTGGCTCGTTGCCAATGAATCCCAATGAGTATCAAGTCGACCAGAAGCCGCCACAGGCGACACAACAAGTTTGTCAAAAATGATCAACATCCAAATATAAGGGGGATATAAATGGGGTGCCGCGTTTTAGGGACCAACTCGAATCATTCCGCCGTTCTTGAAGACAGCGAGTCAGACTCAGCAGGATAAGGTCAGAATATCAGCCTTAAAATTTAGATGCAGAAAAAGGTTGAAAAAGATAATACTTCATTGTTCTGTATTTAAATTTTGTCTATTTTTTCCATTTCCTCTGCATTGTTCCATAATAGATTTTTTGGCGGGAATTCAAATTGTGTGTTTAGTTCTACGCAATTGTTCAACATCCAGTTTGGACGGGAGCCGAGAAAAACGCGAAAATCGAGGAGCTAATGAGAGAAATGTCAACCGAGAATCAAGTTTCTCATTTGGATTTTTGTTTTTTCCAATTCCGCGTGTTTCAGGACTCATTTTCGACATGGAAACGAGAAACTCGCGGAGACGTCGAGGCGAAACGACGCAAAGTTGATGAGGCTGTCAGTGGAATGAGCAAAGATGCATTCGATCAATTCCAGAAGGTACCAATGATTGCTCGTTTTCGAAAAAAGAATGAGTGGAAGATGGTGAAATCATTTGAGACCTTTTTTTCGAATTCAAATCTCATTCGGTATTTTCTAACAAAATTCTAAGAAATTTCGATTGAAACACATTTTTGCGTTTCTTCTTCTAGGTCGTCTCAATAATGCGGGATCCGAGCATCACCGAAGGAGCTCGTCTGTCAAAAATCGAAGAAATTTACTCAAAATTGCCAGAAAGTGTGAAAAAAGAATTCGACGCCAAATTCCAGGGCCTCTAAACGAATAATTATTATTTATTCCGTTTTCTTCCCAGTAATAAATATTTATTAAATATCTCAAGTACATCAGAATTGCACTGCATTTTCTTGGTTGGAAGAACTTACAGATGGTTACAGTACACAGATAAGACAAGAGAGAGAGAGAGAGAGAGAGAGAGAGAGAGAGACAGGATTTAGAGAACAGATTGGGAGAAAGGAGAGAGAGAGCACGAGAATTGGGGATGTTGTGGAAAACAAAATTGGTCTCAATTTGATACGATTACGTATTTCATCAGTTGAATATTATTTTCATAATAATATTATGGTATTTCTTCAACAAAAAACAACAATTTGAGATTATTTGGTTTTCAGATGATGTTTTTGAGGTTTAATTACGAGGCTATTACTTAGGTGTTGACGTTTTTATGGGGGTTGGGATTGGGATGGGAATTAAGGATCAGAAGGGTACACACACACACACATGAGAAATAATTCCACACAATTATAATAAAAGAAAACTATAACGAACTACAGCGTTATTAAACTATAATTCAAAGTTTGTAATGGATTTTGTTTAGTGGACTTTCTTTTTCTTGTAGGGGTAAATTTCACGCCTAAGCTTCTGATGAATTTTGACCACCGCGGTTGCCGCGACCACGGCCGCCGCGTCCACGTCCACGTCCACGTCCTCTTCCACGGTATCCCTCTCCCTAAAAACAGACAGTTCATTTTTCAAAATCCAAATCGCTTAAGGAATTCCTTAGAAATTTTCCAGAAAAAAATTCTTTCCAATTAAAAAACTTGTGATTCTATACGATACCAATTATATATTTGCTCAATATTTCATGTTTCAAGTAGTGAAAAAATTGCTCACATCTTGTGGTGCTCCTCCGTCCTCTCCGTTTCGCGCACCACCACGTTCACCGCGGCCGCCGCGCCCTCCACGGGTGCCACCGCCGCGTTTAGCCTCGTTGTCTTCGCCTTCCGATTGGCTGTTGCCGCCCTCACGGTTTCCACGGTAGCGTCCGCCGCGTCCACGGCGAGCAGATCGTTCACCAGCATACTAAATATTTAAAATTTATGTTTTATAATAAATCTCCGAACATCAAGTTGTACAGAATTTATTGCCAAGGATTTTTCGATTCTAAAATTGCAAAAGAAAAAACCATTTTTGATACATTTCGGATCAAAATATCTTTAAAAAAACGTTCTTAACTTCCGAAAATGCTGTACCCTCGATTTTCGAGTATTTCATATAGTATTAAATTTTCGAGCTTAAATTTTTTCCCACCTTAGATCCAACAACCGGTCCCCCATCAGCTCCCGTCACATTCGCCGCTTCCGGTCCCTTAGCTCCATCAACGATGTCGAAAAGAACCTGCAAAATTGGTTATTTCTTTCACATTTGTGGATATAAACGTGTGTGTATGCATGTGTCGTTCGTGAGTTTTATAGACGCTCATCAAAACATGTTTTATTATGGGGTACGGACGCTTTTTCTTCGCCATTTTTTACGAGCTTTACAAAATACTAGAAAAAAAAAGTTTTCTCTCAATTTCCTTTGTTATTAAGAACCGATAATGAAACATTTGAAATTTGATTAGATTAACAGGTCATGATGAGAAATGATCACAAACCACAACATCAAATTCTCAAGATGTAAAAACGTAGAAAGTGTAGGACGCAAAATCGCACACCCTAGATTATTTCCAACGATTTTTTTTAAATATATTGTTAATGTAGCGCTAATTCGAAAAATTGACTAAATGCCAAAAAATTAGAAGAGAGATCTTAATGCGCGGTCTAGCACCTATCGTTGCATGGCCTGTAAATCTACACTTCGTTTTGCTCCACGACCACTGTCATGTTTTTTGTTGGCATTTTCCATTTTTTTCCGCACTTGCGCGGCTCGAAAATAGAACGTTCTCTAAACGGTGCTTTTATGTGATACTATTTTTAAAGTCGATCATCTGTGAAAGAAAAATGTATTAATTAACGCTTCGAAAATTTTCACGAGTTAACTTTTCAATTATTTGATTCGCTGTGGGTGTGATGATTGTCTTGATTGGTGGCAATTTTTAGGCAATAATTTAAATACAAAATGAAGCAAATTCCTTGAACCAAAAACCGTCCATTTTCAACAAATTTCTCATCGACTCTATTATAAATGCATTCGAAACAAGTTGCGCAGCACGAGTCACAAAAAAGAAGCAAAAAAAAGAATTTACCTCCTCATTATCCCCAAGGCTTCTCAAAAACTTGTTCGGATTGTTCTTGATGATGGCGGTTTGATGCACAAAAATGTCCTCATTGGTGTCGGTCCGGTTAATAAAACCGTATCCGTTCTTGACATTGAACCATTTGACGGTTCCCTTCACCTTCGTCGCCTTCACCGGCTTCTCGGCGGGTTGCTCAACTTTTGCTGGTTCCTGCTGAAAACACATGCAACATTTTCATATATTTCCATATTCGCCTGGATTTGCATACGTTGTTCTCAGCCATTGTTCCGAGTTTTTCGTCGATGTTGTTGTGTGTCAGATATTACCAGTTGTTAGGTTTTGGTTGTTGTTACGAAAAAACGTCACACCGGAGGCGTGCCGATCTTAAGCTTCCCTGAAAAACAAACATCAACAGTTTCAAGTGCAGACATAACAATTGAAACGGTCAAAATCGATTTGAGAGAAGGAGGTATGTAAGATGACCTTCGGAACATTAAAGTGAAACGGGCGAGTGCTCCCGAGCAAAACTGGCGTCGAGGATTTTGTGTAATACGATAACTTTCGAACGATGAGAGCACAGCGAACGAGAGAAGACAATGCAAATTATGCGTAAACGTCGACATCTTATCGATCACTGATCCTGTGTGGTGCACTAGACAATTGTCGATTTACGACGGGTCCACCAAGGTTGAGATCCCACTTGTGTTATGCAATCGTTCCTCCTATTTGCGACTTCCGCAAATTACTCGTCTGATTTTGTTTAACTTTAAAATACACTTCATGTTGGTGCGAATCACGGAGGGATAATTAGGAAACAAATTAGTTAGTAGAACGAATTTACAATTTAGTTACCGTAATTTGTTTATAAAATAATTTAAAATAGCTTCTACAAGCTTTGAATGATTGACGGAAAAGGACTTTTGATGTGACCTTGAACTCATTTCTTCAAAGGTGGAAAATTGAGAATAGATTTTATAACAACAATTTCATACATCTATCTAAGAGACCTCCCAATGTTTATTTAGAACATTAACTAGAAAATCGATTTCTGTTATGTTGAGAGATGACTGGAATTCGTTGCGAGACTAGTCGTTATCCGCATAAATCGACACTATATTAGCAGGGTGATCAAGCATCAATCAGCTTTGAATATTGGAACAGGAGCACATGTCACACTAATAGTGGTCAACGATAAAACCACTTTGGGTGGTCAGCGAAGCCATAAAGAAGGCCCTCTTATCGATGATAATTATAAAACGGTCGCTCGTCGGCAAATACCGAATATTCATCATAATAATACTCATAGTTGGAAAAGGAAAGCAAACAAAATGCAAAATGGACGTTCCAACCGTAGGGGGTTTGGTGAGTGAGCGAACCGAATGCGGACGGAGCGCGCGTATGTGGTTTGTTTCGGGTACAACAACTACGTGCTTGCGTGCGTGGTGTCTCTTTTTCTGTTCGATTTGAACACGAGATATAAAGAAAAGAAGGAGCGATGGCGAAGGCCACGACGCACACACACACACACACACACACACATAGAAACGCACAACACAACACTCATAGCGGTGGCTGCGGGGGCTCGGTTTTGTCTGCATCTCTGGGGGTCGAATTATATGGGAGATGGAGTGGCAGAGGCGAGTACTAGGGGAAGAGAGATATAGAGACATACTCATTGAACTGATGGCCCCAGCCAGGCCGGCCCCTGTCGGTCGGGTTTCGATCGATAATGCGCTGAGCTGACGCTGAGCTGTGGATGAATATTAGGAGGATGCAACAGCACGTCGGCGAAAAGAGATAGCTGGTCATTTTCGATGAACATTCGAGGGTTTTTTCCCTCTTACGCTTCGATGCGCCCGCCGGATTGTCGAGGGCGAGAAACCATGAATTTGGAGCACTTGGGATAGGGAGATCGCATTGGTCTCGTCTGATTCTAAAACTTGCGGCTCAAACATTCAATTTTAACCAAACTCATAATTTAGCTAATTTTAGCTTCTTGCTGAAAATTGAAGGCTGTCTGCAAACGAAAATTGTTATTTTTCAAAAAATACTCTAAACAAAACGATATATGGAAATAATTTATTTCCATTTACATTCCCAAAATCACTAAAAATTTATTAATTTGCGGTTTGTGCAAATTAAAAAGAGCTTCTATAAATATCAGAAAAGAACTTTCTATAAATATCAAATTTTGCAGCAAAAAAAAACTAGGATGGGCAACGAATCGACTAACTGAGAAATTGTTGACAACGGCAGCTGGAATTTGCGCATAAATTCGAAAACAAAAAACTAGGCGGCACATTACAGCGGGCCGTTTTTCTCTCCTTTTTTTTGCTTAAAACGAGAAACCTCCGAGAGCTCAAAGACCTGCGAAGCAATTTGTTTCATCCCATTTTTGAAGAAAATCACAATACTTGAATTAATTGGAAAACTGAAAATTAATTGCGTTGGAAATTAATAAAATCTTACTAATATGAATATTCTCAACCAATTCCTGCTCGAAATATGTGGAGTAATTGCGAAAAAAAACATAAAAACAACGGTTTTTGGGAACACGCGAAAAAAAAGGAAAAATGATTAAGTCTGCATTTCTGTTACGCAATATTGCGGTTGCGGAATACCGTAACCTAAATGAAAAATTCTTTATTTAAACAAAAACCCGAATTAATCTTTGAAATATCCCGGTGATACTCTAGGCTTGGGGCAATGAGAGCAACCACCAGAAGGGCCAGATCGTCCAGGTTGTCCAGTAAGGCCTCGGGGTCCTTGAGCACCCGGCTCTCCCTTTCTACCTCTCTCTCCTGGAGGCCCAGGCGGTCCTCGTCGTGCTTCTCCGTCTGCTCCTGGACTGCCAGGTGGCCCAATTTTTCCAGGAGGACCTGCTGGTCCATCGGGTCCAATTAATACGCCACCCGCAATGATTTTTCCGGGAATTCCTGGAATTCCGTTGGTCCCCGGCGGTCCAGGATCCCCAGGAACACCAACGCAGCCTGGAGGACCAGGCGGACCTGGCACGATGCCGCCGTTGCCAATTCCAGGTGGTCCCGGTGGCCCTTTATTTCCCTAAAAAAATTTTTTGAGTCTCTTTATGAAACTTGAACAAATAATTTGGTACCTTGGGTCCTTGGGGTCCAGGTGGTCCCGCCGGCGCATTTGGGCAATTAAAACAAAAATCGTCGACTTTTGGTTTATCAGTACTCTGCACATCGATTCCAGGCGAGCCCGGAGAACCAGGCATTCCGTCAAATCCATCATTTCCATCAATTCCTGGGAACCCAGGAGGCCCAGGTGGTCCAATAATACAGAATTTCTTGAAAAAAAAAACCCCGGAATGCGACTAAATGAGCCTCGTTAAAAATATACCTGTACAACACGCACGGGTTGAGGTTGCGGTCGTGGTCTTTGCGCAAATCCGCAATTAGCCGAATCGCCGCAATTCTGCACACAATTATCACCGGAACAGCAATTGCCGAAATCCTCGCAAAAGTCTAAAACGAATTGCCGTTTTCGGCGACTTTTCACATTGTTTTCGATTTCGAGCTGAAATTTGAAACGATGTTTTCAAAAAGTTGGCGAAAAAAAAAACGAAAACCTGAGCCAACTCATCCCACAAATCATGTGACTTCGCCACACAATACCTTAATTCATATCCTAATTGCTCCTAAATAATTTAAATTACATAATTATCAAAAAACAACTGCTATGTACCTTTAAAGCATATGAAGATGCTAAAAGTATTACTGTTGCGATTACAGTACTCAAAAGTACGGTAACAGTAATTAAAGTGGAAATGAAAATGGTAAATCGGAGATATTGCAATTCCTCGCTCTTTTCTTCCATTTTCTTCATAGAACTGTGCTCATTTTCAGTGAAATTCTGAAAATTTTATATTACAAAAAAAATGGCCTTGATTTATAAGAAACAGCCGAAGGAATAATTCGAAATAAGGATAGGTGTAGTTACACAACGAATAACCAATAATAGGCAACTTGTCATCCAGAAATCCATAGTAAACAATCCGGAGATTCTCAAGTGTTTCGCATCCTTCAAAAAACCCGATTCGATTTCAAATAATGCTTCATTCAATCAACACATCAAATATATCACAAATTATACAACGCTTTCTGCTTGATATTTCGATTCGAGCTGCGTTTTAATATTATTGCAGATCATATTGAACGGATTCGCCGCATTCGTATCATCGCATAGAACGTTGCTCAGAATTGCGTATGCTGAAATTTCAAACAAATTTATGATTTTCTTTTTCGTTTTTTTTTTTCGTCACCTTTATTTTCATAGAGGCCTTGAAGGCCAATATCGGAGTTCGCAAGAGTTCCTATGCAAACTGCCGCCTTATACCGTATCCGTTTACAGTACTCCGAGTGGACTGGATGTGTTAAAGTCAGAAATTCTAATAGAGCTGGAATCGCGTTTTGATCGACAAGCTCTTTGGTGTAATGATGAGAAGCAAGTCGAGAGAACGCGGTCACAATTTGCTCCTGGACGAAGATTGTCGAACAGTTTTCTCGATGATAAGCAGCTAGAAAACGACGAATCACGTTATTGCTGAAATTCGAAACGTCGAACTGAGCTTTGAGACTTTTTTTGTTACTTGAACATAATTGAGACGCCGTTGGGATTCTGAAGGGTGACGTTGTTCAAAGCAGCAGTCGCAAGCAGAAGCGAATCTCCGGTTCGGCACTCATCGACCAAATCTGAAAATCCATTTTTAGAATTGTTCAAGATTCTGGAATTACCTAGCAATCTTGCAATAATTGGGTGAATGTGATTAAGCTTCACAAATGATGATTGCGGATTTGTAAGCTGCGTCAAAATACCGGCCGCTTCCACTGAGCACATTGAAGAGCTCGTAGAGAGCAGGCGATCAATCACAAGATCGAGCCCGTTTTGCTGAAATGCTCTGATTGTTAAGGAACTCGAATTGGTGTCACCGTGAGCAAAGCAAGCGAGCCCTTCGAGACGCCGCACAGCACCGCCAGCGTTCTCAGAAGAAACCTCGCCGTGTTTTCGGGAACCGGCGGCGACTGCCGAAGAAGCTTCATGCATGAGGTGACAGCATTCCGCTGCACCGACTCGATGCACAATTCGTCGCCGAACAGACAAATATGGATTAAATGCTCCAACGAAATGCTCAACAAGCGATCCTTCGAGTTGCACTCGTTCAGAAATTTGCACGTGATTCTCACGAACACTAACAGGACACACTCAATTGTTTTGCGAAGAATAATTGCGAACAAGTTGGTCATTCGATTGACATCGATAATGCCGGCATCGCGATTCTTTTTCAGCTCCTCCACATGCTCTTTGAGCTTCTGCATATCTGCTTTGGGAAGATTATTCGCGCAAGGACTCGATTCCAATAGCTGAATGAACACCGATGATTTGGCAAGAAGATCTCGACATAATCCATGATCTAATCGGCTCGAGAGTAGGGTGTAAATTGCGGAAGAAGTGCGCAGGACATGGTCCATCGTGCTCGCCATTCTCGCGTAGCTCGGCATCTCTTCGTCGTTGGCTTCCTTGCTCTCCTGACGCACCGAGCACAACGAACGGCGTTCGAGATGATCGCCTGAACATTGTCCCGAATCCACACTCGTTACACTTTCAGATCGCGTACTATGCGGAGATCGTAGAATTGTATTCGTACTGCTGTCAGTGGTTGAATCTTCTAATCGAATCCTTTAAAAATTCAAAATTTAACAATTTGAAATTGTCGGCAGATGGGTAGAAAGATATGAAATTATGAGTTTACCTGGAAATATTCGGAGCATTGATTGATGTTGTTGAACTCTTCTGAGTCTTGTCTGGTGATGGTTTAGAGACTGTAACGTAACACGAGATTATTTTTATTATTTAGATGGTTGATCCACGTACCATTCATCGAGCTTCTCCTAATAACTTGTTGATATTGCTCGTAGGATGGTGGCGGTGCTCGGTGAGCAGCAGCCGACGTTGACGGCGCGGAGCACTTTCGGCGCGATTCGATCGCTTTGGCGACATCGCCTCGAAATCCGGGCAATTTCAACTGCAATGCGCACATGTGGTCGTCATTAGCGCCTCACAATTTTATGTATCCGGTTCGAATTCAAAACGGCAAATAAACACATTCGAGCAGATGTAGCAACTTTTCCGCCGAAATTCGATTTTCTACTTTCTTGATTTATTGAGGGGCTCTAATGGGTTTCGCACGTTGAAATGTGACAATTGGGCTCCTGGCGCGAAATGTGAAATATCGCTTTTAGCAATGGACAACAGTAAAAGAATAATAAAGGAGTCAAACTCATCAAAATGTTTATGGAAATTATTAAACGGATTCAATCTGCGGACAATTTTTATTTCAAATAATACATAAATCAATCGCAAAAAAACGCACCTTTTTAATGGTTTCCTGGTCCATTATCGTTGAACTTGAACACTCTGAAACAAGCTGAATTATGGAAATTCTAACCAACGAATCTACCTTGCTGATGATGATTTGAGCCCAATGTATTCGAGCTCGAATTTTTCGTGTCGCGAATCAAAACGGATGCCGATCTTTCGATTAGTTGAGGTAGACTGCCTGCAAAAAAAGAGATATGAAATGTGTTCGTAACAACAAAAAAACTTTTGAAATTCAATAAGGAAGATGAAAAAAACGACGAATATTTTCTTTTTTTTTTCACAAGGGTCTCAACACATTTTTTGAATAAGTGGAACGTTTTTTCAGAGATTCGGCTCGAATAATCTCTTTCCAACCAAACGAAGCACATCATTTCCAAATAAGTATTCTTGAATAGTAATCAATGTTTTAGAATATGCAAATCAGCGCGAGACCAGCATAGAAAAAAAGAACTCACCGACGACATAATCATTGGCCGACGATCGGAGCCTCGCAATTTTTCGCTGCGGCTTCGGCGGCGCTGTCAAATTTCCCAGCGATGATGAAAGCATAGTCTTCCTACTGTAAACACTCGATTCTTATTACTGTAATAATAAATATAAAGTAATGTGTTTCGAATGCGAACAAATAGAAGAAGCCGGCGAAGAAATCGCCGCCCGTATGGTGTTCAATTACAGGAAACCAAAGTTTTTGTTTGAATTTCGGCTCGAATGACGGCCTCAACGATGCGCTAATTAGTACCAAATAATAATAATAATATCAAATATAATATATAATTGTTGAGACGTTCGATTTGATCGCATTCAGAGTTGAAGAAATGATGAGATAGTCAAGCGACAAGTGACATTTTGTATGGAGCAATTAATTATTTATCTGCCACTTGTCAACAATTTTTTTTAATTGAAACACCAAAATGCATTTAGTTTCTGAAAGAAGATTTCTCGGCGTAGAAATCAACTACTAACAGATGTACAAAAATATTTAATTGGTCTCGTTTGGAAAAACTTGAAAATTTTTACGCCGCAAAAATGATTGAAGCTAATTATGTCGTCTTTTGAGTTGGAGATTTCGATTTAATTAGGGTTTTTAAATCATTGCATATTTCCCCGAAAAAAAAAAAGATTTAATTTTAATAGGTTCTTTTTCGCAATATTTGTTTTTAATTCGAATTATAGTTTCATAATTTGGAGACATATGAAACTGCAAATTGAATGAATGTGACTTTTAAAACTAGGCTGACCTGCTCTTTTTTGGTCCGAAAAACAGGGCCTCGTGGAAATAATCGCGTATTTTCTCCTCATTCACATCGAAATCCGACAGTATTGGCTTCGCGTATAGAATCGTTGATGTCTCATCGTCACTGAAAAAAAAAATAGCTCAATTATGATGCTATTTTTTCGAAAATTTTTTGCCACAAACCGACAAAATGCGAGACCTTGAAGCCATTTTTGCTGTGGACTGCCTAATGTTCGCTGAAATTTCGGCCAATTTTCATTGCTTCTCTCTCTCTCTCTCTCTCGCGAATTTTACCATCGGCGGTTGTGCAACAATATCGAAAAGATTGTCGTTTTCCAGCGAATCCCAAAATCGCGCCAATCTTGCCATTTAAAGGCGCACACGAATTTGGGCGAGCGAGAAGAATCGAATTGTTGTTGGGTTTTGGACGTGTTATAAGTGTTTTGAATATCTCTTTGGTGCGATGGCGAACGGACTGCAACGAATAGCACGTGAATCGGAGAGACGCAGACAATTATCAGGGTGCAGCTGCGGCGAAGGCAAACTTGCGGTTTGCGAGCAAATATTTCGAAGAAGTCGAATGAAACAACTTTGGAATAAATAAAGTGAGGTTCGAATGCTCTGCTGGTCCATCAGAGCTAGAAATCAAGAACAGGGGGGAATTGTGGTCCGCGCTTGAACCGATCAACTGAAGAACTACATAAGTGAGTATGAGGAATCAATGGTGAACATACATATGAGGTTGAAAATGAATTTCATTAAGAAAACCCGAAGAAATTGATTCGGACTCTGAAAATAAACTAAAAATTTATGGATTTTCCGATGATGTGGTCGGTCATGAATGATAGAATGGTAGAAATTTGAACTCAGGAATTACCCCACACGATTCAAGAACAAAAATGAGGAAGATCGAAAAAAAAAACCAGTATCATTGGAACACTGCTAGACCAAAAAGTATCACGAGGAAAAATTGTGAGAGGAAGAAAAGGGCACCTCTTCACCAAAAAGACCTGGTCCATCGAATCACTTGGATTGATTTTGTCCGCAGCTACAGCTTCTCAACTACAGTATTCAAACTATTCGCATTCGGTCTAATGCAAAACATTTAATTTTTGTAAATACTGAATAGATCCTTGAAAGGACCAATTATTGACTTCGGATCATGGTTTTATGTCTTGCTAGAGTTTCTCGTTTTCATTTGAAACCACTCATTGGAAATATGTTGCTTCGATTTTATTGAGTGAATTTACACGTATTTCAGACTGGACTCCTTCACATCAAAATATTATAACAAGCAAAACGATTAATGGAAATTTGATTTGCAATTTACTCGGGATAGTCGTACAGAAATTCAGATGACTTTTTAGAAACTATGTACGTAAAACAGGCACGACTTTTCCGATTTCATGGAAATTCAGAAAAGAAAGTATTGGAATTGATTTAAAGAAAGTAAATTGAGAAAAGTGAAGAGCTTAAAAATTAATGATATACCAAGAAACGGTCAAAAGTCAACGGAAACAAGAACGCGCGAAGGTGGCGGTCATCGTGTGTGTAATATAATGACCAGGTCCCGACACGATTAATTATTAGTTTAAAGTGCACAAATCTCAATAAATCAGGTGCCGAAAAGTTGTGGTCCGATGGAGCATTCATTGACTGAAGCGAAAAAAAATAAACGAGCGAGAATTTCGCCGCAAATCGTTTTTTTAATGTGTGTTTGTCAAAAATCACCCTGAGAAGATAAATGAAGTGTCGTGATGAGATTCAGCACAAAATGGAGACCATGTCGAATTGCGATTGGAGGCGGATGTTTGTGATAATCGCCTCGTAGAATTTCGACATGTGTCCACACTGCGTCTCGTCATCGTTTGCGCTCTCTCGACGATATGTCGCAAAAAAGAGCTGGAGCTGGCGCGCCAGCTCTGGTTCACTTTTTTTTTCATTTAATTTGATTGATGAAGCTTGTGATTAATGGACCATGCTTATCACGTTTCATTCGAGTCGTGCGGTCGCAAATGATGATTTACGGAACCGAAAAGCTCACTTGGAATCAATTTATAAAATTTGTGGGTCATTGAGCATATGAAAGTCTCCGATGAATTAATATATTAAATTAACAACATCTGTCGTGAACTTATTTAATTCTAACATAGAATGCACCTTTAAACGTGGTTTCACCTGGACAGTTCGATTGTTAAAGTGTTCGAATTCTTTTTTAATAACTAGATTTCTTCATTGCATTTTTAACTAACTCTTGAAAAAATTTTTTCATCCGTTTAATGAATATTTATTAAAAATAAATACAATTTAAATTTGAGAATTTCACTGCAAAACGGATGAAAAATAGTTTTAAAAAAAGGGATCTGTGTCGGATCAGATTTTTCCATGTTTCGTCAATGGATCAAAAGTGGATAAAAAGTGATCCGCCACAGATCCCATTTTAACAATGTGCAGTGTTCAAGGCCGAAACATCGATGAAACCTCTTTTTAAGAGAAAAATTAGATTATAAATATGAAAAATGAACGAAAACGTGAAGAGTTATCTGAAAATTAGAAGAATTAGCGCCTCGTTTGTCGCCACGGGTGTCGTTTTTCACATAGGTTTAAACTAAAAACTACTCAAGTAAAAATATATTGAAAAACATAAAGGTGCGAACAATGCAGAGGTGTTTTCAAATCATTTAGACCCCTCAATTTCACATTTTTGATTTTATTGCTTCCGAACAAAATCGGATAATGGTGGTCGGCGACGTTTTATTTCGAAATCATGTCAACACTACGAGGCGCCGTTTTTGACATTTTCGACTAGTATTTATCGTAAATCAGGATGAAATTCAAATTTTTAGCAAATATTTTGCAATATTTCGAAAAATTTCCATTAAATACTTTGAAATGTTACAACACTTTAGCCTCCATTTGTGTGTGTTTACAAATAAAACACACATTTTATCAAGTTCATATCGAAAATATCAGAAAATTTTGATTTCAGAATTTTCTTCCGCTTCGTTGGAATTCACAAGCACGCATTTTCCATTCAATTCAAACTCAACCATCTTTACGATCTCATTGAACTGTTCCGCTGACTCATTGCCCTCTTTGTTACGAAATTGTTTTCTCTAACTCTCTCGCTTGTCTTTTTTGCCGCACTGTGCCTGAGCTGATATATTTCGCCTTTATTCTTGGTCCCAACACGATAGCGATATCATTAGTCACCTTTTTTATTTAAAAGCTTCCATCCTTCTTCTTTTTCATTCTTTGTTCCTTTTGTATTTCCATCTTCTCCACCACATGTAAATTAGACTAAACATGCATATCAATCGAAACTTTTCTAAACTATATTTAATCCTTTGATAATTTAGCTGTCTATTAAATAAAATTTTATATATCCCTTAAATTCATTAATAACATTTGAAAAGCTAATACAAAAATATTTCAAGAAAAGGAAAAATTCAATAATATTTCTGTGCACTTTTGTGATTTGTGTTTGCGTATCTTATTCATACCGTATATAATCGTCAAGAAAAAACTCGGCGATCCGTACGGGAGAAACGAGGGAGTTTTTTTTCTGCTGTTTACTGATGAAAGAACTCCGTCGTTACACCCAAACGCAAGAAATACCGCCGTTTCTTCCGCATGGATTTCCGAGGTTTTTTTTCTGTTAATTTCACCACCCTTCCATAATTTCCGATTATAAATAATTTTCAGATGAAAAAACTCGCGGCCATAGCCGCCCTGTTTTCCATTGGAGATATCGCAGCTACTCTCATCTCGACTTCGTTTTTCTCTGAGGCCAACTCGCCCAACTTCGCACTTATACTCGATTATCTACTATTTCGCCGACCTTACAGTTTCACAACGAGTCCATTCGAATTTTTACTGCTTCTTGCAATTCGTCAACTGATTCTCTGGACCGCTTTTGGATTCGTTCAATGTCACCGAGAGAGTATTGTGAAGTCGTCAACGTTCGCCGCCATCGGATTCTCAGTATGCAGCTACTCGTTCTCATTGATTAAGCTGTTAGCTTTTGCTGAAAACGCAGAAATGGTCTATTGGATCGGAGTGTGGCTAACAGTGGCTTCTTCGATCATTGCTTCGTTTACACTTTGTTTGATTTGGTATCTAGCATTGACGTCACACGCCTTCAGCTACCGTCAGTTGATCAACAGTCAAATGGACGAAACAACAGAAACCGAAGAGGATTCATCAAGCGTTGAATCCGGTGTGGCACCACGAGCTTCTTTGGGAAAGCATGTTATGAAATTGCTCTCTTATACCCTCACTTATTGGCCATGGTTCTTGGCGGGATTCGTTTTCCTGAGCATCTATGCCTTTGCGCGAGTCTTCATACCATCCTACATGGCGAAAGTAATAGCGGATATCGTGGATCGCCGTGGAACTGAGGTGATGGCTCACTCGATCATGATAATGGGATTGCTCACTCTCGCAAGGTTTGAATTTGAAACCATATCTCGTCTAAATTTAATATTTCAGTACGATTTTTGGTGGCCTTCGTGGAGGATGCTTCGATTATGCAACGGCGTTGGTCAGCAGGAAGGTTCGATTGGATTTGTTCACGTCGCTTGTGAATCAGGATATCTCTTTCTTCGATACTACGAAAACTGGTTATTTCATTATATTATTTAGTTAAGCATCTCTTTTTTTTTTCAGGTGAAACTCTGTCAAGACTTACTTCGGATTGTCAAACGATTTCTTCAACGGTGTCTACCAATGTGAACGTGTTCCTTCGAAACGGAGTCATGCTCATTGGCTCTCTCTGTTTCATGTTCGCCATGTCATGGCGTCTCGCACTTCTGACATTCATCGCGATACCTCTCGTCGCCTATATCACAAAGCTCTATTCGTCTTACTACGATGTAAGATTCATCATAAGAATTTCTTTCTGGGAAGAATTGAAAAACCCTGAAATTCTTTTAACTATGTGAACATTTTTAAATAAGTCATTAAGCATTTCAGAAAATCTCGGAGACAATGCAGGAAACGATTGCACAGGCGAATCATTCGGCTGAAGAAATTCTGTCGACGATGAGAACGGTTCGCAGTTTCGCGTGCGAGAAGCGCGAAGCAAAACGATTCGAAGAGCATCTCAACACGACGCTGAAAGTTAACAAGAAACGCTCAATTGCTTATATGGGATACACTTGGAACAACGAATTCTCGGAGAATGCGATTATGGTGGCGGTACTATTCTATGGCGGACACTTGGTGATGACGGATAAAATGGGGAAAGAAGAACTTATCACATTCCTTCTTTATCAGTTGCAGTTGGGAGAGAATCTTTACGTAAGGAATTTGAAAACTATCATTCTATCCAGTCATTTCTTAGAATCTTTCTTACGTCATTTCTGGCCTTATGGAAGCAGTTGGAGCTTCTCGAAAAGTATTTGAATTGATGAGTCGTCAGCCATCATTCCCTCTTGATGGAGAAAAGAAGCCAATTGTTAATGGAAATTTGAAGTTCGACGAGGTTTCTTTCACATACCCAGCTCGTCCGAACAACCCGGTTCTCAAGGTAACATTTTTTCGGTTTTCATCATCACTAGTGTTCATTTCCTAGGAATTATCGTTAGAAATCAAACCTGGAGAGACATTGGCTCTCGTCGGACCAAGCGGAGGCGGAAAGTCTTCGATTGTATCGCTTATCGAGCATTTCTACGAGCCGAATAGGGGAGATGTTACGTTGGACGGAGTACCAATTAAGGAAATCAATCACGTTTATTATCATCAAAAGGTAACCAGCCTTGTTCTGGACGACTAATATTCTATTTTAATTGTCCAGGTCGCTCTCGTTGCGCAAGAGCCCGTTCTTTACGAAGGCTCAGTCCGTCACAATATTCTGTATGGCTGCGATTTTGCCACAGAAGATGATATGCTTCATGCTGCCAAAATGGCGAATGTGCATGATTTTGTGATGGAACTTGAGAAGGGTTATGACACGAACTGTGGTGAGAAAGGAGTCCAAATGAGTGGAGGGCAGAAGCAGAGGATCGCCATCGCGAGGGCGTTGGTCAGAAATCCGGCAGTTCTGATTTTGGATGAAGCGACTAGCGCGTTGGATGCCGAATCTGAGGGACTTGTTCAGCAAGCATTGAACAGGTGATTTTAAAATAATTTATTAGCCAAAAACAAGATGAAATAAAATATAGATGTGCCAAAGAGAGAACAGTGATTATAATTGCTCATCGATTGTCGACCATCGAAAAAGCCGACAAAATCGCTGTGATCTACAAGGGACGGGTTGCCCAGCAAGGAACTCATCAGGAACTGATGAAGGATCCTGACGGCATTTATTATTCACTTGTCAATCGCCAAATGCTGGCTGCTAAAGTCGAATAGAATGTTTCTAATAACTTATTGTTTTTCGAATTTTCGTGTGCCAATGTTAATTTATTATCATTTTTCGACGCTTTCGCATAATTTTACGTGTTTGCGAACATTGTACGAGTTTTTCATGTTAGAAAATTTCTTGTCATTTGTTGTGTTGTTCTTTTTTAATAAAAATATAATATTTTCCTTATTTTTATGGGTATGATGAGGAATTAAAAAGAAATTTGTTTTATAGTATACGGTTTACAAATTATGGAGTATTGTGCAAACACACTGCAGAAGAACGTTTTAATTTTTAGGGCGCGAAAATCGCTGCGTTTATTTTTCATTCGATTTTTCTGTGCGGTTATTTTTTTGCTTTTTCTTTGTTCAATCAAAATATGTTCTTTTATTTCATTCGTCCCCGGTTTAAGAGAAATAAATATGTCCCTTTTCATTAATTACCTTATTTATTTCTAGCAGTTCCTACGTTTGAAAGCATTCAATTGTATTTTATCTTGATTTTCGAATTTCAGTGTTGGAAATGCATCTAAATACCTAATTCTCGTATGACTCACCAAAATCAGCTTTTTGTTTTCCACAAAAAGGTCACGTGTAAAATAAACAAAAAAATCCTAACCATAGTCCGGTTTCTGATTTCATTTATTAATTATGCAACGTGGAATTACATGTGGACTATTATATAATAAATGAAATACGGCACGCAAGGATTCGAAAAGAGTCGGCGAAACTTCGAGAAATAGCGAGAGACGCCGAGAAGCATACCGAACATTGTAGTGCGACGAAATAAACACACGTCAGCAATATACGACAGCGACACGTTGCCTTACCCCCAATATATAAGAGGTGTCATTCCTGACCCAATAGCATCTATTGTCTTCGAATTTCTTCGATTTATTCATTTTCGTGCGCTCAACGTTATTGGCTCTTATTACAGAGTTTCATACAAAAGCGATCTACATGAAGATTCTATCAATTCTACTACTCGCCCTTGTGGCGTTCTCACACTGTGAGGAAGAAAAGAAGGAAGAAAAATACGGAACGATCATTGGTATTGATCTCGGAACTACTTACTCGTGTGTCGGAGTTTACAAAAATGGACGTGTTGAAATTATTGCCAACGATCAAGGTAAAATTTTCGTTGTTTAAAGTTTATTGATTTCGAAATGTTTAGGAAACCGTATCACTCCATCGTACGTTGCGTTTACTGGGGATCAAGGAGAACGATTGATTGGAGATGCCGCCAAGAATCAGCTCACCATCAATCCAGAAAACACCATCTTCGATGCCAAGCGTCTTATTGGAAGAACATACAATGACAAGACTGTTCAAGCTGATATCAAGTTGTGGCCATTCAAGGTCCTCGACAAGAACAACAAGCCTCACGTGCATGTCAAAGTTGGATCTGATCAGAAGCAATTCACTCCTGAGGAAATTTCCGCTATGGTTTTGGGAAAAATGAAGTCCATCGCCGAATCATACCTTGGACATGAAGTGAAACATGCCGTCGTTACCGTTCCAGCTTACTTCAACGACGCTCAACGCCAGGCTACCAAGGATGCCGGAGTGATTGCTGGTCTTAACGTTGTCAGAATTATCAACGAACCAACCGCTGCCGCGATTGCCTACGGTCTTGACAAGAAGGAAGGAGAGCGCAATATCCTCGTTTTCGATCTCGGAGGTGGTACTTTTGATGTCTCGCTTCTTACCATTGACAATGGAGTGTTCGAAGTGCTCTCCACCAACGGAGACACTCATCTTGGAGGAGAAGACTTTGACCAACGCGTCATGGAATACTTCATCAAAGTGTACAAGAAGAAGACTGGAAAAGACTTGCGCAAGGATAACCGCGCCGTTCAGAAGCTTCGTCGTGAAGTTGAGAAGGCTAAGCGCGCTCTCTCCACCCAACATCAAACCAAGATTGAGGTAAGAACTTTTTGAAGCAAAATAGAATTTCGAAACTCTGTATTACAGATCGAATCGCTCTATGATGGAGAAGACTTCTCTGAGACACTCACCCGTGCCAAATTCGAGGAGCTCAACATGGATCTCTTCCGTGCCACTTTGAAGCCAGTCCAGAAGGTTCTTGAGGATGCCGACTTGAAGAAGACTGATGTCCATGAGATCGTTCTTGTCGGAGGATCCACTCGTATTCCAAAGGTTCAACAGCTCATTAAGGAATTCTTCAACGGAAAGGAGCCATCGCGCGGTAAGATAATATTTTTTTAGTTTTGAAAATAATTATCAATAATTGCAGGAATCAACCCTGATGAGGCTGTTGCTTACGGAGCTGCCGTTCAAGGAGGAGTCATCAGCGGAGAAGAAAGCTCTGGAGACATCGTGCTTCTCGACGTCAACCCGCTCACTTTGGGAATTGAGACTGTTGGAGGAGTCATGACTAAGCTCATCTCGAGAAACACGGTCATTCCAACGAAGAAGAGTCAAGTCTTCTCGACGGCCGCGGATAACCAGAACACCGTCTCGATCGTCGTCTTCGAGGGAGAACGCCCAATGACCAAGGACAACCACAAACTCGGAAACTTCGATCTTACCGGAATTCCACCAGCTCCACGAGGAGTGCCACAAATCGAGGTCACCTTCGAGATTGATGTCAACGGCATCTTGCACGTTTCCGCTGAAGATAAAGGAACTGGAAATAAGAACAAGATCACCATTACCAATGATCACAACCGTTTGAGTCCTGAAGACATTGAACGTATGATCAATGACGCCGACAAGTTTGCCGATGAGGACAAAAAGTTGAAGGAGAAGGTTGAGTCGAGAAACGAACTCGAGTCATATGCTTACTCACTTAAATCACAAGTTGCTGACAAGGAAAAGCTTGGAGGCAAACTGTCGGATGAGGATAAGACCACCATTGAGTCTGCCATCGAGAGAACTATTGAATGGCTTGGATCGAATCCAGACTCCTCTGTTGAAGAGAATAAGGAGCAGAAGAAGGTTTGTTAAAACAATTCATCATCGAAATTCTATTTGTATAAATTTTCAGGATCTTGAAAGCGTTGTACAACCAATTGTGAGCAAGCTCTACGGATCCGGAGGAGCTGAAGGCGCTGGTGCCGGAGAATCCGCATCACAGGGTGAGGATCATGACGAGCTCTAAGCTTCCGGGTCATCGCTTTTCGTCATCTTCACTGCTCTGATCTCTGATGCTTTACTCGTGTGATATTCACAATCCCCGACCAACAACCAAGCCTATACGTGTGTGTTATTATTTATTTGTTTTTTTCGGGCCCCATTATTTAGGCTTTATTGCAATTTTGTAGATATATTAAATTTAAATTATTAAAAAATAAATGTTTTATTCTAAATTCATAAGTTATGTCTAAAAATCGACGGGGCTCATGACTCGAATAGACTTCTCTGGCGGCATGGTGACCTCGCGCAAAGATTGAACGTGCTGCTTATGTTTTGGATGAACACCCTTGTATGGTCTTCCGAGGGTCTGAGCCATTTGTGGTGGTGTCTGGCCTTCGAGTTTTGCTGCAATCCATCGAGCAGCGCAATCTGCCAATTTTGGAATTGCGAGGAAAAGAGAAGCCTGAGAATGAATCGAATTGCGGATTTCGTAAATGAGCGGACCTCGAGAATCTGGAGACACTCTTTTGGCTGCAATCTTGGAAACAATTCATCCAAATTGGTTTCAGATGCTTTATTTGCTCGACTCCAATCGAGAATCTTTTGGAGAGTCGCTGAATCGATCGATATTGGAATCTCGACTATTGGCTGCAAATTGCAACATTTTCGAACAAATTCCGATTCAGTGGTAAAATTGTTCTTTTTTAGAAATGCTTTACCAGAATCGTCGGATCTCTTATCGCTGGCAGAATTATTAAATTTTCGAACATTTGACGAAGAACCTCGAGGTGGCGAATATCGTCAGCCGACACGACGAGCTCGACACTGAACAAAACTCGAGAATATTCCGAGGGAATCGACCAAACCCGTCAATCGTTCTGATAATTCTCCGAGATTCATTTGGTGTCGGACAAACCGCCGTGTCGACCGGACTCGGCGCTCGACGCTCCTTCGATGTCGTCGCTATGAGAGTTGCGGACCCTTTGAACAACTGTCTCAGATAATTCATTGATTTAAAAATGAGAATCAAACAGAAAAAATAGGGAGGCGTGAATTCGAAAACCGTATTTTATGGAAGATCGGCTCTTATTAATAATAAATAAAACCAAAAGTCGATAAAAATAAATTAAATAATTTGGAATGAATGAAAGTGTGGGGCGAAACCAAATCTTCAATAACTAGTTCGGCAGGGATGTCAGTTGTTAGTTGAATACAAATTTGCGACTATATAACACATAATTATCACAGGCTTCAATTGTTTCGAATTTGGCGGGAATTACAACGGATTGAGTTGTTTGAAGAAGAAAAAGCTGGCGGCGGCGCCGACGGTTCCAGCGACAAACACAAATTGAAGTGCATAGCGTGGAATCGATTTAACTGCATTTTTGGGAGGTTTGGCGACCTGAAAATTAGCGTAATTTTAAAATTCAGCATATAAGAATGAAACAAATATTTATTTAAAAAAAACCATATTAGAGGCGTGCTTTTGTGTAGTTTGAACTATTGCGACAAAATTATGCGCTGATTCACCGCCAGCCTAATTCGAACGTCCTCGACAGATGAAAAAAAATAGCATAAATAAAAGAATATCACTTAAAACAATATTTCGAACGTCCTAGAATTTTGACTGTATCGATCGAAAACTTGCTAAAACGGATTATTTATAGTCATTAGATTGAAGTCAAGTCATCATCCTCAATAAGATTGAATTTTCCGTTTCTCATGTCAGTGTTCTTATTTTTTTTAAATTTCTTTTTATCCCTATTTTGTGAATGTTTTTGTGAATGCATTCAAAACTCTCTTCTTTAGTATTATTAAAAATTCCTAGAGGCACTTTCATATTACGAGATTAAACGATTTTTTACGGTTATTAAACAGTTAAATTGGCCAAACTTCCAAAAATTTGACAGTTTTCAAATATAATCGGCTCAGCGCGTTCCGTCGCAAATCTAGTATGAAAAGAAAAAAAACTTACAAATTTCCTATATTCATTCATGTAGCGCGTTTTTAGCAAACAAGGGGGCATCAATTTCGACAAATATCTGAAATTCAAGCTCAAATTTAGAAAAATTAGACAATATTGTTACACAGCGTCTTTGATGAGCGCATCAATCGGCAATTCTCTAGGCATTTCAGTGAGCAGTCGATGGATGAATGGCATTTCTCGTTCGCACGATAACACGCTTGCTCTTCGGTAGAGCACAATCGCTGATGAGACATAAACCGGCAGAAGTGGGGTTGAAGCGAGAAAACAGTCGAAAAATCGCACAATCTAATTAATTATAAAACTTGATAAATTTTTGAATAAATTACCTGCTGGTACTGCTTCAAACTGTGACTAAACCAGGTTAACGGCCATGAGAGCGCGAATATGCTGCCGAGTTCCACCGATCTCATCACTTTTTCCAGTTGGGGCTCTACACGCGATAAAATTACATACCTATAGTATATTACAATATAAAGTAACCGAATGTTTTACTCACATTAGCTCCAGCTCCTTTACAACCGTTCTCTCTAATGTTTTGAGTAAATAATTATTGAACGCTCCATGTTTGGCGAGATTCACGCAAACTCGAAAAGCATCCTCATGGCCGCATACTAATAAGGCAGTAAGGCAAATGTCGTGAAATCCTGAATTCAAGTACGCAGTTGCCGAATACACAGAGAATATCGATCAAACCTTGATAGTAATTGAATCTTGGATTGACACTTAAGACTCGAACAATTAGTGGAATGAGCTCCGTTTGCAAAACTTCGCGGTGATTGTCGGAAATATTCGGCGGAAACCGAGCAAGTGTCCGATTGACGTCGAGTTCCACCTGATGCCATTCTTTGTGATTCTGTAGGTCTTCGAGAGATAATTCTCTGGGATCTGTGATCTCCTCAAGAGGATTCTCGTCGAAATCAGATTGAGCTGACTCGAAATCCGAATCGAATGATGAAGAGACGTCATCTAGATAAAATTGCTTTTAGACATTTCAGTAATTAAAGACTTAGTGATGGATTAAATACAAGATAATACACAAACCTAAATCGTCATTACATACAAGATTTGCGGACAAAACTGGCCAAATAACTGCGCGAAACTCATCATCAACTAAACCGCCCGAAGAAATTGCAAAATCCCTAAGTTCGTCTGAAATATTTTATTTCATAAGTTCAATTGTTTGGAATAGAATTTTCTCACCAATATACAGTGATAAATCTTCAGATTTATGTTTTTTGAGAAATCGATCAATTGCTTCGCGTTTGTGTCGAAGAGCAGTGTATTTTGCACGATCGAGTGGATTCGAAGTTGTCTGAAAAAAAATCCGCTAAATATATGAATCTAAATATTGGTAAACAATTTTCATTCTAGTCTTACCATACTTTTGTGTTTTTATTTTTCGATATTAATAACGTTCTTTTTTGCTCAATGTGTCAATATACAAAATGGTACGCCGATTTTGTTTTGCGAGAGCAAACAAATATCTATTTGTGATTGATAAGAGCGTATTTCGAAATTCTGGTTTCTTGATGAAACTAATTTAATTAATAAATGTATATTTGCAAATGTTAGAAAATATTATTTTTCAAGAGAAATATATTAAATTCGAGGATATTTCAAGATTGTTTTAAAATCTCGTTGGTGCAGCTTAAATATCAAAGAAACATTATTTTTACATGACTCTTTTTTATTGCAATAAAAATAATTTTTTATGGTAATAAAAAAATAAATTCGGGAAATCAAATTAGCTAATTTTTTTAGAAACGAAAAATTTTTCAAAAAATAAAGAGAATAAGTAGTTTTAAAATAATCCGAATTCAAAATCAAAAGAAATACTACATATATCAGAAAATGTTTAAAAATAGAAAATCATTAAAATAAATAATCTCAAACAAGAAAATCGGCATTCCCATGAGGATTTCGAAAAAAAAAACCAAGAAATTACCTCTTTCATAATATCTTTTCCAATGTCGCTGCAAGACGCCGTCTGCCATTTCTCGTTGATAACTTCCTTAAACGGTGTTCCCGGTTCGGAAAACGACTGCATCACTGAACACCGATGAGTGTGAGAGAAAACGAGGAGACGCAAAAGATGAAAACTGTGCAAACACCGCCACGAAATATTGCATGAATGAAGGAGACGACCAAAAATTGTTTCGCAGAAATTCCTGTTCTTTGGTATTTAACATAAAATTGGAAAACAAAACGAGTAAAGAAAGTAATATTAAATTTTATTCCAATTATTTCTGGAAATCAACAAGAACAGTTATTTCAACAAATAGAGGGCACCGTAGAAAAATGGGGGCTTCTAAACGATAATAAATATTACATTATGGAGAACCCTAAAATCCAACGCCAAATATAACCTTTTCCAAAGAGGCATCATAAAATCGAAACGACCATAAAAGAACGCCTCGTTCAACGAATTTGCATAAAATTGATTTGTAATAACCCCATAAGGTCTACTAGTTTTTTTGTGTTGCGGTCGCAAAAACATAATTCACGGCCGCAAAACAGAGTGAAATGGAAGAAAAAAAATTAACGTGTGTGCCAATTTGCGAATTAGTCGCGCTCGTCCTCTTCGCTCAATTGTTCGCGAGTTCGGGTTGTGCTCAATGCAATTGTGATTTCTTCGTCGACGAAATCGTCGGGGTTTAATTCGGCTTCGGTGTCTACGCCGCCGCGCAGTTGGATTCGTGCCTCGCGCATGTTTGCAAGAATTTCGCGATTCCGGTTGCGGATGACATCGAAAGCGGCCATGATCTTCCTGAAAAAAAAAAAGAATTTCGGCTTGTAAAGTAAGAACTTTGAAAATAAAAAAACAAGCTTTTTTGTAAACATAAACCCACGAACCTTCTCTTTTCCACAACTTCCTGGCTGGCTCGGCATTTCTCATCATCATCCTGTTTGATGAATCTCGCGGCAATCTTCTTGAGATTCTTCTTAATTTCTTTGAGTTTCTGCTCACTGAGCTTGACTGGAGGTCTCGGGCGCCACCTGAATTGGGCCAATCGTTCCAAGTTCTTTCTGCACAGCTCGCGTCCTTGGAAGGTGAAAACTCGATAGCCAAGATCGGCACCATTACGTCCTCCCATTGTTGAGCAGGTGACGAAATAGCGCCCAGTTGGATCCCAATATCCTTTATTGAACAACGGGTGTTCGATCACGTTAGTTCTTTTAGCCTCTGATAATGAGGTGTCGACGAACATCACATTTCCTCCAGAAGACATTTTTGACAAAACGGCGAGCCATCCACCCTTCGGAGCAAATTGAACTTCGTTGAATTGCACTCCAGCATCGAGCTTGCTCATCAATTTTGGGGCATGACTATTTGGTTCGATTCGGTAAACTTGCGGGGTAGTTTTTGTAGCTGATCCGGTCAAAACGCAGAATTTATCACCTTAAAATATATAATTAGATTAAACCTGTCACAAGACACTGTACCTTCTGGATCCCATCCAAAATGAATGAATGGTTCAGACAATGGTAAATTCATGAGAGAAACATCCTTTTTGTCAATTTCAAAAATATCGATGTGATACGTGCATCCACCCTGAACCGGTCGATGAAAAATTAGTTTTTATGTAAAAATGCTTACGATATATTTGATATCTCCAGTATCACGTATTTGTTTCTTGTTATACCGCATTGTATAAATGGCCAACCGTTTTCCGCTTTTCTGCCAGAATAATTGGGCGTCAGCAACATTATAGATTCTAGCCGACCGGAGGCGTTGTAAACTTGGGAATTGTAATAATCCGAATTCAGCGGGAACAGTTTCGGTGCACTAAATTTAATAAATTATAACAGCAATTAACTTTTTTTGAACAAACCTCTGAATAATAGGCCAATATGTTATTGACTGGTGACCATTCGATGTATTTTATATTTTCAATTATAATCGGGCGCTTATTGAGCAATTGGAAAGTTTCGGTTTCATAAACAGCGATTCCATCGACCTTCTTCTCTTTTTCAAGTTTATCACGCTCTGGAGCCTTGAGACAGGCAAAGTACTTCTCATCGGGAGACCACCTAAACATTGTCTGTTTTAAAATTAAAACTTCGATATAAAATTACTTGAAGAAAGGCCAAGCGGGCAAATGACCTCTTCTGCAAAGCTCGAATGGCGAAAATGTGCCCTTGAGTTCTTCGGAAACAACTTCCCAGATCTTGATGCAGTCTTTTTCTCCTTCCCACCATTTTCCGCGATCTTCAGGAGCAGCATAGGAGATCATGTATCTTGAAGAAGTTAATATGCATAACAAATACTCCTTAATCTTCTTACTTTTCACACGGTGAGAAATCGACATATTGGACATTGTCATGAGCAAAACGATGAGCACGCTTAAATTCCGGACCTCCCCATAAAATAACTCCTCGAGCATGAATTGTTGCAAGATAAGAGCCATGAGGCGACCAAGCAAACACAGTTTCGGTCCAGTTCTAAAAAAAAGTTAATAAATAAAATTTTTAAACGAAATTTACCGCGCGTTCAGCCTTATCTGCATCAGCAGCAAGTTCGGGCTCATGTCCCTTCATGTGTGTATAAACACCAACGGTCGGAACTCCGCTCTTATCGTGAAGAACAGCAAATTGATCTCGGCATCTATCGTTTTGAAGCCACCACCAAAGGTCTCCAACATCATTATATGGTCTTGCTTCTGGCACTTTCCAGTTCTCATCAGGGGGAGTCATTTTTTTCATCTAAAATAGAAACTTCGAAGTTTTTAAACAAAAAAATCAATACCGTGGAGAAAAGTTGGGCAGAAAATGTATGACTCTTGTCAAATGCATACCCATCGAGACTTTGAACGGCGTACTCAGCAATTTTCTTGTCAGACCACTCGGAAAACAAGACTCCCTGAAATCATTTTTGGCATAATTCAAAAAGATTAACCATTTACCAAAGATCCTCCTTCTGGGTTTGTTGGGATAAACATTTTGCAGCTTTTATCGATTTTATCAAGAACTCTCGAGAGCACATTTTGCAATTTTTGAATTCTCTCCGATCCGACAACTGGGATTCCGAAAATCACTACACAATTTTCCTCAAACTCTTCGATTCTAGGTTTCATGTGAATAACATCAGGGACGAGTTCTGAAATAGAAATATTTAATGTTCATTTGTGTAGTTTAAGAACATTCATACCTTCATCCTTGACATTATCAACGAAACCTGGTGGATCGGAAAAATCTTCCTCAGCTTCTTTATTTAATTCTATTTCAACCATCGCAGGGATGCTTTGCTTTTTTGATAATTAATTATCGTGTAACCCAATCGTCCTGAAAGAGAAAAGTTACCGATGTTGTGAAATATTTAAAAAAAATGGAACATAAACAACAGAAAAAAAAAGTTCACTATAAAAAATTGTTAAAGGAGTTTTTATGTACTAACAGTAAAATATCTGTTATATTCAAAATGTGACAACGCAATGTCCGAGTTACTGATTTTAATGTACAAATCTACCAAAACAATCTGCAAAAATTGTGGGCAAAACCATTAAATATTGATCTCTATTATATATTAAAATTAAAAGAAACTAGAAAAAATGACAGAATAGACGCCAAAAACAGAAAATAGGACGTTATTGCGGAAAAGTGGCGGACACAAAATGCGGGCATTTAGTGTCCGCGTGGAGTGTCGTTGCGAAAATATATTGGCGGTAATTCAAATTTACCTCTCCCCCTTTTGACTAAAACAGTCACTTTTGCGACAAAACTATGTTTATTAAATTTCAAAAATAATCGAAAGTACAATAAAAACATTGAAAGTATCGAATATGTGTGCTGAAAATGAATATCGATCACTGGAATACGTGTCACGACGTAGTTCAGTGTATTTGCACGCTGGAGGTAGGTTGTTCCAGCGAATTTTCATCATTTTGAACATTGCTTCGCGATTGCTTTCAAACATTCTTGATGTTATCTGAAATAAAATCAATTCAATTAAATAATTAAAGCGCAATTCTAACCACTTCGCTACGATAGCCGCAATACTTTCCGTGTTCCTGTGTAAAACATGACGAAAAATGCTCGAAATCGCTGAAAACTTAAAATTTTAAAGCCAAAATTTAAATATCCCACGTGCAAATCGCTTCAGTATTTTCTTGACTTTGGTTCTTGGCAAAATTGTGCATATCCATTTCAAGACGAGTCGTCTGAGCCCGACATACGCTTGAAAGTCGTTCACCATTATCCTTCCAGCAAGGAAATTGGGCACGAACTTCTGAAATTGAAATATTCGAACATTAGTGAGTTTGCACATTAAATTGCCCTCCAAGTTATTGCACGAATCCTGCCAAGCTCGAATTCCGGCCAAAATAATCGAAGCTTCAACCGAATTGTTACACCCACGAACGCATTCTTCAAGTAATTTGTTGCTTCTGAAAGATTGTATTCGAAAAACATTCACATAAAAAAATCAAAATAGCAACATTTGGGTGGTTTATTGGGTCCCTTGGGTGCAATTCACTTCAATTTGGCGAACAACAATACTTTGACATTTTTTTGAAAATATATGCAAATTTATAAAAATTAGTGAGCTGATTTATATTTTATAAATTACTCACGCGCAAATTGCTTGTGCTTTTATATAAGCTGCTGTTTCATTTCCAGTCTGTTTCAGAAGATTCAGAAGTGGTAGAGTGAAGTCGTGCGACCACTCATTCTCCATCTCAAAACATCTACAGTATTCCAAATCGTTTCAAGACCCACCTCCATCATATGGTTATCCTTGCAACGAAGAACACAACGATTGACTTGGACTCCTCCGGAAACCGTGGTTATCAAAATAATGATAAGTAATATAATAATAGAGGAAGACGAAGTCATCAGGCGACAGCAAAAATTAAATGAGCCATCCATCCGAGAGTGCGCCAACTCATAAAAACAGCTCTTAAAAGGATGCGAGTGTGCTGTTGTAGATCATGGAAGCGACACAAATGGATTGTGTCACACTATTACTTTATAAGGAGGGGGGCAACAAACGGACGGACGTCGTCGCGAATATGAGTCGTCTTCTTAAATTGCGCAAAAGAAGATGAGATGCGTTGTTGTTCCCTCTCAAGGGAGACCGACGGGAACCAAATTTGTGGACGAATTGAGAGATGAAGTTTCGTTTTCATAGGTGTATTCGCGTCATCATCATATGTATTTGCACGAAGCCACGCCCCTCTCTTTGCACATACATTCTTGCTAAAAAAAAATTCACGAAAGGGAATTGAGATATTCTTAAAATTATTAAAATAAAAATTTAATGAGGACTTTGACCAGTGTGTGCTCCCGGGAAGACCTCGTTTTAAAGTTCCCGGAACTTCCGAGAATTTCGTTTTTTTTTTCATCTCATCCAAATCCGGGAAAGTTTTTTTGAGGGGATCTACGCGAACATCCATGTGGTTTCGCGTGGGCTAAAAATAACTCTCTTTCTTCATTCTGAAAATTAGTTCAGCACATTTTTATAAAAGAAACATCGAATTAATTAAAGCTAACAAGCACTGCTTTGCACAATTTTGGAATTAACGCACCCCTTCAGATTTTTTTGCGTAATCAAATTAGCATGTACTTATAGCATTATAGTGAACAAATTTCACTAGTTTTTGTACCAGGATTTTAACGAACCTATTCACGAAGTTCAATTTTTTACAAATATATTTTTTTTACTTAAAAAAAGTTCTAGTTATATAAATTTCTGGACAACAAAAGCTTTTTATTTAATTATTTGCATACTTAAACTCTCCAATATGGAAGGGCTTTCCATTTTGCTTAAAATTCACGGCGTTCACACTAGTGGGATTTACATGAAAAAAAGATTTTTCTCAATGGAGCGCACATGCAGCTTAGCGCTATTCCGGTGCATAAATTCAACAAATTAAATTTGTGAAATAAATTAGAAATGTTCTCTAAATGGAGCGTTTTTTCAATAAGAACGATTAGTTTTTATATTTCTTCGGGTGGATCATATTCACCGCAATTTATGGTCTAATTAGTTATAAATTAAATAAGTTATTTTAATTTATATAGGATTTTTTTTTAAACATAACATTTTTAAATGATAAAACCATCAATTAAACGAAAGAAATACTACACAATCGAATTATGATATAAAAATTGATGATATGTAGCAGATGAATTCAATGCGAGTAGATAAAGACGCGAGAGAGATTGAATTCGGAAAAAGAGGATATAAGGACATTTGGAAAATTGCAAAACTAATAGGGAAAAAATACACTTATCAATTTGGAAACAAATGGATAATCAACAAACACATTTAACAAGATTCTCTTTACCGATTTCATCAGGCAGCTTGAAAAGAACACTTTGATGTTATACAACACAAATAGCTAAAAAAAATGCATTTTTGGGCTGAGGACGTCTTTCCATTGGTCTTTCGGAGTAATTCGGAAGTTTAAAAAAAATCTCGAATAGCGAATTGTCCGTGACATCGTTTCATCACTCCGCCAGCTTTTGATTTTCGAGATGGAGTGCTTATCTGAATTCAATAAATGAATTCAATGCGAGTAGATAAAGACGCAAGAGAGATAAATAGCGAAAAAAGAAGCTGAAAACGCTAAATTAACGTAAGAACTAACGAAATTAAAAAAAAAACAACAAAAAAATTATAGAGAATCTCTTGCAACTTCTCCGCCGAAATGACACACTATTTACATTTAAAATTTGCAAAAAAAAATAAAAATAAACAACTATGAAATGTTTTTCCAAGTGTTACCAAACATAACCGTATAACTCAAACCATATAATATAATAATAAATGATATTAACAAAAGAGAGAGAGTGAAAAAACAGAGAAAAGAAATGTGAATATTTCTACAGTTCAATCTTTAAAAAACTACGGACCTCTGAATACTTATCCGATTGAATTATAGTTAAGCTTTTTCGATAGAAAAAAGCCTTGCGAAAAACGTGGTCGGTGCACTTTTTTGTTAAAATTTGAGAAAAATTCAAAAAACTTGAAAAATGAGCCAAAACCTGGCGATTTTTAAAAAATTCGTCTGCGCGACAAAGACGCCAACAATCGATCACTGACACAGTTTGAGTTTTCATTTCAGGTAAATCCCACTAGTGTGAACGCCGTGAATTATTCATACTTGATTTCCAACGTGGCCGTGGACTAGGAATTAGTCTTTCGCTTCGCGATATCGTGATGACATAAATATGTGCGCCTTTAACTGCTGACAAATAAAATTTCAAATTTCTACTAGAGCCATTGTGATTGATCATTTAAAATTCTTCTCATTTATTGAATCTTTTGAATAATTTTATCAAAGATATCGAACACTCTTTGAACATTTCTAATCTTTTATATCTCTGCTCGAGTAATTTTATGATTATTTTCCGCAGATGGTCGCCGATAAAGCTGATGTGTATTTGAGCTCCAAACTCCAGGCTGCAAAAGGCCCAGTCGCTGATGACTGGAAGCTTCTTTTGGATAATTATTCAAAAAAGTACGAATTTCATTTAAAATGTTTATTTATTATCAAAAAATTTGCAGACTCTGGCACCAGCTTACAATCGCCACAAAAACTCTGTTAAGTAAGGAGCAATTTTTGAAGGATTTGGATCTTGCTGAGTTTTATAACAAGTGAGTTAAAGCAATAAACTAATAAAACAATCTTTTAATTTCTAAGCTTCATCTCTGAAGTTGAACTACGTATGAATCCATTGAAACTCGCAGAAATTTGCATTGTCATTGGGAAGTTTATTTACGTGAAGGGTATAAACATTCATCTGAAAATTATTAATTAATTTCGAATTTTTTAAGATAAGAAGAAGGGGATTGAGTTTCTTGAGAAAATTGGAAAAATCGTTGCCAAGGATAAGGTAGCAGTTGCCCGCATCCATACTGGAGAAATCGAATTCCGTTTGACTAACAAGGACAAAAATGACCAGATCGTGGATTTGAAAAAGATTCGAGTAAACAATTTTTTTCATAAAATATATTCCAAAATATATGTATTAGGATCTCATTGATTCGACACAACAAGAAGTTGATGCGCTTGTTGGGGTCACAGAAGTTCATGCTCCATTCTACAAAGTATCATCAGTTTATCTTCGTGAAGTCGGAGATTTTGCGGGATATTATCGCGAAGCGCTGAGATATCTTGGAGTCGAAGATATTAATAAAATGACCAAGGAAGACAAACAAGTGCAAGCTGTTCTTATTGGATTTGCTGCACTTCTTGGAGAAAATGTTCACAATTTTGGAGAGCTTTTGGCACATCCAATCCTTAAATCACTCGACGGAACTGGCGAGCGTTGGCTCGTAGACGTGCTTTTGGCTTTCAACAGTGGAGATTTGCCGAAATTCTACGCACTTGAGCCGCATTGGAGTGGATGGGATGATTTGAAAAAGCAAAAGGATTTTCTTGTTGGCAAAGTGCGACTGTTGGCAATTATGGAGGTATGATATTTTTTTAGAAATAATTTATCGAGATGTTCAGCTCGCTCTTGCTCGTCCCGCAAAGGCCAGGAACATTTCGTTCAAAGAGATTGCTGCCAAATGTCAAGTTCCAGTTGAAGAGGTTGAGTTTTTGGTGATGAAGGCGTTGAGTAAGGATCTCATACGTGGAGATATCAACCAAGTCGAGCAGGTTGTGCATATCAACTGGGTGCAGCCAAGAGTTTTGGATTCTCAACAGGTTAATTTAAGGATTATTTAAGAATTACGACGATATAGGAATTGTTCTTATAAATTGTGAATTTAATTAAATTTCAGATCCTTCAAATGGCCTCCAGAATTGCTGCATGGCGAACGGATGTAATGTCGATGGAATCGGTAGTGAGCGCTCATGCTCAAGAAATTCTCACCCAAAACTAGAGTTTTACCGCTTTCTCCCCGGTTTCCCACTAAATATTGCACAATGTACGTGTATTCCCTTTTACACCCGATTTTTTGGCCGAATGAGAATATTTGTGTATTTATTATAACTATTATTTATTTATTGCGGATTTCGACATAAAATTGTATCTTTAAATAGTGTGTCAATGATTATTCAACATGTTCACACCATTATACATATTTCTACCAAATGGAATTGGAATTTAAAAAGGAAATTGCGGAATTGTTCAGAATGTCGAAAGGATCCGATATTGCGAATCAGGCGTTGAGTTTCATTGTTGATTTGAAGAAAAAACCACCAATGGTCCAAATGGGAGTTGGAGCTGGCGTAGGAACTGTTTCTGGATATTTGATGACAAAGGTGCGATTCTGATAATTGCTTTTTGATTGTAAAACAGTCACAGGGTGGTCGAATGGTGGCAGCGACTGTCGGAGCATCTTTTCTTCTTGCTCAATTTGCGATACACAAGGGATACATTACTGTGGATGAGACGAAAATCCAACGAGATCTGAAAAATTTGAAGAAATCCGTTTTAGAAAAGTTGGAAAAGTTCCTATTGTTCTTATTTTTGTTAATATTTTCAAATGTTTAGGAATAAATTCCTTCCCGATATGTCTGAATCATTCGTTTCTGAACATCGATGGATACTTGGAGGATTTGCCGCCGGAGTTTTAATCGGATTTAGTCTTGGATAATTTATTGATTTATTTAATTGTTTAGCATCGGATAGTCTCTTTGCATAATGTGTAAATACCATCTTATTTTATTTTCAAAATTAATAAAACTTAATTCTGTTTTGCTGGCTAAAATTCACGCGGAAGTTAAATTTTGTGCCAACGACACTCCGATGTACGCGCTGCACAAATGACCTCCGTTTAGTGGAAATAAAACGGATTCACTGTCCGTTTCGTCATTATGCCCAAAACGTCAATTTTAAATTCATTTTCATTTAAATTCTGTCATTTTTTCAGATAAATTTACGCAATGGGCGCTGGACAATCAACCACAAAAGTAATTTTTTAATATTTCATTTAGTTATGGATATTTTATGAATTTTTTAGGTTTCCGATGGAAGCTCAGAGGCGGAACGAATTCGAAAAGCGCAACATCATATGGCATCTGCTGGTAGTATATTGTGATTTGAATAATATATTTATTTATCTACATTAAGGATCTGAATGCCCAATGACTGCCGAGCAAAAAGCCGCTGCTGCTGGAGACGGCTGCGGTGGATGCCCAGTTGGTGCTGATAAATTGAATCCACTTAATAATGTAGAGATGCAAGAAAAATTAAATAATGTGAAGTGATTTTTTAGGAACTAGAACATCCAAACCAAAAACCAGCCCCTGATCAACCATTCCCACTTCCTACTGAGCGTCAAAAGTCGTCCATTCCGATAGCTGGAACTGAGAAAGATACATGGACCTATCCAAGCCCTCAAATGTTCTGGAATGCAATGTTGAAGTAATTTTATAATTATCGATATAATATGAAATCTTCAAATTACAGGAAGGGGTGGAGATGGCAAGACGACCAGCTTTCAGAAAAGGACATGAAAAATATAATTGCTATTCATAATGCGAATAATGAAGAGGCATGGAAAGAAGTTCTCAAATGGGAAAATCTCCTTCATCCGTATGTTTAATAGTCTTCTTATTAAAATGCAAATAGTTTTTGTTATTGGTTTATGTTTTAAAATTTCTTATTTAGGGAGTGTGCTGAGCCAAAGTTAAAAAGCTTCAAAGGAGACGCGAAGAATATCTCACCTCGGGCGCGTTTCCGCAAGCTTCTTGGCTATGATTTGCCATTCGATCGCCACGATTGGATCGTGGATCGGTGTGGAATGAAGACGGTTCAATACGTTATCGATTATTATGATGGTGGTGCAGTTGATCCATCATCCAAACTTTTCACTGTACTCGATGTGCGACCTGCGATGAATGATCTTGGAAATATTTGGGACAGAATGGTAAAAAAAATATTGATAGATGAAATCTTAAATAACCTTATTATAGGTTGTTGCTTATTGGCGCTTCAAATTCGATACTCTTGGACTTACACCTAATTTGCCGATTCCACCGACCGAAGGCCATAACGTGCAACATCATCAGTAATCCCTCATCTGCTCAAATGAATCTCTTTCCCCGTCTCCTACCTAATATGATTGTCCTTGTATGGGATTAAAACTGCGATAGTTAGCCTAGGTTTTCCCCCTCGTCTCAAAACCCTATAGAATAGTATCATTGTTTTTTTTTTGTTGCCCTCATAATTCATTTGTTTGCATGCGCTCCGTTTTCTAGACGTATGAAATTTCATATGAAATGGTTTTTTTTCGCGTTTTGTTGTGATTGGAGAGGAAATGATTACCTTTCGAATTTCTCTTGATTTCAACGTATTTTGCTTTTAATGCGTTTTCAGATGTGGCTTTTGGCTAGCTCAAAATTGTCAAGGTTTTCCAAAATTTCTGGAATTTCTACGTTTTATAAAGGAATTGGAAATGTGTGAGTATTTTGAAAACGAGAAATATTTTTAAAAATTTAAAAATTACAATTCTTCCGATCTTAATAACTTGATATTTTTGTTTTAGAAAGACGTCTTTTCGCCGCAATTTCGGCATTGCAATTCCGAATGATCAAAAATCGCGTCGTCAAATTGGAATTTGGCTTCTCGGATGCGCGGGAATGTGCTACGGAGCTGTTGCAATCGGCGGTGTCACACGACTAACCGAATCTGGGCTCAGCATGGTTAATTGGGATCTGTTCAAAACCATGAAGCCGCCCTTCTCAAATAAAGAATGGGAAGAGGAATTCGAGAAATACAAAGCTTATCCAGAATACAAATTGTAAAAAACATCATTTTTAAATGGAAAACGGTTGTTTTTTTCTTAGCAAGTCTTCGAGCCACGAAATGACCCTAAACGAGTTCAAATTCATCTGGTCCATGGAATATGGCCATCGGATGTGGGGCCGAGCAATTGGACTCGTCTTTTTGATTCCTTGCGCCTATTTCTGGCTTCGTGGTCGATTTGCGCCTGACATGAAACGTCGAATGGCGTTTGCGACAACTCTTTTGCTTGCACAAGTAGGAATCGATGGAAAAATTTAACTAGAAAGAAGATAAAAATTTTCAGGGTGGTGTTGGATGGTGGATGGTGAAATCGGGATTGGATCCGTCAAATAATTCGTCGGATGTGCCGAGAGTTTCACAGTATAGGTAGGTAGGGCAAAAAAAATGAAAATCAATGACAGCCGCCTTATCAGCGAGTGACCCCGTTTCCTTGAAATGTTCTTTGAACCCCATAAAACATTATTTGTTAAGAAAATATATTTTAAAAACACGAACACCTTACGCAGGGTTACGATTAGTTTAATTCGCAAGCAATCTTTTCCCAACGTTGAAATCGAAATTTGAATTATCGTCCTGAACACAAAAAATTCGATGGTCTACAATTACTGAAGGTGTTTGTTTTTTTTTGCCATGAACGAATATATATAAAATGTAATCATTCCCTGTCCTTTGGTATATTCTGTTTATAACCCAAATGCTAAAAATTCATTAAAATTATGCTCCTTCACATTAGTTTTGCTAAATTAAGCAAATCAATTTCCCAAAGTTGTTTTCCATACGACGGAAATTCCAATTATAAATGACACATCAAATACATCCGTCCTTAACAAAAATGGAAACAAGAATTTTCATTTTTCACTAAATAATTGATAAATGCCCAAAAATACGGATTGATTTTTTTTTCAGACTGGCTACACATCTTACTCTCGCTTTCCTTTTGTATTCAGTATTCTTCTGGAATGGACTGACTCATTTGTTGAAACCCCATGATGTTTGTGCCTCGCGCTCACTTTTAACTTCAAAATGTCAATTTGCAGCTCACTAGCGTCCGATCTAAATTGGGGGCCGTTCGCGGCATGACCCATTTCTCGAAACTCATGGTGTTCTCGACTGCGATCATGGGCGCTTTCGTTGCTGGACTCGACGCGGGACTTGTATACAACTCATGGCCGAAGTTTGCTGATTCATGGATTCCCGAGAATATGCTCAGCCGATCACCGACGTGGAAGAACTTCTTCGAAAATGACGTCACTGTTCAATTTATTCACAGAAATTTGGTTGGTTTTTGAGATATTTTCAGTCTCAAAATGATATTTTCAGGCTTATTTGACAATTATCAGCATAGCAACAACATTTATAATTGGAAGACGAGCGCTGATACCGAAACGAACCAGAATCGCACTGAATTTGTCGGTGGCCGCCGTATTCGGACAAGCAGCTCTTGGAATTTTCACTTTGGTGAATAATTAAAATATTCTAAATTTTTTAAAACAATTTTATTTCAGATCAACTATGTACCGACGTGGTTAGCAGCCTGCCATCAGTCGGGTTCAATGGCCCTTCTCTCAAGCATTCTTTGGCTCAGTCATGAGCTTAGAAAACTTCCGAAATAAGCTTTTCTATTGTTAGTTATTAGACCCATTGTTATTGTTTTCATATTATTTATTAAAAAGTTAGAATGCAAATGTGATTTTTTTCTTTTTTTGATTTCCACGACCTCCGTCTAGAGCATAGATTTGCTTGAGAGTTTTCTGATACGTTGGATTGTTTGCGTCAGCGGTTGCGAAGGTGTCAAGCTGCTTTCGCACCACCGATTGCGAACCGTTTTTGAATAGACGGATCATTAAATCACTGCCAATGGAGCGCACTTGCTGATCGGAATGGCGAATGCATTTGGCGGCAAAATTGGCGACATTGATGTCGGATAAGTTACTGAAAAGAAGTGTAATCGATATTAGATATTTCTACTTGGAATTTTACATTTTGTCGTTGGGAATATCATAGATTCCGGCGATCAAGTTTAGCAGAATTGCTCGTCCCTTTAAATTTTTTGATTTCGATCCGATGAGGTCTCGAGCATATGAACGAGCCGACGATTCGGATTTCGAGCAAACACTTCGAAATGCCGCTTGTGTGTCGCTCACGGTGCGCTTATCCTGAAGATGATTAGAATCATTTACAAAAAAAAGATTTTCTAACATTGGAAATCACTTTCGATGCTAGAACATTGTGTGTTTCAGCAGTGATTCTTGGCAGCAATTTTGAGAGATTCTGTTCGGGAGCCCAAACTGTGCAAACGTGATGCCATAGATTCAAGGCATCTCGGTAGACCTGAATAAATCTCAAATGATTTGAAAAAAGGGATAATTGACGTTATAAAGAGGCTCTCGGAGCATATGAGCCAGAAGACAATTGATACTTTCGAAATATGAGAACGACTTATTCGGTGATAGACTGTTTAATGTTTCCTCAATCTCCGAAATCGCTTCTTTTCGATTTTCAAAGTGTTTCGAATAGAGTTTTGCGATCTGAATTGAAAATTGAAGAATCCTAAAATCAATCGATAAAATACCGTCTCCAATCCAAATATTGAGATCGCCGATCTGACATTCGCCAAATTGTCAGGCGAAATTCCTGCGAGGATCTGATCTTCGGTTAAATGATCCACGGATCGATTGACACTTGAGAATCCTTCCGGCTGGATTGAAGCGGATCGCTGTCGACTCAATGCTGCCGGAACAATCATATTCTCCTTTTCGAGAAATTTGTTGGTCGTTCTTCTGAATCCATCACCGCTCGAGCTTCGACCTAAAACTCGAGACCTGCGCTACTTCATTCTTAAACTGAACCAACGCAGAATTTTTGAGGTTGTCGATGAGGCAGTTGAAATGTTTCTTCTCGAATCGCTCGATTTCATCCGATTCGATCCAACAGAACTCGTCGTTTGCGGACGCGAAATCGGAATTTCCCACGCTTTTGCCTTTGGACTTTTTGGGGGTTTCGGAGATGGTACGAACGTGTGCGACGGATCTGCGGGCACTTCGGTTGGTGATAGTTCTATGGGATGAGATTGCATTGAAATCGACGAACTCAATTCATACCGACAGGCTCATAGAGTTTGGGCTTTGATATTGGAGTTTCACTTTTCTCACCGAACAAATTTTTCGGTCGATGAACTTGCTCGTATCTCGGCTAAATCAAATTTGATGATATTTATTCTGCTAATAATTCCGTTACCGCAGTATTATTCAGAAGGACTGGATCAATTGAAGCAAGTATATTTGCTCTCAAAGTATTCAATTCGTCTGAAAATTTTCAGCTAAAACCCGAATCATGTGGAACTAAATGAAACCTTGTAAATCATTCGCTCTTTGATAATCCTCGTCATTTATTGCGGATATTTTGTCGTTTTCAAGTTCTTCGACTTCTTTCAGATTTCTTCGAAGTTGTCGAACGGCGAGTTGTGCAGATTTTGCCGATTTGAAGTCTTCATTCTGTTGCAATTTCAATGCCTATATAAGGTTTTATTAGAATAATTCAATTACCGCCACAGCTTTTTGCTTATTTGCCTCAATCCCATCAATAATTGCGCTCAATTCTTTTGAATACTTCCGATCAGGTATGTTGTTCGGAATCGGATTATTGTCGAGCTCATCCGGAATCGGCAAATATTTTCCGAAGAGCTTCAACTCCACAATTCCAACTTTTGACTCCAGATTATTGACGACGTCCGTATATGGTTCGTAGATTCTCAGAAGCAATTTCGAGCATTTCTCATCGAGAAATATGTTTTTGAGCTCAAACTTTTTCGCAACAGAACCGCGATTTTTGAAGATCACTTCTCTAAAAAAAAAATGAGAAAAAATAATTTATTTTTGTTTTGCGTTCGATTTGAAACGAATACCCAATATAATTTTCAGTGTCATTTTGAAACGAGTAAATCCCGATTTTTTTGGCTGAAAAAAAATTTCGAAAAAAAAAAACCGATTTTTCTTGAAACCCACGAATATAGAAATTATGGGCGACGATTTCAATCTTCTCGACTTCGGCAATCTTTTTCAATTCGATTTCCATATCGATTGGAAACTCCTCATCTCTGAAATTATTAATTCGTTTACAAATTTCGAAAAAAAAAAAAAATGCTAAAACTTGTTTTTTTTTTCAGAAATCTCTATTTGATTTTTAAAAAATTAGTGGTTTTTTTTTTCGAAATCTGCATGATATCACAATACTTTTCTTTATAATCCACTTTCGATCCATGCTTTCATCATATTTTTGTCTAATTTTCAAGATTGAATGAAGAGAAATTTATTTCAAAATTTCCGAATTTAAAAAGTTGCTTTGATAAACTATGCTTTATATATATTTAATGTGAAACAAATAATGCACGGGTTTTCTCAATTTTTTCAATTAAATAAAAACACTCACTTTTCTGAAATCCATTCATTTTTCACAAGCAATTGAGCATCGTTTATTTCGATTCCTTGAATTCGACTAACAGTATATTCAATAGTCATAGCAGCAAGAGCAAAAATGTCGCAAAAAAAGAAGGAAGAATCCAAAAAATGGTCGAGACATCCGAGTTGCCAAGCAACTATGTATTTATGGGACAAAAGAGAAGCACCGTTATATATACATACATAAAACGACAAATAATTAGCATAGTTAATTATCGGCGAAAAGGCGAGAAAGATGCACGCGTCAACTTCGACAATCAACTAAATTAAATTGAAAAAAATTATTAATATATCAATAAATATTTGAAATGAGCAATTAATTAATATCGATATCCAGCGTCTTGATTCTGCTGCTCTGGTGGGCTGATCGTGCGATGGAATGATTCGGTCGTGGTGGTGACCTCGTATTGGCGGTCGCGGTTTCGCCGGTGTCGCATTGTGCCGTCGGGTTGCTGACGCTCAACATCTTCTTCATAAACACTGAAAACACACAATATGTTCAACCAACATCTGCGGACATTCACAAGAAACCCCGCGAAACGTCGGGAAATAAGAATAGTGAAATCAAATAAATGAAAATTGCGAAAGTCATAAGAAAACTAGTACTTTTAGTAGATCAAAAATGACACAAATCGGAACACTTACACGTATTCTTCTTTGACGGACGGCGCCTGAACGCGCGGTAATCGGAACCAGCTGAAGAAGGGCGAAACGCGTTCTTCGGGAATTATCGGCGTTCGTTCGATGGTCACATGATAGATTTCTTGGAAGCAAAGAACGCAATGACACTGGAAATTTTTGGATGAATTAAGAAAAAAAAACATTTTTACCAAGAACCAGGCCATTCCGATTCCGATGATCCATGCCACCCATATATCGCGCCAATGATTTTTATAACTAAAATATTTGAAAAAATGAAATCAATCAATTCGATAATCAAATGTATACCCATTAATTCTCGAAAATGAATCGACGATGCACAATCCCATGAATCCGAAGATGAGAAGCGGGCGAAGCAATGGAGCACCGCGCAAGTTGATCATATAGTAAATGTACAACTGAAAATTGTAGAATTATGAATTCGATCGAACTTATTATGGGCTTACTGATGCGAAACAGCAGGCGAATGATGAGACGACAGCGTGGAGAGACGGAAAACTGAGCCAAGCGTATCGGAGCTCATCGGCGCCTCTGTAATTGCAGGCCAAGTGAGGCGATGGCGACGGCGAATGTTCTAATGGGGCTGTGCACGCCGATATCGAGACATTGCACAATGAGAGAAAGTAGGGCCGCTGGTATCCGGTCATCAATTTGATGGTGTCAACGAAGATCTGGACGATGAGGAGACCGGCGAGGTAAACGACTGAAACACAAAACTTGGCATCAAATGCGTTTGAATATAATTTTGTATATAACAGATTTGTCTGCGGACATTTCACAGTTTAGGAAACTTACTCAAAAATCGGAAAAGTCTTCTGGTGAACAAATGAACCGGGCATTCTCCGCAATTCGCGTAGACGATTTTACGTGGTTTCGTCGAGAACAACCAAAACATCACCTCGCCAATGAGAATCTGACATAATTCACGGTTTTACGGGATGTTTCAGCCATTGAAAATTACCACAAGCGGTGGAATTGTGAAAGCCAATGTGTACAACAGTGGATAGGACACGTATACGTTGAAATCTTCGGGAACGAAATTTGGCTTATACAAATGGACATCTCGGCAGTAGAATACTCGATGATGATAGGGAAAGACAGTGGTGAATCTTCAAAATCCTTTCTTCAATTATTTCATTAACTTATTTTGAGTCAGCCTCAGCGATAAGGACTATAATTGCTCACAGTCAGTCACACAAACATTTGGTATTTTGGGTAATCATCGGCTGCAGAGAAAGACGGGCAATGGCGGAGGGCAATGCCACACTGCCACCGACACTTTACGGGTTTCGCCGCACTCTATGTTTTGCGTGCTGGAGACTCCACCCACTTGCACTTTCTCTATTTTTTCGATTTGTTTTTCAGTTTTTTTCTCATTTTTGAATGAAACAGCTCATACAACAAAAATGACATCTATTACAATATATTTTTGCAACCATTTTTTTGCTGAGCCCTATTGCCGGTGCTTCACTAAGCAATCATTCCGTTGTACACCGAATGCTCATCTCCTAAAAATAGTAACAAACGCGGCGAAAAGCTCGAAAAATGTGCAATGCTGCGGGCGGGCAGACGGTCAAGTAAATCATTTTCTTGTCGTCCGTATTTGTTTAGCCGCTGGCCGCTGGCCGCTGGCCGCTGCGCATGCTTGTACTCGACAAACACTGACCACAAATCTGTCACTTAACCTATCAAAAGTGGGACTTTCGATTATTGGTATAAAACCGACCTCAAGTAGTACCATAAAGCTGCAAGACACGCAAGACCAACGACGTGAAGAACCGCCGATGGGAATATGAAATAGTTGATGTAAGAGCGAGGACGGGGTGGGACCACTGTTGTCACACCACCATACTGGCTGGCTGAGAATACCTGAAATAATGTGTTTGGAACCGAACAATTAATAAAAAAAAAAACAAAAAAAATAAAATAGAATGATCCAAAATGTTAATTTTTTTATGACTAAAATATGATTATTTCCTTGGTCACAAAAAAAACCAAAAAAGGGAAAACGATATTCAAACAAAAAAATGAAACCATGGGCAAATGAGAATATTCAATAGATAAAAAACCAACCTCAGATTGCGCCCGAGAGGGCGGCACTGACATTTCGTTGGGCGCCGGAATTTTTGGGTGTTGTTGGAATGGATGACGCCTTCTAAAATCGAATTCGAATCAATCAATAAAAGGAAGTAAATCAAGAAGGAACATAAAGAATCGAGGAAAAAGGATGAAGCTCAAACATTCGCAAACTGCTTTTTGCGGCGTGCGAGCGGGGCGAGCCCGGCGCGCGGATGCTCCGCGCGGCTCGCTCGCCCACTGGTACACCTGTGTCGGCGTCTCATCGTCTCGCACGCTCTCTCGTCGACTTGCAACGCAAATACGTCGCCTGGCAAGGTTTTCGAGCAAACTTGACGAATTATTGAGGCACCATCGAATTGAGGTCTTTCTCGCGATCAGTCGAGTATCTTTTTTTTTCTACTCTCAAAATGAGGTTGGCAGTACACACACACACACACACGAAAGTGAGCTTTGACGGGATCTCTTCACACCTTACCGGTTCGTGATAGCCGCAAAAAAACTGTAAGACGACACTTGATGGTTCGAATACTATTTACCCAATTTTTTTTACATGATCGTTTGTGCTCTAATTGCGAATGGACAAATTTGGCTGTCATTGTTCGAACATTTCAATTGCCGAAAATGGTCTCGTATAGAAAAACTCTTGTTAGGAGCCATCTTGGGATTGTCTAACCAGCATAATGGAAATGAGCATGGTTAGAATACGATGCTGTTTTGTTTTTCGGGACCAAGTCAAGTCAAAATATCAAATGGGTCCCCTATATATTGTCAATTTGAAAAAAATTCACATTAATTTCTTGGCGTGAAATCACCAATTTTAGCCCCTTTCATTAAATTGTAGTTTTTTTAAACTCAGCCTATAGCGGTGAGCAAATTGCGTAGGTAGATCAATTTTTTTGGCCTAGTCCGTTTTTCCCTGGCAAATAAAAACCAATCGAATCCGAGTATTTTCCAATCTTATCCGCCGAACTACCAATCAGATAAGGATGATTTCGGAGCCGAGTTTCGTCGGATTCGATTGATTTTGACTACCAAAGTTGATATTAACAAAGAAAAGAAGAAGAAGAAAGAGATTATCAATATGATTAAAAATTTCTGAAATCCATTCGTCTTTAAAACAAACAAAAACTCAAACAGATTCTGTTTACAAAAGGTGTGGATGTTTACTGGATTTTTTGATGTCGATTAGTCATCGAAAAAATTTCAAGTTTTCGTCATCTACGTGCATTTGCGAAATTATGTATAAACGACTAACGAAGGCAAACGATTGTGAACTGTACGTAGAGCAACAATTGGCAACATGAAGAACGAAGAAAAGAAACAAAAAGGTCGCCGAGCTCGCGCCAGTGACGCGGCCAACCAACTAGACTTCTTCTTCTTCTCTAAGTGGGCGTCTGTTCGCGCCGGGTTCCGGACAGGATTATTGAATGTTTGTTCATGCATAGTTATAATAATACATAATAATACAATATATATAATTATAATAATATTAAGTGAAGATGGAAAGCCACAATGGAAACAGTATCATCGGCAACAGCATGATAACACCGGTAAAGACAAGAATGGGAGGGATGTGATACATAAAAGGAATGGACGAAGCGTTGAGAAGGGCGGGAATAGGGGGGCTAGCGCAATTCTACTCGTTTTCGATGAGCAATTAAACAAAACAAAGACGACTATGTTGATAATAATGATAGTCGATGACCTGAATTTGGAAAAAAAAACAGAACAATGAAATAAAATGAAGTGAAAAAAACAATTAATCTAGGATTGAGCACATTTGACGCATTCCAGACTGATCGGCAGAAGCGAATCATGAATCTGTGTGGCGACTTCTTGAGGACAAGTGTCCTCGGCAAAAGCGTCTTTCGTCATTGAGCACTGAAAATGATACAGATGATCTTACGTTTCTTTTTGCTTGCACGGTTGACTCACAATCTTCGTGTTTGTTTCGTATTTCGCCAAGGTGCAGCCGATGTCCGCGCAAAGTTCCGCGCATTTTTGAATGCTCTCCGCCGTCTCGTGTACTTTGAGCGCCGGCATCGCTCGCGTTGGCGTCACTGGTCGAATGTTATAAGTGCATTCTGGAAAAAAAAACCGGATGAAAAACAATTTATTAATTGATGCGCCTACCTGTGCATTGAATGCAAGAAATAACAAACGGATGAATGGCGGCGTGTTGTGGCACAAAATCTGCCATATTTCCACAAACAAGATCGTCGGAAGTCAACAAGCAGACTCCCTGAGCAATGGTACCTGATGGAGAAGGAATGAATCCAGCAGTCTTGCAGTGCTCCTAGAATTTCGCTTTCAAATTTCTTGTAACATGAAATGGACTTACTGATTCAAAGCATTTTCTCGCACAATCCGCTGGAGACGAAGCCGGAACATCATTGGTGATATTCAATTTTGGAAGGCTGGCCACTGGGATCACTTGGAATTCGACACGACCGTTGCATTTTGGAGTGGTTCCTAAAAATGCGAATTCTGCAGTTGGTCGTCAAGTGACTGCGTACAAGATACATACAGTAACGATTCAAGATAATAATTTTTGTTAGGAAAATTTAGTTTTTGGATTTTCGCATTACGTTACGTGATATTATTATTATTACTATTATTCACATTAAAAATTTCAAAATGAATACCTTGTGGTTTATGGACATTTTCTGAAACTTGAGCTTCATCGACTGAGAAAGAGGTAATGTCATGGGAATTGTCAGGAAGCGCTGAAAATTACCAAGTTTTGTTCGGAATTTTTAAACGAAAGCAACCAATTGAATGTTTAACTTCTAAAACTAGCAGTTATTTGAATTGTTATTCAAAATAATTAGTCATTGTTAGATCATTCATGTTAATTACCACATGATACACAATCGATAGCGACAACTTGATTGATTTTCGTGAATTTCCACGTGTTGTTCTGCTCGATTTCCGAGCAGTTCGCTTCCATGTGTTGCGTTTTTTCGTCCGCATAATGCATGAGACAAACAGGACGCGGGAATCGCGTGAAAGCAGCTCTCGAACACGACGTCTCGTAGCACATTCGCGCGCAATGCTCCAACGAGAACGCGACGGCATCACGTTCAAAGTGTTGACTCAAATCGGTGAGTTCGGAAGCATGGAATCGGACAAGTCCAGTGGTACATTCTAAAAATTTTGTCACGGGTTAACTAACGGTTAGACTAGTTAATTGGATTAGACAAACCATGTTTGGGTAAGAGCTCAGGTGGTAGTAGTCTTTGAATCGGACCTGTAAGTCGACCACACATGATTAATATTCAGTAGAAGAGATTGGAGCAAATTTTTTTTGAGTATTTCCCAGACAAGTTAGTTGAGACACGTCAAACTTCACCACAATATTATTACGATTGAAAATCACATTCAAATATTCGGACTCGAATTAATATTGTTTAGTTGAATTTATTGGTTCAAGGGATAATGACTCACCAAGCTTCTTGTTGATCATGTCTTGTGCAGCTTGTGGAGCTGGCTTTCTTGGTCTACCTAAAACGAAATCGAGGCCACCTGCAGCCAAGGCATCGATCAGATCTTTCACGAGTTGCACTGGCGGCTCAGTGGTCGTCGACAATTGAGCTGTAGTGGTTGTCGTAGATTCAGAAGAGGTTGTCGTAGTCGTTGACGCCTCAGTACTTGTCTTCGACACCAAATCCTCGTAATCATTTTCAGTGGATGTTCCATCAGTATCTTCATCGTCTTCAGAAGATTTTGACTTCTCGGTAGGCTCCGAAGGCGGTACGAATCCGACGTTGTTTGGAAGATCCTCGCGGTGAGTATCGGTGATGAGACTCTGTAAGTTGAATGTGATTCAGCTGAAATTGAAAAATCCTACCTTGTTGAACATAGACTCGTCGATTCCGCTCAAGAATTCATTGGCATTCTCGTCATTCGTGTCATCGTCATCGTCTTCATCGCTTGATGTCGGCTTCACAGTTGACGATCCTTCAGTGACGAAGCTTGAAGGCTCAGTCGTTCCTTGTATTTCTTCCGCCGATGCTTCCGTTGTAGTTGATTCTTCAGATTCGCCAAGTTTAACTCCGGATTGGTCGGCAATCTTTGCAAGATCTGCAGCGAACTGTTTGCCGAGCTCTTTGGCGAGTTTGATGTCGTCATCCTCTTTCTCAGTTCCTTTCAAGTCTTCTGAAGAGAATGATGATTTCGTCGATGTCTCGTCGGCTTGTTTGCCGGTCGAAGCGGCATCATGGCTTCCAACAGTCTTCTTCTCGAATGATTCTTCCTCGTTGCTCGCCGGAGTCGTCGCTTCCGTTGAAAGTTCGTGAGGCTCGAAGTGTGGTTTCGGTGTAATGACTGGAATGTCGGGGGTTGATGCTTCTTCAGACTTTGGAATATCAATTTCCTCTCCAAGATGATCGTCTTCCGATTTTTCAACAGATGGTGTAGAAGCTTCAGATTCTTGTGTAGAAGCATCGCCGTCAGAAGTGCCGGTGACAAAGGCTGGGGCTTCAGTAGAAGACGTGTCTTTTTCTTGATTCTTATCTTCAGACTTCTCATCTCCAGCTTCTTCCGTAGTCTTTGGTTGAACTGAAGCAGCAGCTTCTTCTCCTGAGCCTTCAGTTGTGGTTTCTTCTTCATCCGTTTTAGTCGTCGTCGCTTCCTCTCCAGCAACTGTGGTAGATTCCGAACTTTCATCCCCTTTAGTCGTTGATTCGGCTGAATCATCTCCGGATCCTTCAATCGTAGACTCTTTGGAGTTCGCAACTGTCGTTGATTCTTGTCCAGCATCTGTGGCCGGTTCGTCGCCATTCTTCGTTGTCGCTTCAACAGCTCCATCTTCAGAGGATTCCACTTTTTTAACAGCTTCCTCGGTCGTCGTATCAGCCTCCTTTGTGGTAGTTTCTTCTTCGCCAGTAATAAATGCTGGAGGCTCTTTAGTCGTGGTCAGCTTCTCGCTCGTGGTTGTGCTGCCTACATCAGAAAGGGGGGTCGTCAGTTCTTCTCCAGATCCTTCATTGGAATCGGCGGCCGCAGTGGTGGTTCCTTCGTTGTCATTGACTTGAGCAACAACTGGCACAAATGTTGACTTTTCTCGAGCTTCAGTTGTTTCCGATTCTCCGGATCCTTCAGTAGTTGCTTCACTTACAGCTGCCGAAGTGGTTGATTCATCGCTACCATCGCCAGTAACGAATGCTGGTCCTTCAGTTGTAGACTCGGTCTCCTCAGAGGATGAAGTTGTCGAGGACTCATCTGGATTCGACACAGTTGTGGATTCATTGCTTGGAACTGTCGTAGATTCTTCGGAAGTAGATTCTTTGGAAGCAACCGTAGTTTCAGAAGTCGTTTCTTTCTGAGTATCATCGTCTTCAGAGTTTTGAACTGGTTCAACATTCTTCGTCACTGCTTCTTCACCAGAACCCTCAGCCTCCGTAGTCGATTCTTCTGGAATGGCTGTTGTTGAAGATTCTTTTCCCGATCCTTCTGATGCATCCTCTGATTTCCCCGTGGTTGATTCTTCGGATGAATTTGTCGAGACTTCCTGAGTAGCTTCAGAAGACAATGTGGTTGCTTCCTCACCATCTTGAGTAGTTGTCGATTCTTCAGAGGTAGATATCGTAGTAGCTTCCTCACCAGACGACTCCGTTGAAGACTGGTTCTCATCTTCCGATTTTTCGACTGGCGAAACATTCTTTGTCACAGCTTCTTCTACAACACCTTCTGAAGATGTTGTTGCTTCAGAGTTGTCGTTTGAAGATGTCGTTGTTGATTCTTCGCTTCCGTCACCGGTAACGAACGCTGGTCCTTCGGTAGTTGATTCGGTTTCTTCCGTTGGGTTGGTTGTGGTAGTTGATTCTTCTCCAGATGCTTGAGAACTTGTAGTCGATTCAGATAGTGCGGATAAAGTTGTGACTTCCTCACCGGATCCTTCTGAAGAAGTTCCTTCAGTAGTAGCCTGGGCTTCATCAGTGACCTTCTCATCTTCCGACTTTTCGACTGGAACAACGTTCTTCGTCACAGCTTCTTCTCCTGAACTTTCTGAAGTAGTTGTCTCATCAGAAGCCGCAGCAGTTGTTGACTCTTCAATGATTCCTTCAGCAGTAGCTTTAGTTTCATCTGAAGCAGATGTTGTAGCTTCTTCTCCAGACCCTTCAGATGTAGAATGTTCGGATAAAGATGTCGTTGTTGATTCTTCTCCAGATCCTTCAGTTGGAGCTGCAGTCTCTGAGTCTCCAGATTTTGTGGTAGAAGATTCTTCTGTTGGCGTTGTTGTCGCTTCTTCAGGAGAGGCAGCTGTCGTAGATTCTTCTTCAGAAGACTTTATTGTGGTAGCATCTTCGGAGGATGCCGTAGTTGTTTCTTGTTCTCCGGATGATTCAGTAGTAGCTTGAGCTTCATCAGTCACTTTCTCATCTTCAGACTTTTCTACTGGTACGACGTTCTTGGTAACAGCTTCTTCGCCCGATCCTTCAGATGAAACATCGGTAGTTGTCGATTCTTTCGATGAAGCTTCACTTGTTCCTTCTTCTCCTGAACTTTCTGACGAAGTTGTGGTTTCTGTAGCATCAGAAGATGCAGTTGAAGGAGCATCTGCCGAAGTCGTTGTTTCTTGTTCTCCAGAGGATTCTGTTGTGGTGTCAGCCAGAGACGATGCTGTTGATGATTCAGTAGACACTGTTGTCGCTTGAGCTTCATCTGTTACTTTCTCATCTTCCGACTTTTCGACTGGAACGACATTTTTCGTCACTGCTTCTTCTCCAGATCCCTCGGAAGTTGTCGAAGTGATTTCTGTTGAAGTCGTCGTTGTTGATTCTTCCCCAGAGCCTTCAGAAGTGCTTGTTGTTGCTTCTGACGCAATAGCAACAGTTGTCTCATCAACTGATGCCGATGTTGAGGCTTCATCTCCAGATGCTTCGGATTCAGTCGTAGTCTCTTCAGATGATGTCGAAGTATTAGACCCTTCAGCTATTTGTGTTGTAGTATCAACAAAGGAAGCAACAGTCGTCGATTCTTCTCCGGATGACTCCGTTACAGTTTGTGAAGTAGTTGTTTCTTGTTCTCCGGATGATTCAGTAGTAGTTTGAGCTTCATCAGTCACTTTCTCATCTTCAGACTTTTCCACAGGTACGACGTTCTCCGTAACAGCTTCCTCTCCTGAGCCTTCGTCTGCTGCAGCGGTCGTGGTAGTCTCGTCAGATGAAGAACCTGTTGTGGATTCTTCTGCTTGGGTGCTAACGATCTCTTCAGTAGCAGTAGTTTCTTCTGAAGGCGAAGTTGTAGAATGTTCTCCAGATGCTTCTGCAGCAGAGGAAACAGTTGTTGATTCTTCTCCTGATGCTTCTGTAGCTGCAGTTGTTTCTTGCTCTCCGGACGACTCAGTAGTAGCCTGTGCTTCATCAGTGACCTTCTCATCCTCCGACTTCTCAACAGGAACAACGCTTTTTGTAACGGCTTCCTCCACAGGTGTTGAAGATTCTTCAGAAGAAGTTGTTGCTTCTTCTCCAGATCCTTCGGATTCAACTTTGGAAGTCGTTGTCGTTTCAGACGCAGCGGTTTCTTGTTCACCTGATGATTCAACCGATGTTGAAGATGTTACGTGTTCTCCAGATCCTTCTGTTGTAGATGCCGTTACTTCAGACGCCGACGAAGTAGTCGATTCTTTTTCAGACGAAGCAGTTGTTGTTTTATCAGAGACAGTAGTGCTTGATTCGTGCTCTCCAGATGACTCAGTTACCGTTTCATCTTCAGATTTTTCTACTGGAACCACGTTTTCCGTAGAAGATTCTTCTCCAGATCCTTCTGATGTGGCAGTAGTTTCAATTGACGACGTGGTAGTAGATTCTTCTCCAGATGATTCAACTGAAGTTGTTGAAGAGGTTACAGATTCACCAGCCGATGCAGATGTTGAGGCTACCTCTCCAGATGTTTCGGATTCAGTCGTAGTCTCTTCAGATGATGTGGTAGAAGATTCTTCTGTTGGCGTTGTTGTCGCTTCTTCTGATTTAGTTTCATCTGAAGCAGATGTTGTAGCTTCTTCTCCAGACCCTTCAGATGTAGAATGTTCGGATAAAGATGTCGTTGTTGATTCTTCTCCAGATCCTTCAGATGGAGCTGCAGTCTCTGAGTCTCCAGATTTTGTGGTAGAAGATTCTTCTGTTGGCGTTGTTGTCGCTTCTTCAGAAGAGGCAGCTGTCGTAGATTCTTCTTCAGAAGACTTTACTGTGGTAGCATCTTCGGAGGATGCCGTAGTTGTTTCTTGTTCTCCGGATGATTCAGTAGTAGTTTGAGCTTCATCAGTCACTTTCTCATCTTCAGACTTTTCTACTGGTACGACGTTCTTGGTAACAGCTTCTTCTCCTGAGCCTTCGTCTGCTGCAGCGGTTGTGGTAGTTTCGTCAGATGAAGATTCCGTTGAAGAAATCGTAGAATCTTCTTCTCCTGATCCTTGGGATACGGATGAAGTTTCTTCAGTGGATCCAGATGTTGTAGTTTCATCTCCAGATTGCTCAGTTGATGATTCAGTAGTAGCGCCTTCTCCTGACGATTCAGATGATGCCGTTGTGGTCTCATTAGACGTGGTCGATTCTTCGTCGTGTGATTTAGTAGTTGCTTGATCTTCTGCCGAAACCTTGTCATCTTCCGACTTCTCAACAGGCACAACGTTCTTCGTCACCGATTCTTCTCCAGAACCTTCATCCGACGCGCTCGTGGCAGAGGAAGAAGTAGTTGAAGTTACTTCCTCAACCGAACTTTCAGATGTGGTTGCCGACTCTTCTGAGGTGGAAGAAGTTGTTGATCCTTCACCCGATCCTTCAGTTGCAGTAGTGATTGTTTCAGCAGCTTCTTTCGAGGCGGCAGTTGTTTCTTCTGACGCTGATGTCGTAACAGATTCTTCACCCGAAGATTCCGCAGAAGATGCTTGTTCGGACGAAGCTGTTGTTGTTTCTTGTTCTCCGGATGATTCAGTAGTAGTTTGAGCTTCATCAGTCACTTTCTCATCTTCAGACTTTTCTACTGGTACGACGTTCTTCGTAACAGCTTCTTCTCCTGAACCTTCTGAAACAGTTGTCTTATCAGAAACCGCAGCAGTTGTTGACTCTTCAATGGTTCCTTCAGCAGTAGCTTTAGTTTCATCTGAAGCAGATGTTGTAGCTTCTTCTCCAGACCCTTCAGATGTGGATTGTTCAGATGAAGATGTCGTTGTAGCTTCTTCTCCAGACCCTTCAGATGTGGAATGTTCGGATGAAGATGTAGTTGTTGATTCTTCTCCAGATCCTTCAGTTGGAGCTGCAGTCTCTGAGTCTCCAGATGTTGTGGTAGAAGATTCTTCTGTTGGCGTTGTTGTCGCTTCTTCAGAAGAGGAAGCTGTCGTAGATCCTTCTTCAGAAGACTTTATTGTAGTAGTATCTTCGGAAGATTCCGTAGTTGTTTCTTGTTCACCCGAGGATTCCGTTGTTGGCTTTCCATCCTCCGATTTTTCGACTGCTAAATCATTCTTTGTCACCGTTTCTTCTCCTGATCCTTCAGAAGATGTTGTTGCTTCTTCGGATATCGGGGCAGTAGTAGCTTCTTCTCCCGATGATTCGGAAGAAGGTGACGTTTCGATAGCAGATGTTGTTGTTTCATCTTCGTCAGAGGATTCAGTTGTTGGAGATGTTGTGGTGTTTTCTCCAGAAGCCTCAGTTACATGCTCATCCTCAGACTTTTCGACTGGCACGACGTTCTTCGTCACAGCTTTGTTTTCTTCTCCAGATCCTTCTTCAGAAGTTGTTGTTGTTTCAGATTCCGGTGATGCTGTAGTATTTTCGCCTGTTGTTGTTGATTCTTCGCCAGATCCTTTGTCTGAAATGGCGCTCGTTGTTGTTTCAGAAGCAGCGGAAGTCGATGTGTCTTCTCCAGAACCTTCTGGTGTGGAAGCGACAGTCGTCTCTTCAGATGCTGAAGACGTTGTCGTCTCTTCGCCAGAGGATTCCTCAGATGTGGTAGTAGCTTCCTGCTCCCCAGATGACGTCGTAGTTTCCTCTCCAGATGATTCCGTCGTCACATTCTCATCTTCCGACTTTTCGACTGTTTCTTGTTCACCCGCTGTAGTCGTCGTCTCTTCTCCAGATCCTTCCACTGAAGACATAGTCGTCACTTCGTTTGAAGTTGTAGATGATGTCGTCGACTCTTCTCCAGAGGATTCAGTTGTTGTAGTTGTAGCTATTTCATCACCGAGTCCTTCTTCTGAAGTGACAGTTGTAGTTTCCGTTGATGACGTGGTGGATTCCTCTCCAGAACTTTCCGTGCTGGTCGTTGTCGTGCTTTCTCCGGATCCTTCATCGGACGTAGTCGACGTTGTTGTTTCTTCACTTGCACCCGTGGTGGTAGTTTCTTCTCCAGATGATTCAGTCGTTACAGTATTCTCATCTTCCGACTTTTCGACTGGAACAACATTCTTCGTCACTGCTTCTTCTCCAGATCCCTCGGAAGTTGTCGTAGTGTCTTCTGTTGAAGCAGTTGTTGATTCTTCTCCAGATGATTCTGTAGCATTTGTTGTCGCTTCCTCAGAAGGCGTAGTTGGCTCTTCTCCTGACGACTCGTCTCCTGGCGTAGAAGATTCCGATGGGGTCGTTATCTTTTCTTCTGTAGATGGAGTAGTTGTGGATTCCTCTCCAGAAGCATCAGTTTCATCCGATGTAGTTTGCTCTGAGGGAGCAGAAGTTGTAGTGTCTTCTCCGGAATTTTCGGTAACGTGTTCATCTTCCGACTTCTCAACAGTCACTTTTTCTCCAGCGACAGTTGTCGTTTCTTCTCCTGAACCTTCAGTTGATGTAGTGGTTTCTTCAGAAGGCCGATTTGATGTTTCTTCTCCTGACGACTCTGCTACTGTAGTTGTTGACTCCTGATCTCCAGATGATTTCGATGTTGGCGTCGTTTCTTCAGAAACAGTCGTGTTTTCTTCACCAGATCCTTCGTCTGGTGAAATTGTGGTTGCTTCAGCAGCAGTTGTCGTCGTAGACTCTTCTCCAGAAGCATCGGTGACTTTTTCGTCTTCCGATTTTTCAACGGTCACCGATTCACCAGCTGATGGTGTAGTTGTGTCTTCTCCAGATCCTTCATCTGAAGCTTTAGTAGTAGTTTCTGACGATGTAGTCGTCACTTCTTCCCCAGATCCTTCTGTTGTTTTATCTTCAGTTCCCGATGGCTCGGACGTGGCAGCAGTCGTAGATTCCTCTCCAGAAGACTCCGAGGCGACAGTTGTTTTATCTTCCTCACCGGATGATTCGATTGCCGGAGTGGTAAATTGTTCTCCAGATTCTTTGGTTACGTTCTCATCTTCGGACTTTTCTAATGGAACAACATTCTTCGTTACAGATTCTTCTCCAGATCCCTCTGAAGTTGTTTTATCAGTTGATGGTTTTGTGGTTTCTTCTCCTGATGATTCCGATGTAGTAGATTCATCCTGTCTGGATGTAGTAGAATCAGTTGGTTCCGAAGCAACTGTTGTCTCTTCGCCAGTTGTTGTGGAAGTTGTCAATTCTTCTCCAGATGATTCCGACGCAGTCGTAGTTGATGCTTCTCCGGAGGCTTCAGTCACTACTTCATCTTCAGACTTCTGCACCGTCACGCTTTCCAAAGTTGTGGATTCTCCTTCACCTGATCCTTCTGGTGACGTGCCTTCTTCAGATGATGGAGTTGTCGATGATTCTTCTCCAGATGATTCAACCGACGTAGGAGTAGTAGTCGGAACTGTCACTTCTTCTCCGACAACCGTGGTGGTTGTATCATTTTCCATTCCCGATCCTTCATTACTTTCGACTGTTGTGGATTTTACTGAGTCAGACGACGTAGTCGATTCTTCTCCGGATCCCTCATCGGACGTAGTCGCCGTTGTTGTTTCTTCACTTGCACCCGTGGTGGTAGCTTCTTCTCCAGATGATTCAGTCGTTACAGTATTCTCATCTTCCGACTTCTCGACCGGAACAACATTCTTCGTCACTGCTTCTTCTCCAGATCCTTCGGAAGTTGTCGTAGTGTCTTCTGTTGAAGCGGTTGTTGATTCTTCTCCAGATGATTCTGTAGATTCCGTTGTGGTTTCATCTGCTGTCGCAGTTGGCTCTTCTCCTGACGACTCCGATCCTATTGTAGTTGTTTCTCCTCCAGATGGCGCTGTAGTAGACTCTTCTCCGGAAGCTTCGGAGACTTGAGCGTCTTCAGATTTTTCGACGGTAGCTTTTTCGCCGGATTGAGTCGTACTCTCTTCTCCTGATCCTAAATCGTTGTCGGAATTAGTCGTTGTTTCCTCAGATGTCGACGTTGCTGTAGTTTCTCCATCAGAAGGTTCCGTGGTAGCAGTTGCAGTCTCCTCCTCACCAGATGCTTCAGAAGTTGTTGCAGTGCTAACATTCTCTCCATTTTCGGTTTCGACAGTCGTCTTTTGTGCTTCTTCTCCAGACAATTCCGTGGCTACTGTTGTAGTTTCTTCACCCGAAGCCTCGGTAATCTTTTCGTCTTCAGACTTTTCAACGGTCACTGGTTCAACTGTTGTTGTTGTTGATTCTTCGCCGGATCCTTCGTCTGAAGTGGCGCTCGTTGTTGTTTCAGAAGCAGCGGACGTCGATGTGTCTTCTCCAGAACCTTCTGGTGTGGTGGCGATAGTCGTCTCTTCAAATGTTGAAGACGTTGTCGTCTCTTCGCCAGACGATTCCTCAGATGTGGTAGTAGCTTCCTGCTCCCCAGATGACGTCGTAGTTTCCTCTCCAGATGATTCCGTCGTCACATTCTCATCTTCCGACTTTTCGACCGTTGCTTGTTCACACACTGTAGTCGTCGCCTCCTCTCCAGATCCTTCCACTGAAAACGTAGTCGTCACTTCGTTTGAAGTTGTAGATGATGTCGTCGACTCTTCTCCAGAGGATTCAGTTGTTGTAGTTGTAGCTATTTCATCACCGAGTCCTTCTTCTGAAGTGACAGTTGTAGTTTCCGTTGATGACGTGGTGGATTCCTCTCCAGAACTTTCCGTGCTGGTCGTTGTCGTGCTTTCTCCGGATCCTTCATCGGACGTAGTCGACGTTGTTGTTTCTTCACTTGCACTCGTGGTGGTAGCTTCTTCTCCAGATGATTCAGTCGTTACAGTATTCTCATCTTCCGACTTTTCGACTGGAACAACATTCTTCGTCACTGCTTCTTCTCCAGATCCCTCGGAAGTTGTCGTAGTGTCTTCTGTTGAAGCAGTTGTTGATTCTTCTCCAGATGATTCTGTAGCATTTGTTGTCGCTTCCTCAGAAGGCGTAGTTGGCTCTTCTCCTGACGACTCGTCTCCTGGCGTAGAAGATTCCGATGGGGTCGTTATCTTTTCTTCTGTAGATGGAGTAGTTGTGGATTCCTCTCCAGAAGCATCAGTTTCATCCGATGTAGTTTGCTCTGAGGGAGCAGAAGTTGTAGTGTCTTCTCCGGAATTTTCGGTAACGTGTTCATCTTCCGACTTCTCAACAGTCACTTTTTCTCCAGCGACAGTTGTCGTTTCTTCTCCTGAACCTTCAGTTGATGTAGTGGTTTCTTCAGAAGGCCGATTTGATGTTTCTTCTCCTGACGACTCTGCTACTGTAGTTGTTGACTCCTGATCTCCAGATGATTTCGATGTTGGCGTCGTTTCTTCAGAAACAGTCGTGTTTTCTTCACCAGATCCTTCGTCTGGTGAAATTGTGGTTGCTTCAGCAGCAGTTGTCGTCGTAGACTCTTCTCCAGAAGCATCGGTGACTTTTTCGTCTTCCGATTTTTCAACGGTCACCGATTCACCAGCTGATGGTGTAGTTGTGTCTTCTCCAGATCCTTCATCTGAGGCTTTAGTAGTAGTTTCTGACGATGTAGTCGTCACTTCTTCCCCAGATCCTTCCGTTGTTTTATCTTCAGTTCCCGATGGCTCGGACGTGGCAACAGTCGTAGATTCCTCTCCAGAAGACTCCGAGGCGACAGTTGTTTTATCTTCCTCACCGGATGATTCTGGAACAGTCGTTGTAATATCGCCGTTTTCTCCAGATGCTTCTGTGACATTCTCATCAGCATTTTCAGCAATTTTCGTGTTCTTGACAGGAACTGAAAAATTAACGATATTCTGGGTTTTCACATAAGCAATAACTAACCGCACGACAAACAATGGATCCAAATCGTTTCAGGAGATTTGTTGACATTCACTAGTTTGACTTTGTTGCAGAATGGAGGATCCTCATAAGCCAACGAGCATTCTCCCTTATCCGGACTGTATCTGGCTGCGGTACATCCGTCTTGGTAGCAGCGATGAGCACAAATCTCGGCAGATGGAACCTTCAAAGTCAACTCGAATGGAGCTTCGAATTCCGACGGTCTCTCTTCAATTGGTTGAGCTTGGAAGTGAACAACGCATCCTTTGAGAAGACTCGAATCATCGTCATTTTCTTGTCCAATGGTTTTCGGAGTGGTTGGCGTCTCAATAGTCGCTGCTTCCGACGATTTGCTTGTGGTGGCGATGGTGGTGGTGGTAGTGACCTCGTCAGACGTTTCTTTCTCACCCCATGGATTTGTTGCAGGATGTTCTGTAGTAGTGGCGGCGGTCGTAATATCGCCATTGGATGGGACTTTTGGAAGGTCAGCAGTCAATGGAGCTTTAATGCGATCTGGAAAATGAACTGGTTCAATTGATAGTAAAAAAAACTACTTGACTTACAGCAATTAACACAATGAATCCACGTAACTTCCTTGGCCATATACTGAAGGAAGACGTCTCCTCTGGCACAGAAATGCTTCTCATCGTATGACAAACTGCAAGTGTTCCACACAGGATCATATCTGGCTCCCGAGCATCCGTCTTGGTAGCATCTAGTGGCGCAAAGCTCCACAGAATCCACTTTGATCTCAACTTCGAATTTGGCTGATAACTCTTTTGGTCGTTCAGAAAGTGGTCGAGCTTGGAACTTGATCAAGCATCCTCTCTGGAAATCATCTGGAAGTTCTGTGGATGGCGTCGTTGATGTGGAAGAAGCAGCTGAAGAAGTGACCGCCGATTCAGGAGTGGTCGCTTTCGTTGATTCTGTGGCAGACGTGGTGGTAGTCTGTGTAGTAGCATCAGCTTGTGTGGAAGACTCCGAAAGCGATCCAGTGGAAAGTTTACCAGGAGCTGATGTGGTTGCGAGAGCTTCATCGATATCACTTGGCTTCACAGTATCTATAATAATGTATAATCCGAATCAAGCCTCAAAGTTTTTTGCTTACAGCAATTGACGCAATGAATCCAAGTGGCTTCCTTTGCTTCGTAATGAATGAAAACATTTCCGCGGGCGCAGAATTGCGGGTCGTCGTACGACAATGTGCAGGTGCCATCAGCCGGATCGAATCTTGCTCCCGAGCATCCATCCTGGTAGCATCTAGTAGCGCACAGCTCAATAGAGTCAACCGGAACGTCAAGCTCAAATTTCGCCTTGAAATTTTCTGGTCTCTGGCTTAATGGTCGAGCTTGGAACTTGATAACGCAATCTGAAAATAATTGTATTTTGTTGGAATCTCACAAACAGAGCTCACGTTTTCTTTGCGTGGTTTTCACTCCCGTCGTATCCTTGGCAAGTTCGACTTTTGTCGCCACCATCGGCTCGACATCTTTTGATTCCGAGATTTCCGTTTGTGGACCATCGGAAGTTTGAGTAGACTCATTCTTGGTTTCAGGTGTCAACGTGGATTCATCAAAGGGAGACGACGTCGTGATCAAGTCTCCAGCGGTTGTTGTTGTTTCTGTTGAAGCATCTGTTGGAGTTGGGGCTTCTGTAGAGATAGGCTCTGTAGATTCAGGAGCTTCAGTGGTGGTGGTGGTGGAAGTTTTCCGCCGTGGACCTGGACCTAAATGAAACAAACAGAAATGTGAATTTCAAGTCGGAGAAAACTGGAATAAAAAAATGGAACTCATGCAAAAAAAAACTGAGAGACTAACTGCATCGGAAACACTGCAAGACGACGTCTTCAGTGCCAGTGTATGCGAAAATATTGTCGCCGTCCGAGCACTTCTCGGTTCGCTCTTTTCCGAGTCGACATTCGCCGGTCGAAGGCGAATATAATGCCGTGGTGCAAAGCCCGACGAAACAGAAACGAGCGCATGCGTTCGCGCTGCAAAATAATGAAAAAAAAAGCGGTGCGAAATAATAGAAAAAAAAATCGTCGAACTAAACTATATATATATAACTAGTATAATATATAGTTAGACAACTACTCACTTCTTCACCGATTTCACCGTGTAGTGGTCATAGTTGGGATGCTTGTCGGTGGATTCGGCTTGGAAATTAATATAGCATGCTGCAAACCGAAAACTCATAACAAACACAAATAAAAAAAATGTGAAAATTGTGATAAATTTGGATGTCGGAAAATGTCCGCAGATCGAAAGTGGCAAATGCAAAAAGGCAACTAATCAATTTTCTTTCGTGTTTAATTCGAAACTTAACCCCACCAAATCACTCCCATGCAACAAAAAGTCTAGAAAAATATGAAAAATCTAAAAGCGAAGCGTTCACCTGGCATGAATGTACCTTTGTCGACACTTGGCGCGATTTTCGTAGTAGATTCTGTCGTCGTCGGCTGCTTCGTCGTCGTGGCTTCTGAAAATCAAGAATCCGTAATGGAATCGTGATTAGAATTGAGTTACGGTGCTACTCCGTGCTGTGTGTGCGTGTGTGGCTCTGTTACGTGCTTTACCTTTTTCGGTTCCGGTTGTCTCACACGTCACACATGTGATCTGAACCGTCTCGTTCGTCGAGATCGTCTCAATCAGATTCTCGTCGTGGCAATGATCCGAGTCGACAAGTCTCTCGGTGTCAACTGTATACTTGCACGTGTTGGTCTCCGGCGAATACAGTGCAAACTAGAATGAATGAGGCATTTCGGGGGTGTCGCTGCTCGTGTCGACGACATACACCGCATTGATAGGTGAAACAGCGTTCGGCGCAGTGTTCGGCGGAATCCGCGCGCGTCTCATTGATGAGAAGATCGACAGTCTCCCAATCGATGTTGCTCGACGCGCAGAAGCGAATTGTGGAAGCGCACGCACGAGCATCGACGAATCCCGTCCATTCGGTTGCCGTTTCTAACATGAGCAATTAGGTCTCGTCCGGAAAAACATTTTCTTTTTGACGATCCCCCCCCTCCCCGCAAAATGCGCTTTTTGTGAGTAGAAGCGAAGCATTCGGTTAAAATCATAAAACAGCATGCAGACACACGCAAAAAGTTCACGAACCGCTGCTGATGCTGCTTGTCGGTGTCGTATCCTCGACTCGAAGGTCAACAATCGCTGTCGAGTGTCCACTTGTCGCCTCTGTAAAATGGTGTTGGAATTCAAGGAATTCATATGATTTCTAGCTCAGCGCAAGGTCAAACTGTTAGCCTTTCGACTCGAAAGAACCCCAATAATCTAGCTAGAAGTTTCGAATTTACCAAGCTTTGAATGGATGTTGTGTTTGATATCATCGACTAATGGCTTCTCGATGAGCGTTTCTCCTCGTTGATCTTTCGCCGATATCGTCTGCTCGGTGAAGCTGGTGAACGGCGGCGCCGTCACAAAATCGCCGTTGTTCGGACACTTGAGACAATCGATGAACACACTTCCGCCGGTGTAGACGACGTCGTTCGCCGGCCGCAGCGTCTGCCCTGTGCAATTGTAGGCGGCGAAATAATAGAGCGAGCACTGGTCGGTTTTCGATTCGTCGTATTTCAGCGAATAGCAAAACTGTAACGAATCGTCTCGAATCGGATCATCGTCGAATTTTCGCGATATACCTGATTTCCGAAGCATTTCTCAATGCAATCGTGAATGTTTGGCGATTTGATCTCGACGAAAATGTATGGTGTCCGATCGGCTTCGGTGGTATTGACATACACGTATATACTTCCATCGCAAGCTGTAATCAAGAAGGCGTTATGTTCTGTTGGTGGTTCTAATGATCATTTATAATTTTTGATTGAATCGGGGAGCGAAGAAAGTTTGATGTAGACGTCGCTTAGAAGAATTTGGAACAAGATTAATTACATTTTCAATGCGATTTATCACTTGAAGCCATTTTACTGATTATTTGTGATAATTGCGTTGAACGCGAAGTAGATTCATCCAAGGGGTTCAATTATTCAAATCACCCGCCGTTTGATCTACCTCGACCTTCTACAATGCGAATTTCGAAACTTGCAAAATTCGACCTCGATCTCAAATAAAGATCGATATCGCGTTTCACGTGACTTCCACGGAGGACAAATTTTTGAAGAAAATGAAGATGAGAGAACAAAAGCCACTATGATTTGCAACTAGAGTCTTGACGCGAAAATAAACAATTATTACATGTAGTTGAATACGGTATTCTAACAGACGAGCAGTTCCCTGGAAAAGTGTTTCATTTTTTTTTTTTCTTCGAAAAAATGCCTCTCCTTGCATTCCTTCGAAATCACAACACTTGAAAAAAATCAGAAATCGGTCAGTTCATTCAGCAGAATTGGCTCAATTAAAATGGGTATTTCCCGCCGTTGATTCTTTCCCTCCATTCATCAAAAAAAAAACCCAAAACGTGAAGAGTTCAAATTCCCGACCCGATTTTCGTCTTCCTCTCCAAAATGCGTGCCAATGTCGAATCGTTTTACGGCTTACGCATCATCAACACAATAGCTTCTAACTATGCGATTTTCGGGAAAACAATTATCGGATTTGGTTGCGTTTTTTTTCTCTATTCTCCATGACCCCCTCCCGTATTTATGATATCACCTACTACGTGTGCGTCCTTTTTTTTTCGCCGCCGCGCTGATTTTGAAGGAAACGATAAAAACTAAATAGCTAACACAGTCGGTGCCCCCCCCCCATCTCAGTCAAACCAGTCCTTATCTGTTGCCAATCGACCGCCCCGAGGTGCGCGCGAGACACACCGAAATATTGATAAATTACCTATTATAGAAGATGTTGAAGCATTCTTAGGTTGACAAACAATAACGAGAGAAATTCTCGAGATACGCGCCGTTTTTGAAATCATCCAATGGAATAATTATCAATATAATCTAGCCAATGCAGAAGGCTGGAATCATCTGCGGACAATATCCGGGTTTCGACCCCCAATCGCCAACTTCGAAAAAAATTTATCAGATGCAGTGACCTTGTCGCAACTGAACTCAAATCAACATACATGTATGTATGCGTGTATGTTCAACCAAAAAAGGATCGGTGATGTGGGCGGGGGGCTTAAATGAGGCGTGCGTGCTGACAAAGAACATGAAAGGATTCGGCGCGAAACAAAAAAGGCGATAATGGCACAGATTCGGATATTCGGTTTGTACAGCAGTACTTGGTACGATTTCAAACTTCTTTGTTTTTTTTTTCTTATTTCCAACGGGGTCACAACTATTGAAAGTTTTGGTGATGCTGAATTGATCTTGCGTCGACTCACTGATTGTCTGCGGCAAATTCAACGGCTTCGCATCGCTGAGACTCGCTATGAATAGAAATGTGGATAATATGGCGATTAGATGTGAAGTTGTTGTTGTTGTTGTGGAGCTCGGCCACCACCTGGTCTTCATGTTGGGACCCGAAAATGGGCGATGCGTTCTGCTAGTCGTCTGAAATCGGATCGGCTCACCTCAATCTCAATATCGGCTCACCTCAATTCTCAATATTGTGCTGGGTGTTTCTGTTGGACTTTGAGCCCCCCGAGCTCCTCTCCGAGTTTCGTCGTTGAGTCCTGTCTGCAAGTCATCAAACAATTGACTCTTTAAATCTTCGCAAAGCGATTCGCGATAAGATGAGAACGAAAAAAAATAGACAATGATGGTCATCGAGAAAAAAAAAACACACACAGACGAAAATTGTTAAAGGTTCAGGGTCATAAGTGCACCCGACCGACCGGTTATCGACTCGGGAGAGGAAGTGATTTCACAGAAGGGCTTCATGAAAACTGATAATGATTTTAATAAAGAAATCAACTGACAGCTGGAACAAAAAACCAAATTTTTATTGAGGCAGAGGTCGACTTTAAAAGTCGTTTTTACCTTCTTATTAAGGTATCCATGTGGACGAAGGATCCCAAGTTCAAATCCCTGAACACCTGGATGGATGACGATCACAGCTGTCTGCGACAAGAGAAATAGTATGTTTAGATAACGATGTCCTACGATAACTCCGCCCATTTCAAATGAGATTCCTCTGCTCCAATTATCGATGATTTACTTTTAGAAAATCCTATTTAGATGGTTTTAGGGTTACTCTAATGTTCGTTTTTTACAGGAATTTCCACATATTCTTGATTACCACCTATCATCTACTCCTAACGTGATCAACGCAACAATTCTGAATAGAAACTGCCCATGGTTTATTTGCCCTTCTATGGTGGAATGAAAACGTGTTGCCAACCTAAAAAAAAATACGGAACGCTGTTCGAACAACTCGGAAGAATTACAGCAAAATACTCAGTGCGGTGCGTATTACCATCAATCAATAGGTCGGTGTTCTAGAACACAACAACACTACAATCAATCTCACTTGTTCTTTTCGTTTTCATTTTTGATTTTCTATTGGCAAGGGGGGGGCCTCCCGACACGAAAAAAAGCATAACATCTTGGAACAGGTTATCACAAATTATTGAGAGAACACAAACAAGTTGAAAGTGGAATATGAAGAGCGTTGGGGGGAAGTAAAACGACAGTTGAGGTCAATAATTGTGGTGGCCGGTGATCAGAAGGAATTTCAGCAATGTTCCGGCCTGTTTTACGTTGCACGATTTTTGGTCCATAAGTGATTTTTGGAAATAATCTAATGTTTCAAATGATATGGTGCTTGTTGCTATGGTCAACGATTCTCGAAATTTTCTATTTATACCAGCCCCTTCCCCGTGAGACCTTTCTGAACCCCTTAATGACAACTCGAATATACCCAATAAAACCCTTCACACAATGTTCTTTCTTCTTCGTTTTTTTTTGGTTATTGCCTTGCCTTTTTTGGCTCCTCCAAGGATGTGCGCCACCGCTATAATTACACACACACACGCTCATGACGTTGAAGGGAAATGGCTATGAGGCTATGAACACTGTATTTTTTCCCACAATGTTGTGGCAGGTTCAAGTATACGGACGGCAGTCCGAAAAAGGAGAAGGTGCCCTTCTTGGTCGAGGCGGCTAATTACTCGATAATCGTACTGTTCGGCGCGACTAAGTCCTCTAACTTTCGAAGGACGCTGTTGGTTGGGTGTGAACATGGCGCAGAACATATGTAATGACACCATTGGTGATGGATTGGGACAGGTGAAAATGCAGTTGCTGCTGTAATGCAAACATGCAAACGGTTTTTTTATAGATTTGTTGTGAAGTCCGCAATTTCGCGTAAGGTTTGATAATTGGCGTAGAATGACGCGCATTCTGTGCATACACTGATAACCGATTTTTTGTTCAAATTTCTGTCTCAACTTTTTTTTGGATTCCTACGGTGGAATTTAATCATTTTCAAAAGGAATATTCCATAATAATTAATAGAGCAAATAAAATAAAGAATTTCAGAGTTTTCGGAAGTCAGAAATATCTGTGGAATTGCTCAAACGGTGAGTTGACTTGGCATATTTTCGTTGAAATAGTTCAATCTTTCTTAAGACTTTGAGTTCAGCGACCAATATTCGGATGAGATGACTCATGTGCCGACATTTCTGGGGGTCGCCGGAGCGGGAGGGAATTAAACGGTTTATAATTTAAAAAAATGACGCGAAACCAGTAGTAGAACAGGCAGGCGACAATAAATGGCCGAGAAAAAACATTGGAATTTCATATTGTTGATGACAAAATTGGCGGCATCGCAAAAATTTTCGAAGAATGAGAACAAGAATGGCTAGTCACCCTCTTGAATTTGAACAAGTTCAATGCCAAATATGGCAAAGTCGCCGTCATTTTTATTACAGTGTCAAAAAGGTGGGAGGGCAGCGGTGAAGGGGGGATGATGATAAAGCCACTTGGAACAAGATGAATGGCAGTTGCGAAAAAAAACTTTGTAGAAGTAGTAGTAGTACAGAAGAACACGCTCATCTTGCCTTTTTTGCGCGTTATCGAGAATCGACGTGTGTGTCGTCGACGCGGCGGGCACCGACAAAAAAAACTCGATTAGGGGCAAGGGCAGATGAAGCCGAAAAAGTGAAACGATCACGCAAACACAGTGACAGAATATGTACAAATGAGGCAGCGGATGGCAAATGAGATAAGACAGACGGCAGATTGTCATGGGTGTTCCTTAGACGCTTCGACGGACCGCCCGATCAAAGTGATTAGCGCTATATGATTTGGAGAAGGCAAAAATTGCCTCCGACAAATTTGGGGAATCGCGTCTAACAAAAAATCGGGCAACATTCGGAATCCAATTGTGTGACGAGCTGGTTATTGTGTTGCCGTCAAGTTCGAAGCTCTAGAAGCGCGTCTTTCAACTTCTTTTAGAAGCGCGTCTTTCAACTTCTTCTGTGATATTGGGACCATGGAGATTTCGACTTTTTCTTCTGAAGACATTGAAGCTGGCAGATGCTCTGATTCACGAATTTCTCTTCCGAGAATCTTTTCTGGAAGAGTATGAGAAGCTGACGCAATTTCACGTGAATCCAACCATTTACACGAGATGCTCTAGGCTTTCTCACCCATCGACTTTTGATCTACCCAAGGTTATTCTATTTCGATAAAATAGAAAATTGGTGTTTATTATTTATAATTGCACTAAAACTTCGTAGTATTACATAACAATACAAGTCCAAAGTCCTTCAGAGATTGGACGAAAACGTGTTTGTAATAGTGTTCCCGCTAATAATTTACTTAACACAACACCGGTAGATCATCGTCATCTTGTCAATCTCTCTTTTTTTTACACTTGGCTGACCTTATAAGGGGGGTATCATTGCGCAACAAAAGCTTGCGAACATGGCGCAAATTCCGCGAAATCAACGAAGCCTGATGATCTCTAATCCGACACAAGTGGCAGGCGGAAGAGAAATGAAAAGTTGCCCAAAAAAAAAATCATTCGAAACGAAAATGTGACGAAGTGAAATCATGAATGAATGAAGTGACTCGAATTTGTTCGAAACTTGTAATCGGCATTTTCCAATTAAATCCGACAAGGAAGCTGCCGTCAATTCGATAAACACACTACTGATCGGAAAGGGATCTACAACACCTGGATTTTGTCCGCAGATCATTTCTATTAAATGCAAAATTAGATTTACCTTGATGTTAGAGTTTTTTAGCTGAGAAATAATTTATGTGGAAAATGTTGCAAAGGGAATGGGAGTAGAAGCTGTGAAAAAAATGAAGAATGCGGTGCTGGGAACACCCGACACCAAAAACAATATCCTTCCTTGTTTGGGGACGAGTGGGCCGACCTTGTCTAACAACACAGTTTGCAATACCTCAACTCTCCTCCTCCATCAGACTCCGCCCACCGAAGCTGTGTTGAGGTTTGAAATTAGATCGGCAAGTTGTTAACGGTTCGAAAGAGAGTAGTAGGAGGTCGAAAAATTTTTGAAGGTGAGTCAGTCAGTCAGTTATCGTGGCGGGTAATCGGAACATAACACGACGGAATTTACAAGACGCGGCTTGGCTGCCGACATGTACGAGTACGAGTTGAAAGACGGCCTAGGCCATCGCAAAAAAACAAATGGCGAAGCACCTCGTCATTGTTAGCCGGAATTTTTCGGCTGAGATCGGTTCGATTGATACCGGTCGCGTTTTAGACATACGATTCGCTTAATGGAGTTGGGATTCAATTGGGTGCGAGTAATCGAAATGGGATCGAATTGAAGGTTACCCAGCGAATCCGCAAAAAAATGCTTGAATCGAATGACATCGAGTCGTTTTTATTCTCATCTTCGCCAAAAAAATCGTTGTTTTGTTTCGATTTTATTGCCGCCCACTAATTTATCGGGGGTAATTAAGCCGACATCAGAAAAAACGAATTCTTCAATTTATCTGATAAAGGTGTGATGCTTTCATCTGGGATGATGCCGGTGATGCCGACTATCTGAAGCTCACGAGCAGCACAAAAGACTTTGGAATGAATGCGAGGATTTTAAGAAACCAAATTCTAGATATTTCCAAAAGTCTATGAAAACTTGAGAAAAATGAGAAAATCATTGTTTCGTCGAAAATAGAACAAAAGCCAATCGGCCAAATTTTTTTCAGATTTTAATTCGCCTAATATTATGATATCGGAATCCTCCTTTCCGAACTTTAAAACCATTCATAATGATTGAAATAATTTCCGAAAAAGATGGTTTAAAAGCAAAATAAATTCCGAAACTCTGCAGCTCAATTTTCATGAAATGAATTGATTGTTACTGGCGATAGAGTATCACAAATTTCTTATATTTTTATTGAAGGCAATCTTGAATCTTTGACACGTACTTGAGACCCCTATTACCCACGTATTTAATTGTTTGTGTTGGTTGAATGTTTGTTTCATCTCATGGCAGCTATCAACGAATTGGTGGCAACAATCGGTAGCGATAAAGGAACTGGTAGGTCGCGCGAGACTTTATTTCTTACTACAATCGCCTTTTTTTGTCACACCACATCAATTTTTTGTTCGATCTCGTCGACGACGGTCGTGGTTCGCCGTAAAATGTTGCCGAAGAAAAAACGATGTGAAGTGATAATGAAAAAATGAAGTGGAACCGAGCGATTGGAAATAATATCACGAAGTCGGTGAAAGGATTTCGAAAATCTTATCAACGCATAAAATCAAGACCGGATCGAATATGATAATTTGCCAATGACGATGACGATGACGACGTTGAAGCTTGCGTAATCGAAAGAGAAATGAAGCACAACCAAAACAATATATGGCACTTGATGAGCGCCCGCAACTTTTGATTGTCCAAGTCATTATGTAATCGTATATAATAACAATATTATAATGGCAATTGGTAAGTGATGGCGCGCGGAAGGAAGGGAAACCAAGAAGTACTGGCTGACTGGACAGCTGGCATAGGGAACGGGCAAATGCTTGAGAATATGGCCGATTCTCGATGTCCGACTACTGTATACATCTGGTAGATCAAACCGAAGGGTCTCATGGGAGAAGAATTCCGACCAATTTTCAAGAAGAGTCGCCTGAAAATTACCATAATACCTAGGCATTAGTGAGAACGCGGAAATTCAATATCTTGACTTGAAAATGTTTATTTTAAGCTATACAAGGTATAAATAAACGCAGATCAAACAGTGGAGAATTGGCATTTTTTTGGCGAGAAATTGAATCAATGGCCTTGAAGGTTCACTGATCTCATTACGAAATTATTCGGCAAATATTGACCAATCCAAATATTCTGCAATTTCGTTTCGATAATTGATGTAATCCGCTGGTATTTCACAATGACCTGAAGTAATCAGAGACCACGTTTACAGCATTTTTTAAAATTTTTTTTGTTCGATATATAAAATTATATGATTGAAAAAAAATAGCTCTTATCATACGCGTTGCGGTCACGTGAATATTTTCGCCAAAACCGCACGCGAACCGCAACGCGTCTTACTACATAGGTCCCGCAACAACCCATTCTGGTAGTCCCTTTTTTCAGAAATAGAATTTAAAATTAGAATTTTTATTTACAGCGCATAAATGTGGCATCCTAAATTTTCAGTTATTTTTATCGACCCTTCGTACTCACTTGATTGGTGGTGGATTGAACAACTTCCTTATATGAGTCATTAAAATGTTCGTCTTGATTCCAGAATCAATAAAGACGTTCTCAAGTGCATTCCATTTCATTCTCCGAATTCCAGTATTTGTGTTATTTTTTTTGACAGCGTTCCCAATTAAACGAGCACGTGATTCATTTCAATTTCCAGCCGCAACTATTTCAGATCGGCCGCTGCTGATAATAATCGCCAGTTGGCCACTAAAAATAGAGGATGTTGATATTTGGTCGAAATCATGAAATGACAAAATAACAGACGCCGAAAATTCCTCGCCACTGTACACAAAAAAAAGAAGAAGAATCTCGTAAAAATGTTGTGTACTACGGTGGCATTTTTATGACGAACATGAAAAAAAAAGCGATGAAAAAAAAAAGAGACTCGTCGATTTTGGTCAGTCAGCCAAACTTTTTTATTATACTGGAACACTGGGTAAGACAAGACGAGTCACAAGAGAACAACCGGCGATGGCTAAATATCTTCGAGTATCTAATAAAAATATAATTGTTAACCAAAAGCGAGTTTATGAGTTTGTTTGGCCTCAATTAACTACTGTAAAATCGAATAACTTTGACCTAAAATGTGAAAGCGGCGGCACATTCTATCATTAGCGTAGGAATTCATCGTTTTAGGGGTCTCAGTTTACTGGACAATTCATTCGGTTCCGGATTATCAAGGGGTCGAGTCTTTTCGATAACAATTATTTTGAAGTTCAAACACAAAAAGAAATCAAGGAAGTCATTCATATATCAAAATAGAAATAAAATGTTTCAAAGCGATTTTTCGATGCTATTTTCCGTTTGGTCTCGTGAATCATTTTCCAGGAAAATTTTGAATTTTTGTTGATGAGTTTCTTGCATTTCTTACCGAATGATTTTCAAAACTCGAAATGAGCCCTAAAGTGCAAAAAAAAAACAGTGAGTCGAGGAATGTGCATGCCCGTAAATCTACACCTATCTCCAACTATTACAAATTTCTAAAAGCAATATTACGATATTTGAAAATTTGGTTCTCAAATGGCAAAAAGCCTTCTTCTAATATTCCACTCGACGAATATGGCTTAGACGCTTATATTTTTATTCTCTATCATTTTTTCCTTCGCTATTCACTTGAATGCCAATTTTTCTCAAAAAAAAAGAATTTTGTTCCGTCCTTCGTTTTGATTTCTCAGCACGGTACAAAAGAGACAAACAAGCATATGTTGTACTTTACTCGATAAGCGAACACGTTTCTGAATGTTTCATGATGAAGGCCGAAACTCGAATAAAACACGCATGACGAAAACTTTCCATTGATGTGATCTCGATTGCGAACCACCGAAACGATCAAATACAATAGAAAAACCAGGAAAAGAAGTTGAAGACGAAAAGTGATTTGCGGGTCAGCCAATAACTTCTCTCGATTTCGGCCGAAATTCCATTTCTGGCTCATCGGCAACATTCGGATTGCAATTTGCGCGCCGCCGGTCCGTGGGGAGAAGAGAGGGTCAAGGCGATGCATGGATTGCACACAGAAAAACCAACACATTGCCCAAAATTTGACCTGTTTACGCGCAGATACAAAACTACTTCATTTCATTTCATTTCATCTCCTCATGCATCGAATATCAATTAATATATCGGTAGCTGGCTTGTCGGAACTTGAGTTTCAGGGACGCTTCGCAGTATGGAATCGGCTTCGCGCCGGTGTACCTGGAGTTTGAAATTGACGATTGCCGGTTTTGTTGAAAATCTCACCATTCACACAGAAGTGTGGGAATCTGATTTTGGAATCCTTGAAGTTTGGTAAGCGAGACTCCATTGAAGATAACCCATGGAACGAACTTGTGCTGAATTATTATTTTTTAAATTATCTATCGCATTGGGTCTCGTATGGAAAAGCTCTCGTTCAAAACAAGATTTTTGCTTTTTTTTTATCAGACGAAAGAGCACAGGAATTTTAGGAAATTCGACTGTTGTCAAAACTTCGTCAAATGATATTCTTTTTCGAAAGAATAAAATTATGTTTAGCATTTCTGAGACATCTCTTTGAGGATCAATGTTCGTTCAAAATACATATGCGAGCGAGCAATTCCGTATTTGGCCTTGTTGCCAAACCAACCTTTTCCGGCCAAACCGAATCAGTCACCTTGCCCGCTTCCGCCTGCAATTGTGCGCCCAATTTCGACACCAAACAAGATCTTAAAAAAACACGAACAAATAAACGGTCATGCGTGAATCCAATTAAAATTCATTACTGTGTGAGCCTCTGCACATCTTGGCCAATTTGCAATTTGTCGAAACATTGTTGAGCGGCGTCGACGAACGGAACCTTGGCCTGCAATGTTCAATGCCAGCAATGTTGCGAGACGAACGAACGGACGAACCTTGAGTCCTTCCTCGATGCACGTGATCGCCGGAAGCGCCGATTGCTCCTGCATCGAATCGATAAAGCAGCTCTCAAATTTATTGATCGAGCATTCCTCCTCGCCGTGTTGACATTTAATAGTTCCGTCCTAAATGAGATCCGAGGTCCATTATCAATTATATCGATTCATACATCTTGGATCTTTGCATTTCCGAATGGCACCAATTGGATGTTCACAAATTCTCCGAAATTCTTGTAAACCACTGGATATAAGTGGTTAACAAGGAAATTCTGGCAATCTGGGCAAAGGGCTTCGACGAGAACAGTGATGTTGATCTTTTGATTGTAAGTAGCCGCTTTGTGCCTGAAAGCCATCGCAAATAAGCAGTTGTTCTCGTTGACGGACCAATTTTGGGTGAGGATGTTTCATTATTTCATTTTCCGTCGTAGGAATCACATGCAATATCTTTTTGGGACCAATTTTTCATTTTCTAGTTTTAAAAAAATTTCATAATTTTTTAAATATTAATTTTAAGTACTTTAGTTTTTAATAAAATTGCCTAATCGCCGAAATATGCTCCCATTTAATTTTATGGGACCATAAAAATGCCAGGCCTCGGTAATTCAAATTCGTCCATTCACAAAAATAAATTTATAATACCAACTTCGAAATTAGTTTCAACTAAAAAACGTACTTTTCGCAAATCTTCTCGAATCCGCATTGATTTATAATATCAGTTTGAGCACACCACAAACTTGGCGGAATCGAAGCGCAATCCGGAGTTTGAGCCAATAAAAGAGCAGGTAAAATCAGAACAAGACACAAGAGCTTCATCGCATTGCAAGTGTGGAAACTGGCAGATTCGGCTCTTCGAGCCCATGTCATTTATCTTCGACGGGTCAACACATGTCGTCAAACGGGTCAAATCACTAACGCATCGGTCAAGAAATGTTTATTGGTACAATATTTATAAATATTTTACATGAATGCCAGTATATTTCATTATTCACAGAGCTATGGGTTTATTTACAAATTTTCGAAAGAATGTCGTTCGGGGTTCTATTTATTCTCAAGCAAAACCATTTCGTTGATCTGAAAATAAATTATGCAATCAAATGATCAAAAATAATAGCTAAAACTTGCCCTATTCCTCAATATCCTTCTGTGCGATTCGATTACATCAAGTCTCGTTTTCAATTGGCTGCAATTGATGCAATTACTATCACGATGATCCATTCTGACACCAAGTTGAGGAGCCTTCTGAAAAAATACAACAAATATATTCAATAAAGAATATTTTATTTCTAGGAGAATTTTAAAGATCAAAAATCTTCATTATCATCATCAATGGTCCTAAAACCATCGTTTTGAGAAAGAAATCGAAAAAATCTAACCAGTTGCTCGATTTTATCCTCGTATAACTCCATTAGTTCTTTCTTTTCAACTTCAAACGCGTTTCGTTCCGCTTCACGAGATTTCTGATCTGATTCCCGAGCCATCATCATCTCTTTCATCGTTTTGGCAAGAATCTCATTGGCTTCTTCCTCCGTTTTCCGATATTTTTCTATTTCATCGAGCAGCTTCTTGTTCAATTCTTCAAGCTTCTTCTTATCATTTTGGATGGCCGAGACTGTGCTTATATGATACGATTTTCCATCGGTATATTTCTAAGAATCAAAAAATCGTTAAGTGAAACTCAGATATTAGTCTTACGAATTTCCAACGTTCAGCTTCCTTCTGCGCTTCTTTCAATTCTTTCGTTTTCGCTTCAAGTTCAACCACAAGACGGGCAATTTTCTCCTCTTCCTTCTTCAATTTTGCCAACCCTACATTTTTCAGTTCATTGTGCTTTTTCCGTTCATCATCAAGCGCAGTTTCATGACTGATTCGCTCCTAAATTATAAAGATAATTTTAAAATAAAGAAATTAGAAACGTTTTCTTTCTGCGCTCTCAGCGATTTCAATTCTTCGTTTAAAGAATTCCATTCGTCGCGAGAAACGATCATCACATCATCGGTTTGCGTATCTCTATTTTCACTGGTTATAGTTGGACTGCTTGATCTGAATAAAATAAATAATTTAGAGATTTCTGATATTTTCTCAAAACCTCGAGTCTGATATTGGCTCACTCGAACTTGCCGTATCACAGCTCATACTGCTAATTCGGCCATCGAATTGCTCATCTTTCTCAATTGCCATTATCTCCGGCTCGATATCCTCAATTTGCAGGATTGGCTCCAAATTCCACGTTTTCCTCGGCGACCGAAACTTGGGAGCTATCAATCGACTAGATCCGAAAGCAGCAATCGAATGCCGTCTTGACGGTCGAGTTGGAGAAAGATTTGAAGGCTCTCGATTCATGATCATCTTGAGAAGAGCATTCCTCTCTTCTTCCTTCTTCTCTGACATTTCCTTCGCTTCAAGCTTCTGCTCCAGCTCCTTAATTGTTTGCAAAAGGCGAGGAAGTTCACTGTTGTGATCAGTGACGTTGCGAGAGACAGAATTCTTCATGCACTTTGCGGTTTGACCGAATTTAATAGTATTTCGTGTTTCATAAGTATCATCACGTTGAACGCAGCAAATCAGAAGAAATCTCGAATTTCCTCCCAAAACCGACTTCAAAAGTCTCGTGAGTTTTGATTCGCGATAAGTGGCTATTCTAAATGAAAAATTATATAAATCATTTTTGTTTAGATTGTATGACAAACTTTTGATCGGGATTCGCGGCAAAGTTTGAAATCACTTTGTTCAATGCCAGAAGCGACAAATTAATGTTTTTACTCTCTAACGATTGAGAACCGGAAGTGGCAACTCTCGCATTCTCACTTCCAGCGAGATCAACGATTAGAAGGCGTGAAATCGTTGAAGACAGGGTCGAATCATTGTATGATTCGACGATGAATGAAAAAATTGCATGAGATCTTGACGACTTTTGGTTGAGTTTTGTCGAAGATACCTTTCGAGATACTGAAAATATCAGAAATGGCTCGATTTTAAGGAAGAACAAAAAGCATACATCGCGCTTTTTCGAAAAGTGGCACAAAATCTTCGTAGCAAGTGATATGACCGTCAAGTGCGCCGCTTACTTTATCATCGACCATTCGAAGCGGTTCGGCAACATCGGAGAGAAGATCGTAAACGTTTTCATTGTAGACTTCCAAGGCGCCCATTTTCATCAAATATTTTGTGGGTCTCCTCTAAATGAAAGGTTTTTTTTCCATAATTAATAGAGCTCACTCACCATTTCAATAACATTTAAAAGATGTTTAACAGCCAAAGTAATTAAACCTTCTTCTTTTTTCTTTCCAACTACAGTAAATGTTTTTCCAGATCCCGATTGACCATATGCAGCAATGGATGCATTAAATCCATCACATACTGATTCGATCATCAATTTGCAGGATTCGTTGAAAATGTCCTGATTAGTATGATCATCGAATACCAAATCTAAACAGCAAAATTATTTAAATTTTCAACAAAAAAAATGACCGAAAGGAACAGATTGACTTGGTCCAGCGATTATTCCAGCATCTTCTCTGTACCATTTTTCATTCTCTTTTGACGGATGCAACCTCACTGCTACGCGCACGTTTTCTATCATCTTCAATATTAATGAATACAGCGAGTAATATTATAATAAATGTCAGAAATGAAAATTTTCGTTAAAAAATTGACGCCGGACCGGTAAATTTTCATTTGATCAAACTAAATACATAAAAATACATAATCAACCACAAATCGAAAAACTTGTGAAAACGATTAAGAAAAGTTGATTTGGAATAGCTGTGCTGCAGAGGATATTTAATATTCAAAAATTTGCAATACGAGCCAGTATATTGGAGCGAATTTGCTGCAACTACGGTGGTCGTCGAGATGTTTTCATTATAACTTTTAATTTTAAAGTTTTTTTTTGTGTTTTCAGATTTAATAGTGAAAGTCTTTAAGAAAGAAAATTTGTATAAAATTTGTTTTCTTTTTTTTTTTTTAATTTAAAGTCTTTTGATTTATTTTGACTAGCAAACTAACATAATATTATGCAAATTTCGTTTAAAAAACTTTCAAAAGCCCTATGGAGATAGCGCAAAAAAACTAATTTTAATCGCGTTTCTGAGTTTTGCTCCGAAATCGGCATAACACTATTAAAGACTCTTTATTCTTCAAAAAAATAATTATAGGGATATTTGTGAGGAAGAAACGGCAGTGTTCTTCACTTTTAAAAGAAATGGCGGAGTTTTTTTTTTCACTGATGCTGGAAATGTTTAAAAACTATCGTAGCGATCTTGGTGCAAAACTAAAAGTGTAGATTTAGGGGCTGCGCACCCTGGTAACAACTCAAAAACAATCGGATTCGAAAAAATTCCGGAATCAACCCGTTACGATTGGATATTCTACAGATAAGATTGTAAAATTGTCGAATTTGATTGGTTTTTTGGGTATTCCGCAGGGTTGGTAAATTGAAGCCGTGGCCGAAAGCCGGGCCGGCCGGCCCGGCTTTCGGCTTTTTTTTGAATTCCCGCTTCGGCCGTGCGGCCGTAAACAACGGAATCGGGGGCCGAAAATTTGACAGCGAAAAAAGCCGGCCGAAAGCCGGCTTTCGGCCGGCCGGGCCCAAAATTTAACAACCCCGGTATTCCGGATTAATTTGTCGGATCCGAAAAAAATCACATTACCTGAAATATTTCAGCGACATTAACACCATGGAAAAACTCCTTTATTGAAAAAAATTCTGTTGAGAAGTTCAATACGGGTCAAAGCCGGTGACATTTTCAATCCAACCGGCCCTGTCGCTAGAATGATCGCTCGAAATTTAAGGTTTTTGAAAAGCTCGTTCCATTCAATGATCCTCTTGATTCCTCCGACAGAGAAGAATCTCCTTGTCCCAAAATTCAAAGAGCTCAGTCAAAGGCGTATTAGTTTTTTTATCAGCGAGCCTACGACCCTCCAAAGGTGTCCTAAGTCTGTCATCACCGCTCTGAGTGCCTACGCCTTGTCGCCGACCTTCCTCTTCGCGCTGTCCCCGACACTTGGCGGGTTTCGCCGCCCACTATCAAATGCACGTGTGAGGCCACGCCCGTCAAACATCGCTAAGTTTGTTCAATCATTCTGTTTATGAATAGGTTCACATTTGAGAGAAAATGAATAAAAAGAACCCAATTTCATCATATTTGCACTTTTCTTTGTTATTGTCCTTGGCAGCAAACACAAAAAGTGGCGTATTTAGTTAGATTGTATCGAAAAAAAAACACACTCCACTATTTTTTTCTCTTTTGCTTCTTTCTTTTCTAACCAATTTTTTTTTGTTTTTTCTTCAAGGCACGGCACCAACGAAACAAACGATAAAAATGAATAGATAGGGGCGAGACAAAAGACGCAAGTTTCCAATTGCATGGTTAATCATTTAGGCTTCGTTTTGTCAATGAAATCTTGTGACCCTGCAGAGACAAATAGATCAACTCAAATTTGCGGTTTTTTTATTCCAATTAATGTTGTTGTCAAATCAAAACTCATCGTCATTGTTTTTAATAATTCCGCACAGATTTTTACTTAAAAATCAAATTTTCAGCGTCAAATGTCTGAAATAAAAGCAGTTTCGGCGGTGTTCTTCTCTCGTACGACCGAGTCAAACCGATATGGGATGGTATGTGCTCATTTTGCTCCAAATGCAATTGGAATTGTTTTAGAGATGTGTGAGAAACTCAATATCCCAAAAGGTGCGATTTACGAAGAAGCAACTAGCACACATTTCTCCGAATGGCTCGGAAAAGAGCGCAGTTTGTTTCTCGGCACATTGTGCGTCGACGAGATGGAAAACGGAATTTTCATTGATTATTTGAAGATGAGAGTATGAATTTTGTTTGGAAACCATCCGAGAAATGCCGAAATTGTGTTTCAGTACCCTCACATCGACGAGACAATCCGTGTGAGACCATATACGGAATGCTTGCGAGGCAACAATGTGACCATTGTAAGAATATCCCAATTGAAAAACCTTGGTGCAATTGCAATTATTTCAGCATGAGAATATGCTCAGAACAGTTCGAATTGCGAAGGAGCACGGCTTCAAGATCGCAATGTTGACCAACAATATGTTCTTGGATATTGTTTAACAAGTTAAACTCAATCATGAAAAAATGTGTGTGTTTAAAGGAGCATAAGGAGCCACGTCTTCCAATTGATCTCACCCACTTCGTTGAAGTCGTTGAATCTTGCATTGAGCATACGATGAAGCCAAATTTGGATTTCTACCAGATTTGCGAGAAGCGTCTTGGTGTCAAAGGAGAGCAAATCGTGTTCCTTGACGATATTCAAGAAAATCTTGATGCTGCGCAGAAGCTTGGCTGGAAAACGATCAAAGTGGGAAGCAATGTTCAAGAAGCAGTCGACGAGCTCTCGAAAATGATCAACGTGAAGTTTGATTAATTGTATTTTATCAATTATTTATTTGTTTTATATTACTTACATTATTTATTTTGTAAAACTTTCGACATATAACAATACGCGATTACGTTTTTTGTGCAGTATTCTCGCGAACTTCTGGATCATCCTCTTTCAAGAAGCCGGATCGATGAGCGAACACCGGAAAACAGACACCCATCAAACGATGCCACTCAATTTTCTTCTCTCGAGTTCTGAACAAAATGCAGGAAATTGGAATATGGAAGGTTCTAGAGATTCAATGACTTACGTTACATCAATTCCATCGTTCGAATCATTATGTATGCTGAGCGAATGTTTTCGTATTCCTCGTTTACTGAAAACAATTGTGCTAAAATAGCAGACAAAAATTGTTTTTTGATCGAATTAATTGATAAGGAAACACGATATCACAAAGATTGTTGTTAAGTGACCAATGCGATCATAATTTGTTGGAAACCAAGCAAACAGAAACCGCCGAAGAATTGCTCATTTCGTGCTAGCGCTTAGGCAGATTAGGCAATAGGAAACCACTTACGTATAATCTTCGAAATCGCACATTGAGCACTTATATGGTTTATTAGCTGAATGCAACGCTATTACATGCATTTGCAAATTCCATTTGGCTCCGCGGGGAGCTTTTATACGAGTTCCGCACATCTACAAAACGCCATAATAATCTGTGTGTTTTGATGTTTGTTTTCAAGTGTCTTACTTGACAAAAATGATAATCATCTTTGGATGACGGATCTCCAGTACGCGGGGCTCTCGTTTTAATATCAGGACTCGAACCTATGCAAATACAAACATTAGTAACGCGTTATGGAGAAAATCGAAACCCACTGTTAATCATTCCCAATTCAGACATGGCCATTCCCAATGGGATATTAATATCGCCGTTGAATTCAAACAAGTCTTGCAATAAATTGAGAGTGTCTGTTCCGCTTGTGCTTGGATCCTCCTCATATACTGTCGATTCGACTTTTGGCTCAATCAACGTTTTTCTGAACACAATTATTCATATATATGTTGTCAGTGCAATTGGATCGGATTCAAATTTTTGGTTTTTTTTCAAAATTCGAAAATGTTACCCATTGACACCAGCTGTTTGTGAGTCGCCATTATGTTTTTTCTCTGCTTCTCGCCTATATATTAGAACATTGTGTGATAATCAGTTGCTCTTACTCGATCTCCTCAAATGGGTTCGGTTTCCGTTTTTTCTGAACTGGCTCATTCGGAGGTGCCGATTCGGATAATGCCGGCGATGCAGCGTCGTGTTTCCGCTGTTTCCCATCATTTATTGTTGGGTGTTTGCTCAGATCATCGAGAAGCATTAGCCGAAAATAGCCATTGTCCAACTGAAATGCAAAATCATGGGAATTCGTGAACAGAATCAAGAATCACATACCATTAGTTGAACCATTTCAAGTGCTTGTACTTTAGAGTCGATTTCGACGACGAGAAATTTTGGAGCTTGTGACGACGTCATGGATTCTGCAAAGCGTGGGAGCGAAAATGAAGTTGAGACTATCAGTGGAAGGCGTAAAAATATATAAAGAGCGCGGTCGGAGGAGTAATGGCGGTCCGCAGTGGTGGCAGCAGCAGCAGCAGCTGCGAAACAACAAACGCTGACAAATCAATATGCCAGAATGGCTGGGCTGGGGAAACAGCAGAACAGGCGTCTGCTGTTGGAGACGCAGACACGGAGGCACCAGATTGCCAGGCGCTTCGACAGCAAAAGAGACGGAGAAACCGGCCTGAGCGCGTGTTGTGTCGGCTAACGCAGTGCGAGGTTACTTGCAAACGACATGTCGAGTTGCGAATCCTCCACGGAACCAAATTTGCCAACGCGCAAGTGTTGTGTGCAATTGTTCGAAAATTTGTTTTATGGACGTGGATTCGATACGACGTGAACTCGAGTTTTCTGCCTTTTTTTTCAATGGAATAATTAGTGGTGACTGGAAGAACTACATTTTGGGCAATGAAGCTCAATTAAGATTTCTTTTTAAGAATCAGTTAAAAACTAAATAATTAATAATAAGCGTTCTTAAGTACACCAGACTTCACTTTCTTATAAAAATCCTCAATTTTGGACTAGGGTTTGGATAGATGTTTCGTTATTCGTCAAGTCTGCTTCTGACAAGAATTACTGATGCATCTAACGTTAATATACTCAAAAAAATAATTAATTTTTATTTCAAGGGGAATAAAGTAAACTACAACGTGCCTTTAATAACTTCATGCGCCTTTAATTACAGTAACCACAAATATTACAATTTAAATTCTTTGAAACATTGTTTTGTTGTTTTACATAGTTTATACATTGTCTTAAAAAGAAGCGAACACATGATTTGTGCGGTCTTAATTAAAAACCTCTTTTTAAATTTTTTGGTATTTAGCCAATTTTCCGAAGTTGCCCGACGTCGACAAAAGTGTAATACTTCATTAGAATTGATATTCTTAAATTAAAAGTGTTTTTACTTTTAGATAACAATATTTCAGTTGAAAATTTACTGTTGAGAACTTTTGCCTAAATTTTTGGTGTTTCGCGAATTTTTCGCGTTCGCACGATGTCAAAATTATAATTATAATGGGTTCACTAAAACAACCTTGCGGTTCACGTTTCTGAAACGAATTTTAAAAACAAAAAATTAACGGGAGCACATGCAAGCATCTAGCAGCATAGAATAATTACGGTATCCACCTTTTTTTGAAAAACAGATCACAGAAAATATACTGTATATGAAGTTGTGTAAACACTTTGACGTGATGCTACGGAATAACATTCGCCTGTGTACTCCACGCCGACACGTTAATTGCTTAAAAGTCCCCCACGCGTAAATTGACACGTATGTTGCGTGACCCAATTCTACAGAAGACCATTTCGGCAAAATTCATGAAATACGAAAAATGTTTCTTCGTTTCTTTTTCAAATATTCCTCCTGCTCACCGATTTTTAAAAGCGTGACGCGTTTTTTTCTCAATTAACAAAATATTTTAATTTCATTTTTTATTGTATATGAATAATTCCATTAAATACACCCCAAAATTCGATGTTCTGTTAAACTGTTCACACGATTAAAAAACTTAAACTTTGCTTCAAAAAATCGAATCGGAAGGAAAAAAATAAATGAGATGGGTGTTGTTTGGATGCGCGTCCCGCCAAATCCGAGAAGAATCTCTGTTTCGATTATTTTTTTATTTTATCAATTAGTTTTTCGAGATTTTTTCTGATCATTTGAAATTCAAATATTGTCAAAATTGAAGAAATGTCAGAAATGATTTCGAAAAATACATGAGTCGTCCGATGACTGTTGTACGCGGGTTAGATTTACGGGTTGCTCTTTTCGAATGGGTCTCGCCACATGTGAAGGCTCATTTTTTAATTTTCACATGTTTAATTTTTTCTTGATGAATTTGGTATTTATTTGAACTGCCAATTGAATATTCGATTTATAAAGTATAACCGACCCATAAAATACAAAATAATCAGTTAGTCCATGCGAGACCACGAGAAAGACGCATCCCCGTAAATCTACAGCAGTCGCCGGACACCGACTATACTAGTTCGATATTCCAATTATTAGAGGAAACGTTTTTTTAAATCATAACCCCCGTTTTAAGTGTGGAACATTGAAAGTGGGATCAACGACAAAATTGGCTCGTTTTTTATTCTATTTCCAACTGGCAATTTTGAATTTTCTAAAGGTTTCATAAATTAATTCCAGTTTTTAAGCTTTTTCCCATTTTCGAGACGCTGTTGACCTAAAAATTTCACAGAATTTGTAAGCAAGAAAGTTTTGTATCTGAACTTTTTATTGACATCAAATAATCAAATAAGACTAAATTTGGCATTTTTCGTGTTCTAAAATTGAATTCTATCGCCATTATTCTCTAAATTTAATCATTTTGAAAATTTCTGTTTTGGTTTTTAATAAAATTAGGAAAATATTATTTTTTAAAGGAATTGAAGATGTCTAAATTTTGAAATAATTAATTACGGTAAAATGAGAGCAATAGGAATAAGGATGTTCGATTCCTAAAGTATTCTAGCACCTCTCTCTCTCATCACCAATAATCAAACAGTCCAGGGATCGTCTTTTCTGCACGTCTCAATCCAAAAAAAAATGTTTCTTTTCCAACCAACCGTGATCTTTGCCTGAATTTCGTATAATTATCAATTGTCACATGATTTTGATATATTATTAGTTTTGAAAATAAAACAAGTTGTTCGACAAAAGGCGGCCGAACATCATCTCCATGTTTAGTGAGGAGGCGAAGGTGTGATGTATTAGTCGCACTTTGTTTACTTTCAAAAATAGTCACCATCTTATTTTGTTCGTCGATGTTTTATCAGTCACTCCTCATCGAAATCTCTGTTTTTTTTTTTCAATAGTTCATTAGTTCAACTAATTACTACGCAAGGTGGTTGTTTAAATCCTGTGCAAAATTACAGGTACTCTGGTGAAATAATTTTAACATTATATTCTAGCACATTTTAAAGGATCTTCTAGAATGTTCTATTGCAGATTAATTCATTATTTTCAATTCCTTCCCACAGTTTTTGTTTTCAAAATGAGTAAAATATGTTTGAAAGTCTAGAATTTTCATAGAATACACCAAAAGATCATGATTTTTTGTTTGCTTCGAGTTTTGATGTAGCGTTTTCGGCAATCTCACAACTTTCGCTGTGGTTTGCTGCCGATCACTGATCGGAAAGAAAAGATAAAGAGATGATTAGTGCGAAACACCATTGAGATCAAATTCATTAAAAAAAAGCATGCACGGTCCTTTGTTGGAATATATTAGCGGAGTCAAGCGAATTGACGAAATTTAAAAAAAACTATTGGCTATGTGCCAATGCGTCTCAAGGCAGTGAGACTGCGTACATTGCATTATAGTGTACGCGCATTTAATATTCAGTCAACGAAAAATTTAAATCCAAACTGATTTCGCGAATTTGAAGGGACCGCCTCTCTTTAGTCGTTTGACGCCGACAATTTAAAAAATACGTAAACAACCATATATACAGAGACATCGAAATTCGCATTTTTGCGTCTTGAACACCATTGACCAATGAAATCACGAATTAATCGTTCCCAATGTGAACCCTTTCTCCCAAACTATATACATATAGTTTAATAATGAGTGAGACGGTGTAAATCGTATCATTTATCACAATTTCTCACATTCTCATGTTTTATAGTTTTTTTTTGAATAAAATTTGATTGGATGATTGCTGGTTTTTCATTTCAAAAAGAAGCACAAAGTAAATAAAATTCGTCAGTATTTTCGTTGCAAGACCCGTTTCTTTGTTTTCCGAACCACGAATGCACTCTTGTTTTCACAAGTGTTACTGTACTATTCAAGCTGGTTTACTAAATTAAATAAATTAATACCCTAATTTTTTCGTTTTTTTTTTCATCCTCTGAATTGTGTAATGTGAGAATATCACACATTTTTGCCGAAAAGAACACCTCTGATTTGGGTGAAAGTGATTGAGAAATCGAAAGGCACTCTATCATTTCACTTTTATTAGTTTTTTCACACTGTTTTTTATGCTTTGAAGTCTGGTTTCAGGTATGAATTGGATCTCGTATTTCTTGGGCAATCATCCGAAACAATCACTACTATTTGTCATTGTGATTCTTATTCCACTGCTAAGGTGAGTAGATTTCATTTTTACCATCTGGAACTTGAAAATTACACGTTTTTACCCATAAATACTTCTTTCACCGAAAAATTCCGTCAAAGAAGTTGTGAAATTTTCCTTTGTGTTTGCAGACAATCTAATCTACCGTAACTCAACATATAAATATTTCGAGTTGCTAATTTTTCGTCGCTAAGTTTCATTTTCAACCTAATTTTTAATTCAATTTGCAGCTATTTTATTATTTATCCTTTACAAATCGAGTGTGATGTCCGTCGAGGGTTTGCCAACAAACACGGGCGTGCTGTCAAGGAATTTACACGGTTCTCCAACTTTTACAACATTTCGGGACTGGAAATTTGGGGAATACTAGTTCGGAATAAGACGTTCGGCGAACACTTGGAGATAACGCCAAAAATTTTAAATGAAGTAGGCAATTTGAGATATAAGGAAATTAATTTCGCAAAAATTTTCAGGTTTCTAGATTGCATGTCTTCGTACAGAATTTTAGCACCACATTTAACGGCGAAGTGGTGAATTTCCATGAAATAACACATTTTGACCTGAATTATGTGCTCAATTATTATATGGTTTGGCAACGTTCGATTTAAACTTATAAACGGAAGATTGTCTAGAAACTCCTACCTTTGGAAGGTTGGATTCCTGGAATCAATCTATCCTATCCGGTTGCTCAAGCGTTTGGAAATTCATTCTACCTCGGATCGCAATTTTTTGGAGCAAACCTAGATAAAGATTCGCAAGAAGGACCACTTCATTCGGCACAATTCATTGCATTATGGTACATGAGTAAAGCGGAAACATTCGAGGAAAAACAAAAATTGCAAGCAATCCAGTTGGGAATCTTCAAGACGCCGCAATTCAGCAAAATGTTCGATATGGATATGTACGGAGATCAAGTCGCCAATTCGGAAATGCTTCGAGGAACCATGACCACTGTAAAGCTCTTCATTGCTGGTGGTATTCTCATGATCACATTTATGGCATTCACCTTCCATGACCTCACAATTAAATCAAAGGTGTCTTTAACACATCTTGACTGTTAAAAACAATTTTTAAAAATTCCAGATTATGCTCATAATTGGAGCGATTAGCTCTCCCCTAGCCGCCACCGCTGCCTGTTTTTCACTTCTCGGTTGGATTGGACATCCATTCAATTCAATCATGTGCATCACCCCATTCTTGATCCTTGGAATTGGAGTAGACGACGCATTCCTTCTTCTGAACTGTTGGCGACGTGAGCAAGAAAAGGGTTGCTCGGAGACAAGACTCGCACGGGTGATTCGAGAGATCGCGCCATCTATGGCAATCACCTCGTTAACAAATACCATGGCTTTTGGAGTAGGCTTTTTATCGCCGACACCTCAGATGTCATCGTTTTGTCTTGGAACAGCGCTCGCCATTGTGTTAGACTTCATTTTTGAATTTCTCATTTTTATTCCAATGATGGTCCTATTCTATGAAGAGAAGATCATGGACAAATCGAACGAAATCGTGAAGAAACCAATGTTGACATGGCACAAATACGCCGAAACTCTTCTAAGCCACCATGGTCAAATCGGAGGTGTTTTATTGTATATAATGATCATCGGAGCTTCTTATTATGGAACAATGACTATTGAAACGACATTTGATCCATCGAAGACATTCCCGTCGGATTCGAAGCTTGTTGAATCTCTTCAAAGCTTCAATATGGTGCAAGAAGAATACTCGCCGATGAATTTCCTGACGAAAGTGCCTGATTTGGAGAGTTTAGAAGAGACGTTGAAGTTCGAAGAAATGCTACATCGATTGGAAACAAGAGAAGGATGTTTTGGAATGGAAAGAAGCCACAATTTATACAGGGATTATATTTCGGTATTAAAAAAAATCAAAATTGAAACATTTCATCTCGATTTTCAGTATTTAAACTCAGCAAATATCAATAGCTCATTCAACGAGAAACAGTTTTCGTATAGTATGCTGCCGGAATTCCTGAAAAAACGAGAAATGGCTGATCGAATGACCATCCAATACAAAATTGAAGGGTAATTAATATTAGATGTTGTCTTCTTATATTTTTACCCCTATTGATATAGAAACGAGACAAAAGTCGATATTCTGAACTTCGTGGTTGTTTGTAAAGGAACAGCAAACTGGGGTCGACGCGCGATTGCTTTGGAAAAAACGCGAAACATTATTGACGAATATCCCCAATTTGAAGTATCTCTGTTTGATTACGACGCTACAATTTATGATCTAATTATCACGGTTAAGGTGGGCGCTAATATCTTTTTTCTGATATCAGTTCGACATTTTCAGTCTGAACTGTTCAAGTCGCTCGGAATCACCTTCACATGCATGACCCTCGCCTGCTTTGTAATTATGCCGTCGTTTGTAGCGCCAACTGTAGCCTCTATTGCCACCGTCTCTATTTCTTTCTGTAACATCTCGATCCAGTGTGTTCGATTCATTCGCCGAATTGCAGGTTTCGTTGGATTTTTGTCAATTTGGGGTCAAAACTTGGATCCCGTCACGATGATTGATGTCATCATGGCGATCGGATTCTCTGTCGATTATAGTGCTCATGTGTGCTTTCATTATTATTGTGCTCTTCGCAAACTCGACACAACTTCGAGGACCACTATTATAAGTCACGTGCTTTGCGCGATTGGAAGACCGGTGATTGAGGTTTCTCTTGCCGAATTTATTGATTTAAGAAGTATGTTTAAATCGTTTCAGGCTTCCATTACCACTCTTCTCTGCATGGCTCCCTTGTTCATCGTGCCCGTCTACATTATTCGCTCATTCGCCAAAACTGTAACTCTAGTGACGGTGTTCGGACTTCTGCACGGTTTAATATTCCTCCCGGTCCTATTGAGCTTCATCCCGATCGCCTCGAGACCACTTCGTCTCCCGACGAGCTCGACAACGCAGCCGCTCGTCGATAAACTCAATCAATAACTCGATTTTCCTCTGTAACCTCTGTAAATATGTATGTATTGTGTTGTCGTCGTAGATCTCTTGTCTTCCCTCCAAATTTTCTGTTCATGTATAGTATTGTTTCGGGTATTTTCCAAGAAAATGCAAACATGTGTGATTCAGTCCCCCCAACCACCTCAACCACCTCCTCCATTCACTGATTGTTTTGAGTCATTGCGTTTTTATCACTTTTGTCTTCGCTTCGCGACGTCTGAGCAAATAACTAACTTCCATATTCGGAATAATGTGTTTTTCGCCCCGTTTCCATTCAACTCGTGACAGTTTTTGATAGAGAGGTAACATGTGATTGTTGAGATAATAAGACTGACTTGAATATAGTGTATAGTATATAATAAACATTACTGAAAAATCGAGAATGTTATTGTATATCCCGACTGATACGATTATCATATCAAATTTTAGACCGGCCAGTGTCAATTGAATTGCGTTTCGAGTAATTCCGAGAAGATTGGTGATCGTAATCGGAAGTGACAGATATCTATTGTACTTCGCCGATCGCATTTAATCGTTAGCATACATATTAGGACATCGTTTTTTCCATATCTAAACATTGCCCAAGTTTGATAAGTGTGACCTTTCGGTTTCATAGTATTTAAGACATAAATTATCGTCTAGATATAAAAGGAAGTAAACAATGAATGTGGAATGAGATCTCGAACACTATCACCAATTGTTTCATTGAATTTGAATTCGAAATCAATTAGCAACAACGAAGAATGTGTACTTTTGAGCATATCAGTGAAGGCAATTAGGCGAATGTTTAAAACGGCAATCATTTGGGCGTGGCATTTCTAGTACGAATTTTGCAACGATTTTCAAATTCTGCCGAAATTGTTTCCAAACATTTTTATTAACTGATGCAATAGATGTTTCAGAAATTAAACAGTTGCAATTTTGTTAGATAATCAGAAAGACGCGTCGCTCAATTTGGGGTCCGAACATTCCGATTTAGGCTTGTGGGTTATTTTCTTGCAACTACATCTCAAAGGCACATATCGTTGATGTACTTTCATCAAACCAATTTTTTGAATTGAGAAAAATTAAAGGAATATATAATTTAATTTTTAAAGTTTCATGGAATGCCATACGAATTCATGACGATGAGTTCATCTAATTTCTTGAATCTCATTTCCCAGAAGTTATCACCAATTCCGAAATCATCCAACGGAGAATAGCATTTCAAATTTTCGACTTCGAATCTCGGTTCCTCCTCCGCTTTCCTCCCACATTCATGCGTCACATGTAAAAACTTTGAAATTTCCATGAAACGAGCAAAATTGATGATGTTGAAATCATGTGTCCCTCCCCCACCGGTTGATAGCGAAAGTTTGGGAATTCCGTAAGCAGAGAGTTATCAGCAACAAAGAACACTGTCCATTATTGATTGCGACACGTTTTTTCCGGTCCAGAATTTATCTGATGACTCATTCGTTGCCTTGAAAACTCTCCAAACTGAATTTGTTTAATTTATTGGAAATATTGCCCAAAACTCAGAGAAAATCAAACCAGCATCTATACTTACTAGTATCACATTAGTTGTTTGGTATTTTTGGCGTGTCGCCGTAATGTCGCTGGGGGGACTCTCGATTCGGCGATAAGAGCCGACGGTTTGTGCACATACACAGGACACTAAGCATTTGCCTGATAACGATAGCTTTCACTTTTGTTTTCGTGAGTATTCTACGGAAATCACGAGGAGACCGCCGTCTACCATCAGCTACAGTACGGCCGAATTGATTTTTAAAAATTGATGACGTCATTCGATTAAATAATGATGAAATGCACTAAAAGTGCGGCTCCTCGTCAAACTGAGCACTACGACAATACCAAAAACGTATTTCTAGATTTAGTAGATCAATACAACTCTCAAACTGAATTCTCTGAAAAATTGCTTCTTGATTGACGCGTTTTCCGTGCGTTATGATCTACCATCGCTGAAATGCGTTTAGCAAAAACTATTTAAAGAATGTTGAAATGTTATTCCTCCCACGCAATATTAGTCATGAGCCCGCTGACAATCAGAAAGTGCATATTCGAAATCCTCGATCGTGGCCGCTGATAACCCATGACGCAACTGTACTTTTTGCATTCCACGAAAATCGTCATTTGCACATGAAGCTTTGGTTTTTCTTGGAAAAACGAATTGCCTCGTGGCTCATCGGCGCCCCTTATCAGTTTTGTTACGATATTTCGTGAGTCTCGGAAATTGCGCCCTATATAATCTTGGTCGTTTGCTGCACGAATGCTTATCAGACACAACAAAACGACTCGATGGTCGTCCCGTTTTCGCTTTCGTATACGCGACTTTCGCATTTGGAAGCAAAAAAAATCGACGGGGCTCATTTGCCTCCTTCAATTCTATGCATTTTATTACTCTTTAGTACCATTATCAACGAGAGGTTTCCTCTTTCCAATGTTGCTTTTCCGTTTCCGGGCGGCGTGTCCGTTGAAAAATGGGCGTGGCCTCATATTGTGATTGGCTCGACATAACACTTAAACGCTTTTCATTTCAGAAAACGGAAATGTCCTCATTTTTGAATTCCGCTGAAATGAGCACGACTGCCCATCTCAATTTGCCGACACTTGACGATCTAATCGCCAAGTTTGCCATTCAGAATCAAGGTGAGAACACCATTCCTTTATTTTTGAACCCGTAAAACGTCGGCAGATTGCCTATAATTATTTCAATTGAGCATTTCAGCTTCAATGCAGCTGTTTCAATCACAGATGCTGTGCCAAGCAATGGCTTCACTAACCCCCACAATACCCACTGTGCCGCTATTCAATTTCTGCAATCCGGACCTTCTCCAACAGGTAATCGTTTCTGACCGCCTCCGCAATTCCAATTCGTCTCCAGATTCTCAATGTGAATCCGGCCACGTTAGCAGCTGTCGCTTCCCTTCAGAACACGGAGACGTCCACAAAGAACGCGGCGAAGATGCGAAGAGAGCACACAATGCAGAAGAGCATGTCGCTTGATGCTGAGAGCAGCTCGTCATACGATGTGAATCACGGCGATATTATTGTGCCGAGTAGCGATAAAGAAGGTAACAACGAAAACGCAACTCGTGACAATGCAACAATTATGACGAAATTGAATTTCAGGATGGTGTCGCAATAAGAAATACATCGAGAAAACCGACACCGGTTTCATGTGTACAGTATGCCGCAAAGTGTACGGTAGATATAATTCAGTGTCATATCATGTCACCATTTACCACAGAAATCCACCAATCAAGTAATTCCGTTGGGAATTCGTTGATCTATGAATAATTTTCAATTTTTAGGTGCAACATGCCGAACTGTCAATTCACGACCAGAGAGGCTAGATATATTCACTTCCACAAGTACTACAGACACGGAATCGCTCTTCCACATAGCATTGATCAAGGTGAGAAAAAAGAAACATCTAGCTGAATATAATTCAACAATCTGATTTGCAGGATCTCGAAAATGCCCACACTGCAGACATGTGTCGAAAAGTCCCGCAATGCTAGAGAAGCATATCAAACGGCATCAGATCAGGTAGGAAATATTTGAATAAAAAACCCTCATTCGTTTCGATTTGCAGAGAAGATCAAATTGATCCAGTGGAATCGATTCGGAATCGAACTGCGACGATTTCGGAGATCCAGGTCGAAGCAATGGACGTCGATGAGTTTGAGACAAAGCCGAGAAGTTGCACACTTTAATTAGATTAATTATTTTTGCCAAAACTTCAAATCGTTCCCAATTCCCCCCCCCCTTATTGTACATTCCCTAATATATTGTATATACAAAAAAAAATATATATATATATATTTAAACGTTTTCTGGGATCAGCATAAGTGTTGTTTCTGTTGTGTTGTTGAATAAATTTATTCAGTTAATGTATTTTCAAAGAAAAAACTGAAATTCTTAAAACATTGATCTTCTTCAATCTGATGTTCGAATAAGGGTAGTAATCCTTACATCATCTTTGATAGTTTCTTCATTATCGTTCATGCGCAAATCGATTTTGTTCGAATATTACCAATACTGAAAATAAGAGAATTCGTCGAAAATAGGGTCTTCTTCTTTTCTGACTCGAAGATCGCAATTCCCGCTGAATCGATTCCATTGATAGGCTAGCAATGAACGAATCTGCATTCGTATGAATCGCTCACCATTCCATTACGTGGATCTACGTCGACGTTTAATTTCTTTTTTTTAAATAAAATCGTTATATTTAAATAATGTCACTTACTTACTTACTTACTTAGTCACTTAGTCGGTTCGTCCTTCGCCTGTTGAGGCGCGAACCACAGCTTTCCAAGCTTTTCGGTCCTTGGCTTGGGTGGACCAGGGGGTGATAACGGCTCCTTCAGCTGTTCTTGTAGTGATCTCCTTCCGAAGCGAGTCAGACCATCTCATGGGAGGCCTTCCTCTTGGCCGGGTCCAATTCCACGGCCGCCACTCCGTTAGAAGAGAAATGAATATGATACATTTAAATGAACAAATGCAATAAAAAATGCTTACAAGGGAGGTCTTTTTGCTGTCCGTCTTAAATTGCTTTAAATATATTTTTTGCATACAGATTCTTTAGAAAATTACCTGCGAAAACTTCTAGCAATATTGCCGAATTGGGATATAAGCGCGATATGAGACATCACGTTATTTCATTTCGAGATTCCGCACATTTGTATGCAAAGTTCACGTGGGGAGGGGCTAAAACTTTGAAGGTCCATATCTCGATAACTAGAAATTTGCGCAGGTAGGGACCTAGTTCATTCGATTGGAAATTTTTTAAAGAATCTGCATGCAAAAAATGTAAAAAAAATTTTAAGACGGACAGCAAAAAGACCTTCCTTGTTAGTGCGAAATGAATCTTGACTTTCAGCAGGCTCGTAATTAAGAACTTCGCAGTCTTCTGAAATTTGTTCAAGAGTTTTTGTATTAGGTTTTGATGTATAATTCAATTCTTCATACATTTCATACTAAATCAATTTGAAAATGATTTTAAGACAATTGAGATAATTTTTTAATTATAGGAAACGCCCAACGAAATTCGTTCAAATCGTAGCAAGAAACTAAAGAGCAAACACATGGCACCGTTCGCCCCAAACCCCCAGGCAAATTGCTCCAAAATTCGCTTAATTAAAATTCAAAGTTCATTTTTTGTATTAAATTTAGGGGTATGGGGGGAACAATGAGATTTCCGCCATAAACCGTATGTTTCAGCGACACTATTTTCCGCGGAAATCGCGAATTTTTTCGCTTCGTTTCCTTACAAATTAAAGAAAGTATGATTTTTATTATTGCATAATTAAAATAAAAATACAATACAAACAAAATTAATGAAGAAAAATGGAATAAAATCATTTCGATTCCGGATAAGGACGATAAACAAAATCATCGTCAAAATATCCATCGACGTAATCGGGATGAAACTCAATCGGACGGTCGAACAGAGATTTCGGAGGAGATGGAAGTGGTCCGTCAGTGTCATCTTCGAAGCAGGTGCATTTCTGCACATTGTGTTGCTCACTGCTGCTCGATGTAGTTGAACTTGGTGAAGTAGAATGAGCGGTTGGATATGTGAAGTTGGCTGACTTATTATGCCATTCACCAATCGGTTTTGCCTAAAAATAATAGAGGAAAATAATAGTAGAATGGAATGGAAAATAGAAAAATAAATATATTACCTTGTTATTCAATATTCCTTCATTCTGTGCATCCGTCCCAGGTATTGGTGGCACAGAAGAAGTTGGAGAAAGGGGAGCTGGAGAAGATGGTGCAAAGTGCACCATACATTTGCGCCATTCTTTAATTGAAGTCGATTTTCGTTTAACTGGAGTATTAATCTGAAATAATTGAGAGTTTGAAGATGAAAAGAGGCGAATCATCGAATTTACCTTCTTATTTGATCGATGAGATTCTCCGATTCGACTATTAGTCAATGATTGTGTCGAGGGTGAACATTTGAAAGCGGTGGCCAGCAATTGAGGTGGAATGAAGTGTCCGAGCAATATTTGACGTTGGGCAGACATCTTGGAACAGAACAGACTGTAATCGCAAACAACGACTACTTACTTTCTCTAGATTGTCCCTATTATAGGAACCATCAAACTCCGCCCATTTAACATCCAAACTTGCGTCCGTCGTGACAGATCGCACATTGCGAATTTGGCACCAATCTCTGTGCGCATCCTGCAATCACCCACTCTCGTGTCGCATCACCATCACTACCGCCTTTTTATTAGATTTCTGTTGATGGATGGTGCGAACTGTGCATCCCGAGCCACCGTTATAACTGATGGTTTTTTTCCTATGAGCCCAACACCAACAATGTGCCAATTATTGGTGTTTCGAAGAGAATCGTGTCAATTCCACTATTCGTCGATTCTCCCGGGGGCAATTGGCGGTTATCTGCTCAAGGGGATCAATGTCTCTTGGGAGTCTGTGTCTCAAGGGGGGAATTCTACAAAGTCTCTTTGAGAACAACATAATTATTTTTAAGGCGATCAACAGAAATGCTTCAATTATTCTCTATAATGACTATCATTATCACAATCAAATTTTTACCGTATATACCGAATGAAATACGTATGTTCAACAAATCAGGTTTAAATGAAAACAGTTTTTAAAATTTCTATTATTTAAGCAGTCCGCTTTACTCAGAGCAACAGCACGTTCGTCGACAAGGATTGAATAGCTTCGCGCTAAGTTCAATATGATAATTGCAGTTATAATCCAAATTTAGAATGACAAGTCAAACAGAATAGGGTAAGTAAGAGGCACTTTTCGCGAATTTTCCAGTCGTTAAATTATCGAAAAAAAGCATTTCTCTTGAAACTGATGAAAATAAATCTGTTGAACAATTGACCCACTTGAGCAGATCCAAATATTTAAATGGTAAAGTGAGGATAGAAAATCAGAAATGGGGATTTGATTTAATGGAGCATGGTTTCCACATGAGCGTAAATTTGATCGCCTCTGACTTCTATAGTTAAAAATGATAATTAAAAATACGAATAATTATTTGCTGACGCATCATTTTTTTCGATTTCATTTCTAATTTTCAACGTTTTTGAATTTCAGATCCGAAAAGCGCGATGGTCCGCAAAATTTAGCAAAAATAATTTTCAAAAAATACGACAGATTTTTTTTACGAATGCGTTGATTCTTTTGAGATTTCAACACGCGTGTAGACAAAATCGAAAATTAAAATAGACAATAAAATCCTGTGAGGACATTTTGAGCTTTTTTTGAAAATAATTGAAAGTTTTCCAGCTGTCAAAGGGACCACTTATTCAATTCAGTCGCAACCATTTCTTTAAAGAAAAAATGACCTACCTGGACAATTTCGAAATACAAAAAAATCATCCAAATAAAAAGAAAAGAAGCAACAAAAATGGAATGAAATTAAAATATTGAATTGATCGAGCCGGTGAGTTGGGCGTCTAATCGACGACAATCACAGTTTTGCCGCAACGTCTAAGAAACGATTCGAGTATTCCCTGAAAATATTGGCATTTCATTCAAAGCCCACAAATATATTCTTATATTTTCAATTCGACTTCTATTTTTCCAAAAACGCCGCTCTCTAATAAAATTGCGTTTACATTTGTCCAATTTTCAAATTCGAAAATTTTCGATTTGACTACGAATCAGACATATGCAAAATTATGAGTATCCATTAAAGGCGCATGCAAAAAATTGTTAAGAGACAAAACTGTATTTGCTCTAAATAATTACGATTTCATCAATTTGTCTGTCTTTGACATTAGTTAAAGTTTGATACTTCTTTAAAGTAAACTCGGTCTAGAAATTGACTTTGAGAATGAATTTAGAATCCACACGAAACACACAAATCCGTTTAGAAAGTTCGCGAAAATGATGAAAATATTTCGAATGAGCCAATTTATTATGGAATCGCGGGACCATGGGGTAATTTGGGGGTCCTACATTCCGAAGACCAATTTTTGAACAAAACTAAAGTGCTCTGAAGATTCCTTGGGACCGATTAGCAAAAGAGTCATATTTTCATAATAAAAGATATCATGGTGTGTGGTTGATCTAAAAGCTCACAAAATCAATTTTGGCCCCCGAGTCTTTAACAAATAAAGGCTCACCTTTTTTGCGGCTTCAAGCATCCTTTTTTTCATATCGATTATGAAAAAAATCAGAATTAAAAAACATAATGCAATAAAAATGACGATTTTCTTTGGTTTATTCGACTATTTCCAATTTAAAAAATGTATTATTTTTCGAAAATTGTGATTCCATGAGTTCGTCAAGTCTCTACAACGAGCTGTCTCGTCGCCACTCCACCGTGTGCGCCTAGACTTCACCAGGCATTTCCCTCCTGGCTCGGACCCTTTGGGTCACCGATGCGGGGTGATGGTCCGCGTCTCGTGGCTCGAGAAGCGCGGCACCCGTGCGGGCTCTCTCAAATCCGACTCAACGAATGTTCGCGAGACACGCTCACAGCGGTCCGAAACACACTCGTTGTAGAGGCAATCGAAATCAGGTTAGAGAATTTTCAATTTTTTCTAAATTTAAATCGAAATAGGCGAAACACACGAAATTATGCATGCAATTTTTATATAATTTCAAATCATAATAAAACAGGGGGCACGTATGACTTAAAAATATGTATATTCTATTTCATTCGAATAATTTCACGCAGTTCAAAATTTGGTTTTTGATTGAAGAAATTCTTTAGGCATACGACAGTTTGAAGGAATAGCTCAATTAGCTTTTTCAAATAGCATCTCGTGATAATAATAATTCAAAAAGGGGTCTCGGTGGGCGGTGTGCCGAAAATGACTTCATGCCTGCATGCCAGAATCATGCCGCAACGCGCCTGCCTCTTAATGGCGCGATTATGTGGGTAAAAATTTGGGAGCACAAAATCGGGGTTCAAAATTAGGGTTTAGGGCAATGGGCCTATACTATTAGGAATGATGATTTTCTGTGGAAAACAATAGCTGAATGAAAACCTCGTTGGGATCGATCATCCCAATTTAAATAAACCCTTTTTTCAAATTGAGGGTTCAAAAATACTCAAAAAAATTTGGAACGCTTCACGAATTTGCGTGTCATCCTTGCGCAGGGGCCATGCTAATCTTCTCTGTATTGTTCCAATTTTAGTATATGTTCTCGGAAGAACGAACACGTACAGATGTGCATTGTTTATATAGTCCCTGTTCACCATGTACGGACGTGCTAACGGGACACGGCATGGTCTATGTATTGCACGTGACGAGAATGTGTTATGTATGTATGAGTTACACTGGCCTGCCAAATTAGGGCAAAAGAGCAAATAAAAAATTAGATTTGTAAAAAGTATGGTGTCATTTTGTAAAAGGGACCTGCACGATGAATCGGGAAAATGCCAGGAAGTTCCTTTGCTAACCAACTAGCAACCTGGCAGCGGCTGAGCGTTTGGATCAGGGCTGTGCGGCAATGGAATTGCCGATTGCCGAAATTGCCGAAATTGCCGATTTTTCAAATTGCCGAATTGCCGAATTGCCGAAGAGAACGTTCGATCGGCTAATTGCCGAATTGCCGGATTGCCGAAATTTTGATTTTCGGCAATTTGCCGAATTGCCGATTTGCCGAAATTTTGATTTTCGGCAATTTGATATCAAAAAAAAAATCGGCGAAACCAAAATCAATGTCCATGGAATAATTTGGGATACCGTGAAAATTCGGTATTTATATTTCGAATTATCGTTGAAAACATTTAATAGCCGAAATTTTTATTTTCGGCAATTTGCCGAATTGCCGAATTGCCGAAATTTTGATTTTCGGCAAATTGTCGAATTGCCGGATTGCCGAAATTTCCGATTGCCGCACAGCCCTGGTTTGGATTTGGCGAGGGAGCAGAACCTTTTGCGCGTCATCGTGAAAGGACTGAGTTCGCAACTTCAATCAATTGCGGACGAGACATCTGCGAATCCGCCACTTCCCGAAAATGACCCGAGTGCTCCAATAAGATCTACGAGGACCTCGGCGATTCGCGCAACAACCAAGATCACACGACTGTTTGATTGGTGTGACGACGAGGAGCAATTCAAAGAATATAATAATGCTAAAGAAAACACAGATAATAATTTTAAAAAATAATCATAAATTGAAAAAAATAAAAAAAAATAAAAGAAAAAAAAATAAAATAATAAAATAAAAAAAGAAAACAAAAGAAACAAAATTTAAAAAAAAGAAGAACAAATTTTTAAAAAATAATAAAAACATTAAATAAAAAATATGGTGTCCTTTTGTAAAAGCAGGTCCCATTTACAAAATGACACCATACTCAGGTATTTTTGGCTACAAGATGAAAAACTCTTACTTCAGAAGAATCACGGTGATTCCTATCTTGTCATTATCAATTGGCTAAGCTTCTGCCGAACACTTCGATTCTTTAAAAAGACAATCATTTTCGATTCGATCAGAATATACTTTATTTACACTTTACAAATCTAATTTTTTCGTCACACCAATCACTCGCGAAACAGTCGTGTGATCTTGGTTGTTGCGCGAATCGCCGAGGTCCTCGTAGATCTTATTGGAACACTCGGGTCATTTTCGGGAAGTGGCGGATTCGCAGATGTCTCGTCCGCAATTGATTGAAGTTGCGAACTCAGTCCTTTCACGATGACGCGCAAAAGGTTCTGCTCCCTCGCCAAATCCAAACCAGGGCTGTGCGGCAATCGGAAATTTCGGCAATCCGGCAATTCGACAATTTGCCGAAAATCAAAATTTCGGCAATTCGGCAATTCGGCAAATTGCCAAAAATAAAAATTTCGGCTATTAAATGTTTTCAACGATAATTCGAAATATAAATACCGAATTTTCACGGTATCCCAAATTATTCAATGGACATTGATTTTGGTTTCGCCGATTTTTTTTTTGCAAATATTCGGCAAATTGCCGAAAATCAAAATTTCGGCAAATCGGCAATTCGGCAATTTGCCGATCGAACGTTCTCTTCGGCAATTCGGCAATTCGGCAATTTGAAAAATCGGCAATTTCGGCAATTTCGGCAATCGGCAATTCCATTGCCGCACAGCCCTGATCCAAACGCTCAGCCGCTGCCAGGTTGCTAGTTGGTTAGCAAAGGAACTTCCTGGCATTTTCCCGATTCATCGTGCAGGTCCCTTTTACAAAATGACACCATACTTTTTACAAATCTAATTTTTTATTTGCTCTTTTGCCCTAATTTGGCAGGCCAGTGTAACTCATACATACATAACACATTCTCGTCACGTGCAATACATAGACCATGCCGTGTCCCGTTAGCACGTCCGTACATGGTGAACAGGGACTATATAAACAATGCACATCTGTACGTGTTCGTTCTTCCGAGAACATATACTAAAATTGGAACAATACAGAGAAGATTAGCATGGCCCCTGCGCAAGGATGACACGCAAATTCGTGAAGCGTTCCAAATTTTTTGAGTATTTTTGAACCCTCAATTTGAAAAAAGGGTTTATTTAAATTGGGATGATCGATCCCAACGAGGTTTTCATTCAGCTATTGTTTTCCACAGAAAATCATCATTCCTAATAGTATAGGCCCATTGCCCTAAACCCTAATTTTGAACCCCGATTTTGTGCTCCCAAATTTTTACCCACATAATCGCGCCATTAAGAGGCAGGCGCGTTGCGGCATGATTCTGGCATGCAGGCATGAAGTCATTTTCGGCACACCGCCCACCGAGACCCCTTTTTGAATTATTATTATCACGAGATGCTATTTGAAAAAGCTAATTGAGCTATTCCTTCAAACTGTCGTATGCCTAAAGAATTTCTTCAATCAAAAACCAAATTTTGAACTGCGTGAAATTATTCGAATGAAATAGAATATACATATTTTTAAGTCATACGTGCCCCCTGTTCAACAATTTTTGTTCATTTTTATTTTTCATCTTCATGTTCATCGCTTCATGTTGACTGTTTCATTGAGAACATGCGAAAAAATAGTCGAATGATTATTGTGAGTTGTTTTATTATGATTTGAAATTATATAAAAATTGCATGCATAATTTCGTGTGTTTCGCCTATTTCGATTTAAATTTAGAAAAAAATTGAAAATTCTCTAACCTGATTTCGATTGCCTCTACAACGAGTGTGTTTCGGACCGCTGTGAGCGTGTCTCGCGAACATTCGTTGAGTCGGATTTGAGAGAGCCCGCACGGGTGCCGCGCTTCTCGAGCCACGAGACGCGGACCAACACCCCGCATCGGTGACCCAAAGGGTCCGAGCCAGGAGGGAAATGCCTGGTGAAGTCTAGGCGCACACGGTGGAGTGGCGACGAGACAGCTCGTTGTAGAGACTTGACGAACTCATGGAATCACAATTTTCGAAAAATAATACATTTTTTAAATTGGAAATAGTCGAATAAACCAAAGAAAATGGTCATTTTTATTGCATTATGCTTGCCGAATTGGGATTTATGCGCGAGATAAGACATCCCATTATTTCATTTCTAGTTTCCGCACATTTGTATGCAAAATTCACGTGGAGAGGGGCTAAAACTTTGAAGGTCCATATCTCGATAGCTAGAAGTTTGCGCAGGTAGGGGCCTAGTTCATTCGATTGGAAATTTTCTAAAGAATCTGTATGCAAAAAATAAAAAAATTTTAAGACGGACCGCAATATGACCTCCCTTGTCAGGTAAATGAAAATCAATCGGATTCGAAGAAAAATTAAATATAAATAAACCTGTTTCGATTGAAAAATAATTCAAATTCGATTAAAAACGCTTAAATTCGATTTGAAATCTTGTTTTCGATTTAAAAATCTTCGAAATCTATTGATTTATTTCTCATTCTCAATTGTTTAAAATTCGATTGAAATTCTGGAATAATTCGAAACAGATTTTTATTTTCGTCAACTCGTTTGACGCCGACGATAATAATACGTGAATTTTTTAAAATAATTAAAATTAAATTTGATTGATTTCTACGCTCTAACTATATGATCGTATTTTCAAAATTAGGTAAGTATTTAAAATTTTATTTTCTTTTTATTGGATTGTGAAAATATTCTAAAATAAAAGTTGCATTGGGTCCCGGCACGAGAATGCCATTTCTTGAATAATTTATCTGTGTTATTTTTAAATTTTATTTTAAATCCGATTCATGTCACTTCTTACACTTAGTCACTTAGTCGGTTCGTCCTTCGCCTGTTGAGGCGCGAACCACAGCTTTCCAAGCTTTTCGGTCCTTGGCTTGGGTGGACCAGGGGGTGATAACGGCTCCTTCAGCTGTTCTTGTAGTGATCTCCTTCCGAAGCGAGTCAGACCATCTCATGGGAGGCCGGAAAATGAAATGAAAAGATTCGATTTTGAAATGATCAGAAGAACGTGAATTAATTCGTCAAATTTTGAATATATTTCAGGAATATTAATTCACTTTTATCTCATAGTTATACTAAAATCTGAAGCAGAAAAATATTACGATTTCGATGATTCTCTCTTTCATAGTTTTTGTCGAAGAAGTGGAGGACAAAGCACGAATCGAACTGATTTGGTTCGTCGTTTTACGATTATTTGAATTCTGAAATCGATAATAGTTTTTAAAAGTAGGAGTGTCTTGTAAAAATGCGAAAATCCAGTTTGCAACCAATGAATTTGTACGTAACTCAATAAAAGGAAATTAAATTTAAAAAATAATCTGCAGATTGGACCAGTCGAGGCTTGTAGACGAATTGTGCCATATTGGGTAAGAAATGCAAGAATAATCGACGAGTATCTCATCGAATGTGATTATGGTTTACATACGGCTTAATTACTCTAATTATGATAATTAATTAGATCATCAGTATAATTGCCCGCGTAATTATTTTCAAATATATGAAAAATGCTATTTGCTGCCTGAAAATGCAACAAATTATAATAGAATCAACAAAACGTGTGGATCAAATTTCAAATTGGCGGAACTTGACAGACTCGATTTGATTGGAATTATTGAGAGAATATTCAGACCATCGACTTCAGTTTGGATGGATTTTCTCACAAATTATGAGGGAATTTATTCTGAAAACATTCATACATCAGATGATCTTCGAGATGACGATGAATATTTCGATTTGAGGGAACAATTTAATGGCAAATTTGGCCCTATCAAACCAATTGATATCAAAGACGATAATATTCTATTTATATGCGAAAAACCATACAAAGACTCATATGCTGGTTCATTTCTGATTGAATTCAAGTGAAATTCATTCAATTCCAGCCGTTCATGGAGACGTCGGAAAGTTTTCGGAAATATTCTTCGAAGAATATGCACTACCTAACAATCAAGTTTATCCGACATTTGGAAAATATGGGTAAGTCGAATTCGGGACATTCAATTTCGACGAAAACCTTAGAAGTTCAAATTATCTGAGTGGAATAACTCCGGACGAGGACAGAGTATGCAAAGTATGTAGATTAATAGATTCAGATGAATAGAATATTTAGAAATTGATGAGTTCATTTTCTGATTTCGGACGTCATCAGTTCATTAGATTCAACGAGGATCATTCGTTGAAACTCTCAATTGCTCCGAGTTATTTCTCGCAAACCAAATATGTTCATACTGGAATCAAAGAAGCCAATTCAACACGTTGGTGTGATGAATTCGAGAAGGAAGAGGTGTGTAATGCGAGAAGGAATATGACAGCATCGAAGATAATGATAACGGACGAAGGGTGATCATTGAAATTTTACCAAATTCTAAAATCCCTTTAATATAGTAATTGGCAATTAACATCGGCTCCTTTCGGTCAACGTTCTCCAATGTATTGCCAGTCACGTAAGAATTCTCGAGAATTCGAGACGATTTAATCAATTTAAAGGGTATTACAATTTCGATGAAAACGGCTATTGTCGGAGTGATTTCACTCCGTTTATCAAAGGAACCTACATGTCATGCCACAAGGTTAATTCATACAAATATAAAATTTATTCTCTCTTCTTCTCCATAGGCTTTTGAAATATTGAAAGATTATTATCACGCGAACATTTGGTGCTGGTATCACATGGGAGAAAGTCCATGTAAACGTTGCAAAGACCCATCCGGAATGTTAAGCGAACCTGAAAGTGTTGAGGAAGTAGAACTACTCGGCTGTAAGGATTGCTACCACATATAATTTCAGTTTTTGATTATTCTTCTAATAGTCTAAAGATTAACAAATCAATTTTCAGCGATAGCCAAAGACGACTGGAATTACCATCTCGGTGTCCAACTCCGCAGAGGCCATTTTCATCGGTATCACTATGTTTATTACCCCAAACGAATTTTCGACTTCTATTGGGGGTTATGGGATAAGATCTATTCGCCTGGACCACTAGGATCTCGTATCGTCCTTACGAAAAACAAACTTCTCAAGGATGTAACGTATGTCTTCAATGGTTTTAATTGGAAAAATTTAAGCACAATTAATAGTTTCCAGAACCACTTGTTTTCAAGAAATAATTTATTGTACCCAAATTTTGACTATCGTCAAATGGGACCAACTAAAAATGACACCTCTTTCGTAATTCTCAACTTAATTTTTTAAAATTTATTATAAATTTAATTTTGTATCTTTACTTTCTCAAAATTCGCTACACGGCAAAATAAATGAGCTTTTAATCCAACTTATTAGCCGATGATTAAAATTAATAAATTTAGTACTTCGATGAAACTGGGATTCATGTGTCAATTCAATATCGATCGACCGGATTCTGTTAAAAAACTTTATTGAATAAACATGATTAGCATTGATTTCGTTGAATTTTCTTTTAATTTAGTGGCTTATAAAAATTTACCGTTTCCTTTTCCATTCTCTGCATTTATATTCCACATTGGGTAGATCTTATTATTTATAATTTTCACCTCGATTGGATCACTCGTTCAAAAATTAAAAAGAAAATTAATAATTTCGTATCTTTTTCTGCGGTACTGTATCTATGAAGAGAAATTTTATAAAACGACGACTTTTAGTGGGTTGTTGCGTGTGATACTGGCGAGATTTCGACGATTTTCGACGTGTTGATCTGATTCCGAAGTGATGAGCAATTTATGACAAGTATGACCGGGTTCCTGTAGGAGATCATTTTTTAAACCATGATCGTAAGATAGGAGGTCTTACGAGACAGCTAGATAGTCATAACTAAAGAATTGAATCGCGAAAATGATGCTACTTTTTTCAGTGCGTATAAAAGCATAATAAAACTGAATAATTAATGTTATTTATAATCAATCCAGCTTTACCTGAAATGCAGCAGCACTACAGAATCCTATTGAAGTCAAAATTGTCGTTATACAAAGGGATCTTTCGCTATTTTTCAGCCTCATTGGTAGATGAATCATCTGTATTATAGTAGCCACCGTGCAAATCAATGTTATAATGAGTGAAGTAATTACATAAATTGTTTGAAATAACGATAAGGATGCCTAAAAATATGAGAATTGTTGATTTATTTCCATCATGGTACCCAGGAAAATCGACGTTTATAGTTCATTGATGCGCCTCCGAATGCACTCGTCCAGTAAACTCGAGATATCAATAGATTCCAGACAACTCCGAATGGGAGAATAATTGCCAACGCGACAATTATCGGTAACGCTTTTCTCCAAATCTGGGGAAAATAATTGAAAATGGCCGGTTGATATTTGATTGTGAACTAACTCGCTCGTGACCGAATGGAACATATAAACAAGTAAATCTGTTGACAACTAGGAATATTTGATTGACGCAAAAGCCCGCCCTTCCATAGCAACCGAATGTGTAGAAGAACCATGAAAAGACATTGGGACCATACAAATAGGGACGCATGAAATCGCACAGCGGAATTATGTACAGCATTGGGCGTTGAAACAAGCCGGTAGTGATCAGCATGAAACCGCACTGAAAAATATCGGGTGTTGCACGAAACACTTGCATTTCAGCGAAATTTCTAACCAAAAAGCAATTTATCGCATAAATCACGTAGAACGCGTTCGACAAATAATGCTTGCGGTGCCTTATTAGGATAATCCAGCAGACGTAGAAATTGAAAATGGCGCCTGGGAAAATATAGAGTGCCTGTGCGCCATATTTAGCCAACTCGATTCCCGTATCATAGGATGTGTTGCATTCAAACGGGATTTCACTCGAATCATAGGGATTAAATACCATAGCGTTGAGGGAGGAGGGGTCCTGAAAATTGATCTCTGATATTACGGACAATTTTTCGACACCGAATTTCGATTGGTGCATTGCCATGCATAAAAAAAATTTTTTTGAGAATCATTTTTAAAAAAATGAATTGTGGTACTATGCAGATTTGCAGATTTCGCAAAAAAACTCGAAAGAAAAAACCCAGTCTTTGTCAAATCGTTGTAGGAAAAATAAGATTTTTTAAATGCGCCTTTAATCACAATTGAAACAAATAGCAACCGTAATCGAACAAATTGGATAAAAAAAAACAATTATTACGGAGGAATTGGCAATAATGACAAACTTGCGGTGAATTCTTGAAAATAACCCGAAATTCCCAATTATTAGACTCTCTCGCAATATATATTTCATAGATCAGAATATTTTAGAACATTCGAAACACATATCTGAGGTGATAAAAGCTCGCGGGCACACAATCGCTCCATGAAAAATCTCACCGTCATTTAATAAGTTTCAGAACTGCAGGAAACTTAAATTTTCATAAAATAGGCGGCGAAAGAGTAAAAAATGACGAAAGGCTGATGATTTCCTTGATAGAAATTGAAAAAAAAAATTGCCGAAATTTAAAAATAAGTGGGGTTCGCAATTTTTGTTTCGCAATGGTTCCAAAAAAATTTCTAAAAATGTTTGCGTATACACAGAAAACTGTTCAAAAAATCCACAAATAGAATGTTTTTGACTAGAGAAATTTTAAAAAAAAGTAAAACTCATAGTGAAAACCAATAATTGCTTTGTTTTCAATTTTTTTTTTCATAATTACCGTGCAGTTTCAATGAGAATACGAAACGTTTCAAATATTATGAGAGAAAAGTCAAATTAATTGCCGATACTTGCGAAATTATTCGCATCAACCAGACTAGCCTAGCTCTGGAAATAAACGAAATGTTTCACCTGCAAAACGGAAAAAACTTGACGTGCAATCAAAATTGTTCAGTGTTCTTATAAAGACATTCGCGATAATTGCATATTAACGGCCAAAATAAATAAAAATAATTATTTATTTCTAAAAGACCAATACAGTATTTGCTGAAATGTTTGCCGTTTTCGGGAAATTTGCCACCAATTAGGTAGATATCTACAAAGAGATAGTAAAATATGACAATTGATGTCATAAAAGTTATGCGATTATATAATGTAGTTTTAGACATTAATTACGAAAATTCTATGCATAAAAATGAATAGCGTATTGCCGGAGTCGCGCGACTGCAAAAAAATTGGCTGGTCTTGGCGCAAATCTAATAGTGTAGATTTACGGGCATATGTTAAATATATATTGAACGTTGAAGCGATTTGAAATTTTGGTTTCACATTTTTTCTTGATACCTGATGGTATCGAGAATTATGTCTGTGGGTAGTTTAGAAAATTCTTCCCCTGGAGAACACATTGCTTTTACGGTTACTTTTATTACCCAGCGAATTTCTCGCGAACGCAATGAAAAATCGGTAATGAAAAACATTGGTCTGCAAAGACGACCAAACGACTTCGAGACTTATTTACAGATATATATTGTGCAGGCAAAAAATGTGCAGCAATGATCCATCCATATTTGTCGGATCCGATTCGAATTGAAAACTCAAAACAAAACGTATTCGAAAATTAACCAATCGGGTCCGACAATTTCACAATCTTATCCGTAGAATTACCAAATCGGATCGGGTTGATCTCGGAGGCGAATTTTGTCGGATCCAAAAAGAAATCGAACGTATTAAATCCGAACGCAGCAACAATTAACGAAATCCTATGAATAAAATTGAAACTTCTTACTGCTGTTATATATTTCAAGGTTTTGCCATTCGTACTTTAGAAAATCTACAGTAATCTTAGTTTTAAAAAAAATTCCGGTAATTTTTTCGATAAATTTCTAGATCAAGAAGTTTTCCCGTGGCGGGATATTTCTCACACATTCCTTCTGCACATAACTACACATCATAGGGCATCCATGCGAGCTGGCGAATATGTGGGCTCCCGCATTAACCGCTTTTAAGGAACTTTTCCATTCGAGACCTATTACGCATGCATGGATGCCTTAACACATACTACACAAAAGCTCTCCGTCACAATACTTTTCAAATATTTTCACATATGGTCCATTTCAAAAATAAACCCTACCTGTTTGGGTGAAGATTCAAAAAACAAAATCAAAACCAAAATGAGTAAGAAAAACAAAAAATAGCAAAATAATCACAATTCCAAATTGATTGAATTGATCGCAATTCCAAATTGATTGAGATTCGATGCAACAGAAAACAACAAAAACGATGGAACCCTGAAAATGTTCCAATTTATATTCAATATGAATTTTCTAGTTTGGTTATAAATCGAGTCGGCTCAATTTGAGTATTTGAGTCATTTGAAACAGTTTTCCATGTGATTCTTGGAAATTTTTAAATAATAATATTACCGACCTCGAGCGATGCGGAACTTTGGCTAAATTCCAAAAAAACCAATTACAGTGGTCTTGAAAGAACTGGAGATTTACGGAATAAGCATAATGAGAGATGAAAGGCACACTCGGCGCGCCGAAACCTCTGAATTTTTCTGGCATTTAGTCAACGTTGACAATTCTTTTTTCAAAAATTTAATAAAACGTGCGAAACTAATTTGAAATAGAATATACAAAACCACCAACCTTATTCAGAAGAAAATCTTTTCGACTCGCCTCATAGGTCGATTGGGAGTCCCGCTTCTTATGGGGATATCCACAAACATTGAGCCAAATTGCGACTCATTTCGATTATCTGAAATTGAATTCGCAATATCAAACATAATTACGGAAATGGGAAACGGAACAAACCAATTTATTAAGTCGCAAAACTAATTAAAGTACTAATTAGCCCGGTGATTAATGTCACTGTATGCTAACGTTCGGCAATAAATTTTCCAATATTTTTAATAATATAAAAAATTACTAAAACAGAATTTAAACCTACGAGCAAAGTGTTGGGCGGACTAGTACCCGACTCAGACAATCAGCACTAATTATGACAAAGAGAGAAAATCACTTACAGTATTAGAAGTTGGGTCGAACTGTTTTCAAATCGTTTTGCTGGTCGATCAACACTTTCCACATAGGAAGCGGCTACATATAATTCAACAAGTGAATTTCGCGTCGAAACCGATTGCGCAATTAATTAACTGAAATTAAACGATTACTTATAATAAAAAATAAAAGACAAACTATATCATGAGCGATTCGAGCTTCCTTTGACGGTGGAATCTTATCTCATTTGATCAGGAACATTGATTTTTTGTGAGCTTTCTGAAGTATCAAATTAAAAAAAAAAACTAAAGAAGTTTCATCAAACTGATTTCCAATAAGAGCAATATCCGGGCCCATGAGCGTCCAAGGGCAATCAGAAAATTACGCGCCAAAGCGCCCCAGCTTCAATGAGCTGTTGTGAGACAACAACCGACAGACTACCCCTAACTAAATAAAGCATTTTTGTTGGCGGGTTAGAGCCTCCGAGCCCCTGGACATTGGCTCCCCCGCCTGGATAGTTGTCAGCCTCCAATCACGCAGCAGCTTTTTTGCGAATTCCTTCGCCCTTGGAACACTTGAAACCCAATAAGCCCAGTGCTGCGGATGCAAATTCATGTTTTGTCTGCAATACAGCTAAATTAATACGTTTTCATTACAACCGATTTAAATAAATCACAAACAAGTGAAACTAGTGAAAAATTTACAGCAAAATAAAAAAAAAACTGAAAATGAATGAAAAGAGCGTGGCAGGTGAAAACGTGGAATAGTTGTGATTACTGTAGCATAAAATCTGCATATGACGAAATTGACGAAATAAGGAACAATATTTAATTTCTGTTATTTAAAAAAAAATTATCGATTCTAACTAATGTTGTTGATTTCGAGACAATTTGATTTTCAATAAATCTTGTTTAAATTACTTACAATTTTCTGTCTTTTTCATCTACATTTAATTGCATTGGTTGTTTTAGATTTGCTTGGCAAAACGGCGAACACCGACAATAAAATCGTCAATGTCCAGAATTTCAACAATGGAAAATGATGGGAAATTTGTGAATATGGATCACGTGATAAGACGGTTTTTTATTGAAAGAAAGTACAATACCGTGTTCATTGTTCAGTCAAGATTCCGAAGCATCATTTCCAGAATCTTGAGGCAATACCTATAGACAAGCGAATCAACGAAAAAAAAATTCCGCTTCAGAAAAAACAAATTGAACCACGAAAAATTGGAAATAGCTCTAACAAAAATAAAAAAAAAACATAATATTTATCTTTATTGTAGATTGAATAAAATCTATGCGAACAATTTATTCAGTAGAGTTTTTCAATAGAATTCGGTCGATCGACAATAAATTGACACATGTATCCTATTTGCACCATTCTGCTACAATTATTTATTTAATTCTTTGTCAATTTTTTTTTGATGTTTTGTTCAGTTTTTTTAGCGGTAGTGATTAAGAGAATCGAATTAAACGAGAAATTTTTTTCTATAATTTTCTAAAATTGAATCAATTAAAAACATACTCCAAACTTTTGAGAAGTTTGTTTTTCGTCATAATTATGCGTTGTTCTGGCGGTCCAGGTGAATAGGTCTTATCCCATAATGACCAGTAGAAGTCGTAAATTGGATTTTCTTTGAAATGATTAACCTGAGCAAATCCATCACCCCACTCTTTGATTCCAAGACAGTAGTCCCAGCCATCTTTAGCGATCGCTGAAAATGCGTAGTACGGGCGATTAACATATTTGCCAACTGTTATTCGACCATAATTAAACAATTTTTTTTTCAAAATGCTCAAATCCTAATAATATTTTGAGCAAATCTAAAGAATGATAATACAGTGCGCGTCATAATGTTTTTTTTTCGAATTCGGGACCATTGAAAACCTATATGTGCGTATTTTCACGAGGGTCCGTTGATCCGTATCCGCACAGTCCAAAAAAGTTGGATTTTAAGCGCGTATATTTTGGTCATAACTTTTATAATTCTTATATCCTAATAAAATTTTTGTGCAGACCAAAGAATGATAATATGATTGGTTTATTTGAATACTTGAAATTTATTCTGAAACCTGAAACTGTTTCAATTCAATTACCATTGAAAAAGTTAAACATTGTCGAAGTCGAGCGACTGAGGAAAATTGGCTAGAAGCTAAAAATAAACTAAAACAGTAGTTTTGGTGTAAAAGTAAAAGTTCAGATTTGCGGACCTATGTATAAGGATAACTTAAAGGCGTACACCGCGACCTCTTCTTAAACATTATTGTTGGCATTTAGCCAATTATTCGCAGACATGAGAGCGCGAATATCTTCAGAAGACGATAGAAATTTATTTTTTTCTTTTCTTTCAATAATGTAAATATTGTATAGTAGAAATTCTTACAGCCGAGTAGTTCCACTTCTTCGACACTTTCAGGTTCGCTTAACTTTCCCGATAGATCACTGCAATGTTTGCAGGTATTTTGCCCTATATACATTTCGCATTTCGTGTACGCTGATGAATAGCTACGAGGAAGGTATTCATAAGCCTATAAAGTATGAAATTACTAAAATTTTTATGTATTAATTGCCCGGTTTCTATGTATTAATTGACCCCCGAGGGTGACTCGGTTCAATTTATTCTTGCCAAAAAGATTTTCAAATTTTTGAGGCTTACAAGAGGCTTATGCTCATGCTTATGTTAGGTAATGCTCCGAAATTTGCTCATGGTGGTGAGGGGCCTCTCTGACTTGGGTCTCTGACTTGGTCCACAGTCTCGGTATCGATCCGGTTTCTAGGTAGCGGTTAAATCGGTCCGTTATAAGCGCGATAGTGTTTTCGTGGAAGCATTTCGCAGGAAATCTGCGTTTATTTTAGCACTGCCTGCTGATTTTCCATTTGGAAAGGACCGAAGTGGCGAAACGATTTCCTCTCGTAGAAATGGAAGGGGTCTATCCTTGTAGAATGATTCCACTTCCTTCTCCATTTCTGTTCTAGAGGTGAGAGTTCTGCCTGTAGTAGAGCATTTGAGGCATGGAATCAGTGACTTGTATTCGTTCATGTCTCGCGCTACTCTGAACTGAACTGATGACGTAGTGCATATTCTTCGAAGAATATTTCCGAAAACTTTCCAACGTCTCCATGAACAGCTGGAATTGAATGAATTTCACTTGAATTCAATCAGAAATGAACCAGCATATGAGTCTTTGTATGGTATTTCACAAAAAAATAGAATATTATCGTCTTTGATATCAATTGGTTTGATATAACCAAATTTCCCAATAAATTGTTCTCTAAAATCGAAATATTCATCGTCTTCTCGTAGATCATCAGATTTATAAATATTTTCAGAATAAATTCCCTCATAATTTGTGAGAAAATCCATCCAAACTGAAGCCGATGGTCTGAATATTCTCTCAATAATTCCAATCAAATCGAGTCTGTCGAGTTTCGCCAATTTGAAATTTGATCCACACGTTTTGTTGATTAAATTATAATTTGTTGCATTTTCAGACATTAAATAACATTTGTCATCAATTTGAAGATAATTTCGCGGACAAGTATAATAATGATCTAATTATTTACGTAGATAGGGTAATTAAAGTGAATTCAAACCGAAATCACATTCGATGATATACTCATCAATTTGTCTTCCAGCTTTCACCCTATATGGCACAAGTCGTCTACAAGCCTAGACTGGCCCAATCTGCAGTTTTTTATTTATTTTAACAAGAATGGTTTTTGACTAAATACGTACAAATTCATTGGCTGCAAACTGGATCTTTGCATTTTTACAATACACTCCAGTTCCATAAAACTATAATCCATTTCAGAATTTCAATTTTAAAACCACAAACGATATCAGTTCGATTTGTGCTTTGTCCTCCACTTTGTCTACATAAAATATGAAAAAACGAATCATCAAAATCGTAATATTTTCTGCTTCGGTTTCTAATATAAATACAATGTAAATTTGAATTAGAATTCCTGAAATATCCTTAATTTTATTCATGAATTATTCACGTTCTTCTAATCATATCGTAGAAATTAACCAAATTTCAATTTACGATTTGCAAAATACACGTATTATGTTGCCAATTAATATACATTATTCCACTTTTGCAGTCAAATAATTATTTTGTAATTCTTTTAATTGTAAATTTAATAAACTAAAGAAACCAATTTATTCAATAACGTTTTTCGATCGAATCCTTCTACTTGTTAGTATATTCAGTTGATTTATTAATTCGTTCTCGAGAGCGAGTAAGTTTTAAATAAATAAATAAATATTTTTTTTTCTTGATAATATACACAAACTTCGTTCCGCTCGCACTCGATGCAATGTATCGTTTTCCATAATTGTTATTGTTGTAAGTCGGAAAACTCGAATTACAATTCAAACTTTATCTAAAGTAAGCGTTAGGCAACAATAACGAACGAAGCGCAATTCAATTAGTTAACGGATAATAATAACAATAATGGCTAGCCGGGGGGAATGGATAGTATGTGAATAACAATAATAATGAAGCAGCACGGTAGGAAAATATAAATAACAACGAAAACCAATCAAGCAACTCGGGTCCGGGCCTAAAACAATCCAACAACTCAACTTCGTGTATTTGCGCGCCAACTCTGGTGTGTGTGTAAACACCGTGATATTCACCGTAACCGCAGGATTTAAACTGCTGATATCTTTCTTCATATCTTCTTGCTAATCGCAACAGTTATTATTGTCGTTGATCTTGCACTTTCTTGTTTCTGTAAACCCGAAGAAATATCCGTTGACCGCCCGTTTGCAGATGGGGCGCGACAGATCGCACGAAATCTGGCCTACAAACGGGCGGCCGAAATTGACTAACAACGAGTTGGCGGAAACCGCAAATAAAGTTATGAAATGCGAATGAATCAAATTTGTTACTTGAAGGGCACGGCCACCCCATTACACAAGTACAGTTTGCGATGTTCTGTGGGCACTCGAAGCATCCGGAATCTCCACGGTGGCACGCCGGCTCTATGAAGAGCGGGTGCACACCGTCCGGGCAAACGACAGGTTCTTCGTATGGCCCTAAACCGTATTCGTTAAGAATTTGAGAGTTTAATATTGAATCATTCATAAAATTGTTACCTTCACAGCATACTCCGATGTCCGTGCAAAAACCGAGAAGTTCTCCATTTCCTAAATCTGGATTACAGGTTTTAAAGCTGGTCATCGTCCCGCTTCGCATTCACGGACTGGCCGGACGAGAGTTCCGCCAAATCAGACGTCCAGCAACCCGGAGCAACAGAAATCACCAATCAAATTGATTGCAAAAAGCACTTAAAACGTGAATTAAAAGTTTAATTTTCAGAAAATGGTTTACTTGGGAATCAACCCGCCAGTGCCGACCATTCCTTTCATCAGATGTGCGCAATCCATGTCTTCCGAACACGGGACCAGCGGCTTCTTGGCGGGAATGACGACGTTGATCTGACAAAATTCACGACAACCGCAGAAACCGTCCATTTTTTCTGTCGCATCCAAACAGTTGAAATCTCCGCAATCAGCGTCCGATTTGCAGATTTGAACTCCAAACTCGTTGAGAAGCTTCGTCGCTGTATATGCCCTCTTCGTGACTGAAACAAGATTGTTCGATAACATGGTAGTATTTTTAAAAGCTGAATTTCTTATAATTACAAGATTCAGGGTAACTCACTGTTAAAGCATCCTGTTCGATTAGATATTTCCCTGTTCGTGGTGACAAAATTGTCTCAGGACTCAGGGTTGACAATCCGAATTCGATTGGCAAACGGGTAAATCTTCCGATGTTTCTGTAATATTAAAACATTATGAAGTTATGTGATTAAAATAGTCTATACTTGTATAATTAAACAAAGGGTGGTTAATCAACGATTTCGGCTAGGCAATATCTGAAAATTAGGATTATAAGCCGTTAATACAAAATATAGATCATCCTTCAATGCTTCACTTTGATTCCGAATTTTCGAATGAGGTGTGATGAAATTTAAAAATAAAGGATCAGCGCAGAGAAAATTTGAAGAGTAAATAATAGACAAAATAAATCATGTTTTTTCCTTTTTTTTTTGAAAAATATTTCTCCTTTTTTACTGCATTTTCTCTGCATTGCCCCATATGAAAACCACAATGTGAAAAAAAAACTATTAAAAAAAAATAACAAATATAAAAAATAAAATGTAATAATATGTGGTACAATAACACAAAAAGTGTAGAATACCCATTGGAGTAAAATCAAAAACCGTAAAAAAGTTAAATCGCGCAAAATTCGAAATGGTGCAATGCTTAGCCCGCTCCTAACCTGTGGTTTCCCCAATCTGCATGGAACCATAATATATGTATTTATATTTTTTCATAGTATTTCTAACTGGAACTGATTACGATTGGAAGATCATTTCGCGATTTTTTTTTCATATGGATGCCCAATTTAGATATTTTCGAAAAAAATGTTACCATCGAAATAAAAACGGGTTCTTCTAATAATTCTGGATGATTTTTTTTCGCATTTTTTCGAAGCGGCAATTCAAATTTTAAAAATCAAACTCCCCGTATATCGGCCCATTGCCATCAACCCCCAATTTTCAACCCCTACCCCTGATTTTCCATCCCCAAAATTTAACCCCCATTTTTTATTTTTCAACCACCCCCTAATTTCTACCCCCAGATTTTAGCCCCATTTTTATTTTTTTATTACCGGTCAATGTTAATTGACTCAAATTTTTGACTTGAGAACAATTTTTGACTTGAGAACTTTCCAATATTCCAAGTGTCCAATTGTGCAATTTTGTATCAAGCTTCTATGCAAGCCTTGCGCAAATCAATACCTAAAAACAATAGTGGCAGCCAAATAGGCTTAAATTTTTTGTACAATTTAACACATTTGAGTAATATAAATTTATTTTAGAAAAACAATGTTAAATTAGAATGGAAAGGGAACAAAAAAAGGGAAACATTTACCAAAATTACAAAAAAAAAACCAGCGAATCGAAGAAATGATATAGATGGCGCGGGATTACCGCCAGACGAAGCCTGAGAGACATATAAATCATGGAGTAATGTTGAAAGTGAAATAAAATTCGAAATATACGAAAAATAAAACAATCCTAAAAATTGGGAAAATATTACTCATTTATTTATTTTCAGTCCTAAATGCCTACTAGTTTACAACAATATACACTTAAAATACAACTATAATTAATTTAATTCCAATTTGAAAAAATATATCGCGAAAAAATGGTTGAAAACTTTAACAAATAGAAAAAAATTGAAGTAAAAATAATACGGCCGACAGCTTAAAGGTGCAGCGTTACTGTAACATTCGCTTAACTGTGCGATTTTTAATAAGTGGATATTTGAAAAATTAATCCATTTTTTTTCCTATTTTTAACGTTTTTTTGCGATTTATTCTTTTAAAATTGGATTTAAATTAATTCTAAGTGTATATTTTTGTAAACTAGTGGCTATTTAGGACTGAAAATTAATAAATGAGTAATATTTTCCCAATTTTTAGGATTGTTTATTTTTCGTATATTTCGAATTTTATTTTTTTGATTTACCAGATTTTGATTTACCAGAGTGCTCATAGAATTCTATATCTTGAAGTTCGTAAAAATTCATTCATTTGTTGCATTCCAAAAGAAATTAGAATGAAATAATATATTTTTTGGCATTAAATTAAAATGAACTTCTTTCAGTTAAAAATAGTTAAAAATGATTGTTATTTGCTTGTAGAAAATCCGATTATAATTCGTCTTAAAATTTATTCTAATTAACTGCCGCACACTTGCTCAAATGTATGCGGCGTTTGTGATTATTGCCACGCCTACATTTTCGGAGGATTTGTTCGATCGAATCTCGGTTTATTATGTCATTTTTTCTTTTTTTTTTTAATTGTTTTCTTTATTTTTAAAATTCCTTTTAGGATGAGAGAACTCATATTTTCAACATATTTGATTCGATTCCCCTCTTTTTAAACAAAATTAGAAAATTTTGGTAATCAAAATTGTTGAAAAAATAGTTTATTTTAGACTAATTTTTTTCAGGGATTTGAAATCGATGTTTTCTTTTTTATTTTCTTTCGAAATATAATTTGATAATAATGCTTGAAATTAATAACCAACTGTTCTCATCTTGGTTGAAGCAATATTGAGTAAGTTTCAAATCGCACACAATCTAATAATAACTATAAAACTTTTAGATTTGCCGTCTTTTTTAGGCTGAATGAGGACGAACGAGAGTACATGGAAATAAGAGAATTGAAAACAATTATTACTTTATCTCACTAGTGAGCAAATTATTTTTAAATTAATGTCTTATATTCCAGGTATTTCCAGTCTCACTATTTTCGACAAGTTCGAATGTTAAAATGATTGCCAGTTCAAAAGACAATATTACATCTACGGACTTAAGCAATATTTTCGCGCTAAAAAGTAAGCATTCTCAATTGAAGAAATAATCAAATTTTCTATTTCGCCCGAATTCTTACTTTCAGAAATCCAACAAGGTCGGTGATTCCATCAGTAACTGAATGAGAACTCGATTGTGATATGACCTACATACATCTCACTTGGCATAACTTGGCACTCCTATTCGTTTTACTAGTGATTGTGGATCAACGTCATCTTGGTATGACTTCAACGCATTGCTTGAGGAACATTAATTGGTTTCCAGGAGACTGCGGAATTAAGAAAATCCTTAATTAAGAAAGATGTTTGAATGAGTTTTGTGCATTATGCAATTGTCTTAAAACCGTGCAAAATCTTTGAAAACCTGGATTGAAATGAATAAAATGTTGTATTATTACAAAATATTTATTTTACGAGGTTAATAAAGCTAACGAACATTTAAAAAACATTAACATAAGTAAAACTTCGATTAAAAGGATAAAATAAAATAATTAGTTACAGAAAACGACAATTCAGAAAAAGATAAAAGCGAAAATGATACAAAAAACTTTAATTTTAGAAAAAAAAACTATAAAAAGATACAATCCGGGAGCAAACACTATTTTTTTAGAAGTAAGAATTTAAAAAGAAAAAATTTAAGAATTTTCAGACCGCCATAGAAATAGAACATTAAAAAATACAAAGACAGGAGAGTGAAATATCACATAATTTAGGTGAAAGGACGGGTCAAATAATAAACGATACCGAGCAAAAACAGGGCTGTCATCACAAGTGTTGGAATGATGATCATGGCTTCTTCGCGGGAGACGTAATCCGCGATGGTCACTTTCCCATTGGCCAGCGCTTTGAGAAACTGCAAAACAAAAAATGAAATAATAAATTGAATATTCAAAGCTGGGGAAATTTATAATTTTAGGGTACGGCACACAAAGTCCGTAAACACTTTGACTATAAATGCACACTATCAAATCTGAGATTTTTCCACTTTTCGTTATTTAATTTGTGTTTTATTGAATTTTTCTAGAATTTTACCTCGTCTTTATCGTTCGAAGCGCCCGAAATTGCATCTTGACCAATATCTTTGAGTTCCTTCAGCAATTCATCTATTTCGGCAGTGATTGCATTGGAAACAACGTCGGGAATGAAAAAGAATCCAATAACCATAATGAGGAATAACGGGGCGCCGTATACAAAAGCCTTCAAGAAGACTCGTGTGCTTCGCCTCATATGCTCTTCATTTGATTTTTCCATTCTTGCACGCTTCTTGTTTCTTCTCCTTTGGTGCATTCTTTTCTTTTGCTTCATCACCCGTCTTCCTCTTCCTCTTCGGAATGTCTTCGTCCACTTCTTTCTCTTTTCAGCCTCACTCAGTTCCGACGAATAAAGGGAAGACGGCGTTTCGGTCGAAGTAACGCACTCACATGTTTGCTTCGTGTGCCGTGTGCCGTACTTCTCCCGCCGCCAGTTCTCCAGAATCTCTTCGTGCCGTTCCTCCATTCGCCTCATCATCATCTCCTCGTACGCCTCTTCCAGCGCTATTCTTTGGTCGTAGGCGTTTGGAAAATATCGTACTTCGAAGAATCGATAAATCCGGAAGCACACCCACACGATGGCTATTCCATACGCGGTCCCATTCGGCCCAACCGTCATCTTCTTCGTTCTCATTCTCCTGAAATTTAATCGATTATTGATTGTTCTCTAATTCTAATCTGTTACCAGGAAATTCGGATTGGGGAAAGCTGCGCATTGACCTTCTTCTAGATAAAAGACACAAACTTCGTTAGTCTCGCAGTCGCTGAAATTGTTTTTTATTAGAATTATGGCCGTTTATACCTGTTGATCTGGCATTTCCTGGTTTCGACAAACCCGAAGAAATCCGGGAAAAACCTCCCATATAATGCAATCGTTTTGGTTTCGGGGTGACAGTACCCGTTGACCGCCCGTTTGCAGATGGGGCGCGACGGATCGCACGAAATCTGGCCTACAAACGGGCGGCCGAAATTGACCAACAATGAGTTGGCAGCAACTGAAAATAAAGTTATTAAATGCGAATGAATCAAATTTGTTACTTGACGGGCACGGCCACCCCATTACACAAGTGCAATTGTCGATTTCTTCGGGCACTCGAAATATCCGGAATCTCCACGGTGGCACGCCGGCTCTATGAAGAGCGGGTGCACACCGTCCGGGCAAACGACAGGATCTTCATAAGGTCCTAAAACGTATTGTTTAAGAATTTATGAGAGAGAAATTGTTACCTTCACAGCAGACTCCGATGTCTGTGCAAAATCCCAGGAGATCCCCATTTCCCATGTCCGGATTGCAGGTCTCAAATCCGGCCATTGTTCCTGCTTGGCATTTTCGCAATGGCCGGACGAGATTGCCGCCAAAGCAGACGTCCAGCAATCCGGAACAACAGAAATCTCCTGTTTGATTGCAATACGCACTGCAAACGTGGATTTAAAGTTTGATTTTCAGAAAATGGTTTACTTGGGAATCAGTCCGGCGGATCCGACCATTCCATCCATCAGATGGACACAATCCATGTCTTCGGAACACGGGACCAGCGGCTTCTTGGCGGGGGCTTCAACATTGATCTGACAGAATTCACGAGTTCCGAAGAATCCATAAGTTTCATTGGTAGCATCCAAACAGTTAAATCCGTCACACTCGGCGTCCGATTTGCACATCCGAATTCCAATCTCAAACAGAAGTTTCGTCGCGGTGTCCGCCCTTTTCGAGACTGAAACAAGATTGTTCGATTAGTTTTACATTCCAGGCTAGATTTTTAAAATCTAAATGTTTTTTTATTAGTGAACTAAGAAGGAAACTTACTGTTGAAACATCCAGTTCTATTAGAAATTTCCCTATCTTTGTTAACCAGGTTGTCGCAGAACATATTGGGTCCGCAGTCAATGTTCGATTCGCATTGTGGTTGGTCTTCTGTCGATTCTGTATTAAAGTTATTAACTGAAATATTGTGATTATGATAGATTATACTTGTATAATTGAATAATGAGTGATTAAGCAACGACTTCGGATGGACGATAACTGAAAATGGTGATTATAAGCAATCATATGAAGAAAAAGCACGATAAAAATATTATAAAAAATGATTAAAAAAAATTCGAATAAAATACAAGTCGATGTGAATAATTCTGCATACTATCAACATATATACAGGGTGTCATTTAAGTTCCCGCACAACTTTGAAGACGTATATTTCTGAAACTAAAGGTCCAAATCAAACGAGACTCGAAATATTTTTTATCTATAGTATAACAAATATTTATCTATTAACTCTTTTCGATTCGGCCTCCTTTCGGAGCTATGACTTCACAGAGACGCTTCGGGTAGGATGCGACTGTGGTACGCAGGTATTCGATGGAAAGATTGTGCCATTCCGCCAGTAATGTCTTCTTCAGAGTCTCTACACTTGAGTGGGGTTTTGCGTTGACCTTCTCCTGCAAGACCCCATCACGGAGAAGTCAAGCGGGTTCAGGTCTGGGGACCAATCAGGCCATTCGGATGACTTGATGAAGTCGGGAAAATGGGTCTGGCACCACTCCTGAGTAGTTTTGGCAGTGTGGGCGGGTGCTCCGTCCTGTTGAAAGACCCATTTCTGCCCAACGAAATGCGTTTGGGTCCAGGGCATCACATGCTCCTCTAAAAGTCCCGAACGTAGACTTCTTTGTTCATTTTCACCCCTGATCTGCAAAACCAGGGGCGCTTCCCGGTTGAGCAGATGGCACCGAAAACCATCATACTGGCAGGATGTGAGGCTCGATGTATTGTTCTGCTTTTTCGAAGCTTGCTGGGATGTCTGGGCAAGTACTCGATGGTTTTGTGAGTTGAATGCCGCCTCCACAGTGAATAGCTTCTCGTCGGAGAAGACAGTGACGAGATGTTCTCCAGACTGCGTGCGAGCAAGAAGTTGTTTTGCTTTTTCGAAGCGTCTCTGCTTGTTGACGGCCGATAGAATTGCCGCTTTTTGGACACGATATGGGGTCAGTCCAAGCTTCGTTTTGACGATTTGTTCCATAGCGAAGATGCTCATTCCCACGTCTGACGCCATCTTTCTCATGCTCCTGTGGGGTTTCGCCTGATCCTCGATTTGACGGCGTTTATCTTCTGAGGAGTGGTTACTGAGACGAGTCTTCCTTGTCTGGGACGGTCACTGGTCGTATTTAGCTCCTTGAAACGTTTGATGGTGTCGCAAACCGTTCTACGAGGCACAGCGAGGCGTTCAATGATGTCTCTCGGGCTCACATTTTGCTTATGAACTTCGATAATGGAAGCGCGATGGATGTTAGCCTTCGCCATTTCTCGGAAACACATCCGAAAGAGGTGAAACTTGGAAAGTAAGTAAAATATACCTTATTTAACAAAAATAAATTGTATTGGTGCACGAAAAGTGCGCCAGCCAAGCTCTTCATGGCGTCAAACTTTTGTGCGGGAACTTAAATGACACCCTGTATATTATTTAAAAAAAACATGAAAAATTTTCGCTGCTCTTGGAATCTGACAAAATTGTTGCAAAAATCGACAAATTGACGAAAAATTAATTTCGCATCGTTGTCAGTAATTGGACTGCTTCGTTGTGTTAATATAGTATTTCTATTTAAACATCATTTTACTATTGAAAAAATGTTTGTTTTATTTTTTTGCTTTTTTTCAATCTTTCGTACTTTCTCTGTGTTAGATAGCTGCAGATGACTTCGAGATTAAGACCATTACCTCAAAATACTCTTTGTTAGTGTTACGGACCGATAGAGACCGCTAATTGATGGATGGGACCAGTGTGTGCTCTCGAGAAAAAATTCTCGAGAAAAATCGAGAAAATTAACCGGTACCGAGAGAATTTCTCTCGACAATGTCTTCGAGACTCCCGAGACTTTCCAAAAAGTACCGAGACTTGCAAGAATTTCTCGAGACTTTCTCGGGAGTCTCGAGACTTGCGAGAATTTCTCGAGACTTTCTCGGGAGTCTCGAGACTTTCTCGAGAAAAATCTTCCGAGACTCCCGAGAAATTCTCGGGAGTCTCGAGACCTTCACGGGAATTTTTTTAGTGAACAAAAAAAATTATTTTTTCTCCTTTAAGTTCGTTTCAATACTAACAAATGCTAACAAGGGAGGTCTTTTTGCTGTCCGTCTTAAAAGTTGTCAATTTTTGCATACAGATTCTTTAGAAAATTTCCAATCGAATGAACTAAGTTCCTCCCTACCTGCGAAAACTTTTAGTATGCAAAATTCACGTGGGGTGGGGCTAAAACTTTGATGGTCCTTAACACGATAACTAGAAGTTTTCGCAGGTAGGGACCTAGTTCATTCGATTGGAAATGTTCTAAAAAAAATCTGTATGCAAAAAATTGCCAACTTTTAAAACGGACAGCAAAAATACCTCCCTTGTAGGTTAAAAGTGATTGATATGCCACCCAAACTAAATACTCACATTACGCATCAGATAAAGAAAGAATTTAAACGAATGAAATTATTTCCTACATATTTGTGAATATTTTCGAAACTAAAAAAATAGCTGTTTCGCTTTAACCGTGACGCATACGCGTCGCGTTTCGGTTGTTAATCGCGGTCGGCTAAACACGCCAACTTGAAATTTTGGTCTTGGTGAAACATATGGCACTAAAACCTTATGGTACGAAAACCTTAGACATAACTTTAATCGCAAACAATCGTATGCAAAAAAAACGATTTATTTATGTATTAATCCCCTTTTTATACGGGCGAACATTTTCAAAATATGTTGACTATGCTAGTTTTCAAAACCCTACTAGTTATTAATTTAACTACTGAATTTCATCAATAAAAAAAATCCCGAGAAAGTCTCGAGACTCCCGAGAAATTCTCGGGAGTCTCGGAAAAATTCCCGAAGAAAGTCTCGAGACTCCCGAGAAATTCTCGGGAGTCTCGGAAAAATTCTCGAGAAAGTCTCGAGACTCTCGGTTCCCGTACGCGCGACTACCCGTATAGTACCGAGACTAATAATTTCGAAAATTTCTCGGTGCTTCCGGGAGTCTCGAGAATTTTGTTTCTGGGTAGTTTAGGGAATTCTCGGGAAATTCTCTCCCGAGAGCACACACTGGATGGGACCAACATTCATTCTACCCTTCCCTTTATATATGAAGTCCTCCTGAGCCGCCACCCACTATTATATTTATATCTTGTTCTAATAAAGTGTTCTCTGGCTTTACGGAAAGATAGTGAAAGCGTGGCTGTGAGTTGCTATTCGGAACCCAAAAAACCCCTTCTCCCGACATTAGACATTTTCTTGAAATAGAGAGAGCCTTCAAATCAATAAAAATTCGCACGACGCAAATAATAACAACATACGACAACAGTCCTCGATTGAAGTGTTCGCAAGAGTGCATGTGATAGTGTCATCATCAATTTTTATATTAGACTTCCATCCGGTTAGGCATAGTGGTTCCTTTGCTGAATCACGAATAAATGAATTTTTTGAAATGTTTAATTATACTCACTGCAGCAGCTCGGCTCAAGGAATCCTGGAGGCTGTACGCATTTTAAGTCTTTATCTTCGCACCATCCGCCAAGAACGCATCTAATATCAGACGAACAGTCTGAAAAGGAAAAACGTAGAAATCGAGTTTGTTAATTTGAGCGACTTACCCCAAAGCACTTCCTCGAATGAGAACAAGACCAAAAAGGAGAGAAGAATCAAAAATCGCATTTCAAGAAAAGAGTGGAAGCAATTCACAACCGATTACGGATGAAACTATGACTTGAAATAAAAATTTGCACGTGTATTTCCAATTTTCTCCTTTTCACGCAAAATCATTTCTGAGTGTAAAATTATGGGGATGAGTTGAAAATCGGGGTTTTCAGGATTCACAAGTTTAATACTTTATTAGCCTATAAAATAAAATAACATCAATTACACTTTATATATTTTATAAAATTTTGGCGAAACTCGACAGACTCGATATAATTGGAGTTGTCGAGAGAATATTCAGACCATCGATTTCCGTTTGACCTTTGAAAAATATGGGTAAGTCGAATTGGAGAATTTTCAATTTTGATGAAAATTTCAACCATTGTTCTATGTTTAATTATTATTCAGCCAGTTACTTACCGTGTGGCCATAATTCTATCCAAAACCGCTTTTTCAGCTATCACGTTTTTCAAAGTTAGCGGATTGATCTGATATTTTAACATAATGCGCGGATCACTCTTTTGATAATGTACATATTTTTAAATTGCATTTTTTTTTTGAATATTTGTTTATTTTTTCAATTATTTACTTTTTTGCATTCTCAGTTTTTTTTCATTAATGATTATTGTGATGTATAAGACGCCTCTAACATGTCATAACTTTTTCAAAATTGCTCAAAAATATGCTTAAAACTTTGACAACAAGAATCTTTCAAAAAAATCCAAGAAGCCATCGTCCGAGGAAGAAGAAACGGAACGACTGTCAAGCACCTGTCGCAAAAAAAATCTGTGTTCGATATCGGCTGCTTATAACGTTATTTTTCAAATGCAAGAGTTCAAAATCATTTCTTAATATCTTAAAACTTTAAGAAATAGGTTTTGATGGGTGCCCACTCCGGAAGACCGGCTTCTTCTAGAGAAGATATATGTACTTGAGAACACTATGAGACCATGGGCTCTTCGAAACGTCAGACGCGGATGCGTTTTCTAACGGGTAACGATCCAAATCACTCCTCCCTTCATCATCAATTAGTTCGATGGTGGTCGTATTGATGTTTCAGAGTGGCTGAGCCAGTCTCTAGACCTTTATCCAATCGAACACATGTGGGAAGAGCTAGAGTCTTTCTGGAGTTTGTGCCACAAAACCAATACAAAAATTTTCCAGAAAATTTATAAGATCAGACGAATTAATCGGAATCGTTTGAAGAATTCGAGGGAATTCGACTTTAAATTGCTAGTCTTTTAGAGATTGAAAAAAATCGATAGAGTCGCTGTGAATTGCAAATAATCAAACAATACGTGTATTTTTCAAATTTTAAAAATGATATTTGGTTCATTTCTACGTTGAAACTCTATGATTGTATTTACAAAATTAGGTAAGAATTTCAAAATTATTCGCCTTGTAATCTAGTTTTTATGGAAAAATAAAAGGATGATTGGATTCTGAAATATCCAGAATCATGTGAAACAATTAAAATCAACATTTGCATACATTTCAGGAATCCTAATTCACTTTTACCACATAGTTATATTGAAATCAGAAGAAGAAAAATATTACGATTTCGATGATTCTCTCTTTCATAGTTTTTGTCGAAGAAGTGGAGGACAAAGCACGAATCGAACTGATTTGGTTTGTGGTTTTCTGATTGATTGAATTCTGAAATCGATAATAGTTTTTAAAAGTAGGAGTGTCTTGTAAAAATGCGAAATTCCAGTTTCCAGCCAATGAATTTGTACGTAATTTAATAAAAGGCAATTAAATTTGAAATAGAAATTGCAGATTGGACCAGTCAAGGCTTGCAGACGAATTGTGCCATATTGGGTAAGAAATGCAAGAATAATCGACGAGTATCTCATCGAATGTGATTATGGTTTGAATTAGAAATAATTACTTGAATTCTGATGATTAATTAGATCATCAATACACTTGTCCACGTAATTATCTTCAAATATATAACAAATGCTATTTGATGGCAGAAAATCCAAAAAATTATGGAATTAATAAAACGTGTGGACCAAATTTCGAATTGGCGAAACTCGACAGAATCGATTTGATTGGAATTATTGAAAGAATATTCAGACCATCGGCTTCAGTTTGGATGGATTTTCTCACGAATTATGAGGGAATTTATTCTGAAAACATTCATACATCAGATGATCTTCGAGATGACGATGAATATTTCGATTTGAGGGAACAATTTAATGGCAAATTTGGCCCTATCAAACCAATTGATATCAAAGACGACAATATTCTATTTTTATGTGAAATACCATACAAAGAATCATATGCTGGTTCATTTCTGATTGAATTCCAGTCAAAATCAATTCTATTCCAGCCGTTCATGGAGACGTCGGAAAGTTTTCGGAAATATTCTTCGAAGAATATGCACTACCGAATAATCAAGTGTATCCGACATTTGGAAAATATGGGTAAATCGAATCTGAAACGTCGAATTTGGGCGACAATCTTAGAAATTCTAGTGCGATTAAATCAAGTACGAAAAATGAAGACAGAGTGTGCAATGTATGTAGATTAATAGATTCAGATGAATAGAATATTTAGAAATTGATGAGTTCATTTTCTGATTTCGGACAGCATCAATTCATCAAATTCAACGAGGATCATTCGTTGAAACTCTCAATTGCTCCGAGTTATTTCTCGCAAACCAAATATGTTCATACTGGAATCAAAGAAGCCAATTCAACACGTTGGTGCGATGAATTCGAGAAGGAAGAGGTGTGTAATGCGAGAAGGAATATGACAGCATCGAAGATAATAATGTTGCGAGGAGCAAGAAAATATGAAGAAAGATATTAGCAATTTAAATCCTGCGGTTACGGTGAATATCACGGTGTTTACACACACACCAGAGTTGGCGCGCAAATACACGAAGTTGAGTTGTTGGATTGTTTTAGGCCCGGACCCGAGTTACTTGATTGGTTTTCGTTGTTGTTTATATTGTCCTACCGTGCTGCTTCATTATTATTTGTATTCACATACTATCCATTCCCCCGACTAGCCATTATTGTTATTATTATCCGTTAACTAATTAAATTGCGCTTCGTTCGTTATTGTTGTCTAACGCTTACTTTAGATAAAGTTTAAATTGTAATTCGAGTTTTCCGACTTACAACAGTGGCGATCAGGAACAAGAACAAAAAAAGGGATAACCGTAAAATGGGAGATAACAAAGACACGGCGATGTTGCAAATGATGAAATTGCTGCAAGAGCAAATGGAGTTAACGAGGATTCAGGCGGAGGAAGGGAGGAAGCAAACGGCAAAGTTTGCGGAGTTGGTGGAGCGATTGTCCGGAAACGCGCAACAGTCAACAAAGTTGGAAAAGGTAGAGGTTAGCGAGGCTTCCATTATAGCATCATTAGCTGAGCGGATACCAACATTCGATTTCAATCTTGAGGATAATCGCACGTTTCCGAAATGGTACAATCGTTATTCAGAAATGTTAAAAGGATTATCGGAAGACGGGAAGCGCCAACTGCTATTGGAGAAGCTGTCTGAACCCTGCTATGAGCAACTGGTGGCTGCGCTAAGACCGAAAAGATGCATTGAGCTAAGTTTTGAGGAGCTCACGGAAACTTTGTCGAACATATTCGACATTAAACGGTCTCTTTTTGCATATCGGTTCGCATGTTTGCAAATATCCAAAGCAGAAGAAACGCCTACGGAGTACGCTAACAGAGTGAACGAAATGTGTGAAAAAGCGAGACTGGAAGAGTTAAGCGCTGAGGACTGGAAGGTCTTTTTCTTTATAAAAGGGTTGGATCGCCCCGCCGATGAGAAAATGCGGACTCATTTTCTGCATTTCATGGAACGAAGGACCACGGAACAGAAGCAAACGACAATAAAGGACTTATTCGCTGAGTGGATGAGGATCTTAAGCCTAAAAAAAACTCGGAAGAAATCGAAAGGAGGTCTATGGCTGAGGTAAGCCAAGTTCACAAAAGAACCTCGAGGCCCGAGTGGAAAGGTGGAGACCAGCGAACAAAGCAGACAAATCGGAGCAGGAGTCGGCAACAAAGAAAGGTATCGAAGACCAGGGAATGCTGGAACTGTGGTGAAACAGGGCATTTCAAGAAGGAATGTCGTAAATCCGCTGCAAAACCCAAAAGGACGTTTAGCGTCGTATCGAGCTGCACGATAAACACTATTAGGAAGTTCTTACCGGTAAGGGTAAAGGGCCAGTGGATTGATTTCCAAGTGGATACCGGAGCCGACATTACCTTGATCGGTAGAGTCGAGTGGGAAAAGTTGGGAAAACCAACTTTGGAAACAGCTGACGCCAAAGTCATATGTGCAAATGGATCCACAATGGAAATAGACGGTCGATTCCATACTGATTTTGAACTAAAAGGATCCACCGGTCAAGGTTGGATATATGTTCGAAAAGAAGGAAACCTGCTTGGATTAGATTTTATCAATCAATCCGAACATATGGCGTACCATATGGAGCGAATGGTAAGCCAGGTCGAATCTGTAAAAAAGGATTGGGCCAAAGAGTTACAAACAAGATTCCCAACCGTGTTCCAGGAAGAGCTGGGAACTTGTGTCAAGGAGAAGGCCCACCTGGAAGTGAAAGAAGGGGTAACCCCGGTGTTCAAGAAGGCCAGACCGGTCCCCTATGGTTCGCTAGAAGCCGCTACTACAGAAATCGAAAGACTCTTCGGATTGGGAGTCATTGAGAAAATCGCACACAGTCAATGGGCCGCACCGACGGTTATTATTAAAAAGGCCAACGGTAAAACCCGAATGTGCGCCGATTTCAAAACAGGATTAAATAATAATCTTGAAGAAGATAAGCACCCGCTACCCACTCCACAAGACATTTTCACACGTCTGAATGGTGGAAGGATCTTTTCCCAAATCGATCTGGCAGATGCGTATTTACAGATCGAATTGGATGAGGAGTCGAAGAAATTGTGTGTAATAAATACACACCTGGGTCTTTTCAAATACAACAGACTGCCATTCGGAGTGAAAACGGCCCCAGCAATTTTTCAGCAAGTGGTCGACAAAATGATCACAGGTCTAAATGGAGTAGCGGCGTATCTTGATGATGTAATCATTGTCGGAAAAACCGAAGAAGAGCACAGTAAAAATCTAACAGAATTGTTCCAACGAATCCAGGAGTATGGATTTCGAGTAAGAATGGAAAAGTGCACATTCGGAAAACCACAGATAGAATTCCTGGGATTTCTATTAGATAGCGACGGCAGACGGCCAAACCCAGCAAAAACAAAAGTCATTCGAGAAATGCTACCGCCCGACAACAAAAAGAAGTTACAATCATTCATGGGAATGATCACATACTATAGTGCCTTCATCCCAAAGATGAAAGAATTGAGAGGTCCACTGGATCGTCTTTTGCAGAAAGACACTCCTTGGAAATGGACCGATGTGGAACAGAGTAAGTTTGATGAACTAAAGGATATTTTAGGATCAGATTTAAATCTCACCCACTTCGATCCACAACTACCAATTATTGTGGCGGCCGATGCGTCAGAATATGGAATTGGTGGAGTGATCTCACACAGGATGCCAGATGGATCGGAGAAACCGATTGCGCATGCTGCCAGATCACTAGCAGGAGCCGAAAAGAATTACGCTCAAATCGAAAAGGAAGCACTTGGCTTAGTTTTTGCAATCAAACGATTCCACAGGTATATTTTTGGTAGAAAATTCATTTTAAGGACAGATCACAAACCGTTGCTGGCCATATTTGGAGAAAAGCGGGATTTGCCGATTTACTCACAAAACAGATTGGTTCGATGGGCAACGATGTTGATGGGGTATGATTTTTCTATTGAATATGTAAAAACCGACAGGTTCGGTCAAGCGGATGGACTATCCAGGATGATGCAGAAAGCACAAATTCAGGACGAAGACATCGTAATCGCCGAAGTCAAGGTGTTAAATGTGGATTATTTGGCTGAAGGGGTAAGAAAATTACCATTAACTGTGTCCGATATTCAGGAAGCGACAGCTACGGATAAGGTGTTGAAAACTGTCATCAAATACTGGAAATCGAATAATTGGCCAAGAAGTAATCAAGTCGATGAAACGATAAGACCGTTTATCACGAGGAAAGATGATATCGCAGTCACTGAAGGATGTGTGTTATGGAAACATAGAGTTGTCATCCCAGAATTATTGCGAAACCAGCAATTAGCCCGAACATGCGTATATTGGCCAAAGATCGATGAAGCATGCACCGAAACGGTAAACAGATGTCGGAAATGCCAAGAAAACCAGAAGACGTCGGTGAAGGTTCCGTTGGAACCATGGCCAAAGCCGAATCGAGCGTGGAGCCGCATCCACATCGATTTTGCGGGACCAGAAAATGGAGTTTGGTATCTCGTAGCAGTAGATGCATTGTCTAAATGGCCTGAGGTATCGATCACAAAATCGATTGCAGCTTCCACAACAGTCGCATTGTTGAAACAAATGTTTGCTAGAAATGGATTGCCAGATACAATAGTATCAGACAATGGAACCCAGTTTGTTTCAGAATTATTTACACGAATGTGCCTGGAGAATGGCATAGAACATATCAAGACACCAACGTATCATCCACAAAGTAATGGCTTGGCAGAAAGATTTGTGGATACCCTCAAACGCGGACTCAGGAAGTTGAAGGGTGAAGGGATCACATCACAGGAAACGCTGGACAAATTTCTATTATACTATCGCTCAACACCGATGGATTCAATTGGAGGTATCTCACCAGCAGAATTACATTTAGGTCGGAAATTAAAGACTAAGCTCTCACTAATGTTACCAGGGAATGATCAAGGAAAGTCCCAACAAAACTTGTCGGACAAACAAAGGATCATGAAGGAACATTTTGACGGGAGGGGGGTTAAAGAGAAACACTTCCAGGTAAATGATCGAGTTTTCGTAAAAATCTATCGTCGAAATCGATGGACTTGGGAAGAAGGTATAGTGACGAAGGTAGTGGGACCAGTGATCTACATGGTGGATCATGAAGGACACATAAAAAAGTTCCACGCCAATCAAATGAGACCAAATAGATTGGTAAAGAGTCCAGAAGAGAGGTGGTTTGAGACAATGACTGATATTTTCATGTTACCCGTATCACATGAGATAATTTCAGGAAATCCAGTGAATGATCTGTGCACCAATCAGTCGAGTTCAAGCAGTGACAACGACAATACCCATTCGCCACCGGACAAGCCAAAGTCAAACGAACATTCCAACCAGAAGTCTTGCCATGGACAAAGTCAACCCTCAAGTTCAAAACATCGTCACAGTCAAATACCAGTAGCAATCGCAAAGGAGTCAGCAGGATCAACACGTACAAAAGGTCAGAGACAAAATATTTCCCCTTGTATAGGTCCCCCTGAGGATAGTAGATCTATGTCAAATGTATGTGACGCGCTAGGTAGCCAGCGTACGGTGTGTGTTAAACCCAAGATTGAACCGAACACCCAGGCAGGCCCTGAGGATCGTGCCAAGGACGTACCCGCAAGCATTCTAAAGCGGAACCAGGACGCTCCAGAAGTCAGTTTACGACGCAGTGCAAGAGTTCGGAAACCCATCGTACGATTTGATCCCAGTCCACAATGAAGACCCAACTTATATCAGTCAGCAGCCATAGTTATCAGTCAGCAACCAGTCAACGGTCATTGTGCACAGTCGCTATATCGTCATATCATCGACGTCATCAACGCCAACACCAAGCAAGGATGCCCCAATTTCTTTTGTCGGGGGAGATGTTGCGAGGAGCAAGAAAATATGAAGAAAGATATTAGCAATTTAAATCCTGCGGTTACGGTGAATATCACGGTGTTTACACACACCAGAGTTGGCGCGCAAATACACGAAGTTGAGTTGTTGGATTGTTTTAGGCCCGGACCCGAGTTACTTGATTGGTTTTCGTTGTTGTTTATATTGTCCTACCGTGCTGCTTCATTATTATTTGTATTCACATACTATCCATTCCCCCGACTAGCCATTATTGTTATTATTATCCGTTAACTAATTAAATTGCGCTTCGTTCGTTATTGTTGTCTAACGCTTACTTTAGATAATGTTTAAATTGTAATTCGAGTTTTCCGACTTACAACAAATAATAACGGACGAAGGGTGATCATTGAAATTCCACCAAATTCTAAAATCCCTTTAATATAGTAATTGGCAATTAACATCGGCTCCTTTCGGTCAACGTTCTCCAATGTATTGCCAGTCACGTAAGAATTTTCAAGAAATCGAGACAATTTAATCAGTTTAAAGGGTACTACAATTTCGATGAAAACGGCTATTGTCGGAGGGGTTTCACTCCATTTATCAAAGGAAATTATATGAAATGTCATAAGGTGAATAAATACAAATCAATTCTTACAATTTTAAGCTTTTAAGGCTTTTGAGTTTTCGCGGGATTATTTTTCATCGAGTGGGCACTGCGAAATCTTTATGGAAAAAAGTACATGTAGACAATGCAAACTTTCATCAGAAGCATTAAGCGAACCATTAAGTGTAGAGGAAGTAGAAATGCTCGGCTGTAAGAATTTCAACCATAAATGACTACCCGCAAGTTACAAAATAACTACGAAAAGAATGAATTTGGACATTTTGTCCAGTCAAAACAATTGGCTCTTGTTGAAATAATCAATTTTCAGCGATCGCCAAGGAAGGCTGGAATTACTATCTCGGTGTCATTAAATATCGCGGGCAATTTGTCCAGAATACTGAAAATATACCCGATCCATCATTGAGCTTCTACAAATCATTATGAGATCACGTTTATACACCCGGTAGACCTGGAGATCGCGTAATTCTTACGAAGAACAAACGGCTGCAGGCTGTATAGTATGTTTTCAGTTCGCCGATTTTCAGATTTACCGTCGTATGGGCTTCAAAGTATCTTTGGGGTCAACAGATTTATTCTCATGGGTTTTAACAGAAATGCTCAAGTTAGTTGATATCATACTTGCAAATTTCCGGGTCGACCCAGATTGACCCGCCATCGACCCGCCCTATGGGGGGAAACAAAATGTGCTCATAAGTCCCCAAACAAAATTGATTGAACCAGCTTTCATTGTTTTTGTTTCGTTTTCGATTTTTTAAATAAATTTTTTTTCAAAAAATCTTATAGTGGGTCGAAGCGGGTCGGTAAAATTTTCACCCTGACCCGCCCGGCCCCGCCCCGTTGCAAGTATGATTGTTATAATGAATATGACTACCATTTTACGAGTTTCTCTGTGAGCAAGCCAAACTACAGCAGCCGCGCTTTCACTGTTTTCTCGTAAAGCCCTAGAAAACTTTATTACAATAAGATATGAATATAATAGTGGGTGGCGGCTCAGGAGCACTTCATATACAGTGCGCGTCATAATGATACGCCACCCCCCAAATTTTGCAGTTTTGAGAAAACCATATAAATTGGTGACAGGACAATTTCATTTTCGAATTAAGGGTTATTGAAAACCTATATGTGCGTATTTTCATGAGGGTCCGTTGGTCCGTATCCGCACAGCCCGAAAAAGTTGGGTTTTCAAGCGCGTCATAATGATACGCCACCCCCTATTTTTTATATTTTCTTTCGGCATTTTTGCATGTTTCTTGCTTACTTTTCTGTATTTTGTACAATTTTTCAACAATCTTATCTTTATATCCATTAAGCAATCGTCCGTTTTAGTTTTGGCTTGAAATCGGGCCGAATTCGGTCCTTTGAACGACTTTTTTTTTATTTAAGGACTAAAACGCAAGAAAAAGGTCTAAATATCCAAAGTAAAACAAGTTTGAATGCAATAACACGACAAATTCAATGATTAGTAGTCAATCCATAGTTTTGGCTCACTTCACATATTCGGTTTTTATTCTGTCGGTGAGTTTCTTGAGGTATGCAACTGATCGACTATTCCATTCCAGTCAAATTGCGGCCTTTAGCTCATAAAAGGTTGGCAAGCTACTGCTTGCATTCTGTGTGCGGACAGCCTGACCGATAATTTTTCACTTATTCTTCTCATAATCATCGGCCGCGGAAAATCTCTCACATTAGCTCACAGGAGAAAGCTCACATTGGCATTATGGTATAACTCAATCAGAGTGTCAAGCTGATTAAGAATGGTATCGGACGTTCTCGAAAATCTAACTGTATACGGAACTACGAAATTGCTTTAAAATTTGTTTCACGAATTTCAACAAGACAATCCAGTCATTCACAAGAGCTACAGCATCTTCAATTGGTTTTAGTATCAAACTCTTGGATGGATCAGCCAGCTCCCCAACTTCAATCCCGTCGAAAACGTCTGAAGACTTCTTGGCCATTTCGTTCGCGTACAAGGCAAGCAGAATGCCAACCTTTTATGAGCTAAAGGCCGCAATTTGACTGGAATGGAACAGTCGATCAGTTGCATACCTCAAGAAACTCACCGACAGAATAAAAACCGAATATGTGAAGTGAGCCAAAACTATGGATTGACTACTAATCATTGAATTTGTCGTGTTATTGCATTCAAACTTGTTTTACTTTGGATATTTAGACCTTTTTCTTGCGTTTTTGTCCTTAAATAAAAAAAAAGTCGTTCAAAGGACCGAATTCGGCCCGATTTCAAGCCAAAACTAAAACGGACGATTGCTTAATGGATATAAAGATAAGATTGTTGAAAAATTGTACAAAATACAGAAAAGTAAGCAAGAAACATGCAAAAATGCCGAAAGAAAAGATAAAAAATAGGGGGTGGCGTATCATTATGACGCGCTTGAAAATCCAACTTTTTCGGGCTGTGCGGATACGGACCAACGGACCCTCATGAAAATACGCACATATAGGTTTTCAATAACCCTGAATTCGAAAATGAAATTGTCTTGTCACCAATTTATATGGTTTTCTCAAAACTGCAAAATTTGGGGGGGGGTGGCGTATCATTATGACGCGCACTGTATAAAGGGAAGGGTAGAATGAATGTTGGTCCCATCTCCGGTCAGTCGCGCCGTCGATTGACCGAGTCTATTAGTCTGTCCTCGACCTCTAGGAGTCTTGGTCTACACAAAACCACCAGTCATTTTGTCTTCCAGACCTCATATTGATAACTATTTAAATTCGCTAAACATAATAGAAAAACGGTCAATTATTGCTCACTATCTCACTAGCAATTTTTCAAATAACGTTTATTATCGAGAAATTGAAAATGCGAAAAAAAGCGAATAAAAATGTGTGGTAACACATTTGATTTGCTCGATTTGCTCAAATCAATTATTCGTCGATTCAAAGTAGATCGTTTAAAATTTTCGAGAGTATAAGATTTTGAAACTAATTTTTGCACCTGAGCAAAGTGACACGTATTAAAATTTGACAAATTTAGAGGCCATTTCTGCTAGGGCTGTGCGGCAATGGAATTGCCGAAATTTTGATTTTCGGCAATTTGATATAAAAAAAAATCGGCGAAACAAAAATCAATGTCCATTGAATTATTTGGGATACCGGGAAAATTCGGTATTTATATTTCGAATTATCGTTGAAAAAATTTAATTGTTGAAATTTTGATATTCGGCAATTTGCCGAATTGCCGCACAGCCCTGATTTCTACCTAAACCGACTTTTTAAGAAAATACAATCATTTAGGTTAATTATATCAATTTTTGCTTTATTTTTATTGATTTTTTGATAACCCACTGGTACACAAATTAAATGGTGCAGTAGAAAATTTTTGAGAAAATGAGTGTAAGAAAATCGATAGCGGAAAAGCGGTAGTAATAAAACAGTAGTGAATATCAATATTTTCAGTAGAAAAAAAAAGTAAAATTTGATGTCGAAAAATGTGTAGCGAAAAATCACTGGCCAGAAAAACAATGAACCCCAACTAGCGCAAAAAATTGTCCTCATGAAATTTTTTTCGAATCGCCGACGGTGAAAAATTTAAGTAATCGGTTATACTATAATATAATAAATATAGCGAGACTGTGAGAATGGGATGCATGTGTCAATTCGTTATCGATCGACCGCCTTCGATGGAAAAACTTTATTGAATAAATGGATTAGAACTGATGTTAATCTATATAAGTAAATTAAAGTAATTTTTAGATGGTTATCGATATAAATGGATTGCTGAACTAATTGTAGACTTAAATTGGTTTGGTTTTACCAAATTATGGTTTTGGACATTTGCCGCTTCCAACGATTCGTCTGCCCACCTTTGGTGGCCGTGACAAAGACTATTTTGCATTCAAAGAAAGTATGACAAATAATTATCAATAAAGTTGATAATAATTTGTGTTGTGGTGTCAGAATTTGAAGAGCAAGAAGAGAGTAGAAAAAGCAAATGAAAAATTACGCGATAATATTTCGAAAAACGAATAGAATATTCATTATTAAAAAGCAAATACCATATCACATGAGAAAAATATTTAAAAAAAAAAACGAACGAGATCAAATTGACTAATTATAATTAGGTATTCACCGGTGCAATAATATGTTAAACTAGGCGCAAAATTAAGGGAAATCAAGTCACCAAAGGATCGGCTTCATGCGATCCATTCGCAATCAATTTCTCGTCGAAAGATTCACGATTCGCCAAATTTGGATTCGATGCGATCACGACACTTCGTCGACGAGATCCATTCGGTTCGGTGACTAGTGCTAAACTCGAATCGGCGATTCTTGTAAACTGTAAAATATTCGAAATTTTCGGCTTTTCAAAATCGACACTAACAGATCCTGATCGGAAATCTTTCGAAATATGCGGTGATCCCAAACGACGTTCGGACAATTTCACATAAACTGGACGATAAAGAACAATCTGAAATCGAGGAAAACTTGAATTCTTCCAAATAATCGCAAGATCAGAATACTTCTTCCTCTTTAATCGCCTCGTCTCCATCACCATCGTAAACTTGTCCGAGTCGAAATTCTGGCGAAACATATTTTCCGCCTTCAACATGATTCGAGCAGAAATCTGCACATTATTCGGTTTTTTGAAATTGTTGAAGAAAACGAATCTTGCTAACCATAGTCAACCGGCGGCGGAGAAGCATTTGGTATCCTGTAGGGAATCGTCGCCACCGTCAACGGGAAATCCAAATGAAGGCATTCATTGGATTTGTCGTCTTCCATGCAAACTCGAAGGATGTAATAGATTTGGATGAGGCGGCACACTCCAACCAGTGTTGGAGGGACCACTGGAAGACGAATCGGCTGCTCTAATGTTGAATCATATTTGCCTTGCGAGTTCGGCGCAACCGACGGCGATCTGAATATGGTTTTCGGTTCGGCTCGATTCGGCTCGTCGTACTTGTGCTCAAAGACGACGCACGACATCATTTTGTTCTCTCCGAGAAGTCCTTTTTCGACGAAAATCTCGACGTGCTGCACGAGTCGGACGACGAGCGATTGAGGCGAGGTGCTGCGGTTCTCGATGTGAGCACGAACTCGGATGTTCTCGCCGCATACATACGCGGTTCGCTCGAGAACAACTCGCAGTGCGATCGCGCCCCGCTGACAACACCAACAGCAATTAACCTTGCGATCTTGAGCTGTTAATGGACTCTAAAAAATAGTTGAAAATATTCAATGAGGTTCTGAAAAGCAAACCAGAAATTTCTCTTCCATGCTATCAATATGAGGTCCAATTATGGTGAAATACTTGATTCCCTGTGGAGATGAAGCATAAGGTATATCTATGATCACCTGAAAATCTTTTTTGATTAGCAAAAAGCCCATTGAGCCAATATTTGAAACCTTGAAATAATATCGAATCGTGCAATGTCGACTCTCCAAAGAGCATGGAAGAGATGATTGGGGTAGATCGAAATTGAATGAGAATTGATGGACTCCGCGAGCCAAAATTGGGCAGCTTTCTGATTCATCGTTTTTGTCTGAATTTTCATCAAAATATTTACACATAGCAGGGATACAATTTATGCTACCTTTTCCCCACAACAATTGCTTCTCATCAAGAATATATTGATCGTCTTTAAGGGTCCGTCGTTCTCCAGATTTCACAACTTTCAAAGTCGCATGCACTTTCCCGCGTAATAAAACGCGGATTCCTGGAATACATGCTTTTTGGGTCTCGCAACGAACGCGCCTTTAAACTCACCTTTAATTTTGATATTCTCCGAGTTTTCGAGCAAAACACTTCCGCTTATCGTCTCACCCGCATAATAAACATCCTAAACGATCAAATTTTCGAAATCATTCGAATCGAATTTTCGCGATTTAACCTTATTTAGCCTAATATCAAAACTCGATATGTAATCCATCGAGGATTTTTGGTCGTCGACCTGAAAAACAAAACGATGGTGATTCGAATGCAATCGATCATAAGGCATCATTGGACCCAAATCTCGCAAAATCAGTAAAGAAAGTGTGCAAGAACGAAAAAAAATGAGACAATTTGGGACGTCTAAATGAGATGTACGCACGGCATTCCGAAAACGAGACAAAAAAAACGAAAGGGGGAATTTGGTTTTCTTGTTTGAACTCAAATGTTTTATTTTTCTCGAAGACAAATCGGTTGGGATTAGAGCAACGAACAACATTTTGTTTCGCTCGTTGCACAGCCGCCGATTATCGCAGCAAAATTAATCCGATCATAATCCTTTTATAGTTGGCGGTTCTCGAATGTTTTCTAAAATCAGCCAAGTTTGAGCTTCATCGTCAAAGCTTATGAGTATTGAGGTGGCGAAACAGATAGCTTAAAAAAACAAAACACCGAATGATAATAATATCCATATGCGGACAATTTCTGGATATCCCTTGGCCGTTTTCAGCAGCTTTATTCTCAATATTTCGCTCAAAAATTCGAAATCTTATTGACATAAACATGCGTGCTAATCTTGTAGTAGGATTTCGGTGAATTCAATCAACAAAACTATTATGGATAGAAATCAAAACCAATAAAACTACATTATTGTTCTATACAAATTATTATAGTCGGCGTCTAGAGACTAATGTACTCTGAAACTGGGGAATTTGGCAAAAATTGTTATAAAGTGAATGAAAAATAGATACTTCTATAGTCTGAACCATTTTTCATTCACTTTTAATTCCTTTTTTTCCTTTTCCCAGTTTCAGAATATAGGGGACGTGCTTACGAGCATGCATCATTCGCTACCTCGTATTCAAGAGCTCATTTTCACAATGGCAATTGTGAAAATCAAAAAAATGACAAAAAATGAAAATTTTCGCGTGAAAATAACAAAACAAGCATTGGCGCGTGGCGAGACCATCACGAAAGGCGCATCCGTAAATCTACCCACATGCAGTAGTCGCTGAACGTCGACAATATGAGAAACGATATTTGCAACAAAATCTAGGTTAAAAGTATTTGCAGCTGCGGACATTTTTCAAGCTGATAATTTAAAATATTCTCATTTTGGAGGGAATTCGAATAGATTCAAATTGGCACGAATGCGACAAAAAAAAGAGAATTGTGAATATCGTTGGTATATGGGCAACGATTAAAAAAATCGTTGTCCGTGTGGAGTACACAACCAAAAATTCGGACCGTCATATTTGTGTGAAAACCGAATTCTTTCTCTTCTTCTTCTCCGAATAATTCGAGTGATCAAACATCCAGCTTGTCCGCGTAGACTACACGCATTCGAACCCCCGAAAATTTGAAATAAAAATCGAACAAATGAATCGGCGCGTCGTCAACGACAATAGGATGTTGAAAAGAAAAATAATATATCAAAAATGTGCGACATTTGGAGATAATACGGAATTCTCGTCTCGTCTCGATTCTATTCAATAAATACATATGTGTGCATGTATGCTTGGAGCATATTATGTGTGTATAGACGACAAATTGGTGCGCGCATACGCCGCCGAGTCGTCGCCGCCTCTTTTTTTCGACCAACAAAATTGTAAGGTCACCAAAAACGAAATGAAACGATGTTTGTGTGTAAGCAAGAATCGGCATGAGGAATTAGGATGATGATATCTCATTCCTGACGACGACGTCGTCCGGAAGCACGACAGGGGCAATTATTGAAATGGGTCCCAACGCGAAATTTGATACTCTCATTCGTTCATTCATTCATTTTCAAGCATCCGTGCACTTCGGTTTTTTTATGGGTGCAAATATTCTGGGTGTGTCAGGGGATCAAACTCACAAGATTACAAACACATGTCAGCCCCATTTCGAATTAATGAGCATTTTTGAATTTTTGAACATACATATATGAATCAGCTAAAAAACAATTTACTAAAAAACATCTGCGGACAAGATATGCCGGTTTAGGACGGCATTAGTCTTTAAAAACGGTTGAAAAAAAATCAAAATATTTTGTCGTTTAGAAATACGGATCTTCAACGGATCAAATCAAGAAGAGACTTAACTAAAACATCTGCGGACAATTCAATAGGTGTTTTGTGAAGCCATGTGAGCTCTAATTCGGTTTGCAGTCAACAAGTAATTTCCGCTCATCTCTTTACAGCAAACTCAAAAAAATATTTTTCTAGATAATGAGTTTCGTCGTCATCATCATCAATCGCTGCAAGACCAATGATCACGAGGATACGGTAGCATTAATTTCAGTGTGAATTGGATCAAGGAAAGTGCAAAATGTTGTGTGTTTATTTATTTTTATTGCGGCTCTGCTCTCCAACGATTCGTACAATTCAATGAATAATTTGTTGGCGTCGAGGGCATTCGAATCTAGAATTCTTTGTGTGTGTGTGTGTATCAATTATTCGCGGATGCGACAAAAACAATCCAGGCGCCCAAGAAGAAAAGCGAGAAAAAAAATACGAGGTGAATCATCAAAAATCAGCAGATTAGAAAAACAAACGAGGGTTTTGTCGAAACCTCGCCGATTCCCTTTTTTGTGACTACCAGAAACTCTCGTTGGTTTGAAAACTTCGACCGGAAGTCCGGCTCACTTAATAATTGAGCGATATGGTGCTCAGAGAGCACGCGGAATCGAGCGACGCCGAGTGTCGGCAGGTGAAACTCACTGCGTAAAAGTCGCACTGATGTGGAAACAATTTGCATATATGGAAAGTGAGCTTTTCTTTCTTTTTTTCACACACATATACACCATAATTTTTTTTTCGCTGAAAACGTTGAAATTATTTTTTAAAAAAATCGATGGGAAACAAATTGTGAGAACTCGACGCCTTCTTTCGGGAAAGTTTCGACTATTCGACTATTTTTAATCAGCCGCATTCAATTTCTCGAAATCAAATTTACAAATGTATCGCTGACTCAATATCAAATCCGAGTACGCTAGAATTCAACTTTGGCATATGGCCAATTTTTTGAAACTGGATCAGTCTTTTAAATTCGACAATCTATCTTCTAGACTATTCTAAATTTGGAATTAGGATTTTTGGGCCCAAGAATTTATATTGTTTAGGAAATCTACAGTTAAATAATTTGCCTGGAGTAACACAAAAATGTATTTTCGAGAATTAATTTTTTTTTAAATATCGCAACACATAGTCGGCGTCGGGCGACTGTTGTATGCGGGTAGATTTACGAGGTGCGTCTTTCGATATGGTCTCGCCACATGTGAACGCTCATCTTGCTGTTTTCAAGTGAACAATTAATTTTTTTTGATTAGTTTGGCATTTCTTGGAATGTCTAACGTCGTTCGATTTAAAATTGAATTGACCCATACATTTGAAATAACCAGTTAGTCCGCGCGAGACCAAGAGAAAGAGGCATCCCCGTAAATCTACACGGGCACAGCAGTCGCCGGACACCGACTATATAAATGTTATATACACTCGAGACCCAAACAAATAAATTAAAATAATAGAAGCCTGGCGGATATTGGCCGCCAGCGGAAATAGAGATTGTTATTTTCCGCGAAAACTGTAGATTATGTATTCTTGCACTTTCAATTAATTCAAAACAATAAACAATCAACAACTCAAATCAAAGCATTCAGTTCGACAACTTAAATTCTATTTGATATTTACAGAATCTCAAAATTCTTAGTAAAAATATGTACATAAAGATCAGAATTATTTTCTTAAACAAATTTGAAAATTGATTTGATTTCAATGCCACCTAATACTATTGTCGACGTCGCGACTACGGAAAATTGGCTCAATGCCAAAAAAATAATGGAAGTGGTCTTGGCGCAAACTAACAGTGTAGATTTACGGACAGAAGTATAAGAACATATTAAAGGTGCACACCGCGCACCGAGACCTCTTTTTTAATTTTTTGGCATTTAGACAATTTTTGCCATTGATATTCTGTGTGAGATTTGTAGGCAAAACCCAAAACCGACTGCTTAAAATCAAAACAAAGCATTTTTGCAAAATCAGAAAAAATTGACGCAATGAAATTGGAAAAATGATGGGAAAAAATTGTCGCCCCTATTATCATCATTAATATTATTCATTTATTTGTGACGAAATAATGAAAAAAATTGCGGGTTGGGGAAGAAGCAGGAATAATAGAATACTTCCATTTCTTTTTTTGCATTTAATTGCCTTAGACCGGAGGTCCATAAAAGGGTATAATCGGCAAATAAATAAAATAAAAGAAAACGGAGAATTCTAGAAATGGAATTGTGCGCGTTTTCTCCGATAATCTGGATTTGTGTTCGTCGCCATACAAACCGACGAAAGTCGTTTACTCGGAGCAATTCATTCGAAATTCGAATGATAAAATTCTTTAGTGCAAATGTTGAAAATTATTGTTTGAATCGAAAATAAAATACTACGGGTTGGGTTAGGAAGCAGGTGAATTGTTGACAAATAAGATGTTTTGGGTCTCGCGGGGAACACTAGTTTTTAAAACAAAACATTAAATAGATGTGTATTTAAATACATTTTTTAGCTGACTATCAGAATTAGTCATTGACAAGACTGAAAAGAAACTGCATTAGTTACAGTATCCCAATTTTTCCGAACTCGTAAATTTCTCAAAACCCTACGTTTCGGAATTTTTGCTATTTGCATTGTTGTTTTTCATATTTCGTCGAAAATACGTGAAGACACACAATTCAATCGCGAAATTTGAAAATTATTTATGAATTAAACTGAACAATTTATTAAGACCCATAACGCGGAATGCGAGTAGGGTCTCGCAGCGACCAATCCTGGTCGTCAGAAATGAGCTTTTGGATAAGTGAGAGGCACATGGCAAAATGAACCATCTGTGGGAAGCTGAGAGACAAATATTGAGATTTCATAGAAACGCGTTGCACTTGGAAATGTCATGGCAACCATACTAATCGATGAATTGATAATATATAATGATAATACGAGAAAAAAGTGCCAGAGTGGGAAGCGAACGAACAAAACTGGAGAATAGTTGTTCGTTCGGTCGACATACACACAACAGCCGACGATTCCTCCAGGGGATCAGTGCCCCTCGAAATTTATGGTAACTGAATAAGGCAGACACTACGCGAAGGGACTACGGCAAAAAGGAAAAACGCGACAAACCTGAAAGTAGTGTTTCTCCAAGAGTGTGCTGATCATTGATGAATCCTAATCATTAAGTGGGAAAGAGCCAAAGCGAAACAGAAATAGTACGCACGATGACTAAATATGGACGAAAAGATGGAGGAGATGAAGAGCCTCCACGCACACTCCGATTTCCCCTTGGGACCTTTGCGTCCGGAAATTAGGGCAAACGTTACGTTTTGGCGCGCGTCCAATTTTTTTTGTTTTATTTTGTTCTGTGTGCTTTTCGCGCTTGACAGCCGAGAAATTCATTAGGAAAATTGATCATAAAATGAGACGAAAAACGAATAATTAATGGGTTTTTGGTTAGTTGGCGGCTGGCTGTTGCATTGGCGTATTTAATAAAGACAAATTGTTGCAATGGATTCCGGACGTCCCATGGGCATATATTTCTTCGAGTCAAAATTTATGGGGTTTACATAAGACTATGAGGTTTTTGTGGTCCCAAGAAAAATACAGAAATCAAAATTCCTTACGTGATATCTTCTCTGGGCTGGCCATTTTTTGATCACCGAAGGGGCTGAATATCTAAACCTCGAATTTCAAATACTAGAATATCTTTGAACCTGATGTACTTATGCTTGAAATCGACATGGCTGTGAACAAAGGCATCAAGGTTCTCAAGTTTCGAATTCAAGTCTTCAAATTTTAGCTGAATCTCGTCCATTCAGATAAGGATGAATATTGTAATAATGAAAACAAATGCTTTAGCTTATATTTACTGAAATATGAAACTTCCCACCCACTAACATAAACAAACAATTACTGTTTTCATATTCCACCTGATGATTTAATTGTATTTACAAATTCTTAGAACAACAATTTATTTGTAACAAAAACCATTTACTCATCGTCCTCCTCGGCGGATCCTCCGTCACCTCTCTTCAAGGCACGTCGCTTCACACGTCCTGGTGGACCTCCTCCGTATGGTGATTGGAGCGAGAAGTCGATATGCTTCTGTGAGTCGAGACGAACAATGAAGGATGGAACGTCGACGACTTGTCTGCGGACACTGAAAAGAAAAATACTCATTAACAATCAAAATCCTCACAATGAACAATTTTAGATGTCGCGCGACTGTGGAAAATTGGCGAAATTTCAAAAATTTATGTAAAGATCTAAAATCGCCTATCGCATGACACCAAAAATACATTTTTTTTTCTTAACTCTAGCTATAAATTGTCGGACTCACGAGTCTACTGAAAATTGGTTTAATGTTAAATTATTCAAGTAGAGGCCTTAGAGTAAGTTTTATGCCTTTAACCTATCCTTATGCATGGACCCGTAAATCTACTTTTCTGGTTTTGTGCCAAGACTATTGCCATTGTTTTGGCCTTCCGCAGTCTCGCGAAGCCGGCAAAAAATGATGACGATTTTCAATAAAAAAATCAATACGAGATTAACCTTGAACCTTTAAGCTGAATTTAAAGCTTATTTAACAACGTCGAGAAATTGTGTAAAAATTCGTTGGATAAATGTGTGGATTTAGTCTAATCAAGCACAAGGATATGTTAAAGTTGCCCATCAAGATCCAAGACATTCCCTTATTTTTGCCGTTTAGTCAATTCTCCACAAAAAGGGAGCTAGATATTTCATTTTAAGTTTTTTTTTCACAAAACACACACCAATATAAAACCTTACCGAATGTGGAATTGCTTGATCAAGACTCTAGCATGATGGATGGACTTGGCCAATCCGAGCTTGAAGACTTGGGTCTGAAGTCTGCGCTCAAGGAAGTCCTCAACTTTAAGACCGAGAACGTAATCGAGCTTCATTTTTCCCTCGTCGAGCACACCGATCTTGACCAAACGACGGAGAAGGGCATTTCCTTCGAAGAGACGCTTTGGGTCCTTGTCCTCAAGGGTAAGGAGCTCACGAGCAGCCTTACGGACCTTGGCCAAAGTATATTTGACGCGCCACACCTCACGCTTGTTCTTCAATCCGAACTCACCGATGAGTTTCAATTCCTAAAATAAAAAATTGCCATTTTTCCAACTTCAAAATTGTTACCTGGTCAAGACGCTCCTTCTCGAAAGGACGGCGTGGTGACTTGGTCACTTTAGATTGCACAGTCCTCAGACGTGGCATATTTCACCCTAAAAATACGACACAAATAATGGACAGCAAAAAAATAATTTTTGACAAAAATTCAAGAAATAATAAAATATGATGAAATCCGATAAATAGGTTGCGAATGCGGAAATTTTATCGTGAATTTCTACACGAAATTTTAGGCAAACGTTTAAAAAATCGAGCAAAACTTAAAAAAAAAAGGAAAAATTTCTATTGCGGCCCAAAAAGAATGAGCTCTCTTAGGCATACTGTGGAGGAAAGACACCGCAAGACCCAGTCAAACCACTCAGCTATGCGCCTTGAACCCCGTTATGCATCTCTGCGCCTCTAATATTTGCATTATCTTTCTCTATTTCAGTGTGTTCAAATTAATTTTGCTGTTTCTCGTGATAATCGGAAAATTTTTCGAGTATCCATGGATTGCTTTAATGTTTTCCGATAATTTTTAGTATTAAGATTTTTTCACATGCGATTACTACATATTCCTTTTTTATTTTTCTAAATTTCATAAATGTATCTAAAAAAATATTATTTTCAGTTATGGATCTTCCGGATCCCTATTTGCCCGGATCTATTAGTCTATTTGAGCAGCTCGATAAAAAGCTCATGGTTGTTTTACGAGACGGTCGAAAATTAGTCGGATATTTGCGATCAATCGACCAATTTGCTAATTTAATTTTGGAAGATGTTGTTGAGCGAAGTTATATTGAAAAATGCTATTGCGAAGTTGCTCAAGGTTTCATGCTGATTCGTGGAGAAAATGTGGAGCTCGCTGGCGAAATAGACGAGTCTATACCAAATGATTTAAAATTTGTAAGAACAGTTTTTATAGTAAATTTCCAATTCAAAAAACTTTCTAGGTAACAGTGGACGAGTTTCAAAAAATATCTGAATCTTATGATAACAAGAACCACGTAAACCATGATGATAAATCTTCAATAGACGACTGATGGTGATTCCAATTTCAAGTCGGAATTTCTACGGGCCAATTTTCCACATTTCTCATTTTTCAAATCACTCGCTGAGTTTGCATTACTTTAACTCATATTTCTGTTACATTATTATTGCATTCTTCTCGTGTATTATGGTTAAAACACTTAACTTATGTTTTTGGCCATATTACGTTAATGCGGCTCGATAAAATGCCCTGAAATTCATGAAAAAGTTTAATTTTTTTTGGATCCAAAATTTTAGGACGAGTTGCGTTGTGAAGACGATAAAGCGGCAAAGCATTGTATGCGTAAGTTTTGTTTCTTTAAAATCTGATGGTAAAGTTACAAATTTTCGATCGGAATAAAAAATTTAAGGCTATTAGAATATTTAGTTCAAAGGCCTTCCAAAATAATTTTTTACTTTAATTTAGTCTATTTTTACTTTTCTATTTTCTCTCCGGATAGTAAAAAATTTCCACGTAAAACCCCTCGGAATTTTTCGGTTCGGTCTTTATAAAAATAAAATTCCCATGTTCAACATTTTCCTGTAAAGTAAACATTAGAGAAAAGTACGTGCAAAACTAAGTTTAACAAGAGACTCCGCAAAACCTCAATTATTTCTTATTGTATTCCCAGAATTAAAGTTTTGAAATATCGATTAATAATCCGATTTTGAAATGGTTTTGAATAAAAATTAAATATGCAAACAAACATGGTTATATTTTGTGCTCGTTTATAGGTATTGTTCGTGATTTTTATGTTCGTCCACGCATTTCCGAATAAGGAGTGAATGGGTTGTAGCCAAAATACACCACAAACTACAAAAATAAATGCGGTTTCATTGTTTTTATTTGCGTCATTTTCCACGTCGACCTTTTAAAAAAAACTTCAAAAGATGCCAATTTAATCGCATTTTTTGCCTATTTGCGTTTGTGTTTTATTTCAGAATGATAACATTTTGATAAGGCTAGGTTCTATTCGGAATCTGTCACATTTCCCGCAAAAATTATTGAGAATTTCTGCTTCATTAAATTTCAAATCTTTTTAAATTTTATATTGGATCTTCGAATGTTTATATGACATAAAAAATTTTGTTTCTTTCAAGATTTGCAAATTTCTATCCAATATGCCCTAGACCTCGTAGTTATCTTAAATTTTCCCAATTTCTCTTGTTACCCAGAGTTTATGAGAAAAGCACATCAAGAAATGTATTTTCTCGTCGAAATTTTTGCACGAAATTCGGAATTGTCGAAAAAAATCGCAATTTTAGCCGCGCTAATTAGATGATTCGTCAAATTGCAGGCGTGCCGTTGACCCGAGTGTTGTCTTGTCGGCGTCTCATTCTCTCGTCGTCGCTCAATAATATCCCGTTTGTCGCACGTCGCCACATTCGCAACACAATGCATAACGTCGTGTTCGTTCTCGGCCCACCAGGTTCAGGGAAAGGCACGATATGCTCCAGAATCCAGAAGGTAATCGTCGATTGATGACTTCAAATTTAATCGTTTTCACGTAGGATCTACGATATGTTCATTTGTCAGCTGGAGATTTGCTTCGCGCTGAACGCGAGAGGCCTGGAAGCGAGTTCGGATCCCTGATCGAAGAGCACATCAGAAATGGAACTATTGTTCCTGTAGAGATCACCTGCAAATTGCTTGAGAATGTATGGTTTTATATGGACTGTTCATATGGACAAAAAATCATGGAAATTCGAAAGCATTGTCTTGAAACTATCAAATATTAAATGGAACAAAAAAAATATTGATCGATATTTGTTGCAACAAGAAGCGAGACGTGCATTTGTACCATCAAAATTTCCACAATTTATTTGTCGATGAGACATTTCAACGAGACACAACAAATTTTAGGCAATGATCGCTAGCGGAGATGTCAAAGGATTTCTGATTGACGGATTCCCGAGAAATCAGGACAATTTGCAAGGATGGAATAGGGAAATGCATGGAAAAGTAGGATATTTTGGGAAATTTAACAAAATTGCATATTTTTTTAAGGTTAATGAACAATTTGTACTGTTTTTGTCATGTCCTGTCGATATTTGCATCTCCAGATGTCTAAATCGAGGTAATTCAATTTTCGTCTTTTTAAGATCCGTGTTAAAACAAACATATCAGCATAGTTATTAATGAGTTTTCTGGAAGATTAAAAAAAAAATCGAACTCTTTTCAGGCCAAGGAAGAACCGACGACAACGAAGAATCGCTGAAGAAGCGCGTCGAGACCTATAATAATCAAACATTTCCGATAATCGACCATTTTGCGAAATTGGGAATGGTTCGCGAGGTTCCCAGTCAGCGGCCGGTTGATGAAGTCTACGCCGACGTCGTCAAAGTGTTCGAAACTGCCAATAAGGCATAATATACTCATTTTTTGGAAAATTTTCAGTTTTTTCATTGCTTGTTTTTGTGACTTTCATTCTCAGTGTAGGCATCTTCTGTCTTTATAAATTTGTGTTATACAAATGTATTCGATTCGGTAAAATTCCGATATTTCTGCGATAAAGACAATGTGAAAAAAAACATAATTTATAGATGAATTCCGGGTTCATTTATTCAGCATTGGCGGGAATATGTGGTTCGATCGGCGCGATTTCGGGAAAATTTGCATTCGGCTCACAGCAATTTGGAGCTCAATTCCTTATTGGGCTCTCGATATTTTTGACGGCCAATTTGGTCATGTGGTCCGCTTATACTCATGCGTTATCGGTTTCCGATTCGACATCGACCCCGATGATTATCAACATGTCATTCAATTTTGCGTTGACGGTAAGACGAAACTTTGCGTTGGTGAGAAGTTAGGAAAAAAAATTAATTTGGACGATTTAGAAATTTGCGTATATCATTTAAAGTGTATGTTTTTATATGGTCGCTTTTTATAACGATGATTCGTATCGATTAATCAAAAGCTAAAATCTGCCATTAAATAAACTTTCGGGCAGGGTTCGCACAGACTCTTATTAGAAATCGCGTATATTTACTTATAAATCAGCTTGAAATACAAAAAAATCAAATTTAAAGGCGCATTCACGTTTATAACGTGTTCAAACTGCAATTCGATATTGTTTAAAAAACAATTTCGGAATTTCTTTTTATTGCGATGAATAGGTTTTGGCACTGAAATTGAAATTCATCAGGGAATTCTCGGCCAAATATTTTTCGACGAAATTCATTCGCTAACATGGTGGTTTCTTCTCGGGACCCTCGTCATTGGTCTCGCCTTGATTCTCCACGACGACGGCAAAAAGAAATCGCAATAAAAATTGTCATGGCAGCATTTTGGCTGAACATTTGTCGAAATTCGCCAGCGCAATTCCACAATGCCTTCCTACTACTCTCTACTCGTTATAAGTAAGTTAGCTAGTAGGCGTCTTCATTTGGGAGTCCTTTAAAAAACCAATTTCAGCTTCATTTTTATTGCATGTGAATTGTTTCGAAAGTACATCCCGGTCTCCAGATGAAGTAACAGCAATTCGAACCACCTCTGATTTCTGTATAACACGATTTTGAAAGCTCGAAATTTAATATTTGACAAATTCCAGTAAATCTCGAACCTTTTGAGAAAATTCTCCCATATACAACAGCTCAGAAAACAATATTTCTCGCCGTGGCTGGTAAGATTTTCGATCTAAATCAGCCAGCATTCCGAACATTTTCAGGCGGCACCTTCGTTCTTCTCATCGCGTTGGCAATTCTATCAGGCCTTTCCGATACGATCGCTCGAACCCGACAGAAGAGTAAACGAACACACGCCTAATCCCAAATCATTTTCCTTGTTTTTTATTCGAATTTATAAAATCAAACAGAGATCAGAACAGATTACGGGGAGGTACAAATTGCGTAAAATAACAAGACAGAGAGCAAAAATAAAAAGGACACGTTAGAAGACACCCTGCTTGATTTCGGACCCAGCGCTATTAATGATGAATGAATTGCACGCCTACAAATTTTCATGAGTCAATCTAGAATTGAAAAACAAAATCTGACCGTTGTATCCATTGCAGTATCCGGAGAATTGTTGACACGAAGCGCGTCAAACACCGAATTCATATCCATTATATGAATCGCATTTTTGCGCAATTTTTCCCTAAAAGATTCTTTCAAATAAATTATGAAAAACGCACACACCTAAGTTGCATCAAAATCACTCCCAAAATATTGCGACCATCGGCAAATGTGGGACAATTTTGAACACTGTTCTCATCCAGCGGAAACTCGGCGGGAATTTTCAACGTCTTAACGCCAGCTTTTTTGAGTTCCTCGAGCCATTTCTTTATTCTAACTACTGTGCAACCCGTTCCATAAATACTATCGCCAGCATAGGCATGCACCAAAATACTATCCCCGGATTCTTTCAACGCTCCGCGCAAATGAGCCGACTGTGAAACTTTCGTGAGAAGAGTGTTCTGAATGACTTGGAGACCCTTCGTGTTGCGCCATTCCTCCAACTTTGCTTTTTCGATCTTCAATAAAACGAGCATTTCATAAAATATTGCATGAAATCGAACCTTAGCTTCTTTTAGAATTTCTTTCGCCAATGCACTCGCACTTTTCTTCTCTACTGGGGCTTCGCCAGTCGGTGTTTTGTATTTTCCATCCTGGTTTCGAACTGAAACTCGAATTTAAATTTTAAAAATGATTTCAAATCGCACTCGTATGTTCTAATTTCTCAGGGATGCTTCCTATCAAATCTTTAACCTTCTGAATTTGATAATAATGGTCGCAACTTGTGTAAATATCACCATCAATGCACAACGGAAACTTAAAAAAGAACTCAGAAAATTGAGAAAAGAAAATTCCGATTTACATTGTGTTGAGGGGTGAAAACACTATCGAATCCGTGGAAGGCGGTGATATTTTCCGGCGAGCATACGAACTCGAGAGTTGGGGCATCGTCAGCCAAAGGTTTGAACTGAAAAATATCAATTCAAATTTACGAAACAAATGAACGAGGTGTGAATCAGGTGTGTGTGGGGATCGGAATTTTCAGCATTTTGCCGAAAATAAAAACTTCGGCAATTCGACAATTTTCGGGATAAAATTTTTATTTTAATTCTAAATATTACCATAGCTAAAAATTAGCATTTTGATAAATTGTGGACCACCGCACTTTTTCAAGGCGGTAATTCAAATTCGAATTTAAACAGAAACAAATTGGATAATGTACTCCGGATAATATTTATGAGCCTTCCGTTATTGTCTTGCACGGATCTATGGGAATTTCGCATTTATAGATTTTATTAAAATACATATTATCTTCAAATATAATAGAAATGCCAAATTCTACAAAAATTCTTCTAAAACATATTGAAAAAGAATTTGCGTTTTTTTGCTGTTCTGTTATAATAAAATTTAAAGTTTTATGCCATTTGTTACTCACTGGAATGTCTTCTTTTGAGTTTTTTGGTCTCGGCGGTCCTCTCCTGAATCCACCGAATCCGCCTCTTCCACCACGCATTCCCCGACCACCTCCATATCTTCCTCGGAAGTTCTGCCCACCCGTTTGTCCGTAGAACGTGCCCCATCCGGCAGTGGTGTTATTCACCAGATTGGGGTATTGCGGCATGTTTTTACGATTGTTGGGAGTTTTTGGCGCAATTTTTGCTTCTTTAAATAGATTTTAAATTAAAAACCCGATTAAAATATTTACTTTGCTTTTCTGATTCTCTCACAATATCGGTAAGTTGATCACCTTTATCGTATACCAAGAATTGCCACTGATCGGGTTTACTCGATTGGCCTGAAAATTCATTAATATATAATAAGTAGTTTCTCTGAAAACATCTTACTTTGTTGAGCTTGAACGTTGCGTACAACTCTTTTCTGCTTGCCTTTGTTTTTCTTCTTCGGAAAAGTTCTTTTCAAATTATTGGCTATAATCATTTAATCGATCCCCTACTAATTAATTTAGAAAAAAAACCTTGATTTGTGTTTGAACCTCCACTGGGAATATAGTTTTGCTGTGATTGCTGCAAAATTATGATAAATTCGATATATACAACAAAACAAAGAAAAAAAACATCAAAAGCGGTAGAAGAGGAATAAAACAATATATTTTATATTTTCCCATCTTCAACCGCTTTTGACAAAAAAAAATCAAACCTGGGTAGAAGATGGAAAAAATAAAGCACCTGAGTATGACGGATAAACCGGATTATACTGAAAATAAAAGAAAACAATCATTTGTGAAATGAAATTTTATTTAACTTCGTTCTGTGGCGCAAATGTGTTTGAAATGTTATCAGTAGACCAGTCATGATTTCTAAAATTCAAATTTACGGGGAAAACGCGCAAACATCAATTCAGAATAAATGTTCTAAAAATTCTAAAAAGGAACCTTGGGTCGTATATGCTGTTTCCCCATCCGATAGATGCCATTTCGCTGTGTTAGAACTGAATTTTGCTATCAATTAATTAAATAGTCTATAAAATAGACGTTTCTGCAAAGAATTCTACAGAAAATAATAACCAGTTTATCAGCCGTGCGTTTTTTCAATCAACCTAATGAGAAAAACTTCAGAAAATCCTATTTTTTCTCAAAAATATCTGATTAATTAAAATAGACCACTCAGCTGATGCTGATCAGTTGTATTCGGTAGCTATTTTGTTCAGAAGAAGCCTTTAAAACGAAAATCCCGTAAAAATAAAAAATTCCGAAATTCCAGTTTAATTTTTTCCGAGACCGCATCGCTTTTGCCTTGGAGCGCATTTGTCGCAATTGAAAGGCGCTCTCGACAAACATTCAAATTTTATTTGTTTTTTGTCGAGAAAAGCTCATTAACGCGTGGAATTTTTGCTGAAATCGCCTTCGTTTTCTTTCCGGAATTCGATCCAGCAGTGTTCTCAATCTGCGTCATTCCCGTCTTTGGACCTTTAGCAGAGTGTAATTGCTCTTCGTTTCGTTGACCATTTTTCTAAATTAATAAAATTTCGTTTCAATTTAAAATCACTTATTGTCAGCGTCAAACGACCTATCGGCGGTGGGAAGATCAAATTCGCAAAACTAGTGTAGTTATACGAAAATTGTAAATTTACGCGCGGACTAAAAATTATCTTCGGTCTTTTAAGAAAATTTTGACGTCGACAATAAGATAACTATACCCCTGGCGGTGTTGGATTTTTTGACGACGATGATGATTTTTGAGCTTTCTAAATTAGAAGAACATTCAAAAAGTTGGGAGGAAAATTTGTTAACCGGTGTCTGATCTTTTTTCAATATCTTTTCCAACTTTTCAATCTTCTCCGCCGCAACAGCTTTCTTCTTTTTTTTCGATGATCTTTCAGTGCTGTGCCGTTCGTTCGAAGCTTTCCGGATATCTGGACTGTTTTGCTTCTTCAGTACATCAGAGAGCTGCTTAATATTTCCCTGAACATATTAATATATTTCTATTTGAATCAGACGACGAAATGTGCCTCGACTTCATCATTCGAGCGCCGCGGTTTCTAAAAAAATGGAATTAAGAAGAACACCAACGAATAAAGCTACAACCGTTGAGTTAATAGTGTTCTCCATTACATTCTCCCTAGTTGTACGTTGATTTGGTTTTCTAGAAAAATTCGCTTAAATGAATTCTGTGATGCTTAAAATACACAGAGCTCGTTTTCGGTTGGGTTGTGATGATATTTGGTGTGAACATTGTCGTAGGTTTTTCATTCGGCTGTTCAGAACGTACCGAAAATGCCGAAATTTGCATATTAACGGGTGCTGTTAACACCAATTTTAACTGAAATCGGCAATTAACGGCGTTTCTTTTCGAATTTTAAGAACCTCGAGCCTTAGTTCGCTGAAATCCGCTAGCGTATTTTCAGCACCGCTAAAAATCCATTGCTTCTCGTCGACGAATCCATATAAAACGTATTTGTCTTCTGTCATCTGAATTGAGCAAAATTGACGACATACATATTATGTATAGTATACCTTTTCCAAATGAGACCTAATAACATCAAGCACATAATTTGCTTTTTCCTCCGTTGTCGCATAACCAACAGGAACGTCTGTTTCATTGACAAGTGAAATCAGCTGCAAATGGGAAAAAACTGAAGCCTCCTTAAAGTTGGCTGACTTCGAGACCCCTTCCGAGGCGATCAGCTACAATTGCTGCTTGACAAATCATCTGCTGATCTTCTTCCTTGATGGTTGTCTTGACGTGCGATTTTTTTGTCGGATTACTACGATCTTGATGTTATTGCTCAATTTTTCGAAAGCGACCTACACAGAAAATGGTGTGATTGGCGGCGCATGAGCGAATTTCGCCTTTGGCTTCTTCTCGAGAACTTTCACACCACCTCCCATATTTTTTGGTGTACCCATGGCGCCTTGCTCGACGACATACTGCCAATTTGCGCTTTATTGAGACGAATTTCGAAATTGAACGTACAGAATAGTTGTTTGTTCCAAATGCAATCGCATCGCGATCATTTTTCTCTTGCTCGTTCTCCTGTGTTTTTGTCTTATGATAAGACATCTGAAAATAATTTAAAAATCTGATTATTCGTTTAACTTTCATTTCAAAACTTTCTCCTTTCTTCTTTCTTCGATGAGATACAAAACGAATACGACGATCGCCATAATCAACGCCAACACAACACCAATGATTTTATGAAAGTTTTTTGGAATATTGATAGCATACAGACATTTCTGACAATTCGTGCATGTCGTGTTCAATCTCATTTCTTGAATCGTAAAAAATTAAATCCAAAAGAAATGAAGAATCGCGGCTACGAATAATAACAATTCGCTCATTTCTTATTATTTCTCAAAATGGAAAATAGCAAATTGGAAAAACTGAGTGAGCCGTGAGTTTCCACAAAATCGATCGTCGCTTGGCAAGCGATAGCCTTATATAGACCAGGGCTGTGCGGCAATGGAATTGCCGATTGCCGAAATTTATATTTTCGGCAATTTGATATAAAAAAAATCGGCGAAACAAAAATCAATGTCCATTGAATAATTTGGGATACCGTGAAAATTCGGTATTTATTTTTCGAATTATCGTTGAAAACGTTTAATAGCCGAAATTTTGATTTTCGGCAAATTGCCGAATTGCCGAAATTTCCGATTGCCGCACAGCCCTGATATAGACGGATGCGGAAAAACTATCAAATTTATCATTTTTTTTTTCAGGAAGAGTTCACTTGAAGAAGATGAATGGTTGTCAAAATTCAAGAAAAACGATATTATCCAAAAGCAGTATTTCGTGGAAGACACAAAATATCTCACATCATATTTGGCAAACGTGCGCTGTTTGGCAGATAGTCTCACCGCCATTTTCATTTCGAACGGAACGTACACCAAAGAAAAAGTGCCCAGTCTGAACTCGAGCTTATCGACGAAAAGTGTATGGGAAGACCTCGGCAAAAGCCTGGCGGACGTTGAATTTCTCGGAAGCAATAAAAAGGATGCTAAGGACATTGAGAAAATTTGCCAAAATATTGCCGACGTCGAATATCGATGGTTTAGTGAGTTTCCTTTTTTTGCATGTTGTATTTCAAAATATTATTTTAGAAAATGCTCAAACTCGAGAAAAATCCCATCATTCAACGATATTCAAATCGGCAATTGAAGATCGAAAAACGATTGACATAATGGACAAAAAAATTCAGAAATCACTTGTGAGATGTAATCGAAGGCGAAGAAAAGTTCCGATTAAACGACATTCTTTTTTAATGAAAAAATTGAAAACGAATGAAATTTTAGGTTGAAAACGCTCAGATTTTACTGGATCTTCGCGAGCAAGGAATCAAATACACATCGGCGATCGAGAGATTGGATAGTGAGGTAAATTTGCTGATTATTATTTAAAAAAATGATGAAAATTGATTTGTAGTGTCTTGATATGTGTAAATTTCAAGCTTCACTTTTCAACAATATTGCATCCCATTTTCGACATTTGAAAGAGGTTTTATGGGCATTGTTGCTGAATTCCAATTGTTTCGCAGATTCTTCCGCTATTTATTGTTCTTGCGAAGAATCGAAGAGATGCTGCGAGAGGACTTGAAATTGAAGACGACAAAAAATAATTAATTCGATTTAATAAATCGTTTCCATTACGTGAAATGCATAATTCCATTCGATTCAATCATGAGTGGGTTCGAATTCGAAGGCAACCTCAAGCAGGGTTCTCCAGACGACGAGAAAAAGGTTGACTTAAATGAGCCCATCCTAATCGATATGGATTTTTAGATCAACAAATGGCTTGAAGGAATCATATTCAGATATTTCCATGTGTGGTCTCCAGTCAATTGTCAAGGAATGGTGAAGAGCTATGAGATCTACGAGCTCTGTTTGCGGGCAAGAGAGTTCTTCTGGAGTAAACCAATTTATAGAGAGGTTTTCCCAAATTTTCCGATTTTTTTAAAAATAAAATAAAAGATCGAAGTGCCTGTTACGATTGTTGGCGATATTCACGGGCAATTTGAAGACTTGAAGACATTATTCGATATGAATGGGTGGCCATTCAGCGAGGATGAAGCCAAAGAGATGTACAAAATGCTGTACTTGAAAGGAAAACGAGCAGATAAAGAAAAGTAAAGACGGCTTTTTTTACCAACGACTCATTTTGACATCCATACAGAATGCCGAAAGTGCTCGGAGCAGGCCTTGATCGCCAATTGGGACCCAAGAAATACTTGTTTCTCGGAGATTATGTGGATCGTGGTCCATTTAGCATGGAAGTCGTCATTCTACTCTTCGCCATGCAGTTACGATGGCCCGAAAGGATAACATTGTTGCGTGGGAATCACGAATCGCGGCCCGTAAATCGACAATATGGGTTTTATGGAGAATGCGCGAGACGATACAACGAAAGAATCTATGAGGTGTTCCAGTTGGCATTCAATTGCATGCCGCTAACCGCTGTTGTCAGCAAGAGGATAATGTGCATGCATGGTGGGATATCGGAAGATCTGTTCGATCTCAAACAACTCGATGCTATCAAACGACCAATGGATATTCCCGATGTCGGAATCATTGCCGACTTGACTTGGGCGGATCCTGAGCCTGAGATCGAACTATATCAAGAGTCGCCACGTGGAGCGGCGAAAATATTTGGAGCGAAAGCTGTCGAAGAATTTTGTAAGCACTTTGAGCTTGACCTTATTGTTCGAGCTCATCAAGTAGTACAAGAGGGTTACGAGTTTTTCGCCGATCGCCGATTGGTAACGATTTTCTCGGCGCCTTATTATTGTGCTCAAACGAACAACGTGGGCGCAGTTTTGCACGTTAGTAAGGAAATGGTATTGATATTCATAATTACATATCAATTAAATGTTTATTTTGAAAAATTTCAGGTTGGAGCATTCTCGTTGGTCAAACCAGTAACCGACATTCAAGACGGTCTTGCCACTGTTGTGCCAGCCGACGATGATTAACTGCTGCTCTTCGATATCGATCCCATATTCATTCATTATTATTTTTTGTCACGGTTTCGCGATGAACAATTCCAAATATGTTCAGTGTCTTTTTTTTTTTGAGAGAGAGAATGAATTCTTTATTGATGCTTTTGTTAGCGTATTGTCTACAATTTACCGTAACATTTGAACAATTCGGTGAGATAAGCTGAATATTTTCTGGCCCGCTGCTTTTGAAGAGCATTGACTTTGTCGCGAAGTTCTCCCGCGGGAAGGTCCTCATTTGCGAGGCAGCTGAAAATCGAAAATGCGAAATTTGTGAATTTCACAAAATTTTATAAATTCTGGCCCGAACTTACATATGATCTCTTTCGCAGTGTTTTGTGTACTCCTTGTTCAAAGCATTTAACTTGGTGGTTCCCTCGATGGAACATGTTTGTCGTCTCATGCGATGGTTATGCCCAGTATGATCAATATTCGGATCATTTGGATCATGCCTGCGCATTCGATGGTTGTGTCCAGTATGGTCGATGTTTGGATCATTTGGATCATGGCGTCTGCGACGATGGTTATGACCCGTGTGATCAATATTCGGATCATTTGGATCATGGCGGCGCATGCGATGATTATGCCCGGTGTGATCAATGTTTGGATCGTTCGGTTCATGGCGTCTACGGCGATGGTTATGACCGGTATGATCAATATTCGGATCATTAGGATCATGACGACGCCTACGATGGTTATGACCAGTATGGTCGATGTTTGGATCGTTCGGATCATGACGGCGTATGCGATGATTATGTCCAGTATGATCGACATTTGGATCGTTCGGGTCATGGTGTCTTTTTCGGTGGTTATGGCCTGTATGGTCGATGTTTGGATCATTTGGATCATGGCGGCGTATGCGATGGTTATGTCCAGTGTGGTCAATATTTGGATCATTCGGATCGTGCTTTTTAACCCGGATTTTTTCATCAAAACCATCAACACTTCCTAAATAATAAAAAATGAAGTTGAATTAAAAAAGAAGAATCACTTTTGTGTACGTTCTTTTTATTCACGAAATCTCGGCACTTGCCAACAGCCTCGGAATATTCTCTCTGCGCTTCCATCAACTCGTCCCAAGACTTCTCCAAACTCTGTTTCGTCTCGCAAACCTAGAACAACTTTCTTTTATTCAAATCACTACATAATCCTCACTAACTGGCTGAGCAGTCTTCTGGATATGACACTCGCGTTCAATCTGTTTGGCTCGTTTATCGGTCGCCATTCGGAGGATCGTGTCCGGCGAACAATCGAATCCAAAGGCGACCGCCACAACTAGCGCCAACGCTAGCAGGCAGCACCGCATTCTGAAAATCGCAATAAATTCTGAATATGCGGATTAATTGTGGATGTTTGAAATTATAGTTAGTACGATATTTTATTATTATTATTATTATTCTATCTGTAAGGAATATGAAGAAGGAATAGACCTATAAGGAATTTGACGTCAATGTTGGGTTCAACTGATCAAGCTACAAACATGTTCCACACCCAATAAACAAACACTGAAATTTTGCGAAGCGTCCTTCAGAAAAAAAAATGAGAAATTGGCATCGTCGGGACCAAGAATCGCCAAATTTCACATGAAAAATCGTAAAGTGGCAGAATTAAAGAAGAAAAATGGGAGTACGCCAAAAAAATAGGGACGGCAAGATTTTCTCAAGCGTCATGATTCTTTAAACACATGTTTCCACTTGAAAGCAATTTGGTTCGCACCAAAAGAGACAAGTTGGTTGGTCGTTTCGAAATGAGGCGAAATTAAATTTTTATGGCCCACAAACATAAAAATTTCGGCTGTCATCGCATGTTTTTCATTTATGTCTAACAAAAAAAAGAAATAAATGGCGATTTTTAATGCCGAAGACTCACGAAAGCACACAATTTGTTTTGATTGCGATTCTCGGGGGAATTGTTTATTAAGTTTGATAACAAGAACATCGACAAAATTCTTGAAATCCTTTGGGACCAATTGGTTGTCGAGATTTGTTGAGGCGTTTTGAACCATAGGACTTCATCACTATTTAGCTTAAAGATAACACCTAAACTCGATATTATCTTTAAAATGAGAAAGGCGTTTGATTTGCCTCCCAAAACAGCAGTGTTTGCGAACTATAGATATTTTTTTCGCAAATATATTTATATTTTTTGATCTTAATTCATTAACATTGGAGTAATTGAAATATTTTCAAATAATCTAATTATTTACAAGGGAAGTCATTTTACCTCCCGTCTTAGGATTTTTTGTAATTTTGCACACGTAAATTAGAAGGTCTTTTGAGTGTATTCACAAAATTCCAGCCTGCACTGGGGGGTTACAGGCGAGTTATGGCCGTCTGAAAATTCAAGGTGTTTTTCCATAGGGTTTTCGAAAAACACTTATTGTTGAGAAATGACAAATGTATCCAGGTGTCGTAGGATCCTGCGTTTTGTACGCAATGCTAAGAGACAGTTACCGTAATCCTCGCAGCGGTTTACGGAGATTTTTTTTAAAATTTTCTTTCAATTTTTTGCTGTATTTTATAATTTTTTTAGAAATCTTTTATTTAAAACCTGTAGAAACCGAGTTTAATTATTTATTTTTCAGAATATGCACTTTTCCATTTGTCCAGTTGAGTTGGGAATTTTCGTGAAGATTTTGTCGCTCTAAAAATTATTTCGAAAATGAAGAATACAAAAACAAGATAATAGAAACGCGTACAAAAAGCAAAACACGAATAAATAATTTTATTAACGACAAAAATGTTTTCTTTTTAATCTCTGCTGTTTTTACCAAAAAATATCGTTTAAAAGTGCTTATTCTGCTAAATAAATTATTAAACTCGGTTTCTGCAAAATTTAAATAACAAAATTTCGAAGGAAAATACGAAAATTGAGCGAAAAATAAAAAAAATGAATATGCGTAATTAAAAAAAAAGTCCCCGTAAATCGCTTCGAGGATTACGGTAACTGTCTCGTAGCATTGCGTACAAAACGCAGGATCCTACGACACCTGGATGCATTTGTCATTTTTCAACAATATTTTAAACGAAAAAATAAAAAAGAAAGTATCATCTGGTTAAGGAGTAATTTTGTTTCGACACAGGTTTTGCAAAAAATTAACATCGCATTAAATCACCGAAGAAAATTAGTTTAGAAACATCCATGTTTTGGAATTTTATGGCACATATGCAGTCGTCGCAAAAAAAAAACACTAAAAAACCAGTATTAAAAAACTTAAACCCCAACTATCGCGCAAACTAGTTTTTTGAGTAGTTTTCTTTGCATCGAACCATTAGTATATATTCTTCAACAAAACCAGTTCTAGGCTCCGCCCAACGAAGCAGGAAAAACGGATGCAAATTGCACAGCTCTTCGATTTCTTCTAGACCTGATAACGAAAAAAACTTGTGCTTTTTATCAGTGCAGTATCGACCAACTGAAGCACGGAAGACCTTTCGAAGCCAAAAAAACTAGAAAAAAAGAAGAAAAAAAAATGAAGTGAATGTGGCTTGAGAATAGATCGATGAGGCTCACTTATATACCGATGCCAATTGACAGTTGCTCGGCGGGGCTGAACCGTCAATCGAATTTCGAAGCATGATGAAATGTCTGCTGAGTGCTTCCAGAACTCATTAAGATATCATCGCTTTATCGTAATCAACAAGAAAAAAACATTAAAAATATAAGTTAATAATCGTCGCCAGGGAACCGCCGGAATCGAGCTGCTTCTTTTCCGAACATATAAGACAGCATTCCTTCACCGTCCCAGCTATTTGTCACCCGTTGTCCTAGTTTCAGATTGTAGTATTGAACACCAACAAGCTCATTGGGAGTATCGTCAAGTTGCTGAAAATCCAACGAAATACATTTAAAAAAAACCAATACAAATGTACCTGGAACAAATATTTAAGGCAGGTCTGAATCTGTGGATACTTGTCGGATTTCGCCATTCTCAAATGATTTTTATTCAATTTCACCGATTCACGATATCGAGCCTCCTCGATTCTCGTTGGCCCGAAAATATTGAACTTAAATAGCGTATCAAACGACGAGAGCTGCTCCATGTAACTTGGACTGTCGATTCGGACCTCTCCTTCATCAGAATTGCTGAAAAATATTGAATTCCAATACCGCAAAATTGCAGTTAAAGTTCACAACGGCTAATTTTGCATTGAAATCTATTGAAATCTTCATTTTTTCTTTTATTATTAACGTTTTTCTATGTTTGTGCACTTTTCATCATCTAAAATCAGCAAAAAGTCATAAAACATTCGATCCAATTTCGAGTTTTCGTCATTTTTCGCAAGGAACGAAAGAAAACACCATGAATTAGGCATCATTTCAGTAAGAAAGAGCTTTAATTTTGGCAAATAATTGTTGATTTCTTAGTTCGCAAAAATTCGCTTAAACAATTAACTTTCTGTTGCTCAAGTGATTGTGCTCCAGTCGCAACTATCAATGTTCAAAATATTGTATATATTGCAATCCGTCAAAACAATTGGTGTGTCGACAAGTGTCATGGGCTCCGAAACACATGACCAACGAGAATCTCATCAATTCCGCAGCAGCGTTCCATTTTTACACTAAAACCACCCATAGAACTCCATGCTTTTTGGGCGAAAACCAGAAAAACAAAATGGTGGGCAATGGAGGGCCTCGACAGCACGGGACCATTAAAAATAACGAAGGCTCTCAAAATTAATGAGAGACTGGAAACGAGAAAAAAACATCGAGAAATGTCTCGAACCATCTTCCGATAAAACAATAAATATCTCATTCGTGGGTATCTAGAGAATCTGTTTCGTGAAAGGCAATTCGTTAATGCTTGAATTACAATTTAATATCTAAATTGATCCTAGTCATCTCAACAAATATTTCCTACCATGGTGATCCAATCCGTCGCATTTTGAATCGCCCGTGCCCAATCGTCAGAATCTCACGGATCATATCCCGATCCTTCTCATTGTTCACTTCAATTCTCTGCCATTCATACGGTGCGCCTCCAATTTCAATACACAAAATTTCTTCAATAGGAGGCAAAAGTCCAGGCAATTTGTACGTAAGCTTCGTGTTCGCTCCATGTGCATCTTTTCTCTGAAATTTTTGCACAATTGAATGCAAATTTGTGTTTTTTTATACAAAAATTGTTTGCTTTTACCTTAATGGTAACAATACAATCACACGTGGTCACACTCTTTTCCAAACAATCAAATGGGACGGCAAGTCTCGGCTCAGTCGCCAGTGTCCACAAAAACCGCAAAGGTTGATGGAATGTCCTAAAAGCTGAAATTAAACAAAGAAAACAAAATTTTTCAAAAGTAATACGTATTATCGGCAACATTGGGCATATTCGCCGGAAACAACGATATAATCAGAAGAGCAATGGATAAATTGTCTTTTTTGATGGCATATCTGCAAAAATATTGGAGAAAAAAACACTAATTGATAATAAACCTTCCATTTCCCAAAAATAGTAGTCCGATGGCTTGATGAGCAGCAACTTGAGAGCTGTGAGCTCGACCACCTCTCGACCAGTTGTCGTCAAGTGGTCTTTCATTGATCCGCAATAATCGTGCATATCGAAGAGCAGTTTTATCTCCAGTACTGACTTTAACCTAAAAATTCAAAACATTATCAATTGAAAGTTAGTAATACCCTATTTTTATGGTCTCGAGAGAAAAAAACTTACAATTGCCATACACAATGTCAACATAGATTGCGCGATCGTTGCCAAATTCATTCCAGCTTTCGTACAGAATCTCGCATGAGAGACATCCTTCGGTTGTACTTCTTCGGGAATAATTGGCGTCATGAAACGAATGAATAATTCAATTGCTCGTTCGGTATTATCATCTTCAGGCGGCCCATAGGCCGATGCGTATTTGATCGCGATCACAACACATGCCGCCATTACAGTGTACAGATATGCTTGAGTGAGTGTGTTCCTGTCGACAATCTCCTCCCAATAAAGATTTTCTTCTTCAACGAGAGGCTCTCCTTCCAAATACGGAGAATATTTGAGCGTCTTCTTCAGATACACCATTATCGTTTTCGGAACAAGACTCACGACCCAGTCGAAGTCGATTTTCACGTCATCCCACATAATGAGACAATATGAGAGAACGCGCGCGAAAATCTACAATGAAATATCCAATAATTGTCAGAATAGTTGAAAGAAAAAAATCAAAAACATACACAATCTGGTCGAATGGTCTCTATGATGCTAATTGATTCCGGCAACGTCAACTGATCGGCAATATACTTGTTACCAGTCCTCATGAACATGAATCCAAGAGCAATCGCCGCTGGCTGCGACGACAAATGAATGTTAACATTTTCGGCATCTTGAACATGATTCGGACCTTGATTTGATGTCTGAGTTCTGGCTTGCGGAATATAAGGTAGCGCATTGATTTCAGTTATTAATGGAACTACGTTCTGCGGTAAATACACACAGTGCTTTTTCAAGCCGCCATTCATCATCACGATGAGCCGCTCAGACAGCTGCGGTATCATTTGTTTGAATGGAACTGCATGAGCTCCGACTCCATTACCTACAAAGGAAATAAACTGTTTAAAAAATCACGAATGACGAGAAGATAAAGATGTGAAATCAACAACTACCTTTTCCCAGCATAATCAATCCCAGAGAAAATCCTGCACACAACTTATAGGCGGCTCGATCCGAAACAGGTTGATCTTCAGTGTTTGGCGATCGTCCTATCTCGTTCACAAGCTTCTTGGCTATATTCATATTACCCGAATCGGCGAACAATAATCCGAGTGCTGTAACTGCCGCCGTCTGAATCGTGCAATCGAGTCGAATTTCCAACAATGTGGGTCCCATGAGGAATTGTAAATAAGTCGCAAGAATTTTGTAGATTTGAATATCGCACGTTTTCAATTTCGATGCAGCTAGACCCAACAGCAATCCAGTCGAATGGAATCGATCGAACGTTTCGAGCATTTGATGAGCATGATACATGTTCATGTTGGCAAGATGACCATTCAATCCAAATCCATACGTGAGTCCCGCAACGACGGCATGATTTTTGCTAATCTTGAGCACCATCAGTATATACTCATTATCGATTTTCACCATATCACTCGATCCAACCGAAAGGGCCGCGGCAGTACTATTGTAAAATTCAGCCCATTCCGAGTGAATCCGATATGATTCTGTATTGACTGGATCACAAGTAACTCGAGCAGGATAGAGTACACCAGTAAGATTGAGAGGCGGAATATCAATAGGATCCATTAATGTTGGCACAATTGACCGGAATTGAAGCATTCCACGACCGAATGCTTGCGAGAAGTATCGGATTGATGATTGGGTCAAGAATCTATCTTGAGCATCTTTCAGCTGAATATCATCCCCCAATCCACTGAAAAAATTTTATCGATGAAATTGATATGATAGGCTTACATTAAGCTACTTGTTGCAATCAGCACAGGTCTCGACGAGTTTAGCATCATTTCGGCATTTTTGATGCGAATGTCATGCGGCCATCGGGCAGCGAATATCTGCGCGTGTTCGTCATCAGTTGGGAATTGGCTGAAAACAAATTCGAACAAAAAAAAACATTTGATTTTTTGAAGAATGTAATACCATTCGTGAGGAATATGATATTTGAGTCCATCAGATGCTTCAGACATATACTTCAATAATATAATTCGCGCGCTAACTGGAAGACTGACAAGCATCGAATGACTGAAGTTGAAGAATCTGATGAGTTCAGTAGCGCTGAAATTCATTGTTCATAAAACGTATGTTCGAAAAACAAAGGTCGTACCAATCCGATTTATTTGAATTTTCATCACCAATAATTGCTAAAAACTTCAATTTCGAAGCTTCATTGAGCCCGAGCCTCTTCGCATAGTTTTCGCCAAGCCACAAGCGGCACTCCAAATCGGTTGAAAGGTGTCTCGAACCAACAGCGAAAACTTCAATTAATAACAGTTCAATTCAATTAATCATTGTTTGATTAAAAAACCTGTCAAGAGCCGAACGCAATATCTCGTGAAACACGTCGGCACCGGACAAACTTCAGGCAATTCCCTATTAGTCGTGACAATTGATCCAATAAGCGACCACATTGACGGCAGGAAAGGGCGTTGAACATATTTTTTCTCGGAATCTGAAATCAAGCAAATATTGAATAAAAAAAAACGTAAAAAGAACCGAAAAATTCATCACAGTTGTCCGGAATCGTAATATTGAGTTCAGTGAGTAGATCATAGAAACCATTGATGTAATAAATCGTCATTCGTTGCTCATTAAGTGTTCTGAACACAAAAATAGTTTCAATTGTTGTAATTGTCAAACCTTGCAAATGAGTACATATAAGGAACGATGGTCGGCAATGCATGATGCTTCCACACATTCATCATCCAGTCTTCAAACAACCCATACAATCCCAAAACCACATCTCGAGCGTATTTTCGGTATTTCGATTGTGTGTTTAATGTGATATAAGCGTTCCTTTGAAAATGATAAATAATTGGATGGCAATGTGCAATTCGTGAAATACTTTTTATCCATTTCATGTATGAAAATACTTTCTTCGGCTCGAAGCTGGCAGACACGCTGCCAAATATCCTCGACAGATTGCCGCGGCTTCTTCTCACGACGCCCGTCAGGAGAAGGAGCAACCTGCAAATGTTTTCTTTCTGTATTTCGATAAAATTTTATCGTCATTAAAAATTACTTCCGATGGGTCCATTTCCATATTGAGTCCAAAATTACGCAAAATAAACAACATCACATCTTCAAGCTCCTAAACAATTTTTGAATTTGATTATTTTCAATTCAAAACTCACATGTTTTTGTACATCTCCATTACATTTTGTCCCAAGGTGTTCGCGGGACATTGATCGCCATTCTTTCACCAATTCCTGTCCAATATCGAAAGGAACAACTCGTAAGCAGGTTGATAATATTTCACCAACTAAACATATCCATTCAACTATCGAAATTCAACTGAAACTAACCTAATTGGCATTCATATGCCGGCTGCAATTCAATTTTTGATAGAGTACCGCCGGAAAGCGCCAAAAACGAGTTGCCCTCATACGGAAAAAGTCTTGTCGCTTCAGACAATGGTACGCTCTGCTGAAAAAACACTGTTTCTATAGAATTTGAATCGATAAATCGCTCACCTCCACATAAACCATTGAAATTCGTTCACATCCCGTGAATAATGCAATCGATTTACTTATTTCCAGCACAACTGTGATTCCATCAGACGGTATCGAGATCGCATCTAAGCACGGAATTGTGAAAACCTTTACCGCATCCATTTTCTCTGAAATTTTTAATGTATCTAATCAGATCTGACGTGCTACTTTACGTGACATCTCCGCAAGTTTTGATATATTTTTAAAAACAGGAATCACTTTCATAATCTTGTCTTGATTCGAAACAAGATTCAGATACAACTGTCCAAGACTCTGTGATAAAAACACCTGAACATAAAAAATTCAAATTAATTAATCAAGAAGTGGACCTTATCCGCTTTTTTTGTGAAATCTCCTTTCACTTCAATGTAGAATCGCTCCAAACAAATTTTCGACAAGAGGAGATCCAGATCAGGATCGCGATCCAATGTTCCAAAATCCATATCAGAGAATTCATACGTTCCACCTTTGGTCTTTCTGAATAAATGAATTAATTGTTGGATTCAAAGAAATACTAGACATTTTGGAAACGAAACCTACCGTGGAGTGTCTCGAATCATTCTAGTGAATTCTCGAAGCAATCCGGCATTTTCATTCATTCCCCTGTTTCTTCGATATCCTCTAGAATTTCACAATGATCACATTCAGATGATTCGAAATCAACAAACCCTTTCATTTTACTTGTTTTCGGTGTTCTAAACTGTGAACTTCCATACGGCGATTGATGCGAAAATCGTGGGCCACCATAATCTGAACAAAAATTTCATCAACCAATCCTTATCATGAGCACACCATGCGTTGAGGAAGAAGCAGGTGCCGCTTCTTCGGCTTGTGCCATACGTGCAAGCGATCTCGCATGAATATTTCGTTCCAAGTTCGCATTCGCACCGAAGTTGCTTGCAATTCGCGGCGTTAGCGGTGTATTTCCCCATCCACGCGTGTCGGCACTGCCTGAAACCAACCAACTTGTTCAATCATCAACGATTGCCACAGGCTGAGAGAAGCTTATAAATCGTCGTGGGTATTTCGTTGCCTACGTGAGATTACTCACATTCTCTTGAATATAAGTTATAATTTCAGTAGCGCAGCAATTTCATGCGAAGTCCACCAAAATTACACTGAACCAACTATATCTTTTTTTTTCAACGAATTTCATAATGACTGGATATATTCAAAGGCGGCACGAAAATATTCGAAAAAAAAGATTTGGTTTTGCAATTGTTTAAACTTTGGCTCGAGCATATGCAAAAATTCAGTATACATGAAAACTGAACGAAAAAAAAGCTTGAAATTGCTCAAAGTGCTCGTGTTTTTATGAGATGATAAATAATACTTATTTAATCATTCTCGACAGCACCGACTGATGAGTGGAAGTAAGGTAATCTTCATTCCCGTTACCTCCTTCTAAACGCATCATCATACATAAAACCAAAACCACTCTCCATTTCTTAATTATGCACATGAAATGAGAAATCACGTATAAGTTGAAATCAGTCCCACTTTTCATCCAATAATTTCTTTGGAAATCCTATGAATTCATTAATAACTGGAAAATAGTGTATTCTCTAAAAAATGTCTTTCTAAAATACTAAAAAAAAGCTTCTAGAGCTTCTTCTATTCAATAACTTAAATAGAATGCTGTTTCCAAAAATAGCCAACATCTAACAGCACGCGTTCACCGGCCAATGTTCGCCTATCAATTCAATATAGGGCGAGAAGAAGCAACGGAAAGACAACGGCGAAGAAGAAGACAAACCAAATACAATTTACTCTTCTCCTACGCGCATATCCGTCCACAATTTGTTAAACATCACGGATTCCAAAGTCTATAACAATCGCAAAACAAAAATGGGCGTGGTCTTCGACTGAATCGGAAGAGAGCACCGCCCACAATTTCCCACGAATCTTTCATTTTGTTTACCTATTATGCCCATTTTATATTTGTGCAGTGTTTTCCAAAAAAAACCCCTAAATATAATAAAAACAAACAAATAATAATAATAATAATTAGCCGCTCGGGTGTTCACGAATGAAAATCGAGTTGGTTGTTTTTTTTAATGTATCTTTTCATTATTCATCGACCACTTTTCTTTTTCGTTTTGTCAGGATAATCATGTCCGTGCATATGCTGTCGTTATAGGACTTACAATCATTCCTGTGTTAGTGTAAGCTGAATTCGACATATCCCAAAATGTCATTCTGTCAGTCAAACATTCTGTCAAAAATGCTTCGAAACATTGATTCGACTTCAACTCTCCAATATTTGTTCGCGTATTCAACGGTTAAAGATTGTTTCGATAAAACGACTCCTATCGCATTTCATCGCGATCTTCGCTTCAATTAACTATTTGCACTCATCTATATAGTGTATAGACTAGCTTCTTCGAAGCATGCGCGCCTCGTCAAAAGAAAAAAAAAACACAATTTCACACGCTCTCGGCTTATCTGCCCCTCAACTTCGACGACGGCTCAAATCGGTGTGACGTCGCGAAAATCGAGTTGTTGCCAATCCTTTTTTCGAAAACACCCACCGCCGCCGTCGTATATACGTTTGAATAGTGTTCGCGTCTTGCATTATACGAGATATTCTTCAAAAATTATGTAAAGGAAGAAGATGCTCCGACAAATAGAGTCAACTGTCAATCAAAAACTAAAAATCTTAAGGTTCGAACAAAAATTGTTCAATTAATACCAAATTAATTGGCCCATATATTGTCGAAGACAGGCAACTGAGAATAAACTCAATGGCCGGCCAAACAGTTTGCTTCTCGGGGTTTTTTTGTGAGTTCGCTCTTTAACAATTTACATAAAACGCAATAATGTTTCAATACGAGACCCAAGACGGTAAACTCACATAATGAACCGCTATCCCAAACTCATGGGCGACATTTATTTTTGCATACACACAACGCAATTCTCGGAAAAAATGTCGACTGCATTCAAAACGCAAAATTCCATGATAAAACTTAAGAATATGCGTTCACAATTACCAAGGGAGTTTTCAAATTCAGTCTAGAATTTTTCGGACCCCCATTTCATTTCCAAACATGGAATATCGCCATTTATATGTATTCGAATGAAATTGTCGCCAATTTTGTGAAAACCTGAAATTACCGTTTCCGGATATTTCAAACTATCATAAGCTTGTGCATAAACATAAATACACTTTCTAAATTAAAAATCTAACATGATTCAACATATTTATTCCTATTCTAAAGCCCTTCGTATTTCCTAAAGCATGAAGGCGGACAACAACAAAAAAAGAAAGAAGTGAGGAAATAGCACAACAATTTGCATAGGATATTCGTTGAAGGCGTCGTCGACCGATAAGGAAATTGTCGCAGAATCCTCCCCAGTCAAGTGGTATGACAGCTCTCGAAATTTGTTTCAAACATTGTCAACACCCTCCACTCGAATCTCCTCTCGGTTTCCTTTTCTCCCGATTCACATCTCGTCACCATTTGCATATTGCTTGATTTGGTTATGCCTGTTTATCGCCACCATTTTCAGATTTCGTAAGCTCATCGTCACTACCTGACTACTATGCTTCAGAATGGGCAACCAATCAGCACGACAGTTATCAGCCCATAAGAAACATGTGATGCATTCATGGAACACCATCAACACACATAATCCGCAACTAATTAATGACGCAATTAGGTGGGCTGATGCATATAGATTGCTAAATTAGTCTCATTTTTTCAAAAATAACAATAATTCCGCGTTTCTAGAAGAAGTCCAAATAAGGGATAATGACCATAAATCTACGATTAGCAATTTCTATAAAGGGATATATTCGAAATAGGTTCACAGCTCCACCTATAGTATAACTCGGAAGGAACTAGTTCAGAAGCATTATTCCACGGAAACTATATTAGGCAACTCGCCTATTTCCGGCAACCCATCAAAACCAGTCTTGTCCACTAAGTCTGGTTTCCTGAACTTCTTACTCTTCGTGGAATATCCAATTTGCACTCTGCAAGAAATAAAAAAATGAGAGCATAAAGTGCAGGGACACAAATCACGGTGCTCTCCATATTAATGAGCGCCTTCTCATAAACCAAAAGCACAGACTAGACGAAGACGGCGAATAAAAAAACGTCTAAAGGAGCAGAATTAATCAAATTTCGTTGTCACTTGAGAAGACACATCATCTCGAATTACATGGCCTAATTGTATAAACTTCCTGCTTTTGCAGCGAAGCTTGGCTCAAATCAGCCGAGCTCACGCCCACGTGGGTCTGGGCGCTGGTCGATCTGCCCGAAACAATGCACACCACCTACAAAGAGAACGCGCAGTTCCTCAACATTATCAATCAAGTACGGGATTTTCTACATCTACTTATCAAAGTGCACAAATGCGATCCGGAGATGATAAAGACATTGGCGTTTCGACTAGGGGCTCGACATAGGTTGTCAATTGAAGAAATTCTGGTGAATGAGATAATTTTAGACATTATATGAACGAGGGAAACGACAATTGCTATTGGGCTCCATTTGCACAACAATTACCAATAGCAATGAGCAAAATGTATATGCGAGTTGTTAATGAAGACAGCAAGTTCGATTAACCACCGATTAAAATTATCAATCAAAAGTTAAATATTCAGAATACGCAAGATCCTTAGAATTCGTTCACGTGTTGCCGAGAAGAGCGAAGAAGAGGAACTATGCGAATCTTGGCGTCATTTCTCTTGCATGTTGATTGAATCAATGAAACGTGGTTACGAAGGATGTGCCAGCGAGAAAACTCCATTAAGGTTAAGCATTACTAAGTAAGAACACGGAATCTCCGAATGTTACCCGTTGAATTCCAGTTCGATCATTTCAATGGCTTCGCTTCGTTCCACGCGTTCGCGGTCGGCGTCGCATTTTCTGGAGCCAAATCTCTCGCCAGCGATCGGTTCGTCATCATCTCCACATCATTCGAATTCGTGTTGTACTTCTCCAACAACATCTTCGTCGAAGCCGAAAGAGCCGCGAAGATCGCTACGATAGAGCATCGATACATTCAATTTCTCTGTTGTAGTTGCCCTAATGCGAAGCTTCTAACTTTTTTCTGGTGTCTCCGTTTGCACAATGTACTAACATCGAATGTGTTAATGTTGTGGAATGTATTTAACATGTCGTCCTTTTTGCTAAATTCGAATGCTTAAAATAACCGCTTAATTACAGCTCCAATGTGCGCGCTTCTAGCTTCATCGCCCTCGGAAACTGAGAATCCACCGAAATCGGCGCAACCGCAGCCAACATCGCCGATCACCCCATATCGCAGGAGAAGCATGTTCAAAGGCGGATTGCAGACCGGCAGTCAAGATTTCACAGCATTAAGGTACAACAGAATCGAGTAATATTTCGGAGGATTCTCGATTTCCAGAAATCGCCGAATGTCGTCTCCAAACAATCCCTCAATTCTCCTTAACAATTGCGATATTCAATTGCTAAAGCTCACGCAGGTCTCACCCACTAACACGCTTAATACTCACAACAAGAACAATAATAATAACAATAATAATGGGAGGCCAGTATCGCGAATCAATCAGCATCGCAGATCGATAACACTGCTGAACTTTGATCGAACTCGATCCCCGCCTTCTTGATATCACTTTATTTCTTTTTGTTTTCTTTTTTTAATAAAAATTTGCTTAGCGTTCTTGATTTAAATATTGAATTCAACTAAGCAGACTAAATGTTTAATCTAGCCTAAATGTTCGATAGTTCCGAGTCCGTAAAAAATGAACAATGAGAATCTCACTAACCTTCATAAATGGGCGTAGGCATTGGTGAATGGAATGTACCACCAGGATGGTTTGGCGTCGAATGCCCAAAACCTCCGATACCAACATTCGAGTGTCTCGTCGGATGGCATGGAGAAGATGCTTCAAGTTTGCTATCGATAAGCTCCGATAATGCTATCACTAAAATTTTCCGTTTTTAAAACTACAAGTAAATGGAATTGAATTTTACCTGCTGGAGATCTAACACTTTGAAACGATAAAACATCATCAGTAATAGTGCGTTTCGTCTGATGCGATCTCGCAAGCATCGTCGAGTCAACGAACTGTTTCCGTTGATTCTCGACGTATCTAATAGCCGACTGAACTTCTTGCTCTTCGGTTTCACGTGCGAAATATATTCGATGGACCTAAAAGAACTATTTCATTCAAAAATAAGATACTTTGAACACCTTCTTTTTTGGATCGAAAACCACAACAAAATCTCCGGCGCAACCAACCATTTCAGCATCATCCTGATGAGATTGCCAACAGAATTTCCAATGTGGTTGGAAGCCTGAAATTTTCAAGTAAATCCATTTAATCATCATGATAAATTCAGAGAGAACATTTAAAATTAATTTTCTAAAATTAAATATGTACACAAATACCTGTAGTTTTATAGATCACCGGTAGAAGCTCGCCAAATGGTCCTGATAGAGAATACAGGTGAAAAGTGTCATGGTAATGATAAGATTGCTCCGTCTTAATGAAAAACGTATATATTTTTAAGTAATAAATTAACTGACCGATGCATCATAATATCTCTCAATAAGTACACAACCGCTAACAGGAAAAACATTTTTTGGCTGGAAATTTAGAGAATTTTAAAATGTAAACAAAAACAACTACCTGGAAGGGAATATCATAATAATAAAAATGATATTCGGTACTATCAATGAATAGTAGACGATTTTTACCACATACCACCAAAAATTCACGTTTCAATATTGGTTTCTGAAAAGACATAGAATTTTAATAGTAAAGTGTTTGAAGAAAACTTACTCTTCCCGTTAAAAGTCGTTTCTCTTTCGAATGTTTCGAGTAATCAACACGGTGATAGAATATCTGCAATTTTAGCATTGAATGTGAATCAATCGACGAAAACTGTTACTTTTTTCATATCAAACTCCATATCAAATCGACGAATTACACTCAAATTGGTGCTATGCCCATCGCAAATCAAAAGCTCGGTCCCGCGAGCAATTGCGTACTCAATTACACGATTATGAGTTGAATGTGAACAAATGAGGTTCTGAAAACTGTCAATTGTAATTTAAAAAAAAACATGCTCGTTTTAGAATTTCTTTTGTAATTTAAGACAATAAGTATCTAAATAACTTACTAGTTTTCAAAACAACCAAAATATCAATAATAAATTTTAACATCAGAATTCATGTAAACTTTTCTAATTTAGAAAATTCGATTTTTACTTCTGATCTATCAAATTCACGTTTCCCTCGTATAATTAACATTGAATTGCAGAAACAATAATTTCTTTCAGTTAAAAATTCAAAAATACCTTAAACGCACAAAACTCAAAAAATACCTGATATTTATTCGAATCTCCGCCAATTTCGACGTCCGTTCGATATTTCGACTTTATCATTTTCAAATCCTCATCAGTCCTTTCACTCATATAATCGTTTTCCTGAATTTGGCCAAAAATTCAAATGAATATCCAAGTCCGTTGGAGCGCGTTTGTTCACCCGCCCAATGTACGTATTTCCGAGAGGTTCGACTCAAAAAATGACCGCCAACATTCTAGTACAGTGCATTCATTCAATCAATTCAACGTTTAAAAATAGATAGAGACAAAATACTTGCATAATCAACAACAATAAGTTAAAGAGTACCAGTGTCGTTAAAGAAGAAAACATTGAAGATCATTGGGTGGGTTTGGACAAAATAGAATGTTAATAATTGAATTTTACAAGATTGTTAGTGTGGGCGATTATGAATGCAAATTATGCAGTAGTTGTCTCTTCGGTTTTATCCTCGTGCTCAGTTTCTTTAGTTTTCTCGGTCTCATCTTCCGTGACAGTCTTGGTCTTCTTGGCAGCGTCGTCTTCGGTAGGCTCCGATGAAGCTGGACGTTTCGTTGGTCGGCGAACCTGAGTGATTTTTATAAGGATTGATCGATTGTCAAATTTTATACCAGGTTGGAAATATCGGAAGCGGATTCGGCGATTTCCTCCTTATTTTCTACAGAGAGATTGGTAAGCAACTGAACAGCTCCCGTGAGCTCCTTCTTCAAAGTCTCTCTGATCTAAAAGAATGAAATGTGAAATTATAATCTTGTTGTCTTAAATGTTTACCTTGTTAGCCTGTTCGGCGGATGCCTTGGAATCGTCAATGAAGGCGTCCATTTCTGGAAGAATTTCAGCGATCTCGGATAGCTCTTCTTCAATCTCTTTTTTGGCATCTTCAACAGCACTCTCCACCTGCTTCTTAAGTTCTTCCTGTTTTGCGATAAGAACATTCTTGGCCTTCTCGTAATTTGCGGCAGCTTCTTCGAATTTGTCGTCCTGGCGGAAAGCCTTGGCAAGAAGATGGTAGGTTTGAGCGATTACTCTCGAAGATTCCGGAAGATGTTTGAGTTGAACGTCGAGAGCGTTCTGAAGCTCCTTCTGTGCATCCTCGTGTTTGCCGTCGGCAGTTTGAATTTCACCGAGAACAATCAAAACATCAGCCTTGCGAAGATGCCATTTCTTAGCTTCCTCAACAGACTCCTCGGTTAGCTTCTCAAGTTGATTATCGCAAATTTTACGAGCGCACTCCAAAATTTCCCATGCAGTCTGCATAGCAGAAGCCTCTTCTTCATCTTCCTCAGCTTCAGCTTCTTCGGTTTCCATGGCAGTCTCACCATCAGTGCCTTCATCCTTCTCATTAGCTGAAAATTGTGTTAAAATATATTCATTCATCTCAATCCTGGATACCTTCTTCAGCTTCTTCCTTTTCATCACCAGATGCCTCCTTACTCTCCGTAGTAGCCTCTTTATTAGCCTCCTCAGTTTCAGCCACCTTTTCAGTGATTTCTTCAGCAGCCGGCTCTTCATTCTTTTTCTGCTCTTCGGCAACCTTATCTTCTTCAATCTTGTCTTCTTCCATGAGTGCTTCCTCAACTTGATGCTTGATTTCTTCACGCTCTTCTTCTGAATCTATAAACTAAAAAGGAATCACAGCTTGCGAACTTGCATACCTGTGAGTGTTTCTGGATTTCCGTACTGCTCTTCATCGATGGAGTTGTTGGCTTGTGCATCTTCTTCATTTGGCACTGGCAAGTTGGTCATTGCGTTGGAGAAGACCTGGTCTTCGATTTTGGCAACTTCAAACAAAGCCTGTCCATAGAGGAAATGAGGATCGAATGTTTCTTCAGCAAACTCTCCGTAGATGTCAACCGCAATTTCGGTGGCGGCGCTCAAGGCATCGACGGCTTTGTTGTACTCGTTCGTCTTCAAGAAGCGTCGTCCACATGTCATGTGGTCCTTGAAGTTCTTTTCCCTAAACATTAGAAATACTAATCAATACACAGAGAACAATATTTACTTTTCTTCTCTCGTCATCTCTGGAACAGCAGGAGTTTCTTCCGTAGCAATTGGAGAACTAGCGTCGACGCTCTCAGTATCCAAGGCCTTCTCAACGGCAACTTTCTGAACTGTTTCGGTCGTTTCGCCTTCCTTGCTAATAGTGTTAGTGGTATCAACAAGAGCGCTCATTATATAAAGGAAAAGTCTAAAAGAAAATTCGATTTCGCAATAAATAACCGAAAAGCCAAAATAAGTTAATTTTAAAGGCATCGAATCAAAATCATACAAAATTCCATATTAATAAAAAAAATGCGAATATACTAGAGACTTTCAAATGCACAAAACGGACCGACTGCAGTAAAAACATAATAAAGCGGGGGGCAAAAGGAAAGCACGCCTCGGCGCCAATAATTCCCGCATTTAAATCTTCGCGGCAAATTTGAATCTTCTTTTCGTGCTGAGATATCAGCGCTCAAAAGGCGCCTGCGCCTTTTGTCCATTTTTGCGCCATAGCGAAATTTTCAAATCTTAAAAAAATATTTTTCTATCGTTCTCATTTCGGAAATTTGGACTTATTTATTAAATATAAATCCATTTTTTTACATTCCTGGAAAATTGCGTAATTTTTCCAATGCATATTTGTGAAAACTACATTTCATGGTCCATTAGGCTTTGAAATATTTAAATTTTATAATCGTATCCTTGCTATAAAATTGAAACCTTGCTTATCACTTAATTGTTTATTTATATGATTAAGAAAATTATTACAAGTAACGCATACGAGTAAAAACTATCAAAACTAGAATGGAAAATAATATCCACTGAATACACGTATATATAAAATAAATAAATTAAAATAATAATTCGTGAAACTTCGTCATGTTTTAATTTTTTTTCTATAATAATTTTCTAAACCAATGCCGTACTCGGCGCGTCTTTTGGCGGAGTTTTGTTGTAATGGCGGTTTTTCGAGAAGACTTCTTAAAATCGGGTACGACTGAAGTTTGATGTGAGTCAATGGGAAACCTGTAAGCTAAAATTTATAGTTGGAAAGCTTTTAAATTAGTCAATATTACCATTTTTTTCTACCACTTCTGTGAGCATAATTTCATCGAAAACCTTCATTTTTTCCGGGATTTCTGTTATTGTTGTATCGCATAATGTTTGTGTAATAGTATCATGCGAGTTTATCATATGTACTAAAGATATTTCGTAAGCCTAAATGTTTCATTGTTCTCTAAAGTTTTCGAGTAAAAGTTACTTCAGAATTTTCTGGCATGTCAGGAAATATACAATTATCAATCCAATTCGCAAAACTGTTTAAATCCGAATAGTGGCTTGTCGCGATTAAAGCTCCATGACGAATATTTACTACAGAAGAGCAATTGATTTCGCTTAATTGTTTTAAAGTTTACCATTTTCTTGCTCACTATTACATAAATGTTTGTGCGAATCAAATAATGTTAGTGAATTTGGAGAACGATCGTAAACTATGAGGACTGTTCGAACACATCCGATCATCACAAAAAACAAACGCTTCCGACTTTGAAACGCTTGGCTAAATATTGCTCAATTTTGTAATCAATTTCAAAAATTCTACCATTTGACAGCCATTCGAAGCATTTTCGGTAAATCATTGACTATTGAATTTGTGCATAATTTATAATCAATTTCCTAAATAAACTTAAAAGTATATTTTCGAAGACGAAGACGATTACTTTAAAATTGTTGCCACACGCTTTTATAGCATCAGGAAGATTATAAACACGAGATGGGTCCACTACCGAATCTTTCAAATACGTTTCATTTCCGTCAATAATTCCATTTATTAAACATTTCACTAGATTTTCTGGGCATTTATAACTTCTCTAAAACAATTCTTCATTATTCCTTATTAACGACGAATTATTCCGAACGAGTTTTGTTTATTGAATTCAGATAAATACCGCATTAAGCGAGTTAATTAAAATAAAAATATTATAACATTTTTATTAATCTTATTACTACTATTGTACACTCTAATTTTTCGAAAGTATTTTTAATGATGCGAAATGATAAAAACGGCAGTGAAATGAGTATTTGAGATAATACTCTGGTAACTCAAAACCAATCGGATCCAACAAAATTCGGCCCCGGAATCAACATTATCCGATTGGAAATTCTACGAATAAGATTGGAAAATTGTCGGATACGATTGGTTTTGAGTTACCAGAGCAGAGTAAACGATTGTGAGATATCAGGATATTGATTTTTCACCGCACTTGGGGTTTGACCACTTGTAAGCCGATGTTTTCAATTTTATTATTGCAAAAAATTGAATAGTTACCCTTTCTGTAGGTATCGCAATATACATATTGTTATTAATTTCCTTCAATGGTAATCGTGCTTGAATTTCGCATCCCCCCGCAGCTCGATAAGATATTTTCTGTAAAATTTACGTGAATCAACAGCTGTTAAACATAACATCTTCACAGTTTCGACAATTCGATTGAATAAGAATTAACCATTTTCACCTCAAATCTGTCAAATCCCTTCGGCATTGGAATATCATGATTGTGAATTAATTCTGCGATTTTCAAAGCGATCAACGTGCACGCATTCGATGGTTCATTTTTCCCGCAAATTAGGGATTGTGATATTGATAAAGGAAATCTCCAAACTAATGTTTTCTGTAACGTTTTTTCGATATTCTAAATAGAAAACAAGTTTTACATCATCTTCTAGTCGAGTCTCAGGTTCTGGAGAGTTGAGATTCTCGAAAATTATAGTAGTTGTTGAGCCATCATCGCTTCCATCCGCTTCGCTTGTCATAGAAATCACAATTAATTATCAATTGACCTAACATGGCTGGTGACGTGGTGCTGAAACTTTAATTTCGCTAAAAGTTCACGGTAAATTGAATTTGAAATTTTTCAGACAAAATGCGCATCAAATCGAAAATTCCGCCAAACTTAAGCGCCAAGGCAAAAGCATTAACAAGTGTTCCCCGAAATTTGGATGTACCAACGGATATCGAAACAATCCATATCCCAGGTAGGGCCGACAAGAATTTCAAAAATATGTATAATAAATGAATAAATTTTAGGAAGCAATACATATGAAAAATTAAATAATTTATTGAAGACAATGAATGAAGAGGATGTTTCGTTCACCAGAGCTCAACTGGAAGCACTTCATGGTACTTTTAATGGGTTAAAACATGCATTTACATGAGTTGAAGGCCTGTTGAAAAATGTTGTAGTCGAAGTCGCGCGGCTGCAAAAAATGGGCTAAATGTAAAAAAAATGATGACAGTATGTAGTACTGGAACAAAACTGAAAGTGTAGATTCACGGGATTAAGCATAAGCACAGGTTAAAGGCACTTATTGTGCACTAATGTAAGAACTTTTCCTAAATTCTTTTTGACATTTTGTCGATATTCCGCGGTCGCGCGCCGTCGACAATGCAACTATCAAATTTTTCTTGTTTTGTGGTTGGAACTACAGTTTTATATTCAAGATAATTTTGAAAATCGTTTAAAATTTAGAAGGTGAATCGGAATGCGACAAACGTGTTCGATATTCACGAGTTAAAGCTTCCGGCGGTTTCGAAGTGTTTCAACCTAATAGTAAATGTAGCGTAGTTTACACCAAAACACCGCCATTTATTCAAAATTGTACAATGAGAGATTATCAAATCGACGGGCTGAATTGGTTGATTCGAGCGCAGAAAAATGGTCGAAATGTGTGCCTTGGCGATGAAATGGTGAATAATTTGCCAGTTCTCTCTTTTTCTAATGTTTCGAAACTATTAATTGATTGGTATTAAATATATTTATAGGGTTTGGGAAAAACGATTCAAACAATTGCACTTTTGGCTTTCAATCAAAAAGTGCTCAAGTGCAAGAAAAAGTTTTTAATCGTCGTTCCTTTGAGTACCCTTCATAATTGGAAGAGCGAATTTGAGAAATTCGCGCCGAGTGTCAATGTTGCTGTTTTTCACTGTCTCAAAGCACATAGGGTAACGAAAAGTGGATTGAAAAAATAGCCACCAAAAATTTCAAATATTTAGAAGCAACTCATAGATGATATCATAAAACCAGCGAAATTTGATGTTGGCTTGGCCACCTATGAATCTGCAATTATCTTCAAAGCACACTTACAGAGAATTGATTGGGAATATGTGGTTATAGATGAAGCTCAAAGAATCAAGTGTCCAGATCGAACGGTTTGTGAATTCGTTTTTTTTTTTCGAGTGTTTGTAATTTCGTTTTTAGCTATTCCGTGAATTGAGCGTTTTAATTACTCGGCATAGACTCCTTTTAACGGGTACTCCGTTTCAAAATGATTCCAGCGAATTGTGGAGTATTCTCGCATTTTTGCAACCAGCGATTTTTTGTAATTTGATGGAATTTTTTGAATATTTCTCGTCTGAAAATTTGAGAAAAATGTCAGAGAGAGTCGAATTGCTTCAAAATGTGAGTTTTGAATAGTGAGTACTATCGTACCAAGACCCAACCTGTATAGTTTTTTGCTTTTTTTTACCATAATTACCGAAAATAATTAAATAATTCTAAATAATATTTGTCAGCGATTAACATTTGCAGATTATTCAGCCATTCTTGTTGAGACGCGTAAAACATGAAGTTGAGAAGAGTATCCCGCCGAAACGAGAATATCGACTCTACGTTGGTCTATCAGAACTCCAACAGCAATTCTACAAAGCTTTCATCAACAAAAGTGTTGCGACGAATGAGCAAGGAGAAGTTAAGCTGTCCCACGTATCGCATACGCTTATGCGACTTCGACAAACCGCCAATCATCCGTTCATTTTTCCCGAAGCTGAACCGTCTGGTCCACCCTACGTCACTGACGAAAGAATTGTAACGTCGTCTGGAAAAATGATTCTTTTGGATCAAATGCTCAAAAAATTCAAAGCTGAAGGCAGCCGTGTTTTGATCTTCAGCCAATTTGTCTCTGTACTGAATATTCTAGAAGATTATTGTGATTATCGCAAGTAATTTTATAATTCGTGTTAATTAAAATATGGTTTTGATTTTTAAAGATATCCCATTTGCCGCATTGATGGATCGAGGGTTGGAAATGATCGTCAGAAGAACATTATGCAATTCAATAAGGTGAACAGTAAGAAGTTTGTGTTCTTAATGACGACAAGAGCTGGAGGAATTGGTTAGTTTGGTTTTGAATTGAAAACAATTTTTTCGTCAACTAATTTTATAGGAATCAATCTCGCCAGTGCCGATGTTGTGATTTTGTATGATTCGGATTTCAATCCACAAATGGATCTCCAGGCTATTGCTCGATCGCATCGTATTGGACAGACAAAGGAAGTTCGCGTATTCCGTTTGATCTCTAAAGGCACTGTTGATGAGTATTTACACGAAATCGCCGATCTCAAAGCTGAGCTTGGTTCGAAAATCATCGTAGATGGAAACGAGAAAGTGGATTCGAAATTAAAAATAGAAAAGATGAAGAAAATCTTGATGGATTCGCATCGAAAGGTTAAATCAAATCGATTAATTCTCTTATCTTTCAAATTACAGGTACAAACCGGCTTAGAGACATTGGGAATAATCAATTTCGACAAACTCCTCAACGAATGCGACAAAACAGCAATGGAAGAAGTCAAGAAAAAGGAGAAAATTGTGGCCAATGGAGGTGCAATTTTCACAAAGAATTTCGCGGATTATAGAGTATACTCGCATTAAATTAAGTTAGTTTAAGATAATTATTTCAGTTGAATCCAAATAAGGATGTTGATGGTGAAATTTTGAAGAATTGCAAAGAAGAAGTTGAAAAAGAGATAGAAAACTTTGCTGCAGGCGATTCCGAACCCGTTCAGCCGAAGAAGCGTAAAATCTTGAGTCGATAGGTTGTAATCTGAGTTGTTTTTTAGATTTTACATACAGGGTGTCATTTAAGTTCCCGCACAACTTTGAAGACGTATATTTCTGAAACTAAAAGTCCAAATCAAACGAGACTCGAAATATTTTTTATCTATAGTACAACAAATAATTATCTATTAACTCTTTTCGATTCGGCCTCTTTTCGCAGCTATGACTTCGCGGAGACGCTTCGGGTAGGATGTGACTGTGGTACGCAGGTATTCGATGGAAAGATTGTCCCATTCCGCCAGTAATGTCTTCTTCAGAGCCTCTACACTTGAGTGGGGTTTTGCGTTGACCTTCTCCTGCAAGACCCCATCACGGAGAAGTCAAGCGGGTTCAGGTCTGGGGAGCAAGCAGGCTATTCGGATGACTTGATGAAGTCGGGAAAATGGGTCTGGCACCACTCCTGAGTAGTTTTGGCAGTAGGGGCGGGTGCTCCGTCCTGTTGAAAGACCCATATCTTCCCACCGAAATGCGTTTGGGCCCAGGGCATCATATGCTTCCCCAAAATGTCCCGAACGTAGACTTCTTTGTTCACTTTCACCACCTGATCCACGAAAACCAGGGGCACTTCCCGGTTGAGCAGATGGCACCGAAAACCATCACACTGGCAGGATGTGAGGCTGGATGAATTGTTCTTCCTTTCTCAGAAGCTTTCTGGGATGTCTGGGCAAGTACTCAATGGTTTTGTGAGTTGAATGCCGCCTCCACAGTGAACAGCTTCTCGTCGGAGAAGACAGTGGCGAGGTGTTCTCCAGACCGCGTGCGAGCAAAAAGTCGTTTTGCTTTTTCGAAGCGTCTCTGCTAGTTGACGGCCGATAGAATTGCCGCTTTTTGGACACGATATGGGGTCAGTCCAAGCTTCGTTTTGACGATTTGTTCCATAGCGAAGATGCTCATTCCCATGTCTGACGCCATCTTTCTTATGCTCCTGTGCGGTTTTCGCCTGATCCTCGTTTTGACGGCGTTGATCTTCTGAGGAGTGGTTACTGAGACGAGTCTTCCTTGTCTGGGAAGGTCACTGGTCGTATTTAGCTCCTTGAAACGTTTGTTGGTGTCTTAAACCGTTCTACGAGGCACACCGAGGCGTTGAATGATCTCTGTCGGGCGCTCATTTCGCTTATGAAGTTCGATAATGGAAGCGCAATGGATGTTAGCCTTCGCCATTTCTCGGAAACACATCCGAATGAGGTGAAACTTGGAATGTAAGTAAAATACACCTTATTTAACAAAAATAAATTGTATTGGTGCACGAAAAGTGCGACAGCCAAGCTTTTCATGGCGTCTAACTTTTGTGCGGGAACTTAAATGACACCCTGTATTCAATATCATTTAATATCATTAACCTTCATATCAAAATCGTCGTTTGTCATTTTTTTTTGTCGCATGGTTCATCTCGAATGATTCGATTCTCGTCCATTTTATCTGTCTGTATTTTGTTGATCTGAATTTTTTGTTGTTGATCGTCTTCTATTTTTTTCGTTTTGTGAAGTATATACAAATGTGTAACTGAATATCTCCCACTAAAAATAGTGTCTCGACGACCGCCCCGTAGCCGAATTCAATTAAAGGGTTTTCGCATGTTTTTGTTGTTGGACAATAGAGTTTCGAGGGCCCTTTTCCGAGTTTTCCTTGAATTGTTGTATTTTTGTCCTGCCCAGATTTACGACTATTCTTTTTTCTCTCTATTCAGTTTCTCCTTGTCTTTCTTGTGGGCTCGCCGAAAACTAATTCTGTTAATTTTGGCTTTTTGTTACATCCGTTCAACGAAGTCTTCTGGCGCTCATCCTTTTTTTGTCTTTTTTTTTAAGAATCCTCCCTTTTGCTTTCTTATTTTCTCTTGTGACTTTTTGTTAGCACTCCGGTTATATCTTTTCGAATTTATGTGAACAATAAATTATTATTCACATTATTAGATAAGTAATGAAGTCAAATAATATGATACTGAATTGTTTCATCAATTCTCAGGTCATCAAAGCTTGTGCTTTGTGGCGAAAAAAGAAAAATGGAAATTATGAGTGTCGAGAGACTGAAAGGATTATTTCGTAAATATCCCCAAATAAACAATTTGTGATTTTACACAATATTTTTTCCATTTTTTAATCATTTTTTTCATTTTTAATCATATTTTTACTGTATTTATCGACAACAAAAGGAACACGTTTTTTATGTTTTGAAGGAGTCCCTTTCACTTCAATTGGTGTCGTCGTAAATTGCAAATTTTCAGTTTCCATGGTCCCCACAAGAAAAGTCGTGTAATACAAAATGAGCAGCGTTTCTTTTTTTTTTTTCATTTTTGAGATTCATGTTTTTTTTTTCGTAAAAATCCATAAAATGACCAATTTACGACTATTGTAATGTCGAAAATAAAATCGTCTCGGAAACATCGAAACAACCTTTGCGGAACCTTTTTTCTTAGATAATCATCCACATATTCAAACGCATAAATCAGATTGCGTCGTCGTCGTCTTTTCAAGACCCGATGTTCCTTATTAGGAGGTATGTCTGAATGTGCTCGTGTGGTCGGCTGCTCAATGAAGCCCTCACCTAATCCAAACCGACGAGCAGGCATTGAGAGTTCGTCATATGTAATAAGCTCAAAAGTGTGCGTGTGCGTGTGTGTGTGTTATGATGAGTCAGATAGGCTCACCGCGAAAAAGTGTAATAATATTTTTGCAAAACTGATCATCCTCATCACGAAATCCAATTCCTTCTTCTTCTTCTTCTTCTTCTTCTTCATATTTTCAAATTTCTTCTCTTATTAAAACTATATGCATTATTTAATCTGAAATTCCGTTTTTGAGAGAAAATTTTGAGAAAAAATCTCAATCTCAAAATTGTTTTTTTTTGTTGAAAATATCCCGGATTCTCAAAAAAGACGAGCTAGTGTCGATTTACGAAGATGCTCCTTTAAATTGGTGGCACTCAAACGATTTAGCTCTTTCAGAAAAATTCGAATCATTCGGTTTGGATATAGAAATCATTGAGACGTTTCATTACCTTCTTCAAGTATTGTTTTCGTAAATCTACCCAAACCCTTTGAACATTCAATGCTGAAAATCGCTGGGTTTATTTTTCACATTCGCATTCTCGTAAAAATATTGCTCTCGAAAACACTCATTTTCCGCGTTTACAAACGGTTATTAAAAATCTCATCAAGTATTTTGCTGCTAGGTCTGATTTTTTATATATATATTTTTTTAGTAAATCATTTTTAAACATCTATATAATACATAGAAGTGTTTTAAAATTACAGGGTGTCATTTAAGTTCCCGCACAAAAGTTTGACGCCATGAAGAGCTTGGCTGGCGCACTTTTCGTGCACCAATACAATTTATTTTTGTTAAATAAGGTATATTTTACTTACTTTCCAAGTTTCACCTCTTTCGGATGTGTTTCCGAGAAATGGCGAAGGCTAACATCCATCGCGCTTCCATTATCGAAGTTCATAAGCAAAATGTGAGCCCGAGAGACATCATTGAACGCCTCGCTGTGCCTCGTAGAACGGTTTGCGACACCATCAAACGTTTCAAGGAGCTAAATACGACCAGTGACCGTCCCAGACAAGGAAGACTCGTCTCAGTAACCACTCCTCAGAAGATAAACGCCGTCAAATCGAGGAACAGGCGAAACCCCCACAGGAGCATGAGAAAGATGGCGTCAGACGTGGGAATGAGCATCTTCGCTATGGAACAAATCGTCAAAACGAAGCTTGGACTGACCCCATATCGTGTCCAAAAAGCGGCAATTCTATCGGCCGTCAACAAGCAGAGACGCTTCGAAAAAGCAAAACAACTTCTTGCTCGCACGCAGTCTGGAGAACATCTCGTCACTGTCTTCTCCGACGAGAAGCTATTCACTGTGGAGGCGGCATTCAACTCACAAAACCATCGAGTACTTGCCCAGACATCCCAGCAAGCTTCTGAGAAAAGCAGAACAATACATCGAGCCTCACATCCTGCCAGTATGATGGTTTTCGGTGCCATCTGCTCAACCGGGAAGCGCCCCTGGTTTTTGCAGATCAGGGGATGAAAATGAACAAAGAAGTCTACGTTCGGGACTTTTTAGAGGAGCATGTGATGCCCTGGACCCAAACGCATTTCGTTGGGCAGAAATGGGTCTTTCAACAGGACGGAGCACCCGCCCACACTGCCAAAACTACTCAGGAGTGGTGCCAGACCCATTTTCCCGACTTCATCAAGTCATCCGAATGGCCTGATTGGTCCCCAGACCTGAACCCGCTTGACTTCTCCGTGTGGGGTCTTGCAGGAGAAGGTCAACGCAAAACCCCACTCAAGTGTAGAGACTCTGAAGAAGACATTACTGGCGGAATGGCACAATCTTTCCATCGAATACCTGCGTACCACAGTCGCATCCTACCCGAAGCGTCTCTGTGAAGTCATAGCTCCGAAAGGAGGCCGAATCGAAAAGAGTTAATAGATAAATATTTGTTATACTATAGATAAAAAATATTTCGAGTCTCGTTTGATTTGGACCTTTAGTTTCAGAAATATACGTCTTCAAAGTTGTGCGGGAACTTAAATGACACCCTGTAGAGATTTCTATTATAATAATTGACATGTGAAAGTGAATTATCGGCATGATAGAAATCTATTATTTTTGTTTTATTGATTTTAGAAATTTTAAGTATTGAATAATAACGTATTTTGGAGGTTCCGAAAATGATGACAATTGCCTACGTGACTATGGCGATATTCAACGAAAATTAGATGGTGATCACAGCTAAGCCCCGCCTACAGTATCCAATGTCATCTCCGAATATGGTCATTTTCATTTGACCACATTTCGTTGACCTTTTTTTGTATGAGTATGTCCTAACTCTAATATCTACAAAAGCAGCTGCTTTCACTTATTCTCTCAATATTTCCTATATTTACTCGTTCATATTTTTTTGTAGAAGATGACTCAAAAAGACGCCGAAATCTGAGCCTCATTTATTTTTGATGTGCATAAGTGTCGGATTCTCATTTCTTTTTTAATTATTCGTTGCCAATTAGAACTACACACTGAGCAAATGAGCCCAATGAACTCTATTTTGCATATTTCTATTTGATTACTGTAAAAATAATTAGAAATCGAGATTAAGCTCTAAATGGTGGAGGTCAGCTGTTTTAAGCATATGAGATTCCCTCCATCGAGATTCAATTCGAATGCACAATCCCTCTCAAAATAAGCTTAGTCTTGAAAATGTTTTAATGGATATCTCTTAAAACAGTTTTCATAATACACAAAGTGCTCAGCTAATCGCAAAAGTTTTGTAAGAGAAGCACTCTTAGCGAGTCGGCTCAAGTAGCCGTTCGAAACAAGAACAATTGTATGAAGGAATCTTTTCAATTTGCCATTTTTGGTCAAAAAAAGAAGAAAAAGGGGGGAGAAGGAGAAGACGAGTTTCGAGAAGAGTTTTTGGGGAGCACAGGAAATTATTTGCAACACGCCGCTTCTTCTTCTTCTTCTCAACGGACTTGACCGCCCTTTTCGTGCTTATTTGGAATTCTTCTTCAAACAACTTGAAAGCTTTTTGTTGTTGTTGTTGTTGTTGTATTTATTTATTTATGCAATTTTCATTCATTTCTCCCAACTCGAAAGCACTTTCATTTTTTTCCTTGAAATCCAATCGCGTCGCCTCTTTTGCATTCAAATCATCATTATTTTCCTTTTATGGGAGATTCGAAAAGTTTTTCCTTTTTCCATGACTGATTTCTGAAAAAAATGCTTCTATTATTAAATCAAATCATCATCATTTCATTATTTCATCTCTTATGTAATGTTTCGAAAATTGGCGCGAACACAGCTCTTATCATTTCGTATCTATTAGCGTACTGTAACAATCGTTTGAGGTGTGTTAATAAAAGAAAAAATGAAAACGTTTCGATTTACTGAAATAATATACGTTCATTCTCGAAGTTTTGTGGATATATGAGAAGACTTTATTTGCTTTTCCTGAAAACTCTGCAAACAGCGAAATTTCAAATGAGTTTTTCATTTGGAAGCAATTCATTTTTGTCTCGTTATTTCTTCAGTCCAACTTCTTGAATCGGCTAATTCAAAATGGAGCCAAAATGACAAATTGGTCCTTCTTCTGAAAAATTATGGCCCCATTTTTTCCAAGGGACCATGGACTGAAATGCGATCAAGACAAATGGGGCCATTTTGTAGAAAATGTTCTTAATCGAATTATATTTCGTTTTGCGGGCACCACAATTCCAAATTATCAGATTATTGTTTTATTTCATCTTTTTGATTTTTCTAAATCCTTCGATTTAGTTGTTCGAAAATTTCTCATTAATTCAATGGAAAGAACCCCTTTTTAGGTTCCCGTTTAAACCCCACCCCATGAAAAAAAGGAAAATAATTTTTTGAAAAGATTTCTACCCCTTTTTGTCGCCAAAAATCGATCATTTTTTCTCTAGAACTTCTTGCAGCAATAGTTTTTTAATCCATTGGAATGTTCGCTCGAGTCGCTTATGGATTAGTAATATGATATGTTCGTCAAACAAACTCCAACCCCCACAATTATCTTGCAAAATATTGTTTTAATGGGCAAATAAATCAAATGAGCAAAATTCATTCTTGACAAGTTAAATATTTCTAAATAACATCCTCGTTTTTCTCTATTTTTAATAATTAATATTTTTCACAAAATTATTATAAAATGTCATAAATGTAAATTGGACGCGAATTTTTTTTTAATTCTGAATGTTTTAATTGTCTCGCTCAACTACTACAAGCCGATTTCCATATAAGGTAGCCGTGAGACATAGAGAGCCGCACAAATGCACAATAAGAGATGAGGTGAGGTCAGACGGCGACGACGTCGGGGCGGTCTTGAAAATGAGTTTTTCGAGTAGGTAAAAGGCATCGGACAAAAACGGGGGGAGCGGCTCAGCGAGCACAAAACTCGTAGTGTTACCTTTTTTTCTCCATCTTTTTCTCCTCTTTTTTTTAATGCACCGCCATGCATATTAGTGATGTCGGTTTTCTTGATTAATATTCGACAATTTGTTATTTTTCGAGCATGTGTGGCCCAGCAATTCATACCTGATTCCTGAAAACGTTTTCATTCTCACAGACAATTTCCACGCCAATTAATGAAATAAAATAAAACTTGGCGAAATCGAAATAGAATCGCAAAATCATAGGTTGGTTCTCTGAAATCCATTTCCTCATTTTCTTTCGTTGATTTGTCGAAAAGAAAAAAAAAACGAATTTCTCGATTATCGGCCGGAAATTTGATTCGTTTCGAATTTGTGCACTTTCTTCAAACTCTTTGCTCCTATTATTTTTTTTTCAACACTTCGCAGAATTCACTTGACTAATAAGCTAAATTATTCGTGTCACATTTTGCCGATATGTTTCAGCGTCGTACGCATTTCATCATCGTCGACGTCTTCAGGTGGCCGGTGTGTCTGTGCTCGTTTTTATTTTTTCGCGATTTTAATTCTGAGTCGTCTTCTTCGAATGTGCTGTCGGCGAGCGGAATAATGCGAAGGCGACGAATCGGCCGCGTTCGTGATGAGACCCCAATTATTCATCATTCTAGTTTTAGTTTCAACAATTGATGCGAAAAAGAACAAATTAAAGTCATGGTTCGTTCATTTTCTTATCTATTCTTTTCTGAGGGAAATTAATTATTTTCAGCAAACGAACAGCATTTAGTCGGCACACGACCAATTATCAAGCATGGCGAGAACAAATGACGGTTTGCGATCTACTTCAAGACTATGATGCCGCTGTGAGACCATCTGGAAGAACGCCATACAATGATACAAGTAGGGGAAGATTTAAAAAAAAGGAATTTATTTAAAATTGTTTGCAGAAGGTGCTGTAATTGTGACAACAAGCATGGAAATCCGATCAATATCCGCTGTATCGGAAAAGAATATGGTAATTGAAAATTAATTTTAAAAAATAGCCAAAACAGAAAATAGAAATAACATTCTAAAAATCTTATTTGTCTTAATTTTCTTAAAATTAAAACAACATATATTTTGCAGTTAAAAAATAATAGGTTTTTGACGTATAAGATACAAACAATATCGTTTAATCAGGAAAAACGATCATTTTTGATTTCTAGGAGTTCGTTGCTCAGTTCCGTTTCAAACAGGAATGGTACGACGATCGTTTGCGATTCATCGAGCACCAAGGACTCCTGTCGCCCGACTATCGCAATTTCGAGTTCATCCATGTTGCTCGCGATCAGAACCTTTGGATTCCGGACACATTCTTCCAGAATGAGAGAAATGGATGGTATCATATGTTGGATCAGGAAAATCGCTTCCTGAAAATCCGTTCGGATGGAAAATTGTTCTATGACCGTCGATTGACATTGCATTTAGCGTGCTCGATGCATTTGTCGAGATATCCAATGGACCATCAGAATTGCGAAATCGCTTTTGCTTCATGTAAGTAGTGCCTCAATTTGATAAGGAAGCTCAATATCTATAATTCGATATTTCAGATGCCTACACAACAGCCGACATTGAATATGTATGGGATACGCCGCCAGTTTTGATGCACGAAGGAGCCAATGGAGCATTGCCCAACTTCGACATAGTTTCTTTAAAAAATGGATCATGCACTTCGACGACGAATACAGGTCCGATTTCGGCGAATATTCGAAAATCATTCAACCTAATTCCAGGTTCATATTCTTGTCTCAAAGTCGAAATTCGTCTCAACCGTGTGTTCTCGTTCTTCCTACTCCAGCTCTACATTCCATCTTCGATGCTTGTCGGTGTCGCATGGGTCTCGTACTGGATCGACTGGAAATCGACGGCCGCTCGTGTTCCGCTAACTATCATCACACTTCTTTCAATGATCACCACCTCGCATGCAATCAACTCAAATTTGCCGCCAGTCAGTTATGCGAAATCGATCGACATTTGGGTGGGAGCATGTGTTGGTACGTTGTTTCTTTCAAAAACGAATTTGGCGTTTTAATTCGTATTACAGTATTCATTTTCATATCTTTAATTGAATATGCGGTTGTTAACTATATGGGCATAATGGATGAGCACCGGCAAATGAGAAAAGCGGCATGTAATCGATCGAGATTGTCGAATGTTATTGATAATGACAGTTTTGGCGACTCGACACAGCAAGCGCTCACGATAAGCCCGCATGATAAAAAGGTAACGATCAAATAATATAGTAAAACACATACATCTCATTTGCTCAGAGTATTGTTCGTCGTCGCAATAAGAAGACATTAGAAATGCTCGAAGGCGATTGCGATTTTGAGGCGATCGAAATGTCGGATCGCGGCCCGCCGCGTACTGCCGCCGGAATGGAAGAGGGCTGGACGTTCCATGACACAACCGATCTAGTGTATATCGGACAACGAAAACGGGTCGAGCTCGTCCGATGGTGCAGCGTTCTTTCATCGCGTGGACGAGCCGAGCGAATCGACATTATCGCTAGGTGAGGAGGTTTGATCCCTCGTTTTCAAATGGGCCCAACGTTTTAGAATAATTTTTCCAATTGCCTTCCTCCTGTTTAATTTCGCCTACTGGAGCGTCTATCTCGAGGAGATCCCAGATTAAACAATTCATTATACATTATGCGAATACCGGTATATATTAGAAAAAAAAAAGCAAACAATAAATTATTATTATATTCGATTGCACTAGGGAGATTAACAACTGGCGACGAGCCATTTTTTAGGAAAGCCATGATGGGGAAAGCACGACTTCGGCGGCGATGAGCTTAGATTCGATGAGTGGTGACAAGGCGTATGGTGAAAGAACGACAGCGAATAGAGCTTGAGGTGAAAGAATGATTGGGGAGAGGGCGAATGGCGAAAGAATCAATGGAGATCCGACCATAGGGGTGAGGATGAGAGGATTCAACACGAATGGCGAGAGGATCAATGGTGTGAAGACCTGTGGCGAAAGGATAAATGGAGAAAGCACCAATGGCGAAAGAATTAAAGGATTGAAAATTCCTGGTACCAGAATGAGTGGATGGAGGACTAATGGAGAGACGATGATTGGAGAGAACACCAAGGGGTTGACAATGAGTGGAGAGAGGACACGAGGGGAGAGGATGAGGGGAATGAACACCCAAGGAGAGAGGATGATGGGTCCGAGAACAGCTGGCGAGAGAGTGATTGGGGAGAGAACGAGTGGAGAGAGCACAATGAAGGTGTTGGAAAGTGGAGCAGAAGCGAAGGTGAGTGGCGTGAGCAAAAACGGAGAAGCGACGATATCGGCGCGACGAGCTCCACGGAACTTTTCTGCTTCAGCGAGTGCACGAATGCTGAACAGAAAACCGTCAAATATAATTCAACGATTTCTACTTACTCTTTCTCGATGTACTTCTCCGGATCATCACGAAGCTTCTTGAATCTCTTCAAAGCTTTCTTATGATGGTATGGCGAATCAGATCCGTATAGCTTTTCCATTTGAGCTTCAGTGAGGAATGCGTATCCGTCAGTATTCAATTTATCTTTTTGATCGTCATTGTAGGATTTGTCCAAGTACTCGAAAACTTCGATTTTGCGCTTCTCGTCGTCTCCAAGGATTTCAGTTGCATTTTTCTGAAATTCCACAATATCAACTATTTGCCACTAATTTGGTATTAAAACCTTAGTGAAATACAATGGGGTCCCATTTTCGCCTTTGAGCTCGGCCTCTCTGCGCTCCTTGAACACCTTCTCGGCCTTATCGACCTCATCAGTAACACCAGCGGCTTCGACAATGAAGTCCATCCAAGCATCCTGTCCGCGCATATCCAGTTTCTTCAACAAATGCGGGAGCGACGTCAATTTCTCAATACCCTCACCGTCCTCATGAAGTGAGAACAACGACGGCGAAAGTAGATTGAACTATAAACAAATTTTGATATTTGAATTGATAATTGAGAATATCATACGAGTGAGTCATCTTCTTGTTCGGGCATGATTGACATCAATCGCGGCGAGACCATCTTAAGTGTTTTGCGATCGAAATCGGTGACATTTTGACCTCCAAGAACCAATGCCATCTACAATCGAATATTTGAATTACGTTGATAGATTGCTGTCAGAAGTTACCTTAACAGCTTCTCTTAGGAATTTCAACGGAACTCTCAGCTCTTCCGTTTGCTTCTTTCTCATCAACTTGGTCATTTCGTTCTGCTCGTCCTCCATTTCAGCTTGTTTCAGTGCAATGGGCTTGCGTGGATCAATGAATTCAGCTGGCGTGTTGTCGATCATCTTCTTGAGGTGCTCCTTCATCTGCTCGCGCTTCTTCTTCTCGGCCTTCGCCGATTCGCCAAGTTTTTTCACGCGATTGATAGCTTCTCTCCACGATTCGGTTCGCTCTTTGTTTTTGAGAACCCGAACCGTTTTCGTCATACTCTTCACGACACGGCTCATCGGATCCTCGTCGGCGGCGAGGTGCAGATTGTAGCTGTCGCGATTGATGACCTTGTATGGAGCATCGCGTTTCGAACGAGCCGTTCCGAACGATCCAACCCATTCGACTTTGTCAACTTTCTCGAACGCTTTCGTCTTTTTCTCGGGCTTCGCGATCGGTTCTAAAAATTGGCAAATGTTTTGTTTTAGAAGCGCAGGTGGTGTCGCGTTAATTGAAATTTGCGCAGATTAAACAGTTCGGCAAAACATTCGCAATCGCTGGTGCGAACTGAACCCAAGAAGAAGAACAAGAACGAGAAGAAGGAAAAGAAGAAGAAGAAGAAGACGTTTTTCGACTATTTCGCCATATTCGCAGGCACTGCTCATATCCAACCAAATCTATCTAGATGCATCTGACATCTCAGCGGCACTTGCAAAATCAAAGTACACCGCCATGCATGCGTTTTCGAAATTCGCACGTGCACTTTCCAAAAACAAGATCATTTCTACCGAAAAAAGACCGTCGTCGACAAATCGACGAAACCTCTCCCCCCCCTCCCCCCAAAAGATAATATTAATTTGTCGACTTACGGCTAATATCCTTGGCGTCGAGGAGCTTGACGATACATCTCGCGTGTGACGGAACATCCTTCGCGTCTTTCGAGCACTGCTGAATTATATTCTTCTTCTCTTCGGGTACAGTAGCCAATCGCTTCGAGGCCACGGCAGCCATCAGGCCAGACACCGCCTGGGAAAGCCATTTGTCCAGTAATTCTTCTGAGGACGTCTCGTTCAGGTCAATCTGAAGATCAACAATTGGGTATTTTTGTCGTTTAAGGCATCTAGAATACCCGCAAATGGTTTCCATCTTTAACAGCTCCGTTTTTGTCGACTTTCGCCGGCTCCAATGATGAATCTGCTAGGGCTAAACCTAAACCTACAAAATTGTTGTCTGAAGAATGATTCTTCGAGTTTATGAATTCTGACCTGCAATTAATAGCGGCAATAATAGGCGATAATTGATCGCCGTCATGATTAAAATGTTGTGTTTGATTTGAGTGAAGCGCACGAGATCAAAATTAAAGGATCCGGACTGATGACACACTTTTGAGAGACGACAAGCGCGGCGGGATGAAGCGGCGACGATTACCGTGGCAGGTATTGTCCGCGCAGCTTTATACCCAACGCTCTTCAGCCCGCTCATCGAAACCGCGCGGAAACCGCACAGGGTACGGTAGGGCGGAACACGGTAGATGATGTTGCAATTATTGAGGTACGAGGACGAAGGAAAACCTGAAATAGGTATGCGTTTCACACATATTATATGATAATAGCGAAAAATGAATGCATCATTTTAAACAAGCTTTCAACGCGAATGTAGGTTTTTCATACAATAAAACTTGAAAAATAAACATTTAATGTTTATTTTATTATTAAAAAAAATATTTTTCATGAATAAGTCCTTAATAATGCATTTTTAGTTCTTAACAAATAAGATAATTTATTATTAGGCTCGGATAAGTAACAAGGGCTAATGTATGATTCTTCAATATATTAGGCAACAAAAATGAGCTGACAATATTAAAGGATTGATATGGGATTTTTCCATTTCTGGAAATTGAAAAATTCCAAAGCATTGGTTAAAGAAATGGTTCAAAACGGTGCTTTTAGATGGGCGATTCAACTGAAATATTGAATAGGATGAGCTGAATAAAAAACGGGGGTGGATATCGTCCATAAAATGATTTTCGCAAATTCAACGAGCCATTTAAATTTGATATATTCGAATAGTCGTTTTGAGGATTGATATCGCGATGTGTTAGTTCAAATTATCTTCTTGTTTTGATGTCAGCTTTATTTCTTGCCCAAGTTAGAAAGATAATTGCAATATTTCGATGATAAATGTATAATCAAGGTTAATGACTAATTAAAATTTTCAATTTCTAATTATTTCCAAACTTTCTATTAATGTTCTCTAATATTACGTTCGCAAAAAAACGAGCATCCTAGGCCGATTTACGGTGAGTTAGCTTCGCAGGTTATCCAGGGTACGGTATTCCTACTGCTTCAATTCAAGTTTGAATTACCGCCTCGAAAGAGTGCGATGGTCCACAATTATTCTAAGGCGCTCGAGTAATGTGGATTATCAACATTATCAATTGCTTTGGATGAAATCATTATTAATGGTACCGAGTTGGATACACCGATGTCTAGATCATTACCGGCGGTACTCTATTATCTCCCGTCAAAGAAAGCCTTGTACCGTAACCCGTCGGGTGCAAATTTGCAGCGCGAAGAATGAAAAAGCACGTAGGAATCATACACCATTTGATTGATGAGAAATTATCAATCCTTTTGTGGAATTCATTCCGGAATATTCGTTCCAAAGACACACTGGAATTCATCGAAATTTATTGTACTACCTTTTTTTGAGCTATTTTTGCTTATTCCTTCCAAAATCTGCATACATGATGATATTGGGCCAGATTCTGAATAACGAATTTTTCGGTTTATTCGAAAACGTATTCTTGTATTGTCCAATTTCAGACAAACGAGTCTCTTAAAATCTGCAAAAACCTCAGTAGGCTTTAATCACTTTCCTTTCTAGAGTTTTCTCCAAGACTTTGTCGAGTGAACAAAGAAATTGGTAAATAAATAAGGGCCTAATAATACGTCGGGTAGATTTACGGGTGTGTTGGTCGTCATGGTCTCGTCACGCGTCAACAATTACTTTTCAATTTTCACGAGGAATGTTCAATATTTGCGAATAAGTTTGTTAAATCCTTGAATTCCTAACAGCATTGGTATTTTAGAAAAACCGTTATTCCGCTCGAGACCACAGCAAAAGATGCATGCCCGTAAATCTACCCGACGGAATATATACCGACTATTAATGTCGCGCGTCGTCGTAATTTATTAAATTACATTTCAAAATTGTGCACGTTCTCAAAAAGTTCGTTCGAAGATATAGTCGGCGTCCGGCGACTCCTGTAGGCGGGTAGATTTACGTGCATGCGCCTTTACTATGGTCTCGCACGGACTAACCGTGTGTCTGCATTTTAGAGATCCTTCCATTAATTTTTAATTTCAGTGATATTAAGCATTCAAGGAAATGATATACTCATAAAGAAAAATTCAGCGAGACCATTTTAAAGGCGCACCCGCGAACTGCAATCGCTGGAAGCCGACTATAAGGTGTTTTTGAGTCAGTAGAAGATGAATATTTGGAACGATGTCGGACGATTAAAAATGAAAAAATCATCAATGAAAACATTCAAAATTATTTATTCACAAATTCTTGTGCTTAAATTTGACGTCTCCTTTCATTTTCCTTCTTTGTGGAGACGCTGCTGACAATGAAAACTGCAAAACTAAATCGAATCGAACTTCGAAGTTCATTTTATCAGAGTTTGAAAAAAACGTTTTCCACCATTTTTTGAAGTCAGAATATAGTCGGTGGAAACTGTTGTACATTTTCATTCGTGCGTCTTTCTCGATGGTCTCGTGCTCTTTTTGGTTATGCCAAATAAAAGAAACAACAAAAAATAGTTTTAAAAAAAGCAAACAACAAACGGAAGAAACACGACAAAATGATGTTCAAAAATCAAAATTTTAAACAAAGTTTAAATAAATCACGATTTTTTTATTAACCAGTAGGAGATGGACAACCTCAAACTTGGGTAATTAAACTTTATTGTAAAAGAAATAAATTAAAAATAAGTTAAACATGAATTGGACATAAATTGAATATAAGTTGAACAACAACCAACGAAGGGAAAGAAAGTGAAAAAATGGGCGTTGAGGCTCCCTTTTATAGGGGCACACGAATGCAATATAAAGGTTACACTGTGTGCGTAGGTGGCTTTGGTGGCGTGTGGCTTTGGCGGTACAATTTAATAATAGTTTATCAATTTTAAACTTTCAATAATGTGCTTCAGATATTGAATTGTGATGGCTAGGAATGATTTGTGATGGCCTTTAGACTACTTTCCGGTAGTCATTAATGACACTCCCCCTCAAGGACGGTGACGTTGGGGAGTCGACAAATGGCCGTGTGGTGGGTCTTTGCTGCTTCCATCCTTCCGTGGGTTGAGCAGTAATAACATTTCGAATGGCATATTCCTCGATGGTTCCGCTTCACGCACCTCTTGCATCTATCCGTTTTCTCCAGATGACGCTCTCGGTCCTTGGCGTTTGTGATTTCGAAGCATTTGTCGGAAAAGTGCGGTCTGTAGCAAAACGCACAATTCAAGTCGTCTCCATCGCGGGTGTTTTCAGTGGCTATCCGTCGTATGATGAGTCCGGTTTTCCCGTGATGGCGTTGATCGTTGCGGTCTTCTGATTCTCTTCGATGGCGTTGATTGTTGCTGTCTTCTGATTCTCTTCGATGGCGTTGATTGTTGCGATCTTGTGATTCTCGTCGATGATGTTGACGATATGTTTTTCTTGATCGTGATTGTGATCGTGATTTCGATCGTGATCTCGATTTCGTATTTGATCTCGCATATGACTTGGGTGTTTCACTGCTGCTTGATCTTGGCGAGCGGGATGACGAATTTCGGGATTTTGCGTTTGGCCTTGGAGATTTTGTCGTGCTTCTGGCTCGACCTTGGGCCTCCGGCGCGAATGACTGGCAAGTGTTTTCAATGTTTTTGGCGCATTCTCGCATTGTTTTTTGAATGGCCTCAAATAGTTGTTGGTTATGATCCATTAGTAATCCTGTCATTTGTTCCTTGTCGGATTGATGTCTTCGGAGGTATTCTTTGATCTCCTTGATTTGAATCGTAGCTTCCATGGCCGTTGTTCTCCATTCGTTAACTTCTTTGTTCTGGGCAATCAATCTTTCCTGTGTGTGTCGGTCGTGTTCCAACTTTGCTGTCTTGTAGGCTGAGCTGAGTCGGTTCATGATTCCCTCGAATCTTGCTTTGATCCTGCTTTTCTCCATTCCTTCGTTCTCTATGCGGATGGCCGTTTCTAAGGTGTCTATGTCTCCCAGGATTAGCAAATCTGTGATTTTGTCCATGGCTTGAGCGTATCGATTGAAGGAGCTTTGCACTGTGATGATTGTGTCCATAATCTTGTCCCGTGCTTCTTGTTCGGTTCTGAATCGGTTCACGGACCATCTGTTTCCGATTCTATCTCCGTGATAGGTTGATGACTTTCTTCTTGTTTCTTCAGGACTGATCGCATTTTTTCTGCGTCGATATGTTGTTGTGCCAGGGAGTTCATTGAGCGTGTGGCTGCCGTCAGGTAATAGCGAAGTTCACTCATTTTTAATGAATGACTGTGTAGTTTTTTTGGAAGGACTAACAAATGGATGGATGGCTTGATGGTTTAGGACTCGATTTCGATCAAATCGATGTTCTTTGTGTTGTTAGTATCGTGCAAAGCGTTGAAGTATGAGTTGTGCCACGCGGGTCTTGCAATGTTGAGAAAACGGACCTTCGATTTGTTGTAATTCGAAGATGAAGCTGGATGGCCGTAGTTGTGGTTGAGTCGTTTTCTTTCAGGATGGCTTTTGGTTGTTGACTTGAACTTGTTGGCTTGATCTTTCGGCGGCTTGAATTCGTAAGTCGTCGATGCACCAAATTTATTAACCAGTAGGAGATGGACAACCTCAAACTTGGGTAATTAAACTTTATTGTAAAAGAAATAAATTAAAAATAAGTTAAACATGAATTGGACATAAATTGAATATAAGTTGAACAACAACCAACGAAGGGAAAGAAAGTGAAAAAATGGGCGTTGAGGCTCCCTTTTATAGGGGCACACGAATGCAATATAAAGGTTACACTGTGTGCGTAGGTGGCTTTGGTGGCGTGTGGCTTTGGCGGTACAATTTAATAATAGTTTATCAATTTTAAACTTTCAATAATGTGCTTCAGATATTGAATTGTGATGGCGAGGAATGATTTGTGATGGCCTTTAGACTACTTTCCGGTAGTCATTAATGACAATTTTCGCGCTTTTTCGTCTACCTGTACGATTTAGTTCAAGAAATGAAATTTTTCAAAATATGAAAATTAAAAAAAT